AAATTAGAATAATTACCTAAATTAAGATAGGAAAACCTAAATTTAATAAAGAATTACTTTAAAAAAATTATTAAAAATAGTTATAAAATACCCCCTATAACTTATAGAAAATAACTTTTAAACTAAATAATATCTTTATTAAATAATATATATTATAAAAATATTAAGAGTTATTAATATAGGAAATATATAAATATCCCCTATATAGTTACTAAGGTATTATAAAAATATTAAAAAGAATATAAAAGAACTATTAAGGAAATAACCTTAAGAAAATAGTAAAAAAAGTTATTAAATAATATAATTTATATAAAGAAATAAAATTATAATAATATAAGCCCTATAGGAACTTATAAATACTATTAGTTATATAATAACTATAGGATTTAATTATAATAGATTATATAACTAAGCTATTTCTATTAAAAAAACCCTTAATTAATATCTTTTATAATAATATTATAGTTATTATAAACTAATTTATAAAATTTTTATATTATTTACTATATAAAGAATTTATAAATATAAAAAAACTTTCCTATATTTTTTATAAAAATATTATTAATATATATAAATTACCTTTAAAGATCTTAATAGATAGAGAAATAATATTTATATTAAAATTTTAGTAATTACTTATAACTTACTTAAGACTAAATTACTAATTTATAATAGTATTTAGACCTTAAGTAATTAAATAAACTAAATATATAAATTAAGTACTTAAATAATACCTATAGTATTATATTAATTATAAATAAAACGATTAGGTTAAAAAGCTTTTAACTACCTAACTTATCTATAATACTATCTATAATAAGATAATAAAGTTTATACCTATTTATATAAATTTTAGATCTAACCTAAATATCTTTTATAGTATAAAAAAGGCTAAGAATATTAACCTAACTATAATAATTAAAAGTAATAATTTAAAAAATCTATATAAAGAAATAAAAATAAAAGTAGAATTTATTAAAAATAAAATAAAAAACTATTATAACCTTAAAAAGATAAAAAGACTATCCTTCTTAAAAGGAAATATAATTTACCTTATTATAAAAAATATTTTAATAAAATAATTAATAAAAAAACTTAATTATAAATATATTAAACCTTATAAGGTATTATAAACAATCTTAAAAAATAATTATAAATTAAATCTATTACTGAAGGTTAGACTTTATTTAATCTTTTATATTATATTACTTAAGTTAATAGTTAATATAATTTAAATTAAAATTAAAAATAAACTAAAAGAAATTAAAAAATTAAAAGTCTATAAAGTAAAAGTAATTAAAGAAATATATAAATATAAAAATAAAATAAAATACCTAATTAAATAGAAAAACTACCTAAAAAATAAAAATATATAAAAATTACTAAAATACCTTATTAATATCTAATAACTCTTAAAGAATTTCTATTAAAAAAAGTAAAATCTATAAAAATAATTAACTAATTAATTAAATTAATAATATTAATAGTAATTAAATTAATTACTATAAAAAACTTTTTAGTAATATATAATTTAGCTATTTTTATAGACTTTAATTTTTTTATATACTTAAAATCTTATTTTAATATTTTTATACCTATAGATTAAAAAAGGTATTTCTATTTATAAAGATATATTAATTTAAAAAGATATTTATTTAGTTAATACTATAAATCTATTAACTCTTTTTTAATAGCCTTTTTATTAACCTTTAAATAAGCCTTAGCCTAAATTAAATAATCTATTAAAAGAAATTAATATATATATATAATAAAAAAAAGGTATATAAACCTTTAAATATAAATACTTTTTTACTATTATAAAAATAACCTTAATAGATATATTTAAAATAATTTTTATAACCTTCTTTTATTATATACTATAAACTCTTTATAAAATAAAAAGAGTATAATATAATAATATAACCTTTTAAAAAAATTAAAGTAACTCTAGCTTTATAATAAGTAGTTTTTATAGATAATATTATTAATATAAAAAGGATTATAAGTCTAGGTTCCTTATTTAGGATTAATAGTATAAGAAAATAAAGTTATATAGGTCTTAAAGATAAGACCTTAAAGAGAGAAAAGATTATATTATAACCTTAATATTTATATTATATATACTTTATATTTTCTTACCTATTATATATAGTTATTATTATACTATATAGTATATATAGTAACTATTATAATATAATTACCTTTTAATACTAGAATTACTTAATAATTAATATAATTATTAATAACTATAATAATTACTATAGTAACTACCTTTAATATATAAAATATACTTATTGATATCTTTATAGATATTAACTTACTAGCTATTAATATAATTTCTTTACCTAAATATACCTAACCTACTTTATTTACTATTAAGAAATATAACATTTCGTAATTACTTAATATAACCCCTTATAGTATTTATTAATATAAACCTAATATAGACTAGTTTATCCCTTAGGAAATCTAATTATTATAAATATATTATAAGAGAAATATAGTATTTTAAATTTATTCTAATCTTTTTATAGGTAATATTTATTATATACTTAAATATTACTTTAGTCTATTTATAAACTATATTAATATAATTAATTAATAAATCTATTTAGTTTTAATTTTATAAATACTTTTAAAGTATTAAAAGTAAAACTCCCTAGCAGTCTTTATAGGGGTTTTATACTATTAAGAAATAAAGTTATAACTAATATAGTAAATAACCTTATTAAATTTAAGTTATTATTACTTTTTAGTTTATATAAAAAGCTCTATTAGTAATATTTTTATAGATTTAATTAAGATAGCTAGATTTTATTTTTAAAGTTATTATAAGGCTTAATTTAAATTAAAAGTAAAACTATTATAAATAATTAATAAATTAAAGTTAAAGTTAAAGCTATAAGTTTATATAATATTTATATTATACTTTTAATATTATAACTTTTTTAAATTATTAATATAATTAAGGTAAATAAATAAGTTATATAAAAGATTATCCCTGGTAGGGGTTTTTATACCATTAAGAAATAGAGTTATAGTTAATATAGTAAGTAACCTTATTAAATTTAAGACATTATTGCTTTTCGGTCTATATAGAGACCTTTAGTATTAATACTTTTATAGGTTTAATTAGGATAGCTAGATCTCTTTTTTAAAGGTATTACTAGACTTAATATAAATATAAAAGATTATTTATTTTATAATATAATTACTTAAAATAAATTATATAATTAAGTAATTATATATTATATAGTCCTTTTATAGTTTCTATAAGTATACTTTTTAATAATAGAATTTTATTTTTAAGGCTTTTATTATAGTTTATATAAATAAAAAGGAAATACTATATTTTACTAAAGATATATTTAAATAATATTAAGTATTTTCTTAATATTCTCTTAATATTATATAATATATTTCTAATAAATATACTTAATAGCTTTTATCACTTTATAAGTACTTTTATAGGCCTTTTAATAGTTTTTATATAATATTAAAGTTCGTAGTAATATTATAAATTAAAATATATTTTATATTAGTAAAATACTATAATCTACTAATAGGATATGAGAAAAATAATTAGTATTTTCTTAATATTCTTTTAGTATTATAAAATATATTTCTAGTAAATAGATTTAAAGCCTTTTAATTAATTTATAAATACCTTTATAGCCCTTTTACTAATTATTATATAATACTATACTTACTATTAGCATTATAAGATTATATCTATATTATATTAGTAAAATACTATATATTACTAATAGTATATTAGAGAAATATTATATATTATCCTAATATTCCTTATAAGAAAAAGTATATTACTATATTATTGTAGATATAGTCTAAGTATTAAGATATATAATTTATAATCTTAATTGAACTATAACTTCAAGTTATTTAAGAACTATAATAACTACTTAAGATAAATATTAAGCTTTAAACTTAAATATTAATTATAATTCCAATTAATAACACTATTTCTACTCTAATTAGTCTATTTTAATACTCTAATTAGTCTATTTTAATACTATAATAGTCTAGATATTAAATACCTTTAGTATAGTAATAAATAAATCTATAGAGTTAGTAATATTAAGAGTAACACTTCTTAACCGCAGATAGTTTCTCAAACATCTCAGCGTGTTCATCCCTCTTATAAATATCCACGCATTTAGTCAGACCCTTATTATCTATTAGCTCGAGTCTATCTGCCTGTTCTTTCTCCTGTTGAAAATATTGATTTGCCTTAGAGCTTGGCTTAAAGTGGGCAGACTGGACGTGGCCGTTTAATGGGTATTCATAGATATCGATTTTAACAGCTGCGTTCTCCATGTACATGTCGAGGAATTGACTATCAGACACTGCATTCATGAATTCTTCGTAGCGTTCAAGGTCATCCACATAGATTGCATCTTGGGGTGAAAGGGCCATTACTCCAATTGCGTAAAGGATGGCTAACTTAAGAATGAGGGAAGAGGGTGACATAAGGTTCAGAGCTTGGGTTTGGTGTTGTAACAAATGCAGCTGTTGAATGTGTATGCTACGTTCACTAGAGGGATCGATGAAGAGCTTTATAGCTTATGGGCAGCATGGCTTCTACCCTGACATGTGAACTTGCGCGAATTTGTTGCAGCACATGCAATGAATTGTCTCCTGGACAATCATCTGAGGCATTACCAACGTCAATCCTCGGAAAGGCGGCAACGACATACGAAGATGGACCGAGCGTGATTGGATCCATGTAACTGTTGGTTGCGCAGCTTCAAAAGGACCATCTGTTGGTTGTGCAACTTCAAAAGGACCATCGTCTGTGCCGAATTCCGAACTACAAGACTTTAGAAAATGTAACATGTCAAATATAACCATACGAGAGTGTACACTAATAGCCTGAGCTTCTCATTGTACTACGTACTGGACGACCGCGTTGTCCGATTTGAAAGGTCTAACAGCAATTTAACAACTCATAAGTATATACTATATTTTCTACTACCATCTCATACCTCCAACTCTTCAGTATTCAGGGACGATTGAAAGGTAGCGCATTCCAGTCCTGGAATGAATTTAGACGGGATATAGGTCCAGTCGTCAAGATGAATCTCCCTCAAACCAAACTCCCTCCGCAGTCCGTGGTAAATACCACAGATCTTTGAATCGTACCACACTGGAGAATCATGTGGTAAATCATTGTCCTCTCTGAAGAGTCGATCGAAATGAGTGCTATCAATCAGTCGCGGGGGCACAGAGACAAAAGTCGCATCTGCGGGGCCAAGTTTCAATTGATGTTGTAAAAGGCCATGCGCGCCTATGGTGACTATAGTAGTTTGGTTACAATAGGCATAGGCAAGATGCTCCTGGATCGTTTCGCAGTACTCTTTGCTCATTGGGGATTCAGGTAGGTGATCTGGAAGGACAGCTATATAATGCGTGATGAGGGCGTTAGTAAGCGAGGTGAGAGTCTTCTGGACGTGAAGAGAAGCCGGGAAGTTGACGGTAGTCTCAGTGCCAGGAATCTTAACCCCGCGTAGGTTGCTCTCGTTATTGACCCTAACATCACTTAGAGTACTGTGTTTCCATAGCCCGACTGCCATCCACATGCTACCATGGTGGGCAAGTGCAGTAGTCCATCCTCGACATGCCTGCACGAGATATTGGGAAAAGTGTGCTTTGGCAGTTTCGTCGTGAGAAGGGAATGTAAAGAGCTGATCGATTCCAGTAATAAGTATGGCGGCTAATTGAAGCTTGGCCTTTAACACAATGGTGCTGTTGGTGTGCAGGGCAATAAACGCAGCCAATCGGTAGTCGAAGTCAACGATTGGCAAAAGAGTCAGAATAAGCGAGGTGTTAACAAAACGTGCCCTAGTGCGGTAGGAAATTGTAATTCATTCACATCTTGGATCTCGCCATGAGGTATGTAATTAGTGATTTCCTGGTGCCTGAGCACATTGATAATATGTGTTGAGGTCAACCTCTCCAAATCGGACGCAAAGAAACAAGAAACCACCCTGTCGAATTGTATTCCCCAGTTCAGCAGACAAACAAGCGCGGTGATGAAGCCTCCTGCATGCTGGTTGCAGACTTTGAGCTTTTCTGGTGGTCCATTATTTAGAAAGTCATCGAGGTTTTGTTCCTCGAAGTAAAGTCTGACCCTTCCTGGAATTCGAGGGGTTCGGAAAGCCAATGATAACTGTTCAAGTCGCCCCTTTTTCGAAACAGCCAACCTTATTTGTGCCACTTGGAGGGTAAACGAATCGAATATGGTCTGTTCCAGGTGACTGGCTAGATGCATGTGAACCTGGAGGAATCCATAAAACGGGAGGGGCGGTCTGTAGCCGGGGCTGTATCGTAGAATGACACTGGCGTTATCATCTGCAACAATATGGTCCAGTTTGACTTCGCGTTCTTGAGGCTTGCTTTCGATCCTCTCTCCTACTGGCAGGGTCTCCAGGATAGCCAGTCGGTCTTCTAGTGCTTCATTTATCGTCCTTCGCTCAGAAGAAAAATGCAGTCTCAGAGGTTCCTGGTCGTAGTCTGACGAGGAAGGGCAGATAATGATTTGCTTGTCAACCCGACTTGTCAGGGGATCCGCCAGAGACCTGAGTAAATTGTTGTTGAAGTAGGTTGAACCAACACGTTCAGCACGCCCCAGTCGTGCTTTTAATATGTCAGCGGATTCGTTGACTTCGAATAGGAAACCTTCATCGTGGGCGTAAAGGTCGAGGAGCCTTCTGAATGCAATTGGTGCGAGGGAAAAGGAAACAGTGAGAACACGGACATGTATAAGATGGCTGATGTCAGTTGCCCAGTGTACAGCGGCCAACATGGCAAGGGCGCAATCAGCACTCATGTCATGATCGAGCACCAGAACGACCGTCTGCGCCTTCATATTCTCGATGTTACGCCAAGCCTCGGGCCCCGTGCCGTCTTGCAAGCAATTCGCGTGGAGCTTTTGGAAAAAGTCGCAATAAGTCTGAGTTTTAATCTCATTGTTTAAGTAATTGTTTAAGTTTTGCAGTTCTTGCCAGGCGAGTCTTGCAATTTTTGTCTTCATTGTAGGCCCCACGATCGATACATCAGCGGGACCCGTTTGACAGACACCTTCCACCACTTCTTTCCATGTGTCGAGGTCAGAGAGACTGTTGTAGGAACATTTTGCATGACCGAAGAGGATATTCGAGGGGAGAGTACACCACTCCTTGATGGATACCATCATGTAAATGAAATGTTGGTTTGGCGGCTGGATATGCTTTGTTTGAGGGTTGGATAGTTTATTTGAATTTTATCAATGTCTGTGAGATATTTGTCCTCAAATGGTCAAAAGGAGTTTTGCTCACGGCGGTAGACTGCGATGTATTCAGAAGAAAGAAATGTGCAAGAGGGGTTTCCGAGAAGTTATATGAACGATGCCGAAGTGACAGAAGGTGCGGCTGGAGCTGGACTTGTTCAAAGTCACACGGATGAGGGGAGTCGCTCATTCCTGCTTCTGATACTAAGAAGTCCTTGATTAGCCGGTACAGAACAAGATAGCGATCAACGTGAACATGTCAGCACTTACGAACTACTATGCTTATTGTGGTAGCGAATCTCTTCAGCGGTGGTGTTACAGTAGATACCAGTCTTTGTACAGTAATATTACAGTCGGATCGAGGGATGTCTAAACGTTCATAGCCAGCAAATGCTGAAGTAGAGTGATATCCTTGAGCTGAACAACCAAAGCAACCCACCCACAGACAAGCTCCCATATTTTCAGAAGTTCTTGTCGACTATCGTGACCTTCGCCTGTCATTACCCTACCAAAGGTTGTAATCACCCTTCGATTTGTCGTATTGATCTGGATCTTGACTTCTGAGGGTATGATGTAGTTGATCGTCTCCAGGTCCTTCAAGACGCACGTCTCTACCGGAGCGAACCATGGCAATTCGATTTCGAATGGCCCTGTAACATTTGCCTGCGTGTATTCTTTCCCGAAACTCTCCTCCCAGAACGTCATTCGTTTTTCGTATTCAGAATCATGACATGGCAGACCACTGAGAGAATTGTCGGAGAGTGTAGCTTTGGATTGTACAATGTATTCAGCGTTCGGATGGGCGACGGTACTCGTTCCATATGAGTCGACTTTTGCCTTGAGGGTGGCCAGTTCGAGATCAGTGTCGCTTCGTTTTTCACAGAACTTTGCGAATATGTTACTCGCGTTCTCCCCTTGAGTCAGTTCGATGGGGAAAATGGGACCCCAAGGCCATTTCGGGCCATCAAAGCCTAAACATTGGACTTTCTAATGTTAGTGCGAACTGATACACGTATATTCGGAAACTCACACCACAACATCCACATGACACGATCGACCGTGTACTCGAAGTACCTCACAGGAATCGCCCGCTTGCCTCGATCATATAGCTCTTGGCAAGTCATTCTGGTAGCCCTTTTTCCATATTCTTTCATCAGGTAATGGACCTCTGGGGGCATGAAACCGAAATAGGAGGTCAGGTGTTCGCGGCGCTCTTTTGTATCGGTTACGTTCAATGTATCCTTCGGAGGGACGAACTTTGAACCCGGAGCGTTTGGGGGCGAGAAGTCGAGGTATCCTTTCGTGCGCTCCATTTCGGCTGTCTGTGTGCGAATAGAAACAATAACAATGTACTAGTTTCCGTGGTGTTTGGTTCAGGGTTGCCACACTTTGTCACTGTAGCAACAAAAGGCGACCCAAGACAAAGATAACCACTTTCGACCATGAATGCCATGTGCTGTCGATTGATATGTGCAAAAGGCACAAGATAAAGAACGCCTCCTTAGTTGCAGTGACTGTGGGTGATGTTTGGCAGTGATGTCGCAGTGCAAATGCGAATATTCACTCGACTCAAGGGTGGACCATAGCGCCTACCTTCTTCCATGTACCAACTCTATCGTCCTTACTTGCAACAGCCTCCAAGGCACTTTCCGTCATTGTAAACTTTTCAATCTACGCCAATATGTCTTCAGCCAAAAGTCCCAACACTGTCGATGTCGACACACCTAGAAACAACTTCCTCGTCTTCAATCGGCAACCTTATATCTCTCCTCACACCCTTATCACTATCAAGAATTCCTCAGCCATGTTTGCTCCAACTAAAGAGTCCAAAACACCATCTCTTGCAAACCATATGTCCGCCGCACCACACACTGTGTCTGATCTAAGGCCTGTCGGTATCATCGACCCATCCGGCATCCTGTCTGGGCTGTGTCTTGAAAGCCCTTCAGGAGAAGTCGCAAACGTCGTTAGTACAAATGGCTTTCCAGGAAACATTTTATACCGGGGATCCTACCGTGGTATTGCCCAAGCTATGGAAACTGCTGCCTCGATGGGTCACCCGGGCACCCTCTGTTGGTTGACGAACCCTGCAAGTAGCTTTGACATGATGGCTGCTCGCTTGCCACCAGGACACCGCAAGGTAGACTTAAAAATCCGATACATTGACTCTGAACCCAAAGACAAACCGATTGCGAAATATCAACAGTCCCAGGATGAGTGGATGATGATTGTATTCCCACGCGATCGCACTACGGTCGGAGATGCTCAACCAGACTTCGATCCTGCGAAGGAACCTCCAATCACATTCAAAGAAGTTGTTCAGGACTCCTTGTTGGGCACATTGCATCGAGTCGGACAGTTTTGGTAGGACTGAGACTGCCACGAAAGGAACATCAGTCATCCATCTTTTTCACGTCGATATTCACCATACTGACTCCAAGTAGAGTAGAGAATCAGGTCTATGCTATTCATTCACATACTATTCTAAGACCCGTTAACCATATCCGTGGTTCCCAAACATAATTCAAATGTCTCATAATCGTCGTCTATCAATCTATGCCGTATACGTCTTCGCCTGAAAAGTCAACCAGAGTGGCTTCGGTTGTGCCAAACTCTGGTTCCCATGTCGATTTCTCCGAGTGTTTTCTTTCCAGGCCTCGTTTTGAAACCGGGAGTCTTTCTCTGGGCGAGTCATGTGTGATGTCGTTGGGGTCCTCTTTACTATAGGCTGGTTCTCCTTTTGTGTCTCTCGTGTATGTCGAGTTCCCTCTCGTATATGCTGGTGATGGATCTGAGGCTGATGGCTCATCGTCCAAGGTTTTAGCAGGCGGGAATCTGTCCGCCTTTGTTGGGGTGATGGTAGCATCTGGGACACGTTCACTAAAAAGGTTAGCAGATGTTATCAAGTTGGTTTAAAATCTTACCTGTTCACTCTCCAATACGGTGAGGCTTGTAACAATTCCAAATCTACGATTCCTTCGGCATCTAGAATCTTTGAGATTACATGCTCGCGGCCGTTTGATACGTTTAGAACACTTCTGATGAGGCTCACAGCCTGTTCGGGCACTGTTGCAGTGGTATTTGTGTCGGGATTGGTCATCATCCATTCAAGCAGACGGTGCGGGAGGGTTGTCTGTTTCAAAATCTCCCAATTCTCGTCATCGGCATAAACAACAAGTCCAACGGTGTCTTTAATGTCGAGTCCACCCATTGGATTTACAGCGGTTATTTCAGCGCTGCCCGAACGGTACACGAGTTGTGATTGGAAACCAGACGCAAGACGGACTTCGGAGTGTTCTAATGTTTCCCGTAACCATGATGTGGCTTTCGGTGTGGTTGCTCTAGGACTTCGGAAGTGAACAGCGATGCTGCAGGGGTTAGAAAGGTTATAGTGTGGGAAGGAATCTCTTACCGAAGGATGTGCTCAGCCTTGGATGAAAGCTCATCTGGTAGCTCAATTGATTTGAAATTCTCGTCGGCAGGCCCTTGGTCTTCTACATGACGGGATAGATAGCGTTGATCCAGGCCAGCCCAAACAAGTAGATTGTCGAGCATCCATATTGTCTTGGGGTCAAAGTCGAGTAGGTTCAGCTTCCCAGTGAAAGCCTCTTTCAGATTCTGACGGTCGGCTATTGAAAACTCCATACTTGAAGCACAGAGCAAAACACCATCTGCAGTTGACACAGGAAAGACATTGCTGTGGGAAAATCTCTCCTTGTCGAAGATGTGACCGTATTCGGGTATCCTCTGACTGACTGCGACTAAGAGACCTCTGGCTGTGTCGTCACGCGAACAATCGGGGCTCAGGGATGATACGTTCATTAGAGTGTCGAAGATCAACCCTGCATCGTTCTGTTCGATGTCGAGAAAATTGACAAAGAATTCGTGTAACTCAGTGTAGTGTTTGCTTAGGTCGTTGATATCTGGGCTTTCGAGTTTGGGGGACCAGGAACACTGGCTCGAGTTGACCCAGACCACTGTTTCACCAGGAGCCACGGCAAGAATGGGCTTCTCAGCAAAGCAAGACCTTGACTGTTAGCGGAATAGTGCCATTGGAGAATTCAACTTACTTGAGATCAGCAGCCTCCTCAGGTGTAAGCTCGTGCCTCATCTTATCCAAAGCACGGTACAGCTCATCTGTTAACCAAAGATCTGCTGGGTCGAGTTCTGCATCAAAGTCACGCTTGTCCAGCACGTCCACGATTGTTCTGTAACTGGCATTTTGAAGGTGTAATGTCTGTGTGTAGAATTCTCTGAGTGATACAAGCTCTGACTTGCTCGCGTCCCAATCTGAAGGAACCGGAAAGACAGGCGACTTTGAGAGTGTACTCGCTATCTCGCACATGTCATCCAACAAGCATTCACTCAGAGGTCTCCATATTGGGTGGACATACACCAACTGCTCTTTCTCGAATACATGCCTGGTCTGTTAGTATCTGATGTTGCAGTGGAGGATTGTCCATACCTGACTTTCTGCTGGCTCATCTGTGGATCCTTGGAGTCTTCACACTCTGCTTGGATTCGGAGATACAACTCCAGGATTCTCCGGGGAAACTCGACAGTTGATGCTTTTGATCGTCGAACTCGTATCAACATTTCGAGGAAAAATTCCAGATCATCATGATACTTGGCAAAGGCCCTGAGACACCGCCACTGTCCGAAACCTCCTTCAGATCGAATTGGCGGATCGAGTCTGAGAAACGGAAAAGGTTCGCCTTCCAGCATATATCGATTCCGGAGGTAATGCAGCTTAGGCAGCGGGATGTACGAATTCCCCAAAGGCCTATACTTTCCATCTTGGCAGAGGACTCTGATGGCCTTGATATCGAACATGGAGTCTGGATTCTCCTTTGCGTAGATCTTGTCGCGTTTCCATGCCTGCTGGAGGTAGTTGAGGAACTCTTCTGGATGCTGCTTGGACATCTCGATACATTTTGGCGCTACAGAACGACCCCGCTCACTGAACTCGAAGAGCCGGGGCTCTGAAGGCCCAAAGCCTCCATAGCTCCTGGAAGAAGTGCTGCTGGTATCTCCACGATCGCCACGCAGTAATTGCATCGGAATGGTGTTTTCGTAAATCCCCAGATGAGATCTGGGTCGGGTTGCAAGACTCACGACTCACCGACAAGAGCCTTTGACGTGGCCATAGTGGAGCCACCATAGCAGGGGGTGGCGGAAAAAGTGCCCTCCGATGCGAAACCACCAATCAAACGTTTTGTTTTCTCAATTTCGATTGTCTTATCGTGACATTGTCTCCGCAGAAGCACATGTCGTTTTATTTCTGCCAAATCGCTCAGACGCGGAGGTGGAACGTGAGGTCAGGGGTTAACTACGTCATTTCATTCCTTGCTGCCCAATAACCTACCCTATGCATGATGAGGATATTCAATCAACTATCAAGAGTCTGTCTCGTGTTTTCGTGTCGCTGATTCTTTCAGAAGTTCAACTTTTCTTCAGAAAAGTGGCAGGGATATTAGCGCAAAACTAAAAAAGATCTTCCAGATTGACACTAAACTATAAACAAAGTGTCAATTGGACGGGTGGATGAATTACCAACAGCAGACGCTGGTGTAAACGGGTTTGACGTGTTCTTAAAGAGCATATCTTCATATGAGCGACAGCCGGCCTAAGATATGTGTTAGCCATTATAATACGGGCAAGGTGAGGCTGGGATCAAGCAGAGGCTCAGGCAAAAGCGGTCACAAGCTTCCCCGGATATAACGCAAACCGCTGCAACGACAGGCATCTCCGCCGGCGTTCAGCCAGTCCGGCCCGGATCCCGAGATAGCCTGATGATCTCAGCTGGGAGTATTACCACATTTGGATTTCTCAAAAAATGCAGTGCTGGAAGATTAGTCTAAGCCAGGATATTGTGTTCCAGTAGCCTTGGTAGACCATTTGTAAAACCGTTATTACCATGTACAGGACTTGTTAGCCTGTCTTGGTGGGTGGTCTCGCTGCCATATCACCCGCCAAGCCCCCGATTATTTCCCGACCCAGGATCATGGCGTCGAATAAAGACTTGACCACCGCCCGTCGCACTTTGAACTTTCAAAGCTCTCAAGTGGCATCGAAATGGCGACAACAACACAGACTGAGACAAGACAGGCCGATGCCTTTGAGCTCCGTAATTTGGAAAGCCCTGCATTTTTGGCCAACGATACGGAACCTCCGCATTCGTCCAACAAGCCAACCAGGGCTGAGCTATTGAAAATCTTTAGTGCCGGGTTCTCGTTCTTCGTCGCTGGAGTGAACGATGGAAGTATAGGAGCTTTGATTCCCCATATCATCCGAGACTATGATGTCACAACGGCTATCGTCTCATCAGTGTGAGTGACATCCACCTTTTCGAAATCACACTAACAAGATCAGGTATGGTACAAACTTCATGGGATGGTTCTCTGGTGCCTTGTCCAATACTCACCTTTGTCAGGTATTTGACCTTGGGTCAATGCTGACAATTGGTGCCGTTCTCCAGGTTATCGCTCACGCTCTTCGGTCATGGAAACCACCATTCGGGCTCTTTGCTGTGACCTTCTGGCTGGTTAGCTTAGGTCAGGCGTACCAAGATACCCATGGGAATACTTTTGTCGCTGGAGTAAAAGATTCTCATAGATGGCTTGCATTCATCCACGCCATGTACATGGCTGGGTGCTTGGTCGGACCTTTCGTCGCGACGGGTGTTGCTTCTGCTGGAAGCACCTCAAGATGGTATCTGTTTTACACCTTTCCACTCGGTATAGGTGTCATAAACGTAGTACTTGTTGTTTATGCGTTCTGGGACACTCTTGGGATGAAGAAGCAGCAGCCAACCGAGCGAACACTTGAGGCTGACCAGTTACCTGCCTCAAGGAATGAGGATGCTCTCTCGTTAATGAAAGAAACTCTCAAGAACAAAAATGTCTGGCTCATCAGCCTATTCTTCTTCTTCTTCCTTGGAGCCACTCTCACTGCGAGTGGATGGGTGGTCGAGTATTTGGTGGATGTTCGTAACGGCGACATCAATCAAATGGGATTTGTACCGGCCGGGTTCAGTGGAGGATCATTGCTTGGAAGGTTATTTCTCGCTGAACCAACGCATCGCTTCGGGGTTCGTAGGATGATCTTTGGTTTCACCATTATCAGTATCGGGTTGCAACTTCTATTCTGGCTGTGAGTACTCTTCCTTACTTCTCCTCCGTCGCTAACCGGTAAAGGTCCCGAACATCATCGCTGCATCGATCGCCATCAGCCTCCTTGGTTTCTTCATGGGACCGTACTTTGCAAGTGTATGTACTCTACACCCTTTGTTGACTTGACTAACAAATCAGGGCATATCCGTTGGCTCCAAGTCGTTCGACCCTCGTATTAGATCTACGGCTTTGGCGTTTGTGTTTGTGTTCGCTCAGCTTGGAGGCTGTTTGTTTCCAATCATTACTGGTCTGGTAGCGGCGAGTGCTGGTGTGAAGGTTCTGCAGCCTGTTCTTTGTGCCCTTCTGGTGGCCACAGCTGTTTCTTGGTTGTTCGTACCTATGCCCAAAGAGAGCGATAACCCAACACTACATCGGGAGTAGTTTAGAGTTCACAACCTGGGACATGCGTCTGTTTCGTTTTGGTCGATGATTGAGCTTGTTCTAGCTGGTAAAATGTAATCCCAAAGTTCGTATTTGGAATCGTTAGGGTGCTGAAAGGAACATTGAAATGAAGAAACTCACAAGCTTTGAATGTATTGCGAGCGGGTGTTTATTGTGGTTGCTGAACATACCGTCGATGAGTTCTTTCGGTCTCTGGTTGCGGCCGAAGCAGCTGAGTGAGATATAGATCAAAATAACAAAAGCTTCTGCTGGGGTACTCGTCTGGGCAGCCACTCGCTAGAAGTGGAGAGGTTGGCGGTGCGGAGCACAGGCCTTCCATAAATGCGTAGGGATGAGGCTATCCTTTTTGGTATTTTCTGACAAAAGAGGTCTCGGGTTCGAACCGCAGATTGTTGAGCCTTTCTTCTTCTTTTGCTCTATTTTGCATTATCAGTGCATATGAAGAGCGTCCGTGTGTTAAATTCGAACCTCATCTACCGACCTGATTAAATCAATAGCTGTTACAAGCCATCCTGCTGAAAGGAATTACTAGCAAAGGCATCTGGTCCGCTCTCAGGAGCATTTTGCGCAGCTTGAAGGCCTGGTACCTGACAATCTCGTGAAGCGGGGCAGTTGAAGGCTTTGGGTAGATGTTTTGCTTGAGCTTCGACAGCCAGCCCTGGCCAAAGGACTGCTTCATTGGGACTAACGTATGGTATTGGTGTATGAACGGGGTTAGAGTGTTGTTGAATGGCGTCGTTGATCAAGGGTTACCGGACATATCCTTGACGGCCTTGTCGACATGTTGTTGGCGGCCAGTTCTAAGCTGTGAGACAGTCACTGCCGAGGCCAAATAAGTCATCATTTGTCCCAACATTCACATCAAAACCGGCGGTAATATGCTTACATAATCCCATGTCTGTCTTGTCTCTCGGGGTTGTGCGCACTTGAACAGTTTCCGAACTAGTATGATCGCCGGGGAGTCCCACCTTGGCAGACACGTTGCCAACGATCGACCTTGCCCTCTTTTGTAGACCATACTGATGTAATTCAGTATCTATGGCGTCACCAGATCGAAAAATTCTGAAAGACACGTCTCCATAGAAAGAGTGATGTTGGGTTGTTACTTTTTACTTCCTCGTTATCGTATATGGAGAGAAGTATCGGACATGTAGAAACAGGGTGCTAGAATTTCTCAATCACAGATGAGTGGATGAGGTTCAATCTCTTTGTAATCATTGCCGTCGAAGTGGTCGCCCAGGACTCTACTTGTTTCCCAGCTGGAGCCCAGATCGGTGTACACGACAGCAGCAAAGGCAATCTTGCACGATTGCTGAAGTAGTTACCTAGATGATCGAATATGGAAGAAAGGACTTCCGGAGCTTTGTTAGGGTGGCCTCAAATAATAATTTGGTGCTCGCTGATGAGGACACTTGCACAGATTGTCGGAATCCACCGACAAGAACATTGGAAAGTCACTCTGCGTCGAGGTATTCAAAGTTGAAGGAATAAAGGCCGGCACGCCGAATTTGTCAATATGAGGTCGGGTTGGAAATAGCTGTTTAGCGCCGTGTCAGTACTGTCTTGGGGCGTGTCAACCACCATTTTGGGTTCAGGTATCGACGGCCAACCGAGAAACGAATGATTTTTGTGCAGTTGGCCAGGTCGAAATGGCTACTGCATACCTTGACCGGTTTGCAAACTCCAACGGGTTCAGAAGAACGAGAAGCCGCAATGGAAGACGCCGTCTCGAACAGTTGCTCCTCAGCGACTATGATGGAACTTCTAACGTCTTCCAAATTGTAGATCGTCCGTTCCGCCCCGGCTGGCTTCATGCGATGATCTTGATTCTCTGGTTGCTAACCGATGCGACCAAGAAATTCAACCGCCGTTTCTAGGGGATTACCAAGGTCTGTCTAGTTGAGCTCGGGTAGCGAGGAATTTATGATGAGGGAGTGGCCGGGATTTCACCTTAGATGGCTGTCTATCGAACTCTGTATGGATCAGCCTTTGATTGAGTTTGTGACAGCAAGTCGAATGCTGTATCTAGCCATTGCTCAGGGAAGACCCCTACTTTAGAGTTTCAGAGTAGTCTTTGTGGTCTATGTCAAGAACTCACATATTCCTCTTTGAAATACCACCAGTGAGGAACGAGGGAAGAGTCGAGCCGATGAGTTGGTGAAGTATTCACTGCAATATCAGTCGAAACATGGAGACAGCGCCATTTAAGGTTCCTGGATCGACCAGCGTTTGAAAAAACAGAATTATGCCTTCTTATCCATCTACTTCATCCGAAATTGGACCGAGCGGGAACAATAAAGTGGCATCCTTCGAAATATCAGAGGGTTGCGAGATGAATCTCTGCAGTTGAGGAGGATTGCTGCTACAATACGCTCAAATGAGATATCTTGATCGGAGAACGTAGTTGCGATTGTTCATCGAGTCTGATGTAACAAGTTAGCGAATGTTTCATGATGATTGACATTCAAGCGTACACATTCCGCATCAACGAAGAACCCGGTTGAATCCTCCGGTACAGGCCGGTTGCGGTTGACGATAGGGCTATCAATTGTTACATTCTCGTCCCTCTTTGGACTTACACCGTCCGAAGACCGAAAATGATAGCCACGATGGTATCGTCTAGCGAACTTGGCAAAGGCTCCGAAGCCGGACATACCTAGCCATCAACTTTCAGGGTGATGAGAATAGCCTTGCCGGTGAGCGTATGTGGTGATCAATCAGGTATTCGGGAGGAGATGAATCGGCTAGGTGAGCTGACCAGTGTGAAAGTTCTACTTTTCTCTCGCGGCGTAATTCCAGGTAGGTTATCACCGCATCACTATCCCATCGATCACTGTGGGCGGGACAAGCTGATTGGGAGAGTTCAAGAGGGGTGCAGCCTAGTCACTGACGGATTCTGATTGAAGTCTCGTAGTTAAATACCTAAGTGATGTTAGTTTCAGCGTAATTGGTGCTCATGATTCCAGCATCTTTCCACCGTCTGCATTAAACTTGCAGAAATGGATATACCCTTGTGGCTTGACCTCCGCACCATGAAAGCCCTCGTCGGCGACCAAGAGGTGTTCTATTGTCGTTAGTGAAGAGAGGTGGTCTGATAAACAGCGCTTGAGAACAACAGACGTTCGAGTGCTACTGTGGCCCTTTTCGAGCCCGAACAGTACCCAGTACATAGTTGTTAAGCTCGATGCGTTAGTCGATAGAGATAAGTGGCCCTCCACGTAGAGAGGATGCGTTCTCACTTACCAAGTCGTCATGTGCAAGATTGAATACAGACCCGGGCGAAGCCCATATTTTGCGTTCAAGATCCACTGAAGAAATTCCGTAATGGATTGAAAAAGGACAAGGAGAAGGTGGGTTTCTGATGAAATTCTTTCACAAGCGCAGCGGTCGAGTCCCTTAGGTTTCTCGGGAGGACACGAAACAGCACCAACAGTTCATGGTTAGTTGACAATACAGAGATCATCTGTTGTGAGTGGAAGGGTGTGTTACAAGAGGAAGAGATGAGCGCTTCTTTAAAACGTAAGGAAGGGAGCCTGGACGTGCGGGTAGGTAGAGGAAGGAAGTGAGCGCCTGGTACATCGGGCCGCACTTTCGAAATTCTCAATCATACATAACACCCCATGGCTGGCCGGTCGAACCTGAGGTATTCATAGTGTGGATGGGACTTATGGCAACAGGCAAAATTGTTTCAATGAAGTCCTTTGTCCAAGAGAGAAGTATGTGCCGTGGTTGTGGAGGAGTGATGATCGTATTGTCAAGGCAAGCCGACGCACATTCCGGTTTAACCAGTGTCAACGTGGATGAGGAAGGATCCGCCCACACAGGGTCCTCCCCCCTGTCCTACCTTCTTCCTTACCTATAGATTCGAGTATCGTTGGATCGTAATATCTCCACGTCAGATAGCATCAAAGAAGGGGACTCGTACAATTGCATCAGCTTAATGATCAGGCACGTCCGAAAGTGTATCAGATATAGGTAGACTAGGGGCTACCTTGACCTTGGTTTCTTTGGAATTCGTTCTTCACCTCATTTCCAAGTCCCTTCTTTCTCCAATTCCCACTTACTCCGGCTTCCTCCCCTTCCCCATTGGGTTACCGAATGATTAGACTCGTCGCTGATTGATCCAGTCCGCTGACACCCGCAGCTTCAATTGTCTTCCTTCTCCAAATTGACTCGGTATCCAACAAGTTCGAGCTTCTTCACAACCCTATCACTTCCCTTGCCAGACTCTGTAAACACAAAATGGTCATGAGACAAGAGCTGGTACACAATACAATCCAACGACGCCCAAGTGTTGCAGGTTGCATCGGGCCAAACGAACATCGCATTTTCTTCTTCAATTGCCTCGGCCGACCCAATAAGGAACATCATGCGCCAAGATGTTTCTGTCTCGCTTTCAAGGCCGGTGGGATAAAGACGGAAGCGAACTTCTCCCGGAGGAGTCGGGAAAACGGGAGGCAGGCCGAAGCTCTGGTATGTCTTGGCGATGACAACTCCTCTGACGATCCAGTTTGTGATGCTGAATCCAGGCTCGTCGTCGACAGAGAGTGTCAAGGTACTGTTGGTCTTGGGATCAGAATATGTACCCCCGTAGATCTTGTCCGCTTCGTCCTTTCCAGCCTCTTCAATTGCAGGCAGTAACTCTTTAACAATGTTTGAGAACAGCAGTGATAGGAGACCTCCACTTGTCTCTTCCATCGGGCCACCGGTAAGAAGACTGACAGTCAGATTAAAGTCGGGAATCAGTACTAGAAGCGAATGGTAGGTAGTAATATCGCCGGCTTTGGTGTAAAATTCAACAACTCGATTGTCTTTTGTGACGTTTGTCGAGCGGAATATCTCCCAAGGTTCGCCAACGAAGATTCCTGCTGATGAAGTACCTGTCGCTGGCTTTAACCACTTTCGTGTCTGTACAGCACTAAGTTGTTCATTCTTGAGGACAGAATCTCCAAAAGCCATGATATCATTCAAGGAGGTATAATAAACACCGGCACTGCAATTGGTAAGCTCAGCACCTTGTATCGAGGGGTAACTCACGGATCACCATAACCAAGGGTTGCATTCCACCAGACATCGTTCAAAGCCACAAACCCGAGAGAACTATCGGGTTCCTCGTAAAATGTGTGATTCATTCCGGTGGGGTCCCAGATGTGTTTCTTGATGAACTCCCCAGAGGGCAGACCACTGACCTTTTCGATAACCCATCCCATGATAGCCCAACCAACGTTTGAGTAAACGGTGTTTGCTGCGTATGGTGCATAAACTGGAGGTCTCTCGCCAAATCGTCTGAAGAAGTCTGTAAATGTTAGCTCTGGGTAGTCACCAATGAAGGGAGATCTACCAGACTTGGTGCATTCTGGGATACCTAGAATGCCAGAACAGTTGAGACTTCTGGATGGATCAGCAGGGGGAAAGCCAAGTTTTGTCCAGTCACCATAAGGTTCGACATCAGTGGCCACTAAAACAATTAGCAAGTATTCAACCAAGAGCATGATTCAACGTACGATCAGCTGGAATACCACCAAGATGAGATGTCAAAGCACGGACAGTAACAAGATCCCAGTCAACCGCCCAGACTGGGTCTCGCTTTCGGGCTTGTCTACTCAAACTTCGTAGCTCAGGCACGTATTTCGTAACAGGAGCGTCAAAGTCGACTTCGTGTAGCTTCAACAGAGCAAGGACAGGGAAGACCTTGGACAAACTGGCCATGCGAAAGACAGTGTCCGAATCCACCTTGTGCACCCCTCGAGGGTCAAACTTTGGTGGAGTATTGGCGAACTCAAACATGTAGTCATCCTCATTTGGAGATTTCACAGCAACGGTTACAGAAGATTCGTTCCACTCAGATGTAGTGTCTTCCAACAGCCTTTGGATGACCTCCACTGCAGACTTGACCGAGGGATGAGAGCTGGGGCGCAGAGGTGCAGGCAGGACAGGTCCAAGAGGTGGACAATGACCCCCACGGGCTGCAAGAGATGTCCCAACAAAGAGTGAGAGATAGAGATATTGTTGAAGTACTTTCATATTGTTTAATTGTGTTGATGCTCGATAATCAGACAACTGTATCACTTGATCTTCGGATGAACCGATTTATACTCTTTGGGCGATTTATGTCCGACGGGGTTAACGTCGACCGCTCAACCGGCTGAATACATCTCTGAATCACGATGATTCAGTTTATTGCTTACTTCCCAATACTTCCTGTCATGAGGGTTGTGTGGTCAGCTTATGGCTTGCGGTTGACTGATTACGCGTCAGATCGTCGAAGCGAACGGCCAGATTGGGAACGATAGATGTACTGAAGGAGAATTCTCGTTCGTTGGAGTAGGCGTTTAGACGCGAGAGCCGATCATCACAGCTCAATCACCAACATATGAGTAAGCTTGTGATCAGTCCTGGCGAAATAGCGTCAGCTTTGGGGATCGATTGGTTAGCTGACTGCTTGGTGGCGAACACTCTAAGACATGCCTTTGCCTGTTCCAATCAAGCCTCTCGGATATTTTATGTAACATTCGCTTAGAAATATACAGAAGCTTAGAACAAGTTACTTTCAAAAGTTCTTTACACACGGAATATTTCTTACAGAGAAATGGGACGCTGTCATACGGACATGCGGCAAGCGGTGTTTCCTCCATTCCATGTATTTCGTACGACTTAACATTCCTCAGCTTTCGCTTTTCCTTTTATTTCCTGATACAACGAAGCTCGGAGTATAAGCATATATATCATATAGTAGTTCATTTCCCAGAAGGAAGATCCTTGATTGCAATGCGATTATAGACTAACCAACAATACCGTGAGCAGGCAGTTCGCTTTACTCTTCCACTTTCCGCCAATGACTGATTAACCTTATTTTTGACCCGACCAAAATAATTAAGATCAGCAGGTGGAGGCCACATTCCTTTTGAGTTACAGGATACACAACGCCCTCGAAAGGTTTTCTCTTTCTAAAGGCATGGTAGTAGGTTATAATACTTTTGAATTAAATGGACATCAAACACGTAAGTCTCACTGTAAAATCTCCTTGCAGTTCGTGCCCAAATCACGTGCACGTCATACAAGCTACGTTAGCTGCGACAACTCTAGGCATCCATGATCTAGAGAACCACATTTCAATCATCAACTCTATATACTTATAATATCGCTACTTTCATCCGCAAAATGGATGACGCTCCAAAAATCCCTAAGTTCGTTGTTGATCTCTCCCTGCCACCCGAAAGTCGCTATAACCACATTATTCCGTATTTTCGAGACTCTGTGACGGAGTGTAACCTCCCTTCTCTATTCGATGAACTCCTCGAAAGTATCGCGGGGCCTCGTTATGGCAAGGCCCTGGCTACTGTTGCGCGATATACCCTTCGGCACGTCCACTCTGCGGAAGAGACAGCTGAATTGACCGGCATCTCACGTGCAATCGGCATCCCAATGCACATCCTCGTAGCCTTCAATGTTCTGCTGGATCTTCTACTAGGATGTACGAGTGGAGGTGTGCGCACTTTGTTCACGGGTTCGAGTGGACGATCCACTCGTATACTGCATTTTCGCACGCTAGACTGGGGAATGGAACAACTGCGACAGATTATCATTGAGCTGGACTTTGTGCGCTTCACCGGAGGGCCTGTCATCGCTACAGCAGTGACCTATCTCGGCTATGTCGGGGTATTGACGGGCGTGAGAAAAGGATTGAGCATGAGTTTGAACTTTCGCCCATACCATGCACAAGACACGGATTGGCAAAAGTTCTCGTTTCGATGGAATCAAGCGATGGTCGTGCTTGGGTTTAGGCAATCCATCTCGAGCACCCTGAGAAATTTCCTGCTGGATCCATCTTCAGATTCAGACCAACAGCCTGGAAAGTCCCAAGAGACAAATATCATCTCCGACTCGGTCTCGGACCAATACGTAGAAAACGTGTTGACAAAACTTTCGACATCCAACTCAACAGCCGCGTATCTTATCTTTTGCCAGCCCAATCGCATATATATCGTTGAGAAGGACAACAAGAGTGCGAACATTCGCGAATCCGACACTTTTCTCACTGCCTATAACCATGACGCGAAGGATGAAGAGGATCCCTCACGATTGCAGGAAGCCGTAGCCACCCTGGCCGAAGGGGAAGATGCAACCGGTATGGCGGATCTCGTGGGACTGTCCCTGAGTAGGAATCATCATCTTCAAGGACATTGGCGGAAACGGGTTCGTGCATGCCAAAGGAGATACAAACAACGGGGTGATGTTGTGACTATGTCGGACGTGATCGGGTTCCTAGAACATGAGGAGATAAGTAACCCCGAGACGCACTACGCAGTCATCATGGATCCAGAGGAGGGAAAGGTGATATGGCGGAGACAATATGAGGTTGAGAGTGAATCGGGTAGTGAGGATTCGTCATTAATCGCAGAGGGAGTGTGAATCTACCAGATGCGCCTTTCAGAGAATGTTGTGTCCTACACAATAGAATTGTATGAAGAAAACTACAGATCCAAGGATTAGTATAGCTTCATCAGCCCAAAGCTTTCAATGGCCATATATACATGTGTGTATACTGAATGTAAGGAATATCCAGCGCAAAAAGAAATAGCAAAAGAATTGGTTATAGTCAGCAGTGTTCCACTGATTTAACAACCCTGTCGTGTCCGTACTCCGAACTAGATGATCGTTGTTGTATACCTGAGTTTGAAACTTGCATCGAGGAAACGATATTTTCGCCTTCAAAGGACCTGAATAACTAACATCAACCGCTATCAACACCAACACATCAACCACAGCAGCTTACATTTATCGATCGAATTTTGACTGTCATTCATGGTGAACGGAACAAATTGATAATAAGGGTTCAAATCGATGCTAATCTAATTATGCCAAATAGTGATCCAAATCCCCAAGAGACTGAACCGATGAAATGTACAGTGGTCGCAACGGAACAATCTAAACAGCCATGGCGGCAATGATGCCAGCAATTCCAGCAACTCCGAGGATATCGGCACCCATAGTAGGGGCAGCGCCCTTGGAGGTCTTGGTAGAGCCGGTCTGGCTAGCCTTGGCGGTATCGGTGGATGTCTTGGTGGTGGTAGAGTGGTCACCGGTCCTAACTTGTTAGTATGAGGGTGATAGCCCGGGCAAAGAAACATACTTGGTGGAGGTGTGAGTCTCGGTGGTGCTGGAAGCGGCCAAAACAGGGGCGGCAATGAAAGCAGCGGCGAGGAGGAAGTTCAGCTTCATGGTGAAGGATGGTATTGGTTGTTGGAAGGTTGTTAAAGAGTGAAGTTATTGCGAGTGAGTGAGTGGTTGATAATTCTGGAATGAAGGCTTCTGGAGGACCTTTTTATACTGGAGGGCATCGTGAATGTTTATGAGTTTCTATTACAGGATAGAGTTATACGATGCTATTGTGCTTGTAATTGGCTAATGCGTACTCCGGCATTTCGTTGCCGTATCCTCCCACACAAACCCACAGTGGCCCTCACTAGCCTCTCATCACGGCCCGAGCTACGACATGCAACAGCTGTGGCTTGAAACAGAAACAACCGACCGAGGCAAAGGATACGAGATTCCGCCTCGAATCTTCAATCACACCACGAGAGATGACGCGGCAATGATATGAGCTGGATATTGAAGGCTGACTGCGCCTCGCCACGCGTTGGTTCACTGGCCACTAATTGATGCCGTATTATCCAGCGGTCAGCAATATTCCATCTTTTTGGAAATCGCCGCGGTCTCGAACCTGTCTGTCAAAGGATAGATCCAATCAAGATGCACGCGCTTTGATGTATTAGTTCATAATTACGGTCATCCGGCAGGTTATAACCGAGTCGAAGATCCTCAGAATCCCAAGACCAGCCAATTGGCCAGAGCGTAGCTGACCCCAGACAACAGCCAATGTACTAAACTAGCTTCATTGAAAACATGCAGGTACATGATGTCATATTACTCTGGATAGAAGAATTGGATAGCTTCAGGGTAGTTTTGTTGGAGAGTGAATCAAGCTTGGAAGTATGCTTCATAGACTGCCTCATGCGAGGTCCCGTAGAGGTCGGCCAAAGAAAGTCAATGAAGCTTACAACTATGCTTATCGACTTTGAATGCGAGAGATCCAGGCTCATGCAGCTGTGAAGCTTAACCATTGAGGCTGCGTATAGGGGAATTCTTACTCGACCGAAAGTCGAGCTCATCATTCACTTAACAACAGATCTATTTCATTAACAAGATTTCATCGGGGACAAAGCTTGGACTGTGAGCTCGGAAATTAGGAGGGCTTTTTCTGTATGGAATATGCCTTGGCCATAGTGTTATGTGGTGGCTATGGCTCCTGATACAACTACTAAAACGAATCCTTTCAATACGAAGGCAACCACTTATCATGGGTTTGCCGCTGCGAAGACGGATTGCGCAAAATGACATGGTTCTTAGTCAATGGCGTCCAGGTCAAGGTCAATTGATACGCGTCGCCTTCTCTCTTCCTTAACTGGCGTGTATTAGTTTGAATGCTCAGATGCAGATTGAAGTCATTCGTAAGCAAGGAAGAAAGTGTGAGTCGGACTAGACAGGGATATCCTACAGGTTTGCATCAAATACGCAGAGTCCAATCAAAACCGGGTATTGATGGAACAGACTTTCACCGTATACGCACAAGACTACATGTTCCCGTCTAACGTCTGACATGCTCATGAATCTTTAACTGTAAAGGCTATAATATGTGTCGAGTGTAGTTCTGGAGAAGCCTAAATTGGGTAGCATCCACTGGGCCACGTCACGGATGCGTTATGCTTGATTTTGTGCAAGCCACATATTATAGCATAGCCTAGGTAAGGCAACAGATAAACAAAGTTCCTTGACTGATATATTGGTGCAAAAGCCAGAGTACAATCATCAAGTCTAACTAAATGTAAACAGTGCCAACGAGACGTTTGATACTACTTTGGCAGCTTACTCCGCCGGCAATACGCGTCTCATTGTCGCTAAGAACACTTGGAGTTTGTGAATGTCTTCCCTTTCCGACCTTCGCCGAGAACGGGATCGCTAATACGAGTAGCTCTTAAAGTCTTGAATTTACTGAGTATTTGCTACCATTTCTCATACATCGTCTTATACAAAGCATCGCAGAAAAGCGTTATAGCTCTTGACCCAGCCTCGAGCACCGCATCCATAGCTATGAAAGGATGCGGCTGACCCTTCATGACATTAAGCTCTGCCTTAACCCCTGCATCCTCTAACTTCTTTGCAAATTGCTCACCCTCTGTTCGAAGTACATCTAACTCTCCAACGACAAAACACGCAGGTGGTAGTTTTGAGAAGTCTCCCTCCCAGAACAGAGGGCTGGCTTCCGGATGGCCCCAATCCTCTTTGTTTGGAAGATAGTGGTTACGGTACCAGAGCATCTTGAGGGCGGGGAGGGCTGGGGTGTTTTTATTCTCTTTCCATGAAGTGTTGTTTGTTGTGTCAGCTGTGTTGTCCATGACAGGTACGGAGAGAAGCTGGAGCGAGAACTTAGGTGATCCTCTGTCGGCTGCTCTTTGGCACATAATTGCTGCCAGGTTAGCTCCAGCAGACGAACCTCCTGTTGTTTAGTTAGTAACTTGCTTCACAGCCCAGTCCCTTCATCTGCGGTCATGACACCAAAACTCAGACGGATTGAAATCAGTCTCAACATACCTGTCGCCAGTTTTGAAATGTCCAATCCAAGGATCTCCTTTCCTTGGTCCAGTACCCAGAGAACAGCCTCCCAGGAATCATGTACCGCAGCTGGAAAAGGGTCTTCTGGCGCCAACCTATAATCAACAGCCACAACCACGCATTTTCCCCGCGCGCACAGATGCGATGCGATCACGTTCTCAGTAGCGATCGTGCCCAAAACCCAACCGCCTCCATGGTAGTAGATGCAAACAGGCCATCCGTTCGTTGGTTTATCGCCCTCGGGCGTAAAGCAGCGAACGTTCACGTCAGGGCCCTCGCTTTCCTTTCGTTTGACGGCATAGTCTACCGTGCTGGCAACGGGCTGCAACGGACCACTTCCTGGGATGAGGACTCCGCTGGTACGCGATGCTTCAACTGGCTGTAGATGAACCTGCTGTTTATCTATGATATGTTTGTTGTAGAAGGCAGCATACTCGGGGTCGATGCGGCTGGCCACCGATTCGTGGAGGGGATATGAGGGGTTGCTCATCTTGCTGATGTCCTCGTTTCAAGTCCAGATTGGAGATGACAGTTTGTGAAGTTGACTGATTGAATGATAGGCAGATAAAGAGCGCTGAGATTAGCTGGACTTTAGTAGCACCTATCTTGGTGGAGTATCTCCGGATGCTGATGTAGTTACCGCCGTCCTTATCGGGCTGCCGAAACCGGGCATCCGGTGGAGACTGAGGAGTCGCGGGATCGGAAGTGTCACGGAGTATTTCAGACAATGGATAAGATCTTCGGTTTGTGTGAGTCCGTGTGCTTATCTTAATCATACTGTACATGTATCTTAATCCAGTGAAACCAAGGCTTATCATGTCACCGTAGCATGAGCATTGACGGATGCAAGGATTCATCTCACTATCTCGACTGGCGATAGGCGCTTGATGAACGCCGAGGTCTCATTGATTCACTTCCTGTAATATGTAACCCCAGAATCTTATTGCCAATCAAGCAAGCGATTACAATCTCACCCCGCATTCAGTCTAAAGAGTTGGTATTTTAGTGCCATGCCAAAGAATATAGATGTGATATTAGAACCTTTCTCAGCTTATTTCCTACACTGTCACAACGGCACTCTTGAAAATAATCCTCATTCCGATTCCAGTTGTCGCCATGGATCCCAAAGACGTCAAGGACCACAAAGACAATGCCAGCATCGACGATACCTTCGCCGAAGGCACTCAGGAAGAAACAGCACGCGTCGTCGACCACATCGCTGAGCGTCAACTATGCCGCAAATTTGATATTCGCTTGATGCCTGTCCTGGCCATCATGTGTGCGTTCAGGGAGCCACATACCGAACCAATTCTCCTAGCTCTAATCATTCTCTAGATCTCTTCAATGCGTTGGACAAAGGAAATTTGGGAAATGCGCAGACCGCTGGTCTAAGTGACGGTATGAGAACTTATCTGAAGACGGTAATCTGGACTAACAACAATAGATCTCAATTTCAAGCCCAACCAATACAACCTTTTGGTCTCAATCTTTTTCGTCCCCTACGTCATATTCGCTCCTCCAGTCGCCATCATGGGCAAGAAGTTCGGCGCTGCTAGAGTCCTACCCATCCTGATGTTCACCTTTGGATCCATGACTCTTCTGGCAGCTTGTGTGCAGAATTTTGGCGGTCTCTTTGCTCTACGATTCTTCCTCGGTATGGCAGAGTCCGGCTTCTTTCCGCTGGTCATTTACTACTTGACTACATTTTATCGCAGAGGTGAACTAGCTCGGCGTCTTGCTGTTTTCTACGCCGCATCCAACATTGCCAATGCCTTTGTATGTTATCGCTATCCATCGAATCTACCTGTACTAACAGCGGCAGAGCGGCCTTTTGTCATTTGGCGTTTTCCAGATTGAGTCCAAAATGTTTGTTTGGCGATACTTGTTCATCATCGAAGGTTCCGCTTCGGTCCTCTTCTCTACCTTTGCTTTCTGGTATCTTCCTCGCTCCTCTGCAGAAGCCAAGTTTCTTGGCGAGGAGGAAAAAGCATTGGCATTTCATCGCATGCAAGTCGATTCTTCATCCGTTGTGCAGGAAGAGTTCAATTTGAAAGATTCTCTGAAAGTCTTCACGTACCCAACAACATATTGCTTTCTCATGATTGAGATCTGTCTCGGTGTACCGATTCAGTCCGTTGCACTTTTCATGCCCCAAATTATTCAGAGACTAGGGTACGGTACGGTCAAGACAAATCTCTACACTGGTAAGTAGCGGTCTTATTCTTTGTGGCATTCTTACTGATACGATGTTTAGTTGCCCCCAACGTCGGTGGAGCTGTCATGTTACTTATTCTGGCTTTCAGCTCTGATTTCCTACGAATCCGTTTTCCATTCATCATGCTTGGGTTCGCATTCACCTTTATTGGCTTTATCATTTATGCCGCCATCTCAGACGTTCAAGCTCAATTACAGTTGGCCTATTTCGCATGCTTCATGATGGTATGGGGCACTTCGGCACCATCAGTCCTCCTCTCGACGTGGTATAACAATAATCTGGCACACGAGGGCAAACGAGTGGTACTCACGTCAGTAGGAGTCCCTCTAGCCAATCTAATGGGTCTGGTATCAAGCAACATCTTCCGTGAGAGCGAAAAGCCCAAATACCCAACTGCTCTTATCACGACTGCCTGCTTTGGGGCTTGTGGATGCCTTATTGCGGGTCTTTTGGGTGGATTCATGGCTTTTGATAACATGCGGAGGAATCGCAAAGCAGGGAAAAAGACCACAGCAGCGGACATTCCCACCCAGCGTCTCCGCGACGGGCCTTCAGTACCCGAATTTCGGTGGTTTTTGTAAGCGTGGGAAAGACACGATACGATAAGCGGGGATCGGCGAAAGCGGGGTTATAAAATGACGCACTGTGCAATTCACCACTACGTTACTTCGATTGTTCAAGGTAACGTGGTGAAGCTGCAGATCATCAGTGGAATATTCCGGATGTCAATAGTGGTACCGAAGGATCATCTCATATCTACCAATATCATCTATCTCTGACTAAGTGAATCGCGCGCGGATAAGCTTACGATCGATCAACAGCTACAAGTAACACGAAACACCATTGTTTTCAGCCTCAATCTATCGAAATCCGATTCAATCAGTCCATCGCCAAAATGTACTCTCTCAAAGTGGGCGACAGCCTCGAGAGTCTCGACACTCCATCCATGATTGTCGACCTCGATGTTATGGAAGCCAACATCAAGAAGCTGATGGACCGCCTTCTTCCGACTGGTCGAAATATCCGACCTCATCTCAAAACTACCAAAAGCGCCATCATCGCAAAGAAACTTGTTGCTGCCGGCGCCAAGGGCGGTTGCGTGGCAAAGCTCAGCGAGGCCGAAGCTATTACTGCCGCTGGTTTCACAGACTTGCTCATCACCTGCGAGATTGTTGGTCCGGCCAAGGTTGCGAGGCTAGTGGAGCTGTTCAAAAAGCATAGGAGTCTTAGGATAGTTGTGGACAGCGAGGTGGCTGCTACGGCCATCAATGATGCACTAGAAAAGTCGGGTATTGAGGACCCTATCGCAACATTGATAGATCTGGATGTTGGATTACACCGTACAGGCGTCAAACCTGAGGGAGCTCTACCTTTGGCACAGCATATCGAAGACTTGAAGCACCTACATCTCATTGGTATTCAAGGTTACGAGGGTCACCTGCAACATCTCCATGACTTTGAAGACCGCAAAACGCAATGCCTTGCATCGATGAAGACTCTAACCGAGACGGCGCAATCGCTGAAGGATAAGGGTTACAATATTGAGGTCGTCACAACTGGCGGCACGGGCACAGCCGATTTCTGTGCTACAGTCCCAGGAGTAACGGAATTGCAGCCGGGATCATTCATTTTTATGGACACAGATTACCGAAATGCCATTGGCGCATATTACTCCCACAGCCTATCTATTCTCGCTACAGTCATCAGCAAACAGGGCGAGCGACAGGTCACAATCGACACTGGACTTAAGACCTTGACCACAGATAGCGGGCTGTCAGAGTGCAAGGATAAGAGATATAAATATGATCAATTGGGCGATGAGCATGGGTCACTCGTTTGGGAAGAGGGAACACCAGAGCTCAAGATTGGAGACAGGGTTGAGATGATACCCAGCCATATTGATCCGACTGTGAATCTCCACGACGTCTATTATGCCTACCGTAACGGGATAGTGGAGGAGATCTGGCCTGTTGATTCACGAGGAAAGGTTCAATAATAGGTAGTGGCATCTGAATGACAGAATTTGGTTATATCGCAGGAATGAAATTCCAGTGGTAGTTCTAAATAGCTCTAGTTACCTCAAATATTGAATTTGGAAATACTAGCTTTGCGGATATTTTCCAACAGTCCAGCACATAGGAGTACCTATACAGCGTGTTTCAAATAAGCCTGCTTATATCACACCCCTTATAGTATAAAATGCACTCTATGCTGTGGGCTGTGGCTAATGCCCTGGTTTCTCCGATTCCATAGCTACCAGATATTTTACTGTAGTAAATGATATCTTGAAGAATAAAGACAGTTAATTATTATTTATGCAATATTATATAAATATTGAGAGTTTAGTATAGTTCTTGAAATATTGTATAGAATAAAAACACTCTCTTATGGGTCATGAATAATAAAGAATAATTAAGTATTTGAAAAAAGATTATATTAAAATACGCTTAACTTTAATATCAAGAGGTAATAACAAGGCACTAAACATATTTTGGGGTCTGGTGACTTATCCGCCAACGTGGCTTAATGAGCTTGGTTAAAATGGGGTCTTCAATGATTGTCGTCTAGCCTGGCAACGAGGATGTAATGGTAATCTGCATTAGCAAGCAGCACCATCAACGACATTATTCATTCAATGGAGTGAAAAAGAAAAGTCACACCACACACAAATGCACATTTGTTCCCATCAAATCAAATCACAACATCAAGCACACCCTGCAGACGGCTGAAATTAGGCTGAGCTCCCTTATCCTCTAAGATGCAAATAATGACATTCCCTCACCTCCCCCGGGCGCAAGCCTGATGCGACAATCCAATACTGTGACGATTGGTGTGTTTCACTAGGCATACTTATGCGACAAGGGATCGAGGCGGAGAACCTAAATGACCGGGCAGCCTCATTTGAAATCTTATTAAAGCACCAAAACAGGGGATCGTGGCTCTTTAATTCTTGAAGTCTATAACTCTCTTTTCCATCATGTTGATATATGTATTTCTAGTAGCTACGTCCACTCTCGCTCAAGGCAGAGCTGCACCAAGTTGCCAACTTCCCACCATCAGACTCCCTTTTGGCAATTGCAGTTTCCCGACTGCCGACCAAGGACGTGTCTACTCTACGGGAATACTGCTCGGTGCCGGCCCATCGGACAGATTCTGCGGAATGGTGAGCACCGTTGTGAATTCGTCACTGATACAAACCAGCAATGTGTGCTCTGAGGAATGGCTCAACGTCACGTCAGCTGGTGTCGAGATGACTGAGGAGCAATGCTTATCTCGGAGAGGAGGGTTTCTTCTAAGAGATGATTTACCAGAAGCATCCTCTGTCGTCCGCTCAAGCCTCTCAGATCTTAATCCTGGTTGGGTCAATATCACTAGGAACGATACAAAAGAGCCATTTCGGTATACAGAAGAGTTTGAACTAAAGATCAAGGATAACTCAGTCACGATGATTGGAGGACTTATCACCCAAGGACAACAACATACGATGAGCCATATCGGGCTGGCAGAAACCTCAACTCTACTTCAGTCACTAAAAGATGAGGGGTTAATTGCCGCAAGATCCTGGGGGCTCGACTCTGGTTCGCAAAGCGTTGCGGCCCCAAGAAATGGCAGCTTGGTTCTAGGAGGTTACGATGCTTCCAGCTTTGATGGAGGTTGGACAACCTTTCCGATTTCTAGGTCAAACTTGGTCCGGAAACGCCATTGCCCTCTTCAGGTTTTAATTACCGAGATGACCTTTACCGTTCAAGTTGGTGATAGCAAGGAACAGACGGAGACGCCAGTGAGTGGATCAAATGCACTCATTGCTTGCATAGAACCGTAAGTTCTGCGATGCCCATCCAGCTTACCTAGGAGCCTTTGAATAACAACTCTCGTAGATATGACAACAAGTTTAGATTCCCCAGTCATGATATCAAGTACCTCAAAGAAATGCTCGGCCATGAGAATTCTCTCGTTGATCCTCAGGAACCAGGGCTCTATAATATTGAGCCTAGCCTTGTATATGACTCATCGACTAAGATGAACATCTCAATAAGCTTCACTATCGCCAACGGATTATCAGAGTTGATAGTGGAGATACCTTCACATGAGCTCGGTGAGATTATGTCCACTGCTGCCGAGACGGTCGAAAATTTCAATACTAACAGTTACTTGTTGCAGTACGGCCTCTGCGAGGACTTGATCCAAAGGGACGTCCGATTGCCAATTCAAGCTTTACTGAGGTACAGGTATTTGCAGAGGAAGGTGTACTAGACGGACCAGTACTTGGCAAAGTCTTTCTCTCTCAGGTTAGAACCTCCCACAAACTTGAAAACTACTGACTGACCATGGGTAGCTCTACTTATTTGTTGACTACGAGAACTCGACATTCTCTCTCGCACCACAAAACACAGGTGGATTTTCCGTTGATGTAAAATCGTCGGGATCATGTCCGTCCGAAGAATCTTTAACAAAGACAGAAAAGGGCCTGATTGCTGTTGGGGTTGTTTTAGGAGTTGTGCTTCTTGGGCTAGGAGGCTACTTTTCTTACCGAATTTGGAAGTTACCTTTAAAGAACAAGGAGCCCAACCGGGAACAAGGAGATTCTGATGAGACTGACTCTGCCCCGAGAACTCCCCCGATTTCCAACGCCGACTTTGACTAGAGACAGTCAGACTCAAGAAAGAAATTGACCGGCAGCCAAAGTCTCTGGACAAGTGAAAAATGAACGGAAACGGGCGATGGTTAGTCTTAGGAGTGGAGTGAGGAATAATGGAGGAATAAATGTAGTGTCGTCTTTCCCTCGTGACAATTCACCGTCTGTTGTTGTGGGCAGGCGGTCTTTAATCAACTCCTCAACTTTTTCCACATGTCACAGTTCTTTGATAACCCTGACTTCGGAATGAACTAAATTCGGTGTGCGAGTGTAGCCCAACGCTCAGTAACCATGCATAATGATGAGAGAGGCTTCTCAGGCGGTACTACGTAAAACAAACAAGCAACTCTCGATTCATCATTAGCAGCCTGCCGTGGTGTCCCAACTCACGACTCATTGGATACATAACAGCACAGCCACCCGGTCTCGACCAAGGTCTTAAGTCATGGGACAGAATAGAGCTAGCGCCCCTCAATGTGCAACTGTTGATATAAGAGGACACAACACCCTTCAACTCTCCTCAGGCTTCTCAGCTAGAGTTACCCCGCATCCATCGTAAGATGAGCACCACGCTTCTGCCAGGATGGATCCCCTTTCAATCATAACTACAGTGTTTGCTCTCTGCTCTGCTGTACGGCATTTAATCGCGGTTGGGGGTCGATATAGAGACGCGGGAAAGACCATCGCCAACATCAAGAAGGATTGCAACAAAACCCTCAGCATATTGGAAGATTACCAAAACCAGCTCAGTAGGCGTGGCAGTGAGCTGGCGCACAGCGAAAGAGCACACTCGATCGACCTTGAGAGCTCTCTCAAAAAGAGCTGCAACAACTTGATCAAGAATGTGAAAATATTACGCGAAGAGCTAGAACGAGTTTCGTTACCCCCCGAAACCAGGGGTGACCTAGTATTGAACCATATGCGGCGACTGATGAATATTCCCTCTCTTGAAAAGGCGCATGCGGCGGTCAAGGAGAGGATGGAGGATTTTCAGGATCAGCAGTTGTGTCTCGATAGGTACGTCATAAGAATATTGAGGCACTCAAGGCTTCCATAACCGTACCTCGGATATTAACATGCGTGATCAGGCATAATACAATGATTATTATAGAACGCACCACCAGCTCTTCTGGCTCGTCCACTTCATCCACTTCATCCACTAGTTCAAGACCAAACAATGCTAGTATAATCTCCCGATCATCAACTAGTAGAAACAACACGCCGTCAATCATTGACCTAAAAGCCCGTGAGATTTTAGCAAAATCACTGCACGACGCTATCGGTGCCAAAAAAATCAATACAGTGGAAAGATTACTAAGAAATAAAGGCCTGGACCCCGACGCCTGTTTCCCTCTTGAAGGAGGTTCTTCAGCTCTCGCGGTAGCTACTTCATTTGGGAACAAACCCATGGTTAAACTTCTCCTCCGTCACAGAGCAACTGTTTCTTCACGTGACCATAAAGGTCGTACGGCTTTACATATAGCCTCGATAAATAACAACGCCGATATTGTTGAGCTTCTCCTGGGCAAAGCCGAAATTGCGGTAGTTGATCATCTTGGACGTACAGCACTTTGGTATGCTGCACACGGAAAAAACACCGAAGACGCCTTCAATAAACTACTGTCTGCTGGCAATATCGCCATAGACGACTCGCAAGATGACAAATGTCCAACTCCGCTTTGGGCTGCCGCCGCAGCTGGCCACCATGGCAGAGTACTGGCACTCCTCGAAAAAGGCGCTGATGTAGACAGCAGAGACGGGAAGGAAAGAACACTGCTACATCGAATTGAATGGCACATAGCAGCACCTCTGACCAAGTTGCTACTCGATCGTGGGGCAAACGCTTGGGTTAGGGACCACCCGGATAAAATGCTACCGCTACATCGGGCAGCTAGCCAAGGTCGTATAGACATTGCGGCCATGCTTCTAAGCAAGATGGTCGAGCAGCAAACATCTAGCAAGGCAGATGCCTCAAATGTTCGCGATAGTCGTGGAAAAACACCGCTAATGTACGCAGCTTTACACGGGTCCATGCCCCTTGTGCTATATTTGATCAGGATGTGGGACGCTGTCTTAGATATTCAAGATGACCTAGGAAACGATGCCTTTTACTGTGCCTGCGCAAAAGGCCATTTCCATATCGCCACCTACCTCCTCGGCCTAGGGGCGGACATCAACCGGAGGAATAACGAGGGTAACACGCCTCTCCACATTGCAGCCACCGAAGGGCACAAGGTGATAGTAGAATTTCTGCTCCACCTAGGGGCAAAGACAGAAGCAAAGTCAACAAAGATTGGGAAATTATGGGTAGTTAACAACACCCAAGAATCACGACAGGGCCAGCTGCTCGTCACGCCAGCTGTAGCTGCCAGGATGGCTGGATATGATGAAATTGCGAGGTATATCGATACCTTTGTACAGCAAGACCGACCTAGGGATTGGACATTAAATATTGTAACAACGAGTTGTATCGGGAGTTAATCAGGAAGAGACCTGGGGGACGAACCCAAAAATTTGTAACAATTAACTTATCTATTTTATTCTCATTCAAAGCTATCACTGAGAGACTTCGGATATAAGATTTCAGGCACCTAAAGGCATAGTAAGTATTGTTGTCACCGCGAAAAAGTATCCAATGATAGCTCAGTGATCCACATTCCTAGGCTTCAAAGCTTGTGGAGAATGATCCTCCGGGATGACCTCAGGTCCAGAGCTTTGATCTCCGTCATCCCATCCTCCGAAGTACGTAAAGAAAGTTTACCACTCAAAATTCAACATTCGCAAGGGTCCGACATAGCGTTAACAGTCGATCTCAGCGTGGCGTCATTGTCAGCCAATAAATACCTGCAGTAATGAGCTCAAGCAATCCTACGGCTATTCCGGATAATGAATCTGGGCGGCGACCAAAGTCTTTGGCCAAAGCTTGCATGTCGTGTCGGACTAAAAAGATCCGATGCAACACCGCGCGTCCTCGATGTAATAATTGTGTAAGTGCAAGTCGCGAGTGTATTTATCGAGAGGAAATACCGAGAAAGCGGTACGTAATCATGCCAATTAAGCTGGCTGGCCACTTCTGACCATCGCAGGCCGACGTTTTCACAAATTGCGAAATTGCAGCGTGATAATGCTGCACTCACGAGATTTATCGTAACTCTTAAAAATAGCACTACTCAAGAAAGGGACAGACTGCTGATCTCGGTTGTTGACGGTGACGGGAATATCAGTCTAACAGACTCAAATGAGGATATATCAGTAGGAGATACCGTAGACCAACGTCCCAGCCAAGGCCCCTCTCCACCGGATATTCCGTCTGACGACGAATTGGACATTGCACAGTTTATTTCTGTGGATGACACTGGTCGAACCAACATCTATGGCCCTTCATCAGCGCTGCACAACCCAGCAAGATCCGAGACACACAACCCCTCTGTCCACCACTCGACCACATTGGAGAATGTAAAGAATGGGCTAATTGCCAACGCAGCCTTACAACGCCATCTGGAGTACCGTCTTGCCAAACTCTCAACTATCGCTGGAGAGCCAACCGAACTTGCGATGCACTTGTTGAACCTACACTGGGCTCGCCAACACCATACATTCCTACTCACGTATCGACCTGCTGTCATGAGAGACCTTGCTTGCTCTGGCCAATACTGTTCAGCTTTCATGCTTAACGCCATTTTTGCATGCTGTAGCAAGTTTTCTGCCCGCCTAGAGGTCAGAGATGATCCTAGGGATCCGTCGAGTGCGGGTCGTCGTTTCTTTGTCCGATGCGATGATCTCCTTATGAAAGATGGCCTTCTGATCCGACCACATATCACTACAATTGTTGGGCTAGTCTTACTCGGGTCAACATACAATGCACGCGGAGAGACGTCCAAAGGTTGGCTGTATACCGGGTATGCGATACGAATGGTATATGATCTGGGCTTACATCTCGATCCCAAGAAGACCACAGAGAACCCTGAGGAGATAGAGATTAGACGCCGGGTGTTCTGGGGGACATTCGTCTGCGATAAGCTGCAAAGTCTGTACATGGGCAGACCGGTGGCGATAAATCTTCGCGACTCTCAGGTTTCACGGGAGTTCCTTGACTTGTACGAGGAAACGGAACCTTTTCTTCCTTCGACGCTGATGACTGGGTCACCATGTCCACCACTAACCATGGAGGTTACCATCCCAATCCACTCGGTGTCGACATTTCAGCAATTATGCCTACTTTCGAAAATCATGACCACTATCGTCAATTGCTTTTATGTAGTAGGTGCTACGTTTTCTAATGCCCAAAGAAGTCTTGCCAAGATCGAGCAGGCTCTACAACAGTGGCGCGACATGCTACCTCCAGAACTCAACTCCCAACCTTGGTTGGCACAGAGTGGCACGGGCCAGCCCCAAACACCAAATATTATGGTTCTGCACAACCTCTACCACTCTCTTATTATCCTGGCCCATCGGCCTTTCATTTCAGACGGTCATATTCGCTCGAATATTACGCCTGGCCGGTCATGGGAACAGTGTACAATTGCAGCAAGATACATCACTAGTATCGCGTCAGTGTATAGGTCAACATATGGTCTTAATGGAGCACCGTATGTCCTAGCCTACACTGTCTATGTGGCATGCACGATCCACGTAAGAAATGCGGCTTCTCGGCATGAACCTGGAGATCATATGGGCCTGCTGAGACCAAGCTTGCAATGTTTGGATGAATTATGCGCCGCAAATCCGGGCGTAATCAAGCCTGCCAAGTCCATCAGACGTCTGATTGAGGCCAACAAATTGAGTCTGAGCACTGGTATGTTTTCCTCTATGCGTTCAAATGCTGTTCAGAATGTTGACATAGGCACAGACGAAGCCACATCTACTGAACATGACATTGCGGCTGATCTAGACACTTCCACTTTCCAAGATTCAATCCCTACTTTCTCCAGTGATTTTCGCATGGATGACATTGATTTCAGTTTGCCCCTTGATCCGTTATTTGGTTGGATTAACGTGGACACCCCATCGCTTTATGGGGAGTCAGTTTGACACAAATCACGCCTGGTTGGGGTCTTGTTTCAACTGATAGTAAAAGATGAAGAGCTTCTATTTTTTTTAACTTAGTTTATCAATCCCAGACCTTCCAGATTTCTCAATTTTATCTACAGTAGAGGAGCTTTATATATTTACACGTAATTAAAATAGTCATATCCTATTGGCTTTCGAGAAAGTTGCTGCTTCGGCAGTTAGACTTAGATGTATGCCGAATCGGTCCTAGTAACGACTCCGCCACCGGAGACTGACTCTCCGAGTATCATGTGGGGTATGGAGAATGATGCTCCGGGGCCATGATATTATATATGTTCACTCTTGGAAGTCGTCTTAGATTATTTCAAGTCCTGTATCAGAACAATTGAATCCTCTACACACACGGGATTTTTACTGAAACTCTTATTCATCTCTTAATCTGTCACACATCATGACTCCCCTTCCCGACGTCGATGTCTTGGTCGTAGGCAGTGGAAATGCCGGTTTTGCAGCCGCTCTCTCTGCCTCTCAAAACGGCGCAAAAAGAGTTTTGCTTATCGACAAGTGCCCCGAGAACTGGGTTGGTGGCAATACCTACTTCACAGCCGGTGCCTACCGAATTGTCCATGGTGGTCTGCAAGATCTTTTGCCAATTGTCAACAATGTTTCTCGCGAACAGGCTGACAGGATTGACCTGGCACCTTACACCGAGCGGGACTTTCAAAACGATTTCGACAGGGTGTGCATGGGTCGATCGGACCCTGAATTAGCCAAGTCACTCATTCAAAATTCCAATGCTGCTATTAAATGGCTTGCTGCGAATGGGATCCGCTTCCAGTTGTCTTTTAACAGACAGGCTTACGAGGTTGACGGAAGAATCAAGTTCTGGGGTGGTCTGACTATCAAAACCGAAGATGGAGGTAAAGGTTTGATCGAAGATTATCTCGCTGCCATCAAGAGACACAATGTCCAGGTTTCGTGGTTGACAGCACTCACGGGGCTTGAGAGAAACTCCGACAACAGCTATACTGTCAGGGTTTCTATTGACGGTTTAGACAGCTCGTTGACCGCCAAAACTGTCGTGTTGGCCGCAGGTGGATTTGAGTCTAATGCGCAGAAGCGAAGTCAATTTCTTGGACCTGGCTGGGATATGGCTATGGTCCGTGGAACACCTTACAACACCGGTGACGCTTTGGACATCGCAATTCAGCAACTAGGCGCTCAAGCTGTGGGAAACTGGTCAGGCTGTCACTCTGTGGCCTGGGATGCCAACGCGGACCCCAACACAGGAGACCGAGAAGCTTCGAACGAGTACACAAAATCGGGTTACCCACTTGGTCTCATGCTCAACGTTGACGGGCATCGATTTGTCGACGAGGGTATTGATTTGAGGAACTACACCTATGCCAAATTCGGTCGAGCTATCCTACAACAGCCTGAGCAGCTCGCCTTCCAAGTCTGGGACGCTCGAACAAGTGATTGGCTTCGAATGGAAGAGTACCGCGAAGAGCGGGTAGAGCGTATCACGGCAGATACTCTGGAGGAGCTGGCCGACAAGTGCGCAGACCGTGGACTGAAGGATAAAATTAGTTTCGTCGATACCATCCGGGAGTATAACGAAGCGGTTTATGCGCATCGTCGAGAGAACCTCGAGGCAAAATGGGACCCTGCAATTCGAGACGGACTCTCGACACAATCCTCGACGAAGAAGCTAGCTTTGGGCAAGACGAACTGGGCTCTACCTCTGGATAAGGGACCTTACATGGCCGTCAAGGTGACTTGCGGCGTCACATTTACATTCGGTGGCATCAAGATTGATCCTCAGACTGCTCAGCTAATCCATGGATCTACGGGCCAACCTATTCCCAACGTATTCTGCGCTGGAGAAATGGTGGGAGGGTTGTTCTATTCCAACTATCCTGGCGGCAGTGGACTGACATCAGGCGCTGTTTTTGGATCGAAGGCTGGTAAGGCGGCTGCGGAGGCTGCGGAGGCTGTTGGAAGATCCACAGACACCAGAGTTCTAAGTAAGCTGTAGGTCAGAACACAGCCCAATATTAAGCTAGCTTGATCGCGGCACATACATGTACTGAAAGTTACGGTTGAGAGAAATATCGAAATTTATTTATAAAAGCTTTGCTGAATCCTATGATGCATCGCTATCAGTACCAGCCTTAAACAATCAGAAATGTTACTTGAGGGTTCCTCAAAATCTCCAACCAGCTAAGTTCCGACTGAGCACTATTCCGTTGCTGCCAAATAATCCGAAGTGTATCCATAGCAGTATAAAGGAACCCCCAAGGAAAGAGCTGCGACTGTCTCTTCATTCTATCTATAATCCAAACTTGCTGTTCGCGATCGCGAGTCTGAGCTCCAGCTACAAACGTGGGCCAAAACGACGTTTTGAAATTTGGATCTTCGTCATTGATTGCTCGGAGATGAAACATCAGACCTTGTTCCAATTCAAGCTCTGTATTTTCTGGTAAGAAGTCTCTGACTGAAGGGATGGCATACATGATGTATAAACAGCATGCGGTTTGATGCGTGTAACCTGTATGTATCCGGCTCTGAATATCGGTTACTTGTCGACCTTTTGGAACATGTTGAATATCGTGTGACCACATTTCAACATCAAAAGCCATGGTCTCCATTATGAGTTTGACTCCTTTGTTAGTCTTGATAGTGTGGTCTTCAGTTGGTTCTTGTAGTATCATTGCTGTTGACCATAATATTTGTAGAATCTCAGCTGGGCAGCAAATGAAGCTATTGCGGGCGGCATAGTGGATCGCCGAGGAGGCGAGTGTACTGTTAAGGGCGACTGACGATTTAGGTATTGGGTCCATAAAGGTCAAAGCGAAAACATAAAATCTAAGTGGTCAGTCTCATACGGAATCGAATGGTGGATGGCCTTACATATAGCAATCGGAGATTACAAAATCCTTGAGCATCTCGCCGACGGTCGTCGCGGGTTGCGCATGGCTCAGCAGCCACCCAATACCATCTAAATGCGCCTTTGATCCGTGCTTCCCCGAGTCGATCATATCAGCGGTGACAAGAAGCATGGCCGCTGTAAGCACCATATCCTTGTCCTCGGCTTCCAAGTTTTGGAAAGCGATACGGAGAAGGTAGAGTGCTCTCTGCTTGGCCTCTAATGCGTCCACCATGGCTCTTCGAGATGGGTCCCAGTAGCCCGCATTGATATCTTGGGGGTTATGGTCAGAACTTGGCCTGAGAACATTCGACATATGAAGAGCCGCAGCAGTGACCATGGTGTACTGCAAAACAGGGCTACAAGCCCCTATTGGTAGTAATCTTGGGAACGGATTGTGGCCGGGTAGGTCTATGGCGACGAGTTGTGGGCATAGTCCTTCTGCGACTAGTTGTCTAGTCAGCATAGCTATAGCGACATGCGATTGTGACTAATGACTAACAGTAAGATAGATAGTAGCGATCTTTTAGACTCATGTTAGCAAAGAACGGGTCGATCAGGCTACCAAAGAGATTCAAGCCCCCGAGTTCAAAGTAGGTGGAAGACTGAAACGGTGTGAAATTCATTCTTTGGTTCGCTGCCATGACGGCATTCCTCGTCGCATCAGCCTTTGTATGACTAATCTGTGATGGACCAGGATTCTCTTCGGACAAGGGAAGCTTTTTGCCAGCTGACTTCCCCCGACTAGCTATCGAGTCCGTCCATCTCCATAGTGTACCATACCCAAGACATTGTTTGCCAGTGGATGTACATCGACGACATGCAGGCCGGGATTCATCACAGCGGATTCGACTATGTCGACAGTTATGACAGCCTTTGGGCGAGGTGCGTCGTGAACCCATGCGTGACGCGTGTGAGCGAAGGCCTATAGCTTTGGGGGTAGCTTGAGGAAAGACGGTTATTGTGCAATTGGAAGAATCGAGACTTGGCCGAAGACCCCGATTTTCAAAGTACGTTGGATGACCAATCGGATGGAGTCACACACCAACTTAAGCTATTGTGGAGCATTGAGCTAGACTCGGAAAGGAAGATAAATCACTTGCTTTGCATCTATCGGGATCATGCCACGGCATTCATAGTTTTTTGCAAAAGATTGATCACTTTCATGGGCTTTCTATAACAAGAGATGTATAATACTTGTAACAATCTGATAAGGATCTCGATAACCGCCCTTGAAAGTCATAATAGCGACTAACTCGCCTTGACTTAGAGGTGTTTATTAAGTCACGAGTTCAGTACAATCGAGCGTTTGAAATAACCCAACACAGTCAATAAATTGAAATCAGAAACTAAAGGCCAGTTTCAGAATTCATTTCGTGAGACTGGTCAAGCCTTTGCCATCTGTTCGAAACCCTCCTTAAACTCAGCAAAGCTCTTGACATGTCCCCTAGAAGGTATGATCTTCTCCATGATAACCTGGTGAAGGTCCCCATCCGCATCCGCACAGGCATCACTGATAACAGTGGTCGCAAACTCGGCATCCGTCGCAGTAACAGTAGTCCTCAATACACACCCCGAAGTGCTCAGTCCACTAATAACAACAGATTTGACCCCCTTCTCCTTCAAAAATTCCAACAGACCAGGGGATTTTAATGCTGAGATATGTCCTGGGACCCGGTGAAAAGTGGGCTCCTTGTCGTCAGGTCGCAGCTCAGCTGGTTCGGGGTCCGTAGTGGCCTTCATGATTTCCAAGAGCCCCGAGAAGCGTTCAACACCCTTACAGGCGGGAAAAGGAGTGCCGTTTGAGTCGATGAGGCAGTGTACGACAGTAATGCCTTGGGCTTTTGCCCATTTCCGAAGCTGGACTGTAACGTCCAAAGCTGGGATAGCTGTGGGGCCGGCAACCTTCTCTACAAAAAGGGAGTACCAGTCCAAAAGAAGAAGGGCGGTCTCCGAAGGCTTGTAAGCTTCGTGAGAAGACTTGTCGATAGAATTAATGGTTGTCATGGTGCTTTGGATGGTGGCTGATGCTTGAGAGGTGGTGTTTTATGTCTGACTTGGAGTGTAGTGAGCCTACATTTGGTCGAGGAACTTCTTTGATTCTTATACCCATGAGTATGGCCGTCAAATATCCAATAATTTCACATTGATCCTGCTGAACACATTGATTTCGGTGATAATCTAGTAGAAACTGCTATGACCAGACGGAGATAGCTGGTTATCCCCTTCGGTGCCGATTCGGCAAATACCCACTTTTAGTTTTTACACAGTAATTTGACAGTGGAATAGGCAGCATCCTCCTGTATGGACTTAACAGATTAAATCAACGGAGATTAAATCAATGGATCTTCATGAAAATATCAGAAATAGTCCAGATTATACCGAGTATTCGGTCCCGTTCCGTTCCGCAGCCATAACTACTGCATCTTGAGTTCTCCCCTCGATACCTCAACAAAAGCCGGGTTTCCGTAACATCCTAGACATTAAATCTTAATGCTGGTGCAGCTGAGTAATCTGTTCAATAGCTTGCGGCCAGAGCGCAGTTTCAATTGAGTCGATCTAGTTTGTCGGCGCTCAGACCCGTCACTATTGAACTGCGACAAGAACTTAGCCAGGTTTAGGTCTTGGGGATCATGAATTTGGACCCCTGGAGCGTACACTAACGTTAGTGTCTCCAAATGCCACAAACCACCAAGACTGAGATTTGGGAAAGTTTAGACGAGTCGGGCTATTGTACCTATATTCAGCGGGAGAGTTGGATAAAACGTGAGTCCCGTTATCTCAGAACAGAAGGATTTAATCACCATCGCATCCAACGCCAAGATCACAGATAGCGCAAATTGTAGGATTTTCAGCTGTGGCTGGTAACTCAACCTATCAATCGTTATGAGTCGTGGTCAAGCATGATGGAAGAGTCAGTGAAAGCTTCCACTTGTTCCAAAATCATGATACCCCTTTCTTCAAGGTACCGTAATCTACCTGATAAGGCTTGTCTAGCGGCAGTAGTACGTCAACGAGGCTGGTTTCCAGTTTCACCGCTGATAACGACCTTCAGCTGCCAAACGAGGCTTTTCGTAACCAGTAAAATATAGCGACCCACCCACCGTCACAGCCGTTGGTCCAGTTAGCACAATCAGCCCAACTAACGATGAACTTTAATGTGGCATGTGTCAGGCCATCTGTTGGAGCCAAGAACGAAGTAGCGATAAGGCTTGGCCATTTCGGGCATGGCAGAATCTGGGGAAAGTTATTCATCAGCCTTTTGATGTGATGAGCGAGTCATTCCTATTGTCTTGCTTACTCTTGTGCGTTCAAAACGCAGATCCCGGCTGCAGAACAATGTCCCCGTCATCTCGGTCCTTTTCTCTGTTTGTTCTTCACCTTGCATCATCATTGTCGTCAATGAGCAATCGCTGACAGTGCATGTCCCAATCATGGCTGGACTGCAACCCAACATCTGGGCGGGCGTGGCTATTCCATGGCTTGCAGCTTTGGTTTCGCTTGTGATGCGGGTTTGCGCACGTCGCATGACCAAGATGAGTTGGTGGTTTGACGACTATTTCTCCATGTTGGCTTTTGTGTTTGCGACAGGGTACTGTGGTATCATGATACAATGTTTGTCGCCCTACATTGCCTTCCAGTAGCCATACTCACCATCGCAGGGACTTTGCATACCTACCTCGGCGTCAAGATTCCCGACTCAATTCCCACTGACGAACGTGAGGCGATATTACAACAAGCTCGGTTCTTAGGATTTCTCAACTCCATATGCTATGCCTCATCAATTGCCTGTTCCAAGATCGCCATCTTATCACTGTACTGGCGACTATTCAGGATCTCTTCAATCCGAACACCGATCTTAATCATGCTGGTTATGGTGGTGATATGGATTGTTCTTCGGACATTTATGCTCATCTTTCGTTGCGTTCCTGTCCAATCAATTTGGGACCATACTATCACAGGCAAGGTCTGCAACATCAATAGCGGCCAATTCTTCCTGGGTACTATCACCACGCACTTTCTGATGGATATTGCCATCCTGGTCCTACCCATCATTGAGGTGGTGCGACTGACTTTACCCAAGGGTCAAAAGTTAGCCATTGCCGCTTTGTTTCTTCTTGGTTCCATGTAAGCCGTCGATATCTAACTCGTCCATCATTTGAACTAACCATCAATTCAGTGTTTGCTTTGCGTCTATGTTTGTATTAGTTGTATTAGTCAATTACGACAACAATACAACACAGATGCCATATGAGTATGCTATGTTCTGCATTTTGGGCTCTGTCGAGGTTAACATTGCCATTGTCTCTGGTTAGTCGTCAATACCCTCTTCGGTCAAGAAATGTCAATAACTCTCGAAGCATGTTTCCCTCTTCTACGTCCAATCTTCATTCACATTCTTCCCACCAGCTTTCTCAGTTCGCATGGCAAAAGCAGCCAGCGAATCAGTCGACCAAGCAACGCGATCAAACTCTCAACTCTTGTACGGACAAACAAGACCAAAGATGATGATGAGACAAGCTCGATGCATCAATTGGCCGATCTAGAGCATGGACTGAGCCGTAATTCAGATGAAATCCGACGGCCTAAAGGAGTGCATACTGTTATCTTTAGTCGTCAATCTTTATCTAGCCAGGGAAATAACATGCCTGGGATCTATGTACGGAATGACACAGTAGTGGAGATTAACCAGGTAGAGGCCAAGGCTTTTTCTTAAGGGATAGTCAGTAAGGCTAGGTTTTAATATTTATGGTAGCTATTTATTAGATAATCTAAGGATCATAATCTTTTTGTCACTCTGAATCTAAGCATTACTAAACCGAGGCTTTCTTAACGTATCAGCGCGTTACCAACGACAGCATAACCTCTTCTACAGTCAAAATTCAAGACAATCAGAACAATAGAAGAGGATAATATTGTACTCAAGTATTTTATATGATATAATTTATATACATACCAAGTTAAGGACGCTGAGCTAACCTTGATAGATCCCCAGAAAGCGTCCGAGTTCTCAGAGCCTCAACTCGAACTTCATGGAGGCGGTGCCTGCGATGGCAGACTTTGTGGCATTATTCCTTGTCCAATTCCGATCAACGGTTGGATCATTCCTTGCCCGTGCTAATGGGTTGTAACTTGAGCTGCGCTGTGTTATTTACTGTCCTGTTCGCTGGCAATTCTTCATCTTGTTTCAATTCTTCAATAGATATGATCGTTTCTTACTACCAGTATGTACTGGTTTTATATGCCTGAAAGATATCAATAGTCTCTATAACTTTACGCCTGATCTCCCTCGCCTAGACAGAACTGAACCTCGGCGGGGCCCTTCAAATCAGGGAAATAAAGTGAGTTGACTCGTAAATACGGCCGCTACAGGACAGTAGCCTCAACGGCTTGTCTGCTCACAACGGGCGGTAGGAGAGGGATTCCAAAGCCTGATACCACTAGCTGAGCATCTATTGGCAGAACAGAAGATAGAATTGAGTATAGTATCTACCGCAGGAGAAAGTTAAGCTTTGTGGGAATCAAATACAACCCTGTTACTTTTATCTGGGGAAGTGGTGTACTGTTGAAAACAAGGTACTTCTCAAGCCAGAGTCAGGCATTTCTTCAACATAATAATAAAGTATTACTAACAGAATCACAGATAAGATTGTAATCTCTTGGCATATCTGAGCACAGTTGATCTGACTCCAACAGCTTGGAATTTTCTTCCACGTGGTTATGACGTGCTGCACATCAAATCGTTCATCAAAGCGTTTTCTTAACCTCGGAATCATCGGCTATACATAAACAACAGATCCCTACCCACGAAAGGCCTGCTATATCCGATCATCGCAGACTCCTCTCCACATCTTCACTAAATCTCTCCACAGTGTCCACACAACCACATGGCATATTGCGATCGGCACTTCTCAGTACCTGGTTGATGGTTTGTGCTCAGACGCAAAATTGCCCGCAAGCCTGACTGTGGTGACAGCTGTCAAACGCGGCATTTGATGCTTAGCTCTGGTTGGTCGGGTGTTTCAATCTAAGACAGTGATTAGCCGCAACTCTTAGGTCGTAGGTGCCATCTGCATAAATGATCTGCTAGTGCAGGTCTGAGTAATTGCTGAGTCTGCTAGCGGACAAATGATTGGTTCTGCCATGGCTGCTCTTCTGAAATGTTGGTAGCAGTGTTGCATTGACAGGCAACGCAGCGTCGATCCGTCAAATCAGTCAGATGTGATAGCCAGGTTGTTTGATGTCTCTGAGCTTGAATGCAGAGTACTAAACCTTTCGCTTCCGCTCCCCTGGAACCGGACTTTGCTTTTGCCAAAATCTGCAGTGTTATACTGACCTTTCACTCTTTAATTATGTACATTCGTTGGGCCGAGAGCCATTCGCCAGTGGAGCCTCGCTCGCTAGACGGTTCAACGCGGTCTCCAGAGATTCGCACAATTCTTATCACCTTCTCCATCTTATCCACTACCGTCGTCGCTCTACGAACCTACATACGACATATGGTACTCCACTCTTTTGGTTGGGATGATGGAGTTATGGTTATTGCCCAGGTGTTTGCTCTCGGTGCCGCAGCGGCCATTGGATTAGGTTGGTTCTATCAGGCACTATCTGAAAGTTGGAGTTTGCTAACGTTAGCATAGAGAACAAATATGGGCTGGGTTATCACACTTTGGAACAGCCGAAAGACTATTTCATACCTTACATGAAGGTTAGATTCCTTGCTATTCTATTATTCCCGAGTTATCTGCTTACACTACCAGGCATTTTATGCTTCCGTTGTTGTTTATAACGTCGGAATGTGCCTCGTCAAGATTGCCATCCTCCTTCAGTACCGACGAGTCTTTTCCATCCGAATCATCCAACAATGTACTTTATACGGACTGCTTTTCATGGGCGCCTGGACTATCACTATCGCTTTTATCAATATTCTCATATGTATTCCCATTGCAAAGTTCTGGGACGCAACTTTGCCTGGACACTGTAGCGATACTTTGACTATATGGTACGTCATGGCTGGCTTCAACCTAGTCACTGACATTTCCGTGTTCTGTCTTCCGCTGCCTGTCATCAGGAGTCTGAAGCTTCCAAAGAGGCAGAAGGCTATGCTCCTTGCAATTTTCAGCCTGGGATTCTTGTATGTCATCGCCACTCTTTCTATCAGACCAGAACTAACATCATCAGGACTTGTATCACCTCTGTTATTCGTATTCGGACATTGAAAACAGCTGCGTCAACCAAAGATCCCAACTGGGATAATGTCGACGCCGCGACATGGTCTTTTCTCGAAGTCACCCTCGCTATCATCGCAGCGTGTTTACCAACACTCCGACCATTATTTTCCAAACTCATGCCCAGAATCTTCGGCTCCTCATACGGCCGAAGTAACGGCCCATCTACCTCTGGGCAATATGCGCAATCCCGCAACTTTCAATATCTGAAGGATATGCCCAGAACAAGAACCGAAGATGGACCTTCAGGCTCGATGGAAGACACAACTGCTTTACGTGAAGATGTGCCACTTCCTCTAATCAGCCACAATTTCCATGGCCGAACTTTCACCAATATCAGTGTTGGTATGCCTGCTCCAAGCCAGAATTTCAACGAGAAGGTTGGATCGCCAAGATCGCCAAAGCTGTCAAATTTTCCAAGAGCAACGTCGCCAATACCGATTAAAGGAGGGATCACAGCGACGACAGTCGTTACGAGAGAAGTAGTGTCGGAAAGGGCTGATAGCAGGTCTAATAATAGTAAGACGAGTCTATGACGGCGATTAATGTACGATAAACACCTAATACCTAGCCTAATACCTTTTTAATTTACGACACTTGTTTCAATAGTCTTCAACGTGGCAGTCTAGTGCACTTTCGTTAACAATGCGGTCTAGGACACTCGAACCATCATCAACCGCTATTTCTAACGAATAGAATTACTGAATAAAACCACATCATTTGCCTACTACTTAATTAGAATTGACTACAAAAATATTCACAGAGTTGGATAGTCTCGGCATTTACCACATTTCTATTATTATCCACATTTTATTCAACGCAAACTTGAAGTTAACGGCAACCCTCATTTAGGTATGTGACTCCAGATTAGGAAGTCATTGGGTAGGCGGAAGCGATAGCGTGGATGCTTGCGTGACCCTTTGGGGATAGCATCAGTTCCAGATCTAGACCGCCATTAGCACCAACATTTGTCAAATGATTTTTCTCGTATACATCTGAACAAACGCCGTTCGTATACGTTCTAGTGCGACGCCACCACCGTCAAAAAGCTCGTATTGAACTCTGATCACCATTGTCTACTACATTCCATTTTCTATAAATTCTAGGTATTCTCCAGCTTTTTTCTCACTTTAAATCATCAATTGTCTTACTTTAAACTCAACAGTCTCATCAAGTTAATACTCAAATTTTCATCATGAAGTTCTCCATTCTCGCTTCTCTTACTGCTCTTGCCGGCAGCGCTGCTGCTGCCAACCAGGCTGTTGTTACTAACGACTGCTCTGGTACTATCTATGTTCAGTCTTGGCCTTACAACGGTGGTGCACCTGGCCCTCTGACTGCCCTCAAGAAGGGCCAGAAGTTCTCTGAGAACCTGCGATCTACTGGCTCCGTTAGTCAACCCTTAGTTTCTTCTATTGACCTTGACTAACAATTTTCCTCTGATAGACCATCAAGATTGCCACCACCAAGACTCTTGACAAGCCCCTCTTCTTTGGATACTCTTCCACCTCCAAACCCAACTATGTTTACTACGAGTTTAACACGTAAGTTGAACCTATAATATTTGCTTATTACTTAATGCTAACCAACTCGCGTTCCAGTCAATTTGGCAATCCCTTCGCCAACAAGCACAACATCCTGACCCCTGGCTCTGGTTGCAAGCTCTTCGACTGCAAGCCCAATGATGCTAGCTGCTACAGCACTCCTAGCATGAAGAAGGTCTACGGCTGCCCCAGCCCCGTTACCGTCTCTGCTACTATCTGCGCTCCATAAGCGACAGACCTCAGACACGACACTGTAACTGATGTACAATTGGCTCACTACCACGAGCGGGTGCTACCAGGTTACGCTGGATGATAACATTATGGTTAATGAAATACACCGGGATAGAGGAAGCCTTTATAAATAAATCTTCAGTCGTCAATAGTTATCTACCCAGGGAAATGAAAAAGAATCTTTGCTTCAACCTTCAACTTTTTCAAGCCCAGGCTTTGTAAATCTCTCCATGTTATCAACAATAAAGGGAAACAATATATTAAGGATTTATATATAAAATAATACAGTGATAAAAATTGATTAGATAAAGGCCAAGGAATTTTCTTAAGCAAGGTTAATAAGATTAGGCTTCTATTTTTAAAGTACCTATTTTATTTTATAAGTAGCTTATAATCTTATTTTTTATAATAACCACTGGGTTTATACATAGAAGTATTCATTCGTAAGGATATCTAATCTTTAAAGCTAGTGCTTAAAATAAAACCTCTTAACCAATAAAACATCACTCATGGAAAGGATCTAGAATAACAACTCTTTTACTGTGTACTGGCTTAGTAATGCAACCAGGAAAGCTACTTAGATGTGTGCGTTTCATAACATCTTGAGTTTTCATTAAGATTAAAGGGTAAGTATGAAAATTATCTATTTCCCGTAGTGAGTGCAAAATTTTTAAGAATACATTTTCTTCTGAAAATAACCAAGAATAACGGAGCTATCGTCTTATTTAATCTTGAAGAATTTTAGAACAAGACTCTTTTCCATGTTGCCTCAAAATTGAATTCACCCAAGCCTAGGCTTTTCAAATATGTCAGTGTGACGAACGATCGAGTAAGTCATTGTATAGGCAGAGCTGAGTATAATCAGAACAATTGAACAGAATACCATTTTATTCAAGTATTTTATATCTTATTTATCAAGATAACTTGTTACAAGTTTTGTTTGGCGTATTAGTTACCCTATATGCTGTGCTTATCGATAAGATAAAGACTCTTATCCAGTCAATCATGAATCGTCTCGTCTATACAGTTAGCTTTGTAAAGCTACTTTGGTCCCAGGTACACAGACTTCGCACTGACTGTTATTGTCTCGGAATGTACGGATATTGCAAAGCATAGCGAAGCTATCATCTCGCAAGTTTCAAGTTGATCGCTCGAGTCTAAGTTTCGCGTTTCTAATTGCGTCCTATTGAAGAAGCGTATGACCCACGTCTTACTACGTTGTATGTTTTAATAGGTGTACGGAGTTCTCGGCTGTCGTGACATTGACTCAAATTTCCCAAGATCGACGTTGGCTCATTAAACTCTCAAAGCCCGGACCAGCCGAATACCACATCGGCACATACTATGTACGGAGTACCAAGATAAATTTCAGACAATAGTTTGTCTTCTGACCGGTGAATCAGCAAACATCGGACGTGCAAGCCACAATGGCGAATGCTTAACGCCTTATTGGACTCGTGGACCAACACGACGCCCCGTGCAACCCTCACATGCTAAAATATGCAGTTTGCCGTAAGCTGAACTGCCGGTTTGCTTCTCGCGCATTGATGTGCACAGGGATCCGAGACAGGTAATACAAAGTTCCGTAAGGAATGAACAACGACCCCCGCTCTTTGTTTATAATCGTCCCGGACTCCCGACTTCATTGTTCACATTCATTCAACTCATTCATTCTTTGCACTTTTAACAATGAAGGTGAACCATCTTTTCGTTCTTGTTACCGGCCTCCAAGGCGCATTTGCCAAGCCCAAACCTGTGTACCATGAGGTCGATGTTGCCATTGTTGGTGGTGGCGCAACTGGTGCTTATGCGGCGGTCAGGCTGAGGGAAGACTACAAGAAAAGTGTTCTTGTGATTGAGAAACAAAACCGACTTGTGAGTTTCTCGTAATGCAGGACGATCAAGCTTACTGACATTCCAGGGTGGACATGTTCATTCTTATAAGCCAAGCGACAGCGACAGGCCCATCAACTACGGTGTCCAGGCGTACCTCAACCGAAAAACAACTGCAGCCTTCTTCAAGCGATTCAACGTCGGCCTGATTGACCCAGATATCGTTAGCTCTGCCGATCTTCTGTTTGCAACCAAGAACATCGATTTTGCAACCGGCAAGGACGTAGATGTGGACTACGGAGTCATCAACGCGACTGTCAGCCTAGCCGAATATGTTGCATTGGCAATCAAATATCAGCCTTGGTTTGAGAATGGCTATTTCCAGAAAGGAGAGGTCCCCGATGATCTTCTCCTTCCTTTCGGCGAGTTTCTGAACAAATACCAGATTGGCAGCTCCCTAGCAATCCTCCGCACTCTGATTTGGCTGTCGGATGCTTACAACACACCAACATGGTTCGTCCTAGCTGTGGTTGGACAGCCCCAACTCGCCGCGTTTGGATTCGGTCTCACCGGTCCATCGTTCAAGTGGCCCGAGACCTACTCGTCTGAGACTCTGTTCGACCGCGTTTTGGATTTGATCAAAGACGACGTTCTTCTTGAGAGCACCGTCGCCTCGAGTCGTCGTACCGCAAAGGGCATTGAACTCGTCGTGAAAACCCCTTCCGGGGAACAGCATGTCAAAGCCAAGAAGCTCTTATTCGCAGCAACCCCATCTCCAGATAACGTTGGAACTTGGGATCTCGATAAGAAGGAGAAGTCTCTTTTCTCCAAGTTCTCCTGGGAGACACTCTACGTCGCTGTCGTTGGCAAAACAGACCTCCCCTCCGACGTCGTTGGCATTCGCAACGCACCAGACAACGCAACAAACTACTACCTTCCTGGTGGAGATTTTGTCGATGCTTACACTCGCGCCGGTAAGAAGGATTTGTGGACAACCCGTGTCATCGGCCGTGCCAATCTCACCGCCAAGAAGGCTCGGTCCATGATGAAGCAAGTCTTCGGCAAGATTGATGAGGCAGGCACTTACGACGTCAGCGAGCCGAATATCCTTGCTTTTGCTTCACACGGATTGACTGTACCGAAGGTGTCTCCCAAGGATCTCCAAGCTGGCTTCTACCAGAAGCTGTATGCGCTCCAGGGTCAGCGCAACACATTCTGGACTGGACTTACTTGGGCTCCTGACTATACTCCTATTCTTTGGGATTTTACCGAGAAGCTATTCCCTCAAATTCTCGCCGGTATTTGAGTTTAGCTGAGAGATGATTCGCCATGTGAATATCGACGAAAGATATCGCCGCTTTGTAGATATTGGCTCAGTTATGCTTTAAGGGGTGCACAATGAGAGAAGGGGTGTTTTCATCCTGCCATCAAGTGGAGGACTCGAAATAGACAGAATAGGCTTAGCGCAGAAATTGTACTCAGATTTAATTGGCTATATCCAAACCAAGACACTAAACCCCCCGGAAAGCCGCTGAAAAGACACTGATGCTATTGAAAAGGTGCTGGATTGAGTGAATTATTCTTAATTTGATTCGCCAGGGTGTGTTATTGTTACTGAAAAAGGCTGAGTAATTGTCAGGCTATGAATCTAATGAAAAATGAACGATTCAGGCCATGGACAGATACCTCCTGCGCAAAACTGATTGTGTTTCCTGGTCGGCGGCTACGTAGTGGCTGTTAAAATGCAGCAGGTAGTTGCGATGGAATTCCTGTGACGAGCCAAATAGAGATTCACGTCTGCTGATGTTCTCTGCTTCCATTGTATTGAGAATATCTGAGGTTTAACTATATAATGCAGAATATCCTCTCAGAGTCCTTGTCATGCATTAAACCTTGTCCATCTATATATCCATCCAGAAAACACTCGCTTATAAAAGCAAACCCCCCTCGATCTATATCTTCCCGCAACAAAACTAGAACACTGCAACCATACAACATGCATACCAAATCTCCTTTCTTTGCCTTTTCTGCAACCATACCGACATGCCCACCGCGAGTCACCATCAAGCGCAGTGACATCCTTACAACTGTATCGAAAAATCTACCAAAGAATGTATCGTGATAGTACTCGTCTTGATTTGGAGTAGAGTTTTGGGTATCGATGCCACTACGGAGCATCTGATGTACAATGCTCTCAAAGCTGAATCCTCGAATCTGAAGATTTCTTGTCCAAGAAAACCACACTTGTAATTCCTGTGGATTGTCGCGGTGCGTTTCTGTTATGAGAGACGCAAGTAGCTGCAGGAAGTCCCGGAAGAACTCACCAGTCGGCATGGAATATCGTAAATAGCGATCCTTCCGATCTAATACTAAGCTTCTACACACGCTGGTGAGAATATCCTTTGGCGAGAAAAAAGAGTCCGGCATCTCCCCAGACGTCCACGTGGAACTTTGGACCAAGTCGAAATGCTTAGATGCAGCCAGTCCATCGACAGTATCAATGACAACCCCGCGAGCGAGTAGTCTGGAACCTTCAAACTTGCATATGGCTTCCGTGTTCCCTGAGGCCGTATAGCAGACTGATGGATCAACCTCAAGGGCTGGAGGGGTTCGCAGGTTCCCGATTTGCGTCTTGGAACTTTGGCTGACCATCAGAGGAACTACCAAGGCTTCTCCTTTTTGCCATCTAGGTACCCAGGACGGCCAAGACTCAGAAGGACCGCTGTAAATTGAGGCAAAGGATATGATGTCAAGCGACTTGTACTGAGTTATGAAAGCTTGGGCGAAACCCAAGTAGACCTCCTCGGTGCTCAGAAAGTAGTCGACTTCCAGAAGCGATTTGTCAGTACAGAGTCCCATTAGGCCGTATAACCGATCTCGATCATCAGTTGCGTTCATACAAGAAAAATAGGCAGCCAATGCTGGAAGGGAAAGGATCACATTCGCTCTCCCATCTCTCATGGCCTTGTATAAGCCCCGTGCTCTTCTTCGGTTATTTCCAAGTGTGAAACCAGGAGTCTGTTTGATACCGACCGAAGTGCATTTGTCGGCTGTGCTTAGAGTGCGACAAACAGCAACTCTGCTGGCATTGCGTGTGCCGCACCAGAATGAAATACTTGGGGGGAGTACAAACTCCTGCACGCTCCACATTCTTGACCACCATCTCCGGGAAAGGAGATTCTTCAATGCTGCCCATTGGGGAAGGTATTCATCGGTCTGCAGCATCGCACGAAGCTTGTCGATGTGATACTTCTCTCGAGAAATCTTATCAAGATGTCGAACAAAGTCCATTGCAAGATTACTGTCATTTGACTCTTCTCCCAACCAAATGATAACTCGGTCAGCATTGCCATATACATATTGCATATGCTGGATCTGCTGGGCCCTTTCTTCTAGGTCGGATTGATTGATACAGATTGAATCAATCCACCACCATCTACCATCGAGAAGCTCGCCCTTTGACCTCAACACACTAATAAATGGTTGTAATGTGTCAAGGACTGGGAGTTGTTGTTTGTTTATGAGAATATTCCAACCTCTTGAGAGGAGCGCTCCATCGGTGGCCCATGTGTAGCTTAGAGAGTGGTATGGGGGAAGCGGCTGATCAAGCGAGAAAGTCTTGAGAACAGCGGAAACAGATGTCTCGTCGCGGACAAATTTCAACAGCCGCAGCTGATTAGGCCGGATCGGGGCATATGAGTAAGGAGTTGCTTTCGCCATAGTACAGACCATAATTGGGATTTGGAATGCAGAGAATGTGAATTAGGTTCTTTGGTGTTCAAAAAGGGGAGAAGGCGGGGTATCTGTCCCTTAAAACGGTCTCTGAATACAATAAGAATAAAAAGTTACAATTACACAGCCGCGCGCAAAGTGGAAAAAGCTAATGCACAAGTTACCCCCATCAATGAAGGAAACTGGGGCCAGGCCTGCATGTAGTCCTGCATATACGTGCTGCAGGGAATAGGTGAAGGGTTACATTTACTTGCAACCAATACAATGACTTGTACTTTAGGCCAGAAATAGAATGAACGCAGAACTGTAGTGATTGTTGAGGGTATCACCTATTCAATCCAATCATGAACGAATCAAAAGGGTAGGTTAAGCGCCGATCAGCAGAACAGGCGCCAACTTGACAAACTCTTTGTTCAAGCTACCTTGTTTCACCACAACGAATCGTGGTAGCTGAATATGGACTTCTTAATACAGAAACGCGGGATTTAAGAGTAACGGCAACACGGAAGTCCTTTTTGAGTGTGACATCCACGATTACTTGTTACTTGTTTAGATTTCACCCAATCCCCAACAAATGAACGTGGTATTGGCGCCCGTACCGTTTTAGTAAAACGGAAAAAATTATTCGGAAGTTAATGGTTGCACAGCTTATCAGACGGTCAAAGGCGAGAGATTGCGTAGAGGGTCCTCTCAACAGGTTGAGAGATTCAAATACAACTGTTGCAATTCAACTGAGTACCAGATAGGTTTTGATGTAGCTACTGAAGTAAAAATAAGTAAGAATTTCCTGGAAAGTAGCGGGAGAATCAACGAGTGCGCGACGCCATTATCCAGTAATAAAAGGATTGTCAGCTTGGGGGTTTTGATTTTGGCTCATCAACTTTTGGATCATCTTGCTGATTTGCCTGTGCTTAACGATGATACTGGCAGTATCAAGTTTCGCAAAGTTAGGGATTTACAACGGCAGCTTATGAAAATCATCTTCGTGTGGACTGCTTTTCCGTCCGTCGTTGTTATGATAGATAAACAAGGAACCTGATTTAAGATTAATCTCAGCTGTTCTAACCCGCTTAAGACATCAGCTCTAGCATGAGATTCCTCCATTCAATCAAAAAGAAGATACAAAAATGGAATAGAACAACGCCAAATCCCATACTACGCTGATAATCATCTACCCACTGGGTGATCCGCTGGACTAGACTGATCAGGATAAAAATGACCCCGATAAAAAGACATAAGATGAAGATAGGCAGCAGATATACCATCCGCGTCTGCCGAGGGTCCATACCTGTCCGCCTGTCTTTCTCAGTGAGCGTTTCCTCTTGTGTAGGCCTTGGACGATTTGAAGCAAGAGTTGTGAGCTCAATCGGGCTCAGTTCCCTCCTGAACTTATGCGACTCAGCTATGTCGCGACTCATAGCTTTCCACATTTCTACGTTCAATGCGGAAGTAGTCAATGAAGGTCTCGCTGTTCGAACTTAGTACCCATGTAACATCGCAAGGAGAGAGTCAACTTTACTGTTCAAAAGCTTATCCTCGGGCCCCTCCCAGTCCCATTCTTCCAATTCAGCCTCAGCAGTCGGTTTACCGTGCTCTTGGCTCCATATAGTGTACCTGAATACCTTCAAAAATAGCCAGAAAAGAGTGGTTGGTTGCTGTGACTGGAACCTCTCCAACAGCCTCCCAAGCCTGTTGGTGGCCGGAATATCCTTCCGTAGATCTAACTGCCCATTAATGAGCCAGACACGAAACATCACCTCCGCTTCTGCCAGGTCTCCAGCCTGGATCTTCCGAGCCGATAACAGGGCATGTCCGAAGGAAGGGGATCTCCACCGGCGGATGATTATCTTATGGATTTCGGGAACCAACAAATCCTCCCTAGAACCATCTCCATACTTTGCAGTAGGATCGAGAACATTCTGTTCCTCGCTATCCTTTTCCCAATGCTCTGAATTCCCCTGCGGGTTGCTTTTGTGTGTCTGATCTGACGCACCTCCAGCAGGATGGTTGGAATTGTTACCAATTGGCTCTATCTCGGAGCTCTTTTCTTCGAGGGATTCGAGCCACTGATTGGCCGCGGTTTTCCAGCTGCCAAGTCCCTCATCGTCAGGGTTTGGGTCATTTGTAGGAACTTCCTCCCGCTCTACCTCATCCTGTTTGTCGTAGACGTGGCCCTTCTCGATCTCCTCAAGCCACCTCGTGGCATGAATAGTCTGATTTCTAAATCTTTCGATATCAAGATGGTGCCATGTCTGTCGAGACGTGGTATTCACGGTGATATTCCGACCCTCAACATGCATCAAGGCTGTCAGCCGCTCAATGTACTTTTCCTGATCTTCATGTTGCTCTCCGCCAAGCCTCTTGCCAACCTCACATGGCTCCGTCAGAAACCATTCGAGGAGGTCGAGGAATGGGCCTTTCCGGTCGAAGATGATTGTCGAACCATTGAAAGCATGATCAAGAAGAAGTCCACTTATTATGCGTCCATGTTGTGTAGAAATCTTGAAGAAGGGAAATGTAAACGTGTCGGTTTGACGGAGCTGCCGATCCCAATCCTGTCGCATTACCCATTTTCCGTCAACAATGTGCGAATAACTGTTGAAAGCTTTGTGAACGGGGAGATCCTCCAAAATTGACGTTTTACCCACTCCGTAAACTGAGTCAATCTCAATCTGTCGCCACATTTTCCGATCAGCACTTCGGTCAGCGATACTATCCTCGAGCGGTTCTGGAAGATGGTTGCTACGCAATATGACCATCACTCGGGGGGAGATAGGCGCAAACATATGGAAGCGCGGTCCCAAACGAAGCCATTCTCCAGTTTTCGCATCTTGATAGTCATCAGTTGGCCCTTCGTAGATGGAGTAAGCCGTATCAGTTAGGATGAATTCTTCGTTTTCGTCCAGAAGAGTGCAAAATGACATCCAAAACTCCGTGATATGCTCTTGGAAGTGGCGGGAAATACCTGGATAGACAGTTGCCTTGAGAATCTCTACCCAGACTTTATTCACATCCATTTCAAGATCAATGATAGAGCTTAAACCCTGCAACCAGACATCTATTGGTCGGTGAATTCCCTTTTTAGTCATAAAGTCTCGTAAAAGAGCCCGATCATTTATGTCATAATCGTCAATACTCTCGTGGTTGTATGTCTTGTAGAAACCAGAGCTTCTTTGCTTTTGTAAGTAAACGAACTTGCGCAATGTAGTCTGTTGTATCCTGGTGAGCTTGACGCTGTCCTGCTCTTGGTGACATTTGATAATGTGGCGGACAATATGACTGGCCCTATTCTCCAGCTTGCCGAATTTCTCCTCCAGCTGGCGAGGAAATTTGGCTGTTGGTGTTGGATCTGTGTACATTTCATGAAGACCGCACACTCGCTTTATTGAGTGCTCTTCAATTTTAAAACCCTCTGGTATCAGTTGTAGACAATTTACCACCCGATCGCCGGGGTGTTTGCCTTTCTTGTGGTGGCGCTTTTTGCATCTTGAGCCAGGTTTGGAGGATCTGGGACAGACGAATGGGTGGTCGAAGTTCTTTAGAATAAACTGTGGAATGAAATGCTGGTATTGTGGCTTGTCTGCTGCCATGGCGGCGATGAGATAAGGACTATTGCGCTTTGGCAGATCATTATGCCGGATGGGTGTTCTATTTAACGTCAAATCTATGATCTATGAGTCATTTGTTGGTTGCTGTTGGCCTGAAATTGAGGCCCAATGCATATGTACAAAGGCGGAAGCGAGGGCTCTTACTGGTGACCAACAACCTAAGTCAGCTCATAGCAAGGTCATACTGCAGTCTCTCAATGCGGAGAAGTGTGCATCCAACAAAGCAGCTTTCAACACTGCCTCTGCCCACCTGAGAACTAGCTTCCTGCTTTTACCTTAGTATCTTTGTCACTAATGAGTCTTCCACCCTCAAAAATCCATTAAATCGGACATTTAGATGTCATGTTACGCTGTTTAGTCTTATAAAGGTTTCAATAGTTTACCAGTGGCTGGATACTTTGCAATAGTCCTGGTCGGCCTCCCTACCCCGCTTGTGCTGTGACCGTTGTTGATACAACAACTACTATAAAGATGAGGGATGTTCACCTTTTTGCTAGTTAAGATGAAGAAATTCACCATTGAGGCGAGAGTAAAAAGTGCATTCTCCCCGTCACGTATTGGGCATTGTCCGCAGTCACCCAGTAACACAGAGTGAGCATCAACTTTGAAGAACCACAGTTCGGGGCTGACTTACCTAAGAGATACAAGCCGAGTCGTAAGCAAGCTGCATCGACCAGAATTATGGCGTCTATATCGACATCTCTCAAGTTCGCTGTACTCATTGACGCCGACAATGCCAGTCCTGCCATGGCAGGCTCTATACTTACAGAGATTGCCAAGTATGGCACGACCTTTGTTAAGCGCGCTTATGGCGACTGGACTGGGCCAGGATTGAATGGTTGGAAAGAGCGTCTTCTTGAACAGTCGATTCAACCAATACAACAGTTCGCCTACACCAAAGGGAAGAATTCGACAGATTCGGCCATGATCATCGACGCTATGGATCTTCTATATTCGGGCAAATTTGGCGGCTTCTGTATTGTTTCCAGTGACAGCGACTTCACTCGGCTGGCGTCTAGGATTCGGGAGTCTGGCCTAGTTGTCTTTGGATGCGGAGAAAGAAAGACGCCTAGACCTTTCGTCACGGCTTGCGACAAGTTCATCTACCTTGAGAATCTGGTGACAATGACTGGGCCGCCTAAGTTTGGAATTGCAGTAACTGGGCCACCCAATGCTGGTTTGGCTATTGCAGGACCCATTAGCGTAGGCCCATCGATTGCAGGACCATCCAAAGACCAAAAGGTCAGCGTGCCGTCGGCTAATGTGAAGGAAGGGAATAGGGATGAGGATGATCCTCCCGAGAGTAACACGCAAGTGGAGGAAGCTCGGCCGGTGGATTCTCTGGTAGCTGGAACTTCATCACCTGGACCTCACCCAGTTGATAGAGAGGCGGCTGAGTGGCTGCAAGAGGCTATAGAGGTGTCTTCAGACGATGAAGGATGGGCCTTGCTTTCGGAAGTTGGCTCACTCATGATCCAGTGGCATTCTGATTTTGACCCTCGTACTTATGGGTTTAAAAAGCTCAGCCAGCTGATGACGTCCATAGCCTGCTTCGAAACGTCGAATCGAAGTCCTGGGGATGGGAAGTCAGGGGTAGTATACGTTCGATATCTTGATAGCTAAGACAGAAAGTTAATTGATCTTACTCTTTAATTGAGGCTGCAGAATCTTTAGAGGTGTTCAATTACAGCTAACAGATGTCTCCTATAATTTGATCTCATCGGTCCAGCAATAATTAGGACTGACTGGCGTATTCTTCTATATCGATTTAAGAAGCTTTCTAATTCTCTCATAATTTAAGTACATAAATAGTTACTACTTAAGATATACAGATGATAAATAGGAATCTCGGAATAATGAACAGTAGAATTGATTGTCTCAATTATGCTGATAGTCTAGTCTCTGTCTACGAGGCCACACCTAACCACCTATTCATCTGCCCTAACAAACTTGACTTCATAGCCCGGGTTCGTGATGCTAACCACCTTCGAGTTCTCTATATCAAAGATAAACTCATCAACTCCCCCAGAAAATCCAACATTCATCCAGGAAAAGGTGTTGTCGAAGAGTCCACCATTTCCACCTTCCACAGCAGCACGCGCAGGCGGGGGCCTCGGAAGTCCGGATACCTGTCGGAAAGCTGCAGAGACTTTGCCTTTGATGTTATACTGAGCCGCCAAGGATCGGGAGTTGGAGTAAAGACCGGTAGGGTATAGACGTGATGATGTGACATTGGCTAGTTGATCCTCACCTTCGAAGTAGAAGGATGTGATATTGAGGCCGGGCTCTCCTTTTGTGACGTCAAGCGTGATGTTTGTGGTTTCGGAACCTTCTACGACAAAAGTGCCGGCGAGATTCTTCTCAGCACTTTCTGCCGCGGCGTACTCAGAAGCTGTGATGAATAACTCGCCCACCAAATTACGGAGTGGCCATCGTGCGGCAGAAGCAGTGTCGCCAGCAAGCATAAGCGAAAACCCAACACCGTGGTCTGGTGAGAGAGCAAAGATGCAGGTATAATCTCCGTTTCCTCCTGCTTTAAGGTAGAGGTCGGAGATACGCGTGCGGTTTGATCCCGGTCCGGTGGGTAGAGTGAGACGGGTGATCTCCCAGGGTGCACCAACAAGTTCCACCAATGTGCCTGTGCCACTTCGAGGCTTCATCCATTCTCTGGTCACAGCGGGAGAGAGCAGTTCAGAGTTTAGAATTGAGAGACCAGCGGTTCGGAGATCTTTGGGAGACGAATAAATACCACCGGATCTATTCTGGTCAGTTGCGTTGCTGCGAGCGAGGAAGATTCTTACCCGGCGACAATTGGAATGTCTGCACCCCATGAACCAAGCCCTGTGCGATCCACAGCATCGACGTCTGTGCCATTTGGAATGACAGAAGAAGAAGAATTCATCCCGAGAGGTTTGAAAAGTACGCTCTTCACTGCATCCTTGTACTCCTCGCCGGTAAGGCGTTCGAGGATTAGCGTCAGAACACCGTATCCAGCATCGGAATAGAGCGCACTTCGATAAGGTGCGGTTGTCGGAAGCTGGGTGTCGCGCATATACTCAAGGAACTCTGGATCTGATTAGTCAAGTCATATGGAGCTCATAAAGGCGACTTACCGCGTCTATCACTCCCAGTAGTGTTCGGGAATGCTGCAAAGTAACCTGAGAATATTAGCCAGTGCCGGTGAGTGGTGATAGCTACTTACCACCAGGACCACTTGAGCCAGCCTGGTGTGAAGCAAGTGCTCCCACACTTATCTCACTCCAGTCAATTCTCTCAATTGGATTGCTGGATGAGTTTCCGAGAAGTTCTGGGAGAAAGACAGTGACAGGTTCACTCAAGATTCTGATGCCCGCCTTGGCGATGATGGCATATACTGTGAACATTTTGCTAACACTGCCTGTTCGAAAGATAGTGTTTTCGGTCAATTTGCCCTTGGTAAGCGTATCCTTGTAGGTTTCACCGACATGGTAATAGCTGTAGAGGGAGTCGTTGGTGGCGGCGGAGAAGACATCGACAGAGAAAATGAGGTCGGTCTTGTTCAGAACATTGGACTCGAAGGCTTTTTTGAGTAGTGATGGGAACTGCTCTTTGGCTTCACCGATATACTCACTCTTAGAGATATCAAAATTAGGGAGAAAAGAAGGGCCAATGAGAGGAACGTCGTTTGAAGCGACGATGGTGGCTGTTGCAGCGGAGATCAAGGCCGTGCAGGCCAGGCATGAAAGAGCACGCATTTTGATGTGAGAATATTGAGTTAGATAGTGTGATGAGTTGATTTGGCTTTCTCTTCTGAGATTGTATTCAAGTCTTATATACATTCAGTTCATATTGTCGTTACATAGCTATGCTACTGACATCATAACTTGTGCCAGGTGTAAGGCTGAGAGCGGTGCGTTAATACTGTAAGGAGTTTAGCGTTGTGCATGGCGCAGGCCAGAATGTGGAGGATTGAGCGACAAGCATCAGACGGCGCGTCTCATTTATCCCAAATAAGCTTTAGCTTGCTTACGATCCGTCAAAAGATCTCCCTTTGGATGTTTTCTTGTTTCTTTAATTTCCTGCGCCTCTGCAGCGAAATAAGTGGCTGGCATGATCATATCTGATTTGTTGAGTCGAAGACTACGTGCCCGCCGGTCAGAAGAGGTAAATGTAGATCTGAAAACTAGTCAATTGTGGTAAAATGGGACGCCGAGTAAGCAAGAATATGCATTGCCATGTCTGTGGTGAGAGCGGAACCTTGTTTTCAACATCAGCCACTCGATAGCTATGTCATCCTCCTTGACTACACCTTGGTACACTCTTACTTCCTTTACATTGTGCTTGAAGTTTTCAAATGCACTGGCATTCGAATTGGGTAACCATTTCACTAAACTATGCTATACACCACTATATGGCAATGTCACCAAGTCTTTGGCCCGGACGGCATTGATGTAGAATGGAAGACATCATCAGCTACAGCACGCCCGCCTCATATACCTCATCACCCAACGCCTCTATACAAGAACGGGTTTGAACACATAAGTGATCAATGTTTGATCTACTGCACCCCTGCACTAACATCGACCAAGATCTTGACGTGGTTGTCTTTGTCGTGGATGAGCGTGTTAAACCCCTCCTCAACAACCTCGTTCATCTTGATGACCTTCGTGATCATACCCTCAGGTTGAATATCGCCTTTCGATATGGCGTCGATAACCTCTTCGAAGTCTCCCAGACTGTATGTAGCGCTAAATTATGTTAGATTCACTTCAACTTGAGAACAGCTGCTCACTCACCATCCAATGTAGGATCGCTCCCTGAACACAATTTGATTCATGCTCAGTTGTGCCCTGTTCTCCCAAACAGCAATGTTGACAAGTACACCTCTTGCCTTCAAGCAATCGAAAGCTGCGTCGACCGCATGTTGAGAGCCAGCAGCATCAAAACCCACATCAGCTCCAAGCCCACCAGTTAATTTCTTGACATGAGCAACGACATCGTCTTTTGTCGGATCAAAAACATGATGAGCACCGAATTTCTTCGCAAACTCGCGTCGCCTTGCACTAACCTCACTCAAGATGATGGTTTTGCATCCCCTGCCGATAAGCGCCTGGACAACAGCCAGGCCAATGGGACCACCGCCAACGACGAAAGCAGTGTCGCCTTCTTTGTAGGGAGATAGCTTGATCGCGTGCCATCCAACAGAGAGAGGTTCGACAAGGGCACCGACCTCGAGAGAAACGTTGTCTGGTAGTTTCTTGACACAGTCTTGAGGAACGACGGTTGTTTCGCAGAGACCACCACCCCATCCGCTCAAACCAATGAAGCCGTTCTTGTCGCAGCAATTGACCAGACCACGCTTACAAGAGCCGCACTCATTATCATAAATGATTGGCTGAACACAGACGCGGTCACCCTTCTTCAGGCGAGTAACTTCACTGCCAACTTTTTCAATGATCCCACTGAACTCATGACCGAGAGTCAACGGTGATGTCTCGCCTGTGATGGGGTGCGGGGTGCCGGGCTTGGGAATCAGATTGTTGCCACCGAGGTATTCATGGACATCTGTACCGCAGATGCCACAGAACTTGGGAACAATGCGAACGGACTTGGCTTCTAGAGAGGGGTACGGGATCTCCTCCAGCCTGACGTCTTTTTGGCCATGGAAGCGGACGGCTTTGATCGTTTGTGTTGAAGCCATCTTTAGATGTATTAGACTTATGAATGAAGGTGAGATTGGATGGAGGAGAAAAGAGGAGATGAGAGCCGAGGGATTGCTTTTAATTCCTTCAACCCGCCAAGGATGGGCCTCAAGAGTTACAAGCTTCCCCTCAAATGCTGCACATTATCATTCGACCGGATTTACAAATCGAGGTGTAAGGTATGACGAGCCGTCCGGATTGCCGCCTTCGTGTTAGCCTGCACCCAGACACAAGTAGGGTGAGACTTGACGAATCATCGAGATCCTCCAAATGCGGGGGCGGATACGTACTGACCGGGGAATCGATCGGGACCCAAGTTGACGGATTTCCATATTCAGACCCAGTTCTTGAGGTCTGTTCATTGATTTGATAATGTGGAAGATTGTAGCTATAATGAATGTGTCTTCAAAGCGGGAGAGTGACGAATTATATTTGACTTACGATGGACTGCCTGACGACCCAAGATTTAATATACCAAGATGGTAGTCTGAATCAAGTTATTCGTATTCATCATGAGATTTATTGCCAAGGCCATAAAGTTGATGTGTTGACAATTAAAGACACCTGTCAGCTTGATGTATCGGCTTCTCAGCGAGTGAAAATTGATACATGAACCCCACTTGGGTATCATCAATCAACCTCAACCTACCCAACAACAAAGCATTTAAACAGGAGGACGCCTCGAACGGCTTCCTCACACACCACCTATGGAGCTTCAAAATCTTCAGCCTTTCCCGTATGAGCCTCTTGAGTTGGGCGAAATACGATTACTCCACGTGCAGTGCGGCTCCGACCTAATCTCAATCAAACTCAGCAACGTCAACTTGAGCACAAAGCCAGTCTTCTGGGCTTTGTCCTATGTTTGGGGATCATGGGAGAACCCTGCAACAATCTTGATCAACGACACGACATTTAAAGTTACGAGGAATCTTTATAACGCACTTGACGAGTATCGGCGCCAATTCGCGGATAACAGTAATACGGCTGGTGCCTTATGGGTCGATGCTATCTGTATTAATCAGAACGATCAACATGAGAAATCCATTCAAGTGCCCCGCATGTCTGACATTTACGGTAAATGCGAACGCGTGCTGGCTTGGCTCGGTCCAGTCGAGGCAGAGGATAGCGACGATGTCCGCCGATTGGCAGAAAAGTTGAAACAGTTTGAGTCACCGACAGGTTCCAGTACTGGATCCTTAACGGAGGACGATCGTATTAATTCCTTCAGGCTATCAGCGCATTCTGATAAACACGCAGCGGTTGAAGTAGAAAGCGTTCGACGAGCATTGAGGTCTATCGGTCACCGCCCTTGGTTCAGACGTATCTGGATTCTTCAAGAAGCCGTTCTTGCTAAACAGCAGCCGCTTCTCCTTTGTGGACGGCATGATCTTGGGTATGAAATCTTCTTCAAGACATGGGTTTTCATGCTTGATCCATCCCACGACGGGCAACTCCTACATACTTTCATGGCGGAGAATCCAGTCAGGTTCAAAGCTATAGAGCTGGCTTATAAGAAGATACTTGACGAGCGACTGAAAATTGGGCAAGGAGACGCTGAAACCAATTTCAATCAACAAAGGCAGTGTGCGGTGGAACTCTTGCAGCTGTTGAATGAGGCGACTGAATTGGAGGCCACTGTTGCCCACGACCGTCTATATGCCTTGCTTGGCCTTCTTTCCTGCGATCCATTACCTAAAGCACTACAGCCGGACTACGCAAAGCCCTTTGAAACATTGTGTCACGAGTTGGTGATGTTCATCCTAGCACAGACGCAAGATATCCGTGTGTTGAACCTGGGTACTTTGGGAAATCTTGCTGGAGTGCCATCCTGGACTCCGGATCTGCGGAATAGCTGGATGGCGATGGTTAACCTTACTTCATGCCCAGGAAAATGTTTTAATGTCTCTGAAGATGGCAAAACTCTGACGATGCCTGCAATTGTCCTCGGACGGTGTGTGTCCGTTTATGGCCCAGCTCAGCCTGATCCCACAACCGGGGTAGTACCACCTTCAGATTTCATGGCTTTGGATGAGGAAATCATCCGGGTCGCATCAGCGATCAGAAAGGTCACTCGGATGGAGGTCATGTCTGAGTGGCTGAAGTTCCACCTTGCAAATATCTTCACGGAAGAGCGACTAGTCCAAGACCCCTGGATCGTGCAAAGGGTCATGATGGTATATGTGTGTATGGTACATAACCAACCACTTGAATCACTAGGTTCACGATTCGGAACTAAGGAGCAGCTAGAAGGTGCTGATGGAATGGTGAGGAGCCCAACTCTGCAGAAGAGCATGGTAGGACATAGTATCTTTGTTCTCCAAGACGGGACTGCAGGACAGTTACTAGGAGAGACAGTAGCACTTGCGGGAGATGCGATGTGTGTTTTTCCAGGAATTTCCATCCCGATTCTGGTGAGGCCTGATGAGACTGGGAAGTGTAGGATCATTGGTCAAGTGTCGTTATGGAAGCATATAGGCGCAGGTATGCCTGCAGAATTGCTTGAGAGTTACCGGCTTTCATTCGTTGGTGCACATCACAAGCGAGAGACTAAGCATGAAGTCAGGATGGTTAGTCTCAATTAGATATATAGTTTGCAGTTTCTATTTAGACATTTATAAAATGCATGTGCTTGGATGGAACCTCTCGCTTTCTCAACTGTTTGTCGATCTTGGGAGTCAGTCTCACTTAGCTGCAAGCAGAGACGCTGCTTATTCCCAAGGCATGCATCCATAAACATATCGGATCTCTTACACCACGATCTAGGTTTCTGCGGCATAATTAGAATGGCTGAGCATCATTGCAGGTCTCTGATTGCTGTTGAAAGAAGTATTTATCGAACAGTAAAGGGTGTGTTGCAGAAAGCGATATCGGTTGCCGATATAAACATACATCAGTCTCAAACATCATTCTTCCACTTACAATCTAATTATCAGATTGAGGTAGTTTTGAGATCATTCTAAGCGATAGATGAAGACACATTTCTTCCAGGGAGTATTTTAAGGTTGAATCTCAATATAAGAGCTTTGGAAGTCGCGTGGCCATTATCACGCCACTCCTCATCGTACCATCTTGCCGGGATTAGAGAGATCTACGCGTTTGGTCTTGGCTGCTCTAATTATTCTATCAACATACAAGATTTTAAATAAGCATTGAGAAGAAATTCGCGGATAAGAGTTTGTGCCAGAAATAATGCGATTATACTGAATCATTTTAATGCTATGTTGTGAGTGGTGATATCGCACAGCGCGAACGGGTACGATAGATATTCGCTCCTGAAATTGTTCATTTTCCAATAACCACATTGTGCTAGAACAAGGTGACGACACGGCTATGGATGTGAGACGAGGTAAAGATCATGTGAATGTCTGGAGTAACATGTTTTGCGGTCTGGCGAGTGCCTATGATGAGATGGTCAGGTCAATCAGCCCACTTTCCAGAAGGTTTAGCGGGGGACCGTTCGACCATGTCGTAAACTGCATGACTCCATGCACAAGACTAACTGTCGGGATGAGCCGACAAGCAGCAAACAAGAGAATAAATCGGCTTCAATTTTGCGCAATTGGTATTTATAATCCTCAATGCCCATGCCAGATCTTGACTTCATCACCAAAGCATTCAATCAAGAAGAAAACACAAATACCAATCTTCGTCATGACAGCAATTCATTTCCGCCCTCAGTCCCACTTTGGCTTCCCCAGACCCTCGGCCCCTAAATTTACTGCCCGAGCGGCCCGAATTCTCCCCACTGCAGCGCTTGTTACAACAGCAGCTGGTAAGTTCAAATCTTATCCCCAGGTTAACAATACTTACCAATGACTCAGCCACTTATTACTGTACCTACATTCTACTACAACAACAATACAAGTCAACTATGACTCAACATAGTCAGGCATTACAGAGCTTGAAGGAGTTGGGCGATCAAGAGACCAAGGCGTCAATAGACCAAGACGAAAAGACAATGCAGGAGACGTTATGGTGGACGGCATTTTGAGGAATTGCAGAATTTGGGACTTGAGAAGCAGGAGTTATCTGGCGTGCTGTAACTGCACTTAATTAGTAGGAACTAAAGCTGTTTCTAAAATAAACAAAGAATTTACATTATTCTGTTTATCATCAATAATCGTCATTTGTTATGTGTACCCAGGCGTAGTCATACTCACATCCTTGTTTTCCCCTCACACTTTGAAATATCCAATGACTCATCTGCCTTGATCACCGTCTAAACGTTCTGCACATCCATTTTCATTGTTTGTTGCATCTAAACTCCAACCCATTGTTTTACTGAACCATAATCTTTTACTACGCTGATCTCGAGTAAGTATCGTCATCAACCATGCAGTTGCTTACTGACTCACAATGCGAAGCAGATGGATCCCCCATTTGACGCTGATGGCTTATCCCTATCAAGGGCCAAAGTTGAAGATGTTCCCGCCATTGAGAACATAGTCAAAAAAGCATATACCAAGTATATTGAGCGCATCGGTAAACCCCCAGCACCGATGACAGCAGACTATACCGAGCTGCTCATTTCTCACGATATTTTCGTCTTGACTCTTACCTCGACAAATGAGATCATGGGGTCGATCGTTCTTAAAGAAGACCATAGCACCAACTCAATCAAAATCAACAATCTAGTGGTCGATACGGCCGCTCAGGGACGCGGGTTCGGAGGGTTACTGATGCGCTATGCAGAAGCTTTTGCGAAAGCGAGAAGCCGGCCGGCACTGACGTTATTCACAAATGCAATGATGTATGAGAACTTGGCCTTGTATCCAAAGATGGGGTTCAAAGAAGTAGAAAGGAAGAGTGAAGACGGGTATGAACGGGTATACTTCAGAAAGGAATTGTTATAAATGTCTTTTGACTGAGTTAAGCCTCTACCAACTAGCACTATCCATAAAATGCTCTCAAATCAGGCTAAGGATCTTTGCGCTCGATTGCAACCTGTCACGAGTCCAGTTCTATCTAGGCCTTTCTCCATGGGTTTTTGAGAATGGATGGAGCGAATAGAACCCGAACCTTGCGATTCCAAGACAAACCCCATAGAAATACGATACGGCCAGGAGGATGAGACATTGGCTGATCCGACAGTAGATGTAACCAAGGTATCTCAAAAGTCCCTTTACTAATATGAAGAGATGTGACAGCGGCGATCAGTGATTGGAGTTACAGCCGCTGCCTAGCGCCATGGCTGCTGACTGCCGCCAAGGCCGAGTTCTTTGATTGACAGATATGCTTGGATAAATCGGCATATCACCACTTGGCAGCTGTGGTCGCCGCTTATCTGTAATTAAACGAGTGGAGCCCGATGTCCCGATGTTGAGTCCCGTTTGTGGGGGCGGCAGTTTCAGGAGAATCCTTCAAGAAGATCACAAAGTAGACCATCTAGTACGTTCGACTAGCTTGGGAAACGCAAATAAACATCCAGCTACTAAAACCTTATTGTGGATATAGAAATATGAAAAACATGCAGTGCCAAATGTCGGTGAGTAAAATGAGGCATGAATGAAGGAGCCTTGTGTAACTGTCATATTCGACTAGATGAAGTGAATGGCTGTCCTCAACTGTTTGGGCCGTACAGATTACTTGCTAATTCGGTGATTCTATTAATGAACCTTCAGCAGCCATAACGTGGTCAATGCTGGACTTGGCGAGCAAGGAACATGCTCATGTTGACTCTTGGTAATACGGGACTTGCTTCTCAGCTTCAACGATTATTAGTGCTTGGCGTATTACAAGATGATCTCGACGTATGATACAATTGACGTAATTCTAGGGGCAACATTATCTGACAATAACTATAAGAACCCACCAGAAGCTCTAGAAGCTGAAACTACACCCAACATCAACCACATTCACTCACTCAACCATCTACTCTAAACAATTCAGACTTTGACACCCATTAACACATTCACCATGCTTTTACACAACCTTCTCTTCTCTTCTCTCTTTCTAGCTGTTGCCCAGGCTGGACCCACCGCCCCTGGACAAGCTGTTGCCAAACGTCAGGATGGTCGTGCTCCGCTGTGCGACGATACATCCAAAACCTACGACGGTCCCTACAACGATGGCGAAGGAACCTACGTGACTTCAGACAGAGTCACCCATCCCTACAAGTTCCCCTTAGTTCGCAAATGCTGGTACGACTACTACGTCCTCGAGACCTCGGCGGAGCATACCCCTTGGCAAAAGGCAGCCGGTGATATCTACTGCACTGGCACCCAAGTCTGCACCGCCACCAAGCTTGTAGGCAAGGAAGTGTGCCAAGAGCGATCCGACAGCGTCAGTGCTAGCGTTGGCGCCGAAATTGAGGGAATCAGCTTAGGACTCGAATTCACTACCACCGATACCGAATCTAAGTGCGTACAGGCGCAAGACCTCACAGCTTGCACTTGGGACGATGGGGCTTGCCACACGGTCTGGACCCAGCAGCAGGTCATGAGACAGAAGGGATACCGTCGCCAGAGATGTAACTGGGGTAAAGGAGATGAGACCCAGTGTATGGCAAACTGGGAACAGACCACTCCCTCTGACTTTATCGATTATGGGTGTGGTTCCAAGTGTACTGATACCAACACGTGTGGCAACACTGATGGAAAGCCCTGCTCCAAGTAAGCTCAAACTGTCATTCCGTCAAAGTTTGCGCGATGGCGTTCTTTTCTTTATCATCTTGATGATATATACGTGCTTCTATTCGAGGCTGTTTGGCGACGCTTCGAGACTTGTAAAGATGGAAAGAGGGGGAGGTTCGCTTTTTCTGGCCAATTTTAACTGGAGACTTGGGTATTATAAACTGTTCATATCGTGTTTCATCTGTAGGGGGTTGTGCAGATTATGTAATTCAGAAAAGAAGTTGTTCAATATGTTCCTGATCGTTGAAATATGCGGTATGTGCTACCTTTGTCCCCACCGGCAGGATTTAATGTAATTCCACCCGCGTAGAGTCTGTAGATTCTACACTGATTGAGTATCATACAGATAGATAGGTGGGATCTTGCACAATTTACAATCCACGTTATCGAGTATAAGGGTAGATGTTATGAGTTTGTTTGGCTTCGATGGAGTAAGAGGCGGCCTAAGGTTATGTCCCTTATTGATTTAAGTAAAGACTAGTAAACTCGATTAGAATATGTTCGAAGCTCATTCAAGTACCACTCTCATCACATATTTCGTTCTGTACTTTCCTAATCTTGTAGATATCCCTCACCAACGTGCAGTATAACCAGACCATCCCGGCTCGCGATACCCAATGGCCTCATAAGAATGCAATGTAGTTACTATATTGTATTCCATTGCTTAGATACCAGGTAAATCATGTTGCAGTTATTGACTGGAGTGTTATTCTAGCACATCAACTGCACGGTGCTTGCACGGTGAGAATGTTACATCATAGCACATTAGGTCTTACTCAGCTGATGTATGGATTCCTCGGACCCTCGGTACCGGATATAATTCGAGACTTGGATTGGTAAATTTGGGCATCCTGTACCTTTATGTCATAGGCCCCTGATCGATGGTCCTCCTTCGGCTCGTCGGGCGCTTGTGTATGTCGAGCTTTGCGATTGATGACGGAAAGGTAGCCTCAACTTAATGCATAAGACTAATATAAACCTTCATAAGTAGTTTTAGAAGACTGGTGTTGTTTTTAAAATTCAATTTAATTATCATTGCGTAGACGAACTCAAGCCCTTACTATGTATAGCTAACTCCCTTTTAAATTTTTGCCTTGAGACAGTGGGAGAAATGTGTAAAGCTTAGGCTGTGCGGAGTGGCGGTGTTGCGTTACCGCATAGGATCATTTCACGCGCACTGTAGGGCAAGACAGGTATAAGTTAAATAGGGTAGTCTGCCTCTTCTCTTATCTACACAATTCGAACAACATTTCATCTAACAACATGACGACAGAGACAATACATAGCCCTCGGCCGCGTTACTTGATCTCATCATCTCCCCGCACCGCATCGAACTTGCTTGTCCGAATCCTCAACTTGGATGGGCAGGGCGCACACCCCGTACGCTTCAATGGCTACTTCTGGTTGTCATCACTCGCCCAACGACGTGCAGTCCTGGAGAAGCCCATGTCTGAATGGACAGTGGAGGACAAAGAAAAGCTTGAAGAGGTCGAACAGCAGTGTTTTGACAATTTATTAAGCTACCTAGCCGGCGCTGAGAAGAAGGGACAATTAGTTTTATTCAAAGAGCATGCCTTTCTTCTGAATCACCCGTTTTACGAGTCCGAACTCACTCACGGCACAGACACTACCATTGGGGAACCCACGGTATTGAAGAATGATGCGACAGGCCCACGCTCCCCACTGAACAAGACTGTTCTCTCGGATGAGATGCTCAAGTCATTCAAACCACTTTTCCTCATCCGACACCCAGCCCTGTCATTAGCGTCCATGTATCGCGCAGCGCGCAGCGACGAATTTCAACGCGGAAGCAAGGAACCCGATGTCACGGAGAGGTCATCAATCTGGATCAGGAGCCTCTTCGACTTCTACGAAGCTCATCAGCCTGGAGAACCCCCACTCGTTCTGGATGCTGACGATATGATGACCTCCCCGGAGCTTGTGATGAAGTATGTTAAGCTGGCTGGACTGGACCCTGATAAGCTTCGTTTCTCATGGGAGAAAGCGTCCCCCGAGGAGATCAGCAAGCAGTCGATCATAGCACAGAAAATGCTTAGTTCACTGAATGCCAGTGACAAGGTTAATCTTGAGAAGGTCGGCGGAAACATTGACATTGATGCGGAGGCACAGAAGTGGCGAGCTGAGTTTGGCGATGTTGATGCGGCCAAGTTAGAGAGTTGGGTTCGAGCAGCTATGCCGGATTACGAATACATGAGGTCCAAGAGAGTAACTTTGTAGTTACGGATATGGTCACAATAACAATTACGAGTATCCTGCTAGGGAGGAATGTTCAAACATAGAGCGGAGCTAAACCCAGTAGAGACTAACAGTGTCACCACATATGCTGCCTAGAACGTTACGGGTAAGTGTAGAGGTTGAGGATAAGGTGGTGATGTTTACATGGCTTTTACCTCCCAGTTGAGTTACAGTTCGAAGTGGAATTTGGTCTCGACAAAGACTAAATTAATAAGGATTTTAATATAAAATGATCTCCATTTGCATGGATCAAGTGAAATGAAAGTAATTGATTTTATCTTATTCCATGCTACCACTTTCTCTTGAGGTTTCCTGCTGCAGTAAAACTGTCAAGAACGATTAATTCCTGCAGGTTGCTGCACCAAGGCCTTCTTCACAGGTCGGTATCGAGATATAAGCCTTGGGGAAATGCAGCCTAGTAAGCTCTAGCGATGGCCAGGCCAACAATAGCAACAGCGGCAACGCCCATTCCAGAACTGCGAGCACCAGCATTCTCAGCAACGTTGGTAGGAGTTGAGGTGCTTGAGGCAGTTTCCGTGACGGAGCCAGTTGCGGAACCAGTGGTAGAGTCGGTGGCCTTGGCAGTCGCAGTACCGGTTGCAGTGGCATCAGCCCAGGAATAGGATGAACAGAACCCGCTGGCGGGAATAGCAGCAGACGAAAGCTCGTCCATAACCTCGGGAACATCCTTGCATGCGTCGTAAACGCTTGAGAGGTCATCCTCGAACTCGGACACCCAGCTCTCGAAAGACTTGGCGTATGAGGTATAGGCCGCGGCCATAGAACCAGTAACTGCAGGGATAACACACTCGCTGACCACGGCTTCCCACTGAGTCTCCTTTGCGAAATAGTTATCGAGGCTCTTGTCCGGGGTGGGCATGGCGCTCAATCCATCGACGAGGGCGCTGGCTGCTGAGGTACATTCGTCGAGATCGCGCTGTTCCAGCTGAGCACTAATAACAGAGGCAGCCATAGCGGCAGCAAAGAAGGAGACGCGTAGGTACTGCATGATGGCGAAGTGTTTTGGATATAGTAAACGAATGTGTGAGGCAATGCTAATGTGAATGAGTGAATGAAAGCTGCTCAATCTCAACTACGACCAGGCCGGGTTTTAAGCCTTTATGTCTAAATCTTAGCTGACAGCTGTCTGCCAAAAGGGGAAAATGAGTTAAAAAGTTGTTGTCCCACAAGCTGAGTCGAGCTAAAAGTGTTTTGATCCACAAAGAACTTTTCATCGGGTTTTGATAGGATGTAAAGGATCGCCGTGCAAGAGCACAGAGCCGTTATCTCGGCAATTACCGAACAAGGACAAGAGTCTTTTGCGAGCTAAACCTTCAACCGCACAAGCCAATTATAAGCACCAAAGATTATCAGTGGTCCACTCGACAGACGTGAACCTCGCCACTAATGCAGGGGTACTCTTTCACGATGGTTTTTATTACGTTCGCCTACATGTGAAAGCCTTGGCCTTCAACTCGATCCATACAATGAAGAACGTGATATTCCGATTCCGGAGATGGGAACCGATCAACTAGACTTGAAGATCATTAGAGGGACTTGTGCTAGAAGACCATTCAATGAGTGAAAGCAGAAGGAATCAACTTCGCTCCTTTAATGTCTGTATCTCTTCTGTGACTAAAGATATTACTATTCTGGGAGGTTAATAACTCTGAGTAGGGAGGCTGACTGGGTGAGTGTCGATACTCATCCTGTGGGCCGCAATAAGACCCAGCTAGTGTATGTTTGGGCATCTATGGCTCGTGATCACCGGCCCGATATCATGTGGGAACTCACTCTTTTTTCAGGTAGCAACTAAAGAAGTGGCAGAACTTGGCCATCGTTATTGGCAAGATAGTGGCGACACTGGACCTGTTCTAGAAAACAAGATCTCTGTTCGTGTCGTTCTATCGCGATTTCAGTCATATATAGTTAATTGTCACTGGGGAGCGAGTCCCAGAAGTGTTGTCTGTTCTCCGCTGATCTCAAACTCGATGTTCTCATGACTCTTTGGGCACCAGGACAAAATTTCCTCTGGATCACAAAGAGGGCAGCATCAAAGAGTCCCTATCCCAACATGGTCATTGGTCTTGCACTCTCCATCTGTCAAGAGTATGCTTGCATCACCAGATGTACCAGATCTCTGGATAAGGCTACTGATAGCGGCGACACGGGTGACTTCTGGGTGCTTGAATTCGTCATAGCTGCACTCCGCCTTATTGAGCATCTCGACATGTGGCAGCGTGAGGATATTGCTTACAGCAATGACTTTAACGGTAGGGCGCGGTGAACTTCAGGGTCTAGAGTCCGAGTCGTGAAAAAACGCGTGTACATAAAGACGCTGGATCATCGTTTCCACTCAAACTTTCGTGCTGTTTGCGAGGTTAACAAGCCACGACGAAGTCGCTCAACCTTGACGTTGGTGCCGATGCACCACTGACCATACCCTCCTCAGCCAAATTTCACCCTCGCGCATCCAGCCGCAGGCCTCGATGTAGCGGGTGACTCTACGACTGTGTCACTGAGCCATTAATTGAGGCTCATTACAAACGAAGAGGCAATTACAAAAGCCACCACTGGCATTTCCTCTGAAGTTGAAGAAACTGCCGCTCATTCCACCTGACACAGAAGTGCTTGAGCCATTGTGCTATTCTCCTTCGCCAAGTTCAATCACTGGAAACTCCTGGACAACTGCAGTTCTCAAACGGCAGGAATTGACTTCAAGCCAGCAGAGACAGCGCGAATCAAAGTAGTAGCCAAAGCGAGCTATACTACTATCTGATGCTGTAGTGACACTGAGAAATGCTCATGATGCACAAGTTGGTTCACCTAAGGACACCAATGACAAGCCCGGGGATGACCAGCCACTCTAGCCGCGAATGTGACAACCGTGGCGCAACTCGTGCGACTTGCCTTACCTCGCCGACTGCCAAATTCATCCCTTGTTCGGTGTATTTGTCAAGCGGTATGGCTGTGGAAAGACGCCGCCTGTTGATGGTAATGATAGCTATACTGTCCCAAAATAGGTAGCTAAATGCCTGCTGTGTGACGCTGCGACGTTTTCTTGACTATCCGTGTTCATTCAAGACTCAGTTCCAAAAGACTCAGTGGTCGGCGAGATGAGGATGAAGAGCTTGATTAAGAAACTTCTAAAGAACTGGTGCAGCTGGCAAACATCATGATTACCCGCCTAAATTCAACAGGTCTGAGTTGTATGGACGCTAACTCACCAGATCTCCGGCCGGACCGTGACCACTCTAATTAATTCACTTCCGCGAGCGATGAATAAGAGTGAAAGTTTCATGTCATTGATCATTCTGGCACGAAGGAGCTGAGTATGGGAGACTTCGCTGCTTTATATGAGTAGGCCCCAGAGTTGAACGACTCGCCAGCCGTAGAAGTGTTTCAATAGGGCTTCAGAGCTGAGTAAAATAGTTTAGGCCAGTTTCTTAGGGCTCTAGAGGTGGAATGGTGGTACTGCCATTGTGTAGAGGTGAGTGGTACCCAGGATATAAACGTGGAGGGCAGGACTTTGTATATATCGAGAACCTTTCGCATCTGAGCTTACTTACTTTATCTCTATTTGGTCCTTCGTATTTGTATTTTTCTCCGTCACTGCATCGTGCCAGTCCATTAATGCACAATCTTTAGATCCACGCCTCTAAGCTCACTCTCCAGGCTCGGGTTAGTGTTGGCCGATTAGCGGTATTAGCGATCGGCAAAGACAAAATTGGAGACGTCAGAAGGTACTCCACCTCGTCAGCGGGCCCTCGTCGTTATAAAGACAAGACTGAGTAACCTTTACGCCCACGATACTTTCTGCAATCGCTTTCTCCCCGCAGTCTTATTCTCACAAAATGTCGTTGAAAGTAGTCGATGTACGATTTGAGCATTATCGCCACCCCAATACCTTGGGTGTCCACGAGGAAAGGCCTCGCATTTCCTGGCGTTTCGATAATGCCCCTCCACGCTTTGAGCAAGAGGCGTATGAGATACGCGTTGACGAGCTCGTCGGGCAACAAAAGAAGCACATCACGACTGCACAAGTCGAATCCCCAGAGTCTTATCTAGTTCCTTGGCCGTGTGAAGACAGGATCGTATCTCGTCAGCGATACATCGTTTCTGTTAGAGTGCGGGGCAAGGGACAGGACTTTACTGAGTGGAGTGAAGAAGCTTGGCTAGAAGCCGGCCTTCTGAGTCGAAGTGACTGGAAAAGCAAATTCATCACGGCGCCTTGGTCTGACAAAGATACCGACAAGCCAAAGCCAGAAGATCTCTTCCGCAAAGCTTTTTCACTCGGTGCAGAGGTTCAGTCTGCAAGGCTTTATGTCACCGCCCAAGGCGTCTACGAGGCAGAGATCAACGGCAGTCGTGTTGGCGATTACTTCTTAGCGCCAGGCTGGAGTTGTTACGACGATGAGTTGACGTATCAAACATACGACGTCACTGAACTTCTCGACGGCAAAGACAATTGCCTAGGTATTCGGGTAGCAGAAGGTTGGTTTAATGGCCGGCTGAGCTTCGATGGAGGAAGGCGAAACGTGTATGGTTCACGCACAAGCCTTCTTGCACAACTCGAACTGCAGTTCTCAGATGGTTCCAGCCAGGTCATCACCACAGACGATAGTTGGACAGTGACTCAGGGTCCAATTCGTCAGGCAGAGCTCTACGATGGAGAGAAGTATGACACCACGGCTAAGATACAGGGGTGGTCTTCTCACGGCCCTGTCACCGGAAAGTGGGAGTCTGCTGTGGAGATACCTTTCATATCCGAAAAGATCACTTTGACAGCCGGCTACACTGAGCCTACCCGCCGTACCGAGACGGTCCAGGCTATCGATAGGATCACCACTCCATCAGGACAAACAGTCCTCGACTTTGGTCAGAATCTGGTTGGGTATGTCCGCATCAAGCAAATCAAGGGCAACCGTGGCCACAAGGTCACACTACGCCATGCGGAAGTTCTCGAGAACGGGGAACTAGGTACCAGGCCTCTTCGCAAATGTGACGCAACGGATGTGTACACTCTCAGAGGCGATACTGAACCTGAGACATACGAGCCAAGATTTACCTACCACGGCTTCCGTTATGTCCAAGTTGAGAATTGGCCGTCAGCAGATCTCGACGTGGCTCATTCACTCGAGGCTGTAGTCTGTCACACCGATATGGAAGAGCAAGGAACATTTGCATGCTCAAATGACAAGCTGAACAAACTATTCAGCAATGTCCGCTGGAGTATGCGGGGCAATTTCCTCTCCATTCCGACCGACTGCCCTCAGCGAGACGAGCGCCTTGGATGGACAGGCGACCTGGCTTTGTTCGCCCCCACGGCTACTTTTCTCTACGGCTGCTATCCAATTCTTCGCGATTGGCTCAAGGGAGTTTGGTACGATCAGCAACAACAAGGTGGAATACCGCCGATGGTTTCGCCCAATGTGCTTGACAAATGCAGAATATGGGGTCCCGTTTGGCCTTGCGCTATTTGGCATGACGTTGTTGTTTTGGCTCCATGGGCTTTGTATCAAGAGACTGCTGATCCCACTATTTTGGCTGACCAGTTTGAGTCTATGGAAACATGGATGCGGGTCATTCCCAAGAACAAAGACCGATGCACTCATCTCTGGGACTTTAAAGCTGACCAACTTGCGGTATGTATTTCTGGCTAGTAAAGAATTCTCACTAATATTGTCAGGATTGGCTTGATCCGAACGCACCCCCCGAAGATGCCGCGAAAGCCACGACAGACCCCCCACTAGTCGCGAACGCATTCCTTATACACTGTCTCGATATAATGTCCCGTGTCTGCGATGTCCTCGGAAAGACAGACTCCGCCTCTTCCTATAGATTGTGGGCCGAAAACGCACGTACCGAATTTGCACAAGAATATGTCTCTCCAAGTGGTCGCTTGGTGTCTGATACCCAAACCGCATACTCTCTGGCCATCTGCTTCAATCTCTTCAACAAGGAGCAGCTGTCTCGTGCCGGTGCCCAACTAGCAGACATTGTCCGACGGAATAGCTTCCGCATAGGCACCGGATTTGCCGGAACACCTTACGTGTGCGAAGCTCTTGTACGAACAGGCCACAGCAATGTTGCCTATTCCATGCTGCTGAATGAGAAGTGCCCATCTTGGCTGTATGCTATTTCCATGGGCGGCACCACAACCTGGGAACGATGGGACAGTATGCTCCCCGACGGGTCCATCAACCCCGGTGAGATGACTAGCTTTAACCATTATGCTTACGGAGCTGTCGCCAAGTTCATGGTCGAGAGACTCGCCGGACTGCAGCAGATTGAGGCGGGATGGAAGAAATCTAGGGTACAGCCAGAAGTCGGCGGTGATTTCACTTGGGCATCCGCGTCGCACTTGACGCCATACGGCAAGGTTTCTAGCTCTTGGAAGCTTGAGGACAATAGCTCAGGACAACAGTTGCATGTGGATATCGAGGTCCCGCCAAGGACGACAATGGAGGTTGTACTACCTGGTGGCGATGGTCTTAAGACAGAGGTTGTTGGCTCGGGCAAATGGTCGTTCAAGGTGGAATATGAGAGACAAGGTGAATGGCCTGTGAAAGAGATCAAGTTTATCCTTGCGAGTATTGTTGAGCAGTTTGAGAAGGACGCACAGAGCCAAGGTTGAGTTTAGACTAGAGCTAGAATACAAAAGTCCAGACGATGCTATGATTATGGTCATGAACATTTTTCCTTGCCGACATGTACTTGCGTATACCTCTCGATCGAGTTGCCACTTTATGATCATCCATTGTATCCCTGCCTTTGTTTCAAAGCCACATCGACCTATCGAGACCTTTACTCGATGCCAGTCGATAATTCGGATTGAGATGACCCAGCTTCGGTGCATGAAATCGCGAGAAATTGCTTATATATCCGTGCCCTACCAACGTGAAGAGGATGTATCAGAGCTTCTGGACCGACGCCTCCTGATTTTGCAATATCCTGAGATGATCCCAACACCATTGATCAATATCTTATGACGCCTCAATGTCACCGGTAACTCCTTTCGGCGCATCAAGACCCGAGTAGTTGGTAAATTTGAGGGATCACACGATTTCGGACTTCACCTGGATGAGGAGGTTCTCGACCGAAGTAGAGTTGCCAATTATATGAGTTCAAAGCCGGCGCTATCTTTTCTAGCCCCGGCTTTGATCATTTCCAATTGGCTCAACACTAGCCCGATATCCCTACCCGAAGGCCGACCTGGGCACCCTCGTTGACTTGGAGATTTTCTCCATCCGGGGCCCCGCACTTTGAATCTGGAGTAACTTTAATGACTGGGGGATGTGGGTGATAGCCTTTTTGCAGACATGATCGTCATTATATATACCTCGGGTCCTGTCCTCCATGGTAATTCATTCTCATCATCAGAGCATCACTCAACTCCTCTCATCACATCTTCTATCTCAAACATCTTCATCTCCCTCTATCAATCATGGAGAAGCCCGAATCGACCGCCCACGTCGAGCGATCCGACTCCAAAGCCATCGACCTATCACCAGACCAAACCCGCGGCCATGCTATCCAACAGCAGGAACACAATCGAACATACCTCCAAACCCTCCGCAAAGACCCATGGCTTCTCCTTTGGATTGGTGTCATGCTTTGGACTTTGATCGTCCGCGGCTTCGAGAACCAATCTTCAGGATCTGTCATTAGTATCCCCGTGTTCAAACGGCGATTCGGAAAACAACTCGATGACGGTTCATACTTTATCGAAACAAGCTGGCAATCTGCCCTCAGTGGTGGCTCCAATGGTGCTGCCATTGTCGGCGCCTGGGCTTCCTCATACTTTGCTGATATCATCGGCTTCAAGCCTGTCATTCTGATTGCTGCAGCTATCAACATTGGCTCAGTCGGTGTGGAGTTCGCTTCTACTTCCATCGAGATGTTCTTTGCTGGAAAGATGATCAACTTCATCGCCATTGGAGCCTTCCAGAACCTCTGCACAGCCTATGTCGCAGATGTCTCGCCATTGGCTATCCGATCGACCACAATTGGCTTCTGCAACCTTGCTCAATGCATCGGTCCTTTCATCTCTGCCATCCTGTCCAACTTCAGCTCTCAATGGGAGAGCAACTGGTCCTGGCAGTCACTGATCGTCGCTCAGTGGGGCTTTGCGGGAGTTGCCTTGGTTGGACAGCTCCTGATGCCAGAGTCTCCCGTGTATCTTGTGCGCAAGGGCAAGATGGAAAAGGCTCGCAAGGCGCTTGGACGCATGTACACAAGCCCTGAGGATGCTGACGGTCACTTGGAGCGTATCAAGTTGACCCTGGAAGAGGCAGACTCGAAGAACCTCGGATCTTTCATGGACTGCTTCAGAGGTACCAACCTGCGACGATCTCTTATCGCCATCATGGTGTTCCTTTCTGAGCCCATGTCCGGCCTTGGCTTTGTGTCCAACTATGGTGCTCTGATGTATCAGTACCTCGGAATCAGCGATAAGAAGTCTTTCGAGATTCAGATTGGTGCTCAGATCCTTTCTATGTCAGGTGCAACCATCGCGTTCCTTGTTGGAGACTTTTACGGTCGACGACCTATGTATATCGCTGGATGTATCGGCCTATCTTGTCTCCTGATTTGCATGGGTATCTCAGGATCAGTCAACACCACCGCTGCCGTCACTGCCTCTGTTGGATTCTACACCATGTATAACTTTTTCTACAACGTGGGTGTGGGATCGACTGTCTACACAATTGCAGGAGAAATTCCCACCTCGGTATTGCGCACCAAGACGCTCGCCATTTCCATCTCAATCTCTTCCGCCGTCAACACCATGTGGTCATTCGTCGCCCCTTACATCTTCAACCCCGGCTATGGCAATCTCAAGGCAAAAATTGGTTTTGTATATGGCGCTTTCATGATTATCTTCGCTGTTTTGGCGTTCCTCTTTGTTCCTGAGACCCGCATGAGGAGTTACGAGGAGCTGGACGAGCTCTTCATCAACAAAGTTCCTACTCGACAGTTCCGCAAATATACTACTGTCGCTGAAAGACGTGCGGAGGAGGCTTATGCTATTGAGAACGCTGCCAAGGAGAAGCAGATTGTCTAGGAACTTGTCGACGCAGTTGATGTTTAGGTGTGTTGGAGTGCTGGGTATCTATAGTGTGATCTTGACTCAATCTTTGCAACAAATTGTTTTACTTTTGCCTGAAGTATTTGAACGCAGTATGTAATCTGTTGAACATTGTTAATTAATATTTCACTTTGTGTGAAACGTTGACCATCTCGACACCAACCTCTAATTGACGGTTTTCTTTGCCTTGTCCTAAGCCACTGGAGATTGCCCAACAGGCGTCATGAGTTTTGATCATACCAAGCGACTCATTACCGCCCGACACTTTTGAACTCGATTCGGCCATGGACGGCACACCTTTCAGCTAGAGGTTTCTTCGGACAGACATGACGCGAGGAACCAATCATTAAATTGATGCCGTTTTGTTACAATTAAACGGGTGCTCGGGTTTTCTTGACGATGATTGACGAATACGCGGGAAATCAACTCCACGTGAGGCGAGTGAGGAGAAATCCGTTAGTGCCGGCTTTAAACAAGATCGATTGGCTCTTGACACCGGCTTTGTGATGATATGATTGGATCAATGCTACCCTCCACATCCCGATGATGCCGGCTCTTGGATTCGGGGAACTTGGCTAAAACGACCCCCTCAGCAACTCCCGACTTAAGTTCAATACCCTATACCTTTTGCGTCTTGTAGAGTATTGGAAGGAAATGGTACAGTAATGTTCTCAGATAGCATTTGACTACTGTGGTTTGAGACGTTACAAAATTATATGAACTAAGCAAAAGACTATCCTACATCGTTTCCATGGAGATATTCCTTTGAAGCCGCTCATCGTATTAGGGGTCGCATTGCGCAGACGGGAAAGCTTTTACATGGTGTACAACTGCACAGTGATATGCCCGGGACTAACCAAGCGCTGTATATCCTGGATTGTGTTCAGCCTTCACCGTCAAAGCCATAATTTTGGATGTCCATAATCATGGCTTGAGTAATTCGGCCTCGTTCCAAATTCACATCTCCACCCGTTGAACCGGCGTGAGACCCATCCCAACTATCGTCAACCTTGTCCTCGAGCTCCAGGGCGTGAGCGATCAGAAACTTGACCATCCACTTGTCAAATCGATATGACTCTGTGCTTATCGATCTCATACAATGCTTCTGGAATACCACCAGTCGACCAATCTATAAAACATCAGCATACTCCACGCATCGGTACCAAAGACTTACCATCCTCTCAACACTAGGCCAATAACTTCGGAGCTGTACCAACGACTCGAGGTTTGATCCAAGTCGTTCCCGAGAATCTTCAAATTCATGTGACTCTCCAAAAAGATAGGTATGAAGCAGTACAGACGACGATACAATAGTGACATGTCCAACAATATTGTACAATGCTTCAGCGCCGGGAACTTCTCGGGAAGCCTTCAGGATGTCGCAAACCGTAGAAGCATGTGCTTTGCAAGAGTCTGCATACTTCTTTCCGTTTCTCGTAGGCGGTCTTCGGTGGTCCAGATAATGGTAGAACAATAATGTGTAGTAATGGTGGTAGCCAAGGTGGAAGGCCACAAACACACGACCCAAGCCACGACCGATAAATACTTCCAGGTTCTCCCTTGTGAACATCAGGCCTGGACCAACAGTCTCTTCGAAAGCCCCAAGCTCAGCCTCAAGACGTTGTACCGTTTCCTCTATCGAATGCTCGTCCCAATCAACCGTGTCCGCAAGATCTTGGTGGAGATGTTGTATCTGGGTGTATATCTCGACAAGCTTGACCATGTAAGCCCACAGTCCAGGCTTCCATTCGGAGTCTTCAATGTCAGCATCTCCTTTTTTCATGTTGAAAAAGACATATTCGTCCATTGGCGCTCGTGGTTGGTTCGCTTGCCACTTGAACTGCCGTGACAAGTTGGAGCCTCCACTGGCCCATGTGTCAATTATGAAGCACGTCCAGAATATTCGTCTTTTGACTTCGCGTGTAACACCGTCGTCCATCTCATCGTAGGATCCGAGTTTTAGAATCTGAGTCATTCGACTAGCCAATCCTGAAAGAGTAAGACGGTTGTGAACTGGTTTGAATGGTCTGTTGCAAGCACTCACCAAAGTACAACGATTCAGCATCTGCATCGCCATCTCCGAAGAAGTTATTTCCAACCAATATGCAGGCTTGCACGTTCTCGATACATATGTTTTCAAGGTCATCCTTTAGTGCTGCACATGCCTTTTTCCGATACACAACGCCAAGCGCAACAACTTCTGGCTGTGTGGCAAACCTACAAGCTATTAGACTGCGTCCTCAGCTCATTACAAAAAATATTGATATCATACCTTGCTGACATGCCCATCATAGCGAGGAGAACTGGCTGAGAAACAGTCCCTTCAGCAACGCTTGCCTTGAACGTGGGCTCATGAAACAGCGTGTGCGGTTTGTCGTGTAGGAAGATGAAGTAAAGGTCTACCAAGTAGGTGTGCTCATTGGATGTATGAGGCGAAAGAACGGGAGGAAGGGACGTCTTTGTTGGCAGTGGCTGTTTGGGAGCGGCAGCGGCTGAGCATCGTAAGTTTCGAGAGATGCATTGTAGACAAGCCGAGTCACCCGCTCGATCGCATCTGCGCTTTCCGCTCCTACATTCCAAACATGCTGTTGTCGGTCGCATAATCTCAGGTGCTGAAAACCAGTCTGGTATCTTCTGAAGCGCAATATGAAAGGGCAAAAGGCCAACAAGGACAGGATCTAGATTTATGGCTCACTAGTCCTAATTCAGAAGTACTCCATGGCTTTGCCGACACGGGGCAATTGGACACTCCTACGATGTTGCGAAATGTTGAGATACTGAAGGAATGATCAAACGTAGAAGTAGAAGGAAGAGAGAAAGCTTCAAGAATAAAGTCCTGGTTACCGCCTTGACCTACCCCGCTTTTGCAGGAAGATAGACAAATAGGCGAACAGTTTATGAATATATCTTGGCTTTAACTCCCCATTAACATAGGATAAATTGAATTCTCGAGATGGGTGAGAATTCTATGCGCTCCATTGTTCCTCCGCCTTGGCAGCCAACGTCATCCATTTCTATCGCTCTTACCCTCACCAACACCCTAACCTTCCAAATCTCTTCTTCTCAGATATCCTCCTTGTTTTCTCCACCTGCATACACAGCTTCTATTTGACATGGTACATTTCTCCATCACGACAGATTAATCATTGTTAAAATACGTCAACATACAACAGTAAACGATCATGAGCACCCAGCGTCCCAACGACCAGCAAAGTATCACGGACATCTTTCAATTATGGCTGGTTAAAATGCGCGAGAGGGGGTATCCGCCAAACGGCCTAGACCCAGCCATGCAAGCTGCGCTCAAGCGTATTGAAACTACTTTCAGCGATGTCAAGAAGAACATGAGCGCCAACCTAGCTAATGAGCTTGCAGCCTTGACTATCAAAAAAATGGGAGGGATGGCTCTTAGCCTTGTGCGGGATATCACTCGCTGTCCAGCATACCAAGTCCTAAAGGATGCTTCAGCCTCAGGGTTGTCCATCACCTTTCCCGACTGGTTCTTCTTCGCCACCGTATATGGTCCCAATCACACTGCAATCCAACCCTTCCATGATTAGATATCTTCGCACTGGGGGGTGCAGTTCCCAATCAACAAAGTGTCCTTTCCTTCTGGTTTGAGTCACGAGGAGCAAGTAATGCGTTTTCGAAGAATCAAAGAACGTAACCCTCAATCCGAACATCCTTCTGTAAGTCTTAGACCACCCATTTAATCTGATACCTTGGAACAGAGGCTTACATACTATAGAGCACTCTAAAATCAGAGATTCCCGAATCCCCCCAAATCCCTTCCGACCGAGGTTCAGTCGACAAAGCTGGTCAAGACAGGGAACACGAAGAGAAGACCAAATGTATGCAGTGTGACATCGCTGAACTGCAATCCTGGAAGATGAAGTGTGGATTGTCCAAGTTCGATACCGATTACCGACTCGAGAACTTGAGCAAATTAGTACTTGAGTGTCGCAACACTATGACATCGCAAGCTGGGCAGATCGTCACTCTCAACGAGGCGAACAAGACTCTTGCAGCGAATTTTTCAAACCACCAAACCATGGTTCGCCAAATCCTTAAGGAGATTATGAGGATCTATCCCGACAAGCGCAAGCATGACACAAACCATGAGGCCCGAGGCGGAGGAAAGCGTCAGTGTACCTCGGAAACACACGAGCCCACAAACGACGACACTCAGTGACAGGGGTTGTGAGTAAAGGCTTCTCTATGGGATGATGCAATCATGATGGTGTCATTTGTGGTGGGAGAAGCCGATGAATGAGGCGCTGCAATCCGTACTGGGCAAGTATTATTTGTTGAGAGGGAGAAGTGCTTCGCCTAATGGCAACCATTCTCTTTATGATCCTCCTCAGTAGATATGTTTTAATCGTTTAGCGCTAAGAAAAACAATGCAATTATGATAGCAGCGGGTATTTCGCTCTACAGTAGTATAAAACCAGGCTCAGTCTATACATGACTATACTACTCTTTACCCTGAAAGTTCCCAGGATTCGCTGTTTTTTATACTTGATACACGATTATGCAGATCATAATAAACTCTTATTGACCGGTATGGCTTTATTGTTGACCTAAGGTAATATAGAAATTCTTCTATCTGCGTATCTATTTTAGTACATCCCTTGCATGGAACTGTATACTGTAAAGACGACATCGAGCACGGAGACAAGACCAGTCGTTGACAATTGGCAGTCAACCAGATTTGGCCGTGGACGCGCCTGTGGGTACGACGATACCTAGAATGCCGTTTTCTGTATCTGTCGCCAGAGCATGCGCCTTGGTTCCACGGAATTATACGTCCAATTCGCGGGTTGCCCGAACTCGCGACGCCAACCCATGGATGGACGAACGTAACGTGCGACGGGCAAACGCGACGAGCAGATCGCTGGGTTCATCTCATCTAGAGAAAATGGGTGCTCGTAAGATAAGACTCGATTGTGTCCGTAAGTTACGCGCCCTTGGGTATTTTCTCATGTGTTGCAACACTTTTCATAGGGTATGATTCACTCCTCTTCTCTCACCGATTTTGGGTAACGTCCTCATCACCATTCGTCGCTCTTGGTGACTGTCTGACATCCGATTCCTCCGATGAAATCTCTTGCTTGCGTCTCTGTTTCTACAATCTTCAGTTTGTTTCCCGCGCGGTCGGTGTCGATTGTCAAAACCCCTGAAGGATCGATGATAACCACAGGTCTTCCGTCCATGAGCAAGCGGGTAACGTCGGACTGGATGATTTGCTGGGCGACAGAATTGAATGAGAAAACATCGCGGAAGGAAAAGACGACAGCGCATGCATTTCGAGCACTGCCAGAGCCGGGGTCCTCTGGGTCGGGGTCTCCAAGCTCTCGTGTGATGGCACGGGTGAGTCGCTCTGATCCCGCGAAACGTACAACACCTCGTAGACTGAAGATTATCACCTCCTTGTTGCAGTTTTGGTGATGAGGCTCGTTTTCCCCTGCGACAATGGTTGCTAAGGATGTGCGCACAGTCGCCTGGGCAATCTGGCTGACATCCATCATGTGTAGCCCCATGTCTCTCGAGAGCTGCTCGCATATCGCAACTCCTCGGACACTGTTTCCCCGGGAGTCGAGCTTGGGAGACAGGACAGCAATGCCCATCTGACCAGGCAAAGCGCCGATGATACCACCTGCAACACCACTCTTTGCTGGTATACCGATCCTTGACATCCAGTCACCTGCAGCGTCATACATACCGCAAGTTGCCATGACGGACAGAATTTGGCGAACACTGTCCTGAGCAATTATCCTGTCTCCGGTCTCGGGGTGGATACCTGCGTTGCAAAGAACCGCTGCCATCATTGCCAAATCGCGAACATTGACATTGATGGCGCACTGGCGGATGTATCCTTGCACAATCTGCTGAGTATCGCCAGTGATAATACCGGCCGCTTTGAGCATGTAGCCAATTCCCATGTTGCGATCAGCGCCTCTCAGCTCAGCCTGGTACACCTCTTCGCAGACGTGCAGCCTTCGACCTGCCAACTTGGACAAAGCTTCGAGGATGCGCTCTGTTCTTTGATCAGAAGTCCAGTCAGGACCTCCAATGAGAGAGTGCGCCGTGATGGCTCCCGCATTGATCATGGGGTTCATGGGTCTGTTCGTTCCACGTTCTAGACTCAGAGAATTGAAGGCATCTCCCGAGGGCTCCACGCCGATCTTCTCTAGGACCATGTCCAGTCCCGCATCCTCAATCGCGAGCGCGTAGACAAAAGCCTTTGAGATGGACTGAATGGAGAACTCGACATCGTCATCTCCGGTTGAGTAGATTTGCCCGTCGACCATAGCAAGGGCCACCGCTATTTTGGAAGTGTCGGCTTTGGCCAGGGTCTCGATGTAGCTAGCCGGCTTGCCTGTCTCGATAGGGCGGGCATTTTCCAGGACCCGGTTGAGATAGTCTGGGATAGGTGACTTCATTTTGGATTTCGATCGCGTAATGTCGTTGCTGGGGAGAAAATACAAATTTTTCAAAACTCGGGTCATTGTGGGTGAGGACAATGTCGTAAGCCAAGACGCTCGTCCAATGATGATGAAGCTTGACAAAGATAATCTGATTTTGAGAGACTAGTCACGACCCACAGACGATATTTTATATGGCAACGTTATTGAGGTAGGGTAGGATGGGCTTTCAATTATTTATAAGAAAATGGATTCCTTTGGGTCTGTTGAGAAACCCTACTTTTGCAAATTATTACGTTTTGTTTTGGTCTGGTGACTTATTATTAATCGTTGTTCATGCATTTGACTTTGCTTCCATCAAGGGTCAGCCTTAAGGCTTAAGGCTTACGACAGCTATGCTTTTAGATGTCGTGAACTAAATGGCAACCCAAGAGCAGCTATCAAAACAGCAGTGTCGAAGTTTTGTGCAAAGATACTCAGGTCAATACACGAGAAGATAATTGGAGCCGACATCGGGCTCCACAGATCTGGACCTAATGCTTTTCTAGCCGCTGTGAAATTTCGGTTTTGCTTCTAGAACGTCTGCACACCGCAAACTCAACCGGTCAACGTGACACTCACCTTCGAACTCTATGTCCCCGCATTGAACATCTATGAAACTCGCGACACTAAACCAAAAGTAAACTTGTTCACCTGACGCCTAAGGTTTGTTGCGATGGATCGTTTACGCGATAGTTATTGACACTGGACAAAATACCCTAGACAGGAGATGATGATTTGGGGCCATCATTTCTGTCGGACGCGACCTTGTTTTTATGGCGCTATTCTTCACACTAGTCCTATTCTTGTTTGGTACCATTCCATCGCTTGTGGGTTTGTGCTCCTTGGACAAGTCTTGGCGAATATCCAGAAATATGACAGCTTATGCCAGTGACTCACTGAAAGCTTCTTATTCGATGAAACACTCTCTTGAACATCATGATAGAACTGCTTCTTTTCCAGGCTGAAAGTAAATGTCCATTTCGCGGTATATTACACTAGCTTGACATCCCTGCTGCAAAAACAAGCTTTCCTTAAAGTTTCGATCTTTGCCGAGCCCCTGTCAAATGTCTCACTAACGCGAGATTATTGGATGTCCTGCGCCACCGCCAACACGGGGAATCAGGTTTATTATGATCCAGATCCGTTCAACCTCTTTTACCTTTTCCATCTTATCTTTAAGCTCTCCCCGCACGTATTTGCTTTTGCAACCTGCAACTTGTCATCTTCGTACTGTCCAACACCATGGCAAGCCATACTAACGGAGATCACGGCCACAGCCACGGCCACGGTCGAGATGAATCAACCCCGCTTCTACCACAGATTTCTAGTCACATTGCACACGAAGGTGAGAGTGGACGGAGTGGATTTCATCCGCGTCACTTTCTGACTGTCCTCTGGCGAAGCTCATGCACCGCTTCGAAATGGGTCAATATTCTGTGGCCTATCGTCCCTGTGGCCATAATCCTCCAATTCTTCCCTGGCTTGCATCTATGGAAATTCGCTACCGCTTACGTCGCCGTCATTCCGACAGCCAATTTACTGGGATTTAGTGGACAAGAGTTTGCTCGAAAGATGCCCAAGGTGGCTGGTATCCTCATCGAGACGACGTTTGGGTCAATCATCGAAATTATCCTCTTTATTGTGCTGCTCGCCAAGCATAAATCACAATCTCCTGAGGACAATGGAGACGAGGGCAATCTCATTCCCATAATTCAAGCCGCTATCCTCGGTAGCATCTTGACCAATTTGTTGCTCTGTCTCGGACTGTGCTTCTTCGTTGGCGGACTCAAGCAGGCCAGCCAGAAATTCCACCCCATCGTTTCAGAAGTTGGAACTGGACTCTTACTCGTTGCCGCCTTCGGTCTCCTGATCCCCAGCGCATTCTACTCTGCTCTCAAAGCCGAGGTCGTACCAGACTTCCCAGGATTCAAGGTGCTCCACGAGAAGTTCACAGAGGGAAAACTCCAGGATGACGTTCTCCGCATCAGCCAGGCTACGTCCGTTGCACTGATCATCGCATTCGCCTTTTATATAATCTACCAGGCCAGTAGCCAGCACAGTCTCTTTGATGAAGTGATTGAGATGGACGAGCATAGGGACGCTGATCGTGAGGAGGATATGGAGAAGCCAAAGTTCACCATGACCGAGACAATTGTGGCCCTTCTCATTGCTTTGGGATTTGTGACTGCTCTTCTCATCTTCCTTGTTGAGAAGATCGAGCATGTCGTCGAAGCTGGTGTACCAGATCAATTCTTGGGTCTTATTATGTTGCCCTTTGTTGAGAAGGCCGCGGAACATTTGACAGCTATCGATGAAGCATGGGGTAAGTATTCACCCAATTTCCCAGTATAAATAAAGACTAACATAATTTCCAGACGGAGTCATCAATGTCGCTTTGTATCACTGCTTGGGCCCATCCATCCAGATAGCGCTCTTCAACGCCCCTCTAGTTGTCCTTGTCGGTTTGGCTATGGGAAAGCCCATGGACTTGAACTTTGAGATCTTCATGATTGTTCTGCTTGTTCTGTCTATCTTGGTTGTAGGCAACTTTCTCCGTGACGGCGAATCCAATTGGCTCGAAGGAGCACTGCTTGTGGTATGTAAAACTCGGCATGTAGTTTTAATGAGACTAACAGTAATAGATCATCTACGCAATCATTGCTATCGCTTGTTGGTACTACCCCAACCCTGACGTGGCCACCTCCAACGGTCTCGAAGGTTCGGAAATGGTTAATGTCACCATGAGTGTTGATGCACTTCGCGAGTTGCAGAAGCTTTTGAGCACGACTTTGCCTCTGTAGTTTGTGGTCTGGCTTGATCAGTTTTGACAACAAAAGCCTGTGGTGCACAAGTCGCCATCTTCAACGTGTCAAAATATGATATGCATCTGGTTGATCTGATTAGTAGTATCAGTGTGGCTTTGTTGTTCTAGGGGGTATAGTGGGTAAAGTGGGAGTCATGGAATATAGTCTTTAGCTCCCTATTCACTGGAGGTATGTAGGATACATGCATTGGTAGATCCTAGGATTAGTACGTATAGCTTGGAAACGATTTACGCAATTTCTATGTTGAGAATAAAGACTTGAACATATCTTGGTAACGGTATCATTAACTATTGGCTATCAACTTTAAATCCTTATTGCTTTTCCAACATCAAAACCTGACTATCGTAGTCACCCTCGAATCGCAACTGAATACCAAGGTTCATCAGTGTCGAGCCAGAGATAGTCTGGTTCTTATCGACAACATATTTGGCACTTGCATCCAAGCCCTGGAGACGGAACCAAGGCCAAGAGTTGTTGATGGTCGCGCGAGTCTGGAACGCAAACAAAACAACCTTCTTGCCATCTTCGGAAATAAACTGCCCAGCGGGATATCGAGTCTCTTCAGGTAGGGCGAGTCGATAAAATTCTCCCGTTACCACGATGGGGTTGATCTTTTCAGACAATGCAACGAGGCCAGGGATTTGCTCCCTCTCTTCAGGCTCTAGATCACTTGGGTCGAGCTCGACACCGAAGGAACCGCCCATCATGGCGACATGGCCTCTGAACTTTACGGAGGTAATCCTTTGAGTGTTTCCGTTAGGGACGTGAGATAGATGGGCTCCCATGGCGGATGGGGGATACACGAGTGAAGTGCCAAATTGAATCGCAATACGCTCAACTGCGTCTGTATCGTCGGAGGTCCAGATCTGAGGGAACCACTGAAGAACTCCAGGGTCGAATCGGCCACCGCCTGATGCACAGCCCTCCCAAAGAACATCAGGGAACCGACTGGTCAGGACTTCGAAGACATGGTAGACGCCTACCATGTACTTGTAGTTGAGGGTAGCATCCGGAGTCTCGTGAATGCCACGGTTGTTATCCCACTTGACGTATGAAATTGGAGATTCACGAAGAATCTTGGAAACGGAGTCAATTATATACTCCTGAACTTCTGGCAGGGCAAGGTTGAGAACTAGTTGCTGACGGATTTGAGTACGGGGATATGCGCCAGAGTGAAGTGCCCATTCCGGGTGCTCGTCGTACAGATCCGATTCAGGGTTCACCATTTCAGGCTCAACCCAGATTCCAAACTTGAGCTTTTCAGAAGAATTGGCCACTTTGAGGTCAGTAATTTCCTCAACTAGCGGCGTCAATCCGTCCGGAAATCGCTCCCTATTAGGCTGCCAGTCGCCTAGACCTGCTGTATCGGCAGTACGAGGATGCTTATTGCCAAACCAGCCGTCGTCCATAACGAACAATTTGATGCCAAGATCAGCAGACTGCTTGGCAATCTTGTAGATCGACGTTTCGTTAATCTCAAACGCTAGACCTTCCCAGCTGTTGAGGAGCGCAGGGCGGGTTTCTTCAGCGAATTTGCTCTTCATGAGATGCTTCTTGTACAGACGATGATACTGTCTGGACATACCACCGACACCCTTGTTCGAAAAGACTGACACCACCTCGGGAGTGGTAAAAGTCTGGCCAGGCTTGAGTGGCCATGCAAAATCAACGGGGTTAAGCCCAAGAATGGCGCGAGTGATGCCTTGGGAGCTCTTCTCAACATCGACAGCAAAAGAGCCAGTATACACAAGGGAAAATCCCCAGGCTTCGCCTTGAGTTTCGGTAGTCTCTGACGAAACAAGAGCGAGGAATGGGTTGTGCAGATGAGAAGAGTAACCAGTGGAGCTCTGGAATCTGATGGATTGTTAGTATAGGGTTCCATGATGGATGGAGAATACTCACCCTTGTGTACCAAAATCGACTTTGCGGCGTACGCGCATACCTTCTCTGGCCCAATCACCCTTGATCTCGATCATATCAAGATTTTCCTGTTGAAGATCGACGCTCCAGCTGGAAGCCTTCTTGAGGTTGATTGTCGTATTACCCTTGTTGGTGATGTTCACGCTTCGCACGATGGCGTCATATTTTGGGAATACAGAATACGTCAAGTCGGCGGCAATGGAGCTGTAGTTGTCGTACATGTGAACAACGAGCGTTGAGACGTCTCCGGCATCTCCAAAGGTAGAGGGCAAACCATTCAAACTAGGTTTTCCCTCTACAAGCTCGTATGACTTGTATCGGAAGTCGGTGACGGTGGTACCGCTGGCTTGTTGAATCTGGAAGGCCGGCAGTCGGAAGTCTCCTCTGCCGTGGTCAGGAAACTCTCGTCGGACTCTACCAAGTAAGCCGACCCAGCCTTGAACAGGGCCGATCTCAGCTGTGATGGTATCCTCGGCGACAGGTCCGCCGTAATGATCATTGATTAGATCGCCGGTCGTGTTGTCGACGTGGAAGCGATATGAGACGTTGTCTCCGTTGAGAGCGAAAGAGGTGCCATCAACATGAATTGCTGTGAATGTGAGCTTCGTTTCAATCTCGCATGACAAAGGACTTACGATTAGAGGTCTTAGCGAGGACCGAAAGAGACTGGCCCAGCACTACGGCTGCCGTAGCAAAGCGCCCTGACGTGATAAGCACCATGTTGAATATTCACCAGACTTTGCAATAGCCACAGACAGTCAGCCAATTGAGGGGAAAGAGGTCTTTTTAAATGCCGTCTGATCCCCAAATCCAAGAAAACGGCCGAAAGATCCGCAAGTGGCCACATCAGAGCTTAAACGACCTTGATACGTAGCATCTCATGATGATCCCATCTCAACATGCGTCGGCCCGACCGTTATTTGGAGAAAACTGGGCACTTGCGGGGAAGCCATGAACTTTGTTCAAGTCGACTCCCGAATGAACCTCCGTTGAGTAGCGATCAGCGTCGTTCGTGCGGGGGATCATCTACACCGACTGACTTTCAGTGGCCAGAAACTGACGATCTCCAGGCGCGCAAATGAAATCTTTCCGAGAAGTCATACAGCATGATGACAAGGCCATGAAGATTGTAAATTCACTGCACAAGCTGGGAGCCTGCATCATGGTATCAGCATGGAAAGTCGTACGATTTATCATACAGTCCTGTATAATGATTCAGAAAATACGCCAAGTAGGAATATAATAATTATGGCATTTTATACGTAATATCAGCCTAATATTATTCAAGAATACCTAAAATAATAGAGTTATAACTAAGATCAATTTTTTTAAACTTTAAAAGAGGCGCAGTTATCATAACCTTTGCTCACCCACTGTGCAGTTGGAGCAATTGAAGACTATTCACACAAAATTTTGGTGTTGAGGGAACGGCGAAGCAGCGGATAATTATTCTCCCTCCTATGGCTCTTCATTCAATGACATAATTGACCAATAGTGGAGACGAGGGGTCAATGACACCTGGTGCAAAATTGCTGAATTATGGTCTTAGCGATTTATGTCTTATCAACAGCTTTGCAATAAGTTAATATGAATCTCACAAACACAATTCTTCCTCTGCAGGACTCCTCTAAACGATGGGATATCCAGATACAAGATGGAGTGGTAGTCTCCATGCGGCCATCCAACAATTCGACTCTACAGCCAAGCATACTGCTACCTTCTCTCTGCCATCCGCATATCCATCTGGATAAGCCATACCTTTTGACTTGCAATCATCCGTCTTCAAATCACCCGGACTATTCAGATCTTGCCCCAAAGACCGGCAGCTTTGGTGAAGCTTTGACCAATACATCAGAAGCAAAGAAACGATACACGCCGGAGGACTTATACTTGCGAGGATCTCAACTACTCGCTACGAGTTACACGCAAGGTGTTACCTGTATGAGAGCCTTTGTTGAATTGGACCATGTCACCAAGCTACAGCCATTGAAGACAGCTATTCAACTGAAGGAGGAGTTCGCGGACTTTGTAGATGTACAAATTTGCGCTTTTGCTCAAGATCCGATATTCTCAACTGAGCACGGAGATGAGAATCGGTCTATCATTGAAGAAGCCCTTGAGGAATACGGATCTTCGATTGAAGTAATTGGGACAACACCATATGTAGAGACAGACGACCAAGCACAAAAGAAGAACATACAATGGGCCATCCAAACCGCCCTGGCGCATCACAAAAACCTCGATTTTCACGTTGAATTCAACCTAAATGGAGGAAATCCGATGGAACAATTCAATCATCTTGTTGATGAGCTTGTTGCCAATTCCTGGCCTACACATCCCGGCGCGCCTACAGTTGTTCTTGGACACGCCACGAGGCTAACTCTCGCATCTCATACTGAGTTGACTCAATTTTCAGAAAGACTGAGAGAGACCAAACTGCCCATACACTTTGTTGGGCTTCCAACAAGCGACCTCTTCATGATGGGAAGACCTGGTTCTGATGAAAACTCGGAGCAAAAAGCACCACTCAGTCGTCAATGTGGAACTCTCCATGTGCCGAAAATGATTCAAGATTATGGGTTGAATGCTTGTTTGTCTGTCAACAACGTCGGAAACGCATTCACACCATATGGTAACGGAGACCCAATTGGTATAGCCAGCTGGGGTGTTGGAATCTTTCATGCCGGAACAGGAGACGACGGAGCGCTGCTCTATGAGGCTGTTAGTACACGCGCAATGGATGCCATTCGGCCTTCAAACATTGACTACAGAGAGAAGTGCTTGATGGAAGAGGGAAAGCAAATTGTTCCAATGCTTTTGATCAAGAATGAAGAGAGCGTGGAAATCAATTCGTCAGGGCGTATACTACAGGTCCCATCCCGACAAAGGCTTTCAATTAAGGACATCGTCTGGGATCCTCCAGAGACACGACTCAGAAGGGTTATCAGGTGAAGATGTGACAATATTTATTACAACAGTTAATCTTATAATTAAATTACACTAAAAAACCTCTGTATGTTTCTTTATTCAAACCCTGCACAGTGGCCCATCTGGTCTCTCAATCCACTCCTCTGATCCAACACACGTAGGACAGTAAAAGACATGGGAAGGGTCATACTTCTTCTTTGTTTGGAGATGCGAGCTATACAAGCTCCCATAGAACGACTTCCTGTAATCAGGATCATTCCGATCACCCTCGTTCATGTAGGCCCCGGTGTTTGGAGCCAACTTCTTGGCGGCTACACCCTTGACATTCGTCACTTCATCTTCGGCTACTTTACGCTCAGCTGCTGATGCAGTAAGTGAAATACTCGTGCTCGACACAAGAACATAGTACGACTTCCTCCATGTAGGGTTCAGTCCACTGGTCTTGTCTGAGGCGTCTTTGAATACCTGGCCTCCAGAAGTCATGAGGATGACGTTTGTGCCGAAATCTTCAGGCTTGCCACTCATGACTTCGATGGCGTCGCGGACGTTGTCAAAACTCTCCACGCTCTCGCGATCAATCAATCGCGAGGTCAGGATGGAGGTTGTTCCTGTAGGATCATACAGACCGGATTCAGCGTGGTAGAATGACCAGTAATCGGAGTAGGTAGCCCAGGTCTCGTTGATGAAGAGCTTGTCCTTGAACTTGGACAGGGCTTTGCGTACTGGTGCCCAACCAGCCTCAGCATCTTCACGGCTCATTCCAATGGTCCAGAAGCCATGCGAATAGCCCGAGGTCGCGTTACCAATGAAAACGGTTGGGAAATTGCGGAACCAGAATCCATAGCCAGAGAAGCCGGCATCGTTGAGGTCGGGCAGCTGTTGCAGCAGAACCGCCACGGCGTCGAGGAGGTCTGCGTTCTCCCTGGTCTTCTCCAACGGTGCGACTTGTAAGTGATGAGCCGTGACTGTCTTGACGTTGGGATAAGCCTTGACAGTACTGCTTAGAGTAACGGCATAGCCAGGCCCACCACCACGCATGGAACGGAAGAGATCAGTGTTCTCACAATGGTTGACGGTAATGACTCGACCATCAGCAAGCATCACCTCCGCCTCAAGAATCTGATCGGCACCGAGACCATAGTTTCTCGTGGCGGGTCCATGGCCACCTCCAGATGCATAACCGCCAATGGCACCAGGAGTAAGAGAGCCACCACCAACCACAATAACATTCTTCTCTTCAGCTACTTTGTAAACGTCGCGCCACTGGTAGTTACCATTGATTCTAATGGCACTACCTTTCCAGCCAGATTTGGTGCAGCTGTTCTTGGACTTGTAGGTTTTCATGAAATCGATACTGTTCTTGAATTGGTGTAGCCACAGTTCGAGACCACCGTAGCCGTCAGAGCGACCGAGAAGATCATGGCCTGTTCCGGTAACTACAAGACGAAGGTTCCGCTCGCGGGCATAGGAGATTGTATTCGAGATGTGTGTCCGTTTGGTAGCATTTACGGCGTAGACCGGCAGAGATCCGAGACTGCAAGTGGTGGGTTTTTGCTCAGCAGCGTAGTCAACTGGAGCGCATGTGATGTTGTATGGATACGGCCTCCCAATAGGGTTCGAGGATTGAAAGTCCTGATCAGACCACATCTTATTGACATAAGCGCATTGTTTCAAGTCCTCTGCAAGACCAGGGTAGCAAGACTTCGCAATAGGCTCGGTCTTGATGAGATTGCCCCCAATATTCTTGTCGAAGGCCTGCCACTCTGATTCGGATGGCCAGCAGCTGAGTCCGGGGGCCTGTAGCAGCGTCAGTATGGAACAAGATGCGATTGGACTGGCATTTCCCGCGTACGCATTTGCATTGTGGGGAGGCTCGGCGTCCGAGTTCAGCAGTGCCAATGAATGATCTGCCCCAAGCCGCGGGTAGCACGGACAGCAGAGTGATATTGAAACCGAGACGCATCTTTACCGAGCGTTTTTCTTGGTCAGATTAAGAGGAAAAAGAAACGACTTGGTTTTGGATAGAGGAAACGATGCAGGTGAGTGGCTCTCGCCAACTTTTAATCTATGCAGAACATTGCTTTGTCTAGTGCGCTAATTCGTATCCCCGGGGGCGAGTCTTGGACCCTGTACAACATCGGGTGTAATGACGGAAATGAGAGAATAGTTTTATCATGGACTCTCGATTGTGGCTAACTGCGTAACCAAAACCATCATGTTTGCTACGGCTAGTCGCTTTCAGGCAGGTATTCAATGCAATCTCAAAAGCTGAGGGCAAAATGCATTTCATGCAGGCACCGGGAGCCCCTGTTTCTTATTCCCTGCGTCGACCGTTGGAATCTCCATCTCAGATGTTACCCATTTCGTCTAGATTTGAGAGCTGTGATTTGCAGGCTCACACAAGTTGTGAGGTATCATATTTAAGGCCTCGCGTAAGAAAGCTGGTAGATGATTGGACATTAATGGAACGAGACTTTTGCAAATGATGAAAGAGAAAACAACTGCCAAGGAACATTTGCCTCTGATGTAGGATTCAGTGATTTTTATCTAGCAGGCCCAGGCACTGTGTGGCCAAATCATCTCAAACGGCTAGCTATGACATTATCTGTCACTTCTCATTACTGACGGAGGGAAAACTGTTATCAATGGCTCCATGGCCTCGAGTACAATGGGGGAACCACAATGCGGCAATCAAGTTTGCTCAATATGTTGACATGTCCTTCATTCAAGCTCAGCAGGTCAGACGCCCTCATAAAGAACAATACAATCATAGCTTACACCAAACATCGCTAATCTGTCCCTCATTTCCCTACATTTTAAAGTGAAACATGGCTGCTTTGCCTCCGATGCCAAGTCTCTTCCGATGATCGGAAAACCGTTACATCGGAAAGAGTGGAACTCCCATTAGTGGGATGCGGTTATTTACGGATATGGAATACTACCCCGAGGTCCCCGGAACCCTACGATCCTACACGTTTTCCCTCCTCCTACAATTGCCACTGCAGCTGTTTTTCGTACACTCAAAAGGGTTAGAGCCTCCGCGGGTTATTTCTTATATCCAGTCACTGCAGAAGCTGAAAATCCTTCACTCCCAAGTCCCACCGGTTTGGAAAAAGCAATATACATTACACAATAGGGCATTCTTCCACCAACCTGGCAAACATACAATATCAATGTGCAGCTATTAGCCACTAAAGTGGCTTTCTGCCAATCAGACAGAGACTCCTTTTCTCTTCTCTCGTTTGTTGGGTAGGAAGACTGCCGTAGTTGAGCAAGCCGACGGAACAAACATTCTCTGGGTCCAATCCAAATTGTCTACTAAAATGCAGAAGATTGGAGACGAGGAAGCAAACAAGACTGGATACGAGTCAATATTACAATCATTTGAACATGGCGTCGCCACCGTATCACGGTGAAACAGCCACTCCTTTGTTACCGGAAGCCCAAACTTGATACCTCGCGATATGACCCCTATTGATCAGCAATCACTGCAAAAACAAAAGTTAATCCAACCCTGTGGTGTAGCAGGGCTATGTCATATATTCTATTGGTCATACCCTGGCTATTTCTGCATTGCAACTGCATATATCAGAATTCAACATCATTTACTCAGGGAATCTGCGATGCACATCAGTTTGCCAGTTCCTGCAAGCCTTTTCCAACTGTCTTATATCAATAGCCTTATAGCGCCGTGACACCGTAACGAATGTACATGTCTCACCGCAACTCACATTATGTCCAGTCCTCCACCTCCAAACCCTGACGCCCCTTTCACGGGAGCAGCCCGCTCCGTTGACCGACGCGGGCTTGTGATTATCATTTGGGTCTGCTTCACTGTGGCCACGCTTTTCGTTTCTTTGCGGCTCTTTGTTCGTTGGCGTCAGAATCGACGGTTCCTTGCCGATGACTACTGGATCGCATGGGCTTGGACTTGTACCTTGACTATGGCCATTTTGCAGACTGAGCAGATGGATTCCCTGTGGTACCTGACGTACCTTCAGGCTGGTCGCATTGCCTACGATCCGAAAGAGCTTGCACGACAGCGCACTGAAATCAGCAAATGGCAATTTCCAATCATTAAGATGTTTTGGATCGTCTTGTGGTCTGTGAAAGCGAGTTTCCTGTCGCTCTTTTACAGGCTAGTACAGCCTTTTCCCATCATCCGTCGCTTGTGGTACTGCGTGGCGGTTTTCACAGCCTTATCACTTACCGTCTGCATTATCTGCAGCGCACTTACATGCAGCCCCCCTTCGCGCTACTTCAACAGTAAGTCGATATCGGTTGCTTTTGCAGCATTTTCACCTCCAAGACCTACACATTCTAACTTGTTCCATAAGGTGCCTGCGATACCCCTCAAGAGCAATGGCGACAAACTTTCAACGTCATATTCTCCACGGCCGTCGATGTCTCCTCCGATCTGATGATTATGGCACTACCGATCGCAGTCCTTCCATCACTACAACTTGACAAGAAGAAAAAGATCGGTCTTGGTGTCGCCTTTTCACTGGGTATTATAATCATCTGCGTAGCTGTCATACGCATGTCGCAGGTCATTGTCGGCAAACAGGTTGATCTTGTTGGATTGGCAATCTGGGGTGCTGTAGAAACCGCCACAGCTCTTGTTGTGGGTTCTTTACCGGCACTCAAAGGACTACTCTCGCGTGGCATCAAGAAATACACCTCCTCGAGAAGTGGGAGAACGGATCCTACTGATTACGACAGCCGTGATTCCCAGCGCCGGCGCGGCCAAGGCTCAGCATTGACTCCACGGGCTATAATGGTGTCTGACTGTATTCCTTTGGACGACATGCATCAGAGCGGCCAGGTTGACGGAGGCATATATGTACAAAAGACTTTCGATATGGGAATGGAGAGGGATGAGACCTCGTCGAGAGATGAGGATGACGAGGCGGCTATTGTTAAGTCGAGAGTGAAATAGTACAGGTCTTGATAGAAAGGTTGAAGCGCATAATAGAGCTGGACTATAGATACCCCAATAACTAACTACTCAAACTCTCTCCATTGTCTAACCACTTCGTACAAACTATCATTATGACCAACGTTTCCAGGAAACACGACGTAGTTCAAACCCGGCCACTTCGACTCCGGCTCATCGCATCGCCACATAGGAACTCCCGGTGCAGCTTGACCCACAATCAGAGCACGTTTCATCCTGAGTCCTTTTGTCGCCATATCCGATGAAGTGATTCCTCCCTTAGCAATGATATATCGCGGCTTCTGTTGTAGTCCCTGGAGAAACGAAACCAAAGCCAGTGCTATTGTTGACCCAATATCCAAACTCTCCACTTCATCTCGCCCAACTATGAGCTCCCTGCTGGTCATGATCAAAACATCCTGCCCGTCTTTGATCTTCTGAGACGCTAGCTCGATTGCCTTTGCGACATCTTCTTTTGCTGCCTCATCGGATTTGAGCAAAGCTTTGACGTTCAGTGTGATGGTTGTCAAATTATCACCGGACTTTTGAACCAGAGAATCCAACTGCGCCGTTGTTTTAGGCACATATGATCCTGCAATAATGAGACCGCCAACTTTCTTTGACAAGCCGAGTTGGCCAGCAGAGAGGGGAGGGATAGAGGATATTCCTAGACGCGATGATACAAATGCAGCACCTGTGCGATAAAGAAATCGCTTGCCTTGCTGTGAAGCTCGTAGGAGTGCCGTGACAACCACGTCAATGTCCTCGTCGGCCGCGGCATTTATGACAAGAACGACAGGTGATTTTTCTGGCTTCGGCAGCTGCATGATCTTCTCAAACACAGCACTCGGGCCGCCTTTGCGAATTGTGTCCAAGTCAATAGAGGCGATCTTGTCGTGCGGAATATTGCCTTTTGACTTTTCAACAACATAGTCCCGGAGATTGGAGCTTCTGTAACCGAACGTAGCATCTTTGGCAAATGGAGTATCTGCCGCTGGTATGAGATTATCGCCCTCGTGAACGTAATGAATATCGTTGATGGTGTATCTTCCGCCTTGGAGGAAGAAAGGGCATAATATCCAGGCGTCAAACGATCCGTTCACATGCTCCACCGCCTCAGGCTCCAAAGGGAAATGTCCTCTGAGGATCGAATCACCCCGTAGCACAATCTCATAAGGCAGACTAGTTTCTTGAGAGGCAGTTTGTAGGTTGGTGCATATCTCGATCATAAGCTCTCTTGCTTGTTGCGGATGAAGTGCGCGAGAATTGGTCAATATGAAGAATCCATTACCTGTGCCTACTTGCTTGAATGTCGATACGAGGTTTTGAACGTCCCAAACTGTAAGAATAGTGATATCATGGCAAGTCTGTGTACCGGTAGGGTCGTCGTCCAGGATAACAAGCAAAGGTGCCGGTGATGAGGGATAGCGAATTGTGGATTGAATTTGAGAGCGGAGATCGTGGTGTGATTTTGGTAGAGGAGGCAAAGCCGAAAGAGCATCAGCTAGTTTGATGGTGCCAGGTTGAGACATGTTGATTCCTGAGAGGCGATAAGCTTATCTCTATTTGTTCAGTCTCTATGTGCAGGTGAGACACTGGTAAACTGTTCGAAGAAGCCTCAAGTGATAAATAATTGTTTGTTTTCCGAACCAGTTTAGGGTAGCCGACAGGCTCAGGGTTCTTAGCCGACACCCGCAACCGATCCTTGCCTTATCGGTCTTCTTCCCTATTGGGTAGAAAGTGACGCGTCCCAGAAGTATTTACCGAAGTCAGGTCTCATTTCGCAGGTTGACACGTCCAAGACTGAAAGGTCTATAAAACAACTGTATTAGGAAAGGATTAAGCATCAGTTCATACTTAAAAGTGACAAAGAGAATTATACATGATAATATAGTGGACATACATCACTCTGAATCTTGGTACAGTCTTGTGCAAAATTTCCAATCGCGAGCTGATCAGGAGTACATTCAATAATCTAGATACGTGATCAATATTGCAATTATAATGTTTTCTACAAGAAATTCCTATAAGATACCGAGTTTTCAATGAAATGTAAGAGTTAATTGTACTTTTATGTTACCTTATACATACCTCGAAAGAGAGGAAATTAACTGATAATTCCTCCCAAGTCCCATCATTCCCTTTAAATTGCAATCCTCCACCTCCACCAGGCGCCCGGACCAAGTCTCTCCGTACGCCTCCGCATTTCCCCAGGAGACTGATCGTTACCCTTCTAGTCTGGTCAGGAAGCATGCAAGCTGACTAAATTTCCCCGCGTCACATCTGAGCAACTTGGACATGCATTTCGTCGCGAACCATTCAATTGACGATATAAGAATTCACCATGTCCAAGAGAAACGGCAGCACTTCAGCCTCTGATTATACCGGGGATGCGGTATGTTGCGTACAAATGTTAATTGCTCGGCGTACAAGCGCTAACGAATGGTAGCATCCATCGAAAAGGGTGGCTATAACTTCGAATCCGGATCCGCCTGTTGCGCATATCTCGAGACACATCAGAGCTTGCACAACATGTCGGAAACACAAGGTTAGAAAATGCCAGTGCTGTTAGAGTAGGAGCTAATTTTCCTAGATCAAATGCTTCATGGACGATGCTGGTCCTCCATGTCGAAGGTGTCAAGAGAAGAAGCTGAGCAACTGCGCGGTCAGCAAGAACCTACAAACCATCATTGATGAGAAAACAGAGTATGTCTACTTCTAATCGCCTAGAATTTGAATGCTCACAAGATACAGACTGTCCGAGGCAATGCTTTCAGATATCGACCAGATGTATACAGCTGTCAAGGAGATGAGAACCATCATGGGAATGCCCGACTTACCTCCTTTGCAAATCTCACGATTGAACAAGCGAAAGGAAAGCACAGCAGCACAATCGTCAGAAGCGAGTAATCAGCCGTTACCCGAGGACAATTATGGTCCCTCATGCGACAACTCGCCTAAGCTTACGCCAGAAGACGACAGGTTGCCACACGCTCCAATCCATTCTCTCTATACTCTGACTAGGATGAGGGCACTGCGATCACCTGGAAATGGCAACGATAACTCCAGTCAAGCGATCAACGATTTTATCTCCCAAGGTCTGATCACTTTGGCGGACGCTGAACGATTATTTGCCATTTACCGCGATAGACTAGACGGGTTTATCTACTCCATTGGCTGCCCCTACAAAACGCTGGAGCAGCTTCGTCGAAAATCATCTATACTATGTGCTGCTACTCTGACCATCGCAGCACTTCATGATCCTACGGCCGACAAAGCCTATGGTGTCTGCAGCGCTGAGCTTCGTCGGTTGACCGAAAAGTCAATGCTTCAGCGCCAAGGAGACAGAGACTACTTTCGAGCCCTGAGCATAGCATCATACTGGTTGAGTGATTTGTCCTGGACGCTATCAGGCCATGCCATCCGACGTGCTTCAGAATGCAACATCCATAACAGCTACAGTCTGGCCATTAAAGAGCAATCTGAAGAGGCCATGGACTCCGCGCGCATCTGGTCTATCCTATACATATGTGACCAGCATCTTGCAATCCTCTACGACAGACCGGCAATCATTCAGGATGACTGGCTTACGCAAGATTGGGAAGGGATCTTGAGCTCCCCTCTGGCTACTGACCAGGATGAGAGACTAATGAGTCAAGTCGAATTGATGGGCATCCTGCGAAATATCAGACGTTTGTTTGGACCTGACAAGGGAGAAGAGATCCCGCGGCTGTACTTGAGTCAACTAGGACATTACCACCGACAATTGGACCAGTGGATCACCAAATGGACCGATCGATTGCCAGGTAAGTCTTGAGCACTACAAACCTTTATAACCCTTCGATATGTTCATGATTACTAACCAGCCACAGAGGTACATCCTACAATCGGAGGATTCCCCCGTAAAGGAGCACTCTTTCACTTCCATTTAGCCCAACTATACTTATACTCACATGTCTTCCGCGGCCAATCGAACACAATCCCCGGCCACTTTCTCGACACAGCATCGATGGCGGTTACATCTGCATCAGCTATCATCGACATACTCCTAACCGATCCAGATCTTTCAATAAGCATAGTGGGAATGCCATCATACCTTCTTTCCATGACAGCATTCGCAGCCATGTTCCTTGCTAAGGTGTCACATAAATATGGCGATGACCTGTTTCGACGAGACCAGGCTCTTGATCAAATAACTCGACTGATCAACCATTTCCGACTGCTACCTATGGGAAAATGGCATCTAGCTAACCTCATGATCAGAGGACTGGAGACTGTGACTAGTCTACTTAAACCACAAGGGGCACCAGCCAAAGCCCAAAATGCCATTACGCCTATGTTGCCAGGAAGTGCAAACACTGGTCTCCAGGATATATATGGCACGGGTAATGATATGTTTACAAGCATAGACAGCAGCACGATACCTACATGGGACACAACCTTTGGATTGTCTCCCATATTTGGCTTCGATCCATCCCTGCTTGATGTCGACGGATATATGCAGTCAATGGCCATCTTCCCGAATGCTGAATAAGGTTGCCAGGAGAAGGAGTTGGTCAATCTATTGAGTAGTAGTATTCGTGTCTATGTACTTATAGCATTTTTCTATTCTTTGTCTTGACCCTACATGCCTTGAATATTCCGTGGACGGTATTCACTCTCCAGATATTCCAACTCCTCCGGTGTAAATTTGATGTTGAGCGACTCGACTGACTCCTTAATTCGTTTTTCGGAGTTCAATCCCAAAATAGGATAACAGCCTTTTTGAAGAACCCACGCCGTGGATACAAGTGCCATACTGACACCCTTATCAGCTGCCACCTTCTCCACACGATTCACGATCTCCAAGTTGGCATCGGCAAACCATATATCGGTCTTCTTATCACTCTGGCTGCGCACTGACTGATTCCCACTGTCCTTGCTGGAAAGAGGCTTCGCTAGAAGGCCTCGGGCGATTGGGCTCCATGGGATGACACCCACACCTGAAGCTTTGCAGAAGGGAAGCATTTCCCGCTCTTCTTCTCGATAAAGGAGGTTGTAGAAAGGCTGCATGGAGATGAATTCTGTCCAACCATGTGATCGAGCGATGTACTGTAGACGGGCGAACTCCCATGTGTACATAGAGGAGGCACCGATGTAGCGGACCTTTCCAGACTGGACAACATCATGAAGAGCGCGCATAATTTCTTCGGGTGGAGTTTCGCGGTCTAGCCGATGAATTTGAAGCACATCTATGAAGATTAGCACTAATCCAACAGATGGTGGATATAAGGCTGCCTACCGATATAGTCCGTTCCAAGTCTCTCGAGGCACTTATCAACAGCATGGAAAATGTGCTTCCTGCTGAGGCCCATCTGATTGACAAGCGGGCCATCGTTGATGCTCGCGGGTCTTGTACCGTCGTCCATGACCGGATTGAAGATCTTGGAGAGAATTACAACCTTCTGGCGGGGGATGTTGAACTTCTTCAACGCTTTGCCAATAATGACCTCTGACTCTCCGTTGGAGTATGTATCGGCGGTGTCCCAAGTGTTGATGCCATTGTCATAGGCAGCCTTGAGGAGCTTCAAACCATCTTCCTCGTCCAAAACCCAAGGCGAGCCTTGCCATGAGCTAGAACCAAAACTCATGCAACCAAGGATCACCTTGGATATTTTAAGGCCGGTGTTGCCAAGTCTAGCACTTGTGAGTAAATAGGGTGTAGGAGCATGATAGATTGCTTTACCTAACGTATTCCATCGTCGATTATTTTATATAACAATACACAGAAACTGTAAATTGATAATGTGACTTTGCAATTTCTAGCACGACGATGATGTAGTTTGATAAATGCTGCCTTTATGTCACTTGACGCTGTATCCGCTCGCTCAGTGGCGCTGACATCGCCGGATTCTTCCCCGCATTCTCAACAAGGATAACTTCACTGTGGATTCAACCCCGCAACCCGAGTAGAGCATCACGGTCATCATCCCAATTGGACAATTGGTGTTGTGATGTGGAACGGCTCGGGCTTATCTCCGCCGAGATCGTGGAAAAGATCGAAGTTCAGGTTGTTAAGTTCGTGTTCTATTAAACCACCCAACACTAAGATATTCGCAATTGAACAGCTGCAAGACCTTTCGGCTGTTGAATCCGACACAGTTCATCATGGCTCCCAACCTTGAAACCATTCCCGTCCCTTCGGCGACAATCCAATCACACGCCTCAAATCTCTTGCAACTCCCAGATAAAACTGTCCTATGTACATGGTTCGGCGGATCACAAGAAGGTCTCCCGGACATCAGTATTTGGTTCTCTAGACTAAAACCGGGCTCTTCGTCTTGGACCACTCCACAGAAGATCTCCTTCGATGAGAATAGAAGTTGTCAAAACCCTGTCTTGTTTCAAGCACCACACACTGGGGAGATCTGGTTACTCCACACCTCGCAAGACGCTGGCAACCAAGATAGTGCTTACATCCTGAAGCGCACTTCATCTGACCAGGGTCTTTCATGGTCAGAACCTAGTCGCCTTCTTCAGGATACGACGGGTATTTTCATTCGACAGCCTATTGTTATTAATGGCGAGGGTACATGGATTTTACCCGTCTTTTATTGTCGTACAGAACCTGGCCATAGATGGATTGGAAGTGATGATATTTCTGGAGTCCTCTACTCCAACGACAATGGTGCAACTTGGAAGGAGAAGCAAGCTCCTAATAGTATCGGATCTGTTCATATGAATATTGTCCCTCCGGCTTCCGGCCAGACATTATGGGTCGCATTCTATCGCAGCCGCTGGGCAGACAACGTATACCGATCAACATCCAAGAACGGACTGGACTGGGAGCAACCAAAGACAACCAGTCTGCCCAACCCCAATAGTGGAATCTGCGCCGCACGCTTGTTGTCAGGGAAAATTGCGATCGTGTTCAATCGATCAAGTGCATCAGCAGACACACTCAAGCGTCAAGGGCTTTACGACGACGTCACTCCTGAAGATGACAAGCGGCCGAATCAAGTCGCCAAGTCTGGAAAGGATGCAATTTGGGGCACTCCAAGAAAGACATTAACTCTGGGAGTTTCGGACGATGAAGGGTTGACTTGGAGAGAGCGAGTTCTTGAAGATGGTGATGGCTTTTGTGGAACTAACAGTTCCTCGGGCCAGGAGAACAGAGAGTTGAGTTACCCAAGCATTTACATCGAAAGACTTGGTTCAACGGATATAGCACATATAGCATACACCTGGCATCGACAGCATATCAAGTATGTGAGGATTGATGACGTCGAAGGCTGGGCAAGCTCCTGAATTACATTCAGATTTAGTAATATAAAACACATGCTGTTAAATCGGTTTCTGACTGAAATGTTGCACTGGAATTTTATCAGCGAATGTTTCAAAGAATCTATCTACGTATGCGAGAAAAGGCCAGTTAGTGACTCTAAGCATGATCAAGTACGATCCCGTATAGATATTCTAACAGATAATATGAAAAAGAATGGTTCATTATAATTGATACTACGTTATATGAACTTTAGCAGAGAGGGATTTATTGGAACCTTTATACACCCTACCCACTGCAGCCTCCCCTCCACGGTCTTAACAAATAGTGTTCACTAATATTACTCTACTAGCGATATGAACTTTTGAAAAGAATATATGTCGTGCTACAGTTGCCACAGATTCACGATTTCCATGTAGTATGGTCGGTCTAGTTACCGAGTAAACCGCTTGATGATGTCCGTATGTGTCGGCTAGGCCAATTGGATTTCGGACCGTGTATCCACACCCACCCAGGACCACTTGGCCGAACCCAGCATACACTGGATAAGGAACATCTTAATCCATTGTTTGAGGTTTTGAACGAGAAAAGGGTTGAATAGAGAGGGATAAGTGGTTGATAGGACTACTATAATATGCGGAATTAGCTACAGTTGGTTTTAGTTTGCATCCCTGCCATTACCCCTCTGACACAAAACACTACTCTATCACCGTTACACAATACTACAACATGACGCAAACAAAAGATCACGTCTTGATTACAGGCGCCGGTGGCTTTATTGGCCAAGAGCTCATCGTGTCTCTCCTGAAAGACATGCCATCAGCCCACTTCACACTCACCGACATCATCAACCCTCCGATCCCAGCGGGTGCCGAGAACCAGATCACATCTCTTAAAGCAGATTTAACCAACCCTTCGGCTGTCACATCCCTTCTATCCAATCGCTTTAGCCATGTCTACATTCTTCATGGTTTAATGTCTGGTGGCGCAGAGGCCAACCTTGATCTGGGACTGAAGATCAACGTCGACTCTGTACGGACCATTCTCGACGTGCTAAGAACGGAATACCGTGGTACCAAAGTCATCTTTGCCAGTTCCTGCGCTATATACGGACAAACAGATATCGTGACGGAATTTGGAACCCTTCCACAGCCCAAGAGCTCCTACGGCATCCAGAAATTACTCGTTGAGCTTCTTATCAACGATTACTCCCGTCGCGACCTTCTTGACGGTCGGATCGTGAGATTACCCACTGTCATTGTTCGCCCCGGAGCGCCCTCAGCTGCTGCGTCAAGCTTTGCGTCGGGAATCGTACGGGAGTCACTAAATGGCGTTAAGAACACTCTACCTGTCAGCCGTGATCTTGAACTTTGGGTCTGCAGTCCTGCTACAGTCATCAAGAACCTCGTCAAGATTAAAGACGTACCAAAAGAAAAATTTGGTCCATCAAGGGTGGTAAATCTTCCTGGTATAACTGTTACGGTTCAAGATATACTGGACGCCTTGAAGGAGATTGGCGGCGATAAGGCCCTGGCACATGTCGAGGAACAAAAAGATCCTGCTATTGAAGCTATTGTGAGTAGTTGGCCAGCAAGGTTCGACGTTTCAAGAGCTTTAGGTCTTGGACTAGACGCAGATGGGAAAGTCCTGGATGCTGTGAAAGCGTTCCAGGCGAAGGTTGTCAAGACTTAGGAGGGTTTTACTTAAATTGTAATTAGGCTAGAAGAGGCCTTCAATTATATTTTAATTAAACAATTCTTGTTGGAATTCTCTACAAAGACAAAGTGGTGTGGACTAAGGCTTGTGCATTTAAAAATCATAGGTTGCCAACCGACGTTAAGGTGAAATACCTTCATTATGGGCATCTGAAATTGACTTGTGCTCGACTGTAATCCGGAGGATTTCACATACCTAAGCGGTCATTGGCTACAGCATATCAACTGTTGGGAGACTTCACTTCCGAACTGGCCATATTCTACTAAGAACCTTGGAGATAAAACCCAAATCCCACTAAATGTTGCTGGTCGATTGGATAATAGTGTGTTCATTGGGCTAAAGCTATCCGTATTTGTTCCTACAGCCATAATCTACAGCTTAGATAAGTTACGCCTCCTCGTTCTTGTTGTACACTCATCCCCAACCACAAGATGATCTATGTCTAATGAATTTATTAGGCTAGGCGTGGATTGACTCAAAGAAGTGATACCACAAAGCCTCATGGAAGTCTCGAGCTCGTCCTTGAGAACTATTATTGGTTAGCACGGTTTCTCGAATGGAGAGTCTCACTCACTATTACAGAGATGCTCCGCGCCGTCTTGCCCATGGATAAGGGAGTATAAGAACGGCCGACCGATTCCGACTGCAGTGGCTCCAAGCGCAATGGCCTTAAGAATATCAGAGCCTCGCTCGAAACCACCATCGATATACACCTCGAGCTGGTCAAATATCTGTGGGCAGTTCTTCCTCAATTCTAACAAGACCAAGATGCTCGCTTGGGCGCTGGAATCTGTTAGCTCTGTCAGATATGACGTAGAGTATTGACTCACCCATCCAAAGAGCGTCCACCGTGATTGCTCAGTAGCACACCTTCGACCCCGTACTCAGCAGCCTTCACAACATCTTCGGCAGTTTGGACACCTTTCAAAACAATTGGTAGTCCACCGCTTGCCTCACGGATCCATGATAAATCGTCCCAGGAGAGCGACTTATCGATATACTGCGCCATAAGACGACCAAAACCACTGCCCTTCTTATCTTTGCTGCTTTCGCCACCACTTATGGCGGATTTGATGGTTTGTTCCTGGGCAGCTCTCTCGTCGGCCTCTCGCTTACCAGGAACTGGGGCATCCACTGTCACGAATATCGCCTTCACGCCAAGATCTTTCACGGTCTTCAGCAGCTCAACCGTCTTTTCATGGTTAGAATTGACATAAAGTTGGAAGAAGAATGGCTGTGATGATGGAGCTGCTTGGACGATTGACTTCAACGAAAAGGAGGCATTACTTGAGATCTGTCTCTGATCAGCATGAAGTCCCACACTAAGGAACTCAGACTCACGCATTGAATAATACCCTGTTGGGCCGCTGCTCGACTGAGAGCTAGCTCACCATCCGGGTGGGCAAGTCTTGCCATGGCTGCGGGAGAAATAAAGAATGGCGCACTGCTATCAAAACCCAGGATATTTGTCTTGAAGTTGATGTTTGTGACATTTCTCAAGATCCTAGGCCTGATCATCACTCTCCTAACTAGCTCTTTATTCTTGCCGTGGGTGACTAGATCTGTCGCTGCCGAAGAGTAGAAAGCCCACGTCTTCGCCGTCAGTGTATGCTGTGCTGCCTTTTCAAAATCGGGCGCACTAAGGATCGAGTCTAGAGGAGGAGCCGTTCTGCTCTTTGGTGTTTCTGAGAGGTCATTCGTCTTATCTGGTGAGCTTGGGGGTGCAGGATCCTCGACAGCTAGTGGTTCGGCTGGGCGGTTGATTGCAGATTCCTCAAGGAGTCCCATTAACTTGTCATCCGAGAGCTGTTCGATAATATCCGGCGCATGTACATCGTTATAGAGTTCGGTGGCATCAGAGCCAGCAAGATTTAAGAGGACTGGGGCATGATTAGCTAAAGACATTATACACCACGGCCGAAAGTTTACCTTCTGGGCCACCTGGATGCTCATTGACAAAGTGCGTAATATCCCAAACCTTTGAATGAACAGCTATCCAACAATCTGTGGCCGTGTTGTGCTGCCTCAGGGCATCCAACGATACTCTTTTCGTCTCGACGGGGATCTCCATAATTGACGCTGAAAAATATGGTAATTCCCAAACAACACAGGACAAGATAAGTTGAAGACCTCGAAATTAAGCTAATCATGGAGGCTGAATTAGGTTCCGGCTCATACAGCCCGTTCTACTGACCGGGTTACCGAGTATCGGCATGGGGTCACGGAGAACTGTCCTATTGGCCAATGCGACATCACGGCGATGTTTCCGGCTCTCCAACCCCGCATTAGCCCTGGAGTTATGGTGCACTTAAGAGCTCGGAGATAGCATGGAGAACAACAACAACAGGCTCAATATTACACTCTCTATTTTCCACGGGTTAAATCGACATCAAAACAGTCATCTCAGCAGACTGATAGAATTATCTCAATAAAGTGCCATCTCAATAAGAAACACCACAAGATGAACCGCAGCACAATTCAAGCCAAGGCAAAGCCACTCCCCAAAGGTGTCTACACTCCTGTCGTCACACTATACAAAGCAGACGACGGAAGCCAACAGGTTGATCTCAAGGGCATGTATGCACAGTGCCAAGCTTTGATAAAGGCTGGCATGCATGGCCTCGTCTACCTGGGTACTAATGGCGAGCTGGTTCTACTATCCCGAGAAGAGCGTCAGGCCATAATCAAGACGGCCGCTCAAGCTGCAGCTGAAGCAGCCGGGGTAGATTACCCGATCGTGGCAGGCATATCGGCACAGTCCACCCAGGAGTCGATCCAGAACGCCAAGGACGCCGCTGAGGCTGGTGCGGGCTTTGGTCTGCTCTTACCGCCAAGCTACTGGCCCAAAGCACTCCCAAGTCAAGCTATTATCTCCTACTTCAAAGAGGTGGCGGCTGCATCACCGATCCCTATTGTTATCTACAACTTCCCCGCTGTCACCTCTGGTATTGACCTTGACTCTGACCAATTGGCAACTTTGGCTGAGGACCCCAATATCGTGGCAGTCAAACTTACGTGTGGAAACGTAGGCAAGGTAGCCAGGTTAACAGCACTGTTCTCACACGAGCAGTTCGGAGTCTACGGTGGAAGCAGCGACTACCTCCTGCCCACACTCTACGGCGGTGGCAGCGGTTGTGTGACAGGGATGGGCAATATCTTTCCTGCCAGCACATCCGGAGTTTATGACTTGTGGACCGAGGGCAAACTCGACGAGGCAAACAAGCTTCAGGGTCTGGTGGCTCATGCAGAGTGGGCCTGTAAGAAGGGAATTAGCAATACCAAATACGGGGCGTGGCACTTCTTTGGTCGTGCTATTGGTCTGGATAGTGAGAGCTCGTGGCATATGAGACGGCCATATCAGTCTCTTGATGACAAGGGGAAAGAGTGGACGATTAAGACTCTTGGTATACTGGCTGATACTGAGCAACAAAGGACAAGCCAAAGGTCTTGAGTAGAATTAAATAAGGTATGGCTACTGTTTAGTTGTTTGGCATGTTTAACATCATCTCACTCCATGCTCGACCCGTGCAGGTGATAAACTTGTGTGTGAAGAGGTTAGAACTGTAGAACATGTAAACTCCTCCCAGACCGCCAAAAGGTAAGGGATTTCTCTACTGTGGTGTTCGTGTGGCTGGTTAACGAATCATGGAATTTTCTCCGAAATAAGTCACAATTGTTGTGTTCAACGGCTCTATCACTTCACAAGATTACAGATGAGGCACACTGTCGCGTCAAGGCGATATTCCCTTCTAAGTGGCGGCTCAATTGAATTAACTATCGCAGCAATCCAGCACTATGACATAGAAATTGAACGATTGGACATGTATCCGAGGACGACAAATCTTGTGATATTGCCTTGATGTTTTCTTGTCTTTCTAATCCTGGCGGCGAGAGATGGTGCGATGTGTAAAAGCTTGCTCTCGGTCATCGGTCCTACTGGTCAACAAACCTAGCTCAACCAATCCAAGCCTGTTAGTGCGTCTCCAAGTCAGCAGTAGCACGACTCAGTCCCTTCAGTAGGCAATCTTCCCCAGACTCGATACCCCATACCCCGCATTCCACCCCAGTTTCTGTTCCCATACCATCATTTATCTCCATAAAAGGACTGCGATATCCTGGGACCTAATCTCTAGAACAACAGGACAGCGATTCTCCATCGTTCCGTCTTGAATTTACAGACTCACAGTTTAAGCTATCAGAACCTTATCACCAGTCATCGTTTCCAATGGCTTTACGAAACTCCGTCTTAGACGAGAAAGACATCGAAGCAATCGCTTCACACCTTGACAATGTTCCTACCAGGAACAACCAAGGACTCTCAGCTGAAGACATGGAATTTGTCGCCAACTTTTCAGAGGAGAAGAAGAAGAAAGTCTTGGCTAAAATCGACGTACGTTGCAAATCTTTTGTCAAAGGATGAAGCTGACATTGTCCAGTGGCGACTCATGCCTATGCTCGCCATCCTCTATCTCGTCACCTATATCGACAAGGCCAACATTGGAAATGCGAAAATCGAGGGAATGCTGCCGGATCTAAAAATGAACGGCGAACAATATAACATCGCCCTGTCCATTTACTTTATCCCATGTAAGTCGTTAATAACGGCTCGTTGAGCGATGCTGATACGAGCAGATATTCTGGCTGAGGTCCCCAGTAATATGCTTCTCAATAAATTCGCCAAGCCTTCGCAGTACATGGCTACCATCATGTTCATCTGGGGTATCGTTGTGGTGTGCACAGGTCTGATCCACAACTTTGGCCAGCTTTGCGCGATCCGCATTCTACTTGGTCTATTTGAGTAAGAAATAACTCAAAACTTTTGATTCAACACACTAATAGGAGTTAGGGCTGGCTTCTTCCCCGGTGCGATCCTCATCATTTCGAAATGGTATCTACCCCACGAGACACAAACCCGAGTCGCGATTCTATATACCTCAGCAGCTACTGGAGGCGCTTTTTCTGGTCTATTTGCATATGCTATTGCAAAGATGGACGGAGTCGCAGGCATGGGCGGCTGGCGATGGATATTCTTTATTGAAGGTATCTTTACCATCGTCATGTCCTTTGTCACATACTTCCTCCTCATCGACTCACCAAGCCTGTCATACTGGCTCACCGACGAAGAGAAGCGTTATCTCCTTCTTCGACAAGCATCTAGGAGAGTCACCAACTCTGGAGAGTACCGCGAAAAGACCTTCGACAAGGGCGCTTTGGTCTCTGTGCTCAAGGATTGGAAGGTTTACCTCCTTACTATCATGTCCTGGTCCAACGCCGCACCAAACTACGGTCTCAAGTTTAGCATGCCTTCCATTGTCAAGGGAATGGGATATACTTCGTCCAATGCTCAGCTGATGACCATCCCGCCTTACTTCTGCGGAGCCATCTCGTCGTACGTCATTGCCAGGTTCGCAGATCGCTGCAAGTGGAGAATGCCATTCATCATCGGTCCCCAACTCTGCATCATTGTCGCTTTCTCGATCCTAATGACAAAGGCTGAATTTATTGTTGAAAACCTTGGCGTCTGTTATTTCGCAGTCTGCCTCGCTTGCTCCGGGATGTATCCCATTCTGCCTGGCGTAAGTGCTTGGAATATCGACAACAACCTCAACCCCACCAAACGAGCAATCAGCATTGGTTACCTAACCTGCGCGGGTACGATTGGTGGAATTTACGGAAGCTACATCTATATCGAGAGCGAAAAGCCCAAATATACCACAGGATACGGTGCTTCGTTGGGATTCGCCGTCGCTGGTATTTTGGCCGCTGCCTCACTCGAAGCTGCTCTTGTCATGATTAATAAGAAACGGGGTAAGATGAGTGAGAGTGAGATTCGGAGCAAGTATACCGAGGATGAGCTTGAGGCTATGGGTGATGCCAGTCCTTTGTATCGATATAAGCTATAAGTTAGGAAAGTGATATTTTAGGTGCGGGATTAATACGAGATTGCCAGACCGCCAGGTTTCTTCATAAATAAGGAGGCTTATCGTGATGATTCGATGATACAGTGGCAACCAATATTGCCAATGAGTACATCTCTGAATGGTAGGCGAGCCTCTCGAGTCTACTGACTACCGATAGGATTTGCATCAACCCTGTGTCAATCATGACTCTCATTAAGAGGGGTTTCATTAACAGCATAGACCCGTAAGCGGTGAGATCGCGTTTGTTCGTCAAAGCGTAAGAACAAACAAGGCGATGATCCCCAAATCCGTATTCACCCTAGTACACTATCTTAGAGCCCGCAACCACCTCAGCCAGGCTAATAGTCGACGGAAAAATACCTAAAGTAAGCATAAACTAGTTTACACAAAGATAAAGGTTCAATCAACTACCAGCTTCCTCATCCGTGTACCTTAGCTCCCATATACGCAGTTGGCTATAAAATCCATTCACCCTCATCCAACCAAATTGATCTTCGCTCCGGGATATGGCCATGTTTCAACCCCGCCCAAATGCCAAGCGTTCACAAAGTCCCTGAAACCCGTGTCGACCTGCCGCAAACAGTTATGCCGATGCACAAGCGGCCCGTTCCAACCTGGTAATGTGACCTCGCGTCCATAACTCAGTGGCTAATAGGACGGGATCGCACGGCATTTGGGTTTATTCTGGAAGGTCACAAAGACGAATGCTTTATCTGTAGATCGCGTCACTGGGAACTTCTAAAGTTCCTATTGTCTTGCACTGATTGTTCGGCGGGTAGAGGTATTGTCTCACGACGCATTATCTCGCCTGCCACAATTGAGCACAAAGTCCGTTGAGTGTAATGCGAATGACGATTGCGTCTTGGTAAATGATCGACACCTTCCTAAGATGGACTTTCGGAGTGACAATCGCCTTTGGCCTATATAATACTCGTCGATCACCAGTACTGAGCTTCTAGGTCAAGCTCTCCTCTTGTGTGACTTCGATCCCATCTCAAACTTCAGCTCAACTGTGACAATTTGGTACACTTATTCATCATGCGCTCAGTCATCGCCCTCACGGCCCTTCTGGGTCTGTCAAACGCCGCAGCCATTCAGCCTCGCAAGGTTGAGCCGGAGCTCTTCAATATCGAGCTTGGACGTGGTGACGTCCGCACTGTTACCGAGGAGGAGAAGTGGGCTTTGAAGGCTGTGAGTTCCTATTACTCAGCATATGAAGAATGGCGCTGACCCCAACAGGAACACAAACACTTCATCGACGTTACCAACCTCGATGAGCCCGGTTTCAGTCTTCAGTTCCTTGCCAGCTTCCCCGGAGCAGTCGCCCAGACCACCGCAGTCAAGGCCCTTATCCCCAAGTTGAGCCAGACCAACTTGCGCAGCACCTTGACCACCTTCTCCAACTTCCAGAACAGATACTACACCTCCACTTATGGCCAGCAGTCTGCCGAGTGGCTGTTCGGACAGGTCCAGTCCATCATTACCGCCAGCGGAGCGAAGAATGTCAAGGTCCAGAAGTTCACCCACTCATTCAGACAGCCAAGTATCATTGCCACCATCACTGGCAAGAGTGAGTCAACTGTCGTTGTTGGAGCTCACCAGGATTCGGTCAACCTCCAGAACCCAAGCGCCGGCCGCGCTCCCGGTGCTGGTAAGTAGTCACCAATTGGTTTAGCAGCATTTACTAATTGAACTCAGACGACGATGGATCTGGAACTGTCACCATTCTTGAGGCCTTCCGCGTGCTGTTGACCGACTCACGCATCACCTCCGGCCAGGCTGCCAACACCATCGAGTTCCACTGGTATGCCGGAGAAGAGGCTGGTCTTCTCGGCAGTGGCGCTGTCTTCCAACAGTACAAGCGTGACGGCCGACAGGTCAAGGCCATGCTCAACCAAGACATGACTGGCTACGTCAAGCCCGGAACCAAGGAAGTCGTTGGAATCCTCACCGACAACGTTGACGCTGGTCTTACTGCTTTCCTCAAGAAGGTCGTTGCTGCTGTAAGTATTATCACCATGATAAACGATCTGTTCTAACTTGAATAGTACTCTTCTCTTCCTACCGTCGATTCCAAGTGTGGATACGGTTGCTCCGACCATGCTTCTGCTACCCGCGCCGGTTACCCATCCGCCATGGCGTTTGAGTCGACCTTTGATGACAGCAGCCCTCTAATCCACTCTGCTCAGGACACCATCGACACCGTGAACTTCCCCCATGTCCTTGAATTCTCAAAGATTGTTCTTGGATTTGCGTACGAGCTTGGATTCGCTACCCTGTAGAGTATGAGGAGTAACTAGGATGCCCCTTGGAGGACTAGCATGTGACCTCGATATTTAGGGTATAGAGAGAATGAATGACTCAAAGTACTAGACTTAAATTGAACAAGTTTACGTGAACTGCCATACAACTATTTAATTCAGTATCTTTCGCAGGCATGGCGGAGAAACTTTTACGTTCCGACCTGCAACTTAACTCCGACATTGCTCATCTATCTCCATTTTCACAAGGTAACCCAGGATATGTGATATCCGGAGTATTCGGATCCCAACGTTCGGGTCACGACAGGGAAGATAAATAGCCACAAATGAAAAGTTGATTTGTCACGACTCCAGATCCACTCACTAGGGATCATCGCAGGCATCAGATGTTACTTGTCAATCTTTGAGGGTAGTTCCATTGCAATATTGACTAATCACCCTAGCTCCAGCATCGCTACCCAAACCTCGCACCTAAGCTCAACGGTTATCCAACGCCCCGTCACTAGCGCCCGCGTCGTAAAGTCCGTCGAGGCTTGGTTATTAAGAATATCCTCATGGGCTCATAACACGTATGTCGCTATAACCTCATTTACCGACCCTGCCTGGTGCCGAAATATGAGACCGGGTGAGCAGCCGAGGCACCTTGTCCTGGTTTAGTGTAATTCGCATCAGTATTAGGCTCAACCCTCCTTCTAAGCAATACCCTGCTATTGGCTCGGTTTCTACCGCGCGTATCCTCGATAGCTTCGGCACTTGCAAGCCTCCCGCGGTGTCCGAGCCTCCTTTCAAACCAGTGTCGCAGCCATAAAGGCAATAATTCCACAGCTGCCCGCTATGGGCGGCAGATTCTTTAGATCAACCTCTGAAACGGCATTATCCTAGTTGTTTAAATCGAATAGGGTGTAGTGTCAGGCTGTGAACCCCTAGCGAGAATAGACTAACAAAGTCAAATGGTGAAAAGCACCAATAAAAGACAGTCACTTGAGCGTCAGAACTGTGAAATACGCCCGCAGGCTAATTTGGACCTCCGTTTTATCAACTCCTGATAGAGTAGTGACAAACATCCTGGAACACAACCGAAGTTTCTTTCTGGCCCGATCAACCGAGCACGAGCCAGGGTCCACGATAAATAAATCCCCAGAGCCTCCACTGGGTCGTCGTTTCGTATTGATTGACATCACTCTGTTTCTTCTCTCTGTCTTGTCTCTTTCATTATGGCCTCCTCTACGCATTCATCAATCACTAAACGTGGATCTCTTCCCACTGCTGGCAGTGTTTTCTTCATCTCCTCAGCCGGTCGCGTTCTCAAACTTCCCATCCCCAGCGGATCCTATCGCGATCCTCTGACGTGGTCATGGTCGAAGCGGTTCCTAGCGTTTTTTGCTTTGCAAAGTCTTTCAATTGCAGTTTCCTTCGAACTAAACCTCCCCGGTCTTCTGATCGGAGCCATTAGACATGAATTTAAAGATGAGGTATGGCTAACGTCCATTGCTAAAGGTTGTGCTAATTAGACATTAGGATCTGAGCCCTTTCAGTATAGGGTCAATCTCTTCGGCCATGACCCTTTTCACCGGCTTTGGCTATCTAATTGGCATACCACTGTCAACAGCAATAGGACGACGGCCCGTATTTGTCGGCGCAGCAATCACCGCCACTTTATCAACCTTGTGGGCTGCCTTTGGAGGAAGTTTCTTTCAATTGCTTGCTGCTGTCAGCTTTCAAGGCTTGGCTGCTGGATCAGCCACAGGCATGGTATGTGGAATCCTACAAATAGTAAATTCATTCTAACTTATTGTAGTGCATTCTCATCATCATTGATGCGACCTTCATTCATGAGCGTCCTAATGCGTTATCTTTGTTTTGGTGTTTAGGCTCAGCTTTCATTAAGCTATCCATCCTAATCCTTCCACTTACAACAGATCTCACAATGCAGTGGCGATGCGTATACAAAATCTGGTTTTCGATTTGCACTTTGGCTCTAATCCTGGTGGTGCTCTTCGTTCCGGAGACATACTTCCTTCGACCACCTGTCGCGCTCGATGGAAGAGTTCTTGTCCAGAGCGCTTCCGAAAAGATCCAAGTTTACAGTGGCTGGGATGAGGTTGAGGGCATCAGGAACGAGAAACCGTTGCCAGATATACCAGCATCATGGTCATGGTGGTCTCAGCTCATGGTCACGCGCGCACCAGGAACTAACTGGAGCTCCATGGCTGCCACATACGGCCAAATGCTTCTTTGCATTCTGAATCCTCTGACCTTTTGGGTTTCGCTACTCACAGGTGTTGTTCTCAGTGGTGTCATCTTCTTGAACCTCACGCAGCCGATGGCTCTTGTACATGCACTCGGATCCAAGCAAGTAGACACTATCAACATCATGCTTGGGGTTACTGGAGTTGTTGGTTCTATCCTGGCGTTTCCAGCTACAGGTCCTCTCGCATCCTGGTTCACGCGCTATCATACACTACGCAATGGGGGCATACGCCACGCCGAGGTCTATCTGGCCATCTTTTCCATCCCTGTTATTACAGGCCTACTCAGCGTGATACTGAATGGCCTCACTATTATTAATGGGTGGCCTGTAGCATGGATCTATGTCACATCCGCTATCAGCATCATCAGCTATCTTACCGGCAATGTTGCTTTCAACTTGTGGATAACAGAGGCTTTTCCAAGATGGGCGGCAGCGGCATTGGCTGTTCAGCTGTTTGTGGGAAATATGTTTGGATTCGGTATCGGCACCGCGGTCGCTCCTTGGGTCCAACATAACCATATTTTAGAGCCGACCATCCTCATCGCGAGCCTGCTGCTTATCATGGGGGCAATGGCAGTTCCTGCGGCATTTTGGGGGCAGAATGTCCGACAGTATATCCAAGGGCGTTGGAGTGATTCTGAGAGGACAGCACTGCGTCCACAGTAAAGCGACATATTACTAACAGGGATGGATGATGCATTGGAGGGGGATAATACTTATCGCTCGTTAAAAAGTATATAATGCCTTTGAAACAATCATGGCTCTACTGGAACTTACAAGACAAAATACCTCTTTCATTTGTTAACAACACAGCACAAGTGCTCTTCTATAGTTTTATACCCTCGTGCGATGATTCACGGCATATTGCGACGACAAAATATACTGGGACCTAGTCACCGTAAATCAGGTGGACTATTTGCTTTTGCCCTGCGTTGATTGACTATCCTCACTTCTGCTCTTGAGAAGCAGTGAACACCTACATATGGTGTATTGCGAAAATGATAGATACCATAGTCGAAATGAATTGAATAGACTAAAGATAAACAGTGAATGTCTACAGAGGCTTGTTCCTAGATCTCAGCAATATACAGAAGAGTTAAGAGTGAGTACGTCATCCCTCGGACCGGGATTCAACATTTCTTCCGGTCCGATCAGTAATTGGGATATATATACTGCCCCTACGCAGAACTTACAGACAGTCAGATCAGGACTGTTTTAGCACAGGCTTACTCACTGGCACCACAATCTATCATGTCGTTGCAGATATCAGAAGAAACACCACTTGACACCACCTTTCGGAACTATTCTGAACAACAAGCTTCCGACTATGCCAAAGGCCGGCTGGGCTATTCAGACACCCTTGTCCACTTCATTTTGAATTATCACCACTCCACTGGTGGCCAAAATGGGACCCTTCTGGATGTGGGCTGTGGGCCTGGTACCGCGACACGAATGCTAGCACCTCATTTTGATATCGCTTATGGGGTTGATCCGGGAGAAAGTATGATGAATTTGGCATCTAATTTAGGGGGTCAAACTCGTGTTGGTGATTCCATCATCTACAAGTTGAGTACAGCTGAGGATATTGATAAAATCGACGGTCTCCCTCAATCCTCTCTTGATCTGATAACTGCTGCTACTGCCGTACGCTATTCCCCGTCATAATTCAAGGATTGATTTTAATCGCACTTAGGCCCATTGGTTCGATATGCCAAGATTCTGGTCAGCAGCGGCCACGGTGTTGAAGCCGGGTGGTACCATTGCCATATGGACGACTTTTCGACAACCTGGTATGTAAAAATGCCTTTCCCGTGGCAATAACCTGTTTAAACCCACCAAAGTAACCTCCAATGGCGAGACCAAGTTGCAGCTCGTATTTGAAGAGTTTCGGAATAGTCTGTCACCGTACACATCTGCCGGCACCCGTCTTACAAAAGATGGCTATGTCGATCTAGTCATGCCTTGGGACAATTCCGCCACTGCTCAATTTTATGATGGTCAGAAATCTGCCCGTCATGAACTCAGTGCTGCGGACGGATTCTTTCCAGATTTGGCCATGAAGGGTCCAAGTAACGAGTCGCCTCAAAGTCAACTCTACCGGTTTGAGAGGTTGGTGTCGACATTTGGTACAGTAGATCGATGGCGGAAAGCCAATCCTGAAATGGTTGGAACAAAGAACGATCGTGTCAACATTCTCATGGACAAAGTTCGCCAAGTTGCTGAGGAAAGTGGGGGAAAGATTGATTTGTCAGTCTTGGCGGGTGAGATGGCTGTCGCACTCATTCTTGTGAAGAGAAGTGATGCTCTCCCTTATGGAGACATCGTCTCTTGAGTATGACTGAGTCTAGAGGTACCAATTACTGATGTCATGGTCAAGTACAATAAAGACTTAGTTAATTTGTTTCCAATCTAAGACGTTCAACACCTAACAGACTAAAGGCTTGTGAATTCGGACACAGTTAAAGAAGAAATCAAACCCATTTTGCTATCCATTTTGCTATCCATTTTACTAACACCCGTGGTATCTTCATAACCCATAACAATAAATCAAAAATGAATAAACGAGATACGGCCAGAGGAGTGCCCCAGTATCATTGTCTTGCCTTGAGTGGCCAACACGTTAGAGCGATACTCTTCAGGGATGAAAATGGCATCCTTTTTATCCCTCCTCAGCCAATCCTGGTTGACAAAAAGACAATAAGGGCGATTCAAAGCAAGAGAAGGAAAGGAAGGAGAGAAATAATCAAGGGCGACTACGCCTCTGTTGGTATCAACATTCTGGCCATTGCGGGAGAAAGAGACCTTGTGAATAGGGACGTTAGCTTCATACAGGCCTTGACTAGACTTTGTCTCCGGGTCCCAGAGTCTGATTGTCTGATCTTTCGAGCTTGCAACAATCATCCTGCTGTCGAACGAAAATGTTGCAGATGTAAATCGAGCTGTAGCATATTTGATCATGCCAGTTGCCTTTCCTTCCTTAGTCCAGAAGCGAATCGTGTTGTCATCCGAGCAGGAGAGTATTTGCTCTCCGTCTGAAGAGTACACAACAGAATTGACAGTATCAGTGTGGCCTCTGAGCGTGGCAAATACCGCCTGTGTCGCCAAGTACCAGATAAGCACAGTACCGTCTGCTGAGCATGAAACAATGAAGCGACTGTCCAGTGAAAAGGTCAAGTCTGTTACTGCATCCGAATGGCCACTCAGAACACCCCAGAACTCTCCAGTTGCAGCAACCCAGACTCTGACTGTAGAATCAGAAGAACATGAAGCCAGAAAGTTCCCATCTGGTGAGAATCTTACCAGAAGAACCTCACTTTTGTGTCCTTCTAGGAGTTTTACATCTCCAGTCGCTGTGTCCCATAGTGTCACGGACCCATTGGCGGAGGCAGAAGCAACCAGATGATTATCGGGCGAAAACGCCAAATGATTGATAGCATCAGATCCGGCCTCGAGACTCTGGACTTCCACGCCTTCTATCAGCCACAATTTAATCATGCCGTCTTGGGAGCCTGAAACAAGGAGTTGCCCATTGGCTGAGACGATCAAGCAAGTCACCTTGCTCGAGTGGCCTTTGAGGTCTCTGGTCGCCAGCGCAAGGGGTTCAAAGTGGACACTATCCATCATATCACCTGTACTGGATTGATCATCATCCTCAAAGTCTTCAAGTTTGCCGATCGCCGTCCAAGTCTTTGCATCCCAGAGGCGAACATCGTCGTCGAACGAGCATGATGCAAGGAGCCTTCCATTAGGAGAGAACGCAACCGCATTGATGCCACTAGTATGGTCTTCAAGTGTATGTAACTGGGTACCACTGGCTGCATCCCAAATCTTGACGGTTTTGTCATCGGAACCTGATACGATAACTCGTGCGTCCACTGAAAATGTGACGGTCCTGACTCTCATAGAATGGCCTTTGAGAATCATGCTTGCTGTCCCTGTAGCCGTATCCCAAAGCCTGATAGCCATGTCGTCGGATCCAGAGAGAACCTGCCTGCCGTCTGGTGAGAACTTGGCCGAGTTGACGCAGTCAGAGTGGCCGTCGAGAATGGCACTGATCTCCCCAGTCTCGATATCCCATAGCCGGACCACTTGATCGAAAGACGCCGTTGCAATCATTGACCCGTCTGGAGAAAAGGATGCATCATTGACACAACTAGATTGGTTGTCGAATCTCCGTATAGCACGCCCTGTTTCGGCATCCCATAACGCCAGTGTTTCGTCCATCGACCCAGATGCAAGCAACTTGCCATCAGGTGAGAAGATGACCGAGTTGACCCAACGCGTATGAGCAGGGAGCGTGTAACGCAGCGATCCTGTTTCTAAATCCCAAACCAAGACGGTAAAGTCATCAGAACCTGCAGCGATCATCTTTCCATCCGGCGATATCGCAACAGAGCTGATTCTGTCCTTAGCTCCTTCATACTTGCGAAGCGCTGCATTTGTTGATACGTCCCACAGTCTGGCGATGCCCGTAACGGATCCCGAAGCGACCTGTCTATTGTCTGGCGTGAAAACAAGATCGTTGACGTAGAAAAGCTCATCTTTCGCCTTTGGCACGTTCGCTTCTGCGATTTTGAGGTCTTTGATCCACGGATATAGCTGTTTCTTGAAATGCTCTTTCAGAGAGCTGTTGGGCTGGATGAAGATAAGAGCAGTGCAGTATATTTGAAGGGGCGACTGTTTGAGGATTGATTGGAATGTGAAAATAAGACGCCTGGCGTCTGCTATAAATGTCATTTGACGCTCGTTCTCTGAAGGCTGCAGAATTTGTCAACAGGTTGGCATAAATATCAGAAAGGCGTTAACATACCACAAGCAGAGAATGGTACAGCCGCGTAATAGTCGTCATCTCTGAGCTCTTACCAATAAGGTTAATAGCCTCAAGCCAATGGAGGAGATGTTCCTCCAAGAAGCGATGAACGCGATCGCCATCGGTAAGACGCGCACCACTCTTTTGATAATGCTGTGCCCAGTATACACACGCGTACTGAAGCTCGGGAAAAATACATCTCGAAACATGGCCAGGGTTGACATCCTTGACAAGAGTCCCTGGCGATCCAAGGCCGCAAATGTTAGTCTTGAGCTTTTTTGACATCAACGCTATACAGCTATCGGCCAGTGTCTTGTGGGCTTCTTTCTCGTCAACCCACAGATCCGGATCGCGACAGCGGGTCTTGTCAAGGAGAAAGTCTCGGAATGTCGGATGGTGTAACCGAATTGGGCGAGATGGTTGACGGGGGATGTTGAAGATCGTGTGCAGATCGGCCAGCGTATCTTGAACTTCACGCAACGGCATACTTAGTAGATTCGCAAGCGATTGCATAGAGAGTGGTGAAGACAGAATCACGATACTTCCTAGAACTTCTCGCAGGATCTCGTACAGCTCCACCTTTTCCTTTTCGTTGTAGTCCTGCTGGATAGAGTCTTGCAAGACAGACGTGTAGATTTGGTCCAACTGCTGTTCGGGCCCTGCGCCGGAGCGATGGCCATTGAGGAGTGTCGATATCCGCTTTGACGCCAACCGTCTCCCCTCGCGGATAAAACGGCATGCAGTTGAAGCCCAGATAAATAGTCCGCAGGAGTTGTCGACCAGACGTTTGATTGTTCCTCCATCAGGCCAATCATCAGAATATCCACGCTCTTCTCTTATGATAGAGAAACTATCCCGAAAGTAGAGACTCAAATCTCGGTCTACTACATCTGGAGATATCTCATGGAGCACAAAGACCTGTCTCTCCACGTCTGGGATCATGGCAAAGCCGTGACGTATAGGGATTTCCGGTCTGCTTGTGATGAAGATCCGTAGACTCACCCCGTTGAGCGTCCTAGCGGTAGCTAGAACTCTGAGAATGACTCGGATATCCTTTTCGCTGTCGCATTCATCGAATGCATCGAGAATCAGGACAATCGTAGGGGGACATGAGGAGCGACTAAGCTTGGATAATGGGTTGATAATCAATTGTTCCCACTGATCTCGCAAAGAATGCTCAGCAATATCTGTTTGCTCTGAAATAGCGTCGCAGATGTAGTGTCTCACAGCCGGAACCTTATTCGCCAGCTGTCGAGCGAGGGTGGTAACCAGTCTATTCGCATTACCGAGGTCGCCACCACCTCTTGAAAAGAAGAAGCTGGCGCCCAGGATCCCGCGATCATAGAAGTTCCGTGCAACTGTGCGGGCAATAGTTGATTTCCCGGTGCCTGCTATACCGTTGAGCCAAAAGATGCATTTATCATCAGCAGTGCCAGCCCATTCTGTGATGTCTTCTAACAGTTCAGATCTTGTGTTGGAAAGGCAGGTTGGCTCGTGTTGGTTGTTTAGGGAATTGAAAGCTGCCTCGGCTGCGATAGGTAGTGTTGTTAGAATTTCTTCAAGCTTCGCAATCTCTGCGTGTTTCTTTTCGATCTCTTCCTTCAGACGGACAATCGCGTTATCACCCTCGCCGTAAATAAGTGGCATAAAGACATTGAAGATCCCCAATAGACAGTATGCATTATCCTCTCTGCGAGTTGTTTGACGATTCTCAGTCCATGTAAACCGTTCAGCAACCGTAAATACCGCGAGCGGGTCCCCTTGTAGAGCCCGATAAGGTATTCCAGTTATTTCTTGAATGCTGGTTTCGAGTGACTCCTTGTCTCCGAGCTTTGTTCCGTTCACACAAAAGAACTCGACCGACGAGGGCGCAAGAAGCTCTTGAAGAGTCCATCCTCGAGTGAACCATCTACTGCGACGAAAGTCCCACTCCCATGACGCTTGCTTCTTCTCTGGGTCGGTAGATTCGGCGACCGAGACATCCGATAGGTATGCATAGCATTTTGCAGCATTGCGATACCACGCAAACATGCTAGTGATGGCTTCTTGGAGTTCGGCACTGCTCTGCTTGTTAATGCAGCAAGTATCCACCCAGAAATATTCCAGGCCATCTTTGCAGGCCTGCTCAGCACAGAAGCGAATCTTGCGCCAACTTGCCGTCTTGATCTCGGGTTTCCCACGAGTCATATCATCAAAAGTTACTTCCTCATTGTCGCCAACCAGCCACGTGTGTGAAAGAATGGCATATGTGGGCAGGTTGCTTTCCGGAAGATCGTGAGTAAGCCTTATATTGCCATCTGGCAAACGACGAAGGAGGCGCATATCCGGCGTGGGCCTTCGACAAACTATAAAACCAGGAAAATCGGCCTATCAAGATTTCAATGAACATGGAACAAGCAGAAGTGGGACTCTTATTCACAGAGTTCTTGGGAACAGAAAGAGCCGCATAAGAACGTGTCATCGAGCGGGGTAATCTTGGGTTACTCATGCAGTCACGTTGTTGATATCCAATGGTAACAGACCACGAAGTGAGGCTGATCAGTTGCTGACCACCTTGATAAGACTCTTTCCGTTTTCAATCCTCGGGCCACTAAGGCAGGTTCAAGTCTCTGAGAGGATAGATTTATAAGATATCAAGTAACCTACCAACTACTTCTTGGTAACTACGAATTCATCAAAGAACTCCATTAAATTACCAGGCCTGCCTCAAAGGTTGTTGACTGGGGTAGCTAGGTGAATTGGTTCAATTTACATTGTGGGGTAATACGGTTTGGCAGAAATTCGATGTCGATATGCAGTATTATAAGCAATGAGATCTCAAAGCCCAAGGGTGTTAAATGAAATCTGCCTTGAATCGTGATTGTACTGGTCAAGCTGCATCATTGTGTTGTTCTGAATTGCTATTAAAGCTTCGGCGGGTAATTATGGTCTGATAACGGCGTCGGGAGAACCCGTTTAAGCTAATCTATAAATAGATTCGTGGCGCAATCCAATCACTTGGGTCATTAACCAACAATACGATTGGACTGAACCTCCTTAAGCTCAAATAATACCATGGCTTAGGGGTCCTAAAACCAGGAGAGTTTTCGCAGCAATTGGTGAGTATGAACTCTAACGCGTCGGATTTGTACGGAGAAAAGACATTCGATGAGGGTTCGAGCATTCATAACCAATCAGGTTCAAGCTTGAATGTACTTTGAATTCCACCTCATCAAGGTGCAATGAGAAGTATTTGCTAACGGACTTGCGCCTGGACCAACCCCGGTCTAAATACCCTATACCTCAACAATTTAGCACAATTGGCAATTCTTTATTCAAATTCGGTTGATTGAAGTTCATCACATGACAGGCCAGTATTATGAAATTCCAGTAGGAGGTTTCACGTCACAACAATTGTTACATCTCAAGTGCTCGAATCAGTTCACCCTATCGTCGGGGAGAATATCTGGCTCACGAGAAAGTTCGATTCCACAGCGAGAAGTCAAACTTGTACCTGGACACACAAAGCAAATCAGGGCGAACATTCGAACTTCCGTTCCATGCATAATGCAATCAAACATACTTCCCATCAATTAATTCATATCGAATACGGTTACAGAAAAAGGGTGATCGGTGCTGTTGGTTGAACCTTATTACGAATCGACCCATAAAAGAAGTGCCGAAGAAGAAGCCAACACCGAGTTCCTTTTAACGGGAGAATAAACGCCCTTGTCCACCCGGAAGACCGACATGTGAACTAATGCAAGAATCAGAAGACGAAAACGGGCTCTAATAACTCGGTAGCGGACCGCATCATTAAAGCGAATTTGGATTAAATGTCTAAAGACATTCAGCTCAGGTACGAGTCATGGCTTAAAAAGAAAAAACTTACATGACCACCGTATTTTCTAAATAATTTGTGCCATAACTTATATGTCTGGAGCCTGGTGGTTATTAATGCAAAAGTGCTCCATTCTTTCTCCTTTGGATTATCCGTATAACGTCGCATTAACGTTTCCACACGCGAATCGACAGCATTAAAAGATCTACTCTTCAGGAATTGCGTAACAACGATCAAACGGCGCAGGAACCGAATCTCAACACAAGACAAGCCGATCGTAGCATAAGGATTCAGTGACCAATCTGTGCCATTCCAATGGTACGTTGCTTTGGTTCCGTGCATAACCGTCCATGCCCTGTTTCTCATTCGGGCGTCTGATCCTTGCCAAGGGCCACTGCATTGCAACCCCTGACAGGTCGCAACCAAATTTTCTCCAGGTATCTGCTCTAAGTGGTCAGTGGTTCGACAATCCTCCGCGGTTGCCGGGATTGTTGCGCAATCCGCTTCCGTGATCATCCTCTGATTCCTTTCACGTGCGTTTCTTGACATGTAACGTCTTTGGGGTCCGCGGTATGAATGTGAGCATGTCAATGGGCCGATATGCTTGCTTTTTTTTGCTTTAAGCGAGTATTGCCTCGACCTTTTCGATGTGTCGGACCATATTGGCAAATATCTTATTTAAAGGCGTCGGCGCGGCTGCAGCGCTGAAATATCTGCACCTTGACTCGCTGGCTTTATTTAGGTTTGTTAGCTACATATTTACGTATTAGTGAAATGCCATTTCTTAGATAAATAGCACTTACGTAGCTCAATCCTACTCGCGATCCTAGCTTAGCAGAGTTCATCTTTCAGCTTCCAGAAATGATTTAGGGTGTTGTCAATCATTGCAACAAGGTGGATACGTTTGTCATGTTCGGAAAGTTCCTTCGGCCGCTAGACTTTAGTCCCTGTCAGACAACACGGTCAAAGAGTTTATTCCAAGGGTCAATGATTAATTAAAGTTCCGTGTCCAAACACCGAAGGATGTGCTAAGCAATCTGACACTGTTATAGCTTCAATACTAAATAAACAAGAAACCGGAAGCAATATAAACAACAAGTATATTTAATGCCCGCTATATGTACAGTTATCTCGATCAGCATATGTACGTCAAGAGGAAAGAGAAAATTTCAACCCCTGCAAACTGGTAAGATGAATGGAGTGGGGGTCGAAACTCGGTTCGCTTGCGAAGCTACGCGGTGTCGAATTAAGGCAATGATTCCCACAGCAAAAGGTCTCGAATGCTCCAAAGCCCCTTGATTGGCTTCTGACCCCAGATCGACAGCTGTCCGCCGCACGGCTGCCGATCCCGTCCCTCCACGAAGGATTTACCCTTCTTGGCCCAACATGGTACGTGACATGGACCTTTCAACCGGTTCATTGCGCCAGCAAGTCATAAGATGATGATAAGGACTTCCCCTGAAGGATCATGCACCTGGAAAGCCTCAACTGCTGAGCCATCTGCTCGGTGATGAAATTTCCGGTTCCATGGGGTACACTCATCTATCTTGTGGAATTCTGTCCACTCCCAGCAGGGGGGGTTGGAGGATTGAGATCCTGTGGACGGACAGGTCTGAGGGTGGCATGTAGAGCGACCGTGTGTCGGTTAATATCTACGCTGTAATGACAGGCAGCCGGGTGGGATGCTGTGGCAGCTGGCTAATGTTGTCCAACAGCGGAAGGCATTCGGTGGTTCTTATCAAACGCTGGTAGTCCCGGCGAGACAAGCAGAGTTGCTGCTGCATGCCGAAACACATGTTCTTATAGCAAGGAGTGCCGAAGGACATGGGAGCCGCATCGTTGCGTAAATTAGGTAGCATGAGGTATGATGAAGCCCCAGGGCGGAACCTTATCACCCTAAGCCACCCCATTATTAAGTGGCTTCCGTGATGTTCAAACCGTGAATCGCAACCAGCAAATTTTACAACGTCAAAGTGCGCCATGGTCGAGATGCTTTTACCGCGTGAGCATGAGACGCCGTTCAATAAGTCGCCGGTCATACGGGCGCTGTCGATGATTCTCATGATTGTGACGATGTTCTCTGTTTTCATCCGGGTGCTTACACGGATATCTACCATGAGAAGGTTGAGTTTTTCGAAGCTCTGCACTTCCGATGATATACTCATCTTTGTATCGATGGTAATGAGATTGTCGATGTCTTACTGGAATCACCGTTTCGCTAACGCTTGCAGATCTTAATTATAGCACAGTCTACAGCTGTGTACTCACAGGGTGCCAATGGCTTGGGGAGACTAGACGGCGTGTCATCTGCCCAAGTTTCTTCGATTTTGAAGGTAGGCAAAATTTGAGTATATCGTGAAAATACTGACCAGTTCGCAGGGTCAATTCGTATCCGATATCTTCTCTTTTCTCGCTCTAGCACTCTCGAAACTTTCCGCTACGACTACAATATGGAACATGTCACCGTTGTCACACAAGAAATTATTGCCAATTCAGATCTTGATCGGAGGCTGGGCATTGTCTGCGATTTTGGTCAGAGGATTCGCATGCTCTCTACCAAACACTTGGGATTACATCAATGGCCAATGCATAGACCTGGTATGTTTCGTTGGTTTCGTATAGAGAAATATCTGACTTTGAGCAGTCCGCATTCTGGGCCTACGTCGACGCGGTCAATATTCTGACTGATCTCATAATCACTGGAGTTACTATCGAGATTTTGGTCCACTTGCAGATGCCGTTTGGCACAAAAGCAATGGTTGTTGGTGTTTTTGGATCTCGTATCCTGTGAGTACACCCTCACGTTGGGTGATAATAAATACTGACAATTCAGAATGATACCACCTGCTGTGTGTCACATCATCTACTTCAAGCGCGCGATCGAATCGTCAACCCCGATATTCGACATGTGGATGCCAACTGTCATCGTCCAGGTCATCCAGTGCGTCGGTGTCACAACCACCTGCATACCATTTTGGTGGCGTTTCCTGAAGAGCCTGGAATCCGGGCAGATGGGTCCAGGCGACTTATTCGGGGCCATGAGCAAAAGCAACAATAGCAGAAGCGGCGGCACAACCCGAGGGACGAGGTCGAGGGGCGACACCACGGTAACGTCTTCTGTTGCACGTCGGACCCAAGCATTCGAGTTGACGAGCAAACAAGGTTGGCAGGGATCTGCGGATGTGAAAAAGTATGCCCACATTGTGACAGATCATGGGAAGGGGACGTGGGATGCGGCGCGGCAGAATAGCCAGGAGGCCCTTGTCGATCCTTCAACTCTTACTCCTGCAGGGGGTTAATGCTGGAATGTTGTACATAATGAATTTGCTGCAGAAGAGACGCTGTCGGATTTAACATCTTGTTTGGTAGATAACTTGACAACCTTTTACGATTGTGCCCGTTGACGGCCCGTTTAGCGAAAACTTTGCTGTGCAATCAATTTAACGGATCTTAGACGAGTGTCTAATTGTGGCGACATGTACGGAGGTAGCATGCCATGTCCTAGCGTATTTGCTAAAGAATACAAGGGTCTCTCCAACCTGGACTCGCAGCGATCAACAAACTCCACTGTTGACCACGGACGGCCACGGGCTTTGCTTTGTGGTTTCAGCCGAACCAACCTGCATGTAATGTATCATGCAATACCTCCCTACTCGGCTATAGCGCCAACAGGTGGAAAGTGGTTCTTGAACAGTTCCACGGCTTCCGTACCTGTACATTGAGTGTCCCCAGGGTTCGTCAGGGATAATAATGCATCAGCACGCCAAGAAGTGCCGCAGTTGGCCATGTAGTTCGCCGAATTTTCTAATTGACATGCAAGGGTTGTATTTAAGTTTTGGATCTTCTGCAGAAGGGTGCTTGCTTTTTAAAGTTCTCCCTCAACTCCTCTCGTATCGAGGGTCATCTATTCCACGCAGATCACACAGGGCGCTGCTGCTTGTTACTTTTTCTGCTGTTTTTCCAACTATAATCAATCATTTGCAAGGTCATACTTGTCTTCAATTATGGCTTCTCAGTACGAGCTCGACGATATGGCGGGCAAGCACCCTCGGCCTACGGTCGAGGATGTCTCGCTGAGCAGTGACCAAGACCATTTGGACAGCGCGCAATTGGCCAAGCTGGGTAAGAAGGCGGTCCTCAAGGTAAGTGTCAATTACTGTAATCTTCATATCTCGCGCTGACATTTCTCCAGCGAAACTTCGGTGGTTGGACGATCTTGGGCTTCAGTTGCGCTGTTCTTGTCACCTGGGAGGGAACTCTCATGAACTTCGCTCCTGGCCTGAACAATGGCGGAAGTGCTGGTATCATCTACGGCTACCTCTTCGTCTGGGTCGGCATCTTGAGCTCTTTCGCCACCCTCTGCGAACTCGTCTCCATCGCGCCAATGGCCGCTGGCCAATACCACTGGGTCGCCATGCTCGCTCCTCGACGATACGCGAAATACCTCAGTTATATCACGGGCTGGATGAACTTTGCTGGATGGCAGGGCACTTCAGCGGCTGCTGCTTTCCTGACTGCCACTATGATCCAAGGTCTCGTTGTCTTCACAACTCCCTCCTACGACGCGCATACGTGGCATGGTACTCTGATGATCTGGATGTGTGTCCTGGTTGCTATCATTATCAACACTGTTGTTAGTGCGTTGCTTCCTATCTTGGAAGGCATGATCTTGATTCTGCATCTTATTGGCTTCTTCGCTATTCTTATCACCCTTCTTGTCTTTCGCGATAACGACAACGGCACTGAGGTCTTTACCGAATGGCGCAACGGGGGCGAGTGGCCTACACAGGGCCTTTCTTGGTTCGTTGGACTGCTGGGTTGTGTCTTCTCCTTCACTGGTAAGCTCTATTGTATACACTTACTGGTTCATGGCTAACATATATCAGGTGTCGACTGCTCCTTTCACGTAAGATTAACTCGTGTATCTAAGGCTACGTACTAACTCAGATGATAGATGTGCGAAGAGGTCAGGAACCCTTCTCTGATCGTCCCTAGGTCTATTATGGGCAGTATCACCATCAACGGTCTTCTAGGCTTCGGCATGATCATCGCTATGCTTTACAGTGCCACTGATATCGATGCTGCCATTGAGACCCCCACTGGATATCCTTTTATGGAAATCTTCTATCAAGCCACTGGATCTATTAATGGAACAGCTGGTATGACTGCCCTCATTATTGTCATGACTCTGTCTGCTACCGTCGGTGTTATTGCTTCGACATCTCGCATGCTGTGGGCGTTTTCTCGTGATAACGCCATGCCATTCTCTCAGACTCTTGCCAAGGTTTGTTTAGTTATCAACTACTCTTCTGAGCTGAAGCTAACGATTTCTAGGTCGAGCCCCGAACTAACATGCCTGTGTGGTCCATCTCCATCACTTGCCTCATCTCCTGCCTCATCGGTCTGATCAATCTTGGCTCCAGCGTTGTGTATAACGCGATTATCAGTGTGGCCATATCTGGACTCTATGCTTCCTATTTCATGCCCGCCATCCTTCTTCTATACCGTCGTTGCGACAAGGACTACAAGATTAGGAACATCGCTGGTGATAATGAAGTTCTTGAGTGGGGTCCATGGCATCTTCCAGGCATGTTTGGCGTCGCTAACAATGTGTTTGCTTGCATGTTTATCATCATCATCTGGTTCTTTAGCCTGTGGCCCCCGCAAACCCCAGTCGACGCCGCCAGCATGAACTATGCTCCATTGATGACCGGTGGAATTGCGATTCTCGCCACTATCTACTACTTCTTGCGCGCCAACAAGGTTTACGTGGGTCCCAAGATTGAGATTTAAAAATAGATTTACACTCAGCAGTGTTGCGGGCAAGGCTGATAGAAGCATCTGCTCCAACTGGAATTGCCATATTTTATAGCCCGATATCCATCGTTAATACAAGACTCTGGCCAGTCCTTATTTCCAAGGCAAAACTGTTATCTCAGGCCACACCTTCATCCAACGTTGAACTTTCTTGTTGTATGCCTCCTCCGTCATTATCAACTGGTTGGGGCGGACTATAAGCCTGAACATGTCCGAGAAGCCCCATGGCGCAAAGATATCCCATTCCCCGTCATCTCTTAGTCGAACTCCTATAAGCGCCGTGTTGGTTCCCCAAGTAGTCATGGATGATTCAGATGAATGGTGTTGCGGGCAAGGTCTGCCAAATTTCTCCTCATACCACAGATGCACGCGTGCTTGATTCCGAATCTCGACTTCAATTGGGATATCTGCAAAGATTCTCTTTCCAGCCTGGATGACAGCATCTTCAGCATCCCATGATAAGTCTGTTCCGTCAAAGTAGATCAAGTCGTAGTCGTTGATTCCTTGCTCCGGGTCTCGATCGGTGACAACGTTCCAGACAGTCTGCGTGAGAGCACCAGCAGCCAAGTACCAATTGGGGAGTTTCATGTCAGCAGCGCGCGATAAAACGGTCATGAGTGTTTTGTTGCTTTCTATCGCCTGACGGAAGCGCGATATTTGCTCATTAAGAGGTAGAAGGCTAGCCTCCATTTTTAGATTGGTTGGTGTTTTATTGCGTTGAGGTATATGAATTTCCTAAGGACAAAGTTCACGCAAAAGTTCACAACTTGGTAGGACAATGGTACGACTGCACGTGACATGAATTATGTCTCAAAAAAGAATTGCGAGACATTCGACATCATCACTTACACAAAACCCTGCTTTGATTATGGAAGGTTTCAATTTCCATGGTGTTTTTATAGCGATAGCTAGTCGCTCTGTCTCGTCTCCCAGTCTTACAAACGCCAGCTATTCGTCTTGGATTTAAGTAAATTACAGAATGAAACACTAGCGGGTGCGAACGGTCCAAAGGAAAACGTGGGTCTACAAGTGCATCTCAATTGTGCAATCAGACTGCTCGATAGGTTTATTCATGATAAGCCAACGGTTCCACGGCCGTGAAATGTCTCTAGTTTTCTATTCCGATAGGCTCTCAGAACAACTATCAGCGATACCGGCTGTTGGTCCCGCTTAGCACCGAGATAAGCCGTCACAAGACACGGAGACGAGTGCGGGGTAACGTTAATCGGCCAAGTGTCGGTCTGCCCCGGACGGAGGCGACCGCCGCTTTGCTGCTAGACCGGGAAGGTTTCCGCCTCACTATAATTACCACTCCTTCTTTCTTCAATTCAACATCGTCAAAGGTATCAAACTCATCAAAATGCCTTCTACTTCTGTCTTCCAGTCCGTCATCTATCCCGGCAATCACGACAAGGTGTCGAATTGCAAGGACACCCAGAACTTCATCGACAACAAGCTCGTGTCTTCGAAGACTACCAAATGGATCGAGGTTCATGACCCGGCGACCAACAATGTTATCACACGGGTTCCCGAAAGCACGAACGATGAGCTGAAAGAAGCAGTGCAATCAGCGAAAGCTGCTTACCCAGGATGGAAAAGAACCAGCATCATCAAGCGCCAGCAGATTATGTTCAAGCTCACACACCTGGTTCGCGAGCATATGGACAACCTTGCCACAAGCATTGTCACCGAACAAGGCAAGACTTTTGCTGACGCCAAGGGTGATGTTCTTCGAGGCCTACAAGTCTGTGAGACTGCGTGCGGGATCACTACCCAGCTTACCGGAGAAGTGCTTGAGGTCGCCAAGGATATGGAGACTCGATCATACAGACAGCCATTGGGTATCACAGCGGCTATCTGCCCTTTCAACTTCCCAGCCATGATTCCGTTGTGGTCTCTCCCTCTGGCCACTGTTACCGGCAACTGCATGATCGTCAAGCCCTCGGAACGTGATCCGGGAGCCGCTATGATGATTGCAGAACTCTGCAGGGAGGCTGGCTTCCCACCAGGCGTGGTCAACGTTGTTCACGGATCGAAGGATACTGTCAATTTTCTTCTAGATGAGCCTGAGATCCAGGCGATTTCTTTTGTCGGATCCAACAAGGCTGGAGAGTATATTTACCAACGAGGAACAACCAACGGAAAGCGTGTGCAGGCAAACCTCGGAGCAAAGAACCATGCACTTTTGTGCCCCGATGCGAATAAAGACCATGCACTAGATTCCATCGCTGGTGCCGCCTTTGGAGCTGCTGGACAACGGTGCATGGCTCTAAGTGTTTTGGTCACACTGGGCGACGCAAAGCAATGGTTGACTGATCTCGTTGAAAAGGGAAAGAACCACATTGCTGGAAGTGGATTTGACCCAAAGTCCGATTTTGGACCCCTTATTACCCCTCAGAGCCGAGATCGTTGCGAGGCGCTTATTGCGAGTGCAGAGAAAGAAGGAGCCAAGATTCTCTTGGATGGTCGCGGATGGAAGCCTGAAGGATTTCCCGATGGTAACTGGGTAAGTTGAGTTTGAAACAAAAAAGAAAGAATACTAACAGTTTACAAGGTTGGCCCAACGGTCATCGCTGGCGTTCGTCCAGACATGGAATGCTACAAAGAAGAAATCTTCGGTCCCGTACTGCTCTGCATGGAGGAAGAAACCCTCCAGGACGGTATCTCACTACTGAACTCGAATGCCTGGGGTAACGGTGCTGTCATCTTTACAAACTCAGGAGCCAAGGCTTCACTGTTCCAGCAAGAGGTTGATGCCGGCCAGGTTGGAATCAACGTACCGATCCCTGTTCCTCTTCCTATGTTTTCCTTCACGGGTAACAAGCGAAGTGTGGCTGGTACAGGCCTTGCAAACTTTTACGGCAAGGATGGATTGAGGTTCTATACTCAGTGGAAGACTGTCACTTCACTGTGGCGCGCGGATGAGGCAAGCACTGGAGAGAAGTTGACAAGCATGCCCACCAACTCATAAGGGTTGACATAAGCAAGTCAATTCACTAAACCTATGTTACAATAAATGAATCATCACTGTATCAGAAGTTTATACCTATGATAACTACTAGCTCGATACCGGCTTATTTCTTTTGCAGTCATTTGAAGCGGTCTTAACTCGACTACTCAACGAAAGACAATACCTGAATAGTAATGACTGATTTTTGATACACCTTGTCCACAGGCCAACCCCTTCGTATACTAATCAATTCCCCACAGGGTCATCCTCCCTTCGGCGTTGCTCAAGACGATATGGCGATATCAGCACAAGTCAGATAGACCTGAGGAGTCTGGAAAGAGTTCCACTTGAAAGACAAAAGAGTGTGGTTCGAAACATATTCTGGGATCTTGATCTTGGCAGACACAGTATAGCCACCAGCAATGGAAGTGTAGCATGAGTTGATAGGTGAGTTATCAACACCGCGACAGCCCTTTCCATCGTCGTTTCCTTGGAAAGACTTGCAGGTGAACCAATCGTTGCGATGGCAAGGTTGGTCAGCCGAACAATCGGGACTATATCCACAAGTCTGGCCGTCGACGTCAGTGCAGGGAAGAACTCCTTTCTCGAAACAATCCTCGGCTGCCTGCTTCTCCGCTTGAGTAGGGATATAGCTGGCATCGAGAAACTTGTCGACGATGTCCTGGTCTTGGCAAATTCGATAGGCAAACATGCCTCCATGGTCGCCATTGTTGTCGACGCACCACTGCACATCAACAACTTGACCAGGAGAGTATGTCGCCACCGGCTTCTTGCCCCAGTTCGCGCCTGGCTGGTTGTAGTCGACGCTGACTCGAGCATTGTAACCACACGGACCAGTTCTTCCGACTTTGGCCTCATCCAAGTTTGGCCATGCGGTGACTGGTTCCAAAATGGTGCACTCAGGGCAGGTATCTGGGCCGGCCTGGAATAATTAGCTACAGATTTGTATATGACGGGAGTATGTGTTACCTGGGCATTGAGTCCAGTGCGACTCATGGGCTTGCTGAGATATCCATGGCCATACACAACAGTGCACATGGAAGCAAGTTGGAGAACTTGAAGGAGCATTTTCATGGTTGTTGGTTTTAAGGTCGGTTTCAAGGTGTTTGTATGAGAGTGCTGAACTACTGATCCTTCGAAGACCCTATGGCCTTTTATACACAACTCCCCCTGGTCATTTCTGTAAGTTAGCCACCATACGTTCAAAGATCATCGCCATTCTTTCTCATCTCAACCAAGAGCTATGTCATGAGGCCTCATTCCAACTTGGTCAATGGTCCGCCATACGTCTAGTAGTCCTAGCCATTAAGCATTGACTGACTTCATTATGGTCATTGTTCCACCTATCATCTAATAGAGAGCGCTGCCTGAAATAGACAGACAACCATCCATTTACCACCAACTACTAATCTGGGAAAGCTTCCGTTCAGATATCGGGGTTTCTTGCGGTCTGAAACCAAGTCAGCCAAATAAACCGAGTATCGAAATACTATGGACAGTCAAAGATACACGTAAAATAAAGAGAATGTGCATTACGGTTAGTAAGAGAGGGTTGCATTGATCGACTGCGGGCCGAATGCTGACTTTTCAGGGATGAATGCCAAGCGTGTTATGCATAAAAACCTCCGGCTTTGCTCACTTTAAGGTATATCGGACCTGAATATCGAGCGGAGACTCCGCATATACCTAGGGATATCGTGGAGGATCCGCTCCTTCACACGAAAGATGGACATCACATGGTGATCTGATTGAAGTCACTGAGCCACATGTCATGGTTTCGGTAGGGCTTGACAAACTTTTTCGGTAAGACGAGTCTTTCCCAGACAGTGCTAATGAACACAGGATTTGAAACCTGTTAAACATTTTAGTGTTTGCTGCCACCTCAACGAGCTCAATTGTTTCAACTCTTCGTCGTCTCTTCCCAGGCGTGTCTTTGCCTAGGTAGGTGGGTAGTCAAAACTACAGTTAAGACATATCATGCCGTTCCAACTGCCCCCTGGATCTAACATACGGCTCCTGCCGAATACCCCGCGTTCTTTGTCGATCAATAAAAGCACGTGGCGGCGATATGTCGGTGCCATTCAGACATTCGGCCCTCTTCCGGGATACTAGCCCTATTAGTAGGTCTGGGAATATCACGTTCCGTAATCGAAGAGGTTAGAAGGTATGGGCTTTTTTCTTTAAAGATTTGAAACTGAATAATATGATCACACGCTGGTAGTCGCCGTGGGTAACTATAGTAGCCAATGAGGTAGACTCTTTGATCGAATTGAGATATTTAAGATCAGATGACGCCGTCAGCGAAGGACGATTTGTCCCATCAACTGAAGACTCATTTTCAATGAAACTAAATACTCTTACTTATATTTTATATGATCCTTGAGCAGTCTTATGCGTAGACTTTCATGTTTCAGGCAAAATATTGATTTCATCCAAGAACCTTATCAGGTAAATGGCATTATTGTATTGAGTTATACCGGTGCCATGGAGGGCTATTTTATCATTTTACTCATGCATTCAACTGTTTATTTTAAGTTCGTATAGACTTTATTCAAGTAGGTACCTTACAATCCGCGAGACAAGGAAAATGCTGACGCAGGAGCCACATGCCATAAGCTAAGAAGGGAACAATTCCACGTGGGTAGCTTGTCAAAACCATTCACTTCAATCAATCTCGACCCCGTGCAAATCTATTAATAAGTTTTTGCTGCTTATCGAAAATGACAGGCGGTGAAGCTCTTCTGCTGAACTTGTGCTCAGACCACACGCTAATTGTCTTTGACGCTGCCAAGTCTTGGTGTTGAGGCAAGGGTAACTTGGCAAGCGAATGACATCATCAACAAAGCGTCAGGTTATCGCCACTTTACTTGGCCTGAAAATGAGCGACACGTAGTAAAAAGATAATATTCCAAGGCAATCCTTGACATTTTGAAACGCAAACTAGGGTCAAAGTGACTGGGATAAAAATAAGTTTCAAACCTGCTTTTGCCAATGATATTTGTGTCTTAAATACACCTCATCGCTGTCTCATAACATCTTCAGGGTATACACCATTCGTTTCGAGTCAAAATGCGCCAATCAATTGTTTATCGTTTTTTATGTCTTTGGGGGCTTGTTGAGAGCATTGATTTATCCTCTAAACGCGGGCTCGCATATCATGGAGACGAGCATGAGTCAGATAACAACCTCTTGACCTCGAATAACTCAGAAATCGCGTGGTACTACACCTGGTCTCTATGGCCATCTGCACAAATTGGAGACTCTTTACCTTTTGTTCCACTGATCCACGGCCTCGACGATGCATCAGATTCAGAACTTGGGAAACGCCTGAACAACCTTCCCGACTCTTCAACACATCTTCTCACATTCAATGAGCCAGACGGCGAAACAGACACAGGCGGGAGTTCGATATCCGCCAAAGACGCAGCTGCCGCATATATGAAGCACATTGTTCCTCTGAGGGACTCAAAACGCAAATGGTCTATAAGCCACCCCAGCGTTACCGGATCACCAAGAGGACTCGATTGGCTACGGGATTTTAACGAATCCTGCTACGATATCGACGACGGTGGCTGCCCAACAGATTTTGTCGCTGTGCATTGGTACGGCGACGCAGTTGGTCTGGAAAACTGGCTCGGCAGCTTGCGCGAGTTCTACAACGAGACTGCGCCTGATGCGCCATTCTGGATCACGGAGATGGCTCTTCCAAAAGAAGATGAAGAGGCGACATTCAAGATGATGAACGAGACTCTCCCAAGTCTGGACGACAACAAAGAGGTTCAGGCGTATGCGTGGTTCGGCGCGTTTAGAACGAACGATGCCAATGAGTGGACGGGAAAGAGTGTGTCTCTTTTTGATGGCGATGGTGGTTTGACAAAGCTTGGCGCCGAGTATCTGGGCGGTGAAGAGAAGGGATTCGAGGAGGGTATGTCGAAGGGAAACTTGCAGACACCTTCCAAGTGTGCTCTGTTAGTTGCGATAGTTGTCTCAGCGGTTTATTTGTGGTGATGCGATGAGTATACGATTTTAGACGATTTTAGATAGAGATACCAATTTGAATAGCATAGAATTGATAGAATTATGAAACCGTAACAGTTGTGAAGTTTCATGAGGATAATTGAAATTTCCTGATGATTCAGCCACTGAGAGAAGGCATAGCTCTGTTCCGGTTGGTGGAAACTACTCTCTTCTCTGCTCCAAGTGGTGGAACACAGAATCCAGACTCCACTTGAAAGTCTGAATTGCCGAAATCCGTTGTCAAGTGAATAGAGACCCCAAGAGAATATCGTACAATTATTAGAGGCAGAACAATGTTTAGGACCTGCAGGAGGAATGGGGCTGTTATCAAAAATCTCAGAATGAGAGTCACAGGCTGGATGCCATAAATCACGACGGTCTCACAGGTTTTGTAAATAGTGAATCATTTCCTTTTAATTACCCTTTACCACAGTTTGGTTGCTGAATTCAATTTCCTCGTCGCATACCCTACAGAGTCATCTGTGAATTAACAACTCAAGAACATCCTTGTATTTGCTGAACCATTGTGTTGGTTCAAGCCAAGATTCATCCCAATCGCGTAACTGTTGGTTTCAAGTTCCAGTCAAACGGAACCCAATGAGAATTTACCAATGTTTGATGAAGATCACAAGTCCACTTAAAGTCAACTACCTTCGTGATCATCGTTAGGCAATATCTCGAGTTGATCGCTCAGCTCCTCTCGTTTAAGATGGGCTCGAGTTACTCTGCATAAATCAAGACAGCGAGCCGTCACTGTCATCCAGTTTACTAGTAACATCGCTCAGGTACAGGGTATCGTAGTGACGTCAGGGCTTCTCCTCACGAATGTCCAGCCCCCTGTAAGAATCCAAGGATTCTCCCAACCTCGTGTCAATGCCTTGACTTGTACAATGCTACGTGATGAATAGACGGCATTCTAGATTCCATCTGACGAGCATTCAGCCTGTAGGATACTTCAGCCATTTCGGACTTCATACAAAACGGCGATAGCTTCAAGCTTACCAAGTGCAATGCGATTGGCGGGGATGTCCAAGCTTCAAAGCAATTTCACGACAGTTCATGCTTACAGTAGCCTTCTTTCCCCTCGGTCAATAGCTCGGCGGGATACGGCTGGGGGTCTGGAGACAGTGGGACACCGACCACAGGAAGCAATCAGGCTGATTCCCCCGCACGACGATCCCAATCCAGAGGTCATACGCTAGCATTACCCGAGTCAGCCGCGCCAATGACCACTCTGCGGAAAACCTGGGGAAAGTTTAGCTTCATCGTTACCCCAGAAGTTTGCAAGCTCGCGTGGTTGCAACGGCAAGTTTTGCGGGTGACAACGACATCCGCACCAGTCATTACCCTTGATCCTCGTCATGAGATGGCATCTACATGAACTTGGATCCTCTCAATTGGAAGGGATAATAGTTGGTGGAAGTATGTTCTTCTTCTCCGCATCGTATACTCGAAATCGTCGGTCAGTTCTATAAAGCTTGGGGTTAGCTGCTGCATTTTCGGTTGTTCAGTCTCCACTCGACCACCGCAATCATGTTGTTCAAGACTGCTGTCGTTGCTGCTCTCCTCCCTTTCGCCTTTGCGACTAAGAAAGGCAAGGGCCCGGACAAGGATGGTAAATACTGGCTCTCCGGAGACGGTATCAAGGCTGCCTTCATTCCATACGGCGCCTCCATCACCAACCTCCTGATCGACGATCAGTTCGGTGTCTCCCGAGACATCGTTGCTGGTTTCGACAACGCTACCCACTACAGCGTTGACAAGGGCCACCCTCATCTTGGAGGTGTCCCTGGACGATATGCCAACCGTATTCGAAACAGCACTTTCGAAATCGACGGCACAAAGTACAAGGTCACGCCAAACGACAACCCAACACCCGAGTCGCCCAAGGGTGCCGATACTCTTCACGGAGGACCCGATGGCTGGGACTACCGCAACTTCACTGTTGTGTCCTACACAGACTCCAGCATCACCTTCTCCATTGTTGACCCTGATGGAAAGGAGGGTTTCCCTGGAGAGGTTGTCTCTTACGTGACCTACACTTTGACCGGCCACGACTGGGATATCAAGATTGTCGCATTGGCAACCACCAAGAAGACTCCCATCATGCTCACCAGCCACACCTACTGGAACCTTGACGGCTTTGCCAACAACGAGACCAACACCATCTCCAACCACTCTCTCCACATGCCCTACGGTGGTCAGCGTGTTGCCACTGACAACATTCTCATCCCTACTGGTGACATCATTCCCAACAAGAAGGGATCCGTCAACGATTTCTGGAGCAAGCCCAAGTTAATTGGTGACCAAGAGAACAACAAGGATTTGAAGGGTAACTGTGGTTTCAACTGCACTGGATACGGTGAGTTTCCGAGCCCTACTGATTGTTTGAAACCTGCTAACATATCTAGACACCTGCTACACCGTCAACCGTGGCCAGCTCGGCCAATACGACTGGCGCACCGAGGGTCCCGTTGCAACCCTGTCTTCCTCGTGGTCTGGAATTCAAGTAGACATCTACTCCGACCAAGACGCTTTCCAGTTCTACAGCTGCACTCAGCAGAAGGGTGACTTCCCCTTGAAGAAGACCCAAGGTCTCAAGGATAATGCCGACTTCCCCCGTATCATCCCCAAGTACGGATGTGTCGTTCTTGAGGTTCAGGACTACATTGATGGTATCAACAACCCTGAGTGGATGCGTGAGGAGAAGCAACTGTTTGAGCCTGGTGGCAACCCTTATGTTCTTCAGGCGAAGTACACCTTCAGCCTCAAGGGTGCCAAGGAGTAAATAGAGATTAGTCTCGAATAATTGATTGATAAATGCATATTAAAGTTGTCGGTGAAGCTGTATACGATTTGGAAATTTTCCGCGATTACTATCTTATCCTGCCAAGATACGTCGCTAGCGTCCTTTATGTCAAAGTGGGACGCGGATGCAATCCGTAGCTGTAAGTTTGATTTATAATAAGGCTCGACTCACAATTATAAAGGTCCTAGAATTTGCGGGGTAACTTCGCTTTCTCATTATTAGCAAACTTGTCACCATGGCTAACGTCAAGCAATATCATCTTCTTCCTACGAACCTGATTCCAAACTCACCAAGACCCTTGTTACACTACAAGAATGTTCTAGTCAAACGTCCGAACAGCTCCCACTGTGACCCCGCCGAGACCTGGGCTATGTTCACTAAAAATGAGTGGGACGTGGAATGGATTTTCAGATACGCCGACACGCAACTATCGCACTTTCACTCAGAAGCACATGAATGCATGGCAGTCCTTTCAGGCACTGCTACCATTCGCTTTGGCGTTGGCGATACATCGGAGGATCTACAGGACAACACGTACGGCTCGGCGTGGGAGGAGGGTGGAGTTGTACTCGAAGCTGAGGCTGGAGATGTCTTTGTCATTCCGGCTGGTGTAGCCCACAAAACACACAAGGCTAAACCAGCAGCTGAGTTTAAGCTCATGTCGCCCGGTGTTGGACATGGTATTGAGGCTGATGATCCGAGAAAGGCCTTGTCTGAGCTTGTCCTGTCGGGATATTGCATGATGGGGGCATATAATGGCGGTGACTGGGATTTTGTAAAGAGTGGTGGTGACTATGAAAAATCGTGGAGGGTTCCTAAGCCTAAGTTCGATCCTGTATTTGGAGCATCAGGCGAGGGACTTGGTAAGGCGTGGCCGGGTGGTAGTAGAGAAGCCGAGTTGGAGCCTACTGGTGCAAAGGATAAGGAATCTAAAGCTAAGGTATAGGATATACCCACGACCATTGGATGAGAAGGATTCTATCGTGGAAATTAGGTATGAGAAATATCTCTACATAAATATTGGAAGTAGGTCAGAATGGCGTTCAATATTAGTCCCACCAATATCTCTTCCCATATTAAGCTTTAAATTATATAAACCTGTAGTGGAGCACCGCGACCTACCGATCAGATGCCAAGATTTCGGCTGCCCTGTGCTTCTGCAAATCTCACTGCCCCAGAGTTCTCAGGTGTCTCGGAATATCCCGTGATCGGCGTTTGTGCAGGCTGCATACTTCTCAAAACTGGACCAGTAATCAGTTGTATGCACGACGATGCATCCATTTGCTGGATATCACTTAATGTGTTAGCACTTATGCACCAATATATCATGAACGAGTGATAACATGTTTCGAAGACAGCAGACAGTGACACTCATATTACGAGAACAATAGATATAATACACTGATTGATATACATTTACATTCTATATATAGAAAACAATTAATCCAATCAAACCCAGATACTAGTCATATCATTCAATCCGTCTATATCGTATTCGCAGTAATTGAGTAATTAAGTCATGACTTCTTAGTCCTGGACACCAGTAGGGGTGTTGCAAAGGATGCCCTGGTCAAGCTGGGAGGAATGTTAGTGGCGTTGACACTGATAGTGAGGTTCAACTTACAATAGGGAGAACACAGCAGCGAGCTCGCTGGCCAATGGCGGTGCAGACGGCACTGAAATCAGTGGCATCGGTAGGGGCAGTAGGGGCTACATTTGTCAGTCAAGTCTTTCAAGCGATAACATATTTGACTTACGGTTTCCGCAGTCCAGGTCAGCAATTCCGAGGACATCGGTAGCACAGCACTGAGAGGTGCCGTAAAGACCAGAGCAAGGGATGTAGGCCTGGCGCTTCTCCTCAGTGGGGAGAGCAGAGACGGCAGCGCCGAAGAGAGCAATGATAGCGATGGAGAACTGCATGGTGAATAGATTGAATGAATAGAACTGGATTGGTATGATAGGGTTGATGTTGGAGTTGAAGATGAAGATGAGAGACGTTGATTGACTTACAACAGTCCTCATATATATACAAATCGTGAGTTATAGGAGTCCAAAAATATTAAGATCATCATAGTACAATTAAAAAGTCTCCACGTCATCGTGAATCGATCTGTCTCCAATCGACACCGTTAAACAGACGATGCTAAAGCTGTTGACGTTTTTGAGGCGACATCCTGGTCTATATCGTCTATAGAGCGACTTGAAACCTGTTGTAGCGTTGCAGCGGCGAGGTACTAAGGGGCATTTACAGCTTGACAGGGGTGCAACGCATTAATGTGCTGTGACGATCACCGTTGGGAATTTCGGAATTGGCCGTTATGATTGGCCGGATCGTCGGAGGAAACACTGAAAGGAATACCCGACTGCCGAAATGATCCTAGCAACCCATGATATTAGTCTGGTTGCTTATAGCAGACAGCTATTAAGGGCTAACACAGCAATGAAGAGATTGGCTGGGCATATGTCATTGTTTGGCTACAATATGGTAAGCTATTCGCCATCGCTGAGTCGTGGGGTCACCAATGGGAGGCAACCCAGCTCAACAGCGTTTAAGCGATGCCAGACCATGTTGATCATTGCTCCATCGACGTTTCCAAGCCTTTGAGCTGATCAAGGTCCATCGCACGTTTCAAAACATGATGCGGGTACTCATTGTACCTGCAGTACAGTAAATGGGTCATCTGGACTTGGCTGCCTCCAGAAATTTGGTAGTATGTACCCGATCGACGGATACACGGGTGTGGTGCTTATTATAGTACGCATATATGGAGGAAATTAAGTGGCAAATTGTTCGATAACCTGATTGTCCAAAGTGTGATTTGGCCATTCTTTCCAGTCAATGCAAAAGAAATCAAGGAAATAACATCATAATTGTCTTATATCCAAAGCCTGCATATATGTTATATCAACGACTACTAAGTCATCCAACTAGCCAAGCCAAGACTTTCCCCTGTTCGATCGATGGTCGTTCCTGTTTCCGATCATAATACTTACCCTGTTCAATCAATAATACCTGATTCCTCGCATTAACCTCATTCGCTCATGATGCCTTGAGTTCCTTGCTTCGCGAAGCTGGAATCGCAAACGCTCGCCACCCTCCCAAGCTTCACCGTCCTGATTAAAGTTAAGCTCAATTCGCTCGGCTACCTCCCCGGACAACCCTGCACCACGTAGTAGACTTCCTTCCTTGGCTGTGTGGCCGGATAAAACACTGATGAGACCGAAACCTCCAGAAATAGGAGATGAACGCAAGATGATGCGGATGATGAAGAGCACCAAGCCAATAATGGGCTGAGCGAGTAATACCAGAGCCAGCAGAGGGGATTGCCTGAGTACCCCGACTGTCTTGAATGCAGTGTCGTCTCGTTCGTATTTGAACATCTCGGCGAATTCGGAATCCGGATCAAGTCTGTTGACTAGTGAATCTATCCCACAGTACGCGGTCAACCGTGACCAAAACAATGCAGATACCCCAGCCGTCATTTGGATCTGCCCTTGCTCTGTGAGATTGCTCGAGTCTAAACGACCGACAAAATCGCTTAGTATTGATACGGCGTCATCAAGATGGAGAGTATCACAGCTGCTATGAGGTGTTTGCTCGAAGTTGTCGTAGCAATAGCCCTCAACAAGGTCTACGGTATTGAGAGTGATGCTCCATTTTCCATGGCATCTAAGCCATTGGCTGATGAAGCCAATGCTCTGTTCCCTGAACTCATCCTCTGTCGGTTTGACCTTTTTACAGTCTTTACCAGATTCACAAGTCGTTTTCTGCGGTCTGAGTAGAAGGAAGAAACGCTTTAGCTGACTCTCAGGCCACATAATTGTGAACCACTTTTTCTCCTTGTACAACCGTATGGAGGATGGTTCTTTTTTGTGTTCGGAAAGGCTGTTCCACCAGCTAACGTCATTGCGATGCTTTTCGAGCTCTTTGTCTTGCTTCCAAGCCAGTCCATTGACATTAGCGGCAACACTATATGACTGCAGGCCATGGAGACCCTGCCTTATAGTCTCGACATATTCCGGGCTTGGTCCGTCCAACATGGCAACTGAGATGTGCTTTTCGTTCAATAGCAGCATGTTAAATCCGTATGGCTGTGGCTGAGACGGTACTTTGAGGGGCATGTTGAACATGAGAGGAATTGTCGCGTTTACCATGAGAGCATACCCAGAGGTGAAATTACCAAGCCCTGGGGGACCTGTGAGTCCATAGATCCCTTTACTGCCCTCGACTTCGAACGTGACTCTGCCTCCGATGAAAGCCTTGTATCCCACGCTGAGGACCAACGGTAGGCCCAACGAGACGAATAGTAGCAGAGTCCAGCGTTGATCTCCGCGGCGTCCATTGAGAGCACTACCCAGGACACTCTTCTTGACGATAACATCGTAGTTCTGCAAAAGACTTGCCCATCTGGTTTCGAGCTGGAGAAATACAACGGTAGATATTTTACTTGTGCAGAGATCCATAACAGAAAGCGTTAAGCCAACGATTATGAGTTGATACTTTTGTCCCATGTCGGCAGCAGTTTGAGATCTAAAGCAGACGACAAGACCCACTACGCCACATGTGAAGCTGAGTAGCAGGGCAGCGAATTCCGACCAGTCAAAAAGCCGTCTTTTAATCGCTTTTCCTAACCCACGGGGCTCTTGGTCGATCTGAAATGGTTCATAGGTGAATGGGGGTGCCCTGGATCTCATTTCTGATGCAACAGAATTTCTGTTGCGTATGTCAGTTACATGCTGCTATTATGGTATGACCAGCTTACGTCTCCGATAAATGATGAAAGCCCTTCATCATATCTGTTCGTTGTTCGACTAAAATTCCTAGATGGTTCTGTGGTGGGAGCGATCATCTGAGCTTGCCAAATCGTAAAAATGTTGATTCTGTAGTGTGAATAGTACGGTCAGGAAGAGTTTTAGAATTGAGTGAATTGATGTAGAGGGGAAACTCGAATATCAGTAATTCGCTCACCAATAAAAGACGGCTGAGCCTCAACTTAGGGTGTGGCAATGAGTCTAACAGATAGGAGCCGACTTTTCTGCATTTTGGAAAGCCACTAGTTTCGGGGTGGTCCTGTGAGAGATAACCATGGTCTAGCGTATCTACCAATCATGATAAGAGAAGGTGTCACTGACAACTGTCTAAAAAATGTCTGACATTTTATCTATAGGCATCTTGACCGCGCCCAAATGTAATTTATTGTGAAGTGACTACTGAATAACAGAAATCAGAAATATGAAAGTTTTTGTCGCGAAATGAATAACAGCCAGACTCAATGAATACAGTTCAGAAAGAGTTGAAGGACAGCTTGAAGCAGAGCCTGATTTCCTTGATCTCGTTGTGGAAGTGGCTGCATGAGCTGAAATGTAGTTGGTGTATACCAGGCCTGATATGTAGTATGTGTAATAAATGAGGCCCTCTATATAACTTCCCTGCTATTTCGACCGCTAGGATTCAGGCAGAATTAAGTAGGAAACAGCCTTAGTAGTTATATACCAACACCAATATTGTAAAATAGCCGTATTTGGAAGAGATTTTATCTTGGGCTGTTATTAGTCATAATTCTAAGTGATTGAATGATTTCGAACATCTCAGCTGGACAAATCAAGGCCCTGGATAAGAAAAAGCATAGTGTTTCTAACTGACGAGGGTATTGTATGTCGGATATAAAAACAATACACCGACAGTTTCACGAACACTGATTCGAATTGGACACCATGCGAAGCCCAGCATTATAACCGGATGATCTGGAATGATCGCCAATTTTAAGGATTACTGAAGGATTAAATGGGTTAGACACTGAGCTGAAGGCAAGACACATCGATGTTTTGGTGGGATGGGCAAGCTTTAATTATAGATATAATCTATCAGCAATGTATGATGGTACCTTTAGTTGGTACCGATTGGGTAATCTAAAAATAGGAACCACGCTCTATGCAAGCTCAGACAAACGCTTCAACACATCATCCTCCCAAGGGTAATCATCGCTCTTGATCTTTCCAAAAGCAGGAAGCAAAACAGCCTCGTCAATCTCAGCATACTTGCCACGCTCAATATGCACAAGCTGTCCATTTTTGGATGTATCAGCCATAAGGAAAGCAGCACAGCGAGCTACATCAGAGGCAGGCTGGAGCTCGACGTTGATGGCGGCAAGCAGAGCTTTCAACGAGGGCAGAACACTGCTGTCTGTCCACGAAGGAGCCAGAGTGTTGACGCGGATGGGCAGTTGGGCAGCGCCGAGGAGAGGAATAAGACCTCTTCCGAAGCCGAGAACACCGTGCTTGGCAGTGGCTGGTAGTGTTAGATAAGATCGGAAAGACACGTTTCTTTACTTACAGTAGTCGACAGCGCGGACACGCTGCAGGCCGGTTGTAGAGCCGCTGATAACAATGCTGCCGCCCTCAGGCTGCTGTCGCAGGTAGCTGATAGCAAGGGTGCATGTGTTGATGACTCCCTTCAAGCTGATATCCATAAGAAGGTGAGAAGGCTCCTTCAAGTCGCCATTCTCATCAACTTCTGTGGAGAGGTAATCTGTGCGAGGTCCAATACCGGCATTCGCAAAGACGTGATCAATGCGGCCGTGGACCTCCTTGGCTTTTTTGAATAGGGCCAAAAGATCCGCCCAGACACTAACATCGGTCTTGACGAAAGTGAAAGATCCCTTGTGTTCGACCTGGGGAGGCTGAACATCGCCACTGACTACCGAAGCCCCTAGAGATAAAAGCATCCCCACGGTGGCCAGGCCAATACCGGAGGAACCTCCTGTATAAACGATCAGTCATAATTCTACAATGATGTCACTGGGGGAATGACTCGTTGGTCGGTCGTACGGAAGTTTCATACCTGTAATGATGACGATCTTGCCATTGAGGGCTGTCAGCTTCTCATCTTGGATAGTGAAATCAGCCATGGTGACGAAAATAGTAGTGGATAGGAAAAAGTAAAAAGAATTTGGCGAGACACAAGAAGGGGAAAGGACGCGACCAGGCTCAAATAGTAGTTGAGGGATGATTGATCAATCTCGACAACAGATTATTAGCGTACTGCATGAGAACGGGGGGCTTACAGCATGCCCCGAGTGTCGTATCATGGTCCCCTTTTGTTTCCCACCGTCTATTGTTTTCTGATTTAGTGCGTTGTATTTCCCTCTAGCGGTTATACGGTGTATAGTGCCGAGACTAGTGACGCGAGTGATACATTAATCCTTGCTGATGCTCCATATTCAATGGACGCAACAGGCGTCGCTTGCCGCACGTTTCCCTTTTCACTCGTATATTTTTCGTCAACTACCGACAAACTCATGCAGGATCTGATCTCTCGGCATATTTGAGAATACCAAGATCAATTCCCTGCATGCATTCCCACCCCGCAAAGACACAAGACCAGCCTCGAATCCTTCATTGGAAATGTTGAATTTCCTTTGGGGCACTATTGAATACAAGTGTATTGCGGCTGTAGCGGGTAGGCCAAAATAGCTTCCGGATGGCCGCGGGCCTTACCGCTTTGATTCGATCGGCGCGGTAAAGCCGTTAGAGGCCGTGCGAGTCCATAACGTGAGAGGCTTAGCTCAAGCTTCAGAATTGCTGGAAGCACTAGACATCTTCCGCGAGCCACAGATGATCCAAATTTCGTTCAACTCCTGGGAGCCACTAAACGGTTTTACTAGGGAAATGCGATCCAGTGGACGAATAGCACTAAGGTGAGGCGAACCAGGACAGGGGTCTTGAATGAGAAGCGAAACGGTAGTGCATCGAAGCGACGAAGAAGAAGGAAAAATAGGGAACACACGGCGGAGCAATTCCACCGCGACGGATCTAGGGCAACTACGGAGTAGTCCAAATTGACTCCGCTTGGGATTGGCTCCCCGTTCTGTTTGGTAGTCCATCGTTGGATTCGTTCGAGATTTTGCAGGATATATGGAGTCCTGTATCATGCATGCACCTCCCAACACGTTTGCATCCTTTGAGCCTTGACCTTGTTATTATTTCCCATCTTTTGGTTCTCTTTCGATCGAACCGCCCGTACCGACAGCATGGCTCCCATGGCCGGTGAGGGTGTGCCTCTTTTCTACATCACAATTGTGATGCTGACGTTGTCGTGGATCTTTGCAACCGCGCGCATTGGAGTCCGACGATGGAAGAATAATTTCGGCCTTGATGATTGGCTGATGTTTACTGGTCTGGTATGTATCACGGACTCTGGATGTATCTCGTGCTGACAAAACAGATCCTCTACACAGTTACAACATCATTGGTTATTACTTGTTGCTTCTATGGCGCTGGCCAGAAAAGAGCTGAGCTGGAGGCGTCGGATGTCATGCATGGCACAAAGGTACGTCGCAAATACCATACGGATACCATCTAAACGCTAACATAACTCTAGCTTTTCTTTATAGCCCAGTTCTTCTACTCAGCATGTTCGGTTCCGATCAAGTCAAGCATTTGCGTCACGATGCTACGCATTGCAGATTCTCGACGACGATTTGTTTGGACACTATGGGGAATCATTGGCCTTACTGTTATAACCGCTATTATCTTCATCCTCGCAACGGCCAACGTCTGCCATCCGATCACAACCCTCTGGGGCGAAACCACACACGGAACCTGCAACACGAAACTCAACAGCAACATCGGATTCTTCTTCTCGGCTGTTTCCATCTTGACTGATTGGACTCTGGCTATCCTTCCGTGTATTCTGCTATGGAACATTCAGATGAAGACCAAAGTCAAGATGCCTGTGATCTTCATGCTTAGTCTCGGCGCTTTGTAGGTACCACTGGGGATGTGACTGGCAAAGACTAACAAATACCAGTGCTAGTGCCGCTACCGTCGTTCGTCTCGGATACCTTACACTATACAACAACCCCGCCGAGTTCATGTACAGCACCGGTGCCATCGGTCTATGGTCAATCCTCGAAGAAGGCATTGGAATCATCGCCGGATCCATGCCTGCGCTCCGACCGCTGCTCAGCTTGCCACTCTTCAGCAGGAGTACATATGGCAGCAACATAGAGTCAAACCAGTTGTCCAGCCACATGAACCAGCCCAACACTACCTCACACAAGCGAAAAGCAAACCAATCTCAGAGCAAAAGGGCCTCTATGGAGTTGAACGACTTCCGAACCCACTTGACGACACATGTTGGATATGGAGATGGAGAGACTCGGGAGCAAAAGCAAAGCCTGGATGATAGCGATAGCCAGAAGTATATCTTGAAGTCAACCCGAGTTGTGGTGACAAGAGAGCAGGCTTAGGCATGCATACTATTGTTTATGATATAGGCGATGAGGATACTACTAGGTATAAAACCTGTTTCGCCAGTCCTTGTTTTCGGCAACGCCACGACTGCTCTTTAGTCCAGATACCCACTCTTGCATTGCTGGTTTTTTAGCTCTTGATTCACATTGAGAACCCATAGATAGTAAAATAAATAGTGCTCAATTATTATGGCCTTACGTCTAATCCATTATTTTACCCTCTGTTGATGAGTCACTTAGGGGACCGTAAAGGACTAGATAAGTGATAAAGGGGCCTAGCCCATCATTTCTCGAGTATCTAAGATACGTTCTAGACTCTATGATCTTATATGAGGAGGGTATCCCTGATGCTACAACTTACCGATTGGTATCTTAGTCCTTACTATTGAGCTACCTTCAGGTTTACATTTGTGGCGGATCGATTAATAGCTAGCCAATCAATACAGGAGTAAGCATTAGCAACCGGGTAGCTTCTGTTTATCCGATTGTTTGACCAGTCATGGTGCCGTGGTTTTCTTGCTATAGCCACCGCATTCCTCAGCTTTAAACCATCAATAAATGCAGAATGTACTCTTTGGATGAGTAGTTGGTGGGTTGTGTTAATATCGATGTCTATGTCATCAGAGTTGTTGCTGGGTGCGACTTTGCTGTGAAAGCCCTATGCGTAAAAGTTTCAAGGATAGAGCAGTGAAAAGCTTAATCATCAAAAATATAGTACCCTGACAAGAGGGATGGAATAACGCACGGGTTTTAACGTCATCAATTTCTGCACCTATCACAAGAACTGTCCCACACGATCATAACGACACACGACACAAAGAGTCATAAAAAAACCCCCACGAAAGCTTAGCCACTCTATCGCCTTGACCTTTTTTGAACCACCTCCGATGCATCTGATGTTCGTTTCTTGCCGCTGCTCCTAATCAAAGACCAAATCATCAAATCCGAGGGTAAAAAGGTGGTGCCGCCGGACTTTTGTTTTCTTAAATACTCCAGTATCCTTGGTAGCGGAATTGGGTTCGTTCCGCAGTAGACAGTGATTGGCCGCCCAAAAGCAACTTCGTGGACCAGATCCGATCGCTCAAACCAGGACCGTGAGAAAAATTCCTTTGCGGAAGTCTCTAGTTGTGCAGGTGGTTTGTCGTCTTCAGCATCACTGGAGGAATCCTGAACAGATGAATCGTCTTCCATGTTGTTATCTTCAGCCTCTGAGTCGTCGTCCGTGAGGTGAGAGATAATGGCTTTAGGACTGCATTTGGCGCTATGCTCCAAAACTCCCGTCCACGCGACAATGGAACTTGCGCGAGAATAGATGTGCGGGATCATTGGACTTTGGTTCATTCTTTCAGCTGGGTCGTTCGGATTGAGGCAGACCGCATCAATCCAAATTGGTCTTCCAACTCTGATTACCTCTGGAGCAGGAACTAGCTCTCTTTGCTCAGGATCCTGATGAAGTCTGTATGCCAAGTCGGCGACCTGGTCCCATTGCGTCCTCCTGGAATAAGAGAAGCAATCCATCGGGGTTCGACCAGCAGAATCAAGCACTTTCATACTCGCGCCATAATCAAGCAATTCGTCAACGATATAGAAATTTCCATTTTCCGCCGCACAGTGCATTGCTGTTTTACCATAACAGTCTTGCGCGTGAACGTGGGCACCTTGTCGTAGATACTCTTTGACGTCCTCTAAACGGTCCTCTTCGACAGCCTGGATCAATTTGGTTTGATTTCGATCTTCGTTGCGATGCTCCACCGGATCATTTACATCCCTGGCCATCTGTAGCCCTTCGTATATGTTTCTTGGCAAAAACATGATCTTGCCATTGACAGCAACAGCGAAACGGTGCATGGGACCATATTCGTCAATGCCCCCAGGATGATGGGTAAAGGGGTTCCCCGATACTGCAGATATTATGTCAAAATCTGGTGCTTCATGGATATTGAATGTTTCCAGAATACATTCGAGCAGTGGCTCCTTGAAGATTGAAGGTGGTGAAAGTTGACGGGGTCTTTTGATTATAGACAGCAAGCGGATAGAGAAAGGAGATGAAAGATTGGTATATTCAAAATTTGAAAAGTCAATCGGAGGGGGTGGGTTGGTAATTGCCGACATCGTGATTCTGTCCTTTTGAGTTGGTTGATGGAGACTTATTAATTCAGTGATCCATGATTATATATACTCGAATTCATTTGGATCTTCGGTACCATGAGCCTGTTGGCTGCCTGATCCTTCGTAGGCAAACGCGTCGCATAGCCACTTTTAAGTGGGTACGCAGTCTCAGCTGCTCGGACTTTTGTCTGCGATATCCAGCCTCACGATAATTTTATATTCTTGGCTAACGCTGCATCTTGACGAAAAGAGACCTGGAACAAACTTTAAGCTGTACTATTAGGATGTTCTATATTTTCGACTGGTTATTGGCCATTTTATCAATTGCGACCATGTCCTGAACAACGGAGCTTCAATGCAACAAGCGAATTGTTAAGGTCACATACATGAGGGAATTGCGTGACTAATAAAACCGTTAATAATACTTCAGTTCGAAATTAAACTTATACTGTCAATCTAGAGTAGCTGAGTAGCTTATAGATATCAGTTTCGGCTTGCCTCTGTACCTATCACCGCCCCTCAAAATAAATTGCCAAGGTGATGTCCCTGCTAGTCGAATTCGCTCCGACGGTGAGAATAGATTCACGCTCATGTGAAATGCTTCATGCAAGACTTCAAATGGGCGCTCATTGATTTATTGGTTTAAAACTCAAAAGTCTAATTCATAGTTTTATTAGATTGTGATTAACAGATCCCCCTATTCAATGCTTGATAAGAAACCCACGTTATCAACTGTGGCTTATCACATGACATGTAGATAGCAATAGTGAAGATATGTAGCATGGTCAATAGAAGTATTCCAAGATCTTGGTGATGTATCTAAACTAACAAATTCAACGAAGTTGAGAATCGTATAGATATGGGATAAATGTAAATTAACTCCTTTCTCTAGTTACAATTAACCCTACTAAGTTTATGGCAAGTTAATAAAACTAATTATGCCAGGGTTAGTTACAGACTACAAGACTAGGTTGGGATTGTTAGTGTTGTAGTAGGAAATTGATATATAAACACCATTGTTATTATTTACTAACGCTGAGGAAGTATTTCTTGCAATCTATCCACCTACTGCCTCCCCAAAGTACTAAATCCACCAGGCTAGCTCAGCCACAGCTCCAAAGTCTGTATATCAGGTTATAAGATCAACCATTCTTTACCCCTAATTAGATTACGGGAATAAGCTTGTGGTAGTTGGGATTGCTGAGAATATGACTATTATCTGCAGCCTGTGAAATAATCATATGCATCAAGGTGGCCCGGTAAATCAGGAGGTCATCCAAGTGATGCTGTACTTGATTGGCTGGATACTTGAAGTCATCACCGTCCTTTTCCCACAGCTTCGTTACATGCTCCATATATTCCAGAAACCGGAATGGCTTGTCCGAAAGTTGAGAAGCTTTGCCATCTTCTGCGCAAGACGTGGTAAAGTATTGATCCACTGATACCGCTCCTGCTGGGAGATTGTCCTGATACTCTCGTAGTTTGCGAACCTGACGGGACACCAGCTTCGTGATAGCCAAGAGAGAATTGGGAACCGTCTTGCTGGGATCGTACGTCTCATCCAGATCGTGTCGCTCTTTTTGATCGATGACACAGGTATCGGGCCACTTTCGTCCAAACTGATCACCCTGGTACATTTGCTTGCACACAGCCGCGGTAAAAGCAATAGCCTTCATCCGACATATCGTTGGATGCCAATTACCGCTCTTCTCAATCCATGAATCGATTTCATGGAGTTCTATCTGAACTGGGCTTCTCTTTGATCTATAGTCAAATGAAAAGATAGTTGGATCCAGACGGGACGGCCCTGGTTGTCCCAGACACTCAGTATAGATACAACACTGAAGCCATATTTTTCTATCGACCTGGAAAGTTGAATTGTGCTGGTTTTCAACTCCTGTGGTAGATGTTTCTCTGTCAATTATGTCTTGGCTCAAGGAAATATTCGCTTTCATGCAACACCGACTAAGAACTGCCAAAAAGGCAAAGTTCTCATCAACCTTGCTTAATTTCCTTGGGAAGAGATTGATGTTCGAGAGTGGTACTGCGGCTGCGAGTACCGATATACCTCCTTCCAGTAAACTCAAATAGTCATGGACCAGGAAATTAGAACCAACAGATATGACTGTCTTAGTTCGACACCATTCGAGAATTATCTCTGGTTGACCTCCTAGAGCATCCAGCTGGGTGGTGCCCGCCGGTTGGCAGTGGCAGAGAGAAATGTATACCATTTCTACTAAATTTCTTGTAAAAGACCAAGCTGTTTTCTCGGTTAAAGTGATATTCCATTCCATATTAATGTATGCGAAGGCGCTGGAATTGCTGAGTTGTTGTACAGGAAGCAAACAGCCCCAACTGGACGCTATTTTGTAATGCAATCTCTCTGCGGATGGAAGGCGGTATTGAGGCAGATAGGAAACCATACTACCCTCAAAACTCTTCACTATACATACGTAGTTTCCCCCTTTACGCGCTTGGTCAATTGAACCATACAAGCCTAGAAGTGGATGGTTTCGAAAATTGACATCGATATATTCCCCCTGCATAGAAGCCTCGTCACCGGTACTTTGGCCACTTTGACCGAACCATACTGTGCCAGCTGCGATTGATGCAATAGTTACCAAATCAGCAACAGTGGAATATGCAGGAGCGGCTGCTAAGTCGGAGGGCAAGTAGTCCGTCCCTTGCGGCTTTTTCCTCCATAACTCTGGGTGATGCAGTCCGGTGCAAGTCAATAATTTGAGCCATGTTGCTGGGAAATAATCTGAAGTGTCTTTTTGGTCGTGCTTGAGCTTTGAAAATAGTTGATCGTCGTCCCAACAGTCTGAATGACTCTCCCGCCACTTAATAAGACCGCCCCTGAATACTATTTTATCGATCAGGCTTGCGGCACTGATAACCGGGGTTTGCGCAATTGAACGATAACGCAACTCAGACCAGTCAAAATGACGCTTAGAGAGACGGGCCCAAGTACCAATAGCATATTTGCTGCATTTATGCCTGCCCGGGCCAGCGGCCAAGAAGCCCTGGATAATGGCAAAGAAAGCAAAAGCAGCTGCGATGATACCGATAACGAGGGTCACCACAAAGCTGGCCGGATCCCAATTGAAGTCGCGGTTTTCCTCCCTCAGCTGGTCGAGTATGCTAGCTGTAACGCGTAGAAGGCACTCCGTTGCATTGAGGCCATTACAGTTCGGTGCCTCCATCTTGAGGAGCTAACAGGGGATAGTGTTAGAGAGCTTGCATCAATAATTAATTCTAGCTTCACTTACTAAATGGGAGTTGGGTCAGACAGAGACTGAGTAAAAGTAGCTGGATAGTAAACTCTGGATGACTTGGCTGAGATTGAGGTGGTTTTGTGAGACCCTGTTGATGATTGAAGGTCGAGGAGAAAGAAAGTTCAACGAGACAGCATAGCCTCACTGCAAGATGAACTGGCAAGGCGTGAGTCAGGGATCAGTGAGGCTGGGGGCAATATGTATGGCTGAATCCTGGCGACGTGTTTAAACCAATAGAATCAATGGAGACAAGGATATTCTCTGGACTAGTTTCGTGCCGTGCCGTGCCGTGCCGTAAAATGAATAAATATTGCTTTTAGAAAGGAGCTGAGCTTACAGTATACACTTCTTACCATTTGAAGCTGAAAAGTGTTCAACGCAAAAAATGCATCGCATGTCAGGACAATATTAGGGTAGTCGCTGCCGGAATCTCAGACGTATTACGAGTTTCGTTCTTTACAGAAGGAGAACCAGCCAATACTGCAAGGAGGTTGTTTTCAAATGTGAGAACTAAACAAGACATGCATATGCGCAGATTACCAGCTTACTCCGAAACAAGTCTTGACGATCATTTGATTGATCTCCGTACATAATGCCACTAACAGCACCAAGTGCTTGCTTTAACTCAGTGCTTTAACTCAGTTGACTGACCAGCAATAAAAGTTGTCATGGGCAACTGAGCGAACTGGGTTTGTACTTAAGCACAAGCCTACATCTCTGTTATTTCCCAATCAATAAAACTAACGGTACTCGCTCTGTGTGTGAGACTGAATGTGTGTTCCGCTAAGAGGTTGGCGCTGTATGAGGCCACTGACTAATGCACTGAAGGTGGTCCAGGGTGAGGAAATTGGGAGGCAATTGCAAGAGCACAAGTCTATCAGTGATCTTATTTATCGGCAATTCTCCAAACTGTTGCCTTGGCTGCCATACTAAGCTAATATGCCAGGCAGACAAATCTATCGTGGAGCTCAAAATAGTATTGTGTGGCTTCATCCCACGGATTGGGAAACAGATTCATGGTTGAAATCGATTCTCCGTCTGCCCTGACCACATGAGATTACTCAAGACCCGGAGATTCTCTGGAAGGGAAGCAGACGCTCAAGTTCGGGGGGCCATAGGATTTCTTCTTGGCATTGGTCGGTGTCCTGCAGCTTGATGATATGCCAGTCAGCTATTTCCGATTATGAGATAAGAAGAATTCTGATACAGGGACTCATTGAAAGATTGATGGTTGATACTCTATCCCCTTTTCACCGAAATACACTTCAGATAAGACGCGAGAATGACACGACGACTTGAATGGATTGATGTATCTGTTACTCCCCGCCAGCTTTGCCCAGGTCGAGGAGAGTGCTTTACGAGAAGCGGACACAAACCAACCGATTCATGAATTCTCTACTACATTAACCCTAAATATATGGAAGAAGCGTCATACTCTACTTCAAGAATCCGCAGAAGATTTAACATGTTTTCGCCATCACCTCTTCTAGAACAAAAACGGGCAACGCATTAAACCCCGACACAATCGTTCTAGCCGAAAAGCGTGGAGTGCAAGAACTTAAACTATTTCTGCCATCACGGGTTAGGCTTAAAAATGGTGAGAAGGGTAGGAGGGGCCTTTTGATTCTGAACTGGAAATCTGCTAAGCCAAGTGGCGGCCCGGCTCAAGGGACATTTGGCGGGCTGATGGATGTATGGGGGACGTTATCCAAGACCGTAGAGGTTGACGAAATGGCATTCTTGTTTTGACAGATTAGTTCAAAGAGCTATTCGTAATCTGTTGTGCTCAATTGTGGTGTCCTGGAAGTTCGGGTTTACGGACGCAAGCATTTTAGTCCTGGGATGATCTGACGTCTCAGAACGAGATTTGGGGATCATATCCAAGATTCGCATCATTCATAATTCAATTTCTATCCCGTTCGTTGTAATGTTCATACTGTCAAAGCGCTTGGCTACTTTGGTGATATCTTACTAGGTAGGGCCGTGATCACAACATATTTTGTTCATGGCTCTCAAGTCCATCTAACGTTAAGAGTGATTCACAGACGCAGAAGTATAATTACCTCTAATGCTCCGTAACGAATAATACTAATAACTCCAAGCCAAAACACTCGATAACAACCCACCTGCTCAAGCTTTTGTAGAGCAAGGCCGCATACTGGGACGTCCGATGGAACGTTACCTCGTCTCAGTCAGCGAGCAAGTCTTGACTAAAGTATTGAGGTGGATATTTTAAAGTGCTAAGCATAACTTTTTTCGATGACATGCACCTGACAGTGGAGTGTTGCTTGTTTCGTCTTGATGTTGCGAATGCCAAGCCGGATAGACCGGTTTTATAGCCGCAGACTTGCGCTCACGCTGACAGCCTCATCAATCAGCTTTCGTCGGTCAGGTGCTCTTACACCCACAACTAGCGGTAGGAAACAGCAGTTCTAGGATGCAATTTTCATCATCGCCACGTTGTTATCACCCCAGCTTCTCCAGTTCCACTTCTCAAGACTCAATGCACCACCCGCAAAACCGCATTACCACCATGGGGAAGTCCGGCGGTGACCCCACGGCGTGACTCCCCACAAGTCATGACCTTCAATCATATTCCCATCATAGAAATAGACATCGACATGCAAGGTTCCGCTGTCCGGCGCGATTCGGCCATTTTCAACCATTGCGCTCGCTGATCCCCCTGTAGTCGGCCCTTCTGAAAGTGCTTATATCCGGGGAGCCTCACCGGCACTCCACCTGGCCCGGTTGGACGGTTAAAGGTGAAGTGCCATTTAGCCTTGTTCCCCGATAGGACAAAGGTGAACCGGGTCCGCCCGTTGAGGTAATCGGTGACATAGAGCATCGCGTTGTCTGTTTCGTAAGTCCTCATGGGATGAAATTCATGTCATGATCAAAAACTCCTTTTCCAAAGGACCCGCCGGAGGGATATGATAAAAGGGCTCGGAATTGCGTTAGGTAAAGGGCCAGATCAATTCTTCCTGGTTACATTTACTACAATACAGACTAAGAATGCTTGGGAATAAGTATGCCAACTTTCACGGATTTGTGTTCATGATAAGAGTAGTTGCTAATCCGAGAAAGATCTTTCACGATCAATGGGGCCGCCTGCGGAGCTGAGGCTCTGGTTTTGGCCCTCATCACCTCTCTTGGAGGTTTTCTGTTTGGCTACGATACTGGTACGTGACAACTGCACTAGATGACATGCTATAGCTAACAGAAAACAGGACAAATCTCAGCTATGCTCTTGTTCGACGACTATGTCGATCGCTTCGCTCAAACAAAAGAGGACGGAACCAAATACTGGGTACCTGCTATTCAGGGAATCCTCGTTTCTCTCATGAGCATCGGGTGCCTTATCGGCGCCTTGTCGGGTTCTTAGTAAGTCACACCCATAATCAAGCTGGAACGTATCTAGAACTGACCTTGATAGCACTGCCGATTGGTACGGTCGCAGAAAGAGTCTCAGTATTTTCGTGGTCATTTTTATCCTCGGCAATGTCATCCAAATCACAGCTATGTACTCATGGGTCCATATGATGATAGGCCGTCTCGTCGCCGGTCTTGGTGTCGGCGCCCTTTCAATCGGCGTGCCTATGTTCCAAAGCGAGTGTGCTCCGCGGGAGATACGAGGCGCCGTCGTTTCATCATACCAGCTTATGATCTGCTTCGGCATCCTCATCTCGAACATTGTCAACTATGGCGTGCGGGAGATTCAAGAGAGCGATATCTCATGGCGTATCGTCATTGCCATCGAGATGGCCTGTTCGATTCCCCTCGGTCTTGGCGTTCTTGCTTCTCCCGAATCGCCTAGGTGGCTTGCCATGAAAGAGGATTGGGAAGGTGTGCGACTTTCTCTTGGTCGACTGAGGGGAATGGTGGACGATTTGAAGAACCCTCTGATTGAAGACAACGTTCAGGAAATGAGAGCACTCCTGGAAGAGGAACGCAAGGTCGGCCAGGGCAGCTGGCTGGAGTGTTTTGCTGTCAAAAACACAGCACCAAAGGTTCTCTACAGAACACTTCTCGGCATGTCCATTCAATTCTTCCAGCAATGGACCGGCGCAAACTACTTCTTTGTGAGTAACCCTCCTTAGCGTCCTGCCACTGGCTAACAAGAGTTTAGTACTACGGCGCAACAATCTTCGAGTCCGCTGGCATCGACGACCCAATTCTGGTCCAGCTAATCCTCGGAGCCATTAACGTCGGCATGACCTTTTTCGGGATCTACTCTGCAGAAAAGTTCGGTCGACGCTGGCCTCTGATCATCGGAGGCTTGTGGCAAACAGCCTGGCTCCTCATATTTGCCTCGGTTGGAACAGCCATAGACCCCGAAGACAGCAGCTCCAGCGGAATTGTCATGATTGTATCTGCTTGCATGTTTATTGCTTCTTTCGCTGTCAGTTGGGGTCCTCTTGGTTGGGTTGTTGTCGGAGAAGTGTTTCCTCTTCGAACTCGTGCCAAGCAGGCTGCGCTGGCTACTGCAAGCAACTGGCTTGCAAATTGTAAGTACTCTTCTATCATATTTTGGAGTCATATACTAACATTCGTTAGTCCTCATCAGCTTTCTAACCCCGTTTGCTGACGCCGGTATATCCTATGCTTTTGGCTATGTCTTCGCTGGGATGAACCTGATCGGCACCTTGATCACTTATTTCTTCCTCTACGAGTCAAAGACCCTTAGTCTTGAGCATATTGACATGATGTACTGTCTCCCTGATCTGAAGCCCTGGGACAGTGCAAAGTGGGCTCCTCCAGGCTACGTAAGTCGCGAGAAGAAGGATGAATCTTATATGGAGGAGATGGCTGTCGGTAAGGAGACTGAAAATGTTGTTCATAGCGATAGCGGTGTGGAGTAAGACTGGGAAACGATGGCATATATCTTGATCGGAAATGAAACACTAGACTGTATCACTACACAATAGACTAATAGATGGTTGGATTCTCGTAACATAGATTTATTTACTACTGTCGAGTTCTTGAACCGTTCCTCATTCTTGCTTCCATGATTCGGCCTACTCCTCATGATGCTTAGGCCAGATGCGTCGGCGCGCCCACTCACGAACTCGCTTTCCGATGAAGTAAACGACAATTCCAAATCCACTCAAGACACCACAAATAATGGCAAGAATGTTCATAGCACCATCATAGCCAAGAGACTCGATTGATGGCACCGTCGCATAGCTCAAACCAAAAGAGACAAACCCTCGACCAGCGCAGACAACAAGAAGAAGAGGTCCGGATTTGTTGGGGTAGCTATCCATGACGAATGTGATACCCACCAGGTTTGCACCGAGGAAGGCAAAGAAACCGAGATGGTAAGGAGCGACAATGGCCATCCAGTGATAATCGTTGGGGGAAGCAGCTGCGCGGCCGTAGAAGATGGCTGATATGATGGCTGCTGCAGCTGGGATGACCAGAACGATGAGTCGGTACTCAGGCTACACTCCATTAGTAGATGAACAAGGACAGTCTCCAGGGATTACTAACCTCGAAAACTCCATTTCGTCGCCGACTCATAAACCTGCAGATGACATCGGAACCGTAACCGAGAATTGGCACAGCAATGAGACAGTCCACAATCTGTACTAACTGCACGTATCCAAGAAGCTCGGGACTGAAGCTATATGGCGGCTGTACCAGAATGACAGCAAATGTCGAGGCTTGGTAGATGTAGAGACCGAGAAATGCGCCGTTGAGAATAAAGATCCAGAAAATGGGTGGAAGAATAAGAGACAGGCCGACGTCTTTGTAAAATGATACCAAGCTCTTCCAGTCGGCTTTTCCGTGGAAAATTCGAAGGTCGTCTTTCCAGGTTCTCTCTCCAAACTTCTCTGGCTGGAGTACGACACCTTGGCGGGTGGTGACTTGAAATAGGACCTCATTTGTTCCTTCACTGGCGACGTTGCCATTCTTGTCCAGTCTAAGATGGACTGCGCCCTCTGTCCAACGATTAGTATTGTTCTGTAAAGGGCGGATTGGACTTACCAGTAGCATCTTCAGGACGCTCGAAGCGAGTCTCGGTTAAGAAGAAGAATGATAGGATCATGGTGCATCCATTAATGATGGTCATGATGCCATACCACCAAGGAAGCCCGATAGACGGGACGATGTATGTGGTTGCGGTGAACAGAGCAGCAGTAAGTGTATTCTGCACTCCAACAAAGTACGATAGCTTCACGCCATGCTGATGAAGAAAGTGAATCTCTTGTACGATAAGAGGAGCCAGAGCTTCACTTTGGCCAGCAGCAAGGCTGAAGATGTTGCGGCCGGCGATATGGCTCGAGAGTGAAGTTGAACAGGCACACCAGATACCAGACACGACAAGGAGTAAAAGAGAGAAGAGAAAAATAGGTCTTCGACCGACGGCGTTGGCCAATGGCATGGATAAGAGATTGCCGATGCCCATGAAGAGGGTGGGATAGGTCAGAAGGTCGCTGATGCGCTTGGGGTCGTCATTGTGATACAGCTGGTATAGCTCTGGAGCTACAGAGCCAAGACCGGAGGTACCAAGGACTGAAATTCCGGAGTAGAAGCCTACAAGCAGGATGATGGTGTATTTACGCCAGACGGGAAGATTGAGGGGATCTGTTTTCTCCAAATTAGTACAAGACGATGAGGGGTGAAAACAAGGAACGTACCTTTGGGGTCAGGACTGGGCGTAGGGACTAAGACCACAGTCCCATCCTGATACAAGTTGACAGTACCAGACGCATCATGGGACTCGTGATGAGGATTCTTGATGACGTCCTCAATCGCATCAATACCGGCCTTCATATCGAGAGAAGTTCGTCGCTCAGCCATTCTTGCACCTTGTCACTTGGTGTAATCGAACAGATGAGTCTGGCCATCATTCAACTTGCGAAGAGGACGAGGTTTATATCAATCGCCACAACAATCCTTGTATCTTGCCGGCTCGGAGTCGCTACAGGAGGAGTTCGAGGGTCACTGTGGTTAATTCAACCTAGCTCCACGGTGTAACTGAGAGACTCCGATTGGCACTATAATATGACCCTAACATTAGCAGAACTCAAACTTGCGGGGGTGGAGCCGAACGTCCTCGGGAGCAGAATGCGGGGAAGCTTAGTTGCGAATAATAAAATACTCGCTTCATCCTCCGATCGGCTCGGTATCTTCTCACCAGAACAAGACACTCAACTCCAGCTTCATCAAGTTTATCCTTGTCCCCCGGATTCCGCTTTCACTTACCGGCATATCCCTCGATCCAATCAAACACTTCTGCAAACCTCCACGTACTCCCCCGCCATTTGACCCCCATGCTCTCTCCGATGGACTCCGAGGATAGCCCCGGCATCTCCAGAAACAGAGAGTCCAGCAAGAGGCGACGTCTCAATTTCGCCTGCAACTACTGTCGGAACCGCAAGACGCGCTGCGATGAGCAGCAGCCCTCTTGCCAGGCTTGTATCTCCGCTGGGATCCCCTGCGTTACCGAAGACCGGCGGCGGCCCGGTAAGTTGATCAAGCGGCGTGAGGCTGGGAAGTCTATCGATGGGTTGTCTGTCAACTCTACAAGTCCCTCCGAGTACGGAGCGGTATCCGTCAGTGAAGAGGGTCTGGCTAGGAGACGGTCGGTGATACAGGAGCCTCAGCCGCGTACAATCACTGTAGCTCCAGGCCCAATTCGTCCGTGGTCGCAAAGTCCACGACAATCGAAGAGTAGAGATTCTTCGCACACAGATACGATCATCAACCCTCTCCCAGTCTTGAAGCAGAGTACAGGGACAACCTCATTCCAGGTACTGACGGAATGGCTCGACCTGTCATGCTTTCGACTGAATGTTCCCTATCACTTTGGTGCATTACCCCCGCCAGCTCCGAAACTACAGTCAGACTTGACAGGGTCCCGGTCCCAGAATGCTATACCCTCGACACCGGAGAATTAGATCCCTCAAGCTCTTTTTGACGCTTATGAGAGAGAGGTGCATACCTTTTACCCCGTTGTACGCCTAGAACAGGCCCGGGTTGAAGCCACACAGTCACAACAATCCATTGTAGTAAATCCAGCTTTCGGGTCTGTCGACACCGCGGCTTTGAGAACCTGTCTGCTATTCGCTGCCGGCGGATGTATCCTTCAGCATCCTGAGAGGAGGTCATATATGGCGGACTCGCTATCTCTTGCACGCAATGCTTTGGGCCATCTGATTGGCAATGTCTCATTTGAAACAATAGAGGTGCTATTCCTCTTCTCAGTATGCCTCCGACTCAATGACGAGATCACCTCTGCTTGGACAACTCTAAATATCTGCCTCTCAATCGCCCACTCCCTTGGTCTCAACAGACCAGCCAGGGACAAAAGAAAGACTACCACTTCTTCAGACATCCATGCTTGGAATCCTTCGTGGTGGGCTTTGTACAGCTACGAGAAGCTATTCTCCTTCCAGCTTGGTTATGTTTCAAGCATCTCCGACGAAGCTTATGGTGCTTTGGACCTCGAAGCCCCGAAGCATTGTAAGCCTGAACCGCGACATTATGTCTTGTCAATGGCCCAAGTCTTTAGCAGGATGAGCCATCGATGTGCCAAAGCACGACAGCTTGAGGATCGGGCTAGTAGAAGGACAATTGAAGCAGCCATTAAAGATAAAGTCAACGGGACGGGTGAGTCTTTTATAATGCTATCGAATTGGGCAAACAGTATTCCTTCTGGTATCAGGTATTTAAATCCAAGCCAAATGCCCATTCGCTTGCTAATATCTCCTAGACCCACGTCGGATTTTATCCGGGTACCTGAAGACCTCGCGCTGTCTTCATTTATCTCCCTCCACTATCACAATGCGTGAGTCCAATCCTGATGCAGCATTTCAAGATTGAGCTGACCAGTTATCAGTATCATAATGCTTAATCGCAACTCACTCGTCATCAGTAAAGATGCCATCTACAAAGCAGTTGAAATTATCGCAAAGGACACCCCATGGGAATACTCGATTCGCAACGGCCAATCCATGGTAGCCAACTCTGCTCGCAAGATCATTCACCTTCTCGCAGACAGTGACGATACGGCATCTCATCTCTTTGCACCCGCGTACTTCCCTTTGTTGCATGCTCTTTACGTACTAGCTATACATATCTTGAAGCAACCCCATTCCCGGATCGCCAAGATCGACCAAAGTGTGAGTTAATTTAACACATGTTGTAATGCGAGGTACTGACAGTCACAGCTTCTCATAACAGCTGCCGACTTGGCACGTTGCTACTGTGTCGGACTCGACGAGGCAGACCGACTTCATACTGTGTTGAATGGGCTTGTTGGAGTGGTGCAAGAAGCGATGAAGCCTGCCCCAACGACTGGACAGATCGATCACAACACTCTGCTCAGATATTCGGATGAAAACATATCTCAGAGGAACATTACACCATTACCGCCACAGCAATCCGGAAGTGGAACATTTTCACAATCATTAGTACCATCAGAATCGTCGATCCTAAACCCTGTTGATCTGAGGATGGACGAGGGGGCACTTAACCAATTTTCTGGTCAACCGTTCAACATACCTATACTACCGGATGAGATTGGATGCGACTGGGCGGACTTTGAGATTCTGTTGCAGGGGCTTGAGAATGATCCTGGCTTGTATACGCCTGAAGACGGGATGAACATGGATCTTTAGCTCAGATTGGTGCTGTATAATGCAAATATGATTAAATATTCCCCTTATACCCGCTTCGGACAGTACCAGCCTAGGATTGAATCAGTAGCTACTATAGAAGGTTAGTAGACGGAGACACTCAAGACAGTAACATCCGCCACATACAGTTTAACCATCGCAAGCAGATATCAGGCGAGCTCGAGTGACTTCTATAGCAAGTGGTTACTCCCTTTGTAGATACACTATCGATAATATTCCATTGTCTCTTTTCATCAATTAGATTTTAATTAGAACGACTCGGAGGGCGTGGCACAATTACTTATCATGTTCATCCCAGGGCGTCAGATTCTAGCAAGGGAGTTATTATTCTACCAGCTTCTGAAGATAGTTCAACGTCAATGTTCTAACAAATGTCATTCTGTTTGTAAATAAGACTAACTAAGCTAATTAAACAATTATGCAGTGATGTAAGGAATACCAGTCAGCTCGAACCCTCTGTTTGTAAGCTTCGGTGCCTCCCTCGGCTTGCCAGTGTTATAAGGACAAGGCTTTCCATCTCGTAGAATAGGAATACCTCCAACATGCATAGCATTTGGCCAATGGGTCGTACTCTGAAGAGTCTCAAACGCACCCTTCTTTCTGATCAGATCCTCTTGTGTCGCATCGGCAGCGGGCATGTAGCAAGTATAAGTGCAAGCGCGCGGCGAAGTACCCTCGGGACTGACGTTGTAATGAGGCGTACGACTGTCCCACACAAGAAGATCGCCAGGCTCAGCATTGATCTTGACCCATTCGCAGCCTTTGTTCTTCAACCACTCCATTCCCTCGTCCGTGAAGCCGTACCACTCCTTGGTCCACGCCCAGATTCTGTTCTCCTCGTTCTTGAAGTCCTCGTGGAAGTTCTCGCTAAGGAGATGTGCGCCCTTGCAGACAATCAAGCCACCATCGTTGTCGCCGTTAGGGAAGATGTTGACGAGACCCTGCAGACAGCGGAAGCCGGGCTGAAGAGGGTCTTGGTCTTGGTGAGGCCAGGGCTTGTTGGCCTTGACGTCTTTGCGGCCTGGGAAGGAAGTGTTGATGGCATCGAAGGACACGATTAGGTCTTTGGTGTCGTAGACTCGCTCAAAGGCCTCGACGACGCCGGGTTCCTGGCGGATAGCCCAGGTGAAGGACTCGTGGGCGACACCGTATCCAATGATCATGCCCTTCTCGGTGATGACGGGCAAGTTCTCGTTCTTGTAAGTGCTAGGATCATCGCGCTTGAAACCTATACCACCATTGCTTTCAACACGTTAGTAGTTAGTTATACACATCAGGAGTCGTGGATTTACTTACAAGTTCTCAAGGTATGAGAGAATCTCATCACCATACTTTTCTGCCCTCTCTCGAGGAACGGCGCCCTTGACAACTGCATAACCGTCTCGGGCAAGATCATCTCGCCAGTCACCGTAGGTAACGCCAGACTCCGCAAACAGTTTGTGCGGGCCTGAGGGCTTAGCTTGGAGAGGCTTGGTGATTGTGGGGTTGTCGAGCTGTAGGGTTGCACTGGCTTGATGGCCAGCGGGTTCAGTGTTGGCGACCATTGTGATGTTTATAGGTAAAATAGCTTGGCAAAAGATGGAAGTAGGTCGCGCTTTGATCTGAGAGTGTTGGTATGTAGGCTCGTGTGGTGTCTTTGTTTGAGTTGTTGTGACTTAGTTGTGAAATTAAAGGTTTGAGCAGTTTATTCTCGTCTACTTATCCTCCGTTCATCAACACATTTGCCTTCTTGCTTAGATCATTTGACCAATGATTGATTTCGAGAGTGTTGTCGTTTCGGCTCGGAATCCCGGCATCTTGCGCTCCAGACTCCGATGCCGAGCCGTCAACAGCTGTGGGGCCGATGGGCCACCGGCTGGCACATCGGCATCCAATTACTCCTCTTAATTGGTACTCCGAGGATAACTATAGATAGCTCGAGATATGCTTGCAATTGTTGAGTCTATTGTAGATTCACCAATTACATCTTTCCCTTCCAAACACCATGCCTTTGCCTGAACTCCCATTCACAGTGCCTGTTGAGCACATCAACCCTCCCAAAATTGGCCAAGGCGGTTATGTCGGACTGAAACCACACTCAGAAGTCCTTCCAGCTGGTTGGAAATTCGATCATCCCCATGCCAAGCCCTTGTCCTCAGACATCCTCGTTGAGCATGATGTTGCGTTCAAAATGAGAGATGGGGTCACGCTCTATGCTGATGTCTATCGACCGCCGAATACCGATGAGCCTGTCCCGGCAATTATCTGCTGGTCACCCTTCGGAAAGAAGTTCAATGGTCTCATGTCGTTAGATCTCATGGTTCCATGGAATCTTGGCATTCCACCAAACACCCTTTCTGGTACTGAAAAGTTCGAGGCTCCTGATCCTGCTGATTGGGTGCCCCGCGGCTACGCTATCGTCAATGTTGACTCTCGTGGGTCAGGCGATAGTGAAGGAACCATGGTTATCATGGGTAGACAGGAAGCCGAAGACGGATATGATGCTATTGAAAGCACTGCGAAGTTACCGTGGTGCAACGGCTCTGTCGGACTAGCTGGCAACTCACATCTCGCCATCGTCCAATGGTTTATCGCGGCTTTACAGCCCCCCAGTCTCAAGGCAATCGCTCCTTGGGAGGGCTGCGGCGATTTATACCGCGAGCAATTCGCCCGTGGAGGTATTTATGCCGGAGACCTGTTCGACAAGCTCATCGTCAAGTATATGCTGCAAGGTCACAAGGGCATTGAGAGTTTCCGAGAGATGTTCAAGCAACATCCTCTTGCTAATGACTGGTGGAACGACAAGCGCCCGGACATGAAGAAGATCAACGTTCCCACATACATCACAGGTACCTGGACAAACACAATGCACGGCATGGGTGCTATTCGGGGGTGGCTTGAAGTCGATACACCTCACAAATGGCTCCGGTTCCATCCTTGGCAAGAGTGGTATGACATTTGGGGGAATAAGCAGGCGAACGTCGAGCTACTAGACTTCTTTGAATATTTCCTCAAGGGTAAGGATAATGGCTGGAACAACACACCTAAAGTCCGTATGGGTGTGTTACGGTTCGGAAAGAAGGAACCCCAATCGTACGAGAATGTTGTTGAGGAGGATTTCCCCATTCCCAGGACAGACTACAAGAAGCTTTATTTCACCAAAGGTGGCGAGCTTTCTCTTGATAAGCCAACAGAGTCAGCATCAGTCAGCTACAACTCCGAGACAGACGATCAAGTCGGATTCACATTCCGTTTCAACGAAACAACTCGATTAGTCGGTTTACCCAAGGCAGTGGTGTACATGTCCTGTCCTGACTACGACGATATGGATGTCTATGTCACCCTCGAGAAGCTAGACGCCGATGGAAAGGTCATGTTCAATCTTAACATCCCCTGGAAGGGCATTCCGAAATCATCATTCGAAGAGATGGACCCCAAGGAGAAGATAGAAGTGGTAATATACCGTGGCCCTATGGGTGTTCTCCGAGCATCTCATCGCGAAATCGACGAGAACAAGAGTATGCATCCACACTGGCCTTTCCACCCCCACGAGAAGGTCGAGAAGGTCAAGGCAGGGGATATCGTCAGGCTTGATATTGGCATCTGGGCTATGGGAATTGAGTATGAAGCTGGCGAGTCTATCAGGGCGGTTGTGAGTGGACGTAATATTGGTGTTAGCAATTTTGGAAGTGTGGAGCATTTGGATAACAAGGGGAAGCATCATGTTCATTGTAGTCAGGATCACGCAAGTCATGTTATTCTGCCTTTTATTTGATTTAGGTAAACAGCATTTGAACTTGCATAGATATTTTGGCCTATTCGAGATTTCTTAGATTTTCATACTTGATCTCTTGTTTGACATGTTGCCGTGTAAATATTCCGCAAACCCCTCCTTTGAAACCTGGACTGGCCGGGCTGACAGAAGCTGGATATGCGAATGGGTCTGCCATTACAAGGGATTTCATCGATAGATTATCCATCGGAAGAAGAAAGATGGAAAGGTTTCTCTTTCATACATATAGCCTCTTCAGTTTGTGATGAATGAATACAGACTTTAGATTATTCCTCCCGAAAAAGATTGTCAATTTAAACCAAGCGTGCTATAATACGTATCATTTTTCTTTCCACTCAAATTACACTTCGAAGCCCTCTCTCAAGAGCGACACCAGCAACTCCCACACCCAACACTCCAAGTGTCCAGGTATTTGAGAACTCTTCAACCTTGGGCCAAAAGCTGTTCTTCTGCTGACGGTATTCCTGGAACTCCTCAGCCTTTACGGCATCATGCTTGGAATATCGCTCCGCCTGGCTCTCCTCGTTTTGCTTGTCGCCACCGAGATAGCGCAAGAAAACGTAATTAGCTATGGGTCCAAGAGCGGTGATGGGGTGGAAAAGTCCGGCGCCAATGAGAAGAACGGGGAAAGAGGCGTGGACAAGCGCGTCGCCGAGATAGCTGGCAATCGTTAGCTGAAGAGCCATTGCTAGCTGGGTATATGACTTACTTAGGGTGTCGAACAATGCTCCACACTCCCTCGCGATTGATGCTTTCCGCGGTATTATTCTTCTTGAACGACTCAAGCTGGACATCGGCCAAGGTCTCAAGGGCGAATCCAGTGGAGAACAAGAAGATAGCTAGACCGTGGAATAGCGAACCGTAGGACGTAACAGGTGAGGCCGAAAGGCATTCATAAACAGCGCGGAAAGGAACCGTGAATGGAAGAGAGATGAGAGTCTGAGCTACAGCCTCGGGCAAGAAAGTGTTGAAGAAAGCTTGGTTCCAGAAACCGGCATCCTTTGTCGTGGTCTCATAACGAGGGTCATCTTCACCACGCTGCAGGCTTCGGGAAACGACTCGAGAAGTAAGTCGCACGCCCCAGGCTGTAACACCAGCGAGTAGAAGTTTTTGGGAGTATGAGAGACTAGACCAAGCATCACCAACAGAGAGACCATCATAGACAACACGAGACCCAACAGCGCTCCACCAGGCATTGAGTGTCATGCCCGACGCCCAGAGGTAGTCCTTCCCCTCAACCCGGTTCGTATACCGGGAGATACCATATGCGACCGCGGACAAACCTGCATGCAGACTAAACGATGGCAGAACAGTAGAATGCAATAGGCCTAGCGCACTTGTACCGAGGCCCTGGTAAGGGGTGCGGTTGAAGTGCGAACCATAGACGTCCTGCTCGGCGCCAGATGACCCGAATCTGGGGGAGCTAGAAGCGTGTGGGAGAGATGGGGAGTGGCCGGCAAATTTGCTACCGTAGATGTCCTGCTCGGCACCGGAACCAGTGAAACTACCTCGCGGTAAAGATGGGGTATGACCTGCGAATTTACTCCCATAGATATCTTGTTCGGCCCCGGATCCGGTGAAGGAGCCGCGCGGAAGAGACGGCGTGTGGCCGCCGAGCTTGTCACCGTAGATGTCTTGTTCGGCGCCAGAGCCAGTAAACGCCCCCTTGGGTAGAGAGGGGTTATGGCCGGCGAGTTTACTGCCGTATATTTCCTGCTCTGCCATTTTTGAAGATGTGAGCCAAAACTGATGGAAATGTTTAGAGGAAGAGATGGTTGGAGAGTTGGAAGATGGTGATATAAGGGTCGAGGTGGGGAGAATTAGACATGCGTAAGTATTGCGTCACTGGTTATATCATCATTGCGTTGGCGACACACTGTGAAGAGCGGTTACTAGCAAAGTCAAAACGAAGCGAAATCATGGAGAATAATAGCTACTTGGTAATCTTTTACACAATCACTTCAATGTTCTGGTAATATGATTACAATGAGTGGTTCACGCGGCAGTTACCGTACTTTTGTGCTAGATTGCCGCTAGAATTTCCGCCCGAGGCAAGTCTAGGTCATGGACCTGTACGAGAATCGAAACCTGAGGCACGCTTACAGCCAGCAGCAAGACCAAAAGGGCTGACTGCGGGGTAATATTAAGAGGAGTCCAATGCGATGTCAAGGATCACATCACATGTGACTGTATCTGAAACAAGCCCAAGTCGATACCGCAGATGGCCCAGCAGCTGGAGATTCACGGTCCATAAGTGAGCTACGAGGAATAATGGTTTGAGAACATTTAATTAGATGGCCCTATAAGCCTTGTTCGGCAAGTACAAGTTAATCTTGTCCTATTGCTGAATGACTATATAGTCAATTTATCAAGTACAAGACCAGGTCTGATGGTATAGCCGCTTAAGTAAAAAGAGCAACATGAGACATCCAACTCGGCATTCCCGAGGGGTAACCGAGTGTGTCTCCCTTCGATTGAGATCCCATCTACTCGTCGTCGCGGATATCGACGACGGTCTTCTTCCACTTGCGGGCAGGGACCTTGCGCTTGAAGAGAATGTCGATTTCTCGGTAAGATCGGTTCTTCATCTCAGGAAGCCAGACGTAGGCACACGCCAGACAGAAGGCACCGGTTCCGGCCCAAACGTAACCACACTTGCCACCAAGGTTGGCACCCTAGAATAGTATGTTAGTAATAGTCAATGGAAGAATGGGAGATTGGTTCTTACAGTGGGGTTAAGCATCCAGGAGGACAGGAAGATACAAGGGATGTTGATGATGTAGTAAGCACCACGTCCGATACCAGTGGTGAGAGGCCGGAGACGGATAGAGGAGGTCTCTCCGATGATGACCCAAGAAGCGGGAGCAGGTCCAAGTGTGAAGAGGACCGAGACGATGAGACCGAGAGCAGCCTGAGCGTTGGAGTTGGTAATGGACTTGACATCACCGACAGTGGCGGCAATACCAAGGGCAACCAGAAGCACCGTGTTTCCGAGGGAACCCCAGAGGTAGATGCTTCGTCGACCGAAGTATGTGGTGAGAATCCAAGAAAGCATGACAAAGACGGCCTGGAGAGCTGAGGTGATGAGACCCATAGCGAAGGCGGTCTTGGTGGGCATACCAGCCTGCTCGAAGAAGTAGACGGCCTGGTTGGCGATCAGGTTACCAGTAAGGTTCTGGGCAGCGTAGACACCACAGACGATGAGAGTACGGTAGCGGTCAGTACCACGGAACAGCTCCAGGAGACTGGGCTCCTTGACGTCCTTCTCGAGATCGATGGTACGCTTCATCATGGAAATGGCCTCGTGGGCGTTGTCGACGTGGGTGGCACGTCCGAGACGTCGAACGGCGTTGGCAGCATCTTCGAGGCGACCCTTTCGAACCAACCACCAAGGAGACTCGGGAGCGAGGTACATGAGGATGGCGAGAGGGGTGGGGAACATCCACTGAAGAGCGATGGGGATTCTGAGTACCTGTTAGCAGAGTATCGTAGATGGAATATAGTAGATTCATACTTGTAAGCCTGCTCGGTGTGCAGGTCGTTGAAGTGGAAAGCAACACCACCGACGATAATAGCGCCGATAGCCCAGAACATCTGAAGCATCTGAGTCGCAGGGGCTCGGAGCTGGAGAGGCACGATCTCGGAACAGTAGGCGGGAGAGTTGGCGACAAACATGCCCCAAGGAATACCCTCGAAGAGCTGAGAGATCAGGATGACGGGGAGAGAGTTGGCGAAGTAGAAGATGAAGATGAAGGCATTGAGGAGCATGAGGCCGAGAATCGTGGCCCATCGGTATCCGATTCTGCTGGTGATGGGACCGGCGATAACGACACCAATGATGGCACCGACGGGGCCGATAACCTGAAGGGCAGACTGCCACTTGGTCTCAATGACCCACTTGTCGTCCTTGTCACTGTAGATACCGTATCTCTGGGCGAAAGCGGGCAGGGCGATGAAGTTGCCGATGAGGAAAAGACAGTAAGCCTCCATAATCTAGGGAAGTTGTTAGTGATCTGTGAGACTCATTGAGTGGAATTGGCGGTTAGTCTTACAATTGTGCAGGACATGTTGACAGCCCAGAAAGAAGCCGCAGGGTAGGCTCGGACAGCCTCGAGAACGGTCATGTTGTGCTCCTGGTTCTCGGCATCGATGGCGCCCTGCATGTTCATCTCCTTCTTGGCCTCGACATCGTAGGCATGGTCGATGTGAGCCTCGTCGGCCTTGGCCTCTGAGATGCCAGCCTTGTTATCCATGTGGTCGCTCATGGTGAATGGGTATCAACAATGGAATGAGGATGAGGGAGAGCAGAGAGAGGAAAGAGATGAATGCGACGGTGGCAGATCGCAAGACATTTATAAACAATTGAAGCTTGGTGTAACGCTGCTGCTGTCGCCGATCCCTGGGTTGGCGTCTGGCATTAATCCACAATGCCATGGAACCGTCCCATTTACTTTTTGACAGAAGTACCCCATGCGATGCATACTAGCCCCGGTAAAACTGGCAAAAACGGTTCTGGCGCGCTCCCATGGATGATACGTAACAGTGTTGCTAGGGGGCACGGGTGATTTTAGGCATCTGGGGTATGTCGGGGCATTAAAGACTTAGACGCACCTATTACAGCAGACGTCGACTCCAAGCAAGACCAACAGCAGATGAGGAGCGACCTATCACAGGGCATTAACAGGGAGAGCTATGCCCCGTGTTCCCCGCGAGCACCCCGCAGACTGCCCCGGATCAAGACACCACTACGGCGCGACTCCGGTCGGGGTCATGCCAGACTAGGCAAAGGTTGCATCCTGATCGGTCTTAATTTCCCCGTTTACTCCAACATCTCCACGCTGACCGTGCCGCTCCTCGCGTCATGCTCAGCCGAGGAGAACCGTACAGAGACTTGCGGTAAAGAACTATATATGGAGAGCGGGCGTCCGAGGCCTGACTCGGGAGAAAACTCTAAGGTCACAGAGTTTACTAATCAAGATGGTGGCTGGTAAAACACAAGCTTTTAGATCTTTGAGGGGTCGGCGGCGGCCCGTTTTCTCCAGTGTATACGGTTATCACACGCGCTGGAGAAAGCTGGGGAAGCAAAGCGGAGAGGCGAGCGAATCATCGGATAACGGGTAAAGGAAAAAGGTTCAGAAAAATTGGAGGGTTAAACCCCATGCCAGTGCTCCATACTCCATGCTCCATACATACTCCATAGTTTCTTGTCCCATGGGGAACCAGACTCGCTTGGGATCTCTCCCCCCCTGGACATCTCACGTGGATCGTATGGAATGGGATGAGTATCCGTAAATGTCTGGGGGACAACCAACACAAACTCGTCCTGCAAAATACGAGCCCAGACTCACAATCTGTAACATCCCGACTTTAGGGCCCGTTCCCTGCCCTAACCACGGCCTGTCGATAAAGGCGCGCCAATTGTCGACAGAGACGCTTACGGGAGTCTAACCAACTTTGGAATAATCGCACCAATCGGGTTGTGATTCCGATGCCAAGAACGGCACTCCTTGCCGTTGATCCTTCGAGAAAAAACAGCTGCCCCATTCCAGGGTAACCAGGCTTGTTTTGATTTCCAGAACGTCCTTTTTTATGATTTGCGCGTATCTGGGGAAGAATTCAAGATTAATTTAAGCTTTGGCCATTTTCATTTGTTCTTGTGGCGTATGCATGTCAGCTGTCTCCTATAGGGGCGTTAAGACGGGACCGAATAACCGGGTAAATTAGTGGTTTCGTTGGTGATAGATAGATATTGGCTGGGATGATACGAAATTGTTCAGCCGTGATGTGAAACCAATATTCAATAGCTTGGCATGGCACGGTCTGCCCCAGATGCGCAGGAATGAGGTAACATTTCCACGTGGGAAGTGTTGCATTAGTGAGATGTGTATTTCTCTTGTCTCGTTTGAAGTCATATTACAGCTGTAGGTTAGGTGGTTGCTTAGTCTTGGCAGCATGAACCACAGTCTTGTGCAAGAATTACAGCAATTACAGCAACCAACCGACGATGTGTATATTAACCTGAGGATGTAAAATTTAGTAACTAAAGAGTCTCGTGTATAATATTATCCTAAGTTTGTATGATTTTATGAAAACTAAAGAGAGTTTATTGTAATTTATTTAACCTTACCTAGAATGTAACAGAGGAGATTATCATAACTTTCGCAAACCCACTGTACTGAACAAATCAGGAATAAAATGTAGCGGTGATAATATTGCCTCCTTGTAAATGACTAAAATCCAATTCGATCCATTACTTCCAAGGCCTTATCCAGATTTTGATCCTGCGCAAATTGTTGTACCTTCTGGGGATAGGTGGAAGATGGGCAGGCCAAATACGCTTGGAGAATCTTTTCAACCTCAGGCAGCTGGAGTAAGAATGCCGCATTTTTGATTTTTCTCTCCATGATAACTTTGTTTTCAAGGCTCGTCTCGCGCTCAAGAATTTCCATGGCATAATGAAGGGGAGTCCGGCCGTCTCTGTTTTCGTCCGCTGTCCACGCCAGTCTTTTGTCTGCCTTGACCAGATACTTGAGTATACCCACAGCATCTCGACCGTATGACCCGATCTTAGCTGAGAATGCGGTTTGACCTTTACTGTTTCTAATGAAAAAGTCTATTCTGTCGTGTTCCAGCAGGGCTCGGAAATGGTCCGTGCTAGAGTTGGTATGATGTAACAAACTCTCCCCATTGTTGTCCTTGTGGTTGAGGTCCTTCATGAATGGGAGCAGAGTTTCCAAAGCCCCTGGTGCAACGCCAAAGTCCATCGCTCTATGTGCTGGTAGCTGCCCAGCATCATCAGGGATATTTGCAGATAAGCCATCGTCGATTTGAACCATGCGCTGAACCAAAGCGACACAGATTTGGCATGGCTTGGTAGTGTCAAAGTGTTCACGTCTGGCACCTTCTAAGAGAAGATGTAGTGGAGTGGCTCCAAGTTTGTCCTTGACCTGCAAGTCATCTTTGTTCACAAAATCAATCATAAACATTTTCAGCGGATGACAAGCTCCTTTTAATATTTCTTGACGAAGTCCCTCCTTCTTCAGAATAGCTTCCTTAGCTGTCTGATACTCTTTCAAATCGTGGCGCAGATTTATTCCGCACACATCAGTGAGGGCGTTAGTGTCGTGGTAGAGCTTTGGAAATACCCGTTCAAGCCACGCGTGTATCGTTGTAGCATCGAATGAGTGTTTTTGTTGCTCTTGACCAATCACCCGGTCACGCGAAGAGTTGTAAGCCGATAATGCCGAGAGGACCTCGGAAACAGTTTTGAAATGTTCTTCAGGCTGTATAAATGTCATCAACAAATCCAAGCCACAAGAGAAATCTGCACTGATAGCTACCGCGATTAAACGTGGAAGATACGTCGCGTCACAATTCCTTCTTAGAAAAAGCTCCAAGATTTGTAATTTCCTGTGTCGAATCGATAGACTAGCTGGTGACGAGCCGATAGAAACACGGTGAGCTTGTCTGTATGGATCGACTCCATTGCTGACGAGGTATTCACTTATCTGAAAACGTCCAGCAATGACGGCAGCAGATAGTGGCTTCGTCTTTTTCGGAATAGCCTTGCTGAGATCAACGCCAGCTTGATGAAACCGTTTGACCTCATCAAGATTACCAGCTTTGCAAGCTTCAACAATATCCCACCCCCCTGCCCCTTTGACGTTGGGAAACGAGAACTTTGATTGGGAACTTTCGCTGTGAAAATTCTCATAGTGATCTTTTAACTGTTTCTGGGATGCATAACCGATCACATAAGCAAAACAATCAGGGTCGTTGCATCTGAATGGCCGATCATGTGCTTCTAAGTGCTCATCATAAGCACCCTGTTCCACGAAGCCGATAGCAAACTTGGAGCACTGGATTCTGGGACACTTGAATCTTATGGGACCCTCAAGGCTCGTAAACTGGGCGTCCGGAGATAGGTCACTCCGCCGCGCGAGCATAGTCTCTCGAATGACAGTCACGCTTTGTTGAACAGACAGACCTGAGCTTTGACTGCTTGTTTCCAGATGGTAGTCTGTGGAGGGTGATTCGGCCAACGCGTCGTTGAAGTCGCCACTATGTGATCGGGCCAGATCCCTGATAGCTTCCTCGACCGCCATCTTTGATTCTGAACCTGAGGGCAGTTTTTCATGCAATGATTTGATAGCCTGGAAATGGGAATTGAAGTGAACAGCAGCATAGTCCATGAATCCAAAGTAACCCGTCTGGATAACACTGTGCATATCAGGATAGTCCGCGCCTATGATGAATGGCTGAGAGGAGAGATAGCGGGAGCAAAAGAGCGCCATGCCGACGTGTTCCTGTAAGAGGCTGATGGTTCCAGTATGGATCAGGTATCTGACAAATATTGTTAATCACTATTGACAAGCTCTAGGGACCGACTTTGAACGTACTCGGTAGCTGTTTTATGAACCATATGAACTGTCTGCTCAGACTCCAGAGTCCCAAACAGCTCGCAATTTGTAATATCGACAAGTGAGCTACATATGGTCTTGCAGCCGTCTCGGCGGATATTGCGAACATTACAAGTCCCTTTTTCTGCATTGATACAGAATCTTGACTGTACTTCGCGCCATCGTAGAGGACGTGCCGAGCATACGACCCAGCCTAGAATTTTCTTGACTGTCCTTTCACGTGATGGGCCATTCGTTTTCATCACGCGATGGACAACCCGCTCAAAGCTTCTTCAAGTTAATAAGAGATCTTAGTTGCGAGGATCGTTGACTCACGCATGGTATAAGTCCTCCGGGAATCTCTCTGCTTCTATCTCATCTTCATACTCTTGTATTGAGTCCATTGACGCAAGGTTTTCAAGGACAACCCTTGCATACAAGAACATACCTTGAGAAACCCCTGCAACTTTGGCAATCAAACCCTCTTCTTCTTGAGACGTAAGTGAGAACCTGGCACGAATTGTGGCAGCCTGGCTCTTGCAGTACTCTTTAATATCATCCATATGAGAATCAGCCCCGTCGAGTCGGATCTGTGGATGAGATGATAACAATGGCTCAAGCCGTCCATCCCTTTGTCCAGATATCAGTATCTTGAGGTGACAACCACGCGATGTTGCAGTTGCTAGAAGTTCATCCAAGCACCACTTCAGGGACTTCTCGGGCTCATTGTCTGATGCTTCGTCCAAACCATCAATAACAAGAATCGCGCTCCTCTGAGAGGTGATACTATCCTTAGCCATTGTTTTCAGAGTCGAAAGCTCAACAGAATCAGTAGCGGAACATTTGTCGTGTGCTAGTCTCATGATGGTTTCATCACTGTTAACCAATTGCATCGTGATATGACGGAGCATTGATTCCATAGATCTTCTACCAGCGTCGTCGTGTTTGAAGAAAAAATACGCCAGCAAGTCTGAAACTCGCTTCTCCCTGAGTCGGCGAATGATCGTCCTTGCCAAAGTCGATTTTCCTATTTTGATGACGTATTAGTAAATTGAGGAAATGTAGAGTGAAACCCCATAGACTTACCAGATCCTGGAGAACCGTTCAGAAAGAGAACACTGCCCTCCGGCGTACTGTTGGTTTCCCAGAAATAGTAGTCGGGATGCGAAAATACCCAATTTCCAGAATACTCGAGTTTGTACTCCGGAGATTCCAATTGCAGGTCAGCTCGAGATTGTGGGACGTCTAGCTTCCTCTGTAGATCTGCCCGCATCTCCTGATCCTGCAATGTTTTGCTTCTAAGTTCATCAGATGCTAGAGAAGCTCTGATATCTTCTAAGCCAGCCTGGAGATTCTTGAATTGGTCCTTAGCAGAGGATTCAAAATTTTCAACCTCTTTCAATATCGCATGAGATTGTAGCTTGTCATCTGATAGCATGTCATGGCGTCGTCTAAGGCTTGCGACAATTGGCTTCACTCGTCGCCGGAAGGTAACCCAGGCCCATTTGAACAACCGTTTTCCATCTACCAAGGGTTAGAACTTAGCTGAGGCGGATATGCTGGGTGAAACGGAGGACACAAACCAGGTGGAGAAAAGACGTCCAGCACACAACGATGGAAACGGAGAATGTCGGAGAAGTAATCCTCCAGAACCAGTCGCAGATGCTCTCTGCTTTGTAGAAGCTTTCGGAAAAAGACGAGGTTACCAAATGCCTCAGCTATTTCTTCATAAACATCGATAAGCTGCCTGACAGAATCTCCCCATGTTGTTGCAACCATAAGAGCAAGTTTGATCGGACCCTTTACGCGGCAACACCTTGTCAGTGGACAACAAATTATCGGGGGAAGTTAACTCACCCAGATGAATGCAACAACCTCACTAACATTGAGGAAAATTGTGACTAGCTCTTCAATATTCTTCATTGCGCGGACGAGCGCCTCGACCCTAGTCAATTTGCAAAGACCATGTTCGCGGCCGAGTTTGCTTTGTATCTTTTGAATTGTTGTCTCTAAAGACTTCTGATTTGCGCCTCCAATTTCTTTCATCTCGGTGTCAGAAAGTTCCCGTCGGAACTGTTCCAGAGATCTTTCGAAGCTTGTACTTTGAGTGGAGGCCATTTTGCTTGAGGACGCTTTTGAGGGCTGTAGGCTGTAGGTGATGGATGAAAGAAAGTGAGATGAAAAGGTAATGGGGGGCCTGTTGGCCTCATTTTCAACAATTTGCCAAGGCTGACTCGCTGCTTCTTGCCGCTGTGGATTGAATGGGCTGAGTCAATCCCTGATTGTGCAGGAGCTACATGGAAGTACCCTCGGGTCTCATGCCTAGAGTACCTAGCCTGAATCAAAGGGTTTTATAAGACCGACAGTGCAATCGCATACGCCATTCGTTACCAGGCTGCAGCTGTTGGGTACTTTCATGTAGCTCAGCTCCTGCATAGCCTGGCTGCGAGGGGTCGCCAACAACCAACAGCAGGGAATTCGCAGCACTGATAGGCGGTATGCATGGATTATGGGGCTATGTTGTACATTCCAAACTGGGCATCATTGGAAGAAATGTACAGCCTGATTGTCTACTTCGACAGAAGTATCTGTAAGCCTTTTTCAGTTTTTTTCACATATTCATCTTGACTCTTTCACAACGCTTCGACTACAATAATCAGTTAACACCAGCAGTATATCAAGAGCAAGAAATCAAGTTGGTGGTCGAAAATGCCACCACACCTCAAGCGACAGCTATATGGTGATGAAGGTACTGAAGATGGAGGCCCGTCCAAAAAGCCCCAGATGTTGGGTTTCAATCTTGAAGCCTCGCTAAATGTCACATCACTCAACTCGAGATCAGGTTCTGAAGTATCGGATGGTATGAACGGGATATGCTACGGTGGAACAACCGAAGATATCTTATCGGACGAAATAATATGCTATGGAGCGGTGAAATTTTCTCTTATCCATAGCCAAGAACAGTACAATCTGAGACTAATGGGGTATAGGTCTGCAACGCTCAAGCCTTAATCACTCCTCAGATTGAATCACCTAAACCTATTCAGCCGTGGGATCGTCATTGTCTATTACCTGTTGAATTGGGAAACGGGGCTTGTTACCTACCTACCAAACAGGGTACAAAGCCAAAACAACGACCAGTTCTCGACTGTCATACAGCCTCGACCTTGACGTTCGTGGGTGAAAAGGTTGTAGGGACATATTTCGCTGCCGTCCTGGAAACAAAGCTTCTTCTGAGCCAGGGAAAGAAATCGAACAGTAAACCATTACAGGTTGGAATTACAGTCAATGTTTACGGCCCGAGAAGCTCGATGGGTGAAGTTGATCAAGCCATATCCAAGATTGAATCTTACTTGCAGCACCCGGTGTTTCTCGAGCCCGACGTCAGCTATATCAACCCTCAGTATTATTACCCAAGTCCTGAGAAGACCGATCTGAGACACCTGGTGGGCCCAATTCGAGAGAATATTGCATCAAAACGTTCCCAAGATATCGAAAACGTAATGGATCACTTGGAGACGCGAGAGGACATCTTCAGTCAAGGCTGCAACATTGCTGTTTTGAGCGAAATATTAGACCGCTTTCTCCCACACACGAAGCTAAAAGAGTATTGTTTATACGTCAGGCTCTTCAGCTCTATTATTATTACTGATCACGAATTTTAGGCATCAGCTTCAAGGTGTGGAGTTTATCCTAGCGAGAGAAGACGCTGCTTCAATGATGCAAATCCACAAAAAGATGCTCATGACTATTCATCATAAGTAACCTGATCCCAATATCTACAGACTTAATCACTTCAAGCTAACACAGACCTGCAAAGTTTGATGTCGTACGCACATGTGCCTGGCTGCGGTGGCATACTTGCAGATGTCATGGGGCTTGGCAAGACACTCACCATGCTCAGCGCAATCCTTTGTTCTAAAGAACTGACACTGTCTTTGTCCAAGGATGTTTGCAGTATTGGTGACGATTACAAGTCTGCGGCATCAAATCTTACGCTCGTTGTTCTACCTTCACGACGTATGTTGACCCATTCTGGCATCTGAGACTTTTATGCGGTGGCGCTGACAATGTGATAGAGCTACTTGACGTCTGGAAGAACGAGATTGATCAGTGAATACCCCAGAACTCCATTTATACCCAGCGCTGATCAGCTCTAGGCGGTTTACACCCGAAGCCTTCAGAGTCGCCATCTTTCACGGGAACACGCGAGTCAAAGACGGACCGCTACTTCTAGAACACGACATTATTCTGACAACTTACCATACACTTGAGAGAGACAGTAGCTCGAAGAAGGTGTTGGGATCTATCAAATGGTCCAGAATCGTACTTGATGAAGGTAATTCCCGCAGGTCATACGGCCGATGCATTGTTGACTCATTCTATAGCACATCAGATACGAAACTCATCTATTAAGCAGTTTAAAGCAGCAGCCTCACTTGAAAGCGACTCACGGTGGTGCCTTACCGGGACTCCGATCCAGAACACATTCGATGATCTTCGATCACTGCTGCAATTCCTCCGCTTTGAACCTTTCAGCCAAAACAAGGTGTTTGAGGAACATATCATCAAGCCGTTCAGAACGGACTCTGGAGATGAATGTGATACGTCCCAAAACCTCCGAATCATGCTTAAAGCGTGCTGCCTTCGGAGAACACAGGCAAAACTTGACCTCCCTAGCACCACTATGGAGAAGGTTTCTGTGATGCCTACAGAAGATGAAAAGGCGTTGTTCAAACGAATTCTCGAGCAATGCCGGGAAGAGTTCGACATAATAGCTGGCAAGGATGGTGGCTCAAAGAGATCGAATGTGCTGTTCTCGACGATTATGAAACTTCGGAGAGTGTGCAATCATGGCGTGATTGCCCTAGACTCTACCAGCACCAAACAATCAAATCAGCTGGCCGTACCTAAGAAGCAGCGAGGTGGTTCACGATCCCCAAGTTCAGAGCCGGCGTGCGTGTACTGCACTGGTAAAGATAAAGACGATGAATTACTCGGTGTAGTGGACAGTTGTCCTTTGTGTGGACGACTTATATTTGGAGAGAATGACGAGACTTTGTCTATGGCACCGTCGCCACAGTCTTTGGCATCACCGGCAACGTCTATGATGGATTTAGACACACCGGAACCTACAGCAAGCATACTTCACAAGTTCCCCGCCAGCGATGAGCTAAGACAGCAATCTTCTAAAATGCCGGCAGTGATCGACAACATCAAAACGTCTTGCATAGATGTGACTTCGAAGAGGTAGATTGACGTGCCTGAGTTGACTCAGCTTGACTAACGTTGGAATAGTGTCGTGTTTTCCAGCTGGAGGGACACTCTAGATATTCTAGCAAAAATCCTCTTGGCTGATGGCATCGAATTTGTTCAGGTAGATGGACGCAACCCACTCACCGGCCGAACCGAGTTGCTTTCAAGATTTCGCCAAGATGCTAATGTGCGAGTACTCCTGATATCAATTAACACGGGTGCAGTTGGGTATTTATCCTTTGGTGCACTGTTCGACGATGGTATACTGACACGGACTTAGACTTACTCTCACGGAAGCAAATATAGTGCACATCGTTGAACCCCAGTGGAACCCGACGATCGAAGACCAAGCCATTGCAAGAGTTGTCAGAATGGGACAAACTCGACCGGTGACTGTCTTCAAGTACATCACAGCAGGTTCTGTGGAGCATGTAAGCACCGGAAGCAACTCGGCGATGGTGGTAACTGACAGGCTACAGACCGTTGTCAAGCTTCAAGGGAAAAAGACGCGCATAATCAAGTTGTCGATGCAAGACAAAGATGATGCTGCTGATACCAACCTGGATGTAAGTTGTCCCATGTCGGTGTATCTGAGTGCCGTTGCTAAACTAAGACAGAACTTCAAGTTTGCCATTGACCCTAACGAGTGGGGAGCTACTGTGTGATTCTAAATCATCAAAATTGGCCGGAATTTCCCCAGAGCTAGACGGTGGTAGACTACTTTGTGAAGGAATTGCAACTTTTTATACACTACTTATACTACTTCAAAGATATTCAAAGTTGTGCATGTGACAGATGGTTATGCGCTAGACTCTTATCTACCCACAGTCATAGAGCGATTGACATGTCTAAGGATGTAGATTATGATGACATTTCACTTCTTACGCATAATGAGTGAATGCATAATGCCTGGTGGGTGCGCAAAAGTTCTGACGATTTCCTCTGTTCTAGATTTTACACAGGATTATATAAATTGTAATAAGCTCATTTTAACTTACAATACTTTATGAAATCCTATCCTAATGTAATGTACAAAGTCTCTAATTATAATATATCTTATGTATCTATTTTGTTCTATATCTATAGTCAACTCGCTTGTCGGAACCGTAGCTGTGGCATCGCCCTTGTCTTCGTATTTCACTCCGACGCTCATCGGCCACGATAATGGTAGCGTCTATCCAATACCACTCAAAAGCCATCAGCCATCACGAATTACCCTCTCAGTAAGCGATCAAGATCTCCTGTCAAGATCGAAGATCACCACAGATCTCGATGTATGTCTATCCCAATTCGCTGCGGGTCAGAGCAGTCGATCATCACGCACTCGATCCCAAGCATTTGGGTCGATAGAATGGCTCCGAGGGGTGTGTACTCGTACTGAAGGTTTATAAGCGAATAACAATTCCAGGCCTGATCCCTCCCGTTTATGCAGTTTCTTCATCAAAGCGTAAAAAGAGTTTACAGCGTTCACGTCGCGATACGCGATTGCATGAAAAAGGGTTTACTGGGGTTGCCTCTAATTAATCTCTAGCATCACTGTGACGAGCCGTGCAGGTGAACAAGGTTCTAGGCACAGTTGAAGCAAGGGAGATGGGACGCTACGCAAGCCACCGGTAAGATTTGGGCCTAGATGAGCTGATGTTCGCTAATTCAGGTTGGAGTTAGGGGTCAGGTGCCCTATAACTGAGACTTCCGTTCAGCCGTTGTGGCTTTCTAAGGTCGCGGGATGGGCCGGGGACGCTGATCTCAATGTCAATCGATTGAACAGATCGTTCATACAAGTCAATTAATCGCAGCAGAATCAATAAGTTCATAGAGAAATAACTGCCAATGCAGTCGTGTAACATTAATAAATACATAGAACTACTAAGGAGCCTTCTCAAAAAGTAGATGTGCTCCAAAAGATGTAGAGGGAATCACTTGTAAATTGTAATCATCAAACTCCCATACTGTAAAAGATCCATGAACCATCCGCATTCTTCTTCTTAATTCCTTTATCGCCCTGCAGCGATTCCATTTCCAGCCTCGAGGGTATCGCCAGAGTCAATTGAGCATCGTCGGTCTTTAACAAACTTGGGCCAAGTGTTGGTCAGGACAAGGTACTTAATGTGCTTTTCGGAGTCGTCAAAGATTGTCGCGTCGAAGCCTTCAGGGATGTCGCCCCAATAGAGTGTCTTGTCGCTCTGGCTTCCTGTATCGTTGAATGAGCTCGTCGCGACAATGCCAGTCTCGGACCCAGTCATCGAGGCAGCTGATGATTTGACCTTGTTTGCTGTGCTGGTCATTTGGAAGGTCTCGAAGGGTAGTGCTGGGTCAACGCTGCCCTTGTCGCCATAGAGACTACGGGCGGTGTCCTCAAACACGTTTTCCAACTTGCGCTGGTGAAGTGAGGATAGATTGATCTGGAACTCAGCATCGCGGGAGCTAACAAAGCCGGTGTAAATGCGGAGGGCGCTGTTGAAACGTTCGCGGACGAGTTCTTGCACTGCGGGTTCCTTGATCTTGGTAGGGTCGCGAACAGAAGGTGGTAATGAAGACTTCCACTCAGCGACGGCTCTCAAGAAGGCAATGTTCTCTCCGGAGAAGTCGCGTAGTGCTGAGAATTGCTGGAGGGGTTCAGGGTTGCGCTCGAGGACATACTCAAGAGCCTCCATGGTGAGGATGCTCTCACCTGAGGCGCTGCTCTTGACGGAACCGTCCTTGGACCAAGATGTCAGAGCGGACGGGGCAACAGTCGTGGATCCAGTAGCAACAGATCTAGCACCATGGGTACCAGCCTTCTTGTTGATCTCCCATTGAGCGATGGAGTCGAGGGTCTCTTGCCTGAGGGTCTGATGCTGGATGACTTCCCAGCAGGGCCAGAAGATGGTGAAGATCTCAATGACCATGATAGAGATGGCGAGCCTGTGAGGCGGTGAGCTTAAGAGGTAGGGGCGGGCCGAGGTAGGTGGCTTACCATTGGGGAGGAATCCAGTATACATTGATGGGTTCCATGGCTGGGACATACAAAGCGATGAGCCACATAGGAGTGGCATGGAGACTATGTCTTAGTTAGAGTGGAGTTCATATGCGGCCCTTCTCAAGGGATACTCACCTAGAAATGCAGCATGCAATGGTTTGAGTCCTCCATCCCTGCGTATCGTTGACACCACGGGCTTGCCACAGGATGTAAGGGGCGACTATCCATGCCCACACAAACTGCCAGAACACCGAGGGCCACCTTTTGAGAGAGTTAGACCGGTTATAACAGAGGATCTTCAGCATGCTTACCATTCCCAGCCCTTTCCGACCTGAGACTGTTCATATTGCTTGGTGCCAGGATGGACCTCTGTGCCAGCAACACCCCAGGACGGGTGGAATTTCCTGGAGATGCACCACATGATAATAGTAAGGATGAACTTGGGTATGTTAGCACAAGGCCAGTCTCATTGAAGACGTAGGATATCACATACCTGAACCGCCATTCCTAACCCAATCGTGACAAGAATTTTCTTAGAGTAATCGAGAGACTGGAAGCGGCTGCGGAGCGAATTGGGTCGAACACGTTGCTTGTAGGGCGACTTTTCTTCGGATCCGAAGAGTTCTTTTTGTTGTTTGGCGACATATAGGAAACGGCTGTTGGAAGCGTGGAATAAAGCGATACCGAAAGGAAAATAGAGGCTCATGATCCAGTACTCGCCCTCTGGTGTGAACAGCGGGAAGTAGACATAGCCCGTCTGGATAGCACCCCAGTAGAGGTGGAGCAGGATAACAGCAGCAAAAGACAGCGGAAGCTCCCGAATCCTAAGCATGGGCATGTCGCGACGACGCCAGAGGAAGTACATGCCACCAGCGACGATAAAGGTCCAGATGAGGGTGAAGACGATCCAGAAGATGCCCAGGCCATCGAGCCTGGGCTGAGGCTGGGCCGGAGTGTCGGACTCGGCCATTGTAGCGTACAGTAGAGGTGAGAATAAGATCGACTGGGACGGGACGGGTGAAGGGATTCTGGGTCGAGGAGATAAAAGGGAAGTATTGTAATGAACGTGGTTGTGTTTTTGGAAGGAATGCGTGGTACTCCGCAGGCACACAAATACGAAACGAAGCAGAGTCAAAACCACTTCATATTTGAGGAGGGCGGAGATGACGACGTATTATGTACTCTATTGTTGGGTCAGGCTGGGGGTTTGATGGCGGGACGGGCAGTGTCTCTGCTGTCCACGAGGAACCAGTCAAAGAGTATGATGGAGAACAATACGCTAGACAAGGGGAGGCAATCTCTTGCAGCGGACAGCAAAAAGTGCAAAAGGCACGAAAGAGAGTGATATCGAAAGTGACAAGTATCTAACACTACCCCCTCTGATAACTCCCTCTCTTTGTGTGCCTGTTCTGCCCCCTTGCGGCTACGAGGGACTTGGCATCTAGGCTCGTGCTCGGGAGCCAGATCACTAGGGGCTGCCTCTCCCGACCTCTGGTTGATCTTGGCCAGTAAAGGTAGGGCTGGTCCAAGTTCAATTCTAACCCTGGGTCCTGTTCGCAAGCCCCTTGCAAGTCCCGATTGGCCAACCCACATATCGGAGTATTTTGCACCAGAGAGAGATTTTGTGCTCGGACCTGGGACGTGCAGGCCGCTCGCTCTCTTTTTCCCCTTACTGAAACTGACAGCACCGTCACAAGGGATGTTGGCCAATTGATATGGGGACCGAGAAAGTGACCGGTTCCCTCTGGGCAAATGCAGATCGTCGCAGACCCGGATATCAGGCTCCGTTTTCTCTCTCTCTCTTTGTTTCTCCCCCATTCTGGCAGCTGCATTAGTTCGAGGTGGTGTGATAATTGCAAGTGCTCTATCTTTTATTTTATTTGCTTCTTCCGCGCAAGGGCGATCAAGACAGCAGATAATGGAGCAGGGATCTGCAAAAACGCCCAAACCTTCAACCAACCACTAACTTACACACCTGTTAGCATCATCTTCCCCCCTCTTGACGCTCAACGCCCTTGCATTGCGCGGAGCTGGATAAGGCCGTTGCCTGTCCAGCCACGAGCAAGAAAAGGAAAGAAAAAAAAAGATCAGATGATTTTTTTCCTTGTGAGATATCATCTGCCCACGTTTCTGTCTCTCTTTTCTTTTGCGATATTATCTCGGGTGCTGCAACGCCAAGACGAAGAATGGGGCTTTTGTGGCGGCCAGGATCCAATGAGTACTGGCAGCAGAGTTTGTTTAGGCGCTGTGTAATGTAACACGCACATTTATGCCTTGTGAGTTACAGTACCTACCCTTAGATAAAAGCTTATTCTCGTGCAAACGGCCGCATCGATGGGTTTTTGGGTTTTTGCATAACGGTTTGTCTTGAAGCTCTGACAAACAAACGTCTCGTGCGGAGGCGGGCCGTGGATTTGTAAATGGATGTGATATGTGATATTACGAGCAGAGGCCAGACTTGAATAATTAACGCCTTCTTTTTTATTCAGCTTCCCTTGCGTCAGACGCTGTGTTCAGTCTCCCTTGCACGAACGACAATCCAGCCCAGCCGAGGCCAGACACTTCATCAGGAGGCGTTTTGTCGCACTTCCAGCACATGTTTTACTAGGCCTCGGGGGACGATCCACTGTGATTTAGTGATGGCTAGCCACCGTTGGTTCCTGGCGCTGGTGCATGCATCGTGGGCTTGACAGCCTACTTACGGAACGTTTGTGATCCGAGAAATTGTATTTCTTTTCCTAAGGATGCCATTTATTCATGGTTTTCATCTCTCCAGGGCACATCCTTTCAATACTGCAGATTCGTCCACAAAAGGAACAGGCTCTTGGGCAAGGTTGCACTCCTCATCAAGGGATATCCTCGTCATCTCCCCCGCTAAAGCGCGATAAACGAACAGCTGAAAAAGAAAGTCGATCGTGTGTTGGTCCACTGCAACCATGCCCAGCCAGGCCCATGCAGGTCTGAGTTTGACAGCCTCAGTCGTGAATGAATGATGACGAGACAAACGGCGATTTCCGTGCAACACGAAAGTGTCTTCAAAACCGTTTGATCATTCTTGCCATTGTTGAAAAAGGCGCATGGCTTCCCCATCTCTAGTGTACGCGCTTAGGAGATTTCGTTCAAGAGCCTATAGAAACGAAACAAAGTGGTCCGTTTCTTGTTAGGCTGGCTCTTATGGATAGATGGACTGCACTCGAGGTAGATCTCAATTAGCTGAGCAAGATGTGAGAGGTCCACTATTCAAAGTGACTTGGGATTACCGAGTACAGGCACCCCAAAGATCAACCAAATCTTGTCGTCATGACTGCCTAAGCGAAGCTGTCATTACCAGTTGTCTGGTCTGGCACTCCGGCATCACTGGCCCGACACTCTCTGATCCTCTCCCTCTCAAATGCTTTGGCCTCTTTGCTTTGCCTTCTCAGGGCGGCAATAGTTAACGGTCAGGGCGCTCGCTGGGACTGCCAAAGCGCAATACTCCAAATCTTTCCTATTTTCGCTGTATGGTTTCACCACAGCGGAGTGGTACAGGCACGGTAACGCTCTGGTAAACTCAATCGTCCCACCGTGAACTATCGATAGGTACGAAATACTCGTACAGTAGATGCCATTCCCATGACTATTTCCCTCTCATCCCCGGCACTCGAAGCACCTTTGTGACCAGCCGGGAGATTGCGCTGTGGGGAAGATCGGCATTAATGCAAACACAGGCAGCTTCTGTTTTCCGCACTACGCGCCTGTAGCATAAAGTCTGAAAATACGTTGTGTTTGCTCTTGTTGACCTGAAATAAGAGTAAGTTTTATTATCAGCTCATGGTGGACTTTAGACCTTCCTGTTGGTAAGCAAAACAAACATGCATAAAAAGCACACATAGCCCAGGATCAAATGTCACGATCATCAAATGCTCCAGGTTGTAATCAAGATCCACTCATCGCTAATGTCATTTTCTGACACGATCTTGCCGTGCCGGCCTGCGACCATTAATCCTTGCGCGTAGCTCTCCATGGATGCAGTCCAGGGCAATGGAGGAAATGATCAGCAGGGAAACGAACAAATCCCCCGAAACATGTCGGGGCACGATTAATGACAGTCGTTTTAGCGCGGGGATATCCAATTCCGTACCTGATTGACGGATAAGCACTCTATTTTGCCAAATCTGAGAGATCTCGGTGTGATCATCCTGGATATCCTTTCTTTACACGTAACGCTGTCAGAGCAATCCTGTCGGCAATGCCGTTGCCAAGAGACTAGACATATGAATGCCGGTATAGCGGAACAGTGAATAGTAATCCAATACCTCCATCACTCAAAGATCTTGGACAGGTTCTGCACTGGCCAAGCACGCGCATCTCGAAACTTATCAACCACGCCCCTCAGTGCCTGGCGCTCATAATGATCCGTGAAGAAATCCCCATACAACTCCATCCCAAACGCCGCATGCACAAGAGCAGGAGGACATCCAGGGTGGCAGAGACCAATACCGCATAAATCGAGAATCATCTGACGCACTTGGTTCTCTATTTCCCTCCACTGTGCACGCGTCGATGAATTTCCCCTGCTCGGTCTGAGGTTAGCGGACCATCTGTGCATAAATAGGGGATTTTTGACAGCTGGAAATGGGGCGATTAGATTAACCTACCCGAGGAAGGGATTCTCTGCCATGAGGACCATCTTCGCTATGATGCATAGCTGCATGCTTGTCACTTCCAGGTCAGACGAGTACCAGATTGTCGGGAAGATCTCTCCATTCGACCTGTTGGCCGCACGCTCGTAAAACGGCTGAAACTCCCTCAGCGCTTCTTCCTCGAGCACCTCTCCGTGCTTTTGCAGTCGCACTAGATAGCCACCGTCAGTTCACACTTCTAATTAATTTTCGAATGAGGAGTACGAACACCACTCTTGCTCCGAACCGTCAGCCCAACGCCATTTGGCGACTTGTGCCGTGTGAAGAACAATTTTATTAGCCTTGGACGCGCCGTGTCCGTACTCAGGGTCAAGGATCATCTTGGGCGCCTGACGCTTCGTGAAAGAGTGGTAGAGCTCTTGGCGCACCGCCATCCAATATGCCGCTTGGATAAGTGATCGTCGGCCAAAGAGGGTCCTCGACGGTGGGCTTCTGAGCACGGCGTCGATGATGGCTAGGAAATTGACCTGAGGTTTTGCACGTGGCGCCTCAGTTCCGCTGTCCGGTCTCTGGTTCCGCTCTTCTTGCTCGTCTTCTTCGTCGTCGATCTCTTCCAATTGCCGAAGGATGACTGATACTTAATCAGCAAAACTGCGACGTGATAGTCGGAGACTAATCTTACCAGCCGTCGCTATGATACTCTCGAGCTTCTCGTCCTCGTGGATGGTGTGAAAATCTCGGAGGGCAGGGATGCATTTCAATGTGTATTCCACTGCATCGTGAGGCGTAAGCTTTGGCAGCAATTGTCCTTGGTATAGGATTCCCTGTGGGGTTCTGTACTTTGGTAAACGAGTTAGATGTCGTGCGGAAAGGGCAAAAATGGCGTAGAGCAGTGGTGGATGCTGTCGTGCCCGGATAGGAACTACGAGTTGGAAATGTCTCCTCTCGTCACAGAGATCAAGCTGATCACGTTAGCAAGTGTTACTGTTCTTTCTAAGCAAGTTGATTATACCCAATGCGAAAGCTCTTCAACAAAATACCGAAGTAAGCAAGCCTCTTGTGGATCTCGCAGCGGAAATCTAGGCGTTTCAGAAGTACCATACGGCTGATATGATCGGGGAGAAGGGGCATGATCTCTGCTCTGGTCTTGGGGTGGGCCATATGGAGATGAGTGGTCATGAGCGGCAACGTAGACATTCGAGTTATTTGGAAAGTCTGGTGATCGACCTATTCCTTGCTGCCATGGTGATGGAGGATAATTGGGAGAGTTACCGGCTGAATTTGGTGTGTTTGCCGTTGAAAGAATGGGGTTGTTTCTCAGCGGCTCATTAAAACTAGTTATTTCTCTTGGTGTTTCAACCATTGGCTCATCGAAATGGGCTACAGCAGTGGAAGAAGTACCAATATCGTCCAGGTGGCCCTGCGGACTAGTGTTGACTGTATGATCATCGGTTACCATCTCATACTCTGCCTATGCGTTTCTCTATCAACTCACAGTCTCTGATTTCACTACTGACCCAAGTCTGGTTTTGCAAGGGCCCTGTTGTTGAATTGAAGAAGACCGTCTTCTTTGCCGGCCGCGCACAAGGTAGGTTTTTGATAATACAGCGGTGACATCTTGGTTTTCCTTCATCGCCTATAGTCGATTAGCTCTCCAATTGCATGTGGGTATAGTATTCCAGCAGTAGTACCTACACTTGACATGTTTTTCTGCGCGTCCGTCATTGATCAGCACTCCGCATCATTGACCATACAGACAACAGAAGGCCTCACCTTTGCATTGGAGACATGGTCTCTTGACCACTGGCATCGTTCTCAGGCCCTTGTAGTGGTTATGATAAATGATGAAACCATAGTCAAGGCTCTGTCATTGTCCACCCCACTCTCCATGGCTTCTTTGTTGCCATCACGTGCGGTAAAATCGCCTTTCTCTCCGAACGGGAGTGCATACCCTATACCGATGCTATTTGATGTGATTGCTTGCGTGCGCAGTGCAAGAAATACGTTAAAAAATATCATTTTGCCAATTGCTGAATTTCTGTCCCTTATAAAACTATTTGGAAAAGCAAGAGAAGTTCAATGGCAGCTCATTGTATGCGGTTGTTTGTTTTCGTCTAGTGTCATTCCTGTCAGCAAACATCGCATTCCACCTCCGTAAATCCTCACCTTTACTCACTGTACTTGGAGCTCAACACCAACATGTCAAGACAAACAAGATCCACCGCGAAGAAACTGACGCGTCTTAACGCCTCAAACCCTCCCTTACATCCTCCACGCGTCCCTACTTTAGAAACCCAACTCTTCAACACACCCTCATCATGGGAATCCTGGCTCAACACCAATCATAGCACAAACGCAACCGGCCTCTGGCTCAAAATTGCAAAGAAGGACTCAGGCGTGACATCAGTAACCTATGACCAAGCGCTGGATGTAGCGCTGTGCTATGGCTGGATCGATGGCCAGCGCAAGGCTCTTGACGCGCAGCATTTCATTCAGCGCTTCACGCCACGTCGCAAAGGGAGTATGTGGTCTCAGCGAAATGCGAACAAAGTCGCGTCGTTGATTGAAGCGGAACGTATGAAACCCGCTGGACAGGCGGAGATTGACGCGGCGAAGAGTGATGGGCGGTGGGATAGGGCGTATTCGTCGTCGAGTAACGCGGTTGTTCCGGAGGACTTTCAAACGGCGTTGGATGGGAATGAGGCTGCGGGTGAGTTTTTCAAGGGTCTTAATAGAACGAAGAGGTATGCTTTTATACAGCGGTTGGAAACGGCGAAGCGGCCTGATACGAGAATGAAAAGGATTGAGCAGTTTATCACGCTTCTTGCAAGCGGGAAGTCTCTGGGATGAATCCATTGCTGGAGTGCGTTCTACATTGTATTATAATCTAGGTATAGATAGAGGATTGGAAATACAAGAAGTTGAATGATATGCGATTAGTAGTCATCCTCGTCATCGTCTTCGCCTTCCCCATCTGACTCGTCTGCCATGCCTATCATGAACGGGTTCCGCTCTACATCCTCATCGTCTTCGCTGTCCGCATCAGCAGTCCGGCTGCTTGCATCGTCATCAGAGTCTTGGTTATTGACGGGGTTCTCTTCCCGATGGAGACGTAACCTCTCGGCTAGTGACATTTTCGCAGGCGGCGCATCGTCATCTGATTCTTCGCTCTCTTCCTCACTGTCTTCTTGAGAGTCGCTTGCGTCGTCTGCGTCTGATTGTCTAGAGACGCCCCCTTGCTCTGATGCATCATCATCATCCTCATCGTCGGAAATAATCGTCCTTGAGCGCTTTTGAGGTGGGTCTACCTGTGCAACCTCTGGCTCATCGTCTTCATCGTCAGACTCAACAACACGGCCTGTTCTTGCACGTTTTGTAGGCTGCACATCCTCCTCATCTTCATCGTCGGAATCAGATACCACCCGACGTTTACGTCCACGCTGCACAGGTACTGATTCATGTTCCTCCTCAGGCTCTGGACTTGAAAAGTTTGCACCTACACCTGTACCTGCACCTGTGACATCTCCATCTTCATCCTCCTCATCGTCGTCATCGGATACCTCGTGAATCACGCGGCTAGCGGGTGCCGGAGATCCGCTGGCTAATGAGATGCCTTCTTCGTCTGAATCGTCGTATGTCTCCAGAATCTCATTATCGTCGATGCCATCGCTCTCATACTCGTCAAGGTTTGATCCATCATCTTCATCATCCCCCTCCTCTTCCGAGCTTGTGTCGTCTCCCATATCTGGTCCGAGTGTTTGCAGCATCTCATACCGTCGGAGACCACGCTCATATTCAAATGCGACCATAGGCCATGCTTTGAGCCCTCTTCGCTCCAAGGTGCTTCCCAAGGGATCTGGTAAGTTATCCCATGTGTCTCTGTTGATTTGGAACCTCGCAAAGTCAGGATGTCGTTGCAGGTCAGGCCAGCACCACAAGAACTGTAGGTCCTCTCCAAGTCCAGGCTGCTTTTCATACGTTTGAGTTTGATAATGGTTGACGAGGTCTGAAGTGCACCATGCCAAACTGGACTTCTGACAGTCTGTGCTTGACACGTCGACGTAGAAAGTCTCGAGTTGTGTGAACTGGTTCACAAGAGTGGGAACGTCAGATCCACTGAGGTTGTCGAGAATATCAGGACCGCCAAGAGCCAGGTTTTTGATTTCGCTGGCAAATTCAGGTAGGTGGAAGATATTTCTACCAGGCGGACAAGTAAGTCCATTCACAAGAACGACATCGGAATTTTGATTGAAAGCGACGATGGCATCTCCGGTACCAGCATCAATGCTGAGAGAATTCGGGAAGGCGTTGGTCGCTAAGGCGCGCGATTCTTGACAGACTGCGAAAACAGTGCGTAGATTCCTGGTCTGATCCTCCAAAGCAATACCGTCGCGTACAGTCCAGACGAGGGAGGTTGCTGATTCGGGGTGCCTGGTGGTTCCATAAGAGATGAGAAAATCAAGTACGCGATAGCGAGCGCAAAGTTCGGGGCAAAATAATTCCCAAATGCGATTCCGCAACTCAATAGGAAGGCGACAGAATTGTGGGAAGTAATCGGTATTCGAGCTTTTTCTCAGTCCAGTTTCGTAGTGGTCGTTGTCCTCGTCGTCAGACTCATCACCCGAGTCATCATCGGTATCTGCAGCCATAGTGTCGAGCAAGCCTCCACCATCGGAATGATCAGAGCTTTCGTCGCTGGATTCATTTCCACTCGACTCCTCCTCGCCCTGGATCTCGTTGGGGAGTCTCTCATTTTCGCTGTCGTCAGACTGAGATTCGGCTAAATTCGACATGATGCGTGTTCTTTGACGAAAAATGAGACTTCACGCGCTGCTGCAAAAGCTTTGGATGAAAGCGGTTCTGCACGATGAGACGTGTGCACGTGACTGTGCACGGGTGCCACGCTTTCACGTGATCATGGCTTCTGCTCCGGAGTGAGCGGCAAGCGAGAATGGAGGGCGAAATACGAAATGCGATGGAATATTCGGAACCTAGATCTTCAAATACCTACCGTATTACACAGCCAATGCCCATCGTTACCGCTCGGTATTTGCATCGTTTCCCGAGCCCCTCTTTTTCGCGGGACAATTGAACCGTGACAAACCTCCGAAACCTCCGTACAACTCGTCTCGCCAGACTTTGTCAGCTTTCTGTCCCCGCATCTCTGCACTAGCAATTATCACATCCAATGACCTCCTCATAAACCTTCCCTCTTTAGTTAGGGCTGCATCTCGTTGTCTTGGCATTTGCCGAAAACCGTCAACAGACCAATCACAGGCTCGGAGTCGCAGCGGCCTACATGGCCGGCACATTGGCTCCTTATTCATCCTGTCAAGGGACAAGGTTTGGATTGCTAAGGATTTGGTGTATGAGGGAGGTCGATTATGCAGATCGGTGGCTTACGCTTGTCCGATAAATGCTGCATATACGAAGCATTCATCACTGCTGTGTCATGTATCTATAAGAGCAACCCTCATCCTCTGTAGCCAACAATTCTATACCTCATCAACTCACACTCTCAATCCAATTTAACCCAACCCAAACACCCAAACCACTCATCACTACTTCAATTATCAAAATGTCAAAGATTCTTACTGTTTTCGGTGCCACTGGCAACCAAGGTGGTTCTGTTGTCCGGGCCATCCTCAACGACCCCGCTCTCTCCAAAGAGTTCAAGATTCGTGGCATCACCCGTGATGTCTCCAAGCCTGCCGCCAAGGAGCTCGCCTCAAAGGGTGTTGAAGTCGTGGCAGTAAGTTTCACAACCGCATTGTCTAAACCAAACTTAATCTAACTTTCAATAGGCCGACATGAACACTGCCGAGCAAGTTGCCCCTGCTGTCAAGGACGCCCACACTGTCTTCCTCGTCACAAACTACTGGGAGACCGGCAGCGGCAACGTGGAGGTTGCCCAAGGAAAGGCCGTCGCCGACGCCTGCAAGACTGCTGGAGTGAAGCAGCTCGTCTTTTCATCTCTCCTCAACACCAACAAGATCAGCAACGGCCGCCTCACCCACATCAAGCACTTTGAGGGCAAGGCCGAGATTGAGGATTACATTCGACAGATCAACGTCCCTGCCACCTTTGTTCTCCCCGGTTTCTTTGCCTCCAACCTGTTTACTTCAATTCGCAAGAATGAAGACGGCAGCTTTGCCTGGGCTCTCCCCGCCTCGGGCGACAAGACCAAGGTGCCTATCTTTGATGTTACTACTGATATGGGTAAGTGTCTTAATCTCGAATTATCGAATAAACATTCTAACTCTCAATAGGCAAATTTGTCAAGGCTGCTATTAAGAACTTCCCCAGCACTCTCAACAAGCGCGTCTATGCAGCGACCGATTACTACTCTCCTAACCGGATCGTCTCCGAATTCAGCGAAGTCATGGGCAAGCCCGCTACTTTCAGCCAAGTCCCTGCCGATGTTTTCAAGACTTTCCTTCCCGCACCCGTCGCGGAGGAATTGACCGAGAACATGATTTTGTTGGAAGACCCTGGATATTATGATGATGCTGATCTCAAAGAGAGCTTGGAACTGCTTGATGAGAAGCCCGTGACCTGGAAGGAGTTTGTGGAGAAGAACAAGTCTAAGTGGGAATAGTGTATAGCTGTGATATTTGATAATTAACCAAAATTTCGAATTCTTAATATTTGTCTCAAAACTTGACAAACAGGATGCTTGTGATGTACAGGGAATCAATAGGAAGACACATAGTACTTCTTCGGCAGAACTTGTTTATGTAGACTGGGAAGATTTGATAGATTGACAAAGCTACTGAAGTATGTGTACCTAAACTTCTGGACTTCTCGACACGGAAGTATGGCCCTATGCATGTGCTAGGGAGATCTGCCGTGGTTAGCTTAGCTCGCTGTCGAAAGAATTGAACCATTTGAATCGATTATCCTTACCTTTGACTTTCCACCGAGGTGCCAAGGTTAATGGACCTCAGCATCGTAAGAATTTTCTCCCTGACTACCTTGAGAAGTCAGTGTGTGATACCTTTCTTCGCTCCATTCCCAATCAAAAGGGGTACGAGTCGGTAGTCGTTTGCTTGGATTGCTGCATCCAACGGTGTTCTACCTTCCGCATCAGTGATGTTGACATCCGCTCCACCACTAACCAAAAGGGCTGCAATATCGACTTGCATCTTCTCCAATGCAACATGTAATGGTGTCTTTCCCCATTTGTTGCAGGCGTTCAGGTCTAGACCTGGCTGGTTAATAAGAGGAACAAAAATTCTCCAATCCGTATTCTCATGCATAAGATGCAGAGGTATGTTGCCATAATCATCACGGATGTTGCCGTCAGTCTCGTAACTAAAGAGTAATTGAAACAGACGCTTTACTTCAGGCAAAGAACAAGTTAGATATTGCATCTCATGAAGGCATGTTCGACCTAGCCCATTGCGAGTATTGACTCGGGCCCCATTCATGAGTAGGATTTTGACAGTATCATAATGGCCAGATCCTCTATGAAAGGCGTAATGAAGGCAGGTGTTGCCCTTTCCATCTTGAGTCTTGACATCCGCTCCATTGTTCACAAGATATTCTATTGTGCCAATGCGGGCCCAGTTACGCACAGCATGCATGAGGCAGGTTAAGCCGTCCACATCCCGAGCGTGAATGTCTGCACCGTGTCTGATAAGTACTTCGACTGTTGCTTTTTGTGTGGTAAGATGAAGTGCCGGTTGGCCGAGACTGTTCTCCCACTTGGCTATTTTACCACTTTTCAAGAGCAGTTCCACAGTTGCATCATGGCCGTTGGATACAGCCAAGAATAATGCGGACCGGCCTTGGGATCTGAGGGGATTAGGGTCTGCCCCCTTTTCAAGTAGGACCTCCACAGTTCTTGTATGCCCGTTTGCTGACGCTAGCGAAATGGCAGTTTCTCCCCTGACGTATGCATGAACATCCCCTCCGTGGTCGATCAACAATGCCGCTATCTCTGCATGTCCGTTCTTTGACGCAAGCATAAGCAATGTGCTCCTTCGTCTTTCTATTTCGCTGTCCTGAATACCTCTTGAGATGAGGAATTCTACAACCCCGAGGTGACCATGCTTACAAGCCCACGACAAGGGACTATGGTTTCTGCCGTCCGCGTTCGCGTTAGATATTAAGGAGTCCGTGATGCGAGCCACATCATGAACGCCTGAAGACAGACGCAAAAGAGCTACCACACTATTCTTATACCCTTTGGCCATAGCAGCTATTAGGGGGTATTCGTATCTATCTCCTTCTGATGAAACATTGATTTCTTGATCATCCAGTAATCTTGTGCGTAGGAGAGAAGAATGCCCTCTATCCGCGAGAATGTAGAGCAATCCTGCACCCGGCGTATACTTGCGAATGTTGAACTTCTCAAAATGATTGATGACCACGATCCAAATACAGCAAAAAGATTGGAATTGTTCCAAGAATAGACGCTGACAAACAGTATCTCCTGCTGAATTGCCATGATGTAAAACGGACTGGCTGGCATACTCGAACAAAGGATAATTGCCGAACCATTCTTGGCGGTTTAGATGATTTTGGTAGAAAGGACTGTTGCCGTCATGTTCGAAAATTTGGAGATAAGAGTAACAACATAACTTAAGCTTCTCGTGACCGACGCTCTCCCAATCCGGCTTGAGATCTGGCCATAAGTCAAAGAGTCCTTCGTCTTTGACGAGAAAGTCACGAACGGATTCGTGAATGAACTGGACTGTTGGTTTGGACTTTGTAACCTCAGCAAGTCCTTTGGATGAACTGATGGCACATCGTATAAAGCATTCCTTAGAATCCGCTGTGTCGACTTCTGGTGGGGTAGGATCTGCTAGTCCCTGTAGTGATAAACCCGACCAAATGGCATGGTAGTACTCTTCTGGTTTTAGCGGCCGTTTACTAAGGAGAATCCATAGAACGGATAGCTTAAGCTCTTCCATATTGGTGGTATCTCTCCTCAAGAGGTCCTTAAATAGCTCACTTAGGCCATTGGGGACTTGCTCAAGTCTCATCTTTAGAGATAAACGTCCGCGGCAATTCTCTCGCTTCAATATGTCTGTCACGAGGACTACCCACAGGAAAACCCCTGCCGCTTTCTCAAGCATCTTCTCTTGAAGTTCCATCAGGAGCGACGGGTCCTTGATTCGAAGATTGGCCTTGATGTAACTCTCCAGGTCGTTGGCATGGCCCACTTGGTCCTCCAGAATGAGGCGAATACCCAATCTCACGTCGATATATGGATAGTGTCGACTGGAGAAACAAATACTTAGACGCACCCCATCTTCCGTGCATTGCTCCGCTAGGTCTTCAAAGTATTCGACTAGATCCATTACTTGCTGTTCGTCACACTCGTCAAGAGCATCGATGAAGCAGGTAAACGATCTCTGACCAAGTTTGAAAACCGCACTGCGAAGGAGATCCTTTAGGACGTTCAGGGAAGGGCAGCCTGTTTGTCTCCGAGGCAAAATCTCCGGGTCTGCCAAGACACACTTCAAATCAGGAAAACCTTCGAATAACTGCAGGAGCAGTGACCGGTACATTCCTGATACTGTCTTCTCCAATATATCGCCTCGAGCATTGAAAAAGAACGAAGCCGTAAGACTTTGCGGTGCTTGCTCTTGTCTTTTCGCTTTTAAATAGATAAACTTCATGAGTGTAGACTTCCCGGCTCCAGGCTTGCCTCTGATCCAAAGGAAGCCATTGTGCTCTGATAAGTGTTCTGGGTTGACCCAAGAAAGGTAGTCGGGATGTTTAAGGATCCAGCGGCAGGTTTTGGAATGTGCAGCTTTGATGGTGGTTTTACGGGCATCAATCCCGTCAAAGTCGAGGGATTCCAATATCTCATCCTCTCGTGCGGATGATAAAAACCCTTCGTCTATGGAATGTCAGCAATCAAGTAAGCCAAACGGAAACGTTCAATCATCTCATCGCAGGAGTGCGAGACAGCAAATACTTACTCGGGAGTTTACCATATTCAGCCTTTATTGTCGGTGCACCTCCTCCCCAGATCTGCAAGAACTCATACGCGTAGGCCGCAGCCGTTGCTGCTGCATATCGTTGGTACTCCTTGGTCTTGTGAGAGTCCGAATAATCACAGATACCTCGAATCGGCAGACATGGCATGATGTCCATCAGGCCCGCAGCCTCCATCTCGAAGCAAATCACGTCAAGATCCCGAGCGATTTCATCACGGGTGGTAGAATTTTTCATTACCGTATTCGCCGAGGCAATCCCCCCATAGTGAATGACTGGACCAGTGGATGAACGTAGCTTTCTCGTCACGAGCTTAGACTGGTCGCATTTCTCACAGGAAGAGAGCGAAGAATCATGATTGTATGACGATAGGAACAGACGGTCCGGTTCTGTCGGTAAACAATAAGGAGGATAGTCGCCCATCTTGTTGCTCAAGATCGAAGGAACTCTACTGCCACTCAGCTCGTGTCGAGATCGTAGATTCGAAATAACCGTGCGAATGGAAGAGTCGGGGATTCTGGGAACTGATGTTCGTTGGAAGCTGTCGCTGAGTGTCTTCCCGAGGTCATACTGCATGACTCGTACTCCCACAACGATATCTCCGAGTCGTATATCAGCCTTAGTTGGCACTCCACCCCCAATGCCCACCATCAGGCCGATTTGAATGTCAGGAAACGTCCTTTTCACGTTGCTCAAAACAGTCGCAGCATTATTCGTTCCGTACTGACTTGCAGGCAAACAAGCTATGACGATGTTGTGGTTTTGTATAGCCCCCAGGACGTAAGAGTTGGTGTCATAGGCCTGCTGTGGGCGGTCAACGTATTCCTGGTCGAGCATTGCACGGGCTGCAGCCATCTCAATATGCAGCGCGCAAATCCAGGCGACGGTATAGCGGCGATCGAGGGGCTCATCCTCGTGGTCCTGGCCGAGTTTGCGACGTTTTACGTGCTGAGGCAAAGCGTAATCGTGGTTTTCAGACATTCGCCGCCGGTCCATTTTCAGATCGGCCTGGGGTAGAAGCAATCCTGCAGCTGCCTGCAGCGGAGACCAGGTTCAGGTGTTAACCTCGACTTATTTATGTCAGTGAGCACGATGCATCTGCTTTGGCCAACGTCAGACGATGTTGAGGAGGAGAAATTGAATCAGGCTCTGCGTGCCTGCCAGTCAGCCTCACAAAAGTCGCTCCTGCACAAAGTCACGTGAACTACACTCCAGACCTCGGAGTGCAGAGTTCCAATATGGCGCGTAGTACGAAGTCATAGATTGAAACTGAAATGACCCCTCCAGATACTACTAAGAGAAGGAGTTGATTGGACTCATTATTAAATAAAGTCGCTACGTGTATCCTAGATATATGTCAAAATTTAACACCCTAATATGTTATGAAATTATTTTTAAATATAAAGGAATAGCGATTTGATTACAGAGACATTTTATTTACATGATCAATAAGAGAAACATATTACATCAAAAAACCGTTTCCTTTTTCACAGCATACAAGACTATGAATAGCATATAATGGTTTAATAACTAATAAGAGTAGTAGTACTGGCACAGGGATAAAGTTTATCGGACCGCATACATTACATATTGACAGGCCATGAAGTCTGGAATATAAATCAGCTAGGTTTAGAAATGTGAAGTTTAATGGATTGGTTATTGTGTTATCTGGCATTGTGCATAATGCCTCTATATCGGCTGGAAATCACTGTACCATCTATGGGTCAACCCAATCATTACCTTCTAAGGTATATATTCTATTAAATAAACCAGCAAGAATGTGCCTATAACATGAGTCAACTTGACCTAATGGATCACTTATTCTCCCGATGTCAAGTCTTTTATGGGAAAGACCCGTCTCATCAGCTACGCTGCATTGATATATTGTTTCAAGACATCATTCGAGGTTCCTACCTGAGCTACGAAACAGCGGTGGACTGATTACCATATCACATTACTGTGTTCAAAATATCTCCAAATGCAGCAGCGGGAATGTTACTTAGCAGTCTTGGCGTCTTGTCGGTATGTGGCTGAGTAAATTATTTGACCGGTATATATCCCTAACCCTTTGTTGACCTCGTGAGCTTCACGAGGGAGTGGGCATAGTAGACAATGAAAGACCAAACCTGAATTGCAAAGGTGATGAATGTGAATATCAGGATGATGTAGGAGGATAGAGCTGCTGTAGACGGTTATATTCTTCCAGATTCTGTCAACACTTACATTCAATGTGGATGAGTCAACGACGGATATTGACTACCGAAATTAGAACCCTTCACGCCCGCACGATGGAGATATCAACCACGAATACCACAATCTCAACTATCTCCGTGCGGGGTATTCTTGTAAACGCTGGTCCCCCAAAGGCATCTCCACAAATGTGCAAGGCCGTTGACTCTTTGCGGAGGTTTTACTGGCGCCAAGTGATTTAAGCTTATTTAGAGATGGAGCTTGGAATCCGGGGATGTAACAACAGCGTGGGGATCCCAGACTAGGGTTGTAGACTTGACCTGCAAGAGTGTCACACTGGTAGCTACAACGTCCGAGTTCTTCCGATCTGGATGACCTCAAATGATAGGAAAGGTGTCGAAATGGTGGCTGTGTAAGCTGCAATCTCTCCGTATATAGATTTATCAGTACATCAATTTAGAGAAACGGCCGCTGGAAGCATATAATAGCCAAGATTGTAGACGTAGCATCGTCTAAAGGCCGAGGCAAATCCCCCAACCCCACTTGTTCACTCATACGCGAAGGGCTTTTACCGGTGCCAAGTCCAAGTTTCCTACGCTTGTAAAAGTCCCTTGTCATATAACAGAAAAGCAGGGTAGTATCGCCATAAGCAATCGTCTGATACAAGCGGGGAAGAAGGATTCGGGGTATAGTTCTGCTACCGAGTGCGAAAATGGTGCGAGTCATGGAACTGCGCAGCCAATCGTTTGAAAACAGCGACTGGCACTTGATTTATGCTTGGAGCTTATATCGGCAGCTAAACTCTGAATGGCGGGCCGGTTGGTAGATCTTGTAGACCTCCGGGACTAAGCTTTGGACCCTGTTGTGGGGGGATCTTGGTATTGGTAGAGAAAGCTTGAACTGAAGATATTGTAATCGGTTCTTGTAATTATTTCAAGATAATTTGGTATGTTTTGAACTTCACTGAGAGGCCTTTTACTTAGATGTTTCCTCATGTGTGCCATGTACGTCATCAACCTGGTGAGATGGTGATAGAGACTGAACAATCAGCATCTCAGTATTGACGGATAAGCAACCATTTAGCTTCCCCACGGAAAAGGGCAGCCTGAACATCTTCTCATCCAGTCTTGGCAGCTCCACAGACACACGCATGATCACAGCTAATACCAGGTTCAACTAACACCTCTACGATACCCTGGTTTATCTTGTTTACTACCCCACGGGGAAGCCGGTGGAGTGGCACAACAACGGAAGATCTTAACCAGTCATAGCCAACAGTCAGCCTGAGTGAATGACGATGCATGGCTTCTGAACGACATTAAAAGGCCGCGGTGCCCCCGTCAGAGAGAATGCATCAGACACTCGCAAGCTTCGCAGTATCTGTATTGCTACAACATCATCCAAACACAGCTTCTTTGCTACCAATACCTCTTTTATTCCAATAATCTATGGGCTTTTCTACTCATGCGTCGGGCACCAATGATCCGCCTGAGGTGCGGAACTGGCGAATCCACCTGATTGCCACGGTGGCTAGCATGTCCGCCCTCGCCAGTGAGTCTTGCTGTCTATTCTGTTGTAAAAGGTGGCATACTGACCTAGGAAGTCGGATATGATACTTCTGTTATTGGAGGAACCATGGCATTGACCTCTTTCATGAGGGACTTTGGCCTTGACCTCGTCGAAAAGACACAGCGTGACACCATCCAGGGAAACATTGTATCCACCTTCCAGGTACGTTTCCCACTCATATAACTCAGGCATATCTGACCTATATAGGCTGGCTGTTTCTTCGGTGCGCTGTGCACCTTCCCCATTGCTGAGAAATGGGGTCGCAGGAAGACCATCATGGGCGCCGCCCTAGTCTTCCTGCTCGGCGGCGCTCTTATGACCGCCGCCAACGGAAACCTGAACATGATCTACGCCGGAAGAGCCGTAGCTGGCCTTGGGCTCGGAGCCTCGTCCCTCACTGTCCCCGTGTACATCAGTGAAACCGCTCCGCCGTCTATCCGCGGTCGTCTTGTAGGTATCTTTGAAATCGCCTCGCAGGGCGGTGGTATGCTTGGCTTTTGGATCAACTATGCTACTGACCGCACCATCGACGTTGAGACTAAGACCCAGTGGATTGTCCCGCTGGCTCTTCAACTTCTACCTGGTGTCGGACTTGCGCTGGGTATGCTTTGGTGTCCCGAGTCGCCTCGTTGGCTTGCTCGTGGTGATCGCTTCGAAGAAGCTGAGAAAATCCTCGCCCAGATTCGAGGTCTCCCTGCTGAAAACGAATATGTCCGTCGAGAGATGGGTGATATTCGAGCGCAGGTTGAGGAGCGCAGTACCAACAAGATGAGCAAGAAACAGCAGTTCCAGAAGCTATTCCAAAAGGGCGTCCGCAATCGTATGGGTATCGGCATGGCTCTCATGTTTCTGCAGAGCTTCACTGGTGTCAACATCATCACCTACTATGCTCCCCGCATTTTTGAGAGTCTCGGTATCCCAGGTACGTCACTGAAGCTTTTTTCAACTGGTTTCTACGGTATCTCCAAGACACTCGGCATGTTCCTCTTCACCTTCTGGGTTGTTGAGAAGGTTGGTCGTCGCAAGGGCTTGATCTGGGGTGCTGCACTCGGCTGCATCCCTATGCTGTATATCGGCGGGTACGTGATGGAGGCAGATCCGGCTGCGGCCGCTGCAGCAGGAGTTGTGAAACGCGACGGATGGGGTTACCTGGCTATTGTATGTGTGTACATCAACGCCATCATCATCTGCGCGACGTGGCAGGGTATCACCTGGACATACGCATCTGAGATCTTCCCTCTCGATATCCGTATGCTGTGTGTGGCTATCACCACTGCCGACACATGGTTGGGATCATTCATCATTGCACGATCTACGCCATATATGATTTCTGACCTGGGATACGGCGCCTATTTCTTCTTTGGCTCGATTCTTGTGCTAATGGGTGTCTGGTCTACGTTCTTTGTACCCGAGACCAAAGGTGGGTTACACAACCATTCTTCCAGAAGTAATCTAGAACACATTCACTGACACATTTTATAGGAGTTACCCTCGAAGATATGGACGCGTTGTTCGCCAAGCCCGTTTACAAGACTGTCTGGGCACAGATGCGAGGCAGGCCTGTTCTGGAAGAAACTCGCTCTGATTCTCCGTTTGACGACGATGAGAAGGCTCATGAGATGAGAATACCTTAGCTCCGGCCCTCGCCTCCCCTGGCCGGGGTTCATTTGCAGCGTAGATAAGAAATTGCGAAACCCTAGTTATCGGCTGCAGCCACTGTGTCCCCGATTACTGCTGTGTTGTGATTGTTACTGGCTGCATTAGTGGAATTTTCTGACTGTGCCGCTCTGTTTCCAGAAGGGCTTTAGACTCTCAACTCCCGGGGTCAAGTCCTGCCGCTAAATTTGAGTGATGACAGCAGCGATAAGAAAAGGCGTATCCATGTCTCTGATCAATGAAGTTTATTTCTTATTTCGACTGCGACTCTGGACCTTTATTTACTTGTTCTAATCGCCGTGCGATATCTAGAGTTTGATGATCTGATATCGCACGGTTCACTTTACCCCGCAAATCCTTCCCCAGCTCCCACGTCGATTATGCCCGTATTTGGGTTTTCTATTGAGTAATAGCGACCAGACCTTTTGCTAGCCCCAGTCTCAGTGGCTGTTTGCAGCCAACAGCGAGTTCGTGCAGCCATTCGCAATAGCCAAACTGCGTGTGCGGCCGACACATCTACAGAGCCAAGACTTTGCCAAGGAAGGCTGTAATCAAAAGGTATCTAATTGGTTTGTGATTGCTTGAGCGGTTGAAGACAACCGCGTGATGCTTCCCATTAGGTTTCATTTTGGGCTTCTCCAGTTCTTGGTTTTTATCGCTGCCAAGAGCAATAGTGCCTTGGCATTGAGAAGAGGGCATTCCCCATTGAGTGACGGTCCTCTTGACGAAGATAAGGGCCCATGCATGCGATGGTCAGGATCTGGAAGTCGGGGAATGATCTTTTGTTTTGCATTCAGTTGGACGCATGTGAGATGAGTCAATGTTGGCTTTGGTATCTGCCAGGGTAAATAACCAATATTGCGCCGACTTACATGCGCTGCACCAAAACGATGTTATTCAATTTACAAATGTGATTGCAGCGCATTCCACTTCCCCGGCCCAAACCCGCTATCCCCGGATCTGATCGGTTTAGGGGACGGAATAGCGTATCGCAATATGATCTCCAGTTCCGCACCCGCAATGAGGATGGGGTTATGGAGATGATGCACGATTCAAAGGTCGATTGTTATGTGCGCATGGACAGCAACAACCCCGCTAAGGTGGATATACAAATTGAGTTCAGGTACAAGCCTGCTCCAGCTCGTGTGTAATGAATTGCTTACTCGTCTCAATCATAGCGTGAAGATAGCCTAATAGAGAGGAGGCAGTGCAGTGTAATTCGTGTAGATAGCTGTAGGAGGTCTCGGTGACCTAAAACCTTAGATTATCTCCTTCCTTTTCAAGCATCTACAAGTTCAGCTTATCATCTTGGCAGTGGCTTCTTGTAGGTCGGCCAAGCAGTGTTCCCGAACCGCCGGGTTTGACAGATTTCTCGGCAAGCCAGGAACCGTTGTGTTTGAACTCTTGGGGTAACGGGACATCTCGCCAAGGACATAAGTCCCGAGATCATTGCTTGTCGTTGTTGTGAATTACTTACACGGATCGCGACAACACAAATGACAATCTTGGAGACAAAGAACTTTTAGTGGTGCGCACCACTAACGACGGCAGCGCGTCATCACCCCGGATTATGCTGTAATAGCGTTTTAAGGTTGATTTCTTAGCTCGGCCCCAAGATTGCCTGGTCTCAGTCATTGGTCTCGCAGCCACTTCAGAGATACCCCAAACAACCAAAACACAACACACATTGAGCATGCGCCAAGGCGGAGCTTAACCCGCAATGGTCTTGCGAAAGAAGAGATCGATGTCTGCAGCTTCCATTCTCAGTATCATGTCCGTTACGACGAGGCTTGATCACGGATTGCTGATTGTCCAACAGCCGGCCAACAATTGACACTTCGGCTGGCGGATACAGCACAAGCATCAGCGGCAAAGGGCACTTAAAAGGCGCCCTTGTCAACAGGGTTGATGCGGGGAACTAGACCTGACACGGGCCAATTGAGCAGAGTGTTAGACGGTACTTGAAAGCTCAAAAGCTGGGGAACTTCACATGAGGGCAGAGGGGAAAAGAGAAGACGAGTGATGCTTCTGTAGGACAGCACTTGTGAGGCGTAGCACAGCACATTATTCCATTTACTTGACATTACGCATTACTGATACAGCGCAGACTGCAGGTCAAAGCGAGGAGAAGCAGTCGCAGGAGGCACCAGCATCATATCACCTTCACCCTTCACGCACCCATCCTTGCATTACCACCGTAACATGTTCAACGCCTTTTCTCTCGACACCATCTTCCAACCCTATTTTAGTCTCTTTTTGGTGCCTCCCTCTTGTTTCTTTCATGTCCATCATGTCTTGGCACGCTACATTTACGACACCCATCCTTTTGGATTCCATCTCCTGCCGTTTTCGCCATGGCGCGCAACTGCTGTACCACTGTAGAGGTAGCTTGTATCTTGTAGGTTGCATCTTCCCAACTGTAGCTTGTCACACGCGACGGTCCCGCTCCTCGGAGATAAAAGTATCCATGATTCCCACTTCTTAACACGTCTTATTCTCTCGCCATCTTCTCCAGTAATTGCCTCTACCGATACAACACACAAAGGGCTCTTTTCCTTCTTCCACCGACTTACTCTGAATCGCCCTCCGCTTCAATATGGCGTCCAGGGACGAGAAGGCTGAGGAGGCCGGCGGTATCACGCCGCCTTCTGCTGCCCACACGCACACAAAGGATACTTTTACTGGCGATGTTGAGGGTGTTCGCGATGATTTTCGTGAGGACGACTTCATGACCCGTAATGGTCTCAATCTCAAGTCCTTCCAGCGCCGTAAGTCACAGCCACTACTCCGCCTTGTCTCCCATTTAGCATCTAACGTATCCTGCAGGTGACTACGGTACTGGCGTCGTTGAACTCGATCGATCCATGAAGAAGCGCCATCTCCACATGATCGCTATTGGAGGCTCTATCGGTGCTGGTTTCTTCGTCGGTTCCGGTGGTGCCCTCACCAAAGGTGGCCCAGGTGCCGTCTTTATCTGTTTCTCCATCGCTGGTATCATGATCTTCAACGTCGTCCACGCTCTTGGTGAACTCGCTGTTATGTACCCTGTCTCTGGTGGCTTCTATACCTACTCTACTCGCTTCATCGATCCTTCCTGGGGTTTCGCCATGGGTTGGAACTACGTGAGTTCAATTGAAACAACCTACATCAGTGTAAATGCTAACAGTCGCAGGTCTTTCAATGGGTCATTGTATTACCACTCGAATTAACTGTCGTATCCTTCACGGTGCAATACTGGAACCCTGATATCAACGAAGCGGTCTGGATCACTGTGTTCTGGCTTTTCATCATCGTAATCAATGTGTTTGGCACATTGGGATATGCCGAGGAAGAGTTTTGGAGCTCCTGCTTCAAGCTTGCTGCCATCGTCATCTTCATGATTGTCGCCATCGTGCTTATCTGTGGTGGCGGTCCTTCTAGTGGCGATTTTAGCACTTACCAGGGTGCTAAGCTCTGGTATAATCCCGGTGCCTTCCAGAATGGTAGCCGTGGCTTTTGCGGTGTCTTTGTTACTGCTGCCTTCTCATTTGCTGGAACTGAGCTGGTCGGTCTGGCTGCTGCTGAGTCTCGCAACCCTGCCAAGGCTCTTCCCGGTGCTATCAAGCAGGTCTTTTGGCGTATCACCCTGTAAGTACCAACACTCCCAAATTGTGATTACATGTTTTTGACAAACTGCAGCTTCTACATCGTTGGTCTTACCCTTGTCGGTATGCTTGTAAGCTCCACCGATGAGCGTCTCCTCAACAGCGACAACCCTTACAAAGATGGTGTCTCTCCCTTCGTGCTCGCCGTCTCCGATGCTGGTCTTAAGGGTTATGATGACTTCATGAACTTCGTCATTTGTATCTCAGTCGTCTCTATTGGTGTCTCTGCCGTCTATGGTGGTTCCCGAACTCTCACTGCTCTCGCTGAGCAAGACTACGCTCCCAAGATCTTTACTTATATCGATCGATCTGGACGCCCTCTCGTCTCTGTTGTCTTCAATCTTGCCTGGGGTGCCCTCGCCTACATCGTCCTTGCATCTTCTGGCAACCTGGTATTCAACTGGCTCCTCGCTGTCTCTGCTCTTGCTGCTCTATTCACCTGGGGCTCTATCTGCTTCGTAAGTCATGAACCGCCAGCTTCGACTTGGTCAGATGCTAACCTATACTTCCAGGCCCACATTCGTTTCCGCTGGGCATGGCAGCGTCAAGGTCGTAGCCTCGAGCAAATCCCTTTCAGGGCCGCTGGAGGTGTCTGGGGTTCTTGGCTCGGTCTCGCCCTTTGCTTCGCCATTCTTGGCTGCCAGCTCTTCACCGCCGTCTGCCCGGCAGGCAAGGAAGGCTATGGTGATGCCACCGACTTTTTCATGGCTTGCCTGGCTATCCCCGTCGTTCTTGTGTTCTGGATCATTGGATACATCTGGAAGCGACCCAAGTGGCTCACACTCGACCAGATCGATCTCGATACTGGTCTTCGTGAGCATGACTGGGATATGATTAATGCCTACCGCGCCAAGGTTGCTCAATGGCCCGCTTGGCGCCGATTCTTCCACAAGTTCATGTAAAGTCGGCCAAAGGTCCTTTCATTGCCTGGTTCTGTGGATAACCCGATCAATCTTGTACTTATTGCCTCTCAGCCGAGGATTAGCTTATACCCTGTCAATCTATTGCTTGTTATGTTATACAAAATGCATCTGTCGCCTCCCGTGAAATTCAACTTTGGGCATTATGTTTTTCTACTGAAGACAACGCGCATTCTTCTACTTACTGAGCTAATAGGCTTGCACATACCTTACGACATGTGGGATGTGAATCGGTCATCCCACCTATCCCACCACAGCTATCCCACCTTCTAGCCGAGTGGGATGAGTAGATCAGACTAACAAGATATTGGAGGCTCAAATTTGTCATTCCTAGATGGTGTAACAGATTTATATATTTCAACACAGTTCCTATCCTGAATCTTTACTCACCTGTACAAAACATAATTTTAAAATTCCTCAGCCAGCCATGACACCACACAACCCAGTTTCCGCCACCATCTTGAACAGGACTCTATTGTACCTGATAGATGACCTCTCTAACAGCGAGCCAAGCTCTTACTCTGATGGGTATAACCTGCAGCACTACAAAGAGCACCTGGATCATCTAGAAACAGCCTCAAAACTCGCGCTCCTCCGAGAATGTTTATGCGTACGACAGCCTCTGCCACTTTTACCAGACAGTATCCTTCAAGACATTGATTCCATCCTGAAACGCGTCCGAGAACACCGCATACTCACCCACATCTCATCTCTATCACCATGTCACATTATCAATCACAGTAACGGAGCGGAAACCAAGATCCACCTTTGGAGAGGCGATATCACAACCTTGACTGGTATCACTGCTATTACGAACGCTGCTAATGGCCAGGGTCTGGGGTGTTTTCAGCCGACACATCGCTGCATTGATAACATCATCCATGCAGAGGCAGGCCCGCGACTAAGGGAGGAATGTTTTCAGCAAATGCAAGAAAGGGCAAAAGACCTTGAGCCCGGTGAGGTTCTGGTTACTGCAGGCCATGCACTCTACGCTTCTTCAGTTATACATACAGTTGGACCACAGCTCAAACGTGGTGCTTTGCCTACAACAAACGAGAAAACCCAACTCTCTAAATGCTACGAATCCATCCTTGAAGCTTTGGAACTTCTGCCGCCCAGTCAAGATGGCAGTAAGTCAGTTGCGCTTTGCTGTATCTCAACAGGCCTTTTTGCCTTTCCAGCGGACGAAGCAGCTAGAATTGCTGTATCCATAGTCTCACGCTGGCTGGAACAGCATCCGTCAACGACAATTACTGATATCGTCTTCAACACATTCACGCAATCAGACACCGAGATTTATTTAAAGCTTCTCGGCCCCTTACCAACAAAGTCGATCTTTGCAGTGGCCAAAAATACTACACAAGGCACCTTGAGCCTAGCACGCGACTGGCTCAGCTCTGCGGATGCTGTCCTTGTTACTGCCGGCGCAGGATTATCTGCTGCAGAAGGGCTGGACTACCACTCCAGAGACCTTTTCAAGAAGAACTTCCCTGGGTTTCTGAAGCTCGGCTTGACATCTCTCTATAGTGTCTTTGGATATGACGGCTGGCCATCAGAAGAACATCGATGGGGCTACTTCTTTACCCACTTAAATATGGTGTCGAACTGGTCCAAAGTCCCGACTTATCGGGCTCTTCTACTGTGGCTGGAAAAGTTTGGGCCAGACGCTTTTGTTCGTACTTCAAACGCCGATGGGTTGTTTCTAGCAAACGGCTGGTCAGAAGAGCAGCTATCCACACCTCAAGGCTCATATGCATATCTCCAGTGTCTGAATAACTGCAGAGTAGATGCCGTTGTTGCATCAGCTCCTCTAGTAGCCGATGCAATGCCATTTATCGATAAGGTCAGCCAAAAGTTAACGGACCCGAATAAAATACCAAGATGCAGATTCTGCGGTTCGGATATGAGCATCTGTGTACGGGCAGGCTCGTGGTTCAACCAAGCACCTTACAAAGAGGGTGAAACTCAATGGAAAGCTTGGAGATCTCGAATTCTTAAAGAGAAGAAGAAGTTGGTGATTTTAGAACTTGGGGTCGGGATGAATACACCTGGTGTTCTGAGATGGCCTAATGAGGATCTTGTAATGAGAAGTGACGGGATGGTCAAGTTGATCCGTGTTGGGATAGGTCCTGAGACGATGGTGCCGTGGGAGCAAGAAGATGGTGGTGTAAGCACATGTATTCAGGGTGATATTGAGCGCGCCATACCGCTGTTGTTAGCATAGAGTGGCAATACCTTACATATGAGCTTCGAAGAATTAAATAAATAAATAGTGGTTAGATCAGAAGCTATGAAATAGTCAATATCAAATGCAAAGCCACAAATATTACATCACCATAAAAGTCAGGTCTCTTTTCAAGGCTGACCAAGTCACGTCATCTCTTCCAGTGCAAAAAGAGGCGAGGCGCATGAAATTAATGCCAAGCCTGCCTGGGCGTGGGTACCTCGCTGTAAACAGTGGCAGAGTGGGCTCTTCCGGCTTGTCCGCGTGGCTGTACAGCACTAATTACCGCCCCTCGCCCCTGTCATCAACCTTTCATCTTTCTTCTAAAAACAAAAACAGCCCGCAGCCCTCCCTATCTTGGAATCCTCCAAAATTTACCCCCGATATATCGCGCTTGTTAAGTTTACCGTTACTTCGATCTATCGCTGCGTTATGGGCTTGTTATAGCAGAAGATGGGACTCGATGCCCTGAGTAAGCTCGCTTCAGCCGGTGAGGCTGTCTACCAGAACCTCTCCAAAAAATGGTGATTTTTCATTCCTGCCTCCTCGATACAACCACTAATCGCAGCCCTAGGGAAGATAGAAAGAGGCGGCAAGCTGAAGAAGAATGGCTTACGAAATTCGCTGAGGAGATCAGACAGCGAAATGAATTTCTGGCGCTCGTGACGAGCAAGCTCACAGGCAACTCGGCGCTTGACATGGCGCCTCTGCAGTGCAACCCGCGTGAAACTCAAAAAGCTGTTTTTCTCGTCACCACACCCATCGCTTTTGGGGTGCTTGAGGTTTCGCAGCATAGCTATAAGCTCTTGGCCAGACACGTAGGGATGAGCTTGAACAGTGTCAGTCATTGGGCTGTGTGCGTCATCGATAGAGGGCTCGGCAAATGCTATTGCTATGATCTTATGAGCGACCGGCTGGAGTTGACGATGTTGGGGAAGAATTACTTCCGTGTGGCGGTTATCACGCCTGAATTTGTCGATACCTGGAGTTCGTGTTATTATATCGGTGAAACAACGAAGACGCATGACGAGATACAGGAAATAGGTGAGTCACTTGTAGCAAAGTATGGAGTCTGGATCTCTAACGTCATTAGGCCATCGCCACACCGGACTGAATCCTCGATATAGACTGCTATCTAACAATTGCCAGCATCTGGTAGACAGCCTTGTGAAAGAACTATGCAACGGCAAGGTAATCAGCCAAGCCAAGCTTGACGAGGAATTATCTCTGGTCTCGCCAAAGCTTGCACGCGATTTGATCGTTGGGCGGATACGATCGAAAATGGATGTTGGTGGGGAGAGTGAGGATAGTCCTTCGATTAAGGAACATTTAGAGACGATTAAGAGTCATTGGACTGACAAGTAGTTTTAAGATACCCACGGTGGTAAATAATAATCATAGAATTGAGATTTTCATTTAAATGTTCAGGCTTTACAGCAGCACTTCAGGGTATGTGCTGATAGGTGATCTCAAGTTATTTTTCCAAACATGAGACACGACGAGAAACTTGACGAAACAGTAGTTCTTTCCTTGTTCCCAACGGTAGGAAGAAATCTGCAATATTTATAACATTCCCATCTCGCATATATGGGGTTGCATAGAATGCCTTTCGAGCTGTGAAATTGTACGTGGCTGATCAATTACCGGTGGAGTGAACGTAAGGTAACCATGCACAATTTTTTCATCATGTATATATATCATGGTGTGTGACTCTCTCTGCATCAATAGCTATTCCTCCGATTCGGAGATCTCCCCGAATAGCTCAGCTGGAAGAGCGTTCGACTGTAATTGTTATATGTCATCGAAAGGTCACTTGTTCGATCCAGGTTTCGGGGAGCTGATATTTTTGCCATTTCCGCAGTCACGTAAAAGGCGTGATCATTTTGTTTTCTGTTTTCCGTTTTCCATTTTCTTATTACTGTCCTTTTCGCCAAATCACTGCAATTCGTCCGCCTTCATGCATGTTGCTTTGATGGCGATGCAGACCGCCCGCGTCAGTCAAGCTATGTGAACTAGAATCCTCATACGACACTCCACCTTCCTAGTGTCATCCAGTCAAAATGATGGAGATACCAAGTTAGATGCTGAGATGAGAATATGCTTACTTGTGTCATCATATTACCACTCGAAGACTGTACAGCCAGTGTTGGTGGTCAGTCATCTCGTGAGATTTCCACTTCGCTGGCTTTTCTTTTTTGAGCAGCCCAACCTAGACTTTTTTGTTTCTATCAATGTCAAAAATAATATCAGAATGCTAACAAATCTGCCTCCAGAGGTTCTCGAACATATTTGTGAAAAGGTATATTTACAGCTGATGCCCACATATGCGTACTGATAGTAGTAGTTAAACGGCATTGATTTAAAACGACTATCGCTGACATCAAAATGGCTACACAAAGCTGCTTTCCGGCAACTATGGCGGTCTATCACAATCGAACCAGCACCTGCAAGCGAACGGCATGTCATTAATCACCTTGGTCCGCCACAGTCATTCACCCAGTCCACCAGGGAACTTCACTTCGATGCCATCGAACGAGGCGCAAGGCGTTGCATCCATGTCACTGACTGGCTTGGCTCTTTACGTAACTGGATCGATAACGAACCGCAGGAAGAAGATACTTGGCAAAGGAACAGCAATAGCTTTGGACTGGGGTATGGTAAGCTTGTTCGTGTGAAGTATGAATGTCTCGCGCAACGAGCGATGGCGATACTCCAACGATTGGATAATAATCAGCTTGAGCACTTCAGGTAAGAATAGTTCGGGTTAATGTGGCTACGCTAATTCTTCAAAAGCTGGAATTATACCACCTGCATACCTTCAGAAGTCCTCGAGTATCTCAGCCTAAATCATCCCTCGATCCAAGGCCTGAGCTTCACAACAGATCCCTTCTGTAGCAAATTCAATCGCTGGAGCAGGACATCCGACCTGAACCTTTCCGCGTTCTGTAACCTTCGAAGATTGAGTTGGAAAGCCCCCATGGGTTGCCATTTCGACAACATTGCCAAGCTGATTCAGGCTAATTCAGCACAAATAGAGGATCTGGATATCGATCTTCAGAGCTGGTCAAGGGAGTGGGATAACCGAGAGTCCATAGCAGTTCACCATCAAGACAATCCAGAGGAGTGGGATAGAACGTCAGCTATTACGATGCTGGCGCGTCAAATATTTGGTCTCCAAAGTCGACCTCCCGATTCGTCTGAAAGGCCATCCTATCCGCGGTTGCGACACCTGAAGCTTACGAGGCTGCCGTTAAGAGATGAAATTACTAAGGAGGTGGTTCCTCCTGCATCTATAAGCTTTAATGCACTTAGGTCGCTATCGTTGAGGATGTGTCCCTATTGGATGTCATTTCTATCTCAAGCTTTTGAGTCTGGGATTCCACCAAGACTCAGGAAACTAGAGATTCTAGACTTTCACTTGCACACACCTGAGGAGACTGCAGTTCGCAAAACAGCAGCTGTTGCAAAGTTACTTGATTCTTTCAAGGGTCTTGATGAACTTTTTATTAGCCATTGCGGACTGACATCAGCTCTCGAGTTTTTGGAACATGTTACTGGCCATGGGGCGACTCTCAAGTGGTTCGTGCACCACCAAAGGACCAGAGATCAAGACGAGGAGACGTTGATGTCACGCATGGGAGACGACATAGCAGACTTTGGAATATCCCAAGTGGAACGTGATCGTATCAGGGTACATCCATCACAGAACCCTCTGTCGAAACTGAACCTAGAATCTATTGGATTGACATGTGCGCCTGAATATTTGGTGAGTCTACCATCCTTTCATTCTGGTATAGATAAGATACTGAGAGGTGACAGAGAGATGTTTTGCTCCCCTTCGTATCGAAAAACTTACTTAAAGTCCTCCATATCCGACAAACGGGAGTGAATATGGGTTCCAGCCCATCTTGGGTCTTCAACCAAGCTTTGGAAGCCAGAATACGGGAAGCAGAAGGACATGATACAAAGAAGGTGGATGTTATTCTAGGAGATCAAGAGGAAGGAGATATAACAGATGACCCGGAATATATTGCCACTGCTCTTGGAGAAAGGAAAGAGTGGAAGACGCCACCTTTGCACCAAAGCTTTCGAGATTTTGCAGCCTGGGTCTTTGGCCAGGAAGGGATCAAGTCTCTTGAGTATATCATTTCCGGGGACCTTTCTCACGGGAACAGGTATTGCAAGAACAATTTTCTGATATGCAGGAGTGTAGGGGAAGGGGGAAGGTATCGTGTTGTAAGCCAGGGAATTGGTGGACCAGAATGGTGGGATGTCAAGAGCAGATTTGGAAGTGCTTTGGAGGCTTGTCCGGTTGAAAATATTGCTCTTGAGTACTAGGCGGTTGGTTAACTAGCTAAATTCAATGGAGACAAGGATGTATTCAAATCCGCGGAGGCCTAGTGCTTAATCGCATCCCTGTTGCCAATTGTAAATTTGCAAACGCCTCGTAAGCACCCAGTCGTGACATAACCCCATATCCCGCTTATGCTATTAGATTTAACCATAATTCGGCTGTGCCATGGCATGATTGTGGCTGGCGTAGCTGGATCTGTCACTCGTTGATATGCTTATGCATAACCACGAAATCCTGGTATTGAGTCAGCAGCTGACCACTTCGGCTTTCAGCTCGTTCCATACACAAGGTCTGGGATGCGAAGCGTGTGAGCCAGAATGGATAACAGTAAATCTCACCACGCCCGCAATGGATGGAGACGAATCAAGTCCGAGGTCGACAGAATGTCCTGGGGCTTCAGCTGTACATCCTCGTCACCCCTGTCATCACAACATATGAGCTCACTTCACATGCTAATAGACCAGAGGGTCAATGTGATGGCCGTGTATAGATTTCTTTGCAGAAACAGGGGCATGTATCACGGTTACCGGGCGCAATCAGAACTGCCATTACCCCTAATAGTCGAGTTCCCGAGTAGAGGATGCTTAGAGTTTAATGAACGGGAACCTGGACTATCGCATATCACACAAGTCTTTCTGCTTCTAGTGTCAACCCCAGCCAGGGCAAGATGTCTCAATAACATTCGGGAATCATATTTAAATTTCAGGTCATAAAGTTCCATCTACTTCTTTATGTAGCTTGCCAGTGATTTGTTAATCATAGCCTGTCCAGATTCATACAATTTCGACCGCTGCGTCTCCCACCCATCTTCTTTGAAGAGACTTTCTCCTGGGCCAATAGCAAATTGCTCATCACCCTTGACAAGGCCATCATACATCTTATCGGTATACTCGGTAAGCGGCATTCCAATTTGTCCGCCATTGACCAGATCGGGCTGGTGCTTCTCGTCATGCAACTCTGTTTGCACAGCCGGTGGAAAGACCTCGATCATACGCACGTGGTCAGCACCGCCATTGCGAAGCTGCTGCCGGACGTTCAGGATGAAGGTGTGAAGCGCTGATTTGGAAGCATTGTAGTTAGGGGTTCGGACCATGCTAGGAATGAGGCCAAGTGTGGCGCTGACGAAGATGAGATGGCCTTTAGATTGCTTCTTCAGATGGGGAATGAAGGCCGCGGTGAGATACACGGCAGATGTGTAATTGGTCGTGAGCTCGTCGCCAAGGACAGACAGATCGAGAGTTTCGGGGTTGCAAAAGTCAAAACCACGTTGGATACCAGAGTTAAGGATGACAGAGTCAAGGTCTGGGTCAGATTGAGTGATAGATTCGGCAAAGTCTTTAATTTTGGGAAGGTCCGTAACGTCGAAAACCACAGCCTTGGCATTCTCTTTGCCGTGCTTCTCGACGAAAGCCTCGAGCTTATCGCGACGTCTGCCGACGACAATGACTCTTGTGCCTGTGGCTATGAGCTTGGCGGCGAGGGCCTCACCAATCCCGGAAGATGCACCAACCACGAGGGTCTTTTTGTACAGGGGAGCCATGGTTTCGAGTGCAAGATAGAGTTTTAATGAGATCCAGAGGTGGGATTCCAGGGGTAAGTGGGATGAAAGCTGCGTAAGTGACATATAACTGCCGCTGGGGTCAATATCGTGAGGTACTGGGATGGAGATATTGGGAGGGGTAATTGGAGGGTCCTGAACGAATGGGTCACCTGACGTTTAATCCATCTTCATGAAGTCATTAAACAACTCGAGTTTCCACCAATTAATGTTCTCAAACTGTCCAAAGTTATTGTACTTATCGATTAAAATGAAATAAATTGCATTCATTTGATCCCCAAGTCATGTTGATTCATGCACACACCACACTGACAAATGCAACGGAGAAAAGGCGCTTCTCAGATCAAAGCCAGTGCAATGCCAAGAAATCCAGACCTTTTGGTTGGTATACACCCCTGCTCTAAGCCCCAGGACAGTCCCTGGTCAAGACACCAAAACCCGGCGCTTGGCAACGGTTTTAATCTCCAACTCTAGTGTAACGGGAGCGTCTAGTCCAGCCAGTGACATTGATCGGTGCTTTTCCGATTAAGAGAGACCCTTGTTTTATGCTTAGGACCTTGCGGGGAGGCCCGCGGGTTTGTTTCTCCTGCGAGAACTGCGGGCGTAGACGGGACCTGGCACACGTCACTTTGGAGTTCCCAGTTGCCCTTTGGAGACGATCGTCTCGTCTCGGCGACATGGCCGATGTAATGGAAGAGAAAATTGAGGTTGTATTCGGTAACGGTGAGAGTTTTCACGTGCATAAGCGCAGTTCGCCGATGCTACACGATGCTACAGGGGGCGCTTCGTAAACTTAAAACCTTAAGCTCGATTATACTTCAAACGTGATTCCAAAGCCAAGACGAACTCAAGCTGAGTTGGGGACTATGGTCTTCCAAACAGAGCGTCCATTACGCATCAAACCCCCAGATTTGACAGGTAAGTCGGGGATAGCGGACAGGGAATACCTTGCCACGCTTATTCTACAGTAGCATTAAGCAATAAGCACCCCGTTTTAGATCCACAGCCCTGCGACTCGCAGCTGATATTGGGTGAGACTGGTCAGGGATCTCACCAAAGTGGCGTGAGTTTCCCCCCTTCAATTCATGACCGGTCTTTCGTAGGTCAGTAGAGTCTCTCACTTTCTCTCACTGCCGCGTTGTAGTTGGCGGGGAGGTAAGCTGCCGACGACACTGCCAGGACTCTTTTGGGAAACCCTGGGCTATAGCTGCAGCCGGGTTATATCAGATTCGGCGATTGTAAGAATGAAGCAAATTACTTAAATGATGGATGTTTCTGTCGTTTATTGAGATCTCATCCACTCGATACTCATACCGTTTCAACTTTGTTTTCTTTTTTAACCTGTCTTTTACTGGTCGACCGTTTCCCCGCCACGTCTTTTTGTATAAACATTTTCTTCACAATGCCTTCTTGGATACCCCTTTTGTCTCTCGTGGCTGCTTATGCGCCTCAGGTTCTGGCATCCTGCGCCTACGGGACTCATCTTCATCGCCGGTCCGATGTTATTGAAGCTCCCAAGTTCGGATACTCTGCTGCTAATGTACGTGATACTGTACCCCGAGCATGATCGCAGCCCCCTCAACCGTTGGGCATTGCATATAACTCAATTCAAGCAACTAACCTCGATGATAGGGCCCGGCCAACTGGTATAACCTGGACCCTAAGGCTAATGACCTTTGCGCCACTGGTAACCACCAGTCCCCCATCAACATGGCCGACGGCTCATTCGAGCTTCTCTCGTCATCGGATCTCCAAATCGAAATCCCCGACTTCACCGAGGGCGCCGAGTTCGAAAACCTTGGAAGCACCGTAGAAGTCGTCACTGAAGGCCTCGGCGGAAAACTCACCATCGATAACACTACATATGAGCTGAAGCAGTTCCACTTCCACCTCCCCAGTGAGCATCTCGACGACGGCACCAGCATGGCCATGGAGATGCACATGGTGCATGCCAGTGAGGACAAGAAACTGGCCGTCATCGGCATCTTCATCGATCTTGACGATGGAGCGGCCGCTGCTACTCACAAATCAAAGGTCGCTGCCAGGGAGGCCCGTAAGCCTCACCCAAGGGCCCCTGCTTTGCAATCCACTATTGCTGCAACGGTTCTCGACTCGGTGGATAAGATTGCGACCCTGGGAAAGACCACTCACATCAAGCCCCTGAAGATGACCGGTCTTGTTTCTCTCCTCGAGTCTGGCTCTTTCAAGTCGTAAGTTTTCTAACATTCCCTATCCGAATGAGACTGACCGCTAACATGTTCGCCTAGATACTCTGGTTCGCTTACCACCCCTCCCTGCAGCGAGGGCGTCAAGTGGCTTGTGTCCACTGAGAAGTTGACTATTCCTACCAGCACTTATCTTAAGGCTCGTTCAGTTATCGGCTACAATGCTCGTTTCCCCCAGAATGTTCCCGGCGAGGAGAACATCTTGACCATGTTGGCTGATGAGGTTGAGGAGTCTCATTAAGTTGTTTGAGCATATGATATAGATTTCTTTTGTCAGGGTTAGAGGAGTTTTTGTTTCATGAGTGGGAGGCTATCTGAGCGATTATTGTTATTAGACAGGCTACAGTATGTTGATATAGAGCATTATTAAAGGGAATATAGTACATGGCATACACCAAGGTTAATTTCAGTTGCGCATGTACTAATCCGATCTGTATACCTTCCTTACCCGACAGGAAAATATCCTTCGGTAGTTCATCTCCCTGTAGTGGATGTTTTTCCGTCCTATGTGTAATCCCAAACCTCTTAATCGTTACAGGATCATCATTTCCGTCTACACGGTCTTACTCGACGTCACGAGCCCCATACCTTGGCACTCTAACGCTTGGAGAACGTGGGGAACCGTTCGATATCCCCTGACTAACTCGGAGGTTGTGATGCTGATCACCCCCACTTCTTTATGCACATCGAAGGTTCAACGGTGCCAAGCCACCCGCTGTCGGGTCGAGATGGTTGTCTATCTTGGCATCGGGAGTTATAGAAACGCGCGGGTCGATGCTGATCTCACGCCTCAAGAACTAGAGGTTACAATATCCAGTTTCTAGCGATGATATAAATCCTTGTTGACGATATGCTGGAGTGGATATACAGAACCCCTTAATTCCCTCTCGCTTACGTAGTTGAGGTCGTCATTAATGAACTCTAACTTAGGATTTCACCGACCACCATGATACCACCAAGCCAGGGCTGTGTACCCTCTTTGATATATTTATTCGTGTTGGTAAATGAATCGACCTATTTAGTGTGACGCAGATCCATGAGAAGGTTACAGAGACAAGAAGGGGATGCAGTTTGATACTACACAGCAGGTCAGCATAACATATATCTAAAGGTTGCCGGGAGGTTGTTTGTCCTGTGGTCAATCTATGAGCACGAATAGATGAAACGGCAATTTAAGTTCCCACTGTCTTTCCCTGATGTACTTTTTACGTTTGCCGCTGGGATACAATTGTTATACCAGTTTTCGTTCCCTTTACATTGCCAAGGTTTTTAAGACTTTGTTCGGGTTAAAAGCTAGATATGCTGACTTGTAATGGTATGCTATCTTCCAAAGGGTATGAATCCATTGGAAATGTCAAATGTCCAGGATCAAGATATGGAATTCGTAGTAAGTAAGACCCAGAGGGCGGAGAAGTGAATTCTCCATAAACAACTTGCTAAGGATCTTACATTATAGCTTGGGGGCGGTTTCATTGAAGTATAATGCACATATCGATGACTATGGAATCAATGGCTACATGCCGTAGAAATATAGACTACCGAATAGACCTCTGGTCTGAAACTGATACTCACCACCCGAGCCATATCGCCCATTTAATCGAATCTAGGTATTCTCTGACATTGGCTGCAGTGCCGGAGAATTCTTTTCAAGCCTCATCTCTCCAGTATACCACTCCAGTGTCAAGACCATGACAAAGGCCATGAACATGATATCAAGCACGTATACAGGCCACTCATGGGCAAGTAAGTAACCATCTTCTCCTTGTCCAAACTCGACTAGGCGAGAGATATTCCGGAATATGACGAGGGTACTGCAGAGGTACAGTATGGCCATCTTCGGAAGAAGCCGAGAATTAGGATTCGCGGATCGGGGATATACTTTCTTAATGACAGTAACGTCAAAGATAATAGCAAAGGCGATGAAAATTATCAGAATTATAACTTGCAGGCCGAGTCCTGCAAGTATAACATTCTCTCCATCAGTTTGTTCGCCAGTGTTATCGCTGCTGACGAATATGCCTGCGCTGCACACTTGGACGAGGAAGCATAGAACATCGCCCACAACGAAGACTTTCGACAACCATCGGGTGCGGATGCCGCAAAGGCTCGGGTAATTGGCGCTGGCGATGAGACGGCCAAGAAACATGTAAATCGACGCGGCGAAGAAGATCGGGGCCAGTAAGATAAGCATAATTTGAGCACCATATGAGCCTTGATCACTCCGGTGGGTGCAGGAGTATATACGGGCGGCAAGACCAGCTATCTCAACTATTGAACGTACGTTAGTGATTGCATTTACCAAGAATAATATTTTAGAAGACTTACAAAGGCCTCCTATAACAATGGTGAAGCCGAACCATCTTTGCGTACGGATGATACGCCATATTTGAACAAGGCTGAGGACGATGAAGACGACGCAGACTACTATTGCCAGTGCTCTTGAAGGGTCGTATTCCCCGTAGAGATTTCTGGAAGAAGTTGCCATATTTTACTGGGTATATAAGACAGAATAGAAGGAGTTCAAACGATCGAACATTCAAAATGTGGTTGCATGCTTGGTCTTGAGTTATAAAACTTTTCGATAATTACATCAGTCCAGGGATACGGGAAGTCACTTTACTAGCATCTTGGTAGGAAACTTACGTACAGCGTTGGTGTGTCGTTGCATGACCACAATCGATTAGTTCGGTACACTGTGGCTGGAGGGAAAAGAACTAGAAAGATGCACCGGGTAATGCTTTATCCAATATTATTTCAATGCCTGCCTTTCTATAGTTGTTATTGTTGACTTTGGGGTAATGGGTGATGCTAGGCATAGTCTATACCTAGTCGCACTCGCCGATATGGTATGATATCGTGCCTTGGACTCGATTGTGCTTATTGCTTCGAAAGCCCTCAAGTATATTTCTGCGTTCTGATATCTTTGCTAAGTACACCTCACCCTTTACGCCGTTTTACTATTTGTATTTTTAAGACCTCTGCCTATGCTATGTCGAATATGAATCCTTTCTCATCATATGATACTCACAATCTCAACTTTGTAAGGACATAGCTTCGGACATTATAGTTACAACCATGTTTATCCTGAGCCCATAGTCACGTTTGGCCTACAATCTAGTAATCATTTCATCAGTGCTATGCAATTCCGTTACTTAGTCATCGCTGTGTAGTTTCATCATCTTCTTTGGCGATTATCCCCTTATTATTTACCCATAGGCTGACATCGCGTTAATCTTTCATATAAATTTCGAGATAACCTTCATTTCCACAATGGACTATCCGTATACCTATTGATGACATTGTATCAAGAGACAACCTGATCACACCGTCATCGTGCTCAGACATCAACTTCTCTCCATCATATACGTTGGCTTAGTCTTGTTGGAACTTTAGCGCTGTGAATTATCGTATCGGTTTAGCTATGAATTATCGAACGTAGTCTTTAGTACCAGATGGTCCAACGTTGAGACTCATTGCCACTTCTTGGTCTTTGATCTTTTCTCGCCCAGTCGATAGATTCCAGTACGTAACGAATAGTTCTGTGTGAAGGACCCGGAGATGCTGGTAGTCTCTTTCAACCTATTAAAACTGAAAGTCTCTTTCATGGCAGATTCATCATCTTCCCTTGACCACATAGACAGATACAGGAATTTATTGTTCAAAGAGACGGCGCATTTGACTTAGCGAAGGATGTCGTTATTACGTAGTGGCTGTGTCTGTAGGTCTGTAGGTTATTGGGTACTTATAGATACCAAAGGCATAAGCCTTGGAAGGGAATGTCCTCGAGTACTGATTGTGGTCAATCTTATCGTGACTAAGAAAGACAATACCATAAATATATCATAGTCAAACAACTTAGGGACGGGAATGGTATTTTCTCAACCAGCGTCAGTTGGGTCTGCAGACTGGAGAGGTTACACTACCTATTCTCCGTACATGCTAATGATAAATATGCATATGACGATGATTAAGCACGCTTATCCGATATCTCACTAGGATGGAATCAAGTTACAATATAAATCATTACTCATAGGTTTGCTTTCCGAAGGAACTATCTTACTCGCACATTACCAGACTTGGGTAGGTAGTTATGGTCGTTTCAGGCTCGGATCTACACAGGATCTGTAACATAAATTCACCTTTCGCGGTCTGATTCATGTTTATTCTGAAGGTAGTACCTAGTAAATCCATCGTGGCCTCCATCTATTAAGTCTGTGACAGAACCTCCAAATATAGTTCGCCGATTTTTTAAGCCGGTCGAAGATAATATCAGCCACCGGCCTTCACTAAGCAAGTTCATCCCATCTAGGATAGTATCGCTGGTCATTGTAATTTATTCAAGTCGCTGTTTGTGATTGCTTGCAAAAAGCTGTACTGGCGCACCCTCGGAACGCCCGGAGGAAGAGCGGCAGGTTATGTGCGGGGAGTGGTCTATAACCAGCTCAAAGCAAAACAAACAAAATTAACACTGCGTCAATAATTCGTGCAAACCGTGAAAAATATCTACCGAAGCATAAGGGACATATGATGGGAATAATCTTGAGCGCACATAAATTGAGCCGTTAAAATAAAGTCATTTGTGGCGGGACTCACAATCGCTGCGGTGAAACATGTGATGTCGGCGGGCGGTCTTGGTCATTTCTCAACCCTCAAAACGGTTCGTAAAACCAAGACAAGGTTAATTGGAGACACGCGTATGTTTGAGCCTGGCGCGTGCAATTGACTTTCCGCGTATGATCATCGTTACACAATGCGTCCACGGTGCCAGGAGCATTATGTCGCATTCCCTAATGGACATCGAATGTGTTCTATGCGGAGCACGGAATACGAGGGGAGCAATCAGGATGATATTTAATTGTAACGAGACTAATCCTGGCGTGTGAACTCTACCGGGCATTATCATGCTCTTTTGTGACTGGCTTCAATTGCGCCAAGCAATGACGGTCTGCCAAGGAGCCCCTGGATCAAATGAGGCATAGCAGCACAGGTCAAAGCCCACCAAACAAGGCCTGGCAGGCTGGGCCAAGTTTTGAGTAGGGTGAGTTGCGTGTCTATGACTCGTCTACTTGCGGCTTTATATAAAAGATGTTCCATACCGATGTTGTTTTGCTGTTGGATATTCTGGAGTGAGGAAGTCAGCGACCCCAAGGTTTGGGGATTCCTTGCAGCACCTTGTTTCACTGGTCGGGCAGCAGAATAAGGTAATATTTAAGCATACCAGGGGCTGGGCCAATCTCTGGTGGTGAAGGCTGTGCTGCGGTGGGGAAGGAGGGCAATTTGGCGCATTAAAGTTTAGCGCACCTCATTGTTAATAAGGGGAGCGCTACAGAGGGTGCTACAGAGGTACCTCTAAATACCCCCATTCTGGCACTACACAGCGAGTACTGCTCTACCTGGCAGGGCTTGCGCGGCCCTTGTGTCACTCCCATACCCAATCTCGGAGATCTTGGCCTTCTTTATTGTGATGGACCGTCAATTTGTCTCATCTCTGTATCCCCGACTTTGAGTGTCTGTTCCTGGAACCCTCATACAACTCTCGTCTTGACTCGTCTTCAATTCCATCAGGTTTGAGCACACTTTGCTCGCATGCGCTGTAAATCGAGGTACAGTAGCGCATAATTGGCGCCTTGCTTTTCTTTAAGCCTGCCATCAACAAATGTCAATTACGTGGCTATCCTCTCCCCCCTTCGCCAAGACTTGGCTACGAGCCTTGGCCGCCAATAAGTCATGATCCCATGTCCCAGCCGGCGTCTTGGCATCAGAGCCTCTGCTCTTTGTCCGCCATGCCGGGGCATTTGGATAACCGCCAAGAGCCCTCGTCACGGTGCTGGGACTGGTTGATACAAGCTGCACTGCCCCGTTGCCCAGAAGCTTGGCTCGTACCAAACCTGCGCTCTACCGTTCTGCCCCATTTCCATTTCCCCCTTTGCCTTTTCTTCCCCCTGTGATTTGTTGTTTTCGGTGTGTTGCCTTTTGGTGTTTGACGTTGAAAGATCCCCGGCTTCCGTCCCCTCCGTCCCACCTTTGATCTCCCATCATCCCCGATCAACATCTGCCCATGACTTTCTGGAGAGCTTCTTCCTAACTTCTGCATTCACTTTCTGCTCAAATTTTCGCATATTGAACACTCGTTTTCCTCTTTTGGACTTTCCTTTCCAGTTCCGTTTCGTCTGTCGGTTGAACTAGTTCAATTGTCGGATCCTCAGTTGTACTTGTTGACGCTCGCTTCACCAATTAAGCTACTCGACCGGCCTGTATTGCATATCACCATTGCTTACTCTACAACCATAAACTATAGAGAGTAGCTCTCTCAATTCGCGCGCTATGTTGTTTTCATCACCGACGGGCTTTATGGCCCAGGCCGCTCTTTTGGGAGGCCTTCTTGTTCAATCAGTCGATGCACAGGGTTACAAAATTGGAACAAAGGGTATGTGATATATGTCGCCAAGAGTGGGATGTTGAGACTGACAGTAACGCAGACGAGATCAAACAATCGGCCCGCTCACTTGCTTACGACCTTATGCTACAATATGACGGAAACCAGACTGGCATGATTCCCGGTATCTTGCCAGGTCCTCCAACAGAATACAAGGGCGACTACTACTGGTGGGAAGGAGGTGCTATGATGGGAACTTATATCGGTGCGTTTAAATCCGCTCCGTATTGATTGTGGGATGAAGGATTGGTCGACTAAACGAGAACAGATTATTGGAAACTCACCGGCGACTCAAGTTACAACAAGGTGGTGATGGAGGGCATGTTGCACCAGACCGGAGATGGCCGCGATTACATGCCGAGCAACCACAGTGCATCCCTCGGAAACGACGATCAAGGCTTTTGGGGGATGTCAGCCATGCTCGCCGCAGAGAACAAATTCCCCAACCCTCCCGAGGACCAAGCCCAATGGCTCGCGCTCGCACAGGCTGTATGGACGACACAGGCAAAGCCCGAGCGACACGACGACGAGTGCAACGGTGGAATGCGATGGCAGATTCCCTTCACCAACTCCGGATACGATTACAAGAACAGTGCGTTTACCAATAATTGAGTATGTTTTGTGTTTTTGAAGCTAACATTTTACAGCCATCGCCAACGGATGCTTCTTCAATCTCGGCGCTCGCCTTGCGCGATACACTGGAAACGAAACATATGCCAAATACGCCGAGGAGACTTGGGACTGGCTCTGGGCGGTCAACTACATCGATCATGAGCGCTGGCTGGTATACGATGGCGGACACGTCGGCAAGAACTGTACGGATATCAACAAGGCCACATTCTCCTACAATGCCGCCATTCTTCTCCAGGGCGCTGCCTTCATGTACAACTTTGTAAGTCCTCCCGCAGTCTTGGTGGGATATACATGCTTATACTTTACAGACCCAAGGAGAAACTAAGTGGCAAGGCCGAATCGAAAAGCTCCTCGACGCGACACTCAAGAACTTCTTCCCCAAGGATATCATGTACGAAGTCCCCTGCGAAGGCCGCAAGGGCGCCTGCTCGACCGACATGTTGTCCTTCAAGGGCTACGTGCACCGCTGGCTCGCCGTGGTCACCCAGGTCGCCCCATTTACCGCCCCCAAGATCCTGCCCGTCCTCGAGACATCTACCAAGGCCGCTGTCAAGCAATGCACAGGTGGCGAATCTGGTCGCGCATGCGGCTTCTACTGGAGCGGGGGCGTCTTTGTTGATGTGGCCGTTGACGAGACGAGTGGTGCAGGCGAGCAGATGAATGTGCTAGCAGCTGTGTCGAGTCTGCTGATCGGCGATGCGGAACCGCCTGCGACGAACAAGACGGGTGGTATCTCCAAGGGCGACCCCAACGCCGGAAAGGACTCGCATGATATACCGGAGCCGGAGCCCATCACCACGGCGGATAAAGCGGGAGCTGGTATTCTCACTTTCCTCGTCCTGGCTGGTGGCATCGCAACCTTTGTGTGGATGTGTGCTTTTGACTGAGATGGCTCCTTACGGCCTTGGCGTTAGTTCTGGTATACATAACTCGACTGGACTTGTGATGTCTGGCGAGGATTTTACTTGTAATTCTTTTTGTGCCGGAGAATGGAGTTTTGACAGAAACATGTCAATTGATGTCCAAAGGACTTATTGTACAGAATTTGGTGTACTCCGATCTATATGGGGAGGTACCCGCATGTGAGAAGATTCTGATGGATTTATATATAAGAATAACTGATCACCTAAATTTACATGCTGTGCACTTGGATGATGTTTTGTGAAGTTCAATTCAGTAAAGAAAACTTGCCTGTGTAAATACTACTAAAAATGATGATGATGAAGGGCATTGACCAGGCGCCGTAGTGAGCGATTGTCTATTTCGCCAAACGACAATGCGTAGTTGATGCTTTTAAAAACAAAACTTAACTACACTACCGCCCAGCTGGAAAGACAAGGGCTTGACCGCGTTGCTGTAACTTGAGGTAATGTCATCTTGACTCTTACGGTTTGCACACGTTCACTCCCATACTGGAGTTTGTGCAACAAGGAACCCAAACGCGCCGGAATACCGTTCCAGATGGGAACAAACGCATACGGGTTTCATCTAAACGTTGAATCCCGTAGAAAACATGCTGAATACGAGTCTGCCGTCTATTAGGAGCGGCGTGGAGGTGTCAAAACATTCGACGCGATTGAGGTCGATGCTATACAGGGTAAATGGAAGTTTCGGTCATTTTCACTGGACAATTCTGATAGCGACCACGCCGAGCTCTCGATAACAAAAGACAGGACCATAAGACGGTTATACAGGGCTGGTAAATATTATGGAGTATTTAAGAATCTTGGTCCCATCCAAACTGCAAAAAGATGTCATGCCGTGATCCTGATTGATCGATCAACACCCGGCCGAATGCGACAGGCATCTCGGCCGATCAAGCTACACTTAATTTACAGTTTCACTCACTTCACGTCACACTTGAGAGTCAATTACTGATGCTTGAAGATAAAATATCGTGGCCTTGCGAGGCCTGCATTACTTTAAATATGTACAGTATAGCGATATGTAGAGCTAATCACCAATCCTTTCATCCCCTGTGTAAAATATCCCGTCTTTCCAGACTTGCCAGCATAAAGAGTGAACTAAATCATCTATTTGGGGAGAGTGGCAGGAGCGTAAGACTGATCGGGCTTGACAATCTTGGCACCAGCGAGCTGCTTGTCGGTGTAAGCAGGCCAGATGATCTGGCGCTTGGAGTTGGAAACGACCGAGAGGGTGGTGAAGCCCTGGTCGGCGCCGAACTGGCCGCTCCAGCCAGAGGTGATGGTGAAGTCACCGCAGGTGGAGGGACCACCGGCCGCCTTCTTGGAGGCGCCGGGGCCCTTGACGTCGTAGCGGCACTCGAAGGGCTTGCCGTTGCCGGTGTCGATGCCGAACTTCCAGTTGCAGATGGAATCGTCGGAGCGGCAGTAGCGCTTGGCGTCGCGGATGGTCCACTGGGGGGATGAGGCCATCATGTTGACGGTCTCGGCGGCGGGAGCAGCAGAGACGCCGGTGGCGGCGAGGAAAGTGAAGACGGCGGCGGAGAACTTCATGGTGATGGTTTTGGTGTAAGTGGTTTATGAGAGTGGTGGTTTGTTTAGTGTGAAGAGATTGAGAGTCTTGTAGATGAGTGTGAGTGATGAGAATGAGAAGACAGTTACTTGACGAGAGGACGAGGCTGTTTATATAGACTTGTCAACATAGAGTGGACACAGCTGTGCTGTTGACTATGTCATAGAGCTCTATACATGGATGCAACTATTCTGACAAAAGCCCAGCCTCGACCACCCTCTAGTCTAAGCATTACACAGTCCCACCAGCAAGGACTATACCGTATACGTGCTATTACAGCTGTTGCAAAACCATAGCCTTGACTTTCGACCCTGTAGCCAGACCTCGTGTGTGAAAGTTAACACGAGGTGATCGACAAGCGGAGCTGGATCTCGTATTCCCATGAATATCCACCGCATCAGACGATCGATTATCATCAATCAGGCACTCAGTCCCCCGCAGGACGGGAGGCGTTTGCGGCGCAAACATGCATAAAATACAACCACATTCTTAATTAACTATAGCGGTATGCTCTTAAGTTACTAGAGTCTTTAGGCAATTATCACAGTCACGGAATCACAGTAGCTATTTCTCGTATCGTGCCTGTACGCGGTCCTCGCTCTATCGGGCTGGGTCTGCCGGGCTCAGTGCCAAGCCGAAGGAATCCCCGCAAAAGCTCGGCTCATTCGGGCACGACTGGAGAACGATGGGCAGGGGAATGTGATGGGACGAAAATAGCTGATAAGATAATTCTTCCGCTCAAGAGCTGGTATTTCCGATGTTCTGTATTCAGCATTCCGTAACATTCCATACAGTCAAAGTGGGGAGTATTGAACCCACTGACAGTCCTGGCATTATCTTGAATATCCTCACATCATGTCTCGCTCACAGTGTAAACTCGTATTTGACGCGAGGGGTAATGGTCACTAGTCCAAATCTCACGTTAACTGCATCTCACGATCCTTCACCGCAGGATTAGACAGACATAGACTTACAAAATCGAGGCCTGAATAGACTGTTCCGTGCCACGAAGCGGGAACAGCCCTTCTGGGCTGACATCAAAGATGCCCCAGCGGGGTTAGTGCCCGCTAAGAATAGACGTTGACTTAGACGATGGAACAGTTCTAGCGGTCTTCGGGGACTCCTTGCCTGCCCGTGCGTCAACATCAACAGCTCAACAATTCTCACAACATTCGAGCCAATTCTACGCTGGAAATGCAATCCTTACAGTGTCAAATCTCAATCGCACAACAACATCCTCGTTCTCTGATTACACATCGTCTAAGTGGAAACCGAGCATCCCCGAAAATCACTCTTGGTGGAGAAACCCACAGGATAGATAGATCTTGAAACCTCACCTCATTTCCCTCTCGTGTAGTTTGTTGATCAATGCTCTCCAGAGCCGATCATGCCCCTGCCAGCACCGTCGCGCATATCCCTTGCTCTCGTATCCTCAGACCTGCATCTCATTAACTGCCCGACGCCTGAGTAGTCTGATGCGCGCATGAAAATGTCCACAAGGTTCACTCGGCGGTCTTGGTATTTTCCCCGTTCGTGGTGCAGGGATCCCCCAAGCTTTCTCCATCAGGTAACCTCAGCGTATCTCACTTCACTGGATCAACATCAGCTTCGCCGACGATGACATCAAGCGCCGAACACGACGAATCATTGCTCTCAACGGAAGAAACGTGACATTGTCGCGATGCAAAGCTGAAAAGTGATATGCACTCCGATGAGGTATCGTGTGCGATAATTGAGGTCTTTGTCTGTTTGTGTATCTACACTACTTGGCTTCGTTACTACAGCGTGAACACATGATCATCGTCAAATCACAAGACTCGTCCTCCCTGACCGCTCCATCTTTTACATTCTGCTAATAGCTAGCTTACTCAACCCTTCTGGCCACCTGTGGGAACCTTGAAGAGCACAGCTCGGCCGTCGGGCCCTTGGCCAAGAGCCTTATCCACACGGAAGTATCCCTTGCGCTCTAGCTGGATAAAGTCGTTCTCCTTGAGATCGGAGATGCTGGCATCGACCAGGGCGTCGGTCTTGGTAGCAGTGACGTCGGCGAGGAAGTCGTCCAGGTTGTCGTCCTTGTCTAGTGTGTCCTTGGTGATGAGGTAGCCAAAGTCCCAGAGCTCGGCCTTGACCAAGTTCTCGGGGTCGGCTGCCAACCAGTGGACCTTCTTGCCGGTGGTCTTGAAGTCACCAGCAAGATGCAGCTCGAGGTTGAGATCCTTGATGGGCGAAGCAGACTTGTTCAGGCCTCGGACGATGGCGTTACCCCAGGACATCAGAGTGATCTCCTCGTTGTCGTCGAACGAAGCAACATCAGCCTGGTCAAGCAGGAGCTTAGGGCCGAAAGTGACTTGCTTGTTGCCGACATCAGGGTTCTTGACATGCTTGGGCCTCTCCTCCTTGTAAGACTTCTCAGGGCCTCCAGTGAGGGTGACAGTGACGGCGTCCTTCTCATCAATGGCCATGAATCGAGGCACAACAGGATCGAGCATTCGCTTGTTGATGGCCCAGATTGTTGTCCAGTCCATGGTCACGATATTTCGGCTGGGGCCTTGCTTCAACATGAACTCGCGGAGAGCGGGAACGGTCAGACCGCGGCGAAGGATACCACGGACGGTGGGCAGACGAGGGTCATCCCAGCCGCTGACACGTCCAGTGTCGACAACCTTGGTAAGCTTTCGCTTGGAAAGGAATGTTCGGATGAAGTTGATACGGGCAAACTCCCAAAGGTTGACCTTGCGGATTTTGAGGGTATCCATGAACCAGTGGTATTGCTCGTTACGGTCGGCGTACTCGGTCGTTCGGAGCGCGTGGGTGACACCCTCGAGACTGTCGACGACAGGGCAGGCATAGTCGTAGGTAGGGTAGATGTTCCAGTCCCAGCCGGTTCGGTGGTGAGGAGCAGGCTCAGCGCCCTTCCAGTTGGGGAATCGGTAGATGACGGGATCACGCATGGAACCGTTGCTTGAGTCGAATGCAATGCGAGCTCGGATACAGTGTTTTCGGCCCAGATCGGTGCCAGCCTTCATCTCTCGGAACATGGCCAAACTCTCCTCAGCAGGGCGATCACGTCGCTTGCTGGCAAGGCGGTTCTTGCGGTCGTCCTTCTGGATCTCGGGGTCGGTATCATCGGCGTAGGCGTTGCCGTCGAGTATCATCTGCTCGCACATCTCGTAGAGCTCCTTGAAATAGTCGCTGGTGTGGGTAACCTGAGCATACTTGATATCCATCAACTCGAGATCGTGGAGAATGGAGTCCTCGAACTCCTGCTTCTCCTTGGAGGGGTTTGTATCATCGAATCGGACGAGGAGCTTGCCGTTGCCATCGGGGGCAGTCTTGGCGAAGTAGTCGTTGAGGAGAGCGGCCTTGGCGTGACCAATGTGAAGGTAACCACTTGTGAAGTCAGTAAAGTCACGCGATGCGGGTATTCTGGCAGAGCTTACCTGGGCTCAGGAGGGAATCGGGTTACGACACCGTTCTCGACGTTGGAGAGGCCAATGTTGTAGTTGGCACCACCGGCGCGCTTCTCCTTTCCAGCGTTGAGCTTCTCGTTGAGCTCAGGGTGAGCATCCTCAATGAACTTGAACCATCGGGTAACGTTGGCGTAGGTGCCCTTTCGGACAAGGCCAATGGCGACCTTGCTAGTGCGGAGAGCAGTCCAGACCTTCTCGTCTGCCTCTCCCAGACTGTAGCCTCCGAGGTAGGTTCGGAGAGTGAGGTGCTTGTCGAGGTCAGCGATCACGGGTCCCGCGGTCTTGAAGTCGGCTGTGGCAAGCACTGGAGCCGCGCTCTCGGCGTCGAAGCTCATGATGGCGGGGTTGTAGAGGAGGGAAGGTATCGGATGGTAAGAGGCTCTCTATGTCGATCGTGTCTCGGATCGTGTATTGAATCGCTGTATCCGTTTTCCACGTCTCTCGTCTTCGTTCTCGATGTTGTCCTCGTCTATGCAGGACCGAAGTGGGAAGCGTCTGGTAGAAGTAGGTTCCGATTGACCATACAGGATTTTGGAGGGGTCAAAGATTTTGGCGGGGTGAACCTGATGACTCAAGTAGCACGTGACCTTTGTGGTGTGATAGAATTGCTAACATTCCACGATATCACCACCGTCAATGCGCCGGTTCCTTGTAAGGAGTTAGAGTACTTCAAAAATGTAATGTTTAAACGTCACAGTAAAGTATTTCTTTAATCTAAGAATCAGCCCAATTTCAGGGGCATACTTGCAGTCGGTCAACGCCATCGCCTTACTGTCACCCCACCTAAACCGAGGCCGGAGCCCTACCATTAGTATGACCGCAATAATGTTGGCCTACGGCACCTAAACTCGAACAATATTCACCTTGGAACCACGCCGTAACCGCAGAGCATTCATGGGCCGGTAAAAAAAGAACCTTTACGAATTGGGTCCTGAAATTGCTCACCGCCGATTTTATAAATGATAACTCACGATTCGCTCGTCGAGGCCTCGGATCGCAGTACACAGTAAATCCGTATGTATCAATGATAGACATAGCATAGGGAAAATGTTAAATATAGCTCGGAGACTAATCTTTAGCAAGTGGATCCTGTGTAGCCATAAGGCTAGACTTTTTGCACTTCCCTGGACGTATCTGAGTTTGTACAGAATGCTGATACAGGTCGGCTTTGGTGCTTTATGGTAAACTATAGAATTTCAAAAGATGTGAGAATTGCCAGAGTTGACTGGTTGTCCATGATCTCGCTCTGTGTAGTCTATACAAACATTTGATCTATCATCACTAGTCCAGATGATCTAAGTTGATTCGCCTGGCGCACAATCGCATACACGATCAGCATATAACCAACTCGTGATTCCGTGAACTCCATTCCCAGCTTACAGGTTGAATTCGAAGTTATGTATAAGCATGGACCTGACTACATATAGCTCAATAACAGGTTGGCGACCCATTGAGAGGGTCTCTAAGGTAAATGGCATGGCCAATGTTGAGGTAAATTCTTGTTGTTAATTCTAGCTATGGATTGCCTAGCTCGAAGGACAAGTGCAAAGTACAGAAAGGTTAGTTGAGAAATATGTTTGAGGCAAGATGTTTATTGAGTGGGATTTATCCTGGCTGAGCACATTCAGTTGCATACTCGCTGGAGGACTTGGTGCATATCTGGCATGAAAATAATTTGTTTAAGGATTTATTTCATGGCCATCTTTGGAACCTTGAAAATAAATGATCGCGACTTGTACAATTCCCATCATGAATATATTGATTTGAAAATTGGGGATGATCGCCAATTATATTGCCAAGGTTTGTTCCGAAACTCGGCCCATGAGTCACCAAGATACTATGTAATTAGTTTTTTTGCGACGATCCGACGGCGCTACAGTTGAAATTACCACCCTTGCATTACGCACACTTTTAGGTAGTGCCGATGATCTCTATGAGTCACAAAATGGCAATACATAAAAGTTTCCCATCACACCACCATATTCGTAGTCTAGTCAAGCAAAGTACAGAATACCAATCAGCAACCAAAAACCAACACATAGACCGAAAACTGTATAGCTTAATGCTAGGGCAGATACAATGCAGTCAGCCAACAACCCCATCTCCCACCACACCAGCCACACCATGGGCCAAGGTGCTGCTAGTAGCAACAGCGGCGACAATCGCAGCGGAGGCAATTGCTTGGATCACCATACGAACCATTCAATTGGCGCCGCCAGCAGTGACTTGGTGGCCCTTGGGGGGGATGGGGTTGTTGAAGTCTCGGATGGAGAGACTGGTAAGGAATTCCCTGTCTCCATTGTAACTTGACTAACTAGATTGCCCACAGGAGACGATCAAGGCTGTGTTTTGGAAACCTCCGTAACGGGTCTTGATGTCAACGAATTACACCCAATTGCTCCAACCATCAGCAGTGAATCGGAGAACTCTGACTCTGCCAGCGATGGTCGCAGCTCGGGAGCAACATCTGTACGGTCCACTGGTAGTTTGAATAACTTCAGCATCATCGACACGACTCTGCGCGAGGGAGAGCAATTTGCAACGGCCTATTTTGACACTGCTACCAAGATCAAGATCGCGCAGGCCTTGGATGATATCGGAGTTGAATACGTGAGTTCCTAGATGATATGACGGTGAACTACAACTGACACATGCGCCAGATCGAATTGACTTCGCCTGCTTCGTCTATGCAGTCCAGGCTGGACTGTCAAGCTATCTGCAAGCTGGGTCTCAAGGCCAAGATTCTGTGCCATATTCGATGCAACATGGACGATGCTAGGATCGCCGTCGAAACAGGTGTCGATGGAATGTAAGTCAACCAATGTCTAATGTGATTGAATCATTTGATTAACACAAACCCCTGCAGCAACATGTGTATCGGCACTTCTACCCAGCTCATGAAGCATTCCCACGGAAAGGACCTGGACTGGATCGCCGCCAAGGCAAAGGAGGTCATTGAATTCACCCAAGCCCACGGCCTTGAGGTTCGTTTCTCCGGCGAGGACTCGTTCCGCTCCGACTTCAATGAGATTCTGAAGCTCTACTCGCTCATGGACCGTCTCGGGGCACACCGCGTAGGAATTGCTGACACCGTGGGTGGCGCAAGCTCTCGTGAGGTCTTTGAAAAGATCTACATGCTCAGACAGATGGTCAACTGTGATATCGAAACGCACTTCCACGATGATACTGGATGTGCTGTCGCCAACGCCTACACTGCGCTTGAAGCTGGAGCTACGCACATTGACACTACGGTTTTGGGAATTGGAGAGAGGAACGGCATTACGTCCTTGTCTAAACTCCTGCGGTGTATGCTTCAAATGAAGCACGAGTACGTCTCGGTCAAGTACAATCTTGATGAGCTTCCTGCTCTTGAGCAGCTGGTAGCTGAAGCAGTTGATATACAGATTCCCTGGAACAACCCTTCGCTCCGGGCATTCCTCTAGGTTTATCGAACCAGACAGTGGTTTTTAAAGCCTGGTAAAAAATAGCTAGCCTTATTCTATCACAGATTGGTAAATTTAGAGTGAGGATTATATTCAGCAAAATATCATGATCAAGTTCTAGTATCAAGTGCTTAGACTTTCTGACATATGTCCCTGTGCTATCTTAATTAATGGAATACTGAAGTGCTGGAATGGTTGACTAAGAGATCTATTATACTATCATACGAAAAAGAAGTAGCTAACTTATAGTACAAGAAACGAAATGATAACCAATCTTGAGATCAGATGAGCCTATAGAGACTGAGTTGATAGCTTGCCATATGCTAACCGTCTGTTGCTCCAGACTGGCAAGGTATCCCATGAGCCTCTACTCCTGCAATCCTCTGAATCCTTAGTTATGGCTGAAGCAGAGCTTCATGTAGCCCACAACAGTCTTGGCGATTAGCTTTTCCAAAACTGGTCCATCCACCGACCCAATCATTGGTTCAACAGTCTTCTTAGCTTCCTCTGGCAAGCCCAAGGCACTGATCAACTGAGGATAGTCGGTGAAAGAGCCGTGCTGGGTTCCCTTGATCAACTTCATATCCTTAGGGCCCTTCAAGTTGTTGTAGAACTTGTTCCACGTCTTGTCGCTTTCGGAGTGGCTGGGTCTTCCAATCAGATAGAAGGGCTTCTTGAGTCCTTTGCTGAGAGCTGGCTCGAACAGTTGACCGTCCAGGTTCATTCCACCTCGGATACGAGAGTCTTCGAGGACTGCGTTGGCTGCGCTGGCACCGCCCAGTGAATGGCCAAGGGCAACGATTTTGTTGGTGTCAACGCTGCCTGGAAATCCTTTGAACAATTTACGCTGGAATGAAGGGGTCTTGACCTGTGAGATGACGAAGGAAATATCCTTTGCCCGAACCTATATCGCAGTTAGTAACGGACGAGCTAAGATCTAAGAGGTCAATACATACCTGAGACAATTTATTAAGACTAGGGATATCCTCAGGGATATTGGCTGATTTAATGATCTTTCCATCCGGAAACTCGACAACGTCTTGGTCGTAAGGATGGTCGATGAGAACCACGACATTTCCGTGGCTCGCAAGCGAGCGTGCCATGGCGCTGTACAAAAGTCGGGAGTTACCAGCGCCAGGCGAGAAGATAGCAACAGGGTACTTTTTGTCTGATGCGCATCCAGACTTGGAGGTTTTGGGAGTGCAGACCTCGAATTCAAATGCCTTGAAGGTATCGTTTGAGAGACCTAGGGCCTGTGCGTGTTGTCCATAGTATGCAGCCGTAGCAGGTGGCATGTAAGGGATGATTTTCTTGGAGCAGGAGTCTTTATCAACTGGCCAGAAGACAGAGGTGAGGACTTGTCTATGGCCCTTCTTGGGGTCATATGGATCGATGCGATGATCGTCGGTCATGCCTTGGACGCGGAGAGCAACACCGTATGGGCCGCTGGAGTTGGGGACTAAGAGAGCGTCGCCAAGCCCGAACAAGGGGATGAGGAGAGGAAGAAGACGCATGGTGAAGATGGTGAAGTGAAGAGTTGAATGTGAGATTGTTGGCTGCGAGAGGGTAAGATTGTTCAGTTTGGTTGAAAGCTGTTTCTTGGACTGATAGTTAAGAATATGATATTTTGAGCGGAAACAAGTGAATACTTATAACTGTAGAAGATAACATTATTCCAGAAGGCCAAGGCTTGGTCGTCTCTGGATAGTCCCGAGCGGAGAATTGAGGAACAATTCCATCCTTGACAGAGGCGTAATGCAGCTTCATCTCTCCTTGCAGATCTTTCACAATCGCTTAACATGAACTGCCGCCCCAACCTTACTCTATTCAGTTAAGTTCGTGCGAATTGACACTCATTTAAACTTCAATCTAGAAAAGAAGAAGAACACACGCAACAGGGTCCGATTTGCTGACGAAGCTGGACTTCAGCTCGTCCCAAAGCTAGTAGAATGATTGGCTACGAACTACGTCACGACAGTAGCGTCGCCCAAACACTTCCCAAAAGGGTATCGCGATATTCCCCATGTTCATCTCGCTCTAATTAAACTCTTTCCGGCATAAGCTATAAACCCCAGCCTCTGCCATGAACCTGAGCTGAGCTTGTCATCGCAACGACGAGGAAGTTTGTGAAAATGCCGGTTGGACCATTTGACGGGCGGAAGAAACGATCGCGGTGCCTTGCATGTGCCGCAAGCCACCTCAAGGTGCGTCATCTCCAGTGTCACCCTGCTCTGCATATCTAACCCTCGCCAAGTGTTCTGGAAGCTTTCCCTGCAGTAACTGTCAGAGACGGCGGATTGACTGCGTGTTCCATGGCAAGGCGCCCAATCAGATCCGGTTTGTTACAGCTTCTGGTGAAAAGATCGCTGCTCCCGTAACCCAGGGTAGTCCCTGTCAAGGCCAGATTCTTAAGCCTCCAAAACTTGCTATCAGTCTCTCGGTCGACCAGGTCTATTATCTTTCGCAATATTTCGACACGTTCCTCCAGCGAAACAATTTCAATCCCAGGACTGATGCATTTACCGATGTGGTGGGTCTGATGAAAGACCAAGGTCAAGAGACATTCCTCCACGACGCTGTCCTTTCTCTTGGTGCGATGCAGGCCGTAAAATTGCACTCGTTTGAAGGTGTTACTCCAAGTGAGAGTTACAGGCTAGCTTTATACCACTATTCAAGGTCTGTGTTGAGTTTACGACATGCTCTTGATAAGTTTGATCAGTTGCCCGGCGTGCGTCATCAAATTCTATGGACAACTCATTTCTTGGGTCTGTTTGAGGTACTTGACATCTCCATGTTATTTAGATACTATTAGTGTGCTAACTCTTCCAAGCTCATGAACGACTCAACAGGTCAAGGTTGGATACAACACATGGTCCATGGTACTTCAAAGGCACTTGTTGCAGCCGGGCCTACAGCATGTTACTCAGGTCTTGACCAGCGGTTCTTCACTGAGATCAGGATATTCGAAGTCTGCCGCGCCATAATATTCAATGAACCAACATTTCTCGCGCAGGAAGAGTGGAGGAAATTAGTGCAGAGAATGAAAGAATCAAAAGGCAAGGATGGGGCACACTCTCTTGATGACCTGCTGGATATCATTGTGCTCTGCTCAACCCTCCGAGTTCGGTAAGTTATATATAGCTCTCACTCTTCTAATGCTCATTATTCTTCCTTCAGGACAGAGACTTTTATCTACTCAGACGAAGAAGACTCCGAACAGTCCGAAAAGCGTCTTGATGAAGCTTTTAATATCGCACAAGAAGGCTTCCTTCTCAAACAAGCCCTAGTCGACTGGGAAACAAGCGCAATATCATCTCACTCTCCAGCCAAGGACGATGAGAATACAATATACGGCAGCTTTACTTCTCTGGCTAGGAGCTTTTTCTCAGCAACAAGCATCTACCTCTCCGGGGTGTTCGACTACGAAATAACGCATTGGCAGAAAATGGGTGTAATAGTCCCCAACCTAAGCGAAAAAGAGATTCAGATGCATGTTGCTACTATATTGATGCAAGCAGATAGAGTTCTCCATGGCTCGCCTGTTTCACCTGTTCTGGTGCTTTTCCCGTTACGAGTTGCTGGTGGGCGCTCTTGGGAAGGCTGGCAGCAAGACTTGGTCATGCAGCATCTCACTACGGTAGAACAAATGTTTCCCGTTGCAGCTGCTTTCAAGGATGATTTGAAGGATGTATGGTCTAGGCGAGGTTAGGTGGCAGGGATTTCGATAGTAGGGTGTAACGTTATGTATGGTGACGGGGTTCTAATAAAATACTTCGCAGTATTAGACATTGTTACACTTCTCGGATTTCGTTACGATGACCATGTCTTCAGAGGAGTCTGCCTGGAGTGGTTTATTTCCATTTCAATTGCGCACCAGATGCTGATCTCGGCAGCTGACCATACGAAAATATGCCGCACCGACAAGTCCTACGTGACTAACAGGATGTCATGAAGATTAGGCATCAATCTCACCAATGATACAGTTTTGGATTATGCATCATGTGATACAACCCAGCCGCAGGCAACACATCCACAAAGCTGTTGCTCTGACTTTGTCATGCGACTGGTAATAAAACCTCGCCTCATACGTTACACATACTTGCAAGACAAAAAGTTGGATTATGAGGCCCAGGGAGTGGCAACATATCTGCAAGATCTCTAAAAACAAGGCCCTACTGAATGCCTGTCCCAAACGCAATAGTAAAATCAGCCAAGCATTTTCCACCAAAGAAAAAAGCGCGATATAATTACATATGCATCAATTCCCTGTTGACCCCATTTCCTGGTCCGTCCCGACCCGCACGGGAAAGGGTCTTTGATACAGTTCAATGATCATCCCCCAGCTTTTTCTTTTGGTGGATCAGCAGACACGTCACACTCGCCCTCTAAATCTCTCAGCGTCCCTCGCGATGGAACCAATAAAGACGCTCCCCAGATTATTCGTGCATGAGATTATGCCTCAAGAGGCCTGTGACATGCCTGCAATGGCGTCATGCCGTCCTTCGGCCTGTTTTACCACTTAACTTACCCGCAGCTACTGCCTGACCTTTAGTCCAAGGGTCGTTTTCTTAAAAGGTTCCTGGTGCCTGGGCATTAGTTGTTGAGGTCCCTGATAATAGTAGCGTATTGTTTTTCAGATTGAAGATGCCGAAAAAGCCTCCTTCGTCGGGGCGATCGACGAAACCAAAGCCTCCGTCTACTGCTCCACGAAAACCTGTGACAACTGCTTCTGGTACATCTCAACCTCGTCCTCCACCTTCTCATGCACCCCCAGCACCTGCATATGGAGGACTACCGAAGCCTCCTCCGGGTGCTGAAGCTTCAGCGCAAAGGGCAAGATCCCATGAAGCTGCAAGTCGCCGACCACGATATCCCCCGACATCAAGCCCCAGGCACTCATACTATGAACGTCCAAGACGGAGAGACTCGGGTTACCGGTCTATTTCACCTCGTGCCCGACCACCCCCGCCAGCACCAGTGCAAAGAGTACTCAGGCGTCGTGTAACAAGAGATTCGGATTGGATGTCAGAGGATGAGAGTCGGCCTACGTCACGTCGAAGATCTCCAACCCCAACACGTGCTCACAAACCTGATCGTGATCGTCCACATGGACATGAGACACCATCCTGGCCATCTTCCCCAAAACCACCTGCCGGTGTACGTCCTCCGATGAGGTCGTATCCAACTGATAGCTCCCGTCCAAACCCGAGAAGATTCCACTCTTACGAAGCACCACTTTCACCCAGGCGTCCTCCTGGAGCTGGTAAACGATCTCCGCCTTCCGGCTATAGGCCGGCGGCTCATCTTGCTGCAGAGATGCTCAGAGGTCGACCCCAATCAAGGGGAGAATCGCCGCTAAGCAACCATGAAACTCATCAGCCGCTAGAAAGGGGAAGGAAGCCAGACACAGGTACTTCGAAGCCACAGCCTGTCAGGCCTCAAAGAAGGCAAGAGGATAAGCCAACTGAGACACCAAAAAGAGAGCAGCCTCAAAAGAAGGGTTTTGATTTCTTGAAACATCTCCCGCAGGCACTGGCCACCTACGCCGGTGTCGAAGCACTGGGCGAACATGCAGACACGGCCAAAGAATGGGCAGACTGGTTCATGGATATGCGAAAGACTCCTGAGGAGATCCACGAGGTTTCAGCCAAAGTGACAACAGCGAAGGATACCATTACTCAGATCCAGAATACTTTAGAAGCCCGACCAGATATAATCGAGGGAGATGACGCTCTCCCGATGAGGAAGCAGATTGACGAGTCTATCAAGAATGCCACAGCTGCCTTGGACAAGATGACAAAGTTGCTTCAGGAAATTAGCAGTGATGGCCTCGAGGGGACGGTGTTTGGGGGTCTGGAAGAGTTTTATAACTCGTACAAGTACAAGGACGAGTGGGAGAAGAAGATCAAACTAGCTGATGCCGATCTTGAAAAGCAGTTGGCATCTCTGAGTAAGCTCATGGTAAATATTTACTCGTAAGTTTCCAAACAAGAAGTATAGACTCTATACTGACTTATTTCTAGGCGCGCTCTTATGAAGCCTGCTCCCCCTGGCCTAGACAATCCAGTTCCGCCACCAGCTCCAGGGAAGTCGGCTGATTCACCTGATGCCCGGCGGCCGAGTACCACAAGCCACGGATCGAAGTCACGGGCAAGTCTGACAGGATTGGATCCTCCTCCAATCGGCAAGTTTAGGAAATCGGTTGATGGGGATGATATTGAGGCGGTGCATACTGAAGAACCTAAGCCCGAACCTGAGACTAAGAAGGATAAGAAGGCAGAAGAGGATCCAAGCACACATGTCAAGGAGCAGGAGGAAGACAATAGGGCAGATGCGGAGGAGAGTGCTCCAACGGAAACTTCTAAAGGGGTGAAACCCAAGCTGGACGAGGACTCAGCTGAAGTGCCACCACCATCAACTACAGCTGGACCCGAACAGACAAAAGAGGAGGAGACGCCTAAGAAAGACGAGCCTACTGGTATCAAGCCCGCACAATCAACTCCAATAGAGGTCAAACCCCCAACACAACCCCAGCCAATCCGAGATCCTGGAGATCTTCTCCTCGACGCCGCGTGGAACGGAGACACCCAAGCTTGCAGCGACGCCCTCCGCGCCGCATCTCCCTCAACGCGCGACCAACAAGGTCTAACACCTCTTCATCTCGCCGCCGAACGCGACCATCTCGCTATAGCAATGCTCCTCCTCGACCACAAAGCCCCCATCAACGCACGCGCCAACGGCGGCCGCACACCACTGCACCTCGCCGCGCGCTACGGCTCAGCCGCGTTGGTAGAGTATCTCGTCGACGACGGACGCGCAGATGTGAATGCGCGCACGGTAGATGGACGCACACCGCTGCACTATGCGGCGGGCGTGGCGGAGGATGGCGATGAGGAGAGGAGGGAGGTGGTCAGAGTGCTGAGGGATTGGAAGGCTGATCCGACGGTGGAGGATAATAAGGGGAGGACGCCGAGGGATGTTGCGCAGAAGAAGGACTTTTGGGATGTTTCGTCAACATTGAGACGTGCGGAGAAGAGGTGGGAGGAGGAGCATCATCAAAATTGGTTTCAGAGACATGGACTTAAACGATGAGTGGATGGTTGGGCATAGCGAGGCGTATTCTGTTTATTTCTAGCCTGTGATTGTTTTCTATTGGCTTTGCACCTTTCAAGTCATTAATCGATGTGTATCATGACGAGTACGTAACAAGTAATACGGGTTGTAATGTTATTATGGTGCGCATAGGTTATATCAAATTGCAAGCACTACTCCATAGAATTCCCACGTGGGACCTGCGTTCGGCGCAAGGGAAGTGCCGCTAGCTCCGCAACCGGGGCCACCGTCTAAATACCGGACAGTCCGATTGCGGAGTCCCGGACACGGAGTACGACCTCCGTCATCAAGCATATAACAGCATCAAGAGACAAGTTCCCTTCTACAATTATCCTATCCTTCCCTTCCCAATACCAAGAAGATGTCCCAGAATCAAGAGTATAGCGAAGCTTTCAACAAGGGCCTCAAAGTCCGTGGAGAGGTTCTGGGCGAAGAATACGTCTCCAAAGCAGTTGCCAGCTTGGATAATGAATACTGGAAGCCAGCCCAGGAACTCATCACAGAATATGCCTGGGGCAACGTGTGGACTCGTCCCGGTCTTGATAGGAAACAGAGGAGTCTGCTGAGTGAGTGGAATTTCAATCGCGCAAATGCTATCTAACAGATTCATAGCTTTGGCCTTTTTGACGGCGCAAAAGGCGTGGCCAGAGTTAACTCTCCATACCAAGGGGGCACTGCGAAATGGATTGACGGAGATTGAAATCAGGGAAGCCATTTTGCAGTCTATGATTTATCTTGGAGCTCCTGTTGGGCTGGAAGCTATGAGGGTCACTGAGAAGGCTATACTCCAGTTCAAGGCGGAGACAGGTGGAGAGACGAGTGAAGCCAGTGGTTCGAAAGGCAGGGCTGACGAATAAAAGGCCTCCAATGAGCTATGAAGGAAATCATATCAGTTAATCCATATATCTTGATATGTATCAATCAAACGATGACTTCCCTTTCTCCTTGCGGGTCAAAGGAACAATAGCACGTGTTTTGCCCCCACTGCATCACCTTATTTACCCCTCCTCGTACATCACCAGCTCACTCATATCGTACACTCCCAATATCAAATAACCTCTCCAATGGCCTCCAAACTTAAAAACGTTACGGAATTCTCATATGTTGTCGCCAATGAGGGCGTCAACGTCTTTGATGAATCTTCAGCTGCGGGCAAGACTTATCAGAATGTAATCGACACCGTGTTGAGACAGCCTGGTGCTCGTCGTGTCTACACTGGTGTTGAGATTGAGGATCCATCGAAAGTTTGGCTTTTTCTCGACTGGGAAAGCCTCGAGGATCATGAGAACTATCCCAAGACCGCGTGAGTCTCTTCGTTGTTTATTTGGTGCAAGACTGACATTTGCAGTGAACATGGCCCTATTATCGAATCACTCAAGCCGCTGGTTGATTTCACAAAACACACCAACAAACACGTCACCCTAACGCCCTTCCCCCCAGAGGATGTGCTCAACAAAGAGCGCTCCCCCGTAACCGAAGTCCTCCTGGCCTTCTTCCCGGGAGACTACGACGTCGCCTCCCGCGCAACTGCAACCAGACGTCTCGAGGAGTTCGCAGGCCGAGCGCTCAAGACCTCACGCGACTGGCGCGGCATCAGCTACGGCTGGAGTGTCGAGAACGACGTGCCCATCCGAGGCGACGAGGCTAACTCGGGTGCTATGCTTGCTGCGTTTATTGGCTGGCCTAGTATCGAGGCTCATCAGAAGTTTCGCGAGACGGATGATTTTAAGGATAATATTGGGTTGTTGAGGGAGATTCCTGGGCTGGTCAAGTTGAGTGCGTTTCATGTGAGTTGTGTGAGTCAGGAGGCTGAGGGGGTTGCGGAGCGTGATGCGCATAATCATGATCACGAACATGGACATGATGGATGTTGTTGATCTATGCAGATGCTTTAATAGTTTAGTCGCAATGTAATCATATTGCCTTCTCAGTATCTGTCTGTCTGGAGTTTTCCGGCATTTGCACAAAGGCTTTGTGGTGAAGAACTAAGATTAGCACTCCCTCACCCATTTGAGTGATCGAGGCTTAATTTATCTAAAACTAACGTAGAATAATCCGTATACTCATTATTCAATTGAAATCATTCCTTGTTGCTTAAACCCTTATAAGAGTCTTCACTTGTATATGCCAGATATATCATATTCATCTGACATTACTCGATGACAAAGTCTCCTCCTTCTGTGAATTCATTGTGCATGCTGAGCTCCTCAAACTGCGCAGCCAAATCTTTAATGTGACCACCACCAGGCTTTGTAGCCTCTAAATCAAAGTCCAGCACAAAACTCCCAAACACGCCGTCCTTGGGGTTTTGCTTCGGGGCTTCGAGCGCACGCATCAGCCTCTTCGCTTCAGCAGCTGACATGGTCCCGTCCCGCATTGCCATAGCAAGGAGGCCCTTTCCCATTGGTTCGCAGACAGGGAAGCAGGCGCCTAGGTCTTGACAGGCTGCCAGACATACGAGGAAGTAGAAGTGCCGACTTTGATCCTCCGTGCTAACGCGGTGAGCGTATTTCCTTTTGAGGCTTTCTGCCTGGGCTGTTTGCTTTCGGACTGCTGCATCGCGGATTATCGTGTTGCTCACGTGGACTACTGCGGAACTGAGAACGCTAATCGTGTGGGCGTAGGGATGGTGCAGTCGACTGATAAGTATTAGACGCTGGAGCTGATTTATAGATGATCTCAAGACAGCTTTGGGGGCCTGCATGGAAGCAGAGGCCTGTGAGTTGCTGAGATCCATAATAAATGGATGAAAGATATGTGTTATGGCAACATGAAGTAGAATACTGTTCCCGTGTCAGCCTAGGTACAGGTTCAGATCAAGAGTCTCAGCTTACTTAAACGCTAAAACATGATCAGGCATAGACACCGGATTGATGGAGGACATCTCGGGCGGTAGAGAGTCTGTTAAAGAAAGAATCTTGGAATACTTGGCCTCGACAAACGCCAGAGGAATCCTCATGGAAGCTTCGTCTCCATCTCCCTGCTGGGAGAAGTAAACAGCCACAACCTCCTGCATTATGGTCCAGAGTTCACATAGCGCTTGGAACGTTTTGCCTGCATAGTCAGGTATGAAGTGTCGAGGCCAGTGAACTGCTAACCTTTCGTCTATCGTATCCTCGTTGTTTCTGCCGGGCACTGGAAACATTGGTGGGAACGCTATTGGCTTGGTTGGCACCCAGAACGAGTTGAGTCTGAGGTCTTAGCGAGGTTCAGTAGCGAAGGGCATGGATTAGTGTACTTACGTGAGGTAGCTGTATGCACCCCAGGCTGTATGAGCCATTGCTCTCTTGGTATCTGGATCCAAGCTGTCGAACGATGCAGCGTTGTCTGGGGTATGCTGCACGCCGAAAAGCTTCATTCGCTCCGCCATTGCACGACCCTCATTGAGAAGATCATTGCTATCAACGCTAGACCTCTCGAGATGGCAACTAACACTCAGCATGAGAATAGCAGCTACATTGACAAGTGAGTCGGACGATCGCTCAGCTCGCCACAAAACACTGGCATCTCTCATAAAATCTTGACTCAAAGCGCTCACTGTTTCGTCGATCGCTGAGTACGCTTGCTGTACAGTGGATTGCGGTTAGCTAGTGGTCTGAAGATGACATCTTAAGATGTTAACGGGGGGCGGGTGGCAACTTACGCAAGCGTGGGCCAATAGGGCGTTCACTAGAAATGATGAGCAATACTGGTGTTTGCGGTGGATGAGGTGGTGTATAAAAAGGTCGGGATCGAAGAGTCCAAAAATGGGGTGATTACTCCGAAGGTAGTGCGAAATGGCATTCGCGGCGACATCATTTTCGATGGTTATGCCGGTCCAGTATCCAATCTGCAGCTGGTGTAACCTCTCGTCACAGTGTTGGTCATGGTGGTGGCCAACGGAGTCTCCCTCATGCTTGATGCTGGGTCGTTCAAAAGACTGGTTGCTTGGTGTAGCGCCAGATTGATCATTGCTGGATGAAGTCGACGGTGACATGGTGTCAGACGGCGAGGAGCCTTCCAGCAACAGTCCGTGAGATGGGCGTTGAACGGGCCGTAATCGCGGATCAGCGCTCAAGGAGGGGAGGTCTAGAGGGAATACAGTCGGATACGCCATGGGATGCCGCACAGTCAGCTCGAACTCGAGACTTGAGGACGTCGGCGGCGATATCGCCTGGGCAGTCCGCATACTAGAGGGCTGATGCCTCCCGTGCATGCTACCCCGGAGCGACGACAATGCATCGGACAGGCTGTTGGTGCTTCTCAGTTGGCGATGAGCTGCAAGTGCCTCTTCCTCGGGCAGCGACATCAACAGCTCGAGAACATCACGATGGTCCTTGAGATCCCTCTCTACGTTGGCCAGGTGGTCAACGCTGTAGACACAGGTTGTCCCCCATCTCTCGCACTTGGAGCAATTGGGCCTTTTACCGTCACACTACAGTACCGAAGCAGTGGGTCAGACGTTGAAGTGCAAAGTGCAATGGAGAATGCAGTGCAGTTTAAGAGGATAGGGGACAGAGGAGAGTAGAGCAACTTACACGGGCTTTTTTGATGCGACAGTTCTCGCAGGCGTTCGGTCTGTTCGCCCTTCTCCGCTTGGCCACCCGCCTATCTGGGTCCTGGCCTCCAGGATCACCAGAAGCATCTGGAGCAGGGAGAATAGTCTTGTACAGAGCGCTCATGACGTCTCTCTGGTCCATCTGGTCGGTGCTGTAAGCCTGTAAGGGGTGCCTTGCTCAACGAAGCTGGCGGCGCCTGTGTGGGTTCAGCAGCGATCAGCCCCGTCCAAGGGTCCAATTCCAAGTGTGCGTGTGTCCCCTTGGACGTGCTGCTACTGGTATTACGTTTCAGCAGTTGAGAGCGCCTCCGGGCGGTGACAGGCCCATGAGTTTCAGTAAGCACGAGGCCGCTAATTGGAGATATTCTCGATCGTGGAGTTGACAAGCCTCCCTGAGGATCGGATCGGGCAGAAACAGATTGAGATATTTGCGTGCTAAGACGTGATTCGTCTGACGGAGCTTGAGGCCCACTTCTGACATTACCCAGGCAGCCTCTTTCCGGTGCTTTACTGTTTTGAGTAAGTGTCAGGAACATCGGCTATGGCTCGGAAAGAAGGGTCGCTTAACAACCTGTGAAAAAATAAGATCATGTGCTTATGCTCAACTACAAAGACTATGATGCAGGCTCAAAGGTGCAAGATTTAAACAAGGACGCGAAAGGTACTCTGTTCAGGGATGTTTTACCCTCCTCTATCATCTCGTGACGCTCTTCTGACGTGATAAAACTCACCCTACCCTACATTCATCCCCTTTTTTGTCAAACACAACGTTATCGTTAGGAATATAAAGCCCACATCTCGATGGTATTTCGAAGTAAATTATTGTTAAGTGTAGAGCTCGAAACTTTGATGTTAATTGTTATGTGATGGTTGAACTACTTGAGTAGAATGTCAAGGACAGGTCTAGGTTGTCTTCCATTTAGAGGTATCGAATTTACACTGCAACTCCGTGAACAAGTGGTCATCGATTAACTCAAAAACATCATGGGGTGGAAGTAGAAGAACCTGACTCGTAAACTAGACTTCAACGTCTAGTAGTGACACATCTCAAATGTCATTTCACCTCATAGTGTACGATAGTGTTAAATCAATCTTGGCAGAGCCTGGTAGTCACTAGCTGCCATGGACATATGAATATTACTACGTGCTAAGACCTGTTCACCACGAACTTCACCGACAAGGTGTAGTTCCATACAGGAATCTCGGTCTTGTGACAATTTATCGTACAGAATTATCCCTAGCATGACGGTATCTCTAGCGCCATCGCCAAGGCCATATCTCGGGTCATCGGAAGGATCCAGGAACTAAACGCCGATTCAGGTACACACAACGTTGTCGTCAACAGTAACCATTTATTTGCCATTAATATCCGCTGCTTTAGGAAGCATATACCACGTATATATTTATATCGGACCCTAGACAACAAGAAGCGTAGTCAGGAACAGACTCCAATAGCCGCATCCAGCCAGCGGGGAACACCGCAAACAGCCACACCCATCCGCTTTCAGCACCTCAACACCATCTCCAAGAACCTCAACCGCATCATAATCCAGAAATGCTAGAGTCAATATATTAATAGTCCATAAAAATCCCAATGCGTACAGTCATGCGGGAGATCGATCACGGCCACGCGTCTCCCGAGACCAAACATCTACTCGACGTTTTCCTGTCTCATAAAACAATGACATTTTGTTTTACTCTCGCCAAACCCTCGGATTCCTTCACAGGCCATACACATTCATTATTCTGGCCTTCGTCTCACAGCAATGGTAGCACTTGAGCTGTACCATTACGACCCGTCCTTCATTCCCGCCATTGTCGCTCTGGGCTTGTTTTCTGCCTCGACGGTAGTGTGCTTGTTGCAGATTTTACGATGTAGAACTTGGTTCTTTATTCCGTTCCTTTTGGGATGTTCAGGTAGCTTTTATCGTCCTGTATATCATCCGATGAGAACAGTAGCTAATGTTCAATAGTTGAGGCGGTGGGATATGCTTGCCGTGCGGTATCAGCAAGAGACTCACCTCGCTGGACGGTTCCCTTTGCGACACAGACCTTTGCCTCTCTTCTGGGTCCTACTCTAATGACTGCGACTGTCTATATGATGCTCAGAAGGCTTATCGAAGCGCTAGATGCAGATGTCCACTCTTTAGTTCCGGCAAAGGTGCTTCCAAAGGCGTTTATCTTTGGGGACTTGCTCTCGCTTGCGGCACAATTGACAGGTAAGTCTGGAAGCATTTATCCATTTTCGAGTGCTCACTCAAGTAACCAGGTGCGAGTATATCTATAATGGCCAAGACAGTCAACAAGCAGCGAACAGGCCAACTCATTATTGTCGGTGGCCTTGCATTCCAACTGTACTTCTTTGGCTTTTTCACCTCCATCTTGCACATCGTCCACAGCCGTGTCCTTGACAATCCAACTCGCCAAAGCACAACGCTTACGATGCCCTGGAAGCGATGGATCATCGTTCTCTACGTAGCCTGTGGACTGATCATTGCTCGATTGATCTATCGTTTGATCGAGTACGGCACTGGCCCTACAGGCATTGTGCAAAAGACAGAGATCTACTTTTATGTATTCGATGCATGCTTCATCTTCATTGTCACCGCTCTGCTCAACATCTTCCACCCGAGAAGCTTAGCTACCGTTTCTAGAGAAGAGCTGAAGGACATTGAAACAGTGGTCGTCACACCGGTCAAATCCCTTTCTCAGTATCAGCTACCACAAACCCCCCCAAGATATCCTCAACCACCGCCTTATTTACCCTCGCACGCAAACCTCCGAAATCGCGCGCCTAGCTTTCATTATCCACAGTCTCCCTACAAAAGTCAATCTTTTATTCAGTATCCGCCCGCGCTGCATTACTATCAGCAGCGAAGGCCGCATACACTTGCGCACCACCGCCCGCGAACGAACAGAACTAACAGAAGCTTCAATCCGTCTTTGAGCTCTTCTTCTAGTGTTATTAGTATTTACAATCCCAAGACCGGGCAGTATGAACCTTTCCGAAGGTAGCGTCAGTGAGCTGCTATGTGGGATGGATTGGCAGATTGGACTGTATATGTACCACAAGATGGCTTCGGGGACGTGGCACGAGGGATTGACCATCTGAGCTCATACGTTTTCTTATGTTACAAATTTGTTAGACTATAGTGTTAGAGCAATTCAAGAAACAGAAGGGTATTCGACTCAAAACAGATCATTTATTTAATCGAGTTCTCATCCAATAATTAACAAAACCCGGTCCAGCGCTACCATCCACTTAGCACATCCAATCCGAGCTAACGATACAACCATTCAGTGCTATCAATCCCATTACGGATACCAAACTCCTAGAATCTTCTGCATCAAACTCTCTCTCACAATAGAATCGCCCGATGCATCTCCATTGGCGTCCGTGAACGTCGACACAAACGTCCTGCCCTGAAGACACCCTACATTCGACTGCCGAACCTCAAGTCCATCTCTGACAGCCGCAGCCATGATACAGTTCGTCTCGTTGAACTTAGCACCGAGATCGAATCCTGTTTCGAAGCCAAACACTGTCGCTTTTCCGTATAGGCGCGGCGTGGTGCCTGTTCCGACGATGTATACGTTGTACGCTTCGATGTCCGTGGCGCCGTTCCAACTGACGAAGCCCAGGATTGAATCTCCGTTCTTTTCGATCACCAACGCCGGCGACCAAGCCATGGGAGTACCCTTCCATTTATCCTTGAAGGCACGGTAGCTCGTGATGGAGTCATCGTAGCCAAAGCGTGCCTGCCAACGCAGATCATGGCCACCATCCGGTCCGTATTCGTGCACCACACCCCCAGCGCCCCAGCTCATAAACTGATTCCCGTTACTCAGATCCAATTGGTAGGTTCCGTACTCTGGAGAAACCTTTGCGCGATCAGGCGACAGTATGCGCAGTACCTCAGGCTTCTCATCCACGTTGGGCGGTAGCTTGAGCTTCAGAAGTAGGCCGCGCGAATTGGTCCTACCAGAATCTTCGGGGCTGTTGTGATTGTCGAACATGCTGATCATCATTCCCCGAGACGAGACATTGTGCGCACGAACATGATTCTGCCAACGGAACCGACCGTGGGGTGGCAGAGCTCCGAAATCTCCTCCCCTGGTATTTCCTCTCAGTTCCCAGAGGATCTGACCAGTAGATCGGGAGACGAGATAAACCGACCAGAAATTCCGGCTGCTGATCAAGAACGAATCGTGGTTGACCGCCTGGATCGAACTGAGATGGAAGAAGTCGTACGGACGACTTGGCCCTCCGTTACCGCTGGATGAGATGAGAGGAAGCATAGAGTCTTCGGGCCAGAAGTGGTCGAGCGCACTCCAGCTGAAGAGGACATCCTGCGTCTCGATATCGATCTCGAAGAACAACGAGTCAATGACGAAGCCATGTTCTAGACCTCCCATGGCCGTGAGGTTATACCCAGTGGTGTTATACGCCGTGACCAGGATAGTTCCCCTTGTCGTCAGCTCTTGCTCGTGGAAGTCAAGCATTCCTAGGAACTTCTGGCCGTAAAAGTTGGTAATAATAGCGTCGAGGTGGATGGTCGTCTTCTCATACTCGCTGTTCATTATGATAACCTCGCCGAATCCATAGGCCTGCTTTCTTGTGCCGCGCCATAACGTCAAGTACTGTTCGTTGTCGATGGTCTGTACGCGAAGACCCTCCGACTCGTATGGATCGTCATCGTGGGTATAGATCATCTCTGCGTTCTGCTTCATAATGAGGGAGGCGGCCTGCACAAGGCCCTTGTCCTCCCCAGTAGACTGAGGGGTGATAAAGATATAGCCCTCGGCGAGCTTTCCGCCGTTGGGGTTCCATTCGATATGAGGAGGTTTATGCGGCGAGCTTTTGAAACGGCGGTATGTGTAGGTTATTTCGTTCTTTGGCTTGACAACGTCAAAATTACTCCATGAGCGAAAGGTCTTGAAGCCTTTCTTGTCGATACTCGATTCGCCGGATGTCTCCCCCTTCGTCGCCTTGGCCGCTTTGGTAGCTTTGTCTTCTTTTCCTTTCGATAGTCCCACAGTTTTATCTTCTATCGTATCGCTCCCCGCGACTGTCGGCGGCGGCGGACTAATGTCGTCGGATTGAGGAAAAGAGAAATAATACCACCAGAACAAGATATTAACAGAAACGACCAGAAACACAAGTTTCCTGGCCCACGGCGAACCAGATATAACAACCATGATGACACAATGATATCACACAGCAGGAAGCAAAATGGAGAGCTCGAAAAGCGAGACAGACCCTGGCGAGGGTGGCATATAAGGCTGTTGGTAGCAAACGCAAGGGAGCGCGTGCTTGGTCCCGAGGGGCATCCTTTTTTGCAATATGCATTCTTTTTGGAATGAGCCCCTGTCTAAGTAAATTGAGACTCGCATTCCAAGAGGCTTGCGCTGGTTATTGGGACTGGTTGAAGGGCTGAGCCGAGAATCCTCCCTTGAAGACATCGCGGTGGTGATTGGTGATGTTTCAGCTTGTGGACGGTTGTGGAAATAAAGTTGAACATGAAAAGAAATGCGATATATCGCATATTTGTCTTTCCCTAGTTAGGTTACACAAGCAAATAGCATTATGTTCAAATCATCAAAGCCAGCTCAATTATTGGCGTGGATGGACATCTCTACGGCATGGCCTTGACGACTTTGATACTCAGATAGGGCCACCACAACGTATCAACAAAAGCCGAGGCTCAGCGTATAGATACCGGTGGTTCAATTTCAGTTCCTCCCTTCAGAATAAAGATAACACAGTTTAAGCCACGGCGCGGGCGGTTGGCAAGAAAGGGTCCAACAAACACGGAGTCTTCAATTACTGTCTCAACGACCAAAATTTGTTCTTGCCAATCAGCCACGTGTTGCAGAATCTCACCAATCGTGTCATACCAGAAAGCCCGGGCTTGCAGGGTACTTTTAAAGGGACATTCTGAATTCCTGTAGGTTTTGGACACCCTCCATACGTGCATGGGGTGCAATGCTTATCTTGAGTTGCTTTGTCGAAAGAAGTGATCATTGTCAATCCCAATGGTAGCATGTCGTCGCAGCGCATGAACAGAACACGTTTTTCGCAAATGACATGGTGGGTATACAAAATGCTGGAATCTTTTTACATATGGCCTCTGCGCTAGAATATGGGCCATCTCAACTTTTGCACTGCCATTGTACAACTAAATGCCCAAGGATGACAAGACATATGCTACGTGTCGAGCACTACGCTGACCTGTACCTTGCACCCACAATGCTAATATTTCACCCATCGGCTCAACCTCTTTCTGTCGCTTAAGGCAAGAGACGCTTGGGGGTACGAGGGTAGTATGCGGCGAGATGGACACTGGGCAGGGCCAGAGACCAAGCGACAATGCGGTCAAGACCAAAGCCACCACCACCATGAGCAGGCACACCAACCTGCTTAAAGACCGCCACGTACTCCTTAATTCCGTCACTCTTAGGGTCGATGCCCTTGGCGCGGATGCGCTCCTCGAGCTCAACGGGCTCGTGAACACGCTGGCCACCGGACAGCACTTCCTGTCCACGGATGAACATGTCAAAAGCGTTGGTAACACGGACGCCGTTTCCGACAGTGGTGCCAGCATCGTCGAGCTTGGCATAGAAAGGTCGGGCAGTCTCGGGGAACTTGTCAATGACGTAGAAGTCGGTATTGTACTTCTTGCGGACAACTTCGCCAAGGGCCTTCTCTTGGGGAGTGCTCATATCCTCGTCGTCGGTGACGTTGGCGAACTCGGAGGGTCCTTCCTCTCGGAGAAGCTTCTGTGCTTCGGCGAAGGTCAATCGGACCTCCTTGCCAGGCTCGGGAAGAAGGAGGGGTTCCGAATTGTAAACGGATCGGACGGTTTCGATCTCGGTCGCGCATCGCTCTGTATTGACAATCTAATTAGTATGTGCACAAAAGAAACCCTCTAGATTGACTGCAGGGTCCATGGCGGGGTTGTGAACTAACCGTGGATTCCACGAAGGATGGACAGTAGCACACCCTCAAGGGTGTCAAGGACCTCAGTGTAAGACTCCTTAATTTCCATCTCCAGATCGAGACCGGTGAACTCGGTCATGTGGCGGGGCGTGTTGGAGTTCTCAGCACGGAAAACAGGACCTGAGCTGAACACACGCTCTCTGCCTCCAGCAATTTCGAACTGCTTGTAGAATTGGGGTGATTGAGCGAGGAAAGCCTCCTCACCGAAGTACGGCAGACGGAAAACGTTACCACCACCCTCGGAGGCAGCACCGATAAGGCAGGGAGGTTCAAACTCCTTGAAGTTTCGGGGCTCGAGGTAGTTGCGGAAGAGTCGCTTGACTTCGATACGGATATCCTATGACACGTCGTGTTAGTAAGTGCGCATTCGTTTACCATCTTATCAACTTACGGCGATAGCCTGCTGGACAGGGGTACGCTTGTGCATAGCGATGTTGTCGAGATGGGTAAGCATGCTTGCAGATGGCACCGAAGACTCGGCGGGCTTAGCAGCCTTCTCAGCCTCAGCGTCTCCAGTCTTAGCACTCTCGTCGCTGAAGTTGACAATCGGCGCGTTGGCAGCCTCCAGGGTCATGCCGAGCACGGCGGGAGCAGGGGCGAGAACGAAGCACTTTGTAATGTGAAGCTCAAGTCCTGAAACTCTGCAGCTCTTGACGGGCTCGAGAGGCTGCTTCACCTTGGCCTCGACAACAACAAAACTCTCGGGGTTGATGTTGGTAATCCACTTCACCATACTGCGGCTGACAATGGGTTCCTGCTCAGAGGCCATAACGACACCCTGGATGTCCCAATTACCTCCCTTGCGGAGCTCGACAAAGCCCATCTTGGCACTCTGCACACGCGAGTTCTGGAGCCATCCACGAACGATAACGGTCTTTCCATTGTAGGATTCGTCGAGGGAGCGGATTTCGACTTCTTGAGCGTCTTGGCTGAAGTTGGAGGCAGTAACCTGCTTGTTTCCGTAGTTGTCCTTGGCGGGGTCATCCTCGAGGCTGAGTTTGGCGGCAGCTTGTTGGGCGGCGAGCTCAGCAGCGCGCTGAGCCTTGAGAGCCTCCTTCTTGGCCTTGGCCTCGGCCTTCTTGAGACCCTTCTTCGACGTGGGAGCAGCGTCGTCGGCCGCAGGGACCTGCGCTGGGGGGGCAGCTTCGTCGGACATATTGATTTTGTATTTGGTGGTTCGAATGATACAGGGAGGGGCAATGGAGGGGCAGCGATGAAGCAATGAGGGGCAGAGTCGAAGAATTTTAAGGTCGTTGCACCACGTGATGTGCGGGGAGTCAGACCGGCTGCGAAGGTCGGCGAAAGGTGACCTGAGCAGAGAAATGATATGATCGTCACGTTAACAGCTTCTAAGGTGGAAGATGGATGACTACGGTACATAATACTAGGTATTTACGTAGAGGTCCAGGCACTGCAATTGTTGACATGACAAGGTCGTGAGCATTCTGTCCTAGAGAGTCATTAGACTTCGAGGACGTAATTACCATAGAGCTTTAAATCTTTGATGAAAAGGTTGAGAGCTTCTACTTGTCGAGCTTTGAGTCAATGTTCGTTGAATTGCAAACAGTCGCGCGTTGCTTGTCCTCGTCGCGGACAGACCAAGTCGATTGCATCCATACAGTGGAATGATTAACCACGTTACTATACAAGACGGTATTCAGAAAGCTGACCTTCATCAAGGATATATCACCCAAATTGATTCAATTACTCCAATTGGCACCGGTGCTGGATTACATGAACCCGAACGAAAGCCGATCGCCGAAGTGGCATGCCAAGCGCCGCTGTATGGTATGTTGACATCAATGTGTTCACAATATACACGCCTAAAGGCTGCTCATGGAGCAGATGTCACACTAATCTCTACTATAGAATCCAAGATTAGTGTATTAATATGCCCAATGAGAATCTAAATACTTTAAAAACGAATAGATAGTCCATATCCTGTAGCACTCATCCTGATGACTGATACCACATAGAGGATCCACTTAGAGCAGCCAAGAACAAAATGGCTCTCCAACTCTCGATCACCCAATTGCACTCCTCAAGTTTAAATAACTCGTAAATGCAATCATCAAAATGTCTTCCAACGGAGCTGAACGCCTCAAGAACAGAAAGCCCATCAAGAAGCCCGTCCCGGCTTATCTCCCAGCACCCGGCTCCGCACTCACCGTCGATAAGGCCGTCTACACGGCTATCCGGGAGGCATCACGGGAGTTGATTGAGGAATTTACTCTCCCCATTCGGTCTGGAAAGGCATGGAAGGCTCCCGCGGGTTCAATTGTCAAAATTAGCACGCCTGAGGGTCCGCAAGTTGGTAAGGATACCTACATCGCTGTAGCCACGGGAGCGAGCAGTGCTACTTTGGGAATATCTCACTTACACGTCACCAGGCGACTTGAATATCTGGAACGCCCATAATCCCCGCGAGCGGTTCTGGGCTAGCCGAACCAAGCAGTTGCACGCCTCTCACGTCTCAACCTACGACCGACTCTGGTCCAACCTACCATACATGCGTCCTTTGGCTACCATCATCACAGACAGTCTGGACTGGTACGGCGAGGATGAGCACGGTGGCCGTGTGCACGATCTTCTAGGCACACGATGTGATCCCTACATCAACACTGTTCTCAGTGGCGGACAGTACAATTTCCAGTGCCACTCTAACCTAACCCGTGCAGTATTACCATTTGGGCTGAACGAGCAGGATGTCCACGATGTTATTAATATCTTTCAGGTTACTGGACTAGATGAGCAAGGCCGATATTTCATGAATCCGTGTCCTGCGGAGAAGGGTGATCATATTGAGTTTCTAGCTGAGCAGGATCTTTTGATGGCGCTGAGTAAGTCATAACACAGCGTAAGAGATACGTGGCTAACTTTCGCAGGCACATGCCCTGGTGGTGATCTTTCTCTTTGGGGTTTTGGTGAAGACAGTGAGGAGGAGATGATCAAGTGTTGCCGTCCTCTCAAGGTCGAGGTGTACCGTCTAAAGGACGAGGCTCTGCTGCAGAAGAATGGATGGAAGCCGGCTGAAGTGTCGGGCTATAGCGGACGTCACGGGCTGGACGTGCCCCTGGGTGAAGACAGACAGGAGAAGGCTTGAAAAGGATAGTAAAGTATAGTAAAGTATATGTCAATTTACCACCCTGATTTATCCTTCCTTGAAAGTTACATATCAATAAATCGCCATTTCCCCCATCACTGGATCTTCTCAGCCTTGGCCTCAGCACTAAGAACAGATTCATCACGGTGCTGCATCAATGCAATCACCGCACCTCCCGGTCCCGACAACAGAACACTCGTCAAAACACCCCGAGCAAGATTGGTTCTCTCCTCACCAGACTTAAGCTCAGGACGGACCTCCAACAGCTGATGAATTGCCCAGATAAGCGCTGCAACAGATCCAGTAGCAAAGTCGTAGATTAGGAAATTATGCATGGCTGCTGCAGCGCTGGACATGGGCTCATATGAGTGAGGTGCCGCGTCAGGAACAAACACCTTGTTCATGGTGAATGAATCTGCAAGACCATCTGGAAACAAGCCCGGAACCGCATTTGCAGCAATTAGTACCGCGTACGTAACCAGCTGGCCTACAACAGCGATGTTCCATGCGAAGCCATACGCGTGAGACAGTGCAGTCTTGTCAAGCACAACCTTGGGCTTGTTCGCATCCTGACCCACACTCAGTCGCTTAAGTAACCCTGTGAAGACGGACTGAAGGACGAAGATGTAGATGGGAGCCAGAGACCAGACAGCATTGGCCCATTGACGAACGTTGTGGTTAGAGAAGGGATAAGCCATGAAGATGCAAGGTACAATGTAGCCTAGAATAAACGACGGGAAGATAGTGTGCAGACTCAGAGATTCGCGCAAACGAACGCCCTCAGAGAACGTCGTTCTGGCAGTCCAGATGAGATGCACGACGAAAAACAGAGGTGCAATGAACCCGAAGCCAATCGACTGCACGGCCAAAGTCCAGACAATGCCACTAAACTTGTCAGTACAGATGAAGGATCTTAATAAGAAGACTCACTTCAGCACAAGAGGAGTCCATCCAGGAGCTCTTTGGCACTCAACCACAAAAACCACAAAGAGAGCGATGAGCTGTGCTCCAAAGCAAAACGTGAACAGCGACAGCTCCGGCCTCGAGCCATCTGTGACATTGGCCCAAATGACGTTTGAGAAGGCGAAAAAATCATCGAGCGGAGCAATTCCTACATATCGCTTGAGAATCAATCTGTTTGTGTCGGGGAGGAAGCGTGGCAGAGGGTCGGAAGTGATGCTGTTCACCATATCCATGTAGCCATTGCGGGAGAGTTGCAGAAGGAGCGCGTCCAGGCCAAAGATGGAGAGGATAGCAAGCACAACAATAGTCGGGATGCGACTGGAGAGATTCGGAGAGGATGCCATTGCGATGCAGATTGCGTATGTTTATGGTCGCCTTCTGTTGAAAATGGTGAAGGAGAGAGGAGAAGCTGGGTGAGATGGTTGACGAAGGTGTCAGAGGTGTAAGCTGAGCTTGCCTCCACTGTCCCACTGTCAGCAATCCTACAACGCTGTATTTTGATACTGTGGGTTTCTATCCCAGTTCTTGTAACCAGTCATTTAATGTGCATGTGTGAATAGACTGCATCGCGGCAAAAAACTGAAAATATAAATTGGTTCCGATGTTGAATGATTTCAATTAAACCTCAAAGTATTTTTTACCGTTATCGCCGAGTAATGTACGTTTTCGTTCATCAGAACCGTCCTATGCACACCAAACAGTACCAATTCCAGCATGTCCCTTTTAGTACAAGCAATATAAACCTAAACCAGTACCCCCATCCGTATCCTCATTCCATCGTCAATTTACGACTTGGTAACCCTCGATCTACCCCGAGTCCTGGTCAGGGGATCCTTGGTGGTAGCATTGGCCTTGGCCCGGCTCTTCGTGACCTTCTTAGCTGTCCCCTTCTTTGCTACAACCTTTGACGTGCCCTTCGATGTGCTCTTAGTGTCGATCTTATTCTTAATCTTCTCGAAGTATGCATCGATATGCTCTGGGGCTGCTGACTCCATGTCGTCTTGTGACTCCCAGGTCCATTCGCTCTTATCGTAGCCGACCCATTCCACAAACACCTGCTTCACGCCCTGGTGAGTTCGATGCTTTCGGATAGCAAAGACTTGATAAACACCAGGATCGCGGGGATTCATAGGTCGTCCGTCTTTCCGAGTGCGCCAGTATGCAAGGAGGGCTGGAAGGTTGTCTTCGTGGAAAATCTCTTCGGGTGTCCAGGTGCGCTCACCGTCTTGCCACTCGACACGAAGTTGGATCTTGTCGCCGTCCCATCGATGGTCCATGATGCGCTTAAAAACATGTTGTTTGCCATCGTCCTCTTCCTCATTCTCGCCATTCTGTTCTACTTCGTCCTGATCGACAACTTGCTCTTCCTGCTCCTGCTGTTGCTCTGGCTGTTCTTGCTGCGCTTCATCATTTTCAACCTGCTTTTGTTTGCTGTTGGTCTTCGCCGATGTCGCAGTTGCGTACGACGAAGAGTGCGAAGCGCGGCGCGATACCTGCGACAAACGACTTCTAGGCGTAGATCTGCTGGCTGCAACGGCAGGCGGTGTGTCGAAAGTGGGCGGTGGTGAAGATCCGAGTTCAGGAGACGCCTCCTTCCTAGAAGATCGTCTTCGCGATGCCATGAGTTCTTCAACGTCGCGCAAAACCGCTGCCGCCGAGAGTTTTGCAGCTGGCGACGATTGTGCGGAAGAGGTCGAAGTGCGCTTCGTTTTCTTTTCCGATGGTGGAGCCATCGTGATGGTACTTCGTCGGGTTCGACTGACGATGGAGATGTCGCCAGGAGTGGTGTCGTGCGCGGACGGTGCAGAAGAAACGTTACTCAGTCTAGAGCGCTGTTGTTATAAGAATAGAGTCAGCAGGCGGCAAACAAACACAAGGCAGTGACAACACAGCAGTGCGATTGCAGACGGGAGCGAGTATACGTACGGGACTGCGACCTTCCGGTTCCGTGTAGCGATCCAAGGCGCGTTTGTTAAGTCGCTGCCGTTCTCTTGGAGAGTATGTTTTCGATTTCGAGGCGGTAAGAGGCATCGTCGGGGGTGGTGGTCTCTCGGCCGGCTGTTTAAGCGGTGATGAGAGGAAGTTGAAAAGGGCGTTCATGGTAAGGAAAGCACGGGAAGCGAAGGGGTAGGAAGGAAGGAGGCGAGTAACAAACAAGGCAAAAATGACAAGCAGTAATCGAATTCGTTGTTGGAATGGAAATGGAAAGAAGACAACGGAAAGGGAGCGAGGGGTTCTGAAGCCTTGTCTTACGTTGAAGTGTTCGTCTAGTTTGATGTATTGTTTACTTTTCACGTTTGCATCTGTTTACACTCGCTCTTGCAAACAAGCCATGATGCGCTGGAGGGCGGGGACTTGACCATGAGCCGGGTGATAAATGGCAGAAATGGTCTAGCGCGTTAGAATTCTCCACTTTGCGTAAAAGCAGCATCACATCACACCTACAGAGCAATAACACCAATAAGACATTAAAAGTATTGGAGCCCTAACACTCAAGCATAGAAGAAAAAAGAGACAATAGTAGTTGCTTGGCCAAAAGATTTACATACTGAGATGTATTTGCTCTACCAATCGGCCTTCAGTGTCACCATATCAGCCAACCACAGCCGATCACACACATAAATAACATGGAAAAAGAAAGCTATCATTTCACATCGAGCAAAAGAAAGGGTCTGGCCGGGGATTGAACCCGGGACCTCTCGCAAGCAGTGCTGTAGGGTGTACCCTAAGCGAGAATCATACCACTAGACCACCAGACCGGCTCACTTCACGTGATGTTTCTTGATGGAGATGAGTTCACAAACAGACCCCAAGTACAAGACAACAACGAAGCGGAACGGTCATGACGGCCATTTATACCAGATGTAGGAGGCAGTAGAGCTTGAGATACTTGAAGGTAAACATCTAGAGGAAGCATAGTCATCTGGAGTGTGACAGCAGTTGAGAGTGGCTGGCGTTGCAAAGATAAAGTTGTCATTCGTCTCTCTGCAGGGTAGACGTTTATGCACTTGGATGCAATCGCGCATCAAGGTTGTCGCGGGAGTGAAAGTCTCAAACAATCGTTGTAGATGAACTTGAGCAAAATTAAGAACGGTGATATTTATAAGTTTGGCATCCGAGTTTGGTGTGACGAATCTCGGCCTTCAAACATATTGTGGATGATGGTGCATGTTTTGGCAATAAAGCAGACGAGAAGACGTGGTCAAGCGTGGGCACACCATGGACAACGCTAAACACGACATAAATATAGCATTGGTCGAAAGGAAAGAAGTAACAGAGAAGTTTGAGAAACGTCGTTTGGTTCCCTTAACAATTCATGATTTGAATGGTATTGAGAGCAGAAGAGAGCTTGGAGGCATCATCGAGTGTGCTTATTCATCATCACTCTTATGACACTAACAAACAATATTAGAAGTTTGACAGTGTCTTATAACGTATCGTAAGATAATAATGATAATAATGTATGAGCTCAATTAAGAAGGATAGAACCGACGGTCAATTCGTGGGGTCCACGTTAGTCAGGCATTCTATTCTTAAGCGCTGCGAGAGCAATTAGTGGAAGCTGTTCTGCTCTGACCGTTGATTGACCATCAAGGTTTGTCGATGGGAACGGTAATGCGCCATGCTCATTAGCCATCAAGTGCTCTAATAGCCAAAGTTAAGCTTAATCAAACGTCAAGGTTGAGAAAAGTGCCGTTCTAGAGTAATCTTAAGGCTTTCGATTTAACCCCAGCAAATGCATTTCTACAGTCAATGGCAAGACATCACCGCAATTCATGCCTTGATTGCTACTCAACCACCAACGAAATTCATTCATTAAGAAGTAACCTTCCGCATCCGGCCATTTCACAAGCCCACTGCACATCATCGCGGATCTCACAACCGGCACTTGGTTTTATAGCTGTCCCAAACCCCAGATTCTCCAGCGTGGACTAGATTATGTGGAAAATCGTACGATGTGTGGAGATGCAACCCGAAAGGGTGGTCACGTGACAGAACACTTTTGCTCGAAGTGTCGTGAAGAACAACCCAAATAAGCCGTTGGGAGTGAGATGTAATTTTAATTTATGGCTTATAAGAAGCGAAGACGTGTTCAAGTATATAGAGCTCTTAATGCAAGGAAGACACCCCGTCGTTGCGATCTGTTACAAGCATATCCTCCGACACCTTGAAGGCCCAGACCGTGATCTGGGGTGCGGTCGAGCCAAGCCGTGGTCCCTGTAACGGTTGCTTGTAGGGCTGGATGGCGAGAAATATCCCTGCATGTCAGGCACTTAGAAGGAACGCTACTGACATGTTTAAAAGGTGGACGTCTGCCCCTTCGTTTGTTAATTGAACTTCATGTTATCATGTACGTTCCAGTGGTGGTTGTGTTTAAGCTTATGCCTTCAGTCACTAGACAATCACACACACAGATCCAGTCATGACCAGTCTCACAGAGTTATGATCGGCTCAATCAATGACATGGTAAGTCAAAATCTCATTCTATATCTCAACGCCAGTCGCTCCCTAATTATTTGTTGTCAACAAGATTGTAAATCTTTTGGATATCGTGCAAAACCGACTCAAAGTCAATCTTAAGATCCTTGAGCAGACCGTCCTTGAAACCAAAGACCCACCCGTGAACGATGGGGTACTTGTTCTGGTGCCATGACTGCTGGACGTCGGCAGTCTTGATGACGTTGCGGCACTGCTCAATGACGTTGAGCTCGACCAAGCGGTCATACCGGGCGCTCTCGTCCTCAATGGCATCGAGCTCCTTCTCGTGCAAACGGTAGACGTCGCGGATGTTTCGCAGCCAAGGGTTCAGAAGGCCGAGGTCCTGGGGAGTCATGGCCGCCTTGACACCACCGCATCCGTAGTGACCGCAGACGATGATGTGCTTCACGCCGAGGTGCTTGACGGCGTAGTTGATGACGCCCATAGCGTTGAGGTCAGTGTTGCAGACGAGGTTGGCGATGTTGCGGTGGATAAATGCCTCGCCGGGCTCAAGACCGCAGATCTGCTCCGCGGGGATACGCGAGTCGGCGCATCCGATCCAGAGGTACTCGGGAGCCTGGCCAGCGGCGAGGTTCTTGAAGAAGTCGGGGTTGACCTTTGCCTTGTGCTCAGCCCACGAACGGTTGTTGTCGAAGAGCCGATCATGGCTCTGCTGGAGATACTTGGTGATGTCCTGCTCAGCCATTTCGCGCCACGAAGACTTTTGTGAGGTTGAGTATGAGTCTGAATCTGGGTCTGACGGGGGGGTTGAAGAAGATTTGAAGCGCGACTGGGTGAAGCAGGCAGAGATGGGACGAGAAGCAAGGGATGAGATGCGAGGCGAAAAAGAAGACAAAGAGGCCGAGAAGCGGAGAGATGAGGAACAGAGCCGAGAAGAAAACATTAGAGGCATCCACCGAAGGGGGTAGGGAGAGCAAAAGTGCAGGATTCAATGGTGCGATAAAATGGATTGCGGGTGTGTGACTGTGACGGTGGGACAAGAACCGCAGCAGCACCTGCAGTAGATCCCTTCTAAGCTTCTGTGGTTACACGTTGGGGTGGTTGTTTTGCAGCCTAAAACAAAATGTTACAGGTATAGCTTCGCTGGAAGTCCGGACGGAGACCCTGCAAATGCCGGAGTTTTAAAAGTTGTTGGAAAAACGATTGGGGATAACGACGCAATTTGTTGAGTTGACGAGTGGAGGAGCTTCCTTTTTTTCTTTTTGCTTCTTTCCTCTCTGTTTTCGATGCCTGTGCCTTGCTTTTGATCATTACCTTTAAGCTCAAATTGGTTGGTTGATCTCCGCCTTACATTGCGATTGGCGATAAGTGCTACCTACTTACCGATAAGTCTTTTTTTTTGACAAGAGCCGAGCCAGTATTTCGGACGACGAGCCCCGTTCATAGCCGTGATGCCAGTGGTAGTTTGGCGAGATATACCCGAACAGGTCCGTGAAAGGCCTCTGGAGTTTCGGTAATTGTATCAACTGCTCTTTTTCGCCTTGGAGGGTGCTCTACTTTCCGTGAGTATGGGCTGCTTGAGGTTGGTGTGCGGCGTAATCTGACGGCTAGACCTGGTTCCAACAGGCCCGGAACCCGGGCATATCGTCTCTTCTTTATCCCAATGGCCAATGGCTACTGCCGACCCCACGTTCATGCTCAACGGCATTGGATGGCTTTCAATCGTCATCGCAACCCGAATTGCCGGATCCCGGAGATACCTGGATCTTTCATCTAACCCCTCATCTACAGCAGACAAGCATCAACATCACCATCTGAGTCACAAGGCTCAAGGACACAAACAGGCTTGTTCCACGAGTTATATATGATCAAAGAGATAAATAACAACTGCAGACACTCAGGATAATCTGTCTGTTTTAAGAAATGTATTTCCACTCACCTCCAACCCAATCTCATATATAGGCGTGCACTGCACCAGTGAAGAACCCCCACCAACAGCTTTCGTTTCTTTTACTTCCAACCGCCGCAAAGAAGCGCACCAGATATAGGTAATAATACTATGTAGAATGGCTCAAATCTGAGCTCGTCTCTGACAAAAAGCACTATACCAGTCTTTATTCTCTTTACCCTCCACAGTCTCCCAAGCCTTATTGCAAGCCCAGGTCTTCTTCAGAAAAGACTCCATTATCGCTGTAAGCTCTTCGCATTTACACGCCTCGCGAGACTCAATCTCAGCGAGCTTTTGCTCATTCCCGGCATTGTCCAAATCCTTCTGTCGCTCTTCGCACACCTGCCACGCACACTCGAGCATTTGACCTGCCTTGCGCTTTCTGCTGAGGTTGTCGGTGAGACTGTCTTGGAGAGGGATCATGGTCTTGGTCTCAAACTCGGTTGAGATCACCTGGATGATATCTAGGTCTGTGATTCCAACCGGATTATCTTGGTAAGACACCGAAGGGAGCGTGGTAAGGTATCCGTTTAGCCAGTCTCTCTTCTTCTTAATGTCGCTTTCGATGGTCTCGCACTGTTGACCAAGAGAACGATGGTCCTTTTTCCTCTGCTCGTATTCCTTGTCACATATGTTCATCTCCTCTTCCATCCTTTTAGAGGCTTTTTCCTTCTCGGCAAATTCAGCGTACAACTTCTCCCGCTCCCGCTGAAGAGTATCAACGGCGGAAAGTCCAAGGTCTTGAAAGAAGTGAACAATCTCTGCCATCTTTTTCATGACATCGAGCGAAAGAGGGTTATCTTTTCCCACATTTTGGCGCTCGCTGCTAAGCTCAGCGCAAGGCTCGTCAGCGCAGCTGTTGGTTTGGTTTGCATCTATGTTGCAAATTGCCGCGGAGGTAGATGCGGATGAGGCGGCATTTATGGATGCTGCCTTGCGTTGACCATTCCGTGGATGTAGAACTCCCTTTGCTTTGTTGCAACTAGCTGATGTTGCAGTCTTGTTGGTGGTTTCAAGAGTGACACTTTTACGTGGCCTCTTGCGCTGAGTGAAAACAGGACTGGTGAAGGGCGTAGTCGCAGCAGTGCTGGGAGAAATACTCGAGAACGAGTTGTGCTGTCCACCGGAGCTATCCGATGGAGGGCTAACAAACAATGACGACTCTTTACTCCAAGAGGAGTTAGCGATAGGTGGGTGATGAGGCGACTGGTGTTCTTGCTGTCGCAGCTTGACCTTCAGGAGATCCTTTGGATCACCACCCCAAGAATTTGATTTGGTCGTCACCGAACCATAATGAGCGAACTCACGAGCCGCCATGATGGCATGAATACCACTCATGTTAGGGTTGCCTTGATCGACAGGACCTTTCTAAAGCATCAAGTATTAGCAAAAGGTAACAGGCGTCCGCATTATCAGTACTAACGGCCTCTATGAACCTGACTCCCATGTGTTTACCATAAGCACGTTCAACCCAGGAAGCAAGTTTCTTCCTGACTACTTCGGAGCGACCCGGTGCGCAGCCTGAGTCGTAGTACTGGACGTCTACTTGTTGCGGAACATGTTTTTCTTTGTTCACGTTTCGATAGAAGACATGAATAAGTGACCACCGGCCTTCATCCACGGTATCAAGGATCGGGAGGATAAAAGGCTTCTGTATACCAGAGAGATGGAGACTCTCTAGATGCGCTGCTGGCTGTATGCAAACACTATTAGGGAACTCGTCGCGGAACATACCCAGCATGAAGTTCATGTTTTCTAGGGTGAAGGCCTCGCCATTATCCAGCTGCCAGTTGCAACTCGCAATCATGCTGCTGGGCACTCTGTCATCAATACCCAAAGCCGCCTTTGCGGTGTTCTGGAGAGAAGTAGCTTGCTGTGGTGGTCGAGGTTTGACGAGAGTGCTCGAAGCAACATTGATGTTGTCGCCAGATAGTTGAGGATAAGATGATGGCATAGTTGCGATAGACAGGGCTTCAATGTAAGAAAGAGCAATGATTGTTGCGCGATCGATGTAGATAGAGGATGCTATGATGGAGAGGATATGAGTCCGTATATATAATCAAAGCAGACGCAGTAACTCCAGAGAGTGATGGAAAGTATTCATTTTGGGACCCTTCCCTCCTTCATGCTGAAGAGTAACAACGAACATAGTCACTCAGTAGTAGAGAAGTCTGGTATCTAGACAAAGAGTCCCACCTAACAAAGAGCGAAACGAGTACTTTCACCCGCCAACAGCGTGAGTCCCCGGTCCAGATTGACCAGTAACATGCTGTATCATTTAATTTGACCCATAGGCCATTTCAGTATTCGTGAAAAATGTAAGGAAAAATGTAAGGAAAATGTTACATTTGCGACAAGCCGACCGAAAATGGCCGCGAATACATACAAACATCCGATATTGGACCTGCGAAAGGATGAGTTTACACGCTAGATATGCGACCTATGTGAACTTGCTTAATAGTAAAACGTGAACTCATGTGTGAACTCATGTTGTGGGTAAAGAGATCAACGGAAACAGGTTAGATGGTAACAAGCTACAGGGATAGAAGCCAAAAAAGCCCTCCCCGTAACTCAGAGATTGATCGATTAAGGAACTCGACTGGGGTGATTTGTAGTTGAGCTGTTGGTTGGTTACCTGGTTACCTATTTGGGCAGCTTTGGACTGCCACACTGTTAGCATTTGTTGCAGAAGTCAGGTCTCCTGGTCTTGGCTGTTGGTTATGACTTGGATATTTGTTCTTTTGTTTTCTTCGTCATTTCACACAGCTGCCTTATTGCCCCGCTGCCCCTCACACCGCTTCGTCATAGGTTTTGCCATGAAAGGTAGGCTGGTGCAGTGAAAGCGAATAGTCGGATACTGTAAGATTTTGGCCTGGGAAGAGGTATTCACACAATTTCTTGATCCCTTGAGGCAATATCTCTTGCTCATTGCTTAATTACAGGCTTTGGGGCCAGAAAGGGCTCTCTTGGTATCAGTATTCCAGCCACAAATGGCTGATCATTTGCCACATATGTACATAGGTAGGTATCAACTCGCTTCTGGGCCATGGTCTGGTTGATGATAATATCTCTTTACAGCGGAGTATACCACCATAGTGCAAAAATGAAACCGAAATTGGCCCTTTCTGACACTTATGACCTCAGATAGTAGATCTGAGCGATCATGAAGCCTCGCGAGTGACATTCAGATATTGGATGACAAGAAGAAGAGCTGTGGTGCTAACGGATTCTGAGTCACATAGCCAAAAAAAGGTCATACTGTCAGTAGAAGCCATCAGTAGATCTTTGTGGATCTTTTCACAGCTTCTTTTTCACAACTTGCATCTTGGTGTTAAGAAGACAAGTAAGGACATTCCGGGGAACGGGGAAAGCCTCCGAGAGCTTAGCAGTTATTTGTGTTTAACAACCAACAGAGAACCCCCGTTGAGTTTATCCGTTTGAACTGTTGACCAAAGGACCAAAGGAAGACGTCAGCATCCAGCAGATTCCCAGTCTAATAGCTGGAAATTCCATTCCCATCATCCAAGAATCCTTCTCCAAGCTCAAAGACTATCCTCCTCAAACCTTACCATCTGCATCTGCATCTGCTTACCAATGTCCACCACGCTCAAACATCCATCGTAGAAAGTCCGACGAGCCGCGTGGACCATCGCGCCCGGCGCCCATTAGCGACATACCCCAGCTTATGAAAACCCACTAGCCAGGAACCTATTCGCTAAATCCGTCATTGCAAGCTGTAGCTCAAAACGAAACTCCGCTTATTCCATTATTAAGCAAATAAATCGATGATGCCCAACCCCGGCCATGAAACTGACCGCCGCCGACCGCCCGAAGTCTCCGAGGTCATGATAAATCTTACCTCCCTCCCTCAACATCCTTTCTTCTGGATTTCGACAGTCCGGAATTGAATGCGACGATAACAAACATCAGCATGCCTCAACAATCGGGGCCTTCGCCAGACATCCTGGCCTCTTCGTCTGACCAGCGTCTGGGCCACATCCTCTACGGTTCCATCCACGGACACAACAATGTCAGCACTCCCGAGCCCTCGAAGCCCACCAAGCCAGGCACGCGCGCCCTGGCTCCCGACCTACTACGTGGTTTGCTTATGCTCATCATGGCCATGGACCACATGGCTCTCGCCCTGAACACCTGGGAGCACGGCACCGGCCGAGAGACCGAGGCGGACGGTGTGATAATCAAGAGCTGGAATCGACCTGCTGCGTACTTCGTCCGTACGTTGACGCACCTCTGCGCGCCGGGCTTCACCATGCTCCTCGGCATGGGCGTTGTGTATCTCGGTCGCTCGCGGACGAAGCTTGGATGGTCGACGATGCGGATTGCAAAGTACTTCGCCGTGCGAACGCTTGTTTTAATACTGGTTAACTTCGTCCTCGGGTTGATTCTGTCAGTGGGAAAGCTCTGGTTTATGAACTTTGTGCTGTTTGCGCTGGCGATCGATTATCTGCTTGCTGGTTTTCTATGGCTAGCGATGGACTTCACAGAGCCACTGTTAGCGCGAGCTGTCACGAAAATGGTCCCTGAGAAGCGAGACAGCGAGAACGAGGCGCTGTTGGGTGGTCAGACACGAGAGGTGTCTGACCTTGGAGTTCGGGTGTCTTGGCATGCTCATAATGCGTTCCTTGCAGTACTAGGCTTGGTGACTATCTGGTGGAATATCTGGCTGTCACCCACCCACGGCCACTGCGAGGTTAAGGACCATACATCTTTCCAACTGAATACTATCTCTGCGGCTGGCAACAAGGGTCCTACCGACGGTCCCGCTGTGTCGCACAACCCGTGGTTCGGCATTTGGTTCTGGACCACCATTACAGAGCGCGTTATGTCTGCCTTCCCACCAATGGCTTGGGTCTCATTCGCCATTTTGGGTCTCTTGTACGGACGAATTGACACTTCTCGAACATGGGGTGCGCGCACTTCTTCGCTTTGCAACTTAGCCGCTGGACTTGGCTTTGTCATTCTCTTCGTGTTCACGCGAGTCTTCCAATTTGGCAATCTCTCTGATGGCTGTCTGCAGACACCTGAGCACATCAAGCATCCCGACAGCAACCAGTACCTCGTCTCGGTGCAGTCATTCTTTTACATTATGAAGTACCCTCCTGATGTCGCTTTCTGGGCTTTCACCATGGCCGGCAATCTCTTCCTCCTCGCCTTCTTTGGCGGCATCCCCACCAACATCGCCAAGCGCTTTACCATACTGCTCGACTTTGGCCGAGCGGCTCTGTTCTTCTACCTTTCTCACATGTTCCTGGTCTTTATTTTTGGAGCACTTATGGTCCGTTGGTTTGGTCATGACACTGGTAGAAATGGGCCGATGGGTTCTGATTCTACTCTTGGCATTGACAACGTTTTTGCCTACCTCGGCATTTGGGCCTTTGCTATGCTGTTGATTTGGCCCTTGGTGAGGTGGTACAGCCGCTTCAAGGCGACGAAGTCTGCTGACTCCATTTGGAGATTCTTCTAAAACCCACTTTGTTTGCGAAACCATCGCCGTCAGCTTTGAGCATCATAAATCTGTAAATGATAGGAAATGAAAATAAATTACCACACTCGACTGAGTGAACTATAGAATGCTATTCGATCCAGATTCCGTAATCACATCCCTCGAAGCTAAACATGGCCTGTCCATCCACCTTGCTCATCAATGCTGAATAGGCATGTTCGAAAACCAATCATCAAGTTCCTGAACTAAGCTCCCCCTTCCTCCAGATGCTTCCTCTTGGATGTTGCTGGCTGGCTCATGCCTGTCCCACATCTTCGTCAAATCTGACACCCTTGGGCTCGGTTTTGAACGAACTGTTCCTCCGGCGATGGCTTGGCTGCTTACGAAGAGCCTTGGGTTTGGAAGATATAATGACATCTTCCAAGTTCCGAAAGCTACTGCCGAAATGCTTGAGGTTGAATAATTTGTTAATCTCATCCTCAATGTCTTCTTGGGTGCGCAGCTGCTTCTTTGACTTGTACGAGATGTGCATGCTATTCCTGATTGTATCCACAAGCTCAAGATACTCGCTTTTGTCTTGGTTCAGACTTTTGAGCTTCGCCTTATTACCTTCCACACCAATCTTCATTTCTTTCCCTTTTTGGATGTTGGTTTCTTCGAGCTTGATGAGCTGGTCGTAGTAGGCTTCAGTCGCATCGTTGGTGAGTATGATGGCATTGTCCTTGAGGTACGCGACGAAGCGTGCTGCGGCCTTTTGCACCTGCTCGTGTTCGTTTCTGTACTCCTGTTGAGTTCGCTGGAATCGCTCTATCCCTTCTTTACGTAATGTGACGTCGCTCATGTTCTCTAGGAGTTGACGCTCGATCTCCTTGTCCTTGACCTTTACCTTTACCTCTTTGAGATCGTAATAATGGTGCATGTGTTCCCTCCAATGATGCCCGCACTCTTTGCATAAACCGTCACGGCTTTCTTTGAAAGGCCGGCATGATATTAGCTCTGGGGCACCCAATCTGTCGCTGGTGACATTTCGAAGCTTACAGTCTGCGTGACAAACTTGCTTGTAGATAGTGATGACCTCACCGTTCAGGTTGCTTTTGTAGTCACAGCATTCTTTGCTTGCGCAAACCGTACGGGGCTTGTCGAGCCTCTCGGGATCCAACTTGATCCTTTCGAGGTGCAGTTTGCTCCGCAGTTTATCGCCAGTGAGCCGCCTATCTTCGAGGGCTTTCACCTGATCGTCTAGAGAATGCATATTCTTCTTGATCTCTTGCGAAATATCTACCATGGGTATCATCAATTGACGTATAGCTCGACGTGCTTCGTTCATGCCAAAAGTTTGACTGATGTCGTGTGGCTTTAGGCGGTCAATATGTTCAAGGAGTCTCATTGTCTCGGCCTTCGAAGAGTCCCAGCTCTCGCGGCAATTGCTTTCTATCCCATAGATGGAACCTTTATTATATGCAGCCAGATGACGAAAGTTTTCCGCGTCGAACGAATATGCTGTTTCGCGACTTAGACTTAAGCTATCATCGGTATGTTTCTTCAGCAGACACTCGAGTGGACGGAAGCTCTCCCCTGGAGCATAATCAGATTTGCTCGCATGAGTGAAACCAAAAAAGATGTTGTCTGCTGCACTGCGATGAAAGTATGATAACAGTTCTTCGAAGCAGAACTCGAAAGTGGCTGTTATACGAGCTTGATCGGTTTTGAGTAGGATCAGTATACAGTGGAGATCTTTGAAACCACTCAATGACTCAAGGATATCTCGCATGTTCTTTCTATCTTGTTCAGGACCTCGCGTGTCGCCCATACCTGGTGTGTCGATCAGACGATATGTTGTGGTACCCTGAGCCATTCTGTATACCGATGCTTTCTGTGTTGCGGAATCGCCCTCGGTACCATCTCGTTCGTGACCATTATTCCATGATCCAATCGTGATCTTTTGTTTCTCACGTGGTCCGTAGGGATCGGATGGTCTCCTGCAACTGATCGAAAAAGAACAAGGAACGACGTATTGTAACTTGATCTTACTGGCTGCTTTTGCTTCATCAAAGCTCTCAAATGTGAAGTAGTTGACAAAAGAATTGATGAGAGTTGACTTGCCAACGCCAGTCTCACCCAAAATCAGAATGTTGCGACAGTCAGGCTGGTTTGGCTGCTTCAAAACCCGATGGAGATCGTCCAAGGGATAGCAGTCATATCCTTCCCCGTGATGCTCACTGTTACATCTGAAGGTCCATGCCGAATAAATGCCTCTTCCGCAGTGACAGCATATGTAATCGCCTGAGGTCTGAAACTCTATAGGCATATAGCAATCGCCACACAGCCATTCTTGTCTCACGCGACCGTCACAGTAGGGTCCAGGACATGGTATCTTGACTGGGCAATGCTGGGTGTTGCGTTGTGCACCAGAGACATCCATGAAGTCTTGGTCGCAAAGAGCAATACAAGAATTTGAGTTTCTCTGACTGACTGGCTCCTCTGCGATTGGCTGTCGATTACTGGATGTCTTCTGGAATTTCCGCCCCCCAGTAGCGTTTGTAGGAAGTCCTTGATATGTACCGAAATACGGACATTCCATGTGGCGATACTGAGATAGTGCTTCACAGTCCACGATGTAAACTTGGTTAGGCCTGTCGGGCTTCTTTAAAAAGTTCCGGAGGAGTGTACGTTGATCGTGCCATGAGGGGGAGTCTTTCAGCATGGCGTTACTGAATAAGAAAAAATAAGTGAGAGGGTCGCTGTGAGGATCGGTAATGCTCGGTAGAGATAGATCGTTGAAGCCAATGTATGTAGCACCCAGATTCATACATTCGTCAATAAAGCTGATTTTGCCACTGGCCTGTCCAGCAATTGTAGAAAATTTCCCTGGTGAGTATTCTGAATCGTTAATATGAGTGTGCAGTTCTTTGAGGCGCCTATAATGCATAGTCTTTTCTTTGACGCCGACCAGTATCTTCCTGAGCATTTTTCTGACAGCATCCCGTGCTAAGCAAAGCTTTGACATGGCAGCTTCGACGTCCTCGATATGATGTTTCGGAATGTATGGTTTCTTGCTCTGAAGAAAATGTCGATAGGTTTCGAGCTTTTGCTTGCCATCATTAAAGCCATCAAAAAGTAGCATAAAAAGAACAACGTCCTTGGAAGCTATGCCTAGATCAAACGGGTTGGGCACGATAGTGCCGTATGATGGAGGATCATATAGCACACTAGTAGGGATGAGGGTGTAGGAGATGAGATAACCTCTACCGTCATCATGGGCCCGAATATGCTCTGGGCCAAGTCGCATGAATTTCAGCATAGAAGACATGGTTTTATGGCGAATACCTTCTTCGCCGTGGACGTCGGTATATAACATCAGCTCATAATCTATGAGCCCAAGTCGGCTGCTCAAAGAGTCGCAGTCTAAATCCGTACTTGTAGAGGAATGGAGAATTTCTACAAACTCGTTCAGGTCGTCGTTGAACGATTTCTTGATTGAAGCTCGCTCCTTTTCATTCTTGATGGGATGCCTGACAACCATGACGCTTTGGAGTCCCCATTGGGCTTGAATCACGACATGAGAACTACCACGAAGCCTTGGTAACTGAAGGGCTAGACCTTTGTAGTAATCACTACCCAGATTCAAACTCTCTGTATAACCGAGCCTGGTATGGTAAATAATACGGCAAAGTCTGTCCTGGGCTGAATTTCCCTCATTCAAGTAAGCGGCAGGTCCTCTAGGTTCAATCAAACCAGAGATGACGCTCGCTGCAAGGTTATTGTCGATATTCATTGCCATGAATCTAGAGGTATGGTTGGGTCGAAAAGCATATTTCGTGGAAAACTCTCCAGACGGGTTTTGGATTATCGTTATAGCCTCTGGTGGTGGGTTGGCTGGCAGTATGGATGCCTCCAAGAACTTGTCGACTCGGGCATCGTAAAGAGTCCCAATAGGGACGATCTGGCCGAATGACGGCCGTTTAAATTCGGACATATTATCCCAAAAGATGCTGAAGAATGTTTGCCTCTAGGCTTAGATATCAACTGGGTCGTGAAGGAGGCGAAGAAAACTCGTGGAATAGGTGACGAATTGTTTTTATCAGGAGTGAGTGCCTTGTGTGTTGTTGTAAACGAAGGCAGTCACAACTTGCGGTTGAAGATAGGCACCGAGTTACGGAACAATTGAATTGAGGAGTATTTACGAGTTGGTAACTAAGTACGTACGACGTAGTCTAATATGGAAAGGCAGCCAGCAGCCTGCCAAATAGTAGAACCACCTCGCTGCCACAACATTCTTAGACGTTGCACAAGAACTGCAACTTATCACCGAAATATCGCCTTTGGAGACATGTTTGCGAAATAGTAGATTCCCTATTGGACCTTGAGTTCACCACGCAAGAGGCTCAAGTTTGGGGAAGCACCACAACAGCCTTGAAACGGAATCACAAACAACAGGTGGCTTGAAACTCGCTATCAGGCTGCGGCTTCCCTTGAAATCGATGACTATGGATGCCTGCTTCTCAACAAGTTTGTGGCTCGTGAGTGACTTACTTTGGTAGGCATGCAGGCCAATGCCCCTTCCCGAGAATCTTCAGCAAAAATACTTCCAAGGCAGCCTTTGTTACACTTATGGATGCAACAAATAGGACTTTTGCGAGAACTATTCACTGGAAGGGCATTGAAACGACATACATGTACGATACACGACAAAGTTACGAAGTTGTAGAGAGAATGTTGTTAGACAAACATTTCCTCACCGCATAAAGGTCTTTCTGTGGATCAAATGATTCCTCAGTCTGTGTCAAAATGAGAGTATCGTCATTGTAGTCTCGAAGAGAGGAGTGGGCTAGCGATACACTTGAACCAGTGGTTTAGAAGCATTTGACAGAAGGTTGAACAGCGTTTCACGACCAAAAGTTCTATTACTTATTCTGGATGAATCTATTTCTACGAGGTGCGAAATGGGAACTATGCATATGTTGTAACATACCACAAGACTAAGAACAGAAGCAAGGTAAAGCAAAAGTATTTATTTAAACATAATTTACAGGTTAAGGAAAGAGTTGATGCCATAAACTGTAGCTACCCATAACGCAAGTTCCCGTTCCGAACTCCGCAAATCTACTTCCTCCCTCGCTTATTTTGAATAAGCCAATTCGTCTAAGATGTATTGTGACAAATGAGATATGAAGTGTAGTCCCGGCATACCAAATGCCGGAGGATCTTATCCGGTTCTACTAAGAGTGCTTGCTGGTGTGGGACTTGTGTGAAGACTCACTAGACTTGGACTTGGTGCTCGTCTTCTTATCGGAACCAGAGTGTTTGGTCTTGGTAGGCACAGAGGTAGCAGAGGTCTTTGTCTTGTGAACCTTGGTAGTCTTGGTACCATCATCGTCACCGGAATGCTTGGTCTTGTTGTCATCCGGCTTCTTGTCATCATCACCAGAGTGCTTGGTCTTAGTGGGCACAGAGGTGGAGGAAGTCTTGCTCTTGTCGCCCTTGGTAGTCTTGGTGCCGTCGTCGTCGCCAGAGTGCTTGGTCTTGTTGTCGTCTGTCTTCTTCTTATCCTCGGCCTTGCCCTTCTGCTTCTTGTTGTTGACCTTGAATGTCTTGGTATCATCACCACTATCGGCCTGCTTGAGAGTGCCGATTCTGAAAGCAGGACGACTAAACGCGGTCGCCTGAGGAGCTTCTTCGTCGCCAGAGTCATCATCATCAGCATCCTTATCGCTAGCATCTCCATCGTCGTCACCGTCGTCGTCAGGCTGGGCCGCGCGAATGTAAAGAGCGTGTCTCTTGCTAGGGCCACCGGCCAAGCCCTTGACGGGGATGAAACCAGCAACGGTGTCCGACTTTGCAGCGGATGAGCCCTGGTTGGGCGTGAACTTGACGCCGGTACCAGCTGCGTTCTGGTTACCGCCGCGGCCATTGTCTAGGCGTTGCAGAGCGTAGTTGGACTTGGGAGCAGCACCGGCTGGGAGAACCCAGGCATCAGCGCCCATCATGCCGCTGAGGCATAGTGTCAAAGCGTAAGCAGACTTCATGATGAAAGTTTAAAATGAGTAATGAAAGTGGAAAGGTAGTAAAGAGTAATGAAAGTGATTGGTTTGGTTGTTGTGTCTGTCGAGAAAAGAGAGGCTGTAGGGAAGACCTGCTGCGATGTCTTATACAAACACTTCATGCCGACTTTACCTAGCCCCATACTCGCCATTTAGTTGTGTCAGTCCTTGCAAAGGTCCCTAAGAAACTTAATTTTGACTGAGGAACGCGGATCAGGGTCGGGACCTTGCATGAGGCTTGCTTGATAGACATGGCGTCGCGATCCGTCCCCGCCGCAAAAGACTAGTAAAGGCTTGTCCACGCACATCAACTTCCCCGAACCCCAGGAATGGAATGATCTTTAGCCAAAAGCCCATACCACTTGTGTCATAACCTATGTATGTGGCGCGGCTAGTCCCCTTGACCTGCAACTCTATCCCATCGCTGATTACAAATTAGAGTGGCTTTTAACCCATTGCAAAAAGCTCCGTGATCCGTGCCTGTTGTTTGTCAAGTGTATTACGATTACCTTGCATTTGTTCCGATTTGCCACTACAGCCGCTTAAGTAGATCGCGTTCCTGACCAGCCTGGGCCCTTGGGGTTTGGAATGTACGGGATCGTGATAAGCATTGGTTATTGTCTAAGGTCCGAATCACCTTCGGACATGCATTCATACTACCCACGTGTATCCCAAGACACTGTTTCTCATTGCCCCAGATCCGAAAAAATGTCCCTAGGGTTCGTTAGTCGAAAGTTTGACAAAGGTCATGAGATTGAGATTACAAATAATTGAGTGAAGGCTGTTGGGAGGATACAGTCGGCATCTTACTGCCCGGATATGACATGGTCTTCAGATCGACTCTCCATTAGTCAAGGGACCGAGGACCGTACGATTACGTACACCTCGAACAAAGACTCGAGATAATACATAATAGACCATTTCTGTATGCGATTCTGGGTATTGGACGGACATAAGCAGATGACGTCTTTTCTTGCCATCATGAAGAGCATGCAGTTTGATTCGACTTAATCGAATAGTTTGACTGTGGTATATACCTTGCGAATCTAATGATCAAAGAACGAACCACCCAGGTTCCAGCACGGCTTCAATCTGGGCCAACATGATCACTCAAGCAGGAAATGCAGCCAACAACGAAACTTCAGCGGCTATATAGCGATTGTGATTCACTGAAGATGAACGGTTGTAACAAGTGGCCAAGGGAACATGCAGGAGGCCCCCCAGTCATCAATGATAAAAACCTTTGCTCAATCCCAATCTATCAGCAATCATCTCTCTTCTTAGTATTCCCACAACCCAGAGACGTCGCATTATACAAACGTAATTCACCATGAATCCCCTCAGCTCAATCCTTTCATGCCTTACCGGTAGAAGCATCTCTACCGATTATTCTCCCATCCGTGAAATAAACAGGAACGAGAAACCGCGTATCACCGCCCAGCCAGTCCCATACTCCGACGAGGCAGCAGATCAATTCGTAGCCATCCTCCAAACGCACGAAGGCACTCGAGAAGAACTGCACCACCGCTTACAGCAAGTCGTTTCCACTAATGGCTGGACCGAAAGCCTTGCTGTAGCAATTGAGCGTAAGATAGAGGCACTGTTGAGAGAAGGCGCGGAATTGGCAAAACCGATGGCAGAAGCTGTCAGAAAGGCCACCAGCACAGCGTGGGAGTTTGCGAAAGAGCACCCAGTTTACGCTGGTCTCATCGCGGCGGGAACGATTATTGCTATTGGTGTTCTAGTGGAGTTTGATCTGATCTGGGTATTGAGAGCGCTTGGGTTTGATGAAGTTGGGCCTAGACTTGGTAAGTTTAGAATTGTTGCATTAAAGCAACGGCTAATTTTGTTGCAGGAAGCTTTGCGGCGCGATGGATGGGCAGTATTGGGCAAGTCCCGAAGGGTTCTATCTACTCGTTTCTCCAGAGGCTGGGTATGAAGATTGCCAAAGGATGAGAGGTCTACGCTTGTTGAGGGGGGAACAATTGGGATGGAAGGCTCAGCGGAAGTTATAAACAATTGGTTTTACATTATTCGTCTTATTTTTTGTTTACTTGTACGCAAACACCAGACCAAATGTGTATTCAATTATTGCAAGCACACCCAGGTACTGTAGGGTTTAAGCTTGAAATGATGCTCAAGATCCCAAACAGCCTGCCCTATAAAGTACCCAAAATGGCCTCCGTCAATGATGCAAGACAGCGCCCTCCAAAAACTAAGAAGCGGACGGCATTGGCCGAAGATCGGCGACCCTGGAGGAATTCATCACGACATCGTCCCGACTTTGCCAATGTTACCCAGTAAATGTTACCCCGCCATTCAAAAGAACCCCTCCCTACGTAACAAGAGCAATATTCGGTCTTTAACCCGAGGTCCAACGCGCTATCCTAGAATATCAGGTAAATTATGTAATTCCAGAAAGTCACTCAATTTCTGGATCGTCATACATCTCTGGTTTGAGTGTTTTGCTTATCATCGCACTATTAGCCATGCCTCTGCCTACATCGTCTATCTATGAGCCTCCGTCGGCTGGCTTCACTGGCTTTCCTTCACGGAGAAGTGTTGTTCACAGTACGGAGGGTATGGTAGCTGCTCCTCAACCTCATGCGGCAAAATGTGGTCTTGAAGTTCTCCGGGCTGGAGGCAATGCTGCTGTATGTTCACTCTTGTTTGGCTTGACCATAAGTTACTAACATGAAGTAGGACGCGGCTGTTGCAGTTGGTGTGTCAAACCTATGAGACAATACATATCGTATACTAATGATCATAGCCGCTGGCCTCAACGTGACAGAACCCGTCTCCACCGGCATCGGAGGTGACATGTTCCTCCTCTACTTCGACGCCGCCACCAAGCAAGTCAAAAGCCTCAATGGCTCTGGTCGTTCGGGTGCCAAACAAACTCTTGAGACCATCCGCAAGAGTCTCAAGATCCCCGATGACAAAGTCGGCGAGATTCCAACACACCACGTACACGCTGCAACAGTTCCCGGCGCTGCAGCCGGTTGGGTCGATACCGTCGAGAGGTTCGGTAGTGGAAAGCTTAGTTTGAGTCAAATTCTTGAGCCTGCGATCAAACTGGCTGAGAATGGATTCCCTCTTACTGAGATTGCCTCTCACTCAGTAAGTAACTCACACCTAACTTAGCACAGAAACTTACAAAAAGCAGTGGCAAGCTCAAGAAAAGCTCCTGCGCAATGCCTCTCCCAACTATGCAGAGATGCTCAAGAAGGACCCCTCTGCAAAAGACGGCGTGAGAGCGCCTCGCCCTGGTGAAGTATTCAGGAACTCGACTCTGGCAGAGACCTTCAGAACGTTGGCCACAGAGGGTAAAAAGGGATTTTACACCGGGCGCATCGCCGAAGAGATAGTCAAGGTCGTAAAAGACCTCGGAGGATACCTGGAACTTGACGATTTGAAGCACCATCTTGAAACCGGCACTCAAAACACAGATCCTATTTCTGTCAAGTTTCGAGGACAGGGCCTTACGAGCCAGGATCCCAATGGCGGTGTTGAACTGTGGGAGCACCCGCCTAACGGACAGGGAATTGTTGCGTTGATGGCACTCGGTATTATCGAACAGCTTGAGAAGCAAGGCAAGATCCCCACCTTCAAGCCCGAGGACCACAACTCAACGGTGTATCTCCATGCCATTATCGAAGCTCTCCGCCTCGGCTTCACAGACGCGAGTTGGTATGTCACCGACCCAGATACCACCAAAGTCCCGACCTATGGCTTGATCTCACCCGAGTACCTTGCCGAGCGTGCCAAGATCTTTGACGCTTCGAAAGCCCACGATAGTGTCCAGCCTGGAAACCCTAATTTTGTTTCCCCAGCTCTGCGGAGCAGTGATACTGTGTATTTCACCGTCACCGATGCGGCAGGTAACGCTGCTTCTTTTATCAACTCGAACTATGCTGGTTTTGGAACAGCCATTGTTCCAAAGGGCTGTGGTTTCACGCTTCAGAACCGCGGTGCCAACTTTTCGCTCGATGAGAAGCATCCCAATAAGCTTGAGCCGCGCAAGAGACCGTACCACACTATCATCCCAGGCATGGCAACCAACATCAGCGATGGCTCTCTCCACTCTGCATTTGGTGTCATGGGTGGGTACAATCAGCCCCAGGGGACTGTACAGGTTCTATTGAACCAGGTGCTCTTTGGTCTTAACCCCCAACAGGCTCTTGATGCGCCTCGGATCTGTATCGGTGCTGGTATGCCGGACGAGGGTAATGTGTTGGATTGGACGGTCCATGTAGAGGAAGGCATTCCTGACCAAACTGTTGAGGAGCTGAGAAAGCTCGGGCATAATGTCGTCGTTCTGGAGGATTGGAAGAGAGCTATGTTTGGCCGTGGACAGATCATCAGATACACTGTTGACCCCGACGGAACACCTGTATGGTCTGCAGGCAGCGATCCTAGGGCCGACGGTGCGGCATACCCTCAGTAGGTAGATTTTGTCAATACGGTAAACAAAAATCTGTACAATTATCGGCTTATGACTGCGGCGATATTCTCAGTACAACCGTACTAAGTACTCAGAATATTATAATGCGTTGTCTTCCCATCCTCGTGGTATCGAGGTCTCCAAACTCATCAGCAAACTCGCTAAGTCTGCCCTCATCCAGATCTTCCAGCAGATCCTCACATTCCACTTGAGTAACCACCCGGTATCCGTCGGAGTACTTTTCCAGAAGTAAAGGCTCCCGCGCGCCACATAGTACCCATAGCTCATGGCTATGTTCTACCGCAGACTCCAGTCGTATCTTGTAACCTTGGGACCCGAAGTATCGGCCAGGGAATAGAGAGCTTGAGAAGTTGTGATCCAGAAACACCGCCCAGACTTCTAGGACAGTTTCTTTATTCTGGGGGTTCCTCGGGTCTGAGACTTCGCAGAAAGAAGCATCGGCGTGCCCCCCGTTGATATGATGCGGAATAAATCCTCCAATAGTGATCCTGTTGACTCCCTTTTCCGAACACACGACGGGGATATGGTCGTCTCGAGCCCAATCAACCACCCATGAGGGTAACATGTCTTTGCGTTCCAGTTTCGAGGAACCACGAGGTAGATATGACAGTACTTCCAAACTGTTCTCAAAAGATATGATCCGTCTCGTTGTTTCCACTAGAACTTTATGTAGATTATTTTCGGGTGCGTAGTTGGCAATGATTCCATAGCCAGAGTGAGCGAGACCGATCATAGAGTAAATCTTATCCCTAGAATCTGAGGCCTGGCTCTTTTGGGTATACATGAGAAGCAATTTGAGATCAGTAGTTCTCCGCCAGTCAGTCCCAGCTAGAAATATTCTCAGCACTACAGTGATGGTCTCCTGAATTCGAGTTGGCCGATGGTGAATTCTCTTGAGCTCTCGTACGAGTTGACTCCTGTAAGTGCTGTCGGGTCCGGATAGAGTCTCCACAGCCAATGTACATAATTCTGGGAGCAGACTCACAATGTCCTTGAAAGGCATTGCGTGATGTCCAAGGAGGAACGTTGGCTGTGAGGACATCATAAACTCTTGGAAGACCCATGCTCTTTCCCACCATGGACTTTGGAGAAAGTCACAGAACTTAGCCAATCCACTGATGAATGCCTTTTCAGCCAGTTTAACATGTAGAAACCTTCGCGTAGTATCACCCGAGATTGTTTCACCGCGGGCATCAGTATACCAAGCGTCGTTAAGCACTACGCCAGCCTCTTCGACGAACTTCTGATAATAGTCCTCAACTAGAGCCTGCCACAACTCCGCAAACCACTTCAGCCCTAGTCCTTCTGTATTTGTAGTAGAAAGACAGATGAACGTCTGCTTTGCGCCGTGATAGATGTCTCTCATGAATCCGACCTGATGAGATCTCTCTGTGAGATTGGCCTGATTGATGCATATTTGATCCACCCATAAGAGCAGATCTTCTCGATATCCTTGTGTCTTCCAGTGGTGACGAACTACCGTCAGTGCATGGTGAAGGTTGGCAAAGACGTTACATCTTGCCCCGTTGACGAGAATGGGCTTCGTATTACGTGCATCGCCTGCACAATAAGAGAGGGCACGATATTGCTTGTACACACGGTGGAGGCTTATGCTGGGTAGCAATTCGCATTCGATGAAGCCAGATCCCGAGTCGGGAAGAATCTTGAGAAGTCGGATTTCTCTTCTCGTAGCATCGAGGTCTTGGTATGGCACTTTTAAGAGAAATTCGCTGTTTTCTGGAGTGCAAAAGATGTCGTGACCTGGTGGATCGTTTGCTCTGGTCGAGGCTGCCCGTCCTGTTTCTTCTGCCATGGGCTTCGTTAGGTCAACAGAGTAGAAGTTAATATCATAGAAGCAACTTCAATCTTCAAGCGCTGAGCTTTTGCTATTGATTGAGATTTTTGATCAGATGGTGGAAATATTCAGTGTAGGAAGGGATTATGGCAGGTAAGAATGCCTCGTGAGGCGAAGCATGATGTATGCACCTTGTGATTGGGCACCTTCCCAACACAGATGCAACGCAGAATAGGCAGTCGCGACAGCCTCTACACTACGGCAACTCAACCCTCAACCAGGCAAGTTTACCAATTGTTTACAATTACCTTACCTTAGCAGTTAAGCAATAACCGGACAATATCGTGAGGCTTTTTACTGGATCTGCAGCAAATCTTACCTAGAGCCATTACCATTATGACTCAGTTCTTCGGACATAGTAATAAGCGTCCTGTAAGGGAGCAAGTCTCTCTCACCTAGGTCGTATTTTGAGAAGGGATAGAGTCAGTGTCAGATCATTCTCCTTTGATCTAGGAATAGTCTGCTTTGTTGACCAATTGGAAGTCTAGGATTATTTCACAACTCGCTCACGCCGAGTCTGTTCAGGTTAAACCTCGTCGGTAACTCCGAATATAGTGTGCATAGGTGCGGCGTATTCACCTTGGCAGGCCTTCTCCTGTTTCACAATGTCAAAGAGTCGAAAAGGGTGACTCTGGTCAACAGAGCTGAAGGCTTCCATGCAGGGGAGTTGCTGCATTGACTGGGGTTGTAAGGCGGAATCAGCGTAATGAGCCAGCCAACAAACCCATACAAGAACATATATTCTTCCCTGACACGACCCAGCGTCATGGAAATTAAAAGAATTGATTAGAAGAAATCTCTGGCCCCCAATTGGTGTGTTGCGCGAAACCTATAAATGTAACTACTAGGTAGCCAGCCTGCTTCAAAACGTGCCACTATTCACATGCCCAATTGCCATACACCATGGCGTTGGCCAACTGTGGTTGCTCACTTGAGCGATACTATCGTGTTGCTTTTGCTAACACTGACTCTATCAAAACGGAACTAGGCATCATAACCCACCTGAAGCGAAAAGACACACTCAACAGTGTCACGGCATTCTTGCCCGCCCTCGAGACATTCCCTTCCGACTTCATAACTACAAGTGGTATAACCGGGTACAACCTCCTTGATTACAAGAAAAGGGTCCATCGACGAGGGCTGGTTGAGATGGCACATGAGTATCTTTGCATTCGGCGTAATGGTTCTTTTTATTGGCCTCCTTGGGCCAGTCATCCTAACTCACTAGAATACCCACGAGATAATGACAAGTAACGCCTCCTCACCATCTTGTAGCCCAAGCTAACTTACTATATGAACAGCATTTACTATAACATCATATGGCTCTTTGCCAGGCAAAACAATAAAAGGATTAGAAAGAGGATACGATCGAGACGAGCGCATCAGCCCCGAAGTGTTGTTTACAACAGCGAAAGCCCCACACCTTCACTAGACGGCTCACTAGCATCTCGTTATGCGTCGTAAGTAATAGTTATGTACATACTTGGCTTAATTGCTCATGCGCTCAGACCAGCGGACGATGGAGGGGATTCTCTTCCCTCTTCACAGAGTACCTCCGCGACTCAGAACACTATGCCTGATGCGCCGAGAAACGAGATACGACAGATGAACTTTGGGCAAAGATTTAGCCCTGATGAACTCGCTGAAGATGTAAGGCCCCGTCTCTATCATGAAGATACTATCCTAATAACTAAACAGCATTACTCTCAGATGGATGCACAACAACAGCAGAGTCAGGTACAACAAGAACAAGACAGTCTTAACAGGATGGACCTTGACCAGCAGCCATCCCTCCTACCAATTCACTTGGCTCCTGTTGCCATTCCCCCTGTGACCACTGCTTCGATAGGAACTCAGACATTCGATCAGGACGAACCACGTCCCAGAGAGCAGAATGCACCTCCGCCGTCATCGATGAATACGAACAGTGCCTCTCAGGGGTCAAACCGAGCGCATAATAATCGTGATAACAGGGCACATCCACCGAGTTCAATTGAAGAGATAGAAAGGCCTCACGATCTTCCCCTGGCACGCCCACGGAATGCTCGTCCGGTGGTAGGATGCACTATTGACGTTGTAGTCAGCTACGATTTCATGCCTGGCAATAACGTCGAGTTGCCTCTGGTTGGGAATATCTTCTCATACTCTCTGAAACAGTTGTTTAATAAGGCGAAATGGCAGACTAACTTTCAATGGCTTTTTATCTTGCTACAGGCAACTAGTACATCTCCGGGGGTAAGGAACCCGTGCTTCATGGAACGCGTCTTGATAAACGACGAGAGAAAGTTTCAGACTGTACTACGCAGGTTCAAACTGCAAGCTGAGAGCCTTAAATCTTGCTACACTCAGCTGAATACGGATGCTGTTATTGAGATATGCTTCGAACCGCTGATCAATGGCCATTCGCATAGTGTGCACTTCGATGCTTGGTATCGCCATATGAACTAGCGCCTTGGAGTTAAGTGTTGCGCAGTTAGACTCGGGCTGGTAGGGGAATTGGGATGGACATAGACTTATAGACATAGACATATAGACATAGACATAGGCTCATAGACAACAGGTTTCAATCGGGACATTATTGGCCGTATTAACCGCATCTCTAAGGAAATATTGACAATAAAATTGCAAGCTCTAGTTCCCGCTGCAAGCCTAGTCATATCTCCCGATCGCATATTACTCTCAAGTATCCAGGACAAGCGCGTATTTCCGGCTTGCGCATGTCGGATTGGCGGCAGAGGGAGTGAGGGCAAATTCGTGACCTCCCATACACATGACAACGCTTCACAAATCTGTTGGAGCTTCGAAAGGCAAAGCAAGTGACCGCACCGTTCTATTCCTTTCTTTTGCTGTACATTCGTTATCTGTCATACAGAGGTATCCCATCCCGTATTACATCATGGGTATTTATACATTCGACCGGTTCGTTCAGAATCGACAATCGCTTATTCCTTCTGTTCAGGCTCACCCTCGAGGATGACCTTCTTCTCGTCGAAGAGCTTGGCCAAATCGCCGTTCTGGTGCATCGAGACAAGAATGTCGGTACCACCAATAAAGTCCTTCTCGACGTAAAGCTGGGGAATCGTGGGCCAGTCGGAGTACTCCTTGATACCCTCGCGCAGCTCAGGGTCCTCGAGGACGTTGAAGGCGGCGAACTTGTCGGGGTTGACGCCCTGGAGGCCGAGGATCTGGATGGCGGCGCGCGAAAAGCCGCACTGGGGTGTCTCGGGAGTACCCTTCATGAAGAGGACGACGGGGGCGGAGGAGACGGCCTTGTCGATGGCGGATCGGGTCTGGTCGGAGAGGAGGCGCACTTGGAAGGGAGTGAGAGGAGCGATGGGAGCGCGGAAAGCGGCGGCCGTGGACCGGACGGCGACAGGCCGGGCAGCTTGTCGGAGGGACTGGAGGCAGAAGGTCAGTTCTAGTGCAATATCAATGATATTTCACGATTACGCACCGAGGCTACTGTTCGTGCAAACATGATTACAGCTGTGACGGGTGAATGTGTGGTGAGGGTATGGAGATGCGCAACAACGATTGAGATGGTGGAAGTTTTAGACGGGATTAGTGATGTCAAGGATGTTCCGATGCCGATCCCCGGATATCAGTGGCCAATTAGCGATGATGTAATTTTGGCTTATCAAAGCTGCGTTTTGAACATAAAGGTTCATTTCGATTGCGATACTCAAATGCTGTTGCATATAATTTATTCTACGATAATGGCAGTTGCCTATGACATCTCATTCGTCCGAAAGTCATTTGTAAAAGACATTTAACGCCACATCATGGATACGTCGGCATCAATAAGCTTTAATGTGACAACCCATTCTGAAAGTCAACTGAAGCATCATATCATCAACACGCTATTATGACTTGCCACTAGAATATTCTATAAAATCAAACTATTGTACAATAGGTAAGCAGGGTAGTTCGGCATCGTATAAAGGCGCTCAGTTCTTACTCCAATATCGGCCTCGTGATGGTTTCGTATGATGCGGAGTGACGAACGGCGGGGTCAATTCACATAAAGCTCTGACTGCTCCCGGATCTTCTACGATATTGGTATTTATATCATAATCGAACACTAGGACAATTAATCGCTATATAATTATCTTTATTAGAAACATCACTCCTGTAAACCGAAGTCATAAGGTTGATATCACTCCACTCAACTGCAGCAAGCCCTATCATATCTCAAAGCACAGGCGCCAAGACCAAATCGCTTACCAACCCACTGGCACATCTCACTGCACCTCAATGCTTCACAGAATTCAACACGGGCTCGACGCCCATCACGAACACCACATGCGCAACTCCACTGAAGCTCTCGAACAGGCCCGGGGCGATGGCAAGCGCCACATCCTGCTAGCCGCCTCTGGATCGGTTGCGACAATTAAGCTTGTTCAAGTAATAAATGGTCTCAAAACGCAGCACAACATCTCTATTCGTCTCATTCTCACCCAGTCGGCGTCGCAGTTCCTTGCCGGCCAAAGCTTAGAGCAGCCAACCGTGGATCAGGTCTCTCGTCTGCCCCATGTCGATGCCGTCTACACAGATGCCAACGAGTGGGCGCAGCCATGGAAGCGCAATGCGCCGATCCTGCACATCGAGCTACGCCGTTGGGCAGATGTTCTGGTTATTGCACCGCTGAGCGCGAATACCATGGCTAAGATCGTCAACGGCTTGTGCGACAACCTGTTAACGTCGGTGGTTCGAGCTTGGGATGTCACAGGGTCTATAGACGGGGTCAAGAAGAAGATCATCGTCTCTCCAGCTATGAATACGGCCATGTGGAATCATCCTGTGACGAAGACCCAGATGCGTGTGTTGGAAGAGGAATGGGGAGGCGAAAATGGCTGGTTTGAAGTGTTGCGACCAGTGTCAAAGAATCTCGCGTGTGGTGATGTGGGAAGCGGAGCGATGGTGCCCTGGGAACAGATTGTCGAGGAAATTGACAAGAAAATCAACAACTAGGAGAAGCCACTGCGGGAGACAAGTTATGGAAAATTGAACTTCACGTGTGTTTTATGAAATGCAGTTCTCCCCATGGCGTTGAAGGATTCGGGGTCCAAAGCGGACACTCTTCTTAGTGATAGGGTAGGTCATTTGAGGTTTTGACACTACCAAGAAAACACGATACTTCTCATTGAAGGGTTGGAGTAATATGTTACCACGTTCTTTCACAAGGCCTGCTAATTGTTATTTCTTTTTCCCTTCGTCCGTTTTTTGTATTTGTTTGTATTCCAAAATATGTTCGGAGAGTGAAGATTGTTCGCACCTGCCACGCAGCATGCGGTCTGCTCCTTCCTCAACCTCAAGCCTGCACAACTGAAGCCCAAATTGCCATTTGCAGACCCCGTCCTTTTTTCCTTTCAACAAAAAGCTGTCCCCTTTACTCGAGTATCATCCTCATGATATATCATGGCCGCACCACAGCATCTGCTTACTTCCACTTCCAGTGCTTTGCCTGAAGATGATGCTTGCCCCTCTACACTGCGAGCTCGCCTGCGCGATGATGCGACACCGGCAACGAGCTCCTCGATAGACCCTATCCCTTACCGAAACTTCTACGAGCAGGTTCATGCATGCCTTGGAAGCCAGCTTCTTGCCCCAAAGCCTGGGAAGGCGGTGCCTCAAGTCGTCAAGAGTCATGATCCGGCTGCACAGCTTCGAGGTTGGTTTATCACACAAGGTCTTGACTTCACACTCTAATGAGATGCAGAGTCGTATGCTCGCATGGGAATGTCACTTCATACCTCTGCGATTGAGCATCTGATCCAAGCACACTCCGAAGTTCAGACCAAGATGATGGGCTTCTCTGAAGAATCCTCCAAGACTTTGTCCCAGTGCAAAGACCTCTATTCTAACATCGTTTATCCTTTGTCGGCAACGCTATGCAGCTCTCCTGAACATCCCCAAGCAAGGGTTTCTGTTCACTTGAACTCGCTCAAAAGAGACATCGCTGCGGCCAAGGAAGAGATACTTCGACTCCAAGTCGAGTGGGATGCATGCTGCCGAACTGAAGCAGACGCTTGGAAGGTACTCAATGAAGATCTCGGTGCTCGAGGCTCCGGATCAAACAAATTCAACAACGACGCTGCCAAAGCGGCCAAGGAGTTCAAAAAGGAAGCAGAAGCGATTGTCGAAGACAAGTGCCGGCTGTTGACCGAACTTGACCAGGTATGGTGGTGCCGGTTTGCTTTTGCATCGATCGACGCTAACTTATCGGTGCAGGAATTGAAGGATGAGGCTCACAGAGCGACGTTGAAGATGATGCGAGATCTCTTCAATAGTGATTGATTGGGGCTATGTTATTGCAGAGTCCATGTATGAATGGAATATTTTGGGGAATGTCAGCAGATGCACGCTGGACTGGTCATGTAGTCGGGGTTGACTTTAATTGGTCGTCTATTTCGTCTCTCATTAACTAACTATCTGTATGTCACTTCCATCTTTGCCAATGCAAGTGCCCGAGGACCAACCTGGTCTCTTTTATGTATGGAAAATTACCGCTAAACGCCGTCCCATGAATCGACTTTTTCTTGCGCCAAGTAGTGAGCGCATGTTTTCTATCAGCATTTACTGCTTCTTCTCGGGAATGACGACGCCCCAGGGGTGATCAGTGCGACCGTACATGATGTCGCCTAGCCAGCCCTTGATCTTGCTGGTGACCTCACCAGCCTCACCCTCAGCACCCATGGGGATGTTGATGTCCTTTCCACGGTGGTGAATTTGAGAGACGGGGCAGATGAAGTAAGCAGTACCGGCAGCGAAAGACTCGAGCAGGCGGCCCTCGGCATCAGCCTCGGCGACCTCAGAAATTGTGTACTTTCGCTCAGTAATCTCATACTCGTCTCCAAGACGCTCACGAGCCATCTCGAGACAGCTTCGGCGGGTGACACCATCAAGGATCAGCTTGTCGTCAAGAGGAGCAGTGATGATCTCCTTCTTGCCATCCTTTCGCTTCCAGATGACGAAGAAGTTGCTAGCACCGGCCTCGGTACACTCTCCTTGGGAGCCGTACAGCCAAAGGATCTGGTGGTAACCACGAGTTCGCGCATCGGCAGTGGCAAGCAGTGAAGGACCGTAGTTGGCACCGACCTTGGCATAGCCGAAACCGCCAACCCAAGCGCGGACCATATCGTCGGGAGAAGTGTGGAGACGCATACCGCCGGGGGGAGCATCCATGCGGGGCATGAAGGTCACGATGATGTAGAGAAGAGCCTGCTTGGGGGCGGAAACACCGAGTTGAGGAGCGGTTCCGATGACGGTAGGTCGGATGTAGAGGAAGCTGCCGGCGCGGTCCTCAGGGATCCACTTGGAACCGTCGACGGAGAGAAGGGCGATCATGAGCTTCTCGATCTCGGCGGGCTCAAAAACGGGGAGGGAGATACGGCTGGAGGACATGCGAAGACGGGCGGCATTGCGGTCAGGGCGGAAGATGCGCAGCTTGCCGTCGTATCCACGGTAGGCCTTGAGACCCTCGAAGCACTCGGTAGCGTAGTGCAGCACGGAAGCAGTTGGCATCAGGCTTAGGGGTCCGTAGGGCTTGAGCTCGGGGGCGGCCCAACCGGTGGATTGCTTCCATGAGGCGAGGACCATGTGGTCTGTAGCAATGGTCTCATCGCCGGAGTGGGCAGTGGCCTCGTCGGGAACAGAGCGAGGGTTCTGGGTGTAGGTGTAGGTGAGCTTGGAGGCATCGAGGGGTGCTTGGGCGGTGGGAGCGCCGTTGACTGTAGGCTGGGCGACATCCTTCTTGTGGATGGCGGCGGCAGTCAGGTTGACATCCTGGGTTTCGACGGCAGAGGGAGCCATGATGAGTGAGTGTAGTCGAGGTGAATTGAGTCAATGCAGGTCGTTTAGAGTATTAGGCGAGGATCGGAGTCAACACTTGCACGGTTTATACAGAGCAGCAACAAGAGAAGCAAGCCAGAAACAAAGAGAGCGTAGGGAAACTTTATACACAAACAGCACGACTAACACAAGGGTACCTATTGTATGACTGATCCGTTCTCTCTCCACCCGGCGCCGGCGTCACCCCCAGGAAAGATTAAGAGTCACGAGCTGGGGCAGAAAAAAGAAAAGGAAAAGATCCGTCCCCGCCGACCGCAGGCCCGGGGTAGACCGCCTCTGCCCGCGCTGGCCCGGCGCCGGCGATAGAGAGAGAGGGGGGTTAAGAAAGCAATTGGTGTTGTTTTCTTCTTGTTCTTTTTACCCCATTGTTTTTTTTTATGATAGAGGACGGGCCGGGACACACAGAAGTACCTGGTCATGCGCCCAGGCGGAACCAAACTGCCTTTGGTAGGTGGTCAAGGTGACAAGGTGTCACACACACACAGCCTTGGAACTACCTTTGTGGATGGGAGCCGCCAGCGTGGGAGGCTCAATCAGATGCTGGATTGAGGGTTCCACCTTTTTGTTTGTGGTTTGCTTCTGGAGTGTTTCTGGAGATAAGAAGGGTTAATGTCACTGGCAAGGTTTGCCTCAAAGCACGCATGTCCAATGCCATGATGCACTACGTCAATGGCTAGGTTATGGAAAGAGTTTTTATGTTTTCAGGTTGCTTACCTTACCCAGTGTCATGACTTGCGTGCTGCGTCTCATACTGACACCTAACTATTCTGGAACTTCGGCTTATCGAGATCGCTTACACGGTGCATGCTGTATCTGCAGGCAGTGGAGGCTTGCAGACTGCGGTATAGGACTTACCCGACCGGCTTTCAATTTCATAATCTATCCCGCAGTGCGGAATAGTAGAGTATTATGTCAAACGTCAATTTGATGGCTGACTTCCCCACTGCAAAGGCGCGCCAACTCGAACTAAGTTAGGAGGACAACTGGCGTCTACAATCAACAATAGATAACAGACCCGAGTTCATATCATGACTTCGTTCATGAAAGCAGGTAATTGACCACCATGCAAGCGTATCATGTGCCATTCAAACCCCTGCCTGTCAATTCTCACAAAAGAACAGAAAAATTGATCACCCTCACTGAAGTTTTTTTTCTTCTGATACTGTTCCCTCTTGGCGTAGAGATTGTAGAGGGCGGAATGGGTTGCGTCCGCCGCTAGCCGTCAATTGCCATTGCTCATGAGGTCATGCCCCTCCATTTGAATTGATTGGCAGGGGAGGGGAGATTTCGACACTGAAGAACCAGGACAAAGATTTTTTTGACAAGGTCACATTACATATACTTGCAGCGGGCTTATCGAGGGGGATCGGGCCTATCCTATAGGGTTTTGTTGAATGCGAGGCGAGGGGGGCATGATGGCGTGGCGGTTCGTGTCATGATATCGAGATATTGGACAGAAAAGGTACGACCGACGGGGGACAATGGGATGGGCTTTCGTAAAAAATTCGTCATTTGTGAGTTTTCTTTTCTAGGTATCATGCTCGACTTATTAATTTTTTCCTGTCTCTTAATTGGGGGGCCTGTTGAAAGACCATTCTTATCTATTCGTGTCCATTGCCAGACCGCCACCATTTACCGGTACTTCACACCATCCTCTCCCATTCATGCCCTCTCAGCCTCCTTCCGTGCCTGCTCCTCCTCGAGAATCTCGCGCTCGCGGGCCGCTGCCTCAACACCGGCCTTCATGCCCTTTGCGCGCTGACGCGCCTCGTACATGTCGCGGCTCTTCATGATGCGCTGCACGATCTCGCCAGCGTTGACGTGCGCGAATGTATGCGCGCCGATCATACGGTGGATGCCCATTGCCTTGGGTGCTGTGTACGGGTCGTATGTCAGGGGCATGAAAGCAGTTGGGCCGTGGTACACGGCGTCTGGGGTTCCGCGCGGCAGCGTTGTGAGGTATGTCCTTGTAGGTGCGAAGGGCGCGCCAAATACAACGGCGTTGATGTACTGGAGGGGGTGTCAGCTTTTCTCATCTGGGGTAAAATGGTGTGGTGGTTGTGGGATTCTTGTTTACCTTGCATTGCAGAACGCAGAGACCGCGCTCGAAGATGTTCATGATGGGGTAGTTGATTCCCTTCCACTGGTTGATCACCTCGTCCTCGTGAACACCGACTACGACGTAGGCCGGGCCGTAGTCCTCTCCCTTGCCCTTTCGCTCGTTCACGGCTTGCTCGGAAAACCAGCCATCTTTGCGCGCGACTTCATCTTCCTCGAGAAGGACCTGGCGCAGGAACTCGATGTGGCCGCTGGAGAACAGATCATAACCTCCGTCAACGTACACGACGCGCTGTCCAGGCTTGGGACCGGGTCCCTCGATAAGCTGTCGGAAGCTACCCCTTTCGTCCTCGGCGTCTTCGGATTTGGCTTCTTGAGACGCAGTCCAGAAATGCACCTCGGCGCCGGGTGCCTTGCCCGAGGCATCGGTAGCGTAGAGCTTCATGCGTTCCAGCATCGCCTGTCCCTCAGCGACGCGCTCATCGGGAGTTCCGTGACCCTCGTCGCCGGCGAGCTTCTTCTCGAGCGACTTGATAAAGTGAGTCTTTGTGCACAGCAGCATGCGACCGACGAGGTCGGTGGTGGAAATGCCAGGTGAGCGCTTAACCACCTTGAATCGGCCGGCCTCCTTGACGAATCGGTAGCAGTCGTTACCATCGCTGTCCGAGGTGATGTCGTCGCCGTGAACGACGTATTTGCAGCCGTAGTGGGTGATGTAGGGGAGGGATGTGACGTATGGCGCATGGCCGACTGAACGGGTGACCCAGCGACAGGCGTCAGTAGCAGCAAGTCTGCGACGCGTCAGTAAGTGATTTTGGGGTTTATCTGTCGCTTGACAGACAGTAGAGATTGCGCAAGTTACCGTTCTGCGAGGGTCATGACCGTAGGACCCTTGTTGGCGAGGATGGCTTCATCAGAGTGAACACCAGCGTAGAGCTCATCGCCTAATTGACGGGCCTGGACAATAGCACCAGCGTGACCTAGAAATGTCAGTATCGCTGGTTGAAAAGATCCAGAAGAGTAACATACCGTGGTGGAAAAAGTCAAAGCAGCCATCGACCCAGATACGTCCCTCATGGAGCTCAGGAGAAGGCTCACCCTCAAGACGAAGCTCATCGTCGACAGAGGGGTTAGTGGGGTTAGAGGAAGCCATGGTGGCGAGAAAAAGAATGAGATATACGATAACGAAGTGCTTCAGTGTAGGGAATGCGCAAGTCCAAGATAGAATGTGAAAAAGAATGCCAAAAAAGAAGCGGTGGTGATTTGTTTAAGATTAAAAAGTTCTCCTGTAAGGTGATTGTAAAGTAAACCACATAATACGTAACTCAGACTGAGCCGTTGGGGAGGTTAATGAGCTTTGGTTGCGCTAACAGTTTTACGAGGGTATGATTGGTCCGTTTGGCTGCTGAGCTTTTGGTAATTTAATGAGGTCGGTTGCGCTTTGGTAACGTTGGACCCTCTGATTGAAGAGCCTCATGTATTTCATTGTAGGGAAGCAATCTGTGAAGCGATAAAGATGCCTAATTAACAATTAGTGACAATGAATTTCGAAGACTGCGCAGTTGAAGGCACTTGGAATAGCCTGTCACATGCCAACATCAACAGCCCCGCCATGTAATTTCGTGATAATTATCCATGCTCGTGTTCAACAAATACTCAACTTACCCCTGGATCCCTTCATGGCTCGCCTATCCACCCAACGTCATCTTCACCGTTATCGTTAGCCGGCTTCACTTATCTCTCCCTCTCCCACTCACCGAACATCCCCGGACTTCACTTCTTTTCCCGGACCTGAAGACCCTGCATCAGCTCCACTTCCCCTCGGCCCTTGCCGCCACGTTTCCGATCCATTGGCTCCGATCTTTGCCTTAATCGGTCCTCGTCGGGCCAAGATCCCCCGGAGGGTATGGATTGCTCCTTGACAGCGACCGACGATGTGGTCAAGGTTCTTGGGGTAAGGCGCGATGACACCCTACAACTTTGGGGGAGGGTATGCGGTATATAAGATGGCGATGGTCCGGTCGTTATGGCATGGCTCTCTCACCATTGGCAATTGTGAATTGACTCTTCATCATGAAGTTCACTACTGTCTCGGCGCTTCTGGCCCTTGTATCTCCTGCTCTCGCTGACTGGCACTTCGCCAAGGGCAAGGATATCAAGTACACCTCTGTCGAGGGTTTCTTCATGCAGGATGACCTTGCCACTGACGCCAGCAAGTTCGACTACGTATGAGCCTCAGCTCTCACTTTAATGTCATCGACTAACAAATACAGGCTCAATGGAACTTTGGTCTCTTGAACCGCACATATCCCACAGATCCCAAGAACCCCCGAAAGGGCTACAAGACTCAGTGGGAGCGATTTGAGCAGTATGTCAAGCACCTCAACCGCAACGCTAGCCGGGACAGGACGCGATACAAGGTTCTTGTTATGGGACGACACGGTGAGGGTTGGCACAATGCTGCCGAGGCTTTCTATGGAACACCAGCCTGGAACGCAAGTAGTCCATATGAACACTTTCAACTCATACTGACAAAGATTTAGTGCTACTGGGGCCTTCAGTCTGGTAACGGCACAGCCATCTGGGAGGATCCCCTCCTCACACCCGCCGGTGTCAATGAGGCTCTCAAGGCCAATGCCTACTTCAAGTCCCGGTTCGAAGACGAAGGCATGCCGTTTTTTGACAAGTACTATGCTTCTCCCTTGAGCCGCTGCATCGAGACAGCCCACGAGACATTCAAGGGTCTGGACCTCCCCAAGGATAAGCCTTTTGTGCCTCTCGTTAAGGAGCTTCTTCGCGAGGGTATCAGCATCCGTACATGCGACCACCGCAGCAACAAGACCTACATCAGCACTCTAACACCCAAGATCAAGTTCGAGAAGGGGTTTGCTGAGAAGGACCCTTACTGGACTGGCAAGAAGGGCGAGACGGGTGAACATCAACTAGAGCGAAGCAAGGACGTCCTCGATGATATCTTCACCGCTGATAACTCTGTGTGGATCAGCATCAGCAGCCACTCTGGCGAAATCACCAAGCTTCTTCAGGCCCTTAACCACAGACCTTTCCGCCTCGCTACTGGCCAGATCATTCCCGTTCTCGTCAGGGCTGATATAGTGAATGAGGAACCTTCCTCTACTTATGCATCCTGGATGACCGAAGCGACCTGCAACGCCCCGCCTGTGACTAGCCTCTCTGGACAGGGTTGCGTGTGCTCGACTACATTGGCATCTGCACCAGCAAAGGCAACATAGGATCTTAATAGAAGAAGGAAATTATATTGATCATGTAGTGATCGCTAACTCAGTACATAGAAAACATGCAAAGACTGTTTGACTACTACAAAGAAAAGATATGACAGTAAATGCCTCCATCCCTGCGGCTTGTGTACAATCTTGCCGCTCCCATTATCCATCATTCTCTTCAAAGAGCTCCGCTTGCACATTTGGCGCCGTCGCCAGACAAGTTCAAGATAGCGCCGCCTTGTATAGATGTAGGGTTGGCAGTGCTTCCTAGGGTAAACTTCCATGTCTGACCCAGTAGATTCTCCTGCGCGAACAGTGACCCATCAGGCGCTGCCATAACGGCTCCCCAGATCAAGTTGAGGGCCGTTAGTAGGAGGTTGGGGTAGGTCTGGTATCGCTCCCACTTTTGCGTGGTCAAGGACCATCGAACAATGTTTGTCCGTAGAAGACCGGATTCTATGATTGAGGCCTGTACAGCGTAGAGATAATCACCTCCACCTGGAACATATGCCCAATCACCCACTCCAGAAATGAGACCAATACTGCTCGTGCCAGAACTGATAAGCTTTCCAAAGTTGGCGCCGCGTCTGAGATCAATCGACCACCATTTTCCTCCACCTTCAGACACCCATAAGCGTCCTTGGTTGTCGACATCACCCATGCTGATCGAGTTGCTCTCAATAATAAGCGGCAGCACCTCGTAATTACCATTTTTGGCAATACGGATGAGTTGCGACTGTGGACAGCCGAGGAGACCGCAGACGAGATTCTTGAGAAGTGGCTGCGTGACAAACCCGTAGATGTAGTTGTCGACAGGGTTGAAGCCAATACCGTTGATGGCACCACCAGGGCCCACGCCTGATTTGATGGTGACTCGATCTCCGGTGATGAGGTTGACTTGTGTGAGAGTATTGGATAGCAGACTTGAGAGGACGAAGCCGTATCCATTACAGTCAAAGGTCGGACCAAAGGCTGCTTGAGGCATCATGCTGGTGCTAGTTGTAGCATGGCTAGTGGTAGGTACGATGACAACGGCACTGCTCGTGGTGATTACTACTGGAGCAGCACTAGTTGTAGTAGGGACAACCACTGCTGCTGAGCTGGTAGTTGGTATTGCAACGGGTGCACTAGATGTAGTAGGTAGAACAACTACAGCAGAGCTGGTAGTAGTTGGGACAACTACTGCTGCTGAACTACTTGTAGTTGGAACAATTACTGGTGCTGAGCTGGTTGTAGTTGGCAGTACCACGACGGGAGCACTAGACGTAGTAGGGATAATCACAGCTGCTGAACTTGTAGTTGGTACCACAACCGGGGCACTAGATGTAGTTGGGATAACCACTGCTACCGAGCTAGTTGTAGTAGGTAGAATAACTACAGCAGAGCTAGTAGTAGTAGGGAAAACTACTGCTGCTGAACTAGTTGTAGTAGGGAAAACCACTGGTGCTGAGCTGGTAGTAGTTGGTGGTACCACAACGGGAGCATTAGACGTAGTAGAGATGACCACTGCCGCCGCGCTAGTTGTTGTAGGTGGAATAACTACCGTAGAGCTGGAGTTCGATACTACTGGTGCCACAGCAGAGCTCGATGTGGTTGGTGGAACCGCGACGAGAGTCTCAATGATGATGGTGCCTGGCTCACCAGCCGCAGTAGGTGGGTTGTAAAGAGTGCGACCGGTAGCAGCTGTGCTGGCAGCAGCAATGAAGACGGTGACGTTGGCGGTTGCAACAATAGGCATAGACGTGCTAGGAACACCCGCTGGTGACGAGGTTGAAGTACCTGGACTTGCAGTCGGTGTTTCGATAAGGACTGTTCCTGTACCACCTTCTGAGATTGGAGGCCTATACATGGTCACAGTAACAGAACCAGATCCACCAGCGTAGATTGTGACATTCTGTACCACAGCTGGTGCTGATGTAGTCCCTGCTGAAGATGTCGCTGCTGGAGCAGAGCTGGGCGTTTGGATGAGGATTGTCCCAGGCTCACCGGACGAGGCGGGAGGAACATAGATAGTCGTCGTAATGGATACAGGGCCCTCAATGTAGCGAGTCACGTTCTGTACTACGACAGGTGTCGCACTCGTGCTTGAAACTGCTGCAGTTGTTGTTTCTGCAGGAGCCGAAGTTGGGGTTTGGATAAGCACTGTTCCGGGCTCGTTAGACGCCGTGGGAGGAATGTATATAGTCGTCGTCACAGAAGCTGGACCACCAACATAGCGAGTCACATTCTGAATTGAACTTGCAGACTCAACACTTGTGGTAGTATAAGCAGCTGTCGGGGTCTGGATAACTACTGTGCCAGGGTCTCCGGATACAGCAGGTGGGAAATAAATGGTCGTGGTGATTGATGCAGGGCCACCGACGAAGCGAGTGATATTCTGGATGGCGCTCTGAGCTTCAGCACTTGTTGTAACCGCACTACTGGTGACAGCAGCTGATGGCGTCTGGATAACAACAGTACCAGGCTGACCAGACGTGACAGGAGGGATGTAGATAGTTGTCGTAACCGACGCAGGGCCTTCCACATAGCGAGTGACATTCGGAATTGTGCTGGGCAACTCGATGGTCGTAACAGTCTCGCTAGCAGGTACAGATGAGGTTCTCTGGCTAGTGGGCTCAGCCGTGGGTGTTTGGATAATTACTACACCAGGATCGCCAGATGCTGAAGGCGGAATGTAAATGGTTGTCGTGATAGAAGCAGGACCGCCGACATATTGCGTGATGTTCTGAACCACAGTTGGTGGACCAGCTGCTGTAATAGTTTCACTGATAGGTGTAGAGGAGGACTCCTCACTTCCAGGACCATTTGTTGGTGTCTGGATGAGTACCGTACCCGGTTCACCAGACGTTGCAGGAGGGATGTAAATCGTTGTTGTAACCGAAGCAGGGCCACCAACGAAACGAGTGACATTCTGGAGTCCACTGGGCAACTCAGAGCTTGTGATCGACACAGAAGTGATGTCTACAGGACTGGACGTAGGTGTCTCGATGAGCACTATGCCTGGTTCGCCGGATGCTGTAGGAGGGATGTAAATAGTTGTTGCGACAGATGCAGGACCTCCCACAGTACGTGTGACATTTTGAACTTGGGCGATGGTCTCACTCGAGGTGGCTGATGCTGTTGTCTGGTCACTCAAACCAGCGGTTGGGGTCTGGATCACCACTGTACCGATCTTGTCTGGGTCGTCTGATGCAGGCGGGTAGTAGATAGTGGTGGCAGCTGTTCCAGGTCCACCGCTGTAAATGGTAGTGTTCTGGCCACCAGCTGATAGCTCTGTGCTTGAGGTTGTCTCGCCAGTTCCTGACGTTGGTGTCTGAATGATTACCACGCCACCCTCGCCTGATGCAGTAGGAGGGATATAGATGGTCGTGGTGACTGATGCAGGACCTCCGACGTAACGAGTGACGTTCGCAGGCTCATTAGGGCCCGAGGTCGGTGTCTCGATGACGATTGTTCCAACGCCATCTGGATCATCTGAGGCGGGTGGAAAGTAAACTGTCCTGGTGGTTGAGCCAGATCCACCGCTGGTGATAGTAACATTTGAGCTAGCTCCTGGAGCAGCGATAGTGCCTGTAGGAGTCTGGATGACAATAGTCCCGGCTTCTCCTGATGAGGCTGGAGGTAGATAGATTGTCTGAATGACCGTACCTGGACCACCACTCGTAATTGTAATGTTTTGCAACTCGCCAACACTGAGTGGGCTTGTAGCTGTACTGCTTATAGCCTCTGTACCAGTCTCTTCACCATCCGGACCTGCAGTAGGGGTCTGGATGAAGATTATATCTGGCTCGCCCGAAACTGTAGCCGATACGTATATGGTAGTCGCAACTGAACCAGGACCGCCACCATGTACAGTAGTGTTTGGTCTGCCCTGAGGAGACACAACCACTCCTGTGGTAGAAGCAATGATCCCGGCAGTATCTGTTTCGTCATCGGCTGAACCTCCAGTAGGAGTTTGGATAACAATAGTGCCCGCCTCACCGGACACGGTAGGTGGAATGTAAAGTGTTTGAGTAACAGATCCGGGGCCGCCACTATATATCGTAACGTTGCTTACAATAGATTCGGTAGCAGAGGGGTCAATGGATCCCGTCGGAGTCTGAATGTAGACTGTGCCCGGGTCCCCTGAAACTGTCGCTGGTACATAGACTGTTCTTGTGGCTGTGCCGGGAATGCCAGTGAATATTGTGATATTTCCAGGAGTGTCTGCAGTTGGTGAAGCAGTGGAGCCATCCGGGGTTTCGATAATGACGGTTCCAGCCTCACTCGTTGCTGCAGGGGGCACATATATGGTGCGAGTAGCAGTCACAGGGCCACCGCTGTACACAGTAACGTTGGCCAGGGCATTGATGGGGGTCTCCGAGGCGCCAGTAGGTGTCTCAACCAGGACCGTATCTGGTAGCCCTGATATGCCAGGGATAGTGATTGTAGTTGCGACTGACACTGGGCCACCTCTTGTGATGGTAACGTCGTCTTGGCTATTTTCGACACTCGATGTTCCCTCGTCCGCTGATCTAGTAGGCGTCTCAATGATAACTGTGTCAGGCTGTCCTGAAAGACCGGGGATAGTGATTGTGGTTTCAACCGTTGCAGGACCGCCTCTCGTGATTGTAACCTCGTCATCCTGACTACCACTGATCGCTGTCGGTGTCTCAATGACGACCGTGTCTGGTTGTCCGGACAGACCAGGGATTGTGATTGTGGTTGCTGCTGACACTGGGCCACCTCTGGTGATGGTAAAGTCATCTTGGCCATCGTCGGTCGTCGATGCCTCAACTTTCACAGACCTAGTTGGGGTTCTGATGAGAACGGTATCTGGTTGACCTGATACACCGGGAATGGTGATCGTAGTCGCGACCGATACGGGACCGCCGCTGATGAGAGTCACATCATCTTGGCCGTCGCTAGTTTCCGATGCCTCTCCACCCGCTGATTCTGTTGGAGTTTGAATAAGAACTGTGCCGGGTTGACCTGAGATGCCTTGGATGGTTACTGTCGTTGCAACTGACACAGGACCGCCTCTTGTTATAGTAACCTCATCCTGACTGTCGCCAGTCTGTGTTGGCTCCTCTTCATCAACGGCATCAGTTGGTGTTTCGATAAGAACTGTATCTGGCTGGCCTGAGATACCGGGAATCGTAATAGTAGTTGCAACGGATACAGAGCCACCGCTTGTGATAGTAACCTCGTTCTTGTCATCTCTAGATACAGTTGGTGTCTGGACAAAAACTGTATCTGGCTGGCCTGAAACTCCAGGAATAGTGATCGTAGTTGCGACCGACACAGGCCCACCACTCGTGACAGTGATTTCATTCTGGCTGTCGCCAGTCCCCGAAGGCTCTCCATCATCAGCTGATACAGTTGGTGTCTGGATGATAACTGTGCCGGGCTGACCGGACACACCAGGTATATAGATAGTTGTCGCAACGGAACCTGGACCCCCCTGGGAAAGTGTAACGTTTGCTATACCAGTACCCGTCTGAGCCGGGTCTTCGTCGCCAACAGACTCCGTGGGCGTTTGGATGATGACTGTACCAGGCTGTCCTGATTGTCCAGCAACGTAAATGGTTGTTGCAACCGACCCTGGACCACCCTGTGATACCGTGACATTAGAAACACCAGTAGGTGCACCTGTCACAGAGCCTGTGTCCTCAGCAGCACCAGTTGGTGTTTCGACCAGAACAGTATCTGGCTCGCCAGAGATAGTGGCAGGAATAAATACAGTTCTGGTAACTGTTCCTGAAACACCGCTGAAAATAGTAGTATTGGTCTCGCCACTACCCAAACCTGAAGTCTCTGCTTGTGATCCAGTGGCTGGTGTCTCAACCAGTACAGTGTCCGGCTCTCCAGAAACAGTCGCTGATATGTACAAGGTTCTAGGTGCAGTGACTGGGCCACCACTGAAGATTGTTGTATTTGCTCGGCCACCTGCAGCTGTGCTCGTGACCGAGGATTCATCTCCCGTCTCCTCAGCATCACCAGGTAGAGTCTCGACGATGACTGTGCCGGACTCTTCTGGATCATCAGGAGGGAAGTAAAAGGTTCCTCCAGCTGTTCCAGGAGCTAGGGTGTAAATGGTGACGTTGCCAGGACTGACAGTCGAGAAAGCTGGCGCGACTGTTATGGTTCCAGTCTCAAGTGTAGAGGCTTCTTCCGCGCCGCCAGTGGGAGTCTCAATGATGACCGTTCCTGGTTCTCCAGATGCTGTAGGTGGGATGTATACAGTTCTCGTTACACTGGCTGAGCCTCCGCTAATGATAGTGACATTGCCTCCTGACATGGTAGGTTCAATAGTAGTTCCAGAAGCTTCCTCTGATGTCTCCGACGCGGACTCGTCTCCATCATCGTCAGAGCCAGAAGTTGGTGTCTCAATAGCGACAGTTCCAACTTCTCCCGAAACGGTCGCAGGGATATATACGGTTCTTGTGGTTGTGCCAGGTCCGCCACTGTAGATAGTAACGTTGCCTGTTACAGCCGCTGTTGCAGATGCCTCAAAGTCCGGAACCGAGGTAGGCGTTTGGATGATGACAGTGCCTGGTGCGCCAGAGGCAGTGGGTGGTACGAAGACAGTTTCTCTGACTGTTCCAGGGCCTCCGATGAAGATAGTAACATTGCCAGCAGAAGAAATAACTGCTGGTTGGCTGGCAGTCTCTGAGCTGGTAATGCTCTCACCATCATCTGTAACTGTGTCTTGATCAACTCCTTGCGTAGGTGTTTGGATGATCATGGTGGTTGAATCGCCAGATGCACTTGGTGTCAGGTAGATAGTTGTAACAGCTGTGCCTGGTCCACCACTGAATACAGTCACATAAGTTGGGTCGCCGGTTCGTGAAACATCAATTGGAGTCTCTATAATCAGCGTTCCAGAGTCTCCTGAAGCCGTACCAGGGATGAACCGAGTAGTAGCAGCTGTCGCTGAGACTCCACTGTAGATGGTCACATTGGCAGGGCCTGATCCAGATGTTGGAGTCTCGATGATGACAGTATCAGGTTCATCTGTAGCGGTCGCAGAAACAATAATGGTTCTAGTTACGGAACCAGAACCGCCAGAGTAGACAGTAGTACTGTCTCTGTCACTATCAGCCCTCACAGCAGGTGTTTCAATGATGATGGTTCCAGGTTCGCCAGATGCGGTTGGGGGTATGTAAATTGTGCGAGTGCCAGCTGCTGAGACGCCACTATAGATAGTGGTATTTCCACTGCCTCCATCGTCGACACTTGAAGTTGGGGTCTCGATAACGATCGTTCCGGGTTCGTCAGTTACCGTAGCGGGTATGTATCGTGTTTGAGTGACAGTAGCGGGGCCACCAGTGACAATAGTAACATTACCTATGCCCGTGGCTTGTGATCCAGATGTTGGGGTCTCAATAACCACAGTGCCTGGTTCTCCCGAGACAGTAGCCGGAATGAAGCGAGTAGTCGTAGAAGAAGCAGGTCCTCCACTGTAAATAGTCACATTGCTTACCACTCCAGAGGTAACAACTGAAGTCGGGCCACCAGCACCTGTGCCTGTGATTGTAGGATCATCATCATTTGGATCAGGTGTAGGCGTCTCAATGACGACAGTGCCAGCCTCGCCCGAAGCGGCGGGAGGGATATAGATAGTGCGGGTGGTAGACCCTCCAAAGCCACTATATATGGTGACGTTCGGGATAATCCCAGAGGGTAGAATAGTACTCGTAATACCTGCTGAAACGTCGACATCACCTCCAGACTCGGAGGCAGGTGTTTCAATGATGTAAGTTCCAGGCTCTCCCGAAGCCGTAGGCGAGACGTACTTTGTGATTCTGGTTGATGCAGTTCCCTGAGTGAAGATGGTCACGCCGGACCTGGCATCTGAGGCACTGGTTGGGTCCTGGTTTCCAGAGTCCCCAGTAATGCTACCGGAGTCTGAATCAGAGACTGGTGTCTGTATGATGATAGTCCCAGCCTCGCCAGATGCTGTAGGGGGGATGTACAGTGTCACTCTTACAGAGGCAGTGCCCGAGCTGAAGACTGTCACGTTGGGTATAACGCCAGACTCCAGAGTTGTAGTCTGACTACCAATGTCGGCATCTCCCGTTGTTTCGGTATCCACTTGAGAGACAGGAGTCTCGATAATGATGGTACCAGCCTCACCCGAAGCAGCCGGAGGTAGGTAGATAGTCTGTCTGGCCGTTGCAGTGCCCGACGTAAAGATCGTAACATTTGCAATTCCAGCAGGAGATCCAACTGTGGGCTCACCATTATCAACACCATCAGTTTCTTCAGGATCATCATCAGATACAGGAGTCTCAATGATGATATACCCTGGTCCATCTGAGGCCGTGGGTGGCACGTAAACGGTGATCCTGCTTGAAGCAGTGCCGGAACTATAGACTGTGATATTCGGCCTGACTCCAGAGGTTTCAAGGGACGTGTTACTGGCAGTGTCCTCGTCATCGTCAACTGCAGATGTTGCAGCAGAAGTAGGGTTGTCAATAGAAGCAGCTGTAGTAGTGGCAGCAACAGTGGGAGCTGCGCTACGTGGTGTCTCAATAATGATAGTACCAGGTTGGTCAGCTGCTTTAGGAGGTATATAGAATGTCCTCCTCGCACCGCTTGCACCAGCCCTAAATATGGTAACGTTGGTATTACCACCGATGGCGGAAGCAGTAACTAGTACATCATCGTCCCCGCGAGCAGTTGCCGCTTCAGACTGTGTCTCTGGAACTGGGGTCTCGATGACAACAGTCCAGGGATCACCAGAGGCCTGGGGAGGGATGTATAGGGTTGTTCTCTCTGGGCCGGAACCGGATTTAAAGACAGTGATGGTTGCTGCTTCACCGTCTGAGGCTTCAGTGGTCTGGCCGACGTCGGCGGTGATGACGATGAGGGGATCTCCAGCGGATACAATAGTGCTAGCTTCTTCATCATTGTTGGTGTTTGAATCAGATCCAGATCCTGATTCTGCGGCACCAGTAGGAGCGCTGAGGTCTGAGGTGTTGCTCTCGGCACCGGCATCTGTCTCGGATACTTGGCCGTCGATCACACTTGAGGCGGAAGTTTCAGTTTCGCTCTCGTCATCTTCATTTTCATCTGAAGAGCCAGTTTGAGAAGCAATACCAGAGGCTCCTGTGCTCGTGACTGTACTGATCTGAGAGCTCTGGCTTCCAGTTGCAGAAGTTCCATCGTCAGCTGTTTCTGACGAGGTATCCCCAGCAGAGCCATCGCCGCTGATTAAGCTTTGTCCCGAACTACTCGGCGAAACACCCGAGGAGGCACTGCCAGGCGTTCCGTCGGTGACAGCCTCTCCATCAGAAGCAGATACTGTAGATGAAGCATCACCATCCTGAGCATCACTAATCCCTGAACTTCCTTCGCGAGTGATTGAGCCTCCTACACCACCAGCTGGTAGGACTGTGACGCCTAAGCTTGTGCGTGACTGTCCCCCATCCGCTTCAGTGGACTTCGAGTCGCTTTGACGGGTAGTCGAAGGGCCTACAGAGGAAGCAGAGCTAGAAACTCCACTTCCTATGGTAGTCGACTGTCCAGCAGCATCAGTCCTCGAAACCTGACTCGAAGTAGTTGGTGAGCCGTCAGATGCTACACCACTGCTCGCTTCGCTTGCTGCCAGGAGAGTTGATGAAGTCTCATCGCCTTGCGGTACTCTATCGGACTCAGCCACACTTTGAGAGCCGACAAGCGTCTCTATATTGACACTCTCCGCCGAGGTAGTAGTACGTCGACTTGTGGCTTGCGACACGCTTGAGGTGCCAGAACTAGAACCACTGGCCGATTGAGACTGTGTGACTTCGCTACCAGACACAGATACAGCGTTACCAGTTGTAGTAGAGCTGGAAGGACTTGAAGAACCAGTCGCAGTGCTTTGACTCAATGTTTCACCGCCAGCTCTTGTGTTTGCATTTGGTGAAGTGCCGCCTCCAGATATAGAGGCAGATGCCCTCGATCCTGAAGATGTCGTAGTACCAACTACACCAGCGCGAGTAGATTGAGAGCTGGTTCCAGTTGCAGATCTCTGCGTGCTAGTCTCATCATCTTGTGATGCGTTTCCATTATCGTTGTTTGCCGAGGTTGATTGAGATCCGGCATCCCCAACAGATACTGAGCTACTCGCTCCAGCACTTCTCTGAGTACTTCGAGATGTTGTGCCGGTGTTAAGACCAGTGGATTCTGTGCCTAATCCTTGTGGTAGAGCTGTGAAACGCTGTGTTGACGTAGTGGCACCAGAGTCTGTAGACTGTTGCGAGTCGGTAGACTTAGAAGTGGCTGATCCTTGTCCTTGACGTGTTGACGATGGTTTCTGAGAAACACTTCCACTGGAATCTGTGGAGTTTTGAGTAATAGATGCTGCGGGATTTGTTTCGACTGGGCCGAGTTCCAAAATTGTGGTCTCGTCATTCGATGATCCAGCAGGATTGCTTGCTGTGGAAGTCTTACTACGTGTAGAAGGCGAACTGCTGCTACCAGGGCGAGCACGGGTACTCGACGTGGTAGAGGGTTCTAGCTCGGGTGGTCCTGGACGTCCTCCATTACCTTGAGGTTCTACTTCAATCAGGGTTGTCCTGGAAGTCCTTGACGAAACTCTCGATGTAGAAGCCCCCTTATAGCCTGCACCAGCAGAGGTTGCAGCTTTCGTAGCTGCGTTGCTCGAAGTCCACCAGATGGTCTTTCCATTGGCATCTGTAGTCCAAGCGTGCATACCCATTTTGGCACTCTCCCATCCTGTGCTGGTGTCCCATTTGCTTGTCTTTGTACGAGTAGCCTTGGATTCTTCGTTGGTGAGGGTCTTGACAACATCTGCGGTGATGGTGATCACCGTGTTGCTTGATGTGACGGTGTAAGTAGCTGGCGATGTCGTGACAACTGGTTTCCGAGTTTTTGACTGGCTCTGAGCAGTAGCCGATTTTCGTTTTGAAGAGGATTTGCTGGGCGCATTCTCTGCATCTCCTCCTGTGTCGTTGGGATCTCCATCGCTGCCGCTTCCATTTGATGCGGTACCACCAGAGACTGGCTTAGAGCCCCCTTTCGAACCACTGCTTGACTGTTCGCCGTTATTCTTTCCACCAGAGCCCCCAAAATCAGGGTCATCCTCATCATTTGACCCATTGCCGCCTGATGAGGTCCCCTTCCCCCCGGAACTTCCATCCTCTGAGTCTGGGTCATCATCCGAGCCATTCTCTCCCGACTGCGTGCCACCACCAATTGGCTTATCACTACCATCAGAGTCGTTGTTGGAAGCGCTTTGGGTACTCCCCGAAGAACTTCCAGATCCAGTGCCACTTCCCCCTTGACCATTATTGGTTCCGGAACCTCCTTGACTTCCGTCCTGAGAGCCTCCCGAGCCACTACCACTTGAAGTCTCGTCTTCATTAGAGTTGGAAGACCCGCCGTTGCCTGAGTTGTTACCGCCATTGGATCCTGAAGAGCCGGCATTGTCTGAATCGCCTTCCTCGTCATCTCCTGCAGAACCAGAACCGTTGCCTTGAACACTTCCTTGAACCTCCCCGCTATCGCCACTTCCCGAGTCTCCGTCACTGGAGCCACCACCTTGGCCAGGTCGACTAGACGTGTCACCACTATTGGATCCTGTTCCAGATCCGTTTTCGTTTGAACCACCACTGGAGCCACCTTGATTACCACTGTTGGATCCTGCGCTAGCCTGAGTGTTATCGTCATCACTATCGCCATTGTTTCCAGTGGGCTGAGTTCCAACTGGAAATCCGTCTGCGTCTTCGCCGCTGTCTGTCCGTGAATTGCTCGAATCTTCTGGGGTCAAAACAAGGATAGTACCAGGGTTTCCGCCCTCTGGAGGGATGGTAATGGTTTCTCGTGGCCCGGCGGCATCATTTTGTCCCTGGCCTGGTCTGCCTTGAGCATTTCCAGAACCATCTCCTCCATTCGATCCTGCTCCATTCTGACCCTCAGCTGAGCCACCGTCAGCGTCGCCAGATGAGCCGTCGCCTGAATCACTGTCTGAGCCACCAACCCCCAACGGTACACCTCGGGTGATGGTAGTGTACGAAACTGATCCTTCGGGACGGGTACGCGAGGGTGGAAAAGCTGTGCCAGCTGCTCCGGTAGCCTGAGCCCCTCCCGATCGCCCTCCATTACCCTCAGGGGGTGTTTGGATGAGAACAGTACCGGGCTTGGTACCTGTTGGAGGAATTGTAGTACGAATTGGAGCTGTCGGTAGAACGCTCCCCTCGGCAGGTTCGATGATGGTCACATAACCAGTAGCATCCGTAGGCTGGAGGGTAATTGTTTTACCTATAAGACGTCCTAAGGGTCCCAGAGTATTGAAGTAGAGTGTTTCCAGAGCCAAAGGCATCAAGGTTCCTGGGATTGGTGTTTGTATAATGACGGTACCAGGCCTACCGCCACTTGGAGCCACCGTGATGCGAATTGGATCATTTCCGGTGAAAGAAACACCCGCAGGCTCAATAACGGTGACATAAGATCCGGTCGTTCCATGAGGCTCTAATGTCATCGGCTGCAAGACACCAGGAGTAGCATCATCCGCCGCTTGTGTCTCTGGTGTTTCAATAATAATTTGTCCTGGCTGGCCATTTCTCGGTGGAACAACCTGAGTAATTGGTGCTGAGATTGGGTCAGGTCCCTGATAAGGCCTTATAATAATCACATAAGATCGCTCGTCAGTTGCGGGTATGACGATATTCTCTGGCGCTGAAGAGCCACCTGGTTGTTCCACGATAACAACGCCTGGTTCATCGCCCTGAGGTGGTACTGTGTACAAGGCTGTGACTGACCCTCGGTAGGGCTTTGTGATGGTGATGTAATCGGGGTCGTCTGCAAGAACTGGGTAGACCGAAACATATGTGTAACAAACTCCTGAAAACTCATTATTAATACCAAGAACTGACCTATCATTCTGAACACCTAATAAGCCACGTGATGTGCCTGTCAAGCTGGCAAAGAGGAGGTGTCGCAGCACGACAAAAGAAGGCCGCATTTTCACAGTGGCTGATTCACAATGTGTATCAAGAGATGAATGGGAGATAAGAACATTAGATGCAGAATAGGAAATGAGGCTTTGCGAGCAGAGTTCACTCACAATTGAGGAGTTTACTTCCTATAAGACTGCAAATCGACTTTGGCTGACGCTATATCCGGATTCGGGGTTTCCCACAGAATTGGATCTGGGTAGAGCTTTCATACTGTATTGAGAAATTCATGATGATGTAGGGAATTGAGGGTCCACAAAGGCATTGTCAATCTGGATCTGGGACGTTGCTGGGGGGGAGCCATCATGCCAACACGCCAGCGGATCGGTTCCGTTTTTCATCTTGACATGCACGTTCCTGTGGAAAAGGATAAAACGAAGCTTAAAGCGATTTGTTCAACAAGACAATTTGAGTGGAGATGCCTGCTGACCCAAGTTGTTGAGTTGCTGGAATGCTAATAAGTTGCCATGCACAAAGCGACTTGTGCCATTGCCTGATGTCTTTCTGCTCTGTGTGACTTTTAAGGCAGCTGCTCAAGTCATGTAAATTTACAGCAATTCACTTATGTAGTATCTGCATGGACTGAGTGCCCAAATCGCACATGGTGCCTCGTAGGTTCTAAGACTTTCAAATGGTTTACTGCTTCCCCTTTGTGACACCCACCTAATCAACAACGTCCACAACGGTGTGCCATTTTTGTACAAGGCGTTTCCGTACCTTGGTACCTGGATGCATATGCAAGGGCCCGTCTTCCTCTCACCAATTTTAGAAAGCAAGTTATGCAGATGATGCGCAGTTTTCCAAAGGTGGCAAAGGTGTAGTCGCACTTGAGGAAGCAATCTTAGATCCCCACGCCAAAAGTGACATGTCTCATCACATGGCTCGATACAGGATAGTAAGCCAAGATCGGGCTGTCAAAAAGGAGATCAAAGCGGTTCAATTGGCCTATTCGGTATCAAGGGCGTCGATGTCTCACCAACACGCTGTTTACAGCGGAGAACTTGACGTTATAACTTATACACGGTAAGCATCTAAGTTACTCCACTGCGGAAGCCAGCTCCTTAGCCCCGGGCTGGGGAGACAGACCGGATTTTGACAGAAGTTTATCAGAGCTGTCAGATGCTAGTTCGAGATGCTACCGAGCGATGGTTGAACACTAAACCCTACAGCAAGAGAATACAAGGGCTTTAGACTACCCGAGGAGGCTATCTATTACTGTACCTGCAGTGTGAGAGGCGGCCGCCCGTGCAATATGACCGCTCACTTTGTCTATCAGCACATTCCAGTCTTAATCAGCTTGACAACCACAACATGGAGATGTGGTTACACAAGACCCCGCTGTTACACCAGCAAACGTTTCTGTTTGGCTAGTGCCCAGGACAAAGCTCCCGCAGCTTGGACGCATTCGTCCACGGGATTGAGATCGATGGTCGAGGGGGTGAAGTCAAGATCGCGACGACGTCAAGGGTTTTGGACTGTTCATGTTATCCCTGATTTGGCTTATATTCGTACATATGAGTGGTTCATGTACGCCAGCCACACGATACCATTGGTTATAATTTCCCTTCCAGGTCTTTTTCAGTTTCGATAATTCAATGAGAAGCGCTCTCTGATGACATCGTTTTGGATGAGAAAGTACCTGGCAGCAAGGGCAAAATTCAATCAAATATACCGTTATACGATTGCTTCAAAGATTCTTCAAGCCCAGGAGAAACAGTCCTGCCTCTGGTGCGCGGCTTCAACAATTCCGCTCCTAAATAACTAGCCCTTTGCAATCGACAGGTCCAAGCGGAGGCAAATCGAGTCCACAGCATTTTTCAACGTTTTTTCTTCATAGTCACAAAGCTAGGATGGGAATGTACAACGGATTTGGATATTTCATATCCGTATTTTGTTTGAACTAGCCAATGAGATGATACACTGAGGCTATGTGGAATCCGTTAACAGCATTCCCACCGCACATCGTCCCACACGCGGAGATCAGCTAGACTTCCGAGCAGCCCGGATCTGCAAAGTCTCATCTCAGCCTTGGCAAAATATCGACATCTTAGGTGCCAGGTCTAGTTCATGAGTTCAAAGAGGCCTTTATGGTGTTTGGCATTCCCACAACTCATAAACAAATCACCGGACCTTGTACCTTGAAGAATGTGATTCTCGGCTTGTTGCAGGTTCCACCTGTTCTTTTTGAAAACTTGAAGCCTGCGCTCCATGTACCTGGCTCTCATAGAAGCCTTGTCTTATCTGCGCATGACGCATGATCCAAACTTTACGTATTGTACCTGCAGTCGGGCCAATGGAGGCTCCTTCACGACATGATTTAAGCTTTGACCCTGGTCGATCATGAATTGTCAACTGCTCTGCTATTCAGCAAGACAGCCTATTAACAATCAACCACTTTCTGAAGCTTTCGAGTGCGGAATTGAACCACAGATTCAAATCGACTCCATAGATCAGGGACTGCGCTACCCCAAAGCCACCGCCAATAATCTACTATACTCAAGGTTTGAGATAAAGTTGTGTCAAAGCGTAAGGCATGTCAGTGGTGATGCTTATTGGTTAGTCCAACCCATTACGACCCTGAAATGGTAAATACATCGGGACTAGTCCAGCTTTTGTTCGGTGATTGAACGGAAACGTAGCAATGACCAGCATGGTGGCTGAAGGCGTCGACGTTAACGTTTGCATTCGCTTGACCGGCCAATTGATGGGTTGTACTCAGTTACTAGTCAAAGTATGTATAAATAATGCTGGTAGGACCCTGTGACAATGGTGGATGTTGTGTTGTTCGCGGAGGCAATGGGAAGAAAGTACAGGGTAGGTGTTGCTGATGGAGCACAACACAACATGCGTTACAATTATATTATCTTCACCAGTGGTGGGATATTGTGATTTATTTAATCTGATGATAAAAGCGATAAATATGAAGCGCATACTAAAATAGTTTGACCAGAGATGCTCTACACATTTGAAGTTGTGGTGAGTTTATCAGAACACGTGAGCTCGTGACACAAACAATGAACCATACAAATCATAGCTCGTCCTGTCAAAGTTTCATAATCCCATTCCAACAACCGATAATATACCGATTTACTAACCTCTAATACACTATGAAGAAGTCGGAATAGACAAAATACCTTCTAAAGGTTCGTGAGATAACTGTTCTGCCAAATCATGCCTTCTCAGCATCAAATTTGGACGACGCATTTCAACCAATCAGAGCCACGCCCGGTTAGCTCAATCGGTAGAGCGTGAGACTCTTACGAGTACGCGATCTCAAGGTTGCGGGTTCGACCCCCGCATCGGGCTGTTCCTATATAAAACGATTGCGAGCGATAGCGAGGCATCTCTTTTTTGTTATCCTGGCTTAGGCAGTTAAGTAATATGCAGCATGCTTTCTCAGTGGTTGTTGTTTACAAGTATGCCTACATGCATGTCTTCCGACCATTCCTCTATGCTTACCCTTTTGCTCTGAACTGTTCACTGGAAATTTATGACAGACCGCCCCTTTGCCAGGATTCCGGCACACGGCTTCTGCTACGCTGGAACTCAGTCCAGTTTCGTGGATTGATGTGATTGTTGACCAATCCCGTGAGATGTCGAGGACAACTTCATTGAGTATGTTTCTGCAAGGTGTAAAGCTCCTCCCAACCAATCCAGGTATTGGCTTAGCCAGCAAGATTTCTACTTACAGGAGGTCATGCAGCAAGGGCAGGGGGAATATCTAGTAATGTTTACGTAGTATGCCTACATCCTGGTAAATAATAATCTTAGCTCCACGACTGCATTGATATTCTCCTTTTAACTAAAGGTTGACACCACATCCGTAAGGTGATCATGTATTGCTAAATCAAAGAAAAACCATTTTAGTCTGTTCTTTCATATGGGAAGAGGAGGCGAGCAGAAGATTTGGAAGACTACCTTTCACTAAGATGGGTCTTGTCCTGTATTCAGGTTGTTCGAAATACTATAACTATTTCTCTAAAGGCCAGCCACTAAGCATCATAGTGGCAACTTCCCAAGCAGAGATCCTGCTATAACGTTAAGCTTACAATCATCCCGCCCAGATCCTTTAACTCCGAACCCTAAAGATACGGGAACGAATAATATCGCGCAAGCAAGCTTTGATTCCCTGATGAACCGCATGAGTCACGATGAGTGATAGCTCCGCGTATTCGGGATAATCAGATAACGTTAAAGGTGTATGGCAATTGGCGCAGATTTATCTCCTTAGTTACAGATTATTAATTAGAGTTGGCTATGCTCAGCTTGGGGTGACGAATAAAAATCGACTTTGCCTCCAAGATCAACTTTTCGAGCCATTTCTCGGTCCGTGGATGGTATCGGACTCGGGAAAAGTGGGGATACGACGCCGAGCGGGCCCGTGATAGACCCCGATGGCGTAGCGCGGGGTTTTGATGAAGGGGTTGGTTTTAGGCATGAAATTGAAGATGTAAGTAATAAATTACAATTTAATCAAATAAAGCAATTAGCAGTCGCCGTGTGCAAACTCCACATCAAAGAGTACTTCAAAGAGCACTTCATATGCTGCAGACTTGACATCACATCATGTAACGAGTTCAAACCCAGGCCAGGGGAAACGGGATGCTTGACGGACCCGGCAGGGGCATTGACCATCTTCACTAACAAGAAGAGGACCAATCAGATTATTCGCCCTGCCACTCGACCCATACCATCCCTGGCTGAGAAGCTCCACTACAGCCAAAAGTTGGGGCTCAGAATTTACCGGCGACCTCTGACTCCCCAGCTTTTTTCCAACGACATGGCTTGGGCCTCTCTCCTCTTAGTCGGGCTGGTTGCCAGCTGCCACAAGTCATTCAAGTTCTCATTATCTATTGACATTTCTTTGTTATCTCACGGAAACGAGAAGAATTGAGACTATCCATCCGTTATATTCACTATTACACTATATTATCCCATTCGCCGTTAACACCCTAATGCCAGCCCACTTATACAATTCCGCCTTTCCATATGCAAGTCGTTAAGACTTGAGCTTCCCAATACCACAAACCCCATCCTAACGCCAAAGACAAGTACTCCGTAACTTAGTGGTATAATGGTTGATGCTGTCGCTCGTCTGAAGTAGAACTCATCTTCTCACTCTCCGGCGGTGGACTCGAGGTACTGTCTGTCGGACTACTCGAGTGAGACTCGCTCCCTGTCTCCAACGCATCGTACATCAAAGACTTTTGAACACAATTACACCTCTTGAGGAGCTCCTCGCAGCGTTCCAGACGTGCAAGCAGTTCCTTTGTAGGCTTGCGGCGACTGCGCTTGGGAGCTGGTGTACTAGGGATGCATTGTATTTTGGCCTGGATATTGTTAGTGCATGTCTTGTAGACTGAGTGTATAGTATTTACTTTTACACAAAATGAACATGGGCTCTTGCGATCGCATTTCTTCTTGCGTTGCTGGCAGAGAACACAGGCCAGAATGCGTGGTGCACGTTGTTGCTCGGCTGCCATGATTGAGTGGGCGAATATTCGAGAAGCGAAGCGGAAAGACTGTCTGTTCGATGATGGTATTCCCAAAGTCCAGCAACAATTCATCCGCGGCGGACAAGCCAGGGTATTTGCTGTGTGCACTTCGGCCATTAGGAACCCCATTTCATGCTGCAGATCTCCATCTTTTCGGCGGCGGACTCTCAGGACAACCCGAGTGGAGGCCGGGGTCGGGGAGTAGGCGGGATCCGTAAGTTGACAGCCCGTGTGCACACACGTTCGGTGCAACGGGTTCGATAGCACCCCCGTTACGATGGTATTAAGACCCTGAGAGCACCTGGAAGTGGCCAAACATCATAGCATTGTCTTAACTTTCCTTCAACCTTGCTATCAACAACCTTATTTCTTCTCTCTACTATAACCTTCTTTAGTATACCTTTAATAACCCCTTAATACTCGAACCAGAATTTGTATGGCACCCAGTCGCTTCTCACCATAGACTCACAGCAGAATCTGACAGGATATAACCAGAACTTAGCTCGATCAAAGCGCCAAAGCTAGACGGCTCTTGTCTTGCTTAACATGGCAGCCTCTCACCCCGAGATGGCAAACATGAGCGCCGCTCGCTCAGAGCACAGCAGTCACGACACTATCGTCGATATGGAACATACGCCCAACGAGAAGCCCACGTCATCGCCGGCTCCTAAGATGGACGACAAGACCAGCTCCAGCGAGGATGAGGACGAGCATCAAACTGAGGAGATGGTCCGCCGACACTCCATCGTGAGAGACCTCGCTCGACAATACACGAACACTTCGCAGAACTTCCAGGGGAGCCAGGCCGATTTCTTCAACGCTGGGGATCCCGATTCGCCTCTCAACCCGCATAGCGAGAAATTCAACGCCAGAGCTTGGGCCAGATCAGTGTCAAAGGCTATGGGAGATAACGGCTCGGGTTTCCGACAGAGTGGTATCTGCTTCCAGGACATGAACGTATTTGGCTACGGTGCCGAAACAGATTATCAGAAGGACGTTGGAAACATCTGGCTCGGTCTGCCCAGCATGGCACGAAACATGTTTGCTCCCAACCAGGGCAAGCGCAGGATCGATATCCTTCGCGGCTTCGACGGTGTTGTCAACTCGGGAGAAATGCTCGTCGTTCTCGGCCCTCCCGGTTCAGGATGCTCTACGTTCCTCAAGTCTGTATCTGGCGAGACTAACGGTATCTTCGTCGACGACAGCACCTACTTCAACTACAACGGTGTTCCAGCGGATGAGATGCACAAGCACCACAAGGGTGAAGCTATTTACACTGCCGAAGTCGACGTGCACTTCCCTATGCTTTCGGTCGGCGACACACTCACCTTTGCTGCGCGCGCGCGATGCCCGCAGAACCTGCCAGCTGGTATCGACCATAACCAGTACAGCGCCCACATGAGGGATGTTGTCATGGCCATGTACGGTATCAGCCACACCATCAACACCCAAGTAGGCGACAACTACATCCGAGGAGTTTCGGGCGGTGAGAGGAAGCGTGTTACCATCGCCGAAGCCACGCTCTCGAACGCACCCTTCCAATGCTGGGACAACTCAACCCGTGGATTGGATTCAGCGAACGCGGTTGAGTTCTGCAAGACGCTTCGACTGCAGTCGGAACTATTCGGCCAGACTTGTGCTGTCTCTATCTACCAAGCGCCCCAGAGTGCATACGATCTCTTCGACAAGGCTCTCGTTATCTACGAAGGCCGTCAGATCTTCTTTGGTCCCGCCGACGAAGCAAAGGCCTACTTTATCAACCTCGGATTCGAGTGTCCTGACCGTCAAACCACGCCCGACTTCCTCACCTCCATGACAGCGCCCGCCGAACGCGTCATCCGTCCCGGCTTTGAGAACAAGGTGCCCCGTACACCCGACGAGTTCTTCGCCTGTTGGAGGGAGAGCCGTGCGTATCAGATCGTCCAATCCGAGATTGAGACGTACAAGAGTCTCCATCCCATCAACGGCTCCAGCGCCGATGCCTTCCGCGAGAACAAGAAGTCTGCTCAGGCAAAGGGCCAACGCCTCAAGTCTCCCTTCACGCTGTCTTATATGCAGCAAGTGCAGCTTTGCCTGTGGCGAGGATGGAAGCGCCTTATGAGTTCACCCGGCGTGACGATCTTCGCACTCATAGCGAATACATGTACAGCTCTCATCGCATCATCGCTCTTCTACAACATGAAACCTACCACGGACGATTTCTTCAAGCGAGGAGCAGTTCTTTTCCTCGCCGTCTTGTCCAACGCCTTCGCATCTGCCCTTGAGATCTTGACGCAGTACGCCCAGCGTCCTATTGTTGAGAAACATGCTCGCTATGCCTTCTACCATGCCTCTGCCGAATCGTTGGCGTCCATCTTGGTTGATATGCCGTATAAGATCAGCAACAGTATTCTGTTCAATGTCACTCTTTATTTCATGTCGAATCTCAATCGGGAGGCGGGTGCATTCTTTTTCTACCTCCTGGTGTCCTTCATCATGGTCCTTGCCATGTCTGGTATCTTCCGATCTATGTAAGTCACTTCACATCATTAAAAGACCTTTGGCTAACTCTTCTCAGTGCTTCCATCTCCCGTACTCTATCCCAGGCCATGGTTCCCGCCTCTCTTCTGATCCTCGCACTTGTCATCTTTGCAGGTTTCGTCATTCCAACAGATTACATGCTTGGCTGGTGTCGCTGGATAAACTATCTCGATCCCGTCGCCTACGCCTTCGAGTCACTGATGGTCAACGAATTCTCCGGGCGTAACTTCACTTGCACAGGCTTCGTTCCTAGTGCTGGTGTCCCTGGATACGAGGATGTCGGTGACCTCAACCGAGCTTGCGCCACCGTGGGAAGTGTTCCAGGCCAGAGCTTCGTCAACGGCGATGCATTCCTCAACTCAAAGTACAAGTACTACCACGCGCACAAGTGGCGCAACGTGGGTATCCTCATCGCCATGACTCTCTTCAACCATCTCGTCTATATCGTCGCCACCGAGTTTATCTCCGCCAAGAAGTCAAAGGGTGAAGTCCTCGTCTTCCGTCACGGCCACGTTCCCGCAGCTGTGTCCAAGGGCAAGGCCGATCCCGAGGCTGCTTCTTCCGGTCCCATCCCTACCACCGAAAAGTTCAACAACGAGAACGCCAACATTCAGGGATCTACTAGTGTCTTCCACTGGAACAATGTGTGCTACGATATCAAGATCAAGGGCGAACCGCGCCGCATTCTCGATAATGTAGACGGTTGGGTCAAGCCGGGTACTCTCACGGCTCTTATGGGAGTATCAGGTGCCGGAAAGACCACCTTGCTCGACTGTCTCGCCGATCGAATCTCAATGGGCGTCATCACTGGAGAAATGCTCGTCGACGGCAAGATTCGTGATGATTCCTTCCAGCGAAAAACCGGTTATGTGCAGCAGCAGGATCTTCACCTGGAGACCAGTACCGTTCGTGAGGCCTTGACTTTCAGCGCTCTTCTTCGACAACCCGCTACCACACCACGTGAAGAAAAGATTGCTTACGTTGACGAAGTCATCAAGCTGTTGGATATGCAAGAGTACGCCGACGCCGTCGTAGGTGTTCTCGGCGAGGGTCTCAATGTTGAACAGCGCAAGCGTCTCACAATCGGTGTTGAGCTCGCCGCCAAGCCTCCCCTTCTCCTCTTTGTCGACGAACCCACCTCCGGTCTTGATTCGCAGACATCCTGGGCTATCCTCGATCTTCTTGAGAAGCTCTCCAAGGCAGGCCAGTCTATTCTCTGTACCATCCATCAACCGTCCGCTATGCTGTTCCAGCGCTTCGACCGACTCCTCTTCCTCGCAAAGGGAGGTCGCACTATCTACTTTGGCGACATTGGCAAGAACTCTGAGAAGCTAACTGGATACTTCGAGAAGAACGGTTCCGATCCTTGCCCCAAGGGCGAGAACCCTGCTGAATGGATGCTCCAGGTCATTGGTGCCGCACCAGGCTCGCATACTGACACCGACTGGCATCAGGCCTGGCGACAAAGCTCCGATTATCAGGACGTTCAGAATGAGCTTCAGCGTCTCAAGGCCGAGGGCGATGCCGACTCTTCTGCCCACCACGACCCTGAATCGTACCGCGAGTTTGCAGCTCCTTTCTTCCAGCAGCTTCAGATTGCCACTCAGCGTGTCTTCCAGCAGTACTGGCGCACGCCTTCTTACATCTACTCCAAGGCCGCTCTCTGCATTCAGGTCGGTCTGTTCATTGGTTTGGTCTTCCTCAATGCTCCGTTGTCTATCCAGGGCTTGCAGAACCAGATGTTTGCCATCTTCCAGGTCTTGACCGTGTTTGGCCAACTCGTCCAGATGCAGGTAAGTTTACACATATTCCACAGCGCCAAACCTTCGCTAACCGATGTAGATGCCTCACTTCGTCACTCAGCGATCCCTCTACGAAGTTCGCGAACGTCCCTCCAAGACATACAGCTGGAAGGTCTTCATGCTTTCTCAGATCATGGCCGAGATCCCCTGGAACAGTCTTATGTCTGTGTTCTTGTTCGTCTGCATCTACTACCCTGTCGGTTTCCAAAAGAACGCCGAGGCCGCTGGACAGACTGTTGAGCGAGGTGGACTTATGTGGCTACTCTTCTGGCAGTTCCTCGTCTTCACCTGTACCTTCGCCCATGCCGCCATCTCCATCACCGATACCGCCGAGGCAGGAGGTAACTTGGCAAACGTCGTCTTTATGCTCTGCTTGTTCTTCTGTGGTGTTTTGGCTTCACCTGACAACATGCCCGGCTTCTGGATCTGGATGTATCGAGTCTCGCCGTTCACATACCTAGTTTCGGCTATCATGTCCACTGGACTCGCCAACACCAAGGTTACATGCGCGGACAACGAGTATACTATCTTTGATCCCCCGAACGGGTCCACCTGTGGTGAATATCTCAAGGATTACACCGCTGCTGCTGGTGGATACGTGCTCAACAAGGACGCCACCTCCAACTGCAACTTCTGTACCATCGAGGATACCAACGTGTTCCTAACGTCTCTTAGCTCAAGCTATGAGAACAGATGGAGAGACTTCGGAATTGGAATGGTGTATATCGTGGTCAACATCGTTGGTGCTCTCTTCTTGTACTGGCTGGTTCGCATGCCCAAGAACAAGAACAAGAGCAAGAAGACTAAATAGACTTCTCCTAGACCCCAAAGGGTCTTTTTTCTTCTTTTTTTCTCTTTTTGGTAGAACAATCTTAGAGTGTCATAGACTGGGTTGGGTTTTGTGTTTCACATAGCAATAATTGACTGTCGATATTAGACTTGAATCAGGGCCTCATTACTTAGATCTTCTCAATACATACGCTCTATCGCCTCATTAGATGTACTCGAGAACTACCTACAGGGTTGTCATCGAAGTTGACTCACTTGCCGCAATGAAGATTTCGTCATTTCCTTAATTCCCGGTATTTCCCCAGTTGCCGATATTCCCGACATTGCCGTTTCAAGGTGACTTTTGAGGTTTCACGACGAGTAATGAAGTGTGAAATGAATGTTACAGTAACAAACTGACGTCAGCCGCCTAGATGAGTCAAAGTCGTCGAGTTTAGATTTGGAGTATGCAATACGCAGAGAGCGCTGCACGAAGATGGGTGTTTATGTTATGCCTGACAGAAATAAGACAACATTCGCATCAAGCATCTCTTTTGGTACACGGGCTTGGAGGCTTCAACCCATAGCATGATACTAATTTTTAAAATTTCGCTTTTTTTTATACATTTAATGACATATTAATCAGCTCTTTACCTTACGAGCTCTTAGACTGGAACGCATATTCTAAACCTCGGTCCAGCGGAGAAGTCTGAACTCTTCATTGACTCCGACACAAATTGTAAAGACCATACTTGACGTGTCTCAACAACCACAACTTCAAAACTTATATCTCAGAGGATCTATATCAAGTACAGACTCCGATTGATATGCACATCCCGGTCAATTTGTCCATAAACTCGAAAATTCCCCCATCACAAATCCGTACGGCTCTCCGCCCGCGTTGTCCGATGTAGCCGATGGGGCAAGATCTGCCATATCGGAGGTCAAACCCCGCGGGCCGCAAGTTACGCCAACCCCAGATTTTGACTAATACATAAACTCCAGCATAATCCTGATCATCTGAGCATCATGAATATAGTATCCTCCCGTCAAAATGGCTGCCAATGACACTTCGGACAGCGTTTGTCCAACGCTTCGCGACGAACCTCTCCATGACGAAAAGACTCGCGACGATGCAGCTTCAGCGCTAAGCCAAGGCGTCAATGATGAAGAGAACCAGGCTTGTTCGACAAATGACTTGGAAGAACCTCCCGATGGCGGACTGCAGGCTTGGTTACAGGTCGTGACAGGTCATCTCGTCGCTTTCAACTCGTGGGGCTATCTCATCAGCTTTGGTATCTTTCAACCGTACTACGAGGAGCAATTCAGCCTTCCTCCGTCGACGGTGTCATGGGTAGGCAGTCTCGAAGTCTGTCTCATCTTTCTAATTGGAACATTCTCTGGTCGAGCCTTCGACGCTGGCTACTACCGCGTCGCATTGGCCGTGGGCTTGTTTCTCCAGATACTAGGCATCTTCATGACGAGCATCGCATCTGCATATTGGCAGGTCCTTCTCGCACAGGGGATCTGTCAAGGCGTAGGCAATGGCATTATCTTTGCGCCGACAATCGCCAACATTTCGACGTACTTTACCACAAAGAAGACGATAGCCATCTCAGCAGGCGCCTGCGGTGCTGCCACAGGAGGAATGGTGTTCCCGTTGATTGCGCAGCAACTTCTTCCCAAGATTGGATTCCGTTGGACGGTGCGTGTGATGGGACTGGTAGTTGCCGTGGCTTCTATGATTATAATGATCATTGCAAAAACGAGGTTGAAGGCCAGAAAAGCTGGGCCGTTGGTTGAATGGGCTGCGTTCAAGGAACCGGCATATGTCTTGTTTGCAGCGGCTATGTTCTTCACCTTGTGGCCAACATGGATCTCATACAACTACGTGAGTACTTACTAGTCAATTACCCTTTGCGATAGCACGCTGACCATTTCCAGGCCCGACAGTACGCAACAGACAAACTGGGCGGTTCAGCCACAGACTCATTCCTCATGCTCATCGCCATCAACGCCGTCGGCATCCCAGGCAGAATGATAACAGCCTTCCTGGCCGACCGCTACTTCGGCGCCATAAACGTCTTCATCCCCACGATATTCTCCGCCGCGCTTTGTCTGTATATGTGGTCGCAGGTGCACACGTTGACTGGCGGTTTTGTATGGGTCAGCATATTCGGGTACTTTGGCGCCGCGATTCAAAGCCTGTTTCCCTCGTGCTGTGCGAGCTTGACTTCGGATCTAAGCAAAGCAGGAACTAGAATCGGCATGATCTTTTCGATTATTAGTTTTGCGGCGTTGACAGGTTCGCCGCTGGCGGGGAAGTTGATGCAGGCGACGGGAGGCAATTATTTGGCTGCGCAAATCTGGGGTGGAAGTAGTATGATACTGGGCATGTGTTTGCTATATGCTGCTAGAAGGGCTCAAGGTAGACAAAAGTTATAGATTTGATTACTATACACATTAATATTTGGTTTATTTATTAAATTGATCCTGCTGCATCATGACAGGCTGCTGTGCTGTGAAGTCCACTCCGCCCGCACCAACTGTACCGCCGTTAGACCCTGGCTTGAGAGCCTCTAAAATTTCACCACCTCACCACAGCCCACCTCCAAAACCAACATCACCACCCCTCCTCAAGCATGTCCCCAGCACCATGGATATGCCGAACCTGCACAAGAGCGTTAACACGCTCTCACATGCGCCAGTTCGTGCGCTTCGCCACCAATGGTCCGTCCCGAGTCCTCAATAAATCCATTGCAATAGCTAACCAAGCCGTATTTCAGATGCCTCACCACTCCTCGCACCAGCCCTCCTACAACGCGCCCAATCCCTAACTACCGAACACGACGACCTCCAAAAAACCCTCAACTCCTCCTTCGATTCCAACACAGCTAAGCGAGTCGGAGAACTCTCCCGTGTTGCGGAAGCCCTCAAAGAGTGGGAATCGTCTCAGGCGTCGGTCACAGAATTGACGTCTATGCTTGACGACCCTGATCAAGACGCCGATCTCGCTGCTATCGCCCGTGATGAGCTCAGCTCCGAGACAGGGAAGCTCGACTCCCTCGCCCGCAAGCTTTCCGCCAGCTTGACACCCCGCCATCCTTTCGCAGATTTCCCATGCATGATCGAGTTCCGCCCCGGCCCTGGTGGTCTTGAAGGCCGGTTCTTTATGGATACGCTGTTCAAGATGTACAAGGCGCTATGCATGCGTCGAGGTTACCGCCATACAGTCGTCAAGTACGAATTCGCCGATGGTGCAGGCGACTCGTCTTCCTCAGCCGGCGAGAACCCCCTCCAAGAAGCCATTCTCGAGGTCCACGACCAAGGCGCCTTCGACATCTTCCGTGGGGAAGCAGGCATGCACCGTGTTCAGCGCATTCCTAGCACCGAGACAAAAGGCCGCGTGCACACCAGCGCAGTCGCAGTGTGGGTTCTTCCCTCGTTTCCCGAAAACGGAGCAACCAACATCGACTTCGACGATCCCGAGAGCGACTTCTACGTAAATCCCCAGGAACTCAAGATTGAGACGATGCGAGCCCGAGGTGCAGGAGGACAGCACGTTAACAAAACCGAGTCCGCGATCCGCATGACACATTTACCCACAGGCACGACGGTGTCGATGCAGGATCATCGTTCCCAGCAGCGCAATCGTGAGGAAGCGTGGAAGTTGATGAGATCACGAATTGCCGATCAGCGACGAGAGGCTCGCGAAGAGGAGGCATCAAAGTTGAGGAACAGTGTGCTCTCAAAGACACAGATCACGCGAGGTGATAAGATCCGCACGTACAACTACAACCAGGACCGATGTACCGACCATCGCGCTGGCGTTGATGTGTACGGCTTGTCAAATGTGTTGGAAGGTGGTGAAAAGATGGACAGAATCATGGACGGCGCCAAGGATTGGCTTGTTAGCAAGGATATTGAACTTCTCATGGCTGAAGAAGAGGCCAAGGAAAAGCAGACAAAGAAGACCAAATAGAGCTGTAAAACAGTGTAGATCATTTGTATTATAATTTGTACAGTACCTGCTGTAAGATAAGGGCCTGGAACATCATATTGAATAGATGGTATAAATAACGATTCCCATATCATTATGCGCTTCATATCTTCATGAACATATTTCCCCGCCATTGTACGGCTCCATCATGCAAAGACCAAACTCCGGCAAGGATCCAGTAAGGATATTCATCTTCTTGCACTCCCAATCAACTCCATGCAGCAAAGCAGCATTTATAATCCTTGTACCATCACATTAAACCTCCAAGAACCACCTTGCCGATACTGGCCACCTCCGTTTTGACTTGGCTTCGGGTCTGGTCTTCAAAGTCTCTTACAATGCCTTGCACAATAATCTTGCGCACGCGCGAGTCTGCCTTTGTAAAGAGCTCAGCGACAGGTGCAGAACACTCCCTAGGTGAAGGAACTAGCGCCAAGAACCTCGTATAGCAATCGATCAGGACGTCGCACAGTGTTGCGAATGTTTCGAAGTAATCCGGGTCGAATGGTAAAGATGGTGTTAACAAGAACGTGTATTCCTCGCCTGGAAGCAGGTCGGTTTCGGAGGCTGCAAAGTTCATAACCGATGGCGCAGGTCCACCAGCGGAAGGCAGAGATGCCATCTCATCGACCAGAGGGTGCATATCGGCGGCTGAAGTCGAGCGTCGAGATTTACCGCCTGGGCGACGGAACATGCTAGGAAGACGGGCACGGGTAAGGGATGCAGCGGTAGACGAGTCGCCATGAAGTTGCTGGAAAGAATCGAATTCGGAGAGAAGCGAGTTCAGGCTGCGGAGGAATTCGATCGAGGTCGTAGAGTAGAGATCGACTATCGTCGGGAGCGAAAGGCCTAGTAGGAGGTGGTTTGTTGCTTTGCGACCAAGCTTTCGCGCATCGAGGGAGGGCATTCGACTTAGGTCTGTTTTCTCAAAAAGAAATGTCTTGAACCAGTATATACGGCCTTCGTGTCTGTGCAAGCTGTTAGCCACACTTAGGTTCTTCGTCCTGATCTATGCGACCTACGCTTTTCGGAGATATTCGAGTGTCGCTATACGCTTATTGGCAAGCTCTGTGACATGGTGGTGCATAATACTCGCTTCGTTGTGCTGCCACATTCCAGATGTGCCCACGGCGCCATTTGGCATTATACCAATTGGCGTATTGGGCACAATCCCACCATGGAGGGTCGTTGACCCCGTCGCACTGCGGCTTAACATCTGAGGTTCTGCAGACGATATCGAATGCGATGCAGTATTATCTCCGTCGGGTCGTCCCGTGACCTTTGCAGCGGCAGCGAGCGCGTAATCGGGGAGAGCGGGGGGCGCCGCAGCATCTGTCACATAAGCGTTGGGGCCGTTGCCAAAGGAGCTTCCGCGTCGACTGCCCAGCGAGGCCTTTCGGGAGAAGGAGGCCTTGCGGTCCTTGGGGAGAATGCTGGAGATATTCGTATTGAGCGGATCAACGCCGTCGCGGGTAGTCGGGCGAGAAGCGGCGTTGGAAGAGAAGATGGAGGTCGAGAATATGGGCGCGCCGGCGGAACTTGGTGTTTTGGGTGCCATGGTTGGGTTTGGTTCTGGTCTCGTTATATGTCTCGTAGCCGTGCGTTTAAGGAGAGCGAGGGGTGTGGCAGTGGATGATCGACAAGCAGATTAACCAACAGCTGGCGTTTTGCTAGAGCCGCACGCGGATACAGCGTCGCAATGCGAGGAAGCTGTAACCCACGAGGGATTTGAAGGATCCAAGACTCGAAATTGGAGTGTCGTGAATGTCCGGCGCTATGTCATGCCTGTGGGCGCCGGTGCGCCTCCACTTCTGGTTTATTTGTTCTGCTGTCTTTCACTGAAGCTCAATATCGTCGGTACCTGTTCAGCGATTTCAGATCGTAAGGGTTGTTGTATCCTGGATTGAACCCCTGGTTCGGATACAGTGGTGCCGAATGTGGACTGGCGGTAATTGGCTATTGCTTTTGGAATGCAAGGAAAATAAAAGATCCAGTCCCTAGGCTGAGATGTCATGGGTAAGGGTTACAGCACTTGGGAATCCGCTAACTTTCTCCAGCAAGCCCGACTATGCTAACGGCATGATGACCATTCTTGGGAAATGTGGTTCTAAATCACCACGTTTGATGCAATATAAGGGCCGATTTAACAGCAGATCTTGCCGCTTAGTTTCACCAGAGGTTTCAATGCTATCCTGCAGCTGGAGTTGCTGAAATGGAGGAGGTCCTTTGATAGATTGGGCGTGTTGTATGGATACCTTGAGGATGAAACTACCCTACATGGCATATGACTCGCTTCTAGTTTTGCCGTTTATTCTTGATCTATGGTCATTTTAAGACTCGTTCTTATGCTAATCTAGTAACCAATATGTCGTTTTCGACTCCTCAAGCAGACGAAAGTATGTTGTGCTGAACTCTGATTTTCGAAGAACGGCTAGGATCATGGACACTAGAAAGCTGCTCTGTCACGATACTGCCCGGCTTGGATGAACTGGCAGTGTTGTCGCGGATGTATAAACAGTGCCACACGCGATTTCTCTCTTTCAGGCAACCAGTACTAAGCTTTGTGGCTTTGAATCTCTGGTTTGGCTCCATCACCGAGGACTTGCTGGTGACTATATTTAGGTGACTCATTAGGTGAGAGAAAGTAGGAAATTGCCGCTTTGGGTTTTCATACTATAAACACAAATTCCGACGTTCTCTTAGATCCTTCTATCAGATATGCAACGGGTGTAGAATATCGCCCACGAGATCCGTTGGAGGCATCCTCATTATTACACATATTTCAAACGAGACACATATCAGGGAATAGAAGTAGAATCAATTACAGAGTATCTGACTCTATAGGTGTAAGGTCTGAGCTGTATATCTTGTTACTTGATGTATGCAATAAGTTGATAGCTCAAGGTACACATTTTGGAACACATGAGTAAATACATGTAAAACAAGCAATTGCAAGAGAAAATATACTCAGCTATAATAAACAGCCCTATACTGCCAAGAGAATATTAGACTATCATTAAACAGATAAAAATATATTGGCCTTTTACAAACGTAAGTGCAGGCCTCCAAAATGCAGACTGCGCCTCCAATATTAGGTTTAAACTTAGGTTAGCTAGCGAAGTATGTTTGCCGGGCACGATGACGTCTTTCGTCTGTCGAGACGAGACTGGCTGATTTTGTTTCGACAGCCCTGTTGTCTATCAGAGGAAACTTCCTATTGCATACACAAACATCCATGATGACGACCATTCACATCTTACGCCATGGACAAGGCCTTCATAAGTATTTCGCATCTGATTATAGCAGCTAATCAAAAGCTGACAACGATAGTGTGGAGAGAGGATATCCATTCCGGGATCCTCCCCTTACAGACCTAGGTGTCCGGCAAGCAAGGCATGTGCAGCACACAATCAAAGTACAGCCTGATCTCATCATTGTATCTCCAATGACTAGGACCATACAGACAATGTACATCGTCTTCGGGGATCTAATTCGCAATGGCGAGACTGCGGTACAAGTCTGGCCGGACCTGCGTGAGTCTCACGACGCTATCTGCAATAAAGGCATCTCGCGGCCTGATCTGGCTGCTAAATTCCCTGACCTTGATTTCTCGGATTGTCCCAAAGAGTGGAACTTCCCTGCACACACCCCAGATGATGCGACGGTACGAGCCGAGAGAGTTCGACGCCGATTGAAAGAGACTGCTACGCCTGGGGGCTACAAGGATATCCTGTTGGTAGCCCACCGTGGCATTGCCGCATTTATGGTGCAGGGCGACAGGTTTAAAGTCTGTGGTAAGAAGCCCGAGGTCATGGGGTGGGAATTGGGCTAATTATGCAGAACACCGGTCTTATCGATTTGCAGCTGATGACGAGGTTGAGGAGGCGAGACATGGCGTTAATATTGACACTGGGCTTAAGCAAGATTTTGGACCATCGCTTTTGATGCAAGTTGGAGAGTCTGGGTAGATGCAATATCGCCAAGTAATCGAAGCAGTGTTCAGCTGATGCGCTATCAATAGATGAAGAGCTCGGCAATGTCAAATCCCTGCTCTTCATCCCATCAGGATCCGGCGACCACATGGTAATTACGGGGACCAGCCCAGCATTGGGGGCGGGCGGGGAACGAGCACAACCTTTTGTCGGGTCTGTCTCACTCAGCAAATGTTGATCAATCTTTCAATAGCCCAAGACAATCCAATCAATAACCAGGAAAATTGGTCGATTGGGCTTGCGACACGTCATGTAATTGTCAACATAAGCACAATACCACCCTTCCTTTTCTACGCTGCAGCGATGTGTAATCAATGCCCTCTCTGTAGCGCCTACAGTGTAACATATCGGATTAAACAACGTTAAGCCCATAACTAACAGCGAGTAAACGGATTTAGGCTCATAAGGTATAAACTAAACAATATCGCGAAACATAGCACACGATATCGATTGGCTGCAGAAGAAACAACGTTCAACGGACATAGCCACCATGAGTTTAAAATAAGAATAACCAGCCCCGTTGGCTGCTGCTACTGCTTCTCAGCTAAGCCTCATCATTAGTTCAGACACAGACATTGGCTAGACTGGCCTCGGGCTGTCCTCACACATATTGGTGGCGGTGTAAGCGGGATTTCTATTTTTCTCAACGTGCAGAAAATTGCACATTAATCTTTCCTGGCTGCTGGTCAGCCGCTGTGGAGATGATGGATGGGCAGTGTAAGCACTAGTAGGGCTGAGTTCGGCATCACGGCATTTTAAATAATCTCCCAGATCCCATGTTTATGGAAGAGCAGATACAAGAAACATTCTTGCGTTTCATTACCTCTTCTCTTTTCTTTGCCTTCTTTAAATATATTGGAAAATACAACCACAGGAGCAATCATTATGTTGTCGGCGCGTCCTCTGCTGTACGTCGCCCTCGGGCTTCTCATGGTGGTCTCCATCATTGAGCTCTCCTTCATCTCAGGCATGGTTGGTTGGCTCCACGGCAACGCCAGCGGAACTTTCACTTTCGAATACAAAGGCACGAAATACAATCTCAAGGGCGAACCAGCAAACCTCATTACCGACCAAGGCCATACCAGCAACGGAGCAGCTGGAACAGCATTCGTCCTTATTGGCTGTGGAGGAATCATCGCTTTGATCCTCCGCAACAGACATGACGCTGGAAAATTCAGCCGCATGTTCTATAACCTCTGGCTCGTCACCAATGTTCTCAGCCTCTTGCTCGTTCTCTCCGCCCTCATCTACACATTCGTTGTGACAAACAGCCACGACGGCCAGAGCATAGATCCCGCTGCTGCGTCGCGCCTCAAGAGTGGCGAAAAGTACCCTCTTGAGTCTTGGTCACCGCAGAATTGGTACTCGGCATTCCTAGACTTGGACCTCCCCAATTCCGATGAGAGAAGTGATATCGAACATCATCTACGCCTCATGAAGGGGTGGCAATACAACCTTATTCCCTTCTTCCTCATCCACCTTGTCGAGACTGGCCTTGCACTTTGGGATGCTATGCAGCGACGAAAGCAAAACTCCCCTGCCTATGCACCAGCTAAGCATACCGTCGATGCGTAATGGGACATTTTAAAAGCATTGGGGCTCTAGGGAAAAGCATATCTTTGGGGGATAAAGGAGGAAACATATCTAAAACAGTACAGTAATGTAATAAGGATAAATCTATAATGATATGATCACAATACCAAGTATTTAGCCACCTGCTTGATTGGCTATAGAGCCAATAACTCAACATGTGATTACAAAGCGCATGTCAATATAGGGTGTAAAAGTGACTCATTTCGTATTAGGCGGGGCTGCTCAACACCATAAAATCCAACAATCAACCTCACGATACTTCCAGGATAATCATCCTCAACCCAAGATCGAAAATGACGTATACACTTTTCATTGGCAACAAACGTTACTCTTCTTGGTCCATGCGACCATGGGTCCTCCTCAAAGCTCTCGACATCCCCTTCGAGGAGAAACTCAACCTCTTCAAGCCCGGCCTTCGCCAGCCCGAATTCCTCGCTTTTTCCCCAACTGGAAAAGTGCCTTGTCTTAACGACGGCGAGACATCTATCACCGTCTGGGATTCTCTTGCAATCTGCGAGTACATCGCCGAGAAGTATCCCGCTGCTTGGCCGACTGATGCCACCGCTCGCGCCTTTGCTCGATCTGCTGCTGCTGAAATGCACTCTGGATTTGACGGCATCCGTGACGAGTGCTCCATGAACGTTGGTCTGAGAATTGAACTGGGAAAGCCTAGTGAAACACTGCAAAGGGATATCAACCGTTTCAACGCTCTTTTCAAAGAAGGTCTAGAGAAGTTTGGTGGGCCGTGGTTGGCTGGTGATAAGTTTACCATTGCGGATGCTATGTATGCACCTATCGCCTCTCGGGTGAAGACTTATGGTATTGAACTGGACGGGGCTGCCAAGGAGTATCTTAACAGATTGTTTGAGCATCCTGCTGTACAGGACTGGGTTCAGGGTGGTATCAAGGAAACTAGCAGAGAGCCTTTCCATGAGGAGGATTGTTTGAGAGGACGCAAGATGCTTCAGGATCTGACCAAATGAAGCATCTCGACCTGATACTTTGACCTAATTTGAGACTACAATTGACAGAGAAACACATGATGAACTGTACGTGATTCGCTTGCCCTTCTACAGTGTGATAATTATTGTTAGGGGTTCTCATCCAGCCCTTGGTTTGCATTTGGATACATTCCCATATAATTGATACGATATGTGAATACTCAGAGTTACAAGAGTTAGGAAAAACTCTTCCTTCTTTTCGACTTTCCTTGTGTATTTGTACTGCCCTGGGCTCATTTCATTATAGATGAGCCCAGACAGGCAATGTGTGCGTGATATGTCGAAAAGGAAGAAACAGCAGACAAGAATGTACCTGTGTACTTTCTGGATCCATTTTAAGTAATTAATCACAGGACAACTTACTAACTTAGCCATAAAGTTCATTTAAAAGCCCTCGGTATATCTTCAACGATCTTCGAGTGGTTCGATGTAAATATACGGCTGGACTAATAAAGTTCATTTGAATTTATTAATAAATACTGGAATAAATGACACGCCGTGATGATCTGACGCAAATCAGTGCCTTTTCTCCTAGCTACAGCCTATCTAGTATGGCCACTTGAAAGAAGTAGATATCTTGATGGAAAAGTCCTCGGGCTCTGTGAGCGACTTGACGCGTCCAAGCATAAACTCCAGCTGTCTAAAGGCTGCCGGTGGAGCGTACTGCGGCACCATATGTCCACTTGTCTTGACAGTAGCCAGCGTAAAACCTCGCTCAGTGTGGACTGATCCCTGAACGCTGCCTCCAGCCCAGTTCTCAACGTTCTTGGCGGTGTTGTTGATGACCGGAACAACAAACTCTTGGCTGGGGGCCTTCTGGAACCCTTGCTTGCCGTTCCACTTCAGACCCTGAACTGCTAGCGCTGTCGTGTTGGATGTGATGATGTAGTCGGCCATGCCAGAACCGATCATGACGTTGTTGGTTCTTTCGACCAGAGTCTGGAATTTCTTCTCGTGTTCTGCAGGGTCGTAATTGTCATTGTCGTCAACAAAGACTGGGCCTGAGCATGATTCCCAGTCCTTAGGTGCAGCGGGTGCGTGAATCGCCTTGCGGACTCCGGGGATGTTGAAGAACAGAGTTGCGCCAGGGGGGTTGTACTGCACAGAGGGAAAGCCCAGCACGTCCCAAAGAACTGGACAAGTATCCTGGACGTGGTAGACGTTGAAGCAGGGGTTGATAACAGTGTTGATTTCTTCGAAATGAGCAGTTATATCGCATCCCTTGACTTGAACTGGCTTCCAAGGTGCTGGGGGAGGAGGGTAAGTCAGGTGAGCCTCGCGGTATTTGTCCAGTCCACACTTTTCGTTGTCGTTGTCGAGGATCTTCTTGTTCTTATCAGGGATGGCAAAGACACTTTCCCAATGGCGGAAGAAACCCGGGAACGCAGCGTGATCAAGACGGAGCTTGTCAGCGTAGGGCATAACAGGGTCGTAGTAAAGAGCACCCTTCACGTCGTAGTAGGACTTGTCCTTCTTGTCCAGCATGGCGGCGCCGACATAAGGCACATAGATACCGGCGTAACTTTCGCCAGTGACGTAGAGTTTCTTGCCTTGCAGGCCGAATGTATCGACAAGATTCTTCCAGAACTTGACAAATTGAGCTGCAGTCTCGGCGTTATTCTGGGCGGAAACATGGCCAGTTGAGAATCCAGTGCCGATGGGATATTCCACCCTGTGATATAATAGTCAGCGAGAGATACTCTCCAGCGATGGAAAAGAAACACACCAAATGACGTTGGCCAGTTTGTGCCATGACCAGGCATTTGGAACAGGCTTGTAGGTACCATATTTCCATGAGAACGGGCCGTTCTCTTGAATAAGACCTGGTAGAGCTGTCAGTAATCTGCGGTCGGCTGTGGCTCACGGAAAAGCCCGCTATACATACCTTCCAAGGAGGAACATCCAGGACCTCCGTTAAACCAAATGACAACATCATCCTTTCCAGCAGGGTTAACCGTGGGAAAGAACCAGTAGAAGAACTTGGGGTCTTTAGCACCGTTCTTTTTCAAGTCAACCGGAATCTGCCCAGCATAACTCTCTCCGACATCGAAGTTGAGTTCGGGGATACCATCAGAGGGGACATAATAGGCTAGCCTGAGTTTAGTACAAGGATGAATACCTTGGGAAAGTTACCTACGAGATGTCTTTTCATTGTAGTACTGGGCATTTGCCGGCTTGTGTGTACGCGGATGGATTGCCGAAGCACTTGTCAAGGCGACAAAGCCCAGAACGGACAACAGGGCTGTTTTCAAACCCATCGTGAAGAATGACACTGTTTGGAAGTACAGAATCAAGAAGCTTCTGTGAAGAAGAGAAATGTGCTGCCTTGTGGGTATTTATTGTATTCATCCTTGCTATTCTAATCAGGGATTCACAAGTGACAACAGTCATACCACTCCATTCTGCCTGGCGATCTCATCCCATAGCATGGTCCTCCTTATCCTTCAATCCCGGAGGGACTTTTGGAGCGTAGGTCATAGATGTTGATATCGAACAAGGTTTCTTAAGTGGTGTAACGTTATGAGCACCGGAAGTTCGGCATGATACATGCCTGTGCCTTCCTAATGCAGCATTTGCGGGGCTGACGATCCCAAGTCTACAAAAGGTCTCTTGTTCTGCGAATGGCAAAGTTAAACAGGGTGTAAGATAAGAAGAAAAGATTAGCATGTCGGGGAAACATTGTGCGTCGATTATTTTTTGCCAAGCCGGAAAGATCGTATGCTTGGCTGCAAGTGCCGATCGCGTCCGATGGCTCGGCCGGGACTCGCCAAACATAGGCAACGATGATAATTTGATGGATGGGAATCTGCGATGAGTTTCTCAATTTAGTGGTGCATTTAATATATCACCCCATGACAAAAAGGTTGGCCCAAACCCCGCATACATTGTTTTATCACTGAGATCTGACGTCTGTTGGAAAGCAGTTGGAAAGCTGGCAATGTAACTACCGACGACCGGAACCTGGGGTATCGGAGCATAACAGAATAGATGTTGGAAGCCTATGCAGTTTAGAGCTTCCTACATGCTAAGCGAGGCCTCAATTGTTCCCTTCATGTGCGCTGCAGGATTCATGTAAAGTGGAAATGATAGGTGGTATTCCGTGTAAACTGAGGATTAGTATTTCAAAGTTGGTCGGCAGTTTGAATAGAATATCGGGGACCGCAACCCCTACAACTCAGTGACTGTATATCAATATATTGTAGTGCAGATAGGTTGCCCAGATGCTGTTACAAAAGCCTTCTGCCTGACCCAGCAGGTCGATGCTCCTACTAAATATCTATAGAAGTAACACTCCTAGTAAAACAAAACGTTATGTGAGATTCGCGTCTTGAATCTATTGAAAACTCTAGGTTTAATCCCTTTCCAGGTTGAATGGTTTAGGTCTCGCAAACCCATACTCATGGATATTATAACTCCTTACTCATCTCCTTTTGAAGCTGTTTTTGAAATTCATACTTCTTCTCTCTTCGATCATTCTCTCTTCTTCTAAATTCCTCTCTTCGCTTCTTTTCACCCCACGTGCTTCTTAGCGATGGATCGGGGTTCTCCCAGTCGAGGGGCACCTCTTGGAAGAAGATTGGTGTCCAGACAGGCAGAAGTCGCATGCCGTATTGGCTTTCAGACGGCGGTAGGATATTCCAAGTCTCATCGGTCTGGATATCGCGACGCTCAACTGGCACAAAAGTCGCAGGCTCGGGAGGATTCGTCTTGAGATAGGAGACTTTTCTATCTCGATCAGATCGCCATTCACGATACTCCATCTCCGCTTGCGCAGCCTGCTCGTCGCTCAATTCAAGTGTCGAACCATCTTTCTCATCCAAGAGCGGCGGTTGAGATTGCGTCGCATATTTGGGCTCCCATTCTCTGAGCTTGGTGTGGCATTTTTCCAGCGCTGACCAATGACGTTCGAGAGCTTTCGCGCGGCTATGGATGTCGTGAGGCTCGTTGGGAATAGGAGCACGCCGACCGCCTCTGCGCGCGATAGCGCTGATGGTGTCCCTTATATCCGTCTCGCGAAGGACCAACCAGGTCAAATCGCGGCGCGTCTCAAGGCTGCGCAGCAGCTTGGAACACAAGTGATAATCATCGCCCGGCAAAGACGTGGGGACCAGCGAGTCGCGCAGCGTGCGGTCGATGTAGCGCACTTCGCACAAGGTGTTTTCGACTTTGGCGTCCTGGGGCAGGTCTCTAAAGGGGTTGCAGCGCTCCAGAAAGGCTCTCCCCACACGGGCGTTGGAGTCGCTGAGGGGTTTAAGGTTGATGATGCCCACAGGCCTGGCCCGGGGCCTGAAGACGTTGAGAATGCCTCGGATGGCACTCATGATGCATTTTCTGGCCGAGCTTGAGGGATTTTGAGGAGGATGGACGAACAAAAATGAGAAAAAAAACGAGAACAAGAACGAGCGAGGAGAGGGGTTTTAGATGAGAAAAATGCAGATGATTTTCTTGTTTTTTTACCCCCAAGATCGAGGGAGAAAAGCTCGGCGCTGTGCTACTGGCAAATAGTGATCCTTGTCCTTCCGTCTTGCTCCGCTTGGCCGTCTCACGGTGAGGCCTTCAATGCGATTCGGACATTGCCGCGTGCTTGGACCATTGTCGGAATGGGAAGTGGAAGCGGTGTATCAGAAGGTCCTGATCAACATGCGATTGTTGTTCACAATCGTGCTTTTGAAACCTTGAAGAATTCCGGTATTGATGATACTTTTCCAGCTCAAACAATTCGACGATTTCATGTGATCGGCGGTACATGTAACTAATTCGTCCTCCCCCGCGAAAAGTTTTCCAAATACGATTTAGGCTCATCGCCATCGCCATCGCCATCGCACCCGGTTTCCCACTTCGTAATTGGTTGCAAACTCGTTTGGTACTCGGTGAGCTTGGAACGAATGAGACTAACGGTTGAATCAGCCATTGATGCCACCGTTGCCAAGAAACTGCAAACAATTCTGATTATTGTTCCCATGTGATAGGCGAATCTCAAAACAAAAACCGCCGAGTATGGGGGTGGAGCATCGTCAAACTCGTTACGGGGATGCGGCCCGGGGCTGCCAAGTAACAGCCCCTCCCGTTAACCATTGACATATCTGACAGCTGGGACATTGAAATGTGCCTCCTCAACTGGTTCAGGGCGCCTTTGTCCTGAGGCGCTCTGTAATGTGAAACAGTTCTTTGCGTGGCTTCACCGCAGTAGGTAGTACACTCTTTTTTTCTAGAGCTTGGTGTCACGGTGGTTCATGGGCGCAAGCACCATTTATCCATGTTTCACACATCGTGCGACTGTCTTAAACAGTGAGAGGGAATCCAATCAACCCACCCACCGCCGATATTTGGGCATGGTAAAGCAGATGCTTTAATCGACATATGGATAGTCTATTTACCCGTCCCACGACAGACGAAGATGATGACGGGTACTTGAGGGATGATGATACCGTCATTGCCTAGTCGCCTCATATGCCTGGTTTTTATTGTTTTGTACACAACGTCTGGATTTGCATGACGAAAGGTGATGCGCACCATTATGAAACGAAGTCTCAATAACTCTAATAATATTGTTGACGAAAGGATAGCATTTCAATATTATATATATCCGAGGATGCGAAACTTCTGTTTCTTTCCGTCTGAGAATGTTACGCCGGATAGCCTGCCCAGACTTTCAGTCCCAATATTTCTTGGCCAAACGTATATTGAGCCTAGGTAGCCATCCACAGTAATGTTCCAAATGCAACAGTGACTGACTAATTTAACGTAGGATAAACGTCGAACAGAGATCAGGTCTGCTCCGAGAAAATTTTACCTTGGACAGAAGATATGTTTGAAGTTGCGGGTGCGATGGTCCTTTCCTCGTCAGCGTAATACCGGCTACTCCAGGAGTATCTTTCGAATTTTGGAATTCAAGGATAGTGGCAAACATATCACTGAATCGATCCAAACGATTCATCGAGGTTTCGTGGCATCTCTTCATTTGGTTGATACTGATCGTGGCGATGAACGAGCGAGCTTCTAGGGATGAAAAGAATATCCTGCCATTATCGCTCATCACAGAAAATATACATTGCGATTCTCTGAACCAAGTAAAACAATACACGATAATGACGGTGAAGGTTAAATGATGCATGTTCTGGACAATCACTGTCACTGACTCACTGTAACGCTGAGATTGGCCCTGATGATCCCTGCCGCCGAGCCCTGATGCCCATATTTTTAGAACACCACCAGAAAATAAGGTTGCAGCTCATTCGCGTAACTATGGTACCCAAACTTGGCATGATCTGTGACGAAGGGAGCTAACGTGATAGGCTCTGAATGAACAATTGTTTCTGTTTTCACCATTCAGAACCGTTGGAAGCTGCTGCTCTAGTCTCGACACAGGGTAAGTGAGCAAGAAATACCCCCTGTATCAGTGCCAACAAAGCTGAAATGACGTCAGGTCCTATGCATCCTGCTTTACAGCTGTACAGAGTCGCACCATTCACCACGTCCAAACCCCGCAACTCTACAGCTCATAGCTCTAGCTCCATCGTCATCATTATTTATACCAAGCTCTCTACAGATTCTACAACTCCTCTTCTTCATATTCCCTCTTCCAAAATACAAAGCTCATTCCCTCGCCCATCATGGATAACATGGCTTCTCTTCAACAGACTCTTAATGCCTCTGGAGGCGCAGAATCCGCAGGTTAGACACCGCACCCCCACATCGCGGCTGCATCATTTCACTGACGCTCTCTCAAGGCTTCCTCAATGACATTATCGCCCAGTTATGGCCCAACATCAACGTTGCAGGCGGCAAGATCATCAAGGATTCGGTCGAGCCCATTCTGGAGTCGATGCTCCCTGGTCCTCTCTCCAACCTACGCTTTGTCAAGCTTGACTTTGGGCCAACGCCCCTCAGAATGTCCAACGTTGATGTTCACAAGACTGAAACCGAGGGCATCAAGCTTGATATGGATGTTGACTGGGATGGCAAGTGTGACTTCGAACTGGATGGCAGCATGGTGCCCAAGATCGTAAGAACCCTTATCCGCCTGTCACCTGTGTCGATGCACAATGACTGACCAGATATCGATTTTGTAGGGCATAGAACACGTCAAGATGAGGGGAAGGCTCTCCATCTTGCTTGGTCCGTTGACAAATGTCATCCCATTGGTACGAGCCTCAAGTAAATCAATACCGACATGTCCACATACTGATGACAATCTTCCAGATCGGAGCCGCTCAGGTGGCTTTTATCAACCCGCCTCACCTTGAACTTGACTTCACTGACGCCGCCAACATCGCTGACTTCTCCATCATCGACAAGACCGTGCGAAAGGTCATCCAAGACATCCTTGCTTCCATGGCGGTCCTCCCCAACCGCTTTCTCGTCAAGCTCGACTCGTCCAATGACTACTTCAGGACCTTCCAGCCTCATCATGGTGTTCTTCGTCTGACTGTTGCCTCAGCTACCGAGATTACAGGCGAAAAGAAAAGCGGTGCCAAGAGACTACTCCAAAAGCTCGTCAAAGATATTCCTGACTGCTACTGCACCGTCAATGTTGGCGCAGAAGGAGAGTGGCGCACTTCGACAGTCAAGAACAAGCACGACCCGGAGTGGAACGAGACTCACGACTTTCTCGTCACTGACTACGAGCAGAACATCACTATCGATGTGAACGATGAGGACCTTGGCGGTGACGATGATATCGGCATTGCTACTACAACCGTCAAGCAACTTCTTTTGTCTGGTGGCTCTCAAGAACTCGCACTCTCTCACAAGGGCCAGCCTACTGAGACTAAGGTGACCATCCAAGGAAAGTTCTTCAACTTTGTTGGCGAGTCCAACAGCATTGCAGCCAGACAAAGTGCGCACGAGGGAGCAATCTGCGGTCTTGCGACCGTGCTGATCGCTGGTGTCAGTGGATTGAATGGCCAACGTGATGAGCTCAACCCGAGCGTCAAGGTTACGTGGGGTGACAAGGAGTTCACCACGGCAGCCAAGACCTACAGCCCAGGAACAGACATCTTCAACCCTTCTTTCGACACGGCTTTCCGCTTCCCCATCACAGCGGAGCAAATTTCTAACCCACAGAGCTTCCGACTCACGCTAAGGAATGGGGCGAACGATCAGGGCTCATTTGAGATTCCATTCCAGACCGTATCTGGTGCTGAGGGTATGGTTCGTGAGGAACAGTTTGATGTTGGAAATGGCGTGGCCGTCAGGGCTCGTATTGCTCTTCGCGGATTGCAGTTGGCTGAGTAAATTTCAGCGGAGGATGTCAACAAACCCAAAGCGAGTTGTAGTAAGCAACGATAATCAGTATAAACATACGCAGTAACAAGTAACGATATCAGCATTGTTAATTAGTCGTAACTGAAATCATCCCTCGTATCTGTGCCAATGAAACATCTGGCGTGGTTGCATGTGGGCTACACGCTAAGACACTGGGGATAGATGGCATTTCTCCTTACTCCGTACAGCCCCAGGGTAATAAACGTGAACTTCCACACCGATCGTCAGTAGTTGCCACAGCCGGAATTCTTGCGATTGGGTACTGATGAAGATGGCCAACTATAGCCAATACGAGCTTCACATTTAGTAACCTAGCCTCGGGAGGGAAGAAAAACCCTACAACTCAAATCCGTGAATCTCGAAGCTATTCCATCTTTGTGGTTTCTTTCCACTCTAGCCTTGGGGCTGTATCTATCTAGCGTCTCATAAACTTCAAAAGAATGTTCTAATACCCGTTCAGACATTTTTAGCGTAGAGTACTCCGTAAAAAAGTCATATTTAGAAACTGCTAAGTTACGCTCGGCTTGGATTTAAGTCTATTCTCGATCTTCTAGCGGCAGTCCAAGACAAGGATCTTCTCGTATATCAGCCCCGCCAAGCAAATATCCAAGCGTCCGATTGGTAGGAAAACGCTTTGACGAACTAATGAGGCGAAGCTAATATACTGAGTACGGAAACTCCGTGCTGCCCGGGTATTCATACGAACAAGATCGTTAAGAGATCTATCCACTTAGTTACGATATAAAATCCTCGTGCCAGCTTGTTCTATCTTTGATGTACAACTAAAGACTCACTACACTCGTTACTCAACCATAATTATGAAGTTCTTTTCTCTCCTCGCCATTGCAAGCGCTATTGCTCCAGCTGTCGCTCTTCCAGCTGCTACGACCGACAAGGTCTCCACGACTCCCCAGAAGACCTGCACGAACCCTCCCAAGAAAGTCGAATGGCGCAAACTCGGCGCTGCCAACCAGAAGAACTACATTGATTCAGTGCTATGTCTTAAGACGAAGCCTTCTCGCATGGGTCTTAAGACGTCTTTGTACGATGACTTCCCTCATATTCATTTCGAGTTGAATGGGTACAGTGAGTATATCTGGAAGAAGGGTTTGCCATCTTTTTAGCTAACACCAATTTCAGTCCACGGAGGTGCCCCCTTTCTCCCTTGGCATAGGTACTTCACCGTGATCTACGACAAGGCCCTACGCGAATGCGGATACAAGGGCCCTGCCACGTAAGTCTGATTGAGACCTGTTACAGCACGCCTTTGCTCACATCGCATCTAGCTACTGGGACTGGACCCAAGACACCAAGGGCCTTCGCCTGTCCCCGGTCATGGCCGCTAAGAACGGCTTTGGAGGCAATGGAGACCCCAACAGGCTTGAATGGACGGCTGGCGGAACGAAGCTCATGTGCGTCAACAACGGACCATTCTCTAAGCTGAGACCCGCGTACCTCGAGGATGAGCCCAGGAAGATCCAGTCTTTCAGTCACTGCTTGTTCCGCAACATGCCCGAAGTCAGCGAGCCTGACGCCTTCAAGCAAATGACGGGCACTTTCGGTCCTGGGGGCGTCAAGGAGACAAAGGCCAACAACAACTGGCAGGATTTCGCCCGGTCGCTTGAGGGTGGCCCTCACGGCTCTATCCACGCTTCCCTCGGTGGCGAGATGAACCCTACTACTTCACCCAACGGTTAGTCAACCTCCCACTTAATACTTGTCCTCTCACTAACCAAACCAGAACCTCTCTTCTTCCTGCACCACGCCATGATCGACCGCATCTGGTGGGAGTGGCAGCAAAAGAACGCCTCCAGGCTGACTGAGTACAGCGGCATGTACACCCAGTACAAGGAGACTAAGCCTAGGGAGGTTAAGCTGGACGACCTGCTCCGATATGGTGGAATGGAAAAAGACGTCAAGGTTCGCGATGTCATGGATGTGACTGCTGGACCCCTCTGCTACACTTACTAAATGCATAGAGCATATGTGGTGTTGAGGCTCTAGAATAGATGATCCCAATCGAATAACTAATCGAATAAATAATGTAATTTAAAGAAATGCCCAGCTCGTCTTTTCAAGTAGATATATCGCAAACCTCTCTGTAGCCTCTAAAGTCGAAACACTAATGTTGAATCTTCATCTTGTCATGTTGATTGCTTAAGAGTAATAAGCCTATGTCACTGTCTGTGACCTTACTCAGAGAAAAAGCTTCTCTGGGGGTTGCGTGTTTAACGCCCCGATGCATGAAGGTGTAACTTTGATTTATCTCGCTAGGATATTGAACAAGGTTATCTAATCGCTCGTATGTTACTGCTTGATTTTGATAGCTGCTATCTGAGAATCATCGGGTGTGTGGATTATGGGGGACATTTCTATTCTTTTATTACTGTGTATTATAATGCAATTATATTCTTTTGCGTAGCATCTTGATGAACGCCTTTAGCTATCAAGATCCAACTTGCTTTCCAAATTCTGATATTGGAAGCCGGTCCTGGTTTCAAGTTCTATGTCGTTCATCCGTGACTGGTTATCCCATCCCTCTTCATGCTTTCCCAAGTGTTCCTTCAACCCACCCCAGAAGTTCCTAAGGCATATGATGCCGAATATGGTCGTCAGCAAGATGAACAATATCGCCATGCTGGCAAAGGCTGTCAATGCATTGACAGCTGATCCAAATCTCTTGGAAGTGTTCATCGCAACGAGCATATATATGAAGTAGGCAAGACCGGCAAGATAAGCCGAGATCGAGGCAATCATGCCAATACGGTTCTCGGACTTGGCCCATATCATGGACAGTCCAATAACCACAACAGCGACTCCGAGAATGACCATGTGGATGATGAATTCAGTGCCTTGAGCCCGATGCTGGGTTACGCCCATGATGATCTCAAAGCAAACAATGAAGTATATGACCATTTTGGCAAACATGGCAAATATCTGTACCGTCGAGGTTAGCGAAGTCATTACATAGACAATGGTCAAGGACATACTTGGTACACAAGGCGCATCTTTCTTAGCTTGGAGTCCGCGCCGACGTTGCGATACGACTGCCAAGAGAAGTACTGCTTCAAGTACCAAACGCTGATGAAGAGCAGCAGGGTAAAGACACCGATGATGATAGGCATGGCAAACAAGATGTTGCCAATAATAGACCAAGGATCCTGGTCCAGATAGACCAAAGAGTCACCATTGATATCTGTAGACCCCCTGAGCGATGCTTCTGCGTCTTTGATCTCTACCCTCTGGAAAATGGCAAGGGGTAGGAAGCCTGCATTGAGCACGCAGGACAGCATAGCCTGGGCAGTGTTTCTCAGCCGTACGGCATCACACATAAACAACAGCTGGAAAATAAAGCCAAACAGGAAAATAGCAAAATTGGTCGGGACTGTGTAGCCCCCAGGCACTTGCAGAACAGTTGGCTTCAAGAAGGCCTGCCATTGAACAACGACAATTCTGCGTGGAAATATTAATAGGAGACAAGATACAAAAGCACACCAAAAAGGAGACATACCCATGAAGGACCATCATGATGATTGCTTGTACTACGCCAATGGAAAGAAAAGCGACTACAGCCGGCGCGGACGGGGTCTTGCTGACAAACGTCGAGATAGGGCCCAACATTGTGATTCCTCGTATATGGGTGCAGTGTTCTCGGGCCAAAATACCGTAGATGATAGAACAATAGGAAACATTCGGTCGGTACGGAGTTTACTTGAAGGAGAAATTTCATTTACCGGAGCTAGTACCAAGCCAGGAGGAGTTTGCCGCCGCGTTCCCAGGGATCACCCTGGGAACAGCGTGTCTAGCGTGTCTTCCCTTATGAGGATCCACTAACTAGAGCTTTTGAACTTCGTATTTCTGGTCGATGGAGAATGGATCAGCAATAGTCATATAAACTGTGATGTGTTGAAATCCATAGGAAAATATAAGCAAAACCGTCTGTGCGACTAATCTTGTAAGTCTGAGCATATAATATTGAGGTTTTTCAATGAATTCTTTCTTAGTGTAGAGGATGAATGACGGTAATTTGTGCAGCCTCATTGCCAAGACACCACAAAAGCCTAAATAGGGCTGTGCAGACAGGGGCAGTACGAGCATCAAGCATATCCACCACGAAGGCCTCATACTCTTTAGTCTTATTGGTCCTCCCCTCAAATCATTCGATATCCCCATAACTCCGCCCCGGAGTTGTCGCGCCCAGGCGCTGGCAGGGCTGTAGTGCGTGACAGCTGAAAAGCAATCAGTACTCCCGAATTTCCGGTACTCATTAGCATTCGGATGGCTGAGAGCTACACTTTTTTCCATCCAAGATCGAGAGAAGTCAGTCAATAGTCGGGTAGATTGATTGATCTGATAAAGACAGTAATAGTTTAGTATTCCTCTTCGTACTGCAAAATTCGAATTTCGTAATAAATGAAGGACTATAGGTCAAGTGTACCAATAATGAAAGACTCCCATGGTTCCAACACGCTGTCTCAGCGACACTAAAGAACTCCGTCTGTCTCGTTGTTGTTCCAGCTGGCTAGTAGCTGACTAAGAGGACTACGCTCCCCGGAAACTTGAGCATCTTGACCTTCAGCAATATCAACCTTTTCACAACTCGCCTGCGTAATCTCATAGACAAGAACCGGCTCTCGTCTTGCTCCATCGAAGTTTTCGATATCCTTGACCTGCAGTTCGAGAATTTTGGTGGCTGTTTCCAATGAAACGGGAATTCCCTGGCTTGCCAGCTTGGCCATGTATTCCTCAGCGTTCCGCTGGAGAAGGTAGTCCTTGTACTGAGAGATCCCACTCGAGCTTGTCGAGCTGAGGGTACGCATTGATACCGAGGTAGATTCACAGTCTTGTAAAAAGCCTAGTCAGTTCTGATAGGCAGCCTGCGGACTAGAGAAAACTTACAAGGTAAAATGCCATCAAGTCTCGGGTCTGAGGAAGGATTGACAAGTTTATAAATTTCGAACCATCGTTCCTCGTCAGAAATTTTGGTGGACTTTCTCTTTAACGAACGCAGACTAGAAGCTTGCTCCCTCGTTAGTTTACCGTAGGCCGGCTGCGAAGTGATCTTGTGGCAAGCCAGTTCTTGGTGCTGGTGAGCTAGGAAAAGCTCATCGGTCTTGAAACCTTCGTCGCATCTTCGACAGACAAATTTGTTCTTATGATGGTCAACAAGGTGTGTGCGGAAGACATGTTCCCTAAATATGGTGTTAGTCACTAAAAGTTACAAGAGGTCAGAAATAGCCATACTTGACTTTGTTGATATCGGTCCAGCCTGGGCCCTCGCATGCTCTGTGGCGAGCCGAGATGCGAATTCCTGCTTTGAAGAATGGACATGCAAAGCGTGGCTTCAACTGGCTCTGGTCAAGATGGCCATCAACGCTTTGAGTCGTTGTGTTTGTGTAGTAATTTGCATCCACGGCTCTATCGAGTCGTGGTCCTTGGCTGGCATTCTGATTCGTATGGACCTGCAACCCCCATCTCGTTAGCGAGATACTCCTTGCCGAAGAATACGAATTTTGAAAGAAAGGATCCTATCTATGTGTGAGTAGATATCGCCACACAGCCTCAGGAAAAAGGTTAGAAAACTGGTTTTCCTACCATTTCCATATTATTGTCTTTACGATCAACTTGAAACTCGGAGTATGCTGCATCCTCATCAAGTCTTTTGCAAATCTCGGTGAGGGCTCTCGCAACTTCATGGGAAGCCATCCGCTGGTGCAGATCAATTCTCAGCATACCGTTTACGACAAGGTCGAGAATGTCGTTGCTGAAAGGAGTCGAATGAGGATGGCTACGCATAGACAAGAGCAACTGCGTGTATCAGATTATCGCACACTTCTTTATATGGCTTCAGAACTCACGTTTTGCACCTGGGGTTTGAGTCGTGCCGTGAGAACGCCATCTAACGTTCTTTGCAACCGGAAGAAAGCGCCACGATTCGGGCTGTTGTGTTCTTCGTCACGCCGAGCTTCTATAAGCCTTTCAAGACCTTCGAGTCCATCCAAGGTCCAAAGCAGTGCCTGGGAGAGGATGCATCCAAAGCCCCATATGTCGTACGCTTGCGTAACACCTTCATGAGTAATATCCACCTCCGGTGCACGGTAAGCCGGCGTTCGCTTGATATTCTGGGGTTTGGTAATCTCCTTCTCACTGGATGGTATGAAGTACGAAGAACCGAAATCTGTGATTGCGAGTGTGTGCCGCTCTGGTGCATCATTGAAGAATAGGATATTTTGAGGTTTAAGATCTCCATGCACTCCATAGAAGCTGCTTATCGTCTTTTGTTCTGCCGACCCATGAATAATGGACAAAGCGTCGGCCAGTCCCATCATCTGGCGCCCTATCCACTCGAGTGTGCTCTTATCTTGAGGCGGTCTAGGATGACGATGCCAAAGCATGTCAAGGTCACAGTCAGCCCATGGAAAAACGAGGTGGTAATGGCTTTTTTCTCGGTAGGAAGCAAGAAGAGGAACGATATGTGGATGGGGAGTTTGAGCCAGGTGTTGGTGGTTCATTCTTTCGCGAAAGAAGTCATCCTCGTTTCCAACGTGGAACTCCTTCAAGGCATACAGGTGCTCTTGCGGCTTGTCCAGGCGGTTACCAGTAGACTTTGAATTACACTCATTGTGACTAGGATGAATTGTCACTTGAAAGACCTGGGCAGTTCCCCCCCATTCTTGAGTCCTGTTCTTGGTGGCGAAATGAGGGACAGAATCAACGGAATAGAAGAATGGTGGGTTCGTCGTGTTTCGAGATGCAGTTATAAAATCCTGCATACACATGCGCAATCTCTCGACGGCCCTATCTATAATCAAGTTGGGACGCCGTTTAAGTGGTCGAACGACCGTCGTTTTGACCATAGCGTTGCCTGTAAATTCCTCCGAAGTGACTGCCTCACTGGCAAAAGATGAAGAGTTGTTACGGTCCGCCATAGCTTGAAGAGATCTCGATCTTTAGAGACTGAAGAAAGGGCAAACGTGTAGAAATCTCTGGCACCTACCAATTGGGGCACGTCTCCAAGAAATGGAACCAAAGAAAATTCTTGAGCCAAATTAGTTTGCCAGAAAGTATTAGTTGCAAACGATCCCATTTGAATAGGATCTAAGTTGACTTCAAGACAGCCAACAGTGCTTAGACTCGGTGGATGCTAGGTCGCATCACACTGTATACTGTATTTGGTTAATGGGTGGATACTAGGAAGAATGGAAGACTAATAATATGTCTGTACCAAGTTTTGATTATGAACTTGACTAAAGTGGTGGATAGGATAGTGATTGTTGTTTCGGCCTCCTATGCAAAACTTATTCGTTTTTGGGTAGATCCCGATTCAAATGTTCGTAAGAAAAGGAGGTTCCGGTACTCTGTAGGTAACTTTGAGATGCTAGAACACTGGGGATGTCGGTCGTGTAGCGTCCTGGAAAGAAAGGTATTCGGCCAAACGCAGCAAGTGCGTAATTCTCACTTGGAGCCTGGGGAATATGTTATATGTAATTTAGCGTTTTGCCGCAAATACGATTTGCGCAGATGCGTACATTTCAAAGCATATTATTGGCTGTTGAACTACAGTGGCTTGTTTATTTTCAACCCATTCGACCACTCAGGTGCAAGAAAGTAGAATATGTCGCTGGGGTTCGTTTACTGGTTTGGTTAAGCTAGCAGACCTGAGATTAGCTGTAATATCACGACAACAAACTACCTATGAATACCCAAGTCAGATCTGCATACGTGTATAGCAATGCGGCTGTCGAGTTACGAGTCGTTCTCAGCGGATGTACAGTTGCCTATACATCCGAATCTTAGTACCGCTGCTTGATTTAGCTCACAGGAAAGATGACACAGGCGTGGCATTTGGCTCAATACAAGCAGGATTCTATGTCTGTTTATTTGCTAAATCTGAACAATCTCTATATATATCTGCCTGCTTACCACGCAATCCTAGCTACAAAAGATTTAGGATATGTCCTCACGATATACTTCCTAATCTCATCAACCAACAGAATACCAAGTCCAAGAGGAATGGGAATGAGCCAAAATTCAATCGGCACTGACTCGGTATCGAACAGGTTCTGGATTCCGGGTACTTCTGTGACAAAGATGGCAATGCACAGACTGATAAGCATGCTGAGGATTAACCAGGGGTTGCGGTGAGCCTTGCTGAGAGGGTTGGCCTGGAAGATAGACAAGCGGCGGTTTCGCACAGCGAGAATGTTACCCCATTGGAGGAATACCAGAGTCACGAAGTAGACACACTGTCCGGTGTTGTTGAACTTGATGAGCTCGTCCTTGGTGTAGCCGTGGTAACCCTCCGAGTATCCCTCAAAGAGAAAGAAGAGCTCCGAGACAGGCATCTTGGCGTACTTCCACATGTAGAGGAAGAACATGGCGTGCGCAGTGATCGTTTCCATGAAACCAGTGAATAGGTACGCCTGCGTGTAGATCTTGGCGTTGATGAGGTGGTCACGCTTGTGGTTACGGGGAGGAAGAGAAAGAAGGTCGAATTCCTCCTTCTCCATGATGAGGGAAAGACTCAGGAAGAGATCGGTGAAAACACAAATGATGATCATGAGGAATGCGCTCAGGGGTAAAGGAACACCGAACCAAACATTGAGAATGACAGGCCAGATCTCGGACCAACTACCAGCAGGGAGAAGGTAAGAGATGACCTTTTGAAGGTTCTGGAACACGAGACGACCGAGGCGCATAGCATCAACAATGGAGTCAAAGCGATCGAGGAGAACGAGGTCAGCTGCTTCAATAGCGACGTCGCTACCAGTGACGATGGCAACACCGACGTCGGCGGCTCGAAGCGCGGGAGCATCATTGACACCGTCACCAGTAACAGCGACGACGTTATCGCGAGCCTGGAGCTCGGTAACGATGCGAAGCTTCTGTTCGGGTGTAGTACGTGCAAAGACAATCTCATCATAAGCGCAGACAACATCCCAATCCTCCTGTCCTAATCGGCTGAGATGGATTCCTTCCAGGAGCAGACTTCGCTTGATGATCTCGGCCCGATCTCCCTTCCTCTTCTTCTTGGGTTTGTCCTTTTCGCTGCTTGAGGGAGTACCAGGGTGGAGTGAATCGATGGTGTCGGGGTCATGCTGACAAGAGAAGATTCCAGTGTTGCGAGCAATTGCCGCAGCAGTCAGAGCGTAGTCACCAGTGACCATGAAAAACCGGGTTCCAGCACGTCGGCATTGCTCAACGGTATCTGGGATTTCAGGACGATGAGGATCAATGATGCCGAGCATGCCAACGACAGTAAGGTCCTGGATGGCAGAGTGTGTAACCTCATCACTGAAGCTGTTTGTACCAATTACTGATCGAGGAGTGATGAACTTCTCACACAGAACGATGACTCGTTCCGCGCGACGAGAAGCTTCATCTTGGATCTCTTGGAACTTGATACGGGCGTCGCGAGTGAGTGTTTCGACAGAATTGGACTCGGAGGACCAGTACTTGGTGCAACCAGAGAGAAGAATATCGGGAGCACCCTTGATGATAACGCGGTAAGCTCCTCTCTCGTCAACGGATTGAAAAACAGTGAGCATCCATTTGTTCTTGGAGTTAAAGGGGACTTCAAAGACACGAGGGGCAGTTTTCTTGAAACTGTCTCCGTCAGGGCCAGCTGCAGCAAATCGGAAGACGGCGCTGTCAGTTGCATTGCCCTGGATAGTTCGCTCATGAAGGGGAAGGTGGACGGTAGTTGGGTCGAAAGATGCATCGTTGCATAGAAGTGATGCATGCTGAAGGGAGGTAGCAGCATGGTTGACTTCAGTCTCACGAAGTAAGTTTTGGAAGTCATCTGCAGAGTCGAACTTCTTATCCACGAAGGCGACTGAGCTGACAAACATCTTGTTCTGTGTGAGGGTTCCTGTCTTGTCCGAACAGATAACGTTCACACAACCCAATGTCTCGACAGTGGATAGACCCTTGGGTAAGACATTGACGGCCTTCATGCGACGAGCAACCATCATGAGAGTCAGAGCCACAGCAACAGGCATACCTTCTGGGATGAAGGCAACGACACAGGCCATGACGTTGACGAGCATAGCTGGGACACTCATGTAGTCAGGATGATCAACGCGTAACCAACCAGCCCATGTGAAGAGAATTGCAAGAGCGAGAGTGACGGTCATGCAGACGATAATCAGGACGAAACGGGTGATTTCGCGCTGGATCAGAGCGGCGGAGTCCTTGACGCCAGAGGTTGATGTTGCAATGCGGCCCATGACTGACCGGCCACCAGTGAGGATTACAACGCCGACACCGTTGCCGTTCATGACAGTTGTGCCCATGAAAGCAATGTTGCGGCTCTCGAGAAAGTTGGAATCGGTTGAGTCCACAGTACCCTCGATCTCGTCAGCCTCGCCAGTGAGAACAGAGCGATCGAAGCGGATGTCACCAGAGTGGCTGACGATTCGCAGATCGGCGGGGACCTTATCACCAACTTGAAGCTGGATAACATCACCAGCAACAAGGCCGACAGTGGGCAAACTCTTGAGCTCTCCGTCTCGCTTGACCATTGCAAATGAGGGCAGCAGGTCAAGGATTGCATTCATGGTCTTGGCGGTTGACCAATCCTGGAAGGCAGAGAAACCAGCCTGGAGGAAGATGACAATGAGGATAAGGACGGCAAGTGATAGATTTTGGATCGAGGGAGGGCTGCTAAGGGGCTGCCAGCAGAGGAAAAAGATGATGGCGCCGACCCAAAGAACCGAACAGAAACCACCAAAGATGTACTTGAGAGTCCTCTTGATGTAGTTGGTCTTGGGATGCGGCAGTGCGTTCTTGCCATCGCGCTCAAGACGGGTTGCGGCAGAACTCTCTGAGAGACCAGAGTCAAGGCTGACGTTGAGCTGTTGGCACAACTGCTCTGCCTGAAGCTCATGGTACTGAAGCTTGGAGAAGTAATCCTCATCAGTCTTTGTTTTGGGGGTCTTGGAGTCTTCGGCGTCGGGCTCGGCTTGCTTGGCGTCGGTGACTTGGATGGATAGGGTACGATATTCGATCTGAACACCAGAGTAGGGCGAGGTAGGGTGGATGCGGCTGCGGGAGCTCGAGTGTGAACGACGGCGGGAGAGGGAGCGGGAGAGGGTACGGCCAAGGCGGATTCCATCATGCTCCTCACGTCCGCGATCAGGACGATCTTGGAATGTAATGCGAGGATTTTGGGCAATCTCAGGATCAATTTCCTTTGTGCCGTGGATGTCTGGGTCTGCCATCTCTGCGGAGTGCTTTGCAAGAGAATTTGAAAAGGGAGAGGATTTGCAGATGCAGAGAGAACCAGGGTGAGAAGAGCGTGGGAAAGGTAGGTGTAAAGCCAGCCAAGCAGGGTGATATTAATACAAAATCGGCAGCGAGGTCTAGACAATTCCAAAACTCTTGGATCTTGTCTCTCTCATCTCAGAGAGGCCGCCTCGGCTTGTCCCAAGTGAGATATCCATCGTAAACAGGGCCAAGGATTAAATGCCGCATGTACGTTGATGTTGGGGGGCAGCTGCAATGCTATGAAACGTCTTGTAGCTGAGAGTGAAGCTATACAAGAGGTGTACAAGCCCGCCTGCGAGAATATCGTGTGGTTGACGGTAGGCGCTGGTATGGGACTACATGCGCCCTGCGTAATGTGACAACTCCAGGGGTGCAGCATCGTCCAGGGTGTCTGTCCTCTCGCTTTGTTCTCTCAAGGCTTGCTGACGGGCGTAAATCTGGCACGTCGGAGGGGAAATGAGGTGTAGCTAACCGATTGTGGGCGAGGAATGGTTTGTTGTGATATTCACGGCGTGGGGACGGGGAGACTCAGCCCCTGGCTCCACCGGGGAAGTATTTGGCTCATATTATTATACATGAGCTCGACTTGTTGGTGAGATGGGCTATTAAAAAAAAGTGTCTGACGTGGGTGGTCCTGGACTCGTGGCTAACCAAGTTGGATAAAGTCGTTTGTCACTGGAACTTTTGGGGTGCTTTTACAGATGGAGACCACGGATGAACAGGTACAGTAGAGTACAACAGCACGGATGACAATGTTACCAAGTCCCAGAGTCTCGGAACCATCAGATCAACCAACCAAAACGATTCGCCCGGGCTCTTGGACCCTGACCTTGACGTCGCATTCATCCAAAGGCACAGAAAATAAGGTGCTGCAATTAAGCATTTTGACGTGGGCGTAGCCGTCTTGGCAGTGTCGTAGCGGGGTCTTGGCATCGCTGGCCTGTAGCACCCCTTGTCCCTTGTCGCTTTGTTCGATCGGGTTTCCCATTCCGGGAGCAGGCTGTGCTGGGAGAAGCCGATATCTAGGGGTCTAGGCTGGACTTGGAATACATCGTCATAAGCCTCAAATCCCTCGTGCAATTTTCGGTCGTGTCATTTCCCAGATTTCGCATAGAGGCGAATCATCGCTTAGATTTGGCTTCGCTCACCGACATGTCTCGAGGAGCATCTGACTCGGCTCCAGGACAGAGGGCTCTAGTCATTAGCTCGTTTCCTCAATATGTCCTCTTTTCTCTCCTCTCGATCCAAGCGGTGTCCTCCTTTACAACCCCCCAATTTCCCCCCGTCTCACTTGCTTTCCCGCCCTCTTTTGGGCGTTCCCGCACAGCCTAGAACGTGGGAGGACCTTGACTTTCCTGCTGGCTTCTCTCGAACCCGGAGCTACCCATGTCTAATCATATCCCAAAGTTACGCACCAGCCAATCACCGTCATTCTAGCTTTTTCCCACGATGACGTTGCTGCTCCCAGCAAACTTTTCCTACAGCCGTTCATCCGTGCGCCGTTTACCCGCGTGTAAGAAGGCTATCTAAATGTGGAGATGCACCAATTGGCATTTGCAATTATCAATTAACACCCATGACCACATCTCGTACTCGAGCTGTTGGTCAAGTTCTTGCACAGCACAGCACAGCACAACGTTGCATTGACGCGTAATACAGGGCTGAGATACGCCTCTCACTCTCGTCCATGACACTGAGATCGTTGCAAACCGAGTCCCCGGCGACTGAACCAGATGATTCCATCCCATCTACCACTTCATAATCTGTTCCTGTTTCCCACAGCCCTCACGGAAGCTCCTGTGGGGGGTCCGATGACTTGAAGTACCTACATAGCCAATGACGGTTTGCTATTAATTTTCCGAAACCAGGTCTCAGGGTTCTGCATGAATTGGGCTAAGAAAGCTTGTTGGAGACCCACGCTTTCGCTTCGCTGTACCCTTGCTCTGTATTGCCCTTGGAACCACAAGCCCTGCAGCACCAGAAGCCGCTTCTTGTGCCTTTCCAGGGCTTAGCTTGTTCTTCTGATTACTACTGTGTTAAATTATCGATATTATGTAGGGCACATGTCAGGGCTTTTGCTGTCTGTTATGACTCCATTTGGGTTTTTAGCTCGCTCGTAGTCACAGTTGGGATGAGACCAAGCGAAAAAGAAAGGGAGGTATTTTTATTTCCGCCTTTGATATCGCACCGTCGTTTGTCAGAAATTTGTGTTTTGTGCGGGATTAGTAAACTATTACATTAATGAAATGATCAGAGCACTTAGAGTCAAGGCAGCTCGAGACAGATTTGGATCAGCTTGTGAAATTCTGCCTCTTTTCCCCTTTCTTGAGTAGTCAGCTTCAGGCAGAGCTGACACTGGGGGTTCACTAAATTTCTGGTCAAGGTTCAAATGCACCTACAAGCTTCCCAACCCGTTGAAGAATCCCCCTAGACCAACCTTGTTCTTTGTAGTCTTCAAATGGTTGCGTATCTTCTTGTTACATTCTTTTCCGCTCATGACGCCTGATACTCATTAACACATCTGTAGTATCTTCTTCTCTTCTGCATCAACGCCGATTTCTCTTTTAGCCGTGCCTTCTACCCTTCACTTACATTAGCCAAGACCTTCTCAGGTATCCTGCATCGGCGCGTGATAGCCACCCTGGTTAGGATGAAAACTTAGAAGGCTAAGCTCGAGCGAACTCAACATTGAAAATATTGCTCAGAGAAACGTGGCAGTATTGTTTCAAACAATGCAACGACAGAGATGGTGGTGTCGATGTTGGCGCTTATCAGGCTGATACCAGCAGAGAGCATTTTATGAGCAAAGGGCTCTTTGCCATCTTGATTCAATCTCTGTTGTGGCTAATTTCATTCTCATTCACAACATGAAAGATGCATCTGGCTTGAATCCGTTCATCTTGTGCCACGAGGTTGGTTCGAGCGACTCGGTGGCATCCTCACCTTGATGAAAAACAGCGTAATGGAGCTGGAAATCGCCCACGGATGGTTAATTTTGAGTCATTGTTAAAAAATATCGTCTCTTATTATTCCAAAATGATCTCTGAGAGTGTTTGAATAGATTTACGGTACATAGATCAGTGTATTAGGAAATATCAACCGTTGCGTCTGCTACACAGCCTACCCGGTAGCCGTATCATCTCAGGAGTGGCGCATGTGGGTGGAGTAGCCACAGCCTTCCGGGCATCGGGTTCCGATAAGCCACGGAAAAAACGGAACCTCAACGGCCGAATCATCTTGAACGTTCAATCAACCAATAACCGCATCGTCAATTCTCAGCGACAACCACCGCAACGGCCCTCTCTACTTTATGGAAACGTGATGCCTGCTCCTAGATGAGCACTCTCTCATTCTCTGTCCTCCATTGTCGCGCGCGGATCCCATGTCAGGTCAGGAGACCTCTCCACAGTCTCCCCCCGCAAACACACCCAAGCATCGACGTCCCTGGAACTCAGCCGAGGATGCGACTCTGAGGACGCTCGTAGGCCATTTTGGTGCCAGTCGAGGCTCGGAGGGTAGGTGGAAGGACATTGCAGCTGGGCTTGAGGGCCGTACGGCCAAGGTGAGTTGACCTTCTCCGCACGCGCATCAACGCGGTCAAGAGTGGCCCACCTTGATTGCACGACGTGGCATTGCTCTCAGAGTGGATGAGGCTGGTGGATGTAGTGCTGACTGATCTTAAGGATTGTCGCAAAAGATGGCTTCACTCTCTTGACCCATCATTGCGTAAAGGCCGATGGACATCTCAAGAGGATGAGATTCTCCTCTCAGCCTATGCTCGACTTGGACCACTTTGGAATGACATTGGTAATTTCACTCTGTAGTACCACTTTTCTGATCTAACATTGATATCAGCCTCTCTGATTCCTGGAAGAAAAGACGATCAATGTTCTAAGAGATACAATGATATCCTCAATCCATCCGCCAAAAACCGCTTGAGCGATTGGACCGCGGAAGAAGACAACCTTCTGCGCTCAGGTGTAGCAACACTTGGTCACCGTTGGGTGGCTATCTCATCAAGAATACCTGGCCGTCCCCCTCTTACTTGCCGTAACCGCTGGCGTACTCTCTCGCGACAATCGCACAATCGGCAGAGCAAATCCCAAGGCACCACACCTTCGTCATCGTCCCAAGTGTCTCCCACAGATAACGGCATATCGCCAGCGCCGCAAAACCCCAACCTTAGTATAGAAACGGGAAGTGGGATCGCTTCCGATCAACTCATGCCTTTTCCAACTATGGATGCCGATATGGGCCATGACCAAATGGGCCCTGCTTTCCTTGATTCAGCTTTCTTTGAGACGTTTGCAGGCCCCTCGCCTTCGCCATTCAGAGATTCCGAAGCAAGTGACGACACAGAGACTCCAAATGATGCGGTAGAGCCTTCGCATCCTGGGCCTGTTCCAGATGTCACCTCGAATATTTCCCATATGTCTGACCAACTACCAAACGTCCCTAGACAGTGGCCACCACCACCTAGACCGCTGCAAGTACAGCCCGAAAACATTACGAACGGGACCTTCATACCTTCACCATCAACCTGGCCATCAATCGGCGCAATGTTACCACCAGGAACTCCACCTACGGACCAGAACCTCTGGTTAGGGGCGGCGGGTAATTCTTCAGCCCCGAAGAATTGGACTGTCCCAGCAGATGATTCCTTACCCCAATCCTACACTGAGCAATTTCAAATACCGACTTCAACACCACAAGCCGTTCACCACCATCATCACCATCATGTACATCACCACTTCCACCATTACCATCACTACACAGGCGCAGGAGATCAATGGAGACAATTGGAACAACAATCAGAGGCCGAGGCGATGCAAGCACACCTCCAGAATGAGAACGGTGCTTCGAATCCCCCGGGATGAAGTGCCCAGGCTACTAGGAGCTTTGCGTCTCCTATAAAGATTTTCAACACGTTGGTTCAGATCCAACAAACCCGTTCAAGTCAAATCAACATGACAGAGCAGAAACGCATGCAGCGTTGTAGAGTCGGAGAATTCAACACGAAGTACATACACCACTGCTTGTGGTTGTCGCCAATCAACTATATCATACCAGTTGGTACCTGGTATGATACAGTCTTTGGTCGGTTTGTACGTATCTTATTGTTGACGGTGCTTCATATGACTGCCTTTGGGAGATGCTACTTACTTCAAAGGAGGATTGGGCGCCTTAGGATCAGGCGGTTTGCTCAACCTACGCCTTCGCCCACAAGTTCGACAGCCGATGCTTTTGCATATGCAACCAATTCCATCCAATGACCTAGGCGTAGCCGTATCTCATGGTCGCTAAGAAAGGTCTTGGTCGCAAGACATAAGGTCGGAAATCATTGATGGATAATCTCTGGGATAAAGGGGTTTAGATTGACTTGTTTTGTTCTATCACTGACCTTCGGTCCTGGTGTACCCGAATAATAGGTCTGGAGCAAACGACCGCTCTGGACACTTTGGATGTATCTTGGAAAGAGGTGGTAACGATGTGGCCATGTACCAGATATGGGATTTATGAGGCGTTACTTGTTTTGAGATCATAGAAGAGATACCTTTCAACAGGGTTGAGATTTTGGAGTATGTCGATGTGTTATGATTTTTTCAACCCATAGGAAACTCGACGGGCAGATTCTGTGATAGCAGTAAAGAATTTACTGCATGTTTCAAAATGATAACCATTCTCCTGGCGCCGTGACGTGGAACTATCGAATCTGTTTCAGCCATCATGATACAGATATAGAGATCAGACTAATAAGAACAGTAATTCTGGGGTTTGAAACCATATAGGAGTGAAATTCCCAACAATGCCAGGTCTTTCGACTGTGCTCGGTAACGTTTCAAGTCCGTTTTCAAATTTGATTGCTTAAGGATGTAGTAAAATCCGGTGCAGCCACTAACTTGCGAGGTTGGAACGTCATCATCTGCAAGCCTCAAGTGACGTTCTACATTTATTAATCTTAAAACCCTTGACCAATCCATTTGCAGGCTGCTTCGAAACTTGACAGGAAACGGGCATGTCTTCATGATTACAAACCCTAACATTTAACAATACTCTGAAGTGGACACCATAACGGCATTGGCTGACGTGTAATTACAAAACCCCCTGTTTTTCAAATCGCGAAAATTGCGATGAAAACGAGAAAATCGCGACGAAACCGAGCAATGCGACCGGGTTTAGATCCAACCGCCGGGCGTGGCCAATCGGGGAGATTGAAAAGCCGATAAGCACGTCCATTTGTTTACGTGGTCTCACCCACTGACAGGTTTTACTGACGATGCCAAGATCCATCGGTAGGGTGCCGAGATTGGCTTTGTGTGTCTCTGAAATCGTGAAGTTTTTTTTATTGAGAGTTGAAAGTTTCCATAGCCTTTCTCACGTCAAGACATATAGATCTCGTCTGAATTTTCTTGACGGTAGGAAGGGACTGTTTTTGTTACCTCACAACTCACAGTATTCCGCCATGAAAACAACAATTGTTGATCCTTCATTTGTAGGATCAAACGCCAAGACCTGGATCTGCACCTCGCTTATTCTTCATGCTTGGCTCCTCCAACTGCGCCTCGTGTATCGAATCCACAAACTCATTCCGGCCCCGTTGCGGAAGCATCTCCATGGGTCGCCCCACGGGAACGTGCTCAATTGACGCTGGGGGCTATTGATATATGACTTGGCTCTCTTGCTGTCAATTCAAGCACCTCCTTCTTTGATCGCACATTCTCAATCGCGGGTTGAAAGACCAACATCCGCCAAAATGTCCACGAATATGACCGATTACCAACCGCCTTCCTACGAGACCTGCGCAAGTGGTGTTTCAGAACGATGCCCCGTCGAGCTATCCCTTTACGGCGACTACTTCAACCTGGGAGGATGCATCTTCTTCGCCGTAGCCTTTGGACTGGCCCTCATTCCACAACTATATCTCGGCATCAAGGCGCGGTCATGGTCTTATATGGTCTGGCTAGCGATTGGCACATTGTTTGAGTTGATAGGATACTGCGGGCGCATAGTCATGAGTTCCAACCCCTGGGTCTACAACGCATTTGTCATCCAGCTCGTCCTTCTCATCCTCGGCCCGACACTCGTGGCCGCCGCGATTTCCATCACATTCAAGCACCTTGTCCTGTGGTACGGTCGCGAATACAGTTTCATCAAGCCTGTCTTGTATCCCTGGGTTTTTGTCGGCACCGATCTCTTCTCCATTGTCATCCAAGCTGCTGGCGGTGGTGTCTCGTCGGTCGCTACTAATGGGAACGATGCGGATCAGGGGCTGCTCGATGTGGGCTCTGGTCTCCTCGTTGCTGGTGTCGTCTTCCAGATGGCCAACATGATCTTCTGTGGTAGTCTAATGCTTATCTATATCTGGAGGAGACACAAGGCTATCAAGAATGGTGCTGCTGTGAGAGCTGGAGATGAGACTGCCAATGAGAGTGGCTCATCTACCAATGGAGGCAATATCAAAGTGATCAGAGCAACTGACAAGAAGACCAAAATCTTTGTCTATGCTCTGGCAGTTGCCTATGTTGCTATTATCATTCGTTGCATCTACCGGTAAGTCTGCTATACTTTCATTCTAAATCATACGTTTGCTGATAATTTCAATAGTATCCCCGAAATGCAAATGGGTTGGGGCAGCAGCCTCATGCAAAACGAGACAACATTCCTCATCCTTGACGGAACCATGATCCTCATCTCCGTCTGGACTTTGACGATCTTCCATCCTTACTTCTGGTTCCCTTACCTAACCAAGAAGGGAAAGAACGGGACGGACGGTGAGAAGTCTCAAATAGAAGGGGAATCGGGTCCTGTGGTGGGTGGAACGCAGTGATTTTCACTTGATGGCATGAACTTGGAATTTCAATGAACAAATAGACCTTCACTTTTAGAGCGTATATGGTTTAAGATAGATGTATTCTCGGGTTAGACCAGTTTGATAGAGAATTTCCTTTTTCTTTTTGGCGAAATATACTACGCTTCTTAACTTTCTATTGTTGTCATATCAGATGGATCATGAAAGTAATCGAAGATATTGGTGAATCCGGAGGCCTTGTAGTCGATGCGTAGATTGGAATATGCTGCTCGTACGCGGACAATCGCTACATAGGTATCTTACTCCGCAATAACGACTCCTACTTTTAGATATATGAGCTCGTAGGTATGGATTTTAACTCAGAACCACCACCACACGCGACATAGCGCACGGTTAAAACCTCAATACACAAAATATGATTCCAAAGATGCAAAACCATTCTCACACCACCCAGACCTTTGTAGTTCCCGGAACAATATGAGTATCCAGAAGTACCGCTACGCCGACTCTTTCATAACTGGCCAGAACTTCTGTCGAGTGTGTTTGATGTATCAGCAAAACATATTGAAGAAAACGACCTTGGTCGTCGGACAGTTTGCTTTCTCCACACACAATACACCTCCAACCGATGGGATCGATTTTGGAGTTACTCTGATCAATCTTAGATCTCTTCGACAGTTCGCCTTCGTCAATCAGCAGTTGATTTGCGTAAGCAAGAAGCCGTCCATCCCAGCCAGCTCTGTCGCTTTTGGACCCAAAGGGATCGATAAAGTTACCCATCCAGTTCACCTCTTTGAAAGGGATCTCCATATATCGTATCTTCCCCACGTAAGCCATCCATGACCATGACGGGACAGTCTGAGTTCGTGCATACGCTATTCGTGTCATGTCGCCTTGGATCTCGGCCTCCCAAAGCAACATTCGTTCAAAATAAGCTGAGAGGACGCCGTACTTTGCACTAGACTCGAAGGCATTGGCCAAACGTTCCTGTAACCCTAAAATTGCTTTTGAACGGTCCGTTGCCTTTGTCAAGCACAGCCCGCTGTAGACTCCATAAAGGTATTGTATGAGGCGAATACGATCGTCCTTGTGGTGGTTCAATGCGTAGGCCGGGAAATTGGGGTCTCCAATAAACTCAGACTGGCTACTGTAATTGTGTATCAGTTATGGGGAGTGACAAATTTGGTTTCTGTTCTGTGTTACCTACTTTCGTAACTTGGCTTGTGTCTCACATTGGATACCCCCTCCGCATTCCCAATACACCTGGGTTGACGTGAAGTGTATAGTCCGACACGATAATGCTCTTTCCTGAAACACCCATCCGCGCTTGTTTAAAGCACTATGCTCAACATGCTCATGAAAATCGTCAATAGGCTCTGCTAGATGGACAGGCCCCTGTAGAGTCTTAATCGTAGTGGCTGCTCTCTGCGTCCTAGTTCCAAGAAATCCTTGCAGCGAAGATGTAGCGCTGCTGGCTGCTATGATAAAATAAGCCGAGCTAAACACAGGTCCCATCCTCGCTGATTCAGCTTCCCAGTCTTGCTCGTCATCCTGGATGATACAGAGTGAGTCGATCCAGAGGTAAAAGATCCCTAAGTTCCGGGTGACTGTCACGGCATCCCGAAATGTCTTTGGTAACGAATCGAACAATATATCTCGCTCGAGTTGCTTCTTATTGCTTTTGTAAAGGCAGAACCTTTCCTGCTCTGATAAAACTCCCCAGCAATGGCTCAACGCAACGTACCTAGGCGTGGTGTGTTTTTCCGTGTCAATAAGATGTATATTGGAATTGATGTCTCTGCCGACGTACACGAGTCTTGTTGGCATGCTACCTATTATTTTACTTTCAATCTTGTTCGGGAAACAGTTATGAGTCTGATCACAAAGGTAAATCCATTGCTTCAGCAACTCAAACTGTTGAACACTACCGAAATCCGGCAGAATCGGCAACCCGAGTTGTGCATGAGGGAGTACAGAACCATAACCTAACAAATCTGTATAAGCACTCCATCTGGTCTTTTTGGAAATACATACCTGGGTCGCCATAAATGGATATCACGGGGTTTCCATCAGCGGAGGTTCTAAATGCGCTACCAGCACGGTTCATAAAAAGTTTCACTGTTCCAACTGGCTGGGGTCTAGCCTTCAATAGGCAGACGATCAGAAACTTACAGATACGACAATTGTACGAACTTCTTGTAAGATTCTCGAGACTCCGTCCTAGATCCAAAACTGGTGATAGGAAGTCGGTATCGATACAAGAGTCGCATATTCCTGTAGTATGATCACTAAGCGCAGGTCGTAAGGTGGGCCAGTCAAGATGCGAGATTAGGGCAAACGCCCAGCTCTTGTTTGTTGTGCTTCGCCACTGATCTTTGAGCAGACTAGTATGCTGAAATTGTTAGCTTCGAGGTTTGCTTCGACGACACTACCAGATTTTTCCATGTGGCGGACGTACAGGCTGCTTCGTATTAGTTACTAACATCATTATTTTCGATTTCAGGGGTTACTAACGTTCTAGACATTCCATATTGTCATTACTAAAGGGAAGACAGCAAGATTATTCGCCAGTAGATAGACTCACATACTAAGTACTCAGTTAGCAATGTAAATTTCCGTTACAAGAGGCCAATTTTACTTGATCTGGGGACGCTGGTAGATTGCTTGTTGCACCCATGGGCCTTGCTTTGGCCTGATTCGCTAATTTGCTGCCGAAGATGGATTTCGGTGAACAGTTGGATATCTTTTGCAGTTCGCCATGGACAGCCTCGGCGTCGGCGCGGTTCTTCCTCGAGTCCAAAAGTCTCGCGGAAAGGGTCTGTATCTCCAAAAGCTTTTCTGAGAGAGCTTCTATGTTTTCTTTCCTCGACCTCTGCAGATTAGATGCTGCCGTTAAGAGCTCGGCATACCTCTTGTCAGGCTTTTCACTCCTGCGTCGTGAAGCGAAAATAACTTTCTTCAGTTTGCATCCCACGAGTTTCTTGGACGTTTTCATGATGCTATCTGATTCCGCTTGGATCCCTGAAGGAGGGACCTGATGGACCTGGATGTAATTCCACAAGTGTATGGATTTGATCTGGATATCTTTCAGTTTCTTTGAGCAATTATCGGTCGACAACCACATGGGTACGAGAAGCCTCTTCGAAATTAATTCGACCACTCTCCAAACCGCTGAATTCTCGCCGACGATACTCTTAATATCCTCGACCCATTTCTGGATTTTGTCGTGCGGTTTAGAGACCCCGGAGGTGCTTTCCCAGAACTTGCACTCCCCACCTTGGTCTGTAATGTCTCGAAGAAAGTTTATCCACCCAGACCGACCAAGAACCAGCCAAACTACGAACTCGAGAAAGACGCAACCTAGAGCCCAGATATCGAATATGCGAGGTACTGGAACACCATTTGCATAGTCATCCATTTCAGGGGGGTCATATGACATAGTCCCATGTGTGCTGGTGGTAGGGTGCGTCCGATAACGAGTATAATTCTCATGAATCTTGGAAATACCAACATCGGCGATAACCAGCGTTCCCAAGTTGTTTTTGTCATCAGTCATTTGAAACCGTAGGATATTAGCTGGCTTTATGTCGCCATGGCGGGTGTTATTTTCGTGCAGCAGCTTGATTGCATATGCCATGCCAGTCATTTGACGCAAAGCCCAATGTACAAGCTCCTTATCCAGAAGGTTTTTGTTCTCGTTCCAAAATGCTTGCAGGTTTCCCCCCTGGGCCCATGGAAATACGAAGCATTTATATTCGCCTTTCTTGTAAGCAGCGATAGGCTTGATCAGATGATCATTGTCGAGGTTTCTCATTATCTCTAGTGTTCGCAACTCCTTTTCAAAAAACTTCTCGATATCGTTAGATCTCCCGTCTGGCAGGGCCTTATTTTTCAAACGCTTGACGGCGACCTGGAAGCACTCTTTGTTCACTTTCAGTTGCTGATTGCTGTCAGCGGATAGACGGATCAGTGTGATAGAGGGCAGTAGCTACCTTACGATCGCTCTGGGGGTCTAGATGATCAACATGTAAGCCAACACTCGCGACTTCTGCAAAGTGACCGCCTGTTGACTTATAATCTTCTTTTCTGACGATGAATGGGAGGTGATGTGATTCGTAGAACTCGTAGGAGAATGTGTCTCTTTCGAATTTCGGGGCCAGGAAAGACCACTGATCACGGAAGAAATCATCTCGAAGTTTCATCCCCCAAGACTTGAAGAAGTCACACTGTTTGTTATATCTTGTATAGAACCATGGCGAGGTCGTGGCTGCTTGTGACTTGAAAATAGGGAGGTCTTTGTCTTCCAAACGTGCGTCGTAGAGGCTCTGGACGCAATGCTGGATGTAATTCTGTTCAGGCTCTGTGAAGACAAGGATCAAAAACACTTTCTGCGCCTTGTTTGCGAAAAATTCAAGGAGGTGCTGGATATGCTGCTCTGGAGTCAACCATGCCTCCAAAGTTGACCTTATCCGATGTTTTTCGGCCAAGAGCTTGACATTGGTCCAAGGTAAAAACTCATGGCAATTAAGGAACATATGGGTGTCTCCATCGACCATCGAATTCTTGATGTCTTCATAGGATATTCGTGGGACGTTGGGCTGCACCATGATGACACTGGACGGAAAGCGGGAATGAAGATGAATATAAATAGCAACAGATTTGACTGTGTTCAAGAGTGCGATGGGGGGATACAATCGTTTTTATCGGAGCCTAGACTGTGGACCAAAGTGTCACTGGCCAATGAACAAGTCAACCCTAAAGCCGCCTTACTAAGTCTGCCTTGCTCATGGAGTGGTTGAGCAACTTCTCAGCTGAATTGCAGCTTCCCCTTTGTATTGGATGCTAACTGCAGTATTGTGGCGGCGTCACCCGATTACTCATGCAATGGCAAGTCTTCCCGTTTCACCCACTACGAAAACGTGGTGGGTAGAAGAAAGGCCTCGAAACCTGCTTATTTATATTTTTGCCAAAAAGAACTGGCTGATACACGTAATCAGTGAGGCCAGAAAATACGCCTTACGAGTTTGGAAGTGGCAAAAGGTCACAATCTATAGCCTATCATATCTCACAATACCATATTTTCCTAAAACAGTTTTGCTTGCATATATATTGAGGTATTAATGTCTCGCCGTGCCTACCTGCCTACTAAATTTGCCTCTTATGTATGAGTTACCAGTCATGTCATCCTAAGCAAACCAGATCTAATACGACACATCGCTGAAAGTGGTATGTATCTCAGTCATATGCTGCCGTTGAAACCTAGCATAGCCTGATTAGAAAGAGCTTCCACGTATCTCTCATCTGATTCCTTACAGTATCGGTAGCAGGCCCCTCAGCTCGCTCTTTTGCCAGTACCGGCCAGCCCAAAGATATCACGTAGACATCGTTCCGCATCTCTAGGCTTTCTAACTTATATCCGTTGCCTTTGCAAAATGCCTCGATATTTTTCAACAGCTCTTGTGGGTTCTTAATGGACTCTGCTGGTATCTGTCGCACGACGCGATTCATGGCAATACAATTTTGACAATGGGGATTCGTAGGCGATTGAATATGACCTGAGAGGGGCACTTGGTGTTGTGGAACGGAAATCATGGAGGGCATTGAGGGACGGAGGCAGAGTCTCTGGGTTTTTAATCCCTCGGAAACCTGCTTCAATGTCTGTGTTGTACTCGGGAACAAGTCCTGAGTCATGGGCTGGTTTGTCTCAGCTATAACGCAGCCTGATTGCCAAGACACACTGAGGCCGCCTCCGTGAGCGAAGTCATCCATTTATTGGCACACCAGTAAAAGCTGATCCACAGATATCACATCATGTCTTTGCCACGTCATCTACCGCAAGCCTGCTCATCAGCTCTAGTTTCTCGTAACTTGAAGAGTGGACCCATTATGTAGCCCCATGTGTCAGTACATAGCCTATCTCCTTCGCGATGCTGAAAGAATACAGTCTATACCGGGCTGCAATCAACCTAGTAGAATGATTTTCTAGTACCCAAGGACCAATATACCTCCAAACGTAGTATTAAAAACAGGCCAGGCACTGAACTGTATCCTTGACGCCGCGAAGGAGATTCTTGTAAGCGGAACAGCCGCTTTGTTTGGCCATACACTGGACAGCACCCATGAGAACCAGGAAAGTGAAGATTCGAGTTAATAATAGAATTGTTAAAAAGGAGAGTTATACATAATTGAAAGGCTTTCTAATTTAGTGATATATTTTAAGTTTAGATACCGTACTAAGGAAAAAGAGACTGGATAATGATGATATATTCAATGTGTTAATATGTTATTTAAAATTATAGTTCTTTTACTTATATAAACTTTATCTGTCGTATAAAGATATCAACGAAGGTTATATGATTATTAATGGTAGCTATTACATCGACAGGGTCAAGTAAATAGTACTTATCATCTAGATTCCCACAGGTATCTGCTTATCAAGCCTCGCCCAAGCACATTGCTTGCCGTATAATCTACGCAGGCGTCGATTAAGAGAAAGGCCACAGCCGTAACTGCAAGCCTCTCTCAGCTGAACACTCGTTACATGCACATTGCGACTAACTGAATGCACCTTGTCCCACCATGTGACACATATTTCTACTCCAAGATGGCAATATCAAGAGTGATTGCCGCTCTAATTCCAGCGAATTCGATAGTTGAAATGATGAGACTACTGAACAAGGAAAGGATCATACGTCACGACACCATAAATCAAGCCAAGATGCGAGTGAAAGATCATTATCACCTGCACTTTCGGATGAACCAGCCACCAACAGTCTCGACCTTCCTATCTGAGTTCCAGGCTTGGTTGGCTTAGTTTTGGTACGGGGAAATATGGGGAATCCTCTCAGCCTTCTTTGACAATCTACTGCCATGACAAGGCTTTCTCAGAAACATTTAAGCGTGAAAGAGGTACATTCTTGAGCATGAATGGAATATCTGTTCTCTATGACCTTTTCAACGTCGTCGTTGCAGACTCGAACAGTCTATTTATTCAGCCAGTCTCCATCTCACTTTTTGTTCCATTTGATGCCTAGCTCCTTGAGGTGTTACAACACTTGCCACAAAATTCGTATGACGCAGCGAACCTGAGCCACCTAGAATGACTCAGTATGGTAGTCCCGCAGAGATTCATCCGGCTCCCTGCATAACTGAGTCTCCTGTGGTACAAGACCATATAGCCAAGTCCATGACAAACCATCCAATAGGTGCTGCAGACCCAGACACGTGTGGCCAGTTGGTAAGCTCAATTGGAGGCATGATCAGGCGAAGCCTTTTATCCGAACACAGCAACGAACAAGAAAGGCAGTTCCTGCCCAGAGGCGAAATGGAGAGGATCCTGTCTTACGAAAGAGTATATACAGTGTTAGCGGAGGCAGGTATGAGGCAAATTGATGTGGGAAACGATATCTGTGGAAAATCCAAGGATCAAAAACGCATCAAGATACTTACCATTCTCTTACTCCTGGAGAAGCTTCAATATATTGTCGAATTTCTTCAACATGAGATTTTCGACAACCAGCTACCACTACAGCGTAACTCAGAACTATTTGGCAACTGGAGAAGGCCAGACATCGATAACTTCCTCGACCGGCAATACGTTGTGCTTGCCCCTGTGCTAGACTTTACTACCATGGACCACAAATCCTTCCCACATGGAACTCCAATGCCTTTTCTAATACCATTAGAATGGACCAGTCAGGGACGTCATGGACAAGTATGCAAGGTTAAAATCCATGACCAACACCAGGAATGGGGCCAACGTTCTGTAAGGCTCCTAATAAGGTCTCCTTTCGCATTTACTCAAGACATCTAACCTACGAGCAGGCATCCAAAGCACGCGACTCTTGCTATGCTATCAAAAGGTTCCACATGGAGGCGAACGGTAAATTCGAAGGAGAGAGGCAGGCCCTGATAAGATTCAGCGGGCCAAAGGGGAAGCACGACAACTTGATTGAACTTTTGCTGTCATATGGCATAAATGACAATCAGTATCTGATATTTCCTTGGGCCGACGGGGACCTTAAAGATTACTGGTCGAGAACCCAGAATGATCCTACATCACTACAGCACGCACAACGACTCATTGGACAATGTCTGGGCTTGGCCAAGGGACTATGTCAAGTGCACCATTACCACAATTTCTCAGGCTTGCACACTTCCGGGGCAGAAACACCATCCACCAAGAGTCGAAACAAAGGCCGACACGGAGATATCAAGCCCAAAAACATCCTATATTTTGCAGATGACAAAGGTGGACCTGAGCGCTTAGTGATTGCAGATTTTACACTCATGCGTTTTCACTCTGATGCAACAACGAGCTTTACTTACGCGAATCAGGTGGGCTTCTCTCCAACATATCGTCCTCCTGAAGTCGATGAGCGCATAGGGGCTATAGTGAGCCAGAAGTACGACATCTGGACCTTGGGCTGCGTCTACTTGGAATTTGTTACATGGCATTTGCTAGGTTGTGACGCTGTTTATCGAAGGTCATTCCAGACAGCTGATGAGAAAAGGTTCGAAAGCTTCAGCACCGTGAGACAGACTGACGATGACAAGCGACGCGGCATGAAAGAAGACAAGTTCTTCAACAGCACTAGATCGGGTCAGGTACTGAAGCCTTCAGTAAAAAGGGTAAGCAAAATTGAACCGCGCGAATTCTCCTGAATGACCTCGCTGATGGTTGAAGTGGATCAAATTCTTATACTGGCATCCTAATTGCTCTCCAGCCATACGGGCTTTTCTGGATCTCATCAAGGGGCATATGTTGCTACCCAACCCCACAAAACGTTACACAATAGACAACGTTCGATGCGAGCTGGGAAGAATCAATGCCGATTGCGAGAGCCTTGATAAGTATGCCACCCCCATTGAGCGAAACCGTTGGTTCTACTTGGGGAGAAATACGTCTCCGCCTCTGTTCTCAGAGAAAAGCATGTATGGCACAATTTCAGAAGGGTTTCTCACGACATGTGATACTCTCCTGGCTAGTCAACTAAGCTCGGATCAAGACGTTATAGAAAACGCATTCAAAAAATCCCCCAAGGACATGATTCCGGGTCTGGAATACGAAGAAAGTGGCCCCAGTGGACGATCCACGAGTCAACATCCCCCGATACCTCAGGATTTTATGTCAAGGCGGCAAACATCAAATAAGAAAGTGACAGGCGAGAGTTTCGACGCCCATGACTTCCAGGCCGTTGAAAGTGAACCAAGGAGGCGCCTTGATACTTGGCAAAGAAGGGCGAGGAAAATACGGACTATGATACTAGAAAAGCCCTAATGGTAGTTCAAATAATTCATAACTTAATATGGTATCCAGCGCATCTGTCTTACCTAACACAGTCGAGCAATACATCAGACACCATTTAGCCAAAGTCCATATCTCTCGTTTCAAATTCTTATATCTATTCGCTACGATAATCGGTAAAGTATTGACTACTCCGTAATGGACGTTCTGATGCAGCGACACTACCCTACATGTGATATCATGACGTCAGCCAATTACACATTCACATCAAACCGAGCACAACAGCTTTGTTCCATCACATAATAATGCACAATTGATAATTCACAATGTCTCTTACACCCCTTTCATCGCTTCGCGTCTCCAAGCACCTAATACCAGCACACAACCTCATCCCAAACTGCAGCATCCAAAACAAACCGCTGCTACACTACCACGCAGCCTTCCAGCGCCCCTCAGCCTCACAAATCGAATCCCACCTGTCGACAATCGGCGTGGTCGCTCCGCAATGGCGCTACACCATGTACAGCCAGACACACTTCCACAGCACATCCCACGAGGTCCTCTGCATTAGCCGCGGCAGGGCCCGGTTGTGTTTCGGAGGGGAGGAGAATGAGGGTAGGGTCGAACCGGTGGTTGAGCAGGGCGATGTGGTTATTGTTCCTGCAGGAGTTGGGCATCGCTTGTTAGAGGATCTGGATGGGGGATTCGAAATGGTGGGTAGCTATCCGGAAGGATGTGATTGGGATATGTGTTATGGTAAGAAGGGTGAGGAGAATAAGGTTGATGCAATTGAACAATTGGGATGGTTTCGGGAAGATCCTATCTACGGGAATGAAGGGCCAGCTACAGAGGTATGAACTACACAGCAGTTGAAGTCTGGCATGTCCCGCGTGGCGTTATTGGCATTGTCAAAAAAAGCTTATCACCCCGTTGGACACTTATGGGTTAAATTATGTATTCAATCCATCATTACTATCTTCCTATTAATCCTATATTGTTCACATAACCATTACTTTAATCCACAGCTTAGAAGTTCATGACGAGAGCAGCACCACCAAACAGAGCACCGAGCGCAATGGCGGCTGTGGCCTGGGCACCACCCTCAGTGGAGGTGGATGGCGATAGACCGGTAGCCTCCGCAGTGTTCTCGGGAACTCCCGAGGTGAAGGGAATGTCGCTGACGGAGCTGGCGCCGGAGAATGCTGCTTCTTGGGTCTTGGCAGTGGGGTCGGCAGTAGCAGACGACTTCTCAGGGTTGAGGACGCTGGACATGTTAGCTTTGGACCTATTCGCGATGGATGTAGACTTACGAATCAATGACGTGGACGACACCGTTGGCGATGAGCACGTTGGGGACGATGACCTTGGCCTGGTTGACGTAGACAGTGCCGTTGTCAATCTTGATGTTAACCTTCTCACCAGCAGCAGTGGTGAGAGTGCCGTTCTTGAGGTCGGTGCTGTAGCCAACAGTGTTGTTGATAACATGGTACCCGAGGATGTTCATGAGATCAGACTCGCTGGCGTTGGCGAGGATGGAGCCAATGTTGGCGAAGGCGCTGTTGCTGGGCGCAAAGACGGTGATGTTCCTGGCGCGGGTGAGGTTGGAGACCAACTTGGACTCGGTGAGAGCACCAGCAACGGCGGAGAGGTTGGCAGCAATGGCAGTGTCGGAAAGGTTCTTGGGGATAGTAAGAACACGGTTGATGATGTGGATGACACCACCAGTGAAGTTGAGATCCTATACAGTTAGCAGAGACCATTGTCAATGAGTCAGAAGACTTACAGCCTTGGTGACATTGGACTGCGCGCGGAATCCACTGTAGAAGCTGACGGTACCGTTCATGGCCATGGCCTCAACACGCTGTCCACCAGTGACATTGGCGTATGTCGCGTTGCTGAGCATGGTAGGGACGAACGCAGGTCCATCCATACCAGTGATGTTGCTGGCATAGTAGGTACCGTTCAGAACGTGGTACTGGAGGAGGGAAGCAACGGCGCTGGGATCATTCTCCACCATGCGGGCAATTGCAGTATCCTTGAGGAGTTCCTTGAGGGCATCGTTGCTTGGAGCCAGGATGGTAACGTTCCTCAGACGGCCAAGGTCTCGGAGGAGACTGGGCTGAGCGGCAATGAGGCCTGGACAGGTCAGTATGAGAAGGGTGAGGGGCGTAAGGCTACTACAAACCTGTGAGCTCAGAGAGGGTAGAGTTCTCAGATCCAAGAGCGGCAGTAAGGTTGGGGCGGCTCTGGGCAGTAGCAAGGCCCGAGAGAGCAAGAGTGACAAGAGACTGCAGCTTCATTTTGACGTATTGTTTATAGAGTTAATCTTGAATAAGCAGTTCTACCTGAATGTTGAAGAAAATCACGGGGGAACACACAGCTTTTGAACCCCCTTGAGGAGCGCGTTCGACAAGTTCCGTTAGCTCTCACGGCAACAACCTAACCAATTGCTAAAGCTTCCTCCAGCACGAGCCTCGCTGAAACCAGTCTCGAAGCAGATAAAACCAGAGTCAATGACATAGACCAAGACGCTTCTCGCGTCATCACTGGCTGGAGTTGTGAGATGCAACTCAGCCCTCGCCAAGGCTCTTGTCTGAGGCGAGGACAAGGGCGGGCTTGGGAAACAGCTGTTTGTGTCTGTGTTTGTTCGTGCGCCGCGTGCCGAAAAGCCGGGGAAAGCTCCTGCATAGCTGCTCTGGCGAGTTGGAGCTTGAGCACCAGTGACAGGGTAGACGTGAACTCAATTGGGCAACGCGTAGATTCCATTTGTTATTGTAACTAATTCCCCTCGTATTGACCTTGTCAAAGCCGGTTTATCGACCGGTAGGAACACGTTGGAGGCAACTGACCGCGTAACAGACAACCTACCCAGACGATAGCTTCCTTCAATACTAGCTTTCACCGGAAAACGCGATAGGCTGAAGTCAATTCATCGTGGGCTGTTAGCCGGAACCCCCGCCTCCACTCGCCGATCGGGTATCGTCATATCGTCATAGATATTGATTAAGGTATCGCAACAGCATAGTTTCTGCACAGCCAACAGTCGTCTGGGCTGATGCTCAAAGAAATAAAGACGCTGCCAAGAGCTCGGCAATGTTAGCGTTACATTCCAGCTTTCTCATAGGATGTTCCAAAGCTCCCTTCAACTCTGTAGATCGGTCCCAGGCAACGCCAAGCAAGGGATGCATGCTGGGATCAAAGTATCAGCTAATGCATCGGCGAAAAATGGCCGGTCAATCCCATGGTCCAGACTCTGTCGAAAAGTGTTGGCATAAGCCGATTGGGCTAGTCGTAGTCATGGTGAGGCACCATCGTATTGTCTGGACAACTCATAGAGGAGGACCAAAAGGGTCCGCATTCTCCAGCTTGACCCTCTTGGCCTCCCTTAACTCATCTCCGAATACTGTTCCGTCCTCGTTTGCTGCTGCCTTCTTCTCTTTGCTCATAACTTGTTCTCGCCTCGCTCGTTGAAGATTGACCAGGTTCGCTCGATCGGGGTCGCGACATTTCTGCAGTTTCTTTCGAAGCGGTTTCATCGCCTTGACGATCTCGGGCTGTATTCGTTAGTTTGGCTCATCTGGCTGGTTGTTAACATACCGTTCCCCAGTAATCCGTCATCCTTTCTGGGGGCTCCTCCTCTAGCATCTTTCGGCAGTTGTCAACAGCTCCAAGGATTTTATCTCGCATGTTGGCGAAAGCCGATTCTTGGCTAGCATCGTTGCCTTGGCCAGCGGAAGGAATCAATATGTCGAGTAATCCGTGATCCACCATGGACAGCGCAGCCATCATGATTTGACTTGGCGCATAGTGGAAATAGGCATCTGTCACCAAAGGACTAAATTTGAGAATGTCGCGCGCTCGAGCGTGTGCTTTGTTGATGCGCGTCTCCTCGTCCGGCAGTCTCCTTCTCAGCTCCAGAATAGCACCCTCCAGCGCTCTGAATGGATGTCGCACGTCGAACGCAAAGCGAATGCCCTGGCAAAGAAGAAACTCTCCTGCGAGAATCTGTTCGCCTGTTGTGTTTGGGAACTTCTCCGAGAATGCGTTGAGCTTATAGAAGAAACCTTCGGCCTTGCATCCGAAGAAGAGTGATGTTTTGAGGAGATCGGTGGCCGGGTATGTCATGACCGAGTTGGTCACGTAGAATCGTCGCAGGAAGATAGCTGCTGTAGCTCGGATCTCGGTAGGAAGTTCACAGAACTGCGCTGCACGAATGAGCTCCACCGTAAAGAACTTGACCAGGCGAGTTTCTTCATCGGGGGTAAGGAAGTCGGGAGGAGGATCTGTCGCGAGTCGAGGAGCAATCTGTTCTCGGGCGAGCGAGTTCGTCTTTGCGCGTAGGTCTTGGAGATTCGCCGGCGTAAATGACCAGAGGCGAAACTGGCTCGACTGCCTGTAGCGCTCGTCTTCGGTGGCCATGTTGATGTTGATGGAGAACAAAGCATTTCGTTATCATGAGCTTGCCTATTGATTTATGGGTCACGTGATCTTATCTTATCGTCAACCATGATCGATCAAACACCATCATTCACATTGAAGCGTCGTTATCCGTCGTTACAGATCATATCAATTCAGAACGCAATTTGCGTTAATGAGACTCTAATGTCCAAGTGATCCAAACGCCAGCCTCCCATTTAACCCAATGTCCCAAACTTAACATCATACAAAACGTAATCAATAACCCAAGTTTTCCCTTCTCGAAGGAGGGGGAGGCGGAGGCTTCTTGGCCCTGTTGGGAGGGGGTGGCGGCGGCTTCTTTCCAAGAGCCAATCCACTCGTGCTTCGGCTCAAACTTCCATAGCTAGTTGCAGGGCTGGCGGTGCGGTGTTCCCAGTCAGGACTGCCGCTCCGGCTTGTCGAAACATCGTCAGAGAATACATCGTCGTGTCGGCCGTACGAGCCGCTGTCTGTAGCAACTCGAGCGAGAGGAGCACCTGGAACTCGAAGGTTGGCTAGCGGTGTAGCCGTAGAAGAGGAACGACCTTCGAAGGTCGAGGCGCGTCCAATCGGGGGGCGTGCGGGTTGTGGGGGAGGAGGCGCAAGACGGCTTCCAGGAGAACGGTGAGGGATGCGAGGGGCCTCCTGCTCGGCTTCTGGCTCTTCATAGACAGCCTGATGGCGAGGCTCCTGCCAAGAGCGAGCAGTGTTTGACCGGCTTCGACCGATCTTGGCGGTGTTGCTAGGGGAAGAAGTACCACCAACCCAGCTCTGACGGACGCGACGCAACTCCTCAGCGCAGCGCTCATGGTAATCAAGCTCAGCGTCAAGGAATTGGGTCAGGCCAGTGATGTTGTCCACCTCTGATTCCTTGATATCCTGCATACGACGAAGAACATCCTCGCTGGTCTCTTCAAATTTGGCCTTGTTCATTCGGACTTCTTCCTCAATGCGGAAATCGTCGCGGCGGGCCTTGGATAGTTTGTTTGTGCTGGCATCGTAGGCGAGGCGTCGGCTTTCAAGTTTCTTGCGGGAGTTCTACTCTAATTAGCGGGTGAATTGAATCTGCTGTGACTGACATACCTGGTATTCTCGCATCATTGCTAGACTCCTCTCGAGGTTATCCAGCCAAGTAGCATTGGCGCATTCGACGTAGGAGTCTTGGATACCGGCAATGCGCTCGTTGGCACGACCCAAGGACAAAAGACAGTTTCCGAACTCGGAATCCTGCTCAAAGTCCTCGCCGTGAGTTGCCATAGTGCGGCCAAGGTACGACATGGGAGTGCCGCGCTCCTTGTCGTCCAGAAGCTCATTGCGACGAGACATCCACTTGACATAGCTGCCCATGGACCGGTGCATACGCTCCATACCTAGAACCGTTAGAAACGCTCGAACACATGAATTTCTGGGTACAAACCTTCATGTCGAAGAGTCATCTCGGTCTCGAGATTCTTGAACTCGTCGGAATGGGCAGTCCGGGCCTCAGCGCCCATCTTCTCGCCGGCCCATTGGAAGGCTCGGTCGATCTTCTTTGTAAAATGCATGTTGGCGTCTCGTTCTCGTTATCAGTGTCAGGGTATTGTGTCGGAACCAGTCCGATATAGTTTATTCGCGGGGTCGTCTGGCGCCGTCGCTATTATTGAAGCAGATTTAGACTTATAACGAAGGGACAGAGAGGCGGTTGCAGAAGCAAGAAACAGTTGAGGAGCGAGGGACGGGGTAATGAATGATAACCCGCAGCAGAAGACAGTAGCAAGGGGTAGAAGAGGGATAGGATGGGATGGGATGTTGGAGGCTAGGGTGGCGAACAGTTGGGGCGTATGAGAGAGAAAAGGACACGACCTTGAAGGTCTCTGAATCCTTGAGCCTGGGCCGGTGATGCGACCTGACGGCTCACGTCCATGTGGATGGGGTGATCCTAGTGGTGTGAACTGTGGAGGTGAGGTTGGGGAGTACGTAGGGGAGAGGGGGAGGTCCAGCCGTGCGGCATGCTTTAAGCCTGGGTCTCCCCTGAAAAGGTACCGGCCTACAGGGCAGGTTGGGCCTGAGCACGCTGTAGCTTTAGCTTATCTTATCGGTCCCCAGTAGGTAGTCGTCGCCGAAGATGTTGCTCAAACTTGGTGGGGGTGACCTTCAAATGTCGCAGGAATTGGACCTCATATTTATGAAACAACGCTCGAGCAAACAAAGCGAGATATTGAAACAGACAATTTTACAGGTGACGTGATGTTGGGTGAGTAAGAATTATTTTATTTCATCCTCACTTGTAACAAAAAAGACAAGACGATGGTCTCATGGCCGGGGCTTGGATTTAGACTTGGCGTTCATGGGAAAACCCAGAATGGCATGAAGACATTTGAGGCGAATCAACCCCAAACTTTTTACTCCAGGTAATTCTCTAGCCTCACAATCTTCGGGGCTGGACTGGACTGGACTGGACTGGATGCTGGGCTAGGCGCTGCCGGCCATGGCGCGGTTAGACATTCTATCGTGTCCATTCGATCTGAAGAATCGTGTAGACATGACACGGGGATTGTAAGGGGCTGACGTATTATCACAGTCAGAGTTTCTGAAAATAGGACAACAATAATACGTAGTAAATTGTTTAACGAGGTTGGATCCCGTGATCTACGTAATCTATCTTTGTACTGTACTCGTAACGAGCCTGAGTGAGATGGAGACCTTGAGTCTTGATACGAGTACGGATCGGCTCTGTAACCAGGTGGCCCGTGTCTCCCAAATCAACCCCTGAGACAACGGCGCCAATGGCCTGCGGTAACCGCTACACTAACAACGGGAACTGTCTCCGGGTGGGAAAGCCAAGTTGGTGATCCCACCCTAGATTATAATTACAGAGGGATAAAGATGGGCCGGACGGCGTTGGTTTGGCCTGGATCTTTTATGTTTGAGGTTGGTGATCAGGACATATATCGTGCACCTTGACGTTATCTTATGGCCACTATATTAAGTCAACCAGAAATGTTGAAAGGTCCTCCCCTCAACCTGAACCTGATTATCCCCAAAGTTTCACTACGAAAACTCTGAAAGCTTCTTAAGCATCGCGCCTCCGTAGACTAACCTTTCCGATTGAGGGGAACGACACCACCATTCTTGACATTTTTCACTCACACCCACTTGTTAGCCTTTGACAGCATGGTCGGCCCGTTCAACCCCATCTAACCTTCTCCAACCTCATCATTATGTGTGTACTCTTAAGATTTTACCCATCTCACGTTACCCTTGGTACCGACCCCGCTTCTAAAGAGCCGCAGGACAGGCAAGTGATCGTCCAGGGTAGTGAGCAGAGTTGAATCTGATATCGTTATCTGTCGTCCAGGTTCTAGAAACAGAAGCCAACCTTCGGTCTGTCCCAACCTCCAGCCTCGTTGGGAATAGTTCACTTTCTTAAAAACCTGTGTGTCGCCTAAAAAGGCCTCGTCCGTCTCGGCCCCTCAAAATCCAACATCCGCTCCACACTACCGGGGGGAATCCAGACCATTCCTCCAGCGAGTCCAGCCGATCCAACGATGGATGAGCTTGCGTAATGCCTCGTGTGTTCAGTGTCGTCGACTGGCAAGTTTGGCGGTAAAAAGACTCGCAAGAGAGATTATGTACCAGTTTAATCGGATACTGTGTGGTTGTTGCAATGCAGAGTACGACGTAAATTAAGAAAAAAGCTTTTACCTGTCGATCCTACAGGCCATTCCCTTTCAGTCTGACACCATCAAGTCTCCAATCGAAAAGCTTGGCCTTGGAGGAATGCGCTAATAAATCATGCTCCTTCATTCCCCAGACTTTAATGGTTCACTCGCATGCGTGGGCGAGAATAAATAATTGGCGCTTGCTACGACCAGACCATGTATTGGGTGATCCATATTTCTGTCAAGGCAGTGTCTCTCCTGCAAGATCATCGTGCTCATTGCGATCCGCGATGGTGAAACGCACATGTGCGCCATCTCGAGACAGTTGCGTGGCACAGGTGATGTGATGTCGGTGGAATCAATGATCAACGTATCGCGAATCAAGGGTTGACCAAGGCGCAAGGGTCAGACCGTCATCCATCACAGCCGTCAGCATCCCTTGTCTCATCTGGAAAGTTCCTTATCCAATGCATTCCTGTAACTCGGTTGTTTTCCGGTCACTGAGTCTGAAGCTGGTTGGGTCTACTGACGTATTCTCTCGACTTGATATGGTTTCACTTGTAAATACAACATTATTGCAATGGTCTTATTGACCACTCGTTACCATCTCAGTAAATACACTTTCCACAATATCCGCACTCTGCATCACACGCGGTGTAATCACTCTCTTCATCCGAAAGCGCCGCCATATACGTCTCCCAGCGTCCCGAGTCTTCCGAATTGACCTGTTCTTTGGCGGTGTCCAACCAGGCCTCCCATTGCTTCTTTACTGGCTCCGACAGAGCATTACCTGCGTCCGGCAGTTGTTTGCGAATCTCGAGGGGACCGCCGTCAGAACAGACGATCTCTAATTTACCATCCTTGGACGCATGGACCTTGTCAATGATAAGGCGCAGAAGGGCAGCGAGACGCTTCAGTGAAGGCTGATTCAGCTCTTGCCATTCGTCAATATCGGCCTTGACGTTTTTGATCTCAATGTTCTCGTCTCTGAAGACTCCTCTTTCGTGGTAGGCGAGAAGGAATTGGGTGATTTGAGCAATCCACAAGCGTGGCAGCTGCTCACCAAGATGGTCTTTTCCACGCGCCATTACTGATCGCGTCTTCAAGTCGAAGACACTGCTTTGAGGGACAGATTCACCTCCGTCTGCGACTTTGAGGTCCCCGGTACCGTCGGATGGCGATTCAGTAATACCGAGGCTTTGTATCTGAGTAAGCGCGTCTTCCTTCTCAGTCTTGCTCCGGGTTTGGGGACGGGACGATCCAATATACCCATCACCTTCGAATCGGACCATGAGATCAAGACCGCCAAATTGATACGCAAGAATCCGCTGGTGAGACTTGGAGCGCTTAACTCCAGAGTCCCAGGTAGTGTATGCCTCCGGAAATGTGTGCCCAAATCCTCGGACGCCTTCGATCTTCTCCTGAGGTGAATTTTCTCTGCGAATGAGATGGACGGTTTCTCCAACCTTCTCGACGAGGATCCGAAATGAGCGGTCTATATCAGCACCCCTAGCAAAGCGCAGGAGGTTACCGATTGTACTTCCACATGCGACAATGTCGACGGGGATGGGTTCGGGGTTCATCTTCATCACCGAGACGACGGCAGGCTCAAGAGGATGTTTGGGGTATGACGCTGCATTTACATCGCGATAGTAATCGCCAGAGTCTCCAGGAAGCTTATTGTGACCTTTGGGCGGTGTCCACTTGGGTGGTTGGCCTGCGCATGTTAGATAAGTCTCTGCGGAGACTGCACACGTACCTGGGATGATGATTTTCGAAGAGGAAGAGCTTATCCAGTTGTAGGATGCAACTACTTTGACATTCTCAATCTCTGCACGAGAGTCATTGCTGAGAAGGCCCTTTTTGGTGATGCGCTCAATTACATCTCCAAGTGGAGGTGATGGTGTTGTGATGGCTGGCGCGGGCGCTCGCCCTGTGCCCCAGGTTCGACGTCCCTTATACATGATGGGATTTGATGAATGATAAGATAGCAAGATGCAATAGCTCAAGCTTGAGTGTATGTTTAAAGAGTAAGGATGAGGTTCGATGAGTGAGAGTGAGTGAGATTACAACCAGAAGGAAATAAGAATGAAGACGGCCAGCTTTTATCTTCAACTGTATCATTCACATGTTCTTCATACTGCCAGGAGGCCGACCAGACAATTTCTTTGGGTTATTTGGCTATGGCTGCCTGCTCGATTGCATTAATTACACTTTGCCCATCCTTTGTTGGTTGCGACACAACGTCGGCCGGGTTTGCGACCGACATACAAGGCTGTGAACTAGGCATTCATCCACCCACTGCTAGGTCAAACAATACAGCTAATACTGAGCTTAGCAATCTGTTTCAAGACTTAAAAACACTAGAAGAAGAAGTTTTCACTTGTTCTTTAATGGAATCAATGAGTTTGAATGAAATTGGGAATTTTGGCCCATCTGTATCAGTTCACCCACCCACCCCGCGTCAGCTCAACCGCGGACGCAGGAGGCCGACCACCAAAACACCACAGCTTGATCTGCAACGAATAAAAGCGGTTGGATCTGTCGCCTCAAACAGGAAAGTGAGGCTTTGTCGGCCCCGTGCATTATGCCGGCCTCTGTTGGCCGTCGTGGCGATGCTGGTTGGACTCAAGGCAGAATGCTGCATCCCAGCATGATTCACTACAAAGGTTGTCCGCATTCACTTTTATCTGGTTAATTGCTGTCTTGAACATTTGCATTGATTTCAACTTCTCATCCATCCTCGTGCAGTCTGCTTAATCTCATCTAACATACGTACTTGTACTATTGGAATCATGGTTCTTGTGCCAGATGCATCAGGCTCTCGAGCAGCCAAGCTCATCAGATCCTTCTGGGCTGTGACCAAAGGCGAACAACAAATCACCAACGCCCACTATGCCAAGCTATTTTTTCAAGCCTGCAAGGCCTACAGTGACAGAAACTCAGCAGTCAAATGTGTTGAAGTCCTCATCTCAAACCCTGCCGGCATAGCAGCAGTGGAGAGAGCTGTTCGAGTCGACTTGAGCATAAACTCCATCGACTCTACGACTCTACCTTTCATTCTCATTCTATCGGACCCTGGGGTTATCGCACTCAGCAACGGAGGTTTCCTCCGTCAGATCCTGTCTGCAATTTTGGAGCCTGCGACATTCTGGAGTGCCTCTATGGACGCGTATCTCAACGACAAGCTCAATGCCGGACTCGAAGCATTTGCATGGCTCTGCTTGCAGATTGTCTCCGACCGCACTAGCTTCGATGCACAGAAGGTCGCTGTGGAAGAGATGATGATGCGCAAATCTCTAGTCTCCTCTCAATGGCCCGAAGTCAGAAAGATCGCCTACCGCATCGAGAATCTCATAAAGATCTTTTCCCAACCTGAAGCGGTCACTGAAGGTGTTAAACCTGGGGGACGCCACGACAATGACCATTCCGATTTTCGAGAGATCTCCATCTATCCTACTTCTGACGAACTTTTGTCAACTGAACCACCGTATCTTCAGCGACTTGCCGATGTATTCGATGCGCCAATCGACACCAGAAGTCAAAGTTACCGTGACTGGCTCTTTCGCCTTCTTCGTGAGGACATGCTCTCTGAGCTCCGGGAAGACCTCCAAGCCGCCATGGGCCAGAAGAAGAGTAGACGCCGACCTGTCGCTTTGGGTCAGTTGAAGCTGGTTGGGATCAATCACGAAAACGAACTTGATCGCCGTAATATGCCGCCATATACCCTCTATGCTGCCTGCAGTCAAGGTATCAACTTCCCACGAAACCTGTCCGAGGGCGGAAAGAAAGCCTTCATCGCCGATTCGAAGAATTTCATGAAGCGTGATTCTTTTGGTGCGCTTTGCTTTGGCGCTTCAGTCATTGCATTTGGATCACTAGTCAGGAACGATAACAATCTCCTCAAGACACCACCTGTCGTTGGATTTAGATTCACAGATGACTCGGGTATAAAACAGGCTCTGACGGCGCTACAAAGTCCATGTAAAGATCAAGTCAAGTTTTTGGTTGTCGACACTGCCACATTCGCTTATGAACCAATTCTGAAGCGACTGAAAACCATCGGGGAGTTGACTCTCGAACCTCAATTAATTGATCCTGAGCAACCTCTTCGGGATGGTCCAAGATCGACAACGCTTGACCTTTTCTTGCTGCAAATGAAAGATGCTTTCAAAGCAGGACGCCGCGTCAAGATGCCGGGAAGTCTACGACTGAAGAAGGATATCTACCTACAGGATGCTCAACTCAATTCCTTCATTCATGGTTTGAGTCGCGATCTGGCTTTGATCCAAGGCCCGCCTGGCACAGGCAAGTCATTTCTAGGTGCACTCATTCTTTTGACCATAATACAAATGACCGACTCTCGTGTTCTTGTTCTGAGCTACACGAACCATGCTCTCGACCAGTTTTTGGAGGATCTGATGGACATTGGTGTCAGTCGGGATCAGATGGTCCGTCTTGGTTCCAAGTATACTGAAGCGACCAAACCCACTCTTTTGAAAGAGTGTGATGGGCAGAAGAGGCTGACTATGGAGGAGAGGAATATTCTCAATGCTCTTTCCGTCGAACAAAGTGAAGTTAATATGGAACTTCAGGAATGTAGCAGAAAGCTCGCAGGACGGGATACCGACCCAGCCGATATTCTCGAATACCTGGAATTCTCTGACACTCTCTCATCGGCCTGGGTTGCTTTTCAGCCTCCAGTAGATGATGATTTCCAAATAGTGGGTTCTCATGGTAAAGCTATTGAGCCCGAGACAATCTACCAACATTGGCTTCGCGGTGGAGATGTCAATAAGATGGGAAGCCTGGGCGCCACTTTGGATTCGTCAGCCCTTTCGGTCTGGACAATCCCGAGCGACTCCAGGAAGCAGCTTCATGGTGTGTGGTCTCATACGGTCCGCGAGGAGCAAATCCTCAATTTTGCCGATCTCAGCAAGAAGTACAACGACATCAAAAACAGAGTGAAAAGCATTCTGGATGAGCGCGGTCGAAGAGTGCTCAAAGAAAAACGAATCATTGGGTCCACGACTACCGCTGCGGCAATGTATCAATCCATCATTGAAACAGCCAACCCAGATGTTATTCTGGTAGAAGAGGCCGGAGAGATCCTCGAAGCACATATCATCACCGCCTTGAGTGCCTCAGTTAAGCAACTTATTTTGATCGGCGATCACAAGCAACTTAGACCAAAGGTCAACAACTACAATTTGACCAAGGAAAAGGGTGAGGGATTCGATCTGAACGTCTCCTTATTCGAAAGACTTGTTTGTCAAGGCCGGGATTTCACAGCTCTTGAGGAGCAACACCGCAGCCATCCGGACATCTCACAGTATCCGCGCATGCTAGCGTATCCTGAATTAAAAGACATACCCTCGACATTCGATCGCGCTCCAGTTCGCGGACTGAGAAGTCGAGTGACATTTGTCCATCATGAAAAGCCTGAGGATTCCATGGACAAGGTGAACGAGCGTCAAGATCCAACCGCCAAAGCCAGCAAAAGAAACCTTCACGAGGCTTTGATGGTTCTCAAGATGGTCCGGTTCCTTTCACAGAATGGGTACAAGACTGAGAATATGGTTGTACTCACGCCATATCTAGGCCAGCTGTGCTTGTTGAAGGAGACCCTCAGCGCAAAAACTGATAGTTATCTCAACGATTTGGATTCGCATGACTTGGTGCGGGCGGGACTCATGACACCAGCAGCTGCAAAGGTCAACAAGAAGTCACTTCGTCTCTCAACGATTGATAATTACCAAGGAGAGGAGTGTGACATCGTCATCATTTCACTAACCCGTAGCAACACATCAGGCGATATTGGATTTCTGAACGCTCGCGAACGACTCGTCGTCCTTCTATCTCGAGCACGTAACGGCATGATCCTTTTTGGAAACATGGAGACGTTTATGAAGAGTAAGAAAGGAGGAAAGATGTGGACACAGTACTTTGACGCTCTGAAAAAGAACGGATCTTTGTTTGATGGTGTACCCGTGCACTGCGAACGCCATCCAGAGACAACCATGCTGCTGAAGACGCCGGAAGATTTTGATACAAAGTGTCCTGACGGAGGATGCGCAGAGCTTTGGTAAGTGAGCCAACAGAGACTATAATATTAGTCTTGTTTTCCCTCCCATGACCCTTTCCCAGCTTTGTCTGATATTCATAGTAACGCTCCTTTGGGCTGCAAGAAACACAAGTGTCATCGACGCTGTCACCGAGTCCAGGACCACTCGAAGACCAAGTGCTCTGAAAAAGTCGAGCATATTTGCAGTAGAGGACACAAGTCAAAGATTCTTTGCGGCAACAAATCCAAGAGTTGCAGAGCTTGTATAGATGAAGACGAAGCCAACCGCCGTCGTATCGAGCGAGACCTGGAGATAGAGAGGAAGCGGAAAGAGCAACAAGCCAAGTACGAACTGGAGCTTCGTCGGTGTATCCAGCGAGATCTAGACATGGAGAGAAAGCGACAAGAGCAGCAAGATAAGTACCGACTGGAGCTGCAAGAGATTGAAGCTGAAATTGATCATCGCCGTCGAACATTAAAATACGAGACTGAGGAGAAACAACGAGCAAATGAACTGAAACAAAAGAAGGAGGAGCTTCAGTCACTTCTTCAAGCTGAAACAAATCAGAAGAAACTCAAAGCGACAAAGAAGAGTGCTCAGCCACCTCAGTCTCTGCCCCAGTGTGATGCGATATCAGGCGCTGCCAAGGAATGGCAGAACATGAAAAAGGTCGACGGTGCTCGCAGCGCAGCTCTAGACAGACTCATGGGGATGATCGGGCTGGAATCGGTGAAAGACCAGTTCTTGTCCATCAAGTCATCGGTCGATACGAAATTGCGTCAAGGCTTTTCCCTTTCGGATGAGAGGTTCAGCAGCGCTTTGTTGGGAAATCCTGGAACTGGTGAGTGTATGCTGGACTAGGGGAAACTAATACTAACCATTTCAAAGGCAAGACAACCATAGCCAGGATTTATGCAGAGTTTCTCACTTCCGTGGGGGCTATTGCAGGAAGCCTTTTCAAAGAAGTAACAGGCTCAAAACTCGCCAATATGGGCGTTGCCGGATGTGAAAAACTCCTTGAAGAGGTCAACAATGGCGGCGGTGGCTGTGTTTTCATTGACGAAGCGTATCAGCTTACATCCGGGAACAGCCCTGGAGGCAAGGCTGTGCTTGATTTCCTCCTCGCCGAGGTTGAGAATCAACGCGGCAAGATAGTGTTTGTCCTGGCGGGCTATAACAAAGAGATGGAGTCTTTCTTCTCTCACAACCCCGGAATTCCCAGTCGTTTCCCCATTGAGATGAAGTTCGAAGACTACGCCGATGAAGAGCTACTCCGAATTCTCCAGCTGCAGATTCATCGGAAGTTCAATGGAACCATGACTGTAGAGAAAGGCGTTGATGGACTCTTTTGTCGAATCGCGTCGCGTCGAATTGGCCATGGGCGCGGGAAAGCTGGCTTTGGCAATGCTCGTGCTGTTGAGAATTATCTGTCAGCGATTTCGAATCGACAAGCAGCGCGAATCCGGAGAGAACGTGGTGCAGGGACAAAGCCGAATGATTTATTTCTTTCCCAGGAAGACATCATTGGTCCCGAGCCATCTCAGGCATTAGTCAAGAGCAAGGCCTACCGCTCACTCGAAGGTCTTGTTGGTCTCGGTGAAGTCAAGGAAGCACTCAAGATGTTCATGGATACCCTCAAGACGAATTTCGAGCGTGAGCTTGCAGAACAACCGCTGGTAGAATTCTCTCTAAACAAGGTATTCCTTGGATCACCCGGTACTGGGAAAACGACTGTTGCAAAGCTTTATGGTCAAATTCTCAAAGACCTCGGCCTTTTGTCTAATGGAGAGCTTGTGGTCAAGAATCCGGCTGATTTTGTTGGAGCAGCTCTTGGACAGTCTGAGGCACAGACCAAAGGAATCCTCGCGGCAACAGTTGGCAAAGTTCTTGTGATCGACGAAGCATACGGCCTTTTTGGTGGAGGAGCCAACGGAACGGTCGTTGATCCATACAAAGCGGCTGTTGTCGATACTATCGTTGCCGAGGTTCAAAGCGTACCTGGGGAAGATCGGTGCGTGCTTCTTCTTGGGTATAAGGAGCAGATGGAAGAAATGTTTCAAAACGTCAATCCTGGCCTGAGTCGACGATTCCCTCTCTCCTCTGCCTTTGTCTTCGAAGATTTCGATGATGTCGCCTTGGCAAAGATTCTTAACTCCAAGCTGGAAAAGTCCGGCTTTAAAGCAACGGACAAGGCTAAGATCGTGGCCCTGGATGTCCTCCGTCGTGCACGAAACCGCCCCAACTTTGGAAATGCTGGCGAGATCGACATCCTCCTTGATAAAGCGAAAGCAAGCAACCAGAAACGCGTTTCATCTGGTCGTGTCAAGAGACATGGTACTTTAGAAGCAGTTGACTTTGATGAGGACCACGATCGAGCTGAGAAGGGCGACACTGACATCCGGAAACTCTTTGCGGGCGACGTTGGTAGAGAAGGTCTCATTTCAGTGCTGCAAGGCTACCAGAAGCGTGTCCGCGATGCTAAACGGCTCGAGTTCGACCCAGAAATTCCATTCAACTTTCTGTTCCGTGGTCCGCCAGGAACAGGCAAGACAACAGTAGCACGCAAGATGGGTAAGGTGTACTACGATATGGGATTCTTGGCAAGCACGGAAGTCATTGAGGCATCTGCAACTGAACTCATCGGTCAATACGTCGGACACACAGGGCCCAAAGTACAGAAGCTTCTCAATAGAGCATTAGGGCGTGTGCTATTTATCGACGAAGCGTACCGGTTGGCGTCTGAGGGTTCATTTGCCAGAGAGGCGGTTGATGAACTTGTGGATTGTGTGACAAAGCCAAAGTACCACGGAAAGCTGATCATCATTCTGGCTGGATACATTCAAGACATCAACACCCTTTTGGGTATCAATCCGGGGATGTCGAGTCGGTTCCCGGAAAGTATCGATTTCGATCCACTTACGCCGGCCAGCTGTATCCAGCTGTTCACGAGTTCGCTACAATCCAACAAAGAAAAGGTCCAAAAGAGAATAGCAATGGACCTCACATGCCTAGAACATCCGGATGAGATGTTCTTGAAGCAGATGGCCGAAAGGTTCCAGGTACTTTCGGAGCAAGATAGTTGGGCCAACGCTAGAGACGTCAAGGAGTTGGCAAAGAAGGTGTTTCAAAAGTTCGACCTCTCCTCGGATAAACTGATACTCACCAAAGAGCATGTCTTTGAGTCTCTCGATAGGACGATAGCTGAACGTCATGGCCGAATGAGCAACAAGAAGCCAACAATGGCGACAGAAATGGCAAAGGCGCTAGCCGGTGCGCCTTCGCTCAGCCCTGCTAAGACTTCAACCAATACGGCAATGGTCACCGAGAACGAAGAAGAAGAAGATGAGGCGGCAGACGACACTGGTGGTGGTGGTGTCAATCTGGTTACTTGCACCCGAGACGCTGGAGTCAGCGATGCAGTATGGGAGCAGCTTCAAAAGGATAAGGAAAAAGAAGCCCAAGATGACGAAAAGCTCCGCCAGCTGAAAAAGGCTCAACAGAATGCGAAGGATGCGGACAGGGAGAGAATCGTGCGTGAGATCTTGGCCAAGGAGGAGGAACGCAAAAAGGTTGAGGCAAAGAAGAAGAAGTTGATGAGCTTAGGTATTTGCCCAGCGGGGTTCCAATGGACCAAGCAGAGCGGTGGATATCGCTGTGGAGGAGGCGCACATTGGCTTTCTGACGACGAGATAGATAAGATGTAGGTATCTATTATTAGAAGCTTTAATTGCATTCACGATATTACATAAAGATTCCGGGAATAACACAGTTCCGAGTTCTTCTCTGATATTGATGTAAATAAGAAACTTTTAAAGAGATAGACGGTCATGAGAAGATTCTACACAAGACTACCTAACGTATGGAGAATGAGAATTATTAGAGTTTAGTATAGTTTATTTAATTTCGATAGAATATGAAGCAGAAGAACTTATTAGAATTTCATCTACTAGGGACATCCTTAAGTCTCTAGTAAAACCTTGGTCTAGATGTAGGGAGGGAAATATACTGATCGATATATCTGCATATAAACATCTAAGCTGGAGGATTTAACGAAGTCTATTACGAAAAAGGAGGGTATGCCCGGGAATCTCTCCTGGGTCTTGGTTGTTAGTTGTTTACGATAGGCAATAATAAATAACTAAGACTTTCTAACTTCTATGACGTATGAGAAGGCTGTTCTATTAGTTAAGGAGATCTAATTTGATTAGGAAGATAAATGGTGCGACAGACGCATCTGGTTCTTTACTGTTGATGATCGAGATTTTGTTGGTGTGTTGAAGCTCAACTTTGATTGGCGACTTTCCGTAATTATCACTCTTCTTGGTTAGAAAATCCTAGATCGACCGTTACCTAGACTCTTTTAGCGCCGCTATTTACAGCAAGCCATTCGAAAACGCCACAGACTATCTATTTTGCACATGAAGCTATCGATTTAAGTACCCTAGCACGAGGAATTTTAATTGCCAAGTAAGGAGATCCCGTCAGCCCAGTCCGCTAGGGAACTCCGAAACAACAAAAGGTCACTTGACTGCCCCATTCCGTTCTGCGCGCTGTTCACTCTCATTATCATCTCCGTGAGCTTAGAAAGTGTGCTTCCTGAAGCTCAAGATGAAGCTCCTTCTCATTTGTTCCATCTGGAACAGCCTAGCTGCTGCCTCTGTCTACAAAGGCTGCAAACAGGATACCTGCGTGAAAGGTAGGTGACGAGACAATCCTCCACATATACAGAATAATAGAGAGCTGATCAATAGTTTTACCACAGCGGCTATAGGATCCTACCAGTACCCTAATCTAGACGCTTGCGAGTCATTTTTGTCGATGACCGTTGTACCTGCTACCGCGTAAGGCCCGTTGATAGCTTTTGAACGCATCCAACTGACGCATCTGTGCCCAGTACCATCCACAAGGTCAAGACTGTCAGGGTAGTTCCTGTCGGGGTCAAACGTGCAACGAAGACCGCCACCGTCTTCGTAACAGCAACACAGATCGAGTCCGTGGTCAAGACAGACTTTGCGGACCAGACAGCCACTGAAGTCGACGAAGAGACTGCCAAAGTAACAAAGGTTACGACAGTTACCGCAACTCGCCCCGTCGTGGCCCCTTTCAAACGAGCAGTTAATCAGCGCCCAACAACCATCAAACCAACCAACATTCCGGCACCGGCCAAGAAAGCTTGTACCGACTCCACTCAATATTCATCTGCCTGTAGCTGTATCGGAGTTAAGCCACATACCACAACCCTGAAAAGACAGACAGTGTACTCGACACGAACTACAACTAGAAGGCTTCCTATCAGCACGGTAACCAAGATTGTTGCCACTGTGACCAAGCAGAAAACAAGAGAGACTGTATTTGTCACCGAGACTTACTCAACTACGACTGTCACTAGAGTCGTTGACACGGTCACTGTAGAGGAAGATGTTACTCAAACTGTCCAAGCAACAGAGACTCACGTTGTTGATCCTCCCCTGGAAACCATCCGGCTCTTTGCACAAGACAGCCAAGACCCAAGCCTTGCAGGCGGCGGCATTGGATATGTTAGTCTTGAATCTTTTCGAGGCAGTACTTCTGTCTACTACATCAAGTTCGGCCTTGACTCAACTCAAAATGTTCTATTTGGTATCAGTCCAAACACGGGCAAGATACAGGCCGTCTCAGGCCCCGGAAACGCAGCTGGAGAAGCCGTCTTTTATTCTAACGCAGCTGCCGCCTCTTACCTAAACGTCAGCCCCGGGGACTTTGCTGCCAATCAAGGAGGTACCCTAGTCATTTGTAAGATTGTCACCGACAACAACAACAAGTTGGTATGCAAATGGGGGGACAACCAAATCGCCGAACTATGGACCTGCCGTGGGAGATTGAATTTCGTACAACCTGGATTTGACTTTACAAATGAATGCGCCGACGCAGATACTTCTTATAAGATTAATGTTTTTGCGCAGTTTACCTGAAGCTAGTTACACGAGTTAGATGGATAACCTAGTCGATACCTTGCTTCTTTTTTCCTCCCTGTTGTTTCTATGCTAGCTCTCTATCAATCGGTCCATCTATCTACATTATTCATGGTCTCTAACAGAGCTAAGCAATAGCAAGGTTAATTGGCCGCCACTAAAATGCTGCCTCGTGCTCTCAAGACCAGACGTATAAGTAAGATTCGAATCGGCTGGCATTTAGATTCAAAAGCAGAAGTAAGATCTGGGCCGTAACCAACGACCTTTGTAACTCTAAGCTATGAACTAAGTACCTGGCTCTAATTCCTCTGCAAGACGAGTTTTCCACTGTCGTCGTGAACAATGGTCACGTAAGTAGGCTGCATACATTGTATCATAAGGGCTGAAATCAGACAATCTTGGTTTACCACAAGCTGGTATATCATCAGGTGGTGATATAAGCCCTCCTGTAAAAGTAAGTTCTGGAAAGGTGACGGGTATTTAAGCTATAAAAGAGCTGTATCTTAACTACCTATATAATTGGTTGCTATATACAGGGCTCCCATGATTTAACAAGCATACCGATGAGTGTTGGCCGAGGTCCCGGGCAAAGCCCCGCACATTGCCAAGCACACATGATATGATTAAGTGTTGAAATATATTACTTTGAAGATACACATCGAATATCCCTCATGTTCTAATCTGTACTTGGTATGTTGCTATGATTTGAAACTTCTACCATGGCTGCTTTCTCTAGCCCCAGCCCGGGACCCAACCCCATGGTTGAAACTCAACCTTCAGCGACTGCGACACCATTGCAAGTGGATGTGGGTGCCTGAATAATACTTGTACCTATCGAAGATCTGCTAAGTACTCGCAGGAAGAACCAAATGAAGACAGCGACTCCTCATACAGTGTCTCGTGAGTTCTGTGTGGGTCATAGTAACTCTTCTCTAACTGACATAATCTGTTCAAGAGAAGAGCTGGCAAGCCAAACCTCCTCAATCAATTCCAGCATCTTGAATTACAGGTAGGTTCCCATAATATTTCATGAGTAGTGTCATATGAGATTAACGGGACGCTTTGCGATCAATCAGATACGTGGTAATGCTCACCCAAAGTATTGGTGATTTCATACTAATACATTATTAAGAACGGGCGGCGCTATCATGCTTTCCGCGAGGGGACTTATCTCGTTGTAAGCAAACTCTACTCTGGGTATTATCCCTATGCTATACCGATGATCTGACCTTTGTTAGCCTAATGACGAAGAAGAACAAACGAGGATGGATTTAGTACATCATATTTACTCCCTTCTGTTAGACGGAAAGCTTTTTCTTGCACCAATCGGTAGCCCGTCTGGTCGTGTCCTAGACTTGGGAACCGGCACAGGTATCTGGGCGATAGACTTTGCAGAGTAAGTCAGCTGTTATACTTGAGAAATCTATATGACTGAACATCTCAGTGAGAACCCGTCGGCGGAAGTTCTCGGAACTGATTTGAGTCCAATCCAACCTGGATGGTAAGAGAATCCCTCTGGTATCTAGACTTGGTGGAGCCTGACTGAGATCCAAATGCAGGACGCCACCCAACTGTATATTCGAGGTGGATGACTTTGAAGCCGAATGGCTGTATCACACTCCTTTCGACTTTATCCATGCACGAGAACTTCAAGGCTGTATCAGCAATGATGACCGCTTCTTCAAGCAAGCACTGAAACACCTGACTCCTGGCGGATATTTCGAGATACAAGGTGTTGCTGCTCCCTTTCTATCCGATGATGGTACGGCCGAGAAAGCTGTGAACGCTCAGCTGTGGCTGAATACGCTTTGCGAGGGGGCTGCTAAGTTTGGCAAGCCTCTCGATAGTGCTCCTTTATGGAAGACGAAGATGGAAGCTGCTGGTTTTGTAGAAATCCATGAGGAGGTGCGGAAAGTAAGAAAATCCACCAGGTCCTCATACTCGCAGCCAAATAGTTCATTACTAAGTCAAGTCGACAGATACCTATTGGCAAATGGCCTAAAGATCCCAAGCTCAAGGAAATCGGAAGATTCCAAGCGATTCAGGCAGCACAGGCCATTGAATCTTACACGCCACAGATCTTCTCTAATGTACTTGGATGGTCACAGGAAGAGATACAGGTGTTCATGGCTAAAGCGAAGAATGAGATTAAAGATCCTTCTGTCCACCTCTATTTCCCTGTACACATTCTGTGGGGAAGAAGAGCCAGTTTGAAAGCAGAGTAACCATCTCAACATTAATGCTGGGGATGAGTCAGGCCTTAGTCACGGAGGTGCTATTCACTCACTTGATGGGATGCGAACATGACCAATAGCAAAGCAAAGGGTATACAGCCCGTCATTGAGAACCCACCATGCTTTTTTGGAACAAAAAACATACAACCGTTATGGACGTATTGAGAATGTTATGATGCAAGCCTCAGCTTCCTTGACCAGCTTCCGATGTGGCTGCACCAACGTTTGGCAAAAGCACAGATTAGGGTGATAGCAGTCACACAATAGGCTTTCATAAAGGATCCCGATATTTAGATTTGTCTTTTGAGGTATCGTGGCTTGGTTTTGATATGCGGCCGAAGTGGCTTATTAGAGATCACCCTCCATGAACGATTCTGTTGTACCTCTTGAGCTATAGACAAGGTACTAGCTAGCTTCAGTTCCTCTGTAATTCCAAGTTTCCGGCCTCGTCGTGAACAACGGTCACGTTGGGAGGAAGGTTGTTAAAATCAATAGCAACAACAGCCTGGACCCTATCCTTACTAATGAGTGAGCCCTCCCTGTAGTCGCCGAAAGTCAGGTACCAGGTACTGCTGGGCAGGATCTGGTACTGTACTGCAGGTTCCGGGACGAAAGAAGCCAAAGGTCCGTCGAAACCCTGCCCATTCCTACTACCCCCAAGTCCGACGATATAGTTGCCTGTGACATTGTCAGTGATTTCAAAATAGAACCTTTGATCCAGAAGGACTTACCTCTGTTAGCGTCATTAGAAGTGAAATCACTGTTGGAGCGGATTGAAAAGGCGCCGGCGAATCCACTGTCTGGTGAAGAATCGTTGCCGAAACGGAGTGCATTGTCTTCACCGGAAAGTTGAACAGTGCTGCCTGGGACATGTGCGCCGTCTGGCCTTACAGACCCGAGCGTGATAGGCTTCTCACTGCTCACGTCAACACCTACACCATCATCGGGGCGCCCTTCAGAGGTTCCGGTGAATGCAAAGTATTGACTAGAGACTGAAAAGGATGCCGTGGCTCCATTGGGTGCACGTAGAGTTCTAAAGATATTGGACCAGACTTTGCCCTGAACATGGCCCTCAACACGGGGGGCCTCATTGAACAAAGCGTACGACTGATTAGACCCAGTTCTGTTCTGAACCTTGATGGTTTTGTTGGTCATTGTGAATTTGAAAAGGGAAGGCAAGTATGTGTAACTGAATGATGAGCTTGACGGTTCGAGGTTTGACGGTGCTTTGGGTCTGATTGTGATTCTGATATTTTGGGTGAGTAGTTCTTCATTGGCTTCTTATACTTTTCGATCCCATTAACAACCATTACCCTAACATGTGGTGAAGCTGCATGTTCTATGTATCCTTAATGTGTTTACTATGTATTTATTGAATCGGCTATTAATCGATAGTCTCTAATAATGCTGAGTTAGTACGCGAAGAGCTTAGGTCTGTTTCATTACCCCTCACTGCCAGCCGCATTGTCTCATGTACGAAATAGCTACTACTACTACTACTACTAGCATGATTTCATGCATAGCTTTTGTACGGTTCTTAGCTGAGAAGATGGAAAAGGAATAGTATCAAATAACTCATCCGTGACCAGCACTCTAAAAGATCCGCTGGAAAAATTGCAATCCCAGAGAACAATCGCCGAGGTGGGACATCAATTAGTATCTGCAGGGGCGTGATTGCATAGAAACCATAATCTTCAGCAGGTAGGCCTACATGAACCGAATGAAATATGACAATTACGACACGGTGCATGGTTCTAGTTATGCCATACAAGATCTGAATGGTGCCTTTCACCGGCAAGCCTAGTCACTCTCCACGCGGTGTTCTGGGCCAGTCTTTCATGCAAGACCAGCCAGCCACTTACACGAGTGGGCTAAAACATAACTATACAGAAAGTCAAATCTCATTTTGTTTCGCATCGTAGCAAACCATTGCCCTAGATTGGCCAGTCCAGACTTTGGGATAAGGTTAGCCTCAAAGTCTAGCCGTATTCATAGTTTTTCAGCCGAGCTAGAGACACCGCCGACACTTTAAGAAACCGCGGTATGTAACCATTACACATCATACTAAACGTCGCGCACGCAAAGGCCGGCCACTCAATCGTGTCCCTCACCCTCGTCCTACATTACTGGCTATACCATAAGTGGTTCAGGCCATTCCGGGCGACATCGATAATGGCGAAGTTGTAAGAGAGTTTCTCGTACCAATGCGTCTTACTGAGGTCGATTTCCTAGCTTCATTAGCTGAAAGCATCAAGAGGCTAAGAACATGAAAATGGGATTTTCCGTTCACACCCTGATCCCTTGGGGTCGACGAAAGACCTGGAAAGTACATGTGGGCTGTTATACGATATTCAAACATTAATCTAGGCATTTGAATGACAAAATTAACGTCTAAGCATTATGTTAGGAAGGGAGGAATATAATCTCAACACCCATCGGGACCCAGCTGTGTGCAATTGTATGAAAAAGTCACTATTTTAGATCTCTCATGTAAAGTTAGGGCTCTAGTCACGATATTTCTTGAGCTTGCCAAGCTGTTAGGTGTTCATATACCAGCAAATAATCATATTACGTAGACATGATTCTTTAGAATTCTATTATAATTTTCTCATGACCAGGATAGGTATAGTATGCACTGATTTATTATACCTAGTTCTACCCTTAGTCTAACATTGCACTTGTTATTAACCTTGTCACCTTATCCAATATCTCGGTTAGAAAGCCGTCTGATGCCATTAGGTCCAGTTTCGTTTGGAGTGGGTGTTGGGAACCTCATCTAATTATGATATTTCAGTTCAACTCACTCGTAAGGTGGCACAGTGGAATACGCAATTGCAAAATTCAAGGCCGAATACTTTAGAGATGTCGGCTTAAGCTGTACCTTGGGCTGTAACTTAGTTGTATTCTTTTCTGAGGTTTGTGGCTGTGCTGGACCAGCCAGCAGTCTGCCCTGGATGTCAAGGCCAGAATCTAACAACCAGTCTCGAATGCGTCCATTGAACTCCTCCTTATTTTCTGCACATAATTTGTGCAAAGTACTGGGGATATCACGGTTAGAGGCCGATAATTGAAATCGCCCGATGCTTGGGACTAACCTTTTGGTAATCTTATTGTTTGGCAGCATAGTGAGAAGAATGTGACATTTAAGTTTGGATCCTTCTACAGAATCTACAGTCATTGAATGCCAACATATTTAGTATAGAGTACCTGGTAGAATATGTGAAGTCCTCGTCTTCCACCATTGTGTTCTTTGTCCTTCATGATGATTTCTTCCACAATCGTGGACTGTAAAGAGAGACTACTGGGCAATGTTTAGAAAATACCAGCATCAAAGAGGTCTACATGATACTTTGCATCTTCAAAAGACAAAGGTCAAAAGTGCAGTGCAGCAGGCGGGCACCACTCTAGACCATACTAATTGGATACTGCTTACATTATTAGCGATGTAATGCTTGAGAACTAGAGCCTGCCTCACTGCAACAATCACTCACGTCGAATCAGGTAAACAAAAGCGAGTGAGGCGGATTAAACGCTCTCAAAATCGCCTTGCACTTCCACAAATGAGGATCAGGAATGAGGCCTGACATGAGGCCTACCTGGAACAGCGAGTCTAATCGACGTGTCATTTTATCACTCAGGCGTTGGCAGTCACTTTCGAGGCCGAAATTCAGTCTTAATCATCGGGGAATGTATAAGGAAGCAAGTGTAAACAAAAGCCCAACGCCCCCGGGTTGTGTAAATGTAATTGCTAGTGCGGCTCTTGGATATTGTATTGTGTGCGCCGCTCACAAGCCTCACTCTTTCACTGGACGATGAATGGCCTCGCCACTATCCGCAATTGGGGATGAGTGCCCCGTGGGATTTGACCGTTGGGCTACGATTCAGAACTTTGTATGTCTTTCACTAATGCCCAATCTGCCTTCTCTTGACACCTGATCTCAAATCGAGGGAGTCTATTTAGTAATCGAGAATGGGCTCGCTGATTGTCCTCAATCTTTCTGTTTGAGGCTTCAGGAGACATTCTACCATTATGTTCGTCAGCCGGCATTATTCCGGACAATGGGTGACATCTCTGCTAATCATCAACAGGTGGCTGACAGTCTCTCATCTTCATCGTTATATCAAGACATCACCAACGAAACGGAACTCACTCAATCCTTTGAGCTAGTATCTACCTCGACACAAGACAGTAGTGGTGATATTCGGTCTCGGATAATTTTCATATCTACGGAGAAGCCTACCAGGCTAACGTTCGTGAACAACGCCCTCCATGAGGCAGATGGCGAGTCCTCTGTCGATAAACGGCCCATGGGAGATGCTGGGAAATCTGGCCACAGGACGAAGAGGCGAATGCAACGTCGAGGTACAAAATACGGTGATGAAGGCGAGGATGATAAGGGCAAAGGAAAACTCCCTCCATCGGACGGTCTCCGGTATCCTCCTCAAGGTCCCACAGCTAGGAAACGGTTTGAATGTCCGTTCCACAAACATTATCCGGATTGGTACTACATGTGCAAGGGGAAATGTATGCCTCGCATATCGGATGTCACAAATCATCTCAAGCGGCGACATCTACTGAAAGTGGCCATGGATCTGGGAACGGACACTCGTTCGCAGGATATTGTGGATTATTGCCCTCGGTGTCGTATCGAGTTCCGTGGCTTTGGAGCCGAGGGTAGACTCCGTGATCATTTGACGCAAGGAGGTAGATGTCAGGAAGCCAATATTGGACAGACCGGGGTAATTTTGCTATCCGAGTTTGAAGAGCTTAAAAGAGAACTTCGTTCGGCATCTAATGAGGTTGCCAAGTGGTTTATTATATGGCGGAAATGTTTCTTAAAGACAGCACCACCATCATCTCCATACGTTGAAACCACTGTCCCCCAGACGCACACCTCTGGACTTTCATCAGTCAATTATTCAATGGCTGGTGATGATATCAGATCATTCACCACCCAAAGCACTCACACCGACTCACTGCTCACCATGAACGAACCCCGTATCGACGCTCCGATACAGGAGCAACCAGCTCCATCGCTCTATAGTACTCCTGCATACACAGCATCTCAAGATTACAACTCCACCATGCCTCAACTGCCTTTCATGCTTACCTCCAGCTCTGATAATCTTTACTGGACTGGGCTGGAGCTGATCGGGAGCCAAGCTGGACAAGAATTTTTAACAATGGATCACAGCTTCCATACCTCTATTGCGGTTCCGGAAGCAGGAAATCTTGAATTGGTCGACTTGGTTCCAAATGGAGATGATTTGTATCAATATGACTTCCATCCAGATCTGAGCGGCAATGGCCAAGATCACCCACAAAACTAGGTTCTAACATACGTTATAAGAAAGGCTAACAATCGTGACATGAAACCTGTTGCGGGCCTTCCTTCGCAATCACATTACTCGATCTTAAAATGGCATTCTTACAGGAGGGTGTCCATGGTTAGAACCGATGAGTGATCGATTGATCGGAGATGGATGGGTGGCAGCTGTGCTGTTTAGATGAGCCTGTCTTTTGTGCTCAAGCTGAACAGGGTTAGGAAGGCTCATACCCCTGGATGGTATTTTCTATTTGTATCACTAGTACATACTCACTGTCATATATGAGCACTTTTTTATTTGATATTTTCGCGGCCATCATGCTAACCATGAAACCTTTCACCTCTTCAACGTTCCCAATCCGCCAGAGCCTCTAATCCATATGCTCTCTCATGACACTATTCAACAAATCGTCCATCGTAAGGTCATATAGGACAGTGTGTGCATCATCATTCTCTTCTGTGGTCAAGTGCTGGTGATCAAGGAAGTCAGATATGATTTGGTGACCATATAAATCCCAAAAGTCATTCGCCATTGAGGCCATGAGTCCACATCCTTCATCTAGATATGGAGAACAAGGCTCTCTGAATTCCGGAAAGATGACAGTCCAAATGCGATGCCATCGAAGTTTTTCTTCCAACTGTGGGCAGTTTTCGTGGATCAGCAGAATCTTCTGGTCTTCAGCCAGTCCATCTGATGGATCTGAGTCGCGCATCTTGCACATTTCGCTCAGAATGTGATTGTCGCGCTCTATTAACGTGTTGAACTTCTTGTAGCAGATTGGGCAGTAGGGTGAACGTGAATGATGGCGTATGAGATGATCAATGACGGTCTCGATTGATCGGAGACTGTTTTTCAGACAGGAATAGTGGCGCTTGGGATCATAGACATAGAAAGGACAGGCAAGACGAAAGAACCCCTGTAAGTGATTTTGATGAGCAATCACGACCAGCCCGGCGTCACCAACATTATCTTCTTCCTCGGTTTGTGTGACGGATGGTCTGCGATGTAAAGTCCGGGTCCGGTTTTGAAATGGCAGTCTGCCCTCTGGTGGTGCAGTATATCTCACTCCAGTGCACCATTCCCTGAAGGTTTCAGCGGCTAACTTCTGTATGTTGGATCTTTGTTCGTTGTAAAAGTGATGCCAATAATAGTCTGGTTCCTGTGCGCTCGCCTCACTATCCGACTCAGTCTCTGTGGATGGCTCGCTCCACTCGACCTCGTAATAAGATGGGTGTGGTGCGCAGCGACCGAAGTCTTCGCTCATTCGACCACCTCCCAATGACTGAGTTAGCCCCGTTCTGGGGGGGTTGTGCGCTGCATAGTAGCTTGAAATGGCTGGTTGGTCGAAACGGTGATGGCTGTGTCTTATTGAAGGTTGGCAAATGCGTGGTTCTGCCATTATGTACAATGTTGTCGAAGTTTTCAGCAATTTATATGAAAAGGATACATATATGGAAGCTTATGAGTCCAAATTCAAATATCTTACCGTTGAATACCATATTTAATTTCGAGGGCGGTCGCGTTTACTTACACGATTTAACAATCGCTCTTGCTGCCCTATTCCATAGCCTGATGACACTGCGCAGCCGTATGGATATTCGACCCAATTAGCGAGAGTAAGGCCGCGATGGATTTCAGTGAATCACTCAGTGCTGTTTGTTGTTATTCCGTGTTCCTGCCTAATTTAATTTTCATTCGTTCCCTAAAACAACCATGGAATGGGCCAGCCTAATTGAATGTGTTAGGTTCCTATCAAGTTGCACATTCTTTGCATCTCGCGTGGATTCCTCCATAGAACTACAGTTCTTTTGTAAATTCCTAATTGTGCACTTTCTTTTTTCTCAACTTATTCCTCCTGGGTGCAGGTCCTGTGATTACGAATGCTAAGTTGCACGTAGTGTCCTATTCCCCATGTGATGTCAACAACAGATTACGCGTTCGAGTCATTGGATGGTTGCTTCATATCCAAGACAACCAAGTTACCCCAAACGAGGGTGAGCATCCCTGCATAGCATTGGCGCAATTCACAAACGTGGAAAATGGCAGTAATTTGCTTAACAGTGTGGCTGCCCAAAACTTGATAGTTCTACCTAAAAGCCGAGATGGTTTCCCTGCCTTTGGGTTGGTCTGACAGCAGCCCAGGCCCGCGACAAGTCTCAAGGTCATCACCTTTTCGTGATTAGGCCTCAAGTATACCTGAGATTTGACCAATCAGCTACCCTGTGGTTGTACAGAGAGACAGTTGGATTTGCTTGGGGTAAAAATGTAGCATTGCTATCCTCGCTATTAAACTTAAGTCTCTTGGCTAGTAATTATCACACGTGCCGTTAAATCTTGGTGATTCCGTTACAACTCAGTACGCGACGAAAACTCTTTTCAGAAGAGCAAATACCGTTCAATAGTTACACATCTTCGGCCATCTTTCTCCTGAAAGACACTGGCGGCACATTCCAGTGCAAAGCTTTCGACGAACGAACAATATGGCATCTACCAAGTTCCCCTGCGATGGTAACCAAACCCGTTTTCACGATACACCCTTCTGAGACATTACGAACATGACAAAATTTGCAATACTTTATCGAAGTGAACAACACAAAAAAGACTGCTAAGGGCATCGTGCGCAGTCCCAACAGAGAGAGTCGGGCCCTCGGCCACGATGCATATCGTATACCCCTGGGAAACATGATAGCTACACGATGAAGTTTTTGATGATGAGAGTAGTTTTAGACTATGCTGATAAAACTTCGCTAAATAGACTCAAACAACTTCAGACCGACATAGTTGTGTCTATGTATCCATAGCTTGTGGATAGAAACGTCAAGCTTGCCAAGCCAACATGGGCCATTGCCATTAGAGAAAGGAGAAATTGCTGATATTTCCCTATGCGCATGAAAGTCCGCGCGGTGAACATAACTGTCAGGAATAAATTACTTGGTGGAAACAGTGTTGAGCTCGTTGAAAGACAGGTTAGGCTCCTTGTCTTGCAGAAGGACAGCAGGGTCCAGGATACAAAAGACAAGAATAGCAATGGCGATGCAAACACCATCAAGCCCGATAAAGTATCCTTCTGTCTTCATCAAGTGTCCGTCCCATCCCTCGAGGAGCTCGACCGTTCGGTAGATACATCGGATGTAGACAAAGACGACAGAGATGATGATGCCGTGGATGACGAGACGTTGGCCCTTCTCAAGGCGTAGGCCTCTGGTTCTCCAGACAAAGATAGCGAAGAGAATACAGAAAGCAGTCATACTGACAAGCTGGAAGATGATACCGGCGACCATGAGGTTGGCGCCAGGCTTGGTATCCTTTCCTTTGTTGGCTGCTCCCGATGCCAGACCACCACCGCCGGCTTGGATTAGAAGGGAAAGCACATCGACGACGAGGAAGATCCAGAGATAAAGCTTGGGGCGGATGACGGAGTACTGCGGACCGACGGCCTTGATGAGGTATCCAAGAGCAACGTAGATGGCAGCAGCGACAAAGATAGGGCCGACGACGAGGGTGGTGATCTGGAGAAGGAAGGCAATCTTGTTGTAGGCGCATTTGTTGGACCACGTTCGCCCGATCCAGCCAACGAGCTCGATGTAAGACGCGATGGCCAGCAAATACGAGGTGGCCTTTCGCTTCTGGAACGACCGGACGATGTGGTAAATGCCCGTAGCGGCAAAGATAAGATCGAAGACAATGCCTGCCGCGAGACTGGGCACGTAGCCGTAGGCGTTCTTGAGGCCTGGAATCAGGTCTTTGCAGCCGTTGAGGAGATCGCCTCGAGCGTAGGAACCGTCCGCTATCGACATGATTGGGGACGTGGATGAGAAGTGTTTGTGCTGTGGACGTTTCTCGAAAGACTCGAGGAAGACTGAGTCTTTGGAGAAGAGCGAAAAGAGACCAAGGACCCCTTTGCCAAACCAAAACTCAAACCCCAGAATGAAGGGGTACTCTCTGCGGAGACTGATCTGCGACGGGCCCCCGACCAACAAGTCCCTCACCTCACAGGCTGTGGATGTTGGCTGTGGCTATTTCGAGTCAGTTGCCGATCCAACGTCGAGGAGTTGTTCTCCAGCCTCAGTGGCAGGCATTGTCCCGGCTGTTATCTACTGGTAGGGACATACATGCTTAGCGTGACTAGGGTAATACCTTAAAATCTTACGGTGTGGGTGTGACAAAGGTGTGAGGATAACTGTGGAGAGAATACTACGTAGGACCCTAGACAAGTTGACAAGTGGGAACAAATAAGCAGGGCTTGGCCTGCAGCACTTCCAACGGAGTAATCCTGTCATTTCCAACCATTAATTGGTGGCTTAAATGCGCTTAGATAAGTGCCGCTCTGTTACAATCTGTTGTGCCGCTTGTTATTTTTCACAAGGCGCTGCAGCTGCAAGGTAGCGGATAATTCAAAACTCAATGCCAGGGTATGCTATCTGTGCTTACCAGCCCTGAACCGCCTCTACAGACACTTTCAGGCCATTGCTGGGCTTTGCCACAATCCCATCCGTGATGTCCCGCACCTCGTAATCCTTCGCTATGTCAAACCTGTAACGACCGACCAACGCACACGTAAGAGCCATGAGCTCGGCCAGGGAGAACTTCTGTCCAATGCAACTCCGCGGGCCGTGCAGAAAGGTCAAGTTTGCATAGTTGTTCTTGGAGCCGCCCGAGTTGGCCTGTCCGGGCGCCATCCATCGCTCGGGGTTGAAGTCATCTGCGTCTGGACCCCATAGTTCGTGGGCTCTGTTAATAGCCCATGGACAGAGAATGACCATTGTGCCCCTGGGAATGAATGTGCCAAGAATAGAAGTGTCCTTCAGGGCATCGCGGACGGTAAAGGGGATTGGTGCGTAGAGCCTTAGTGATTCTTGGCAGACCGCATGGAGATATGAGAGGCCATCGAGCTTTTTGGAGTCTACTTCAGCACTGAGACCATCAACATTCTGACGAATCTCATCCCGCAGACGGTCCTGAATGTCATGATTCTTTGCCAATAGAAAGACTGTCCATGTGAGCGCCGCAGCACTGGTTTCATGTCCAGCTGCCAAAAAGGTCATCATGGTATCGACCAGACCCTCATCCGTAAAATGACCGGATTCAAGAGCCGTAGAGATGATATCAGGAGAAAGCTTCTCCTTGGCAGCCATCTGAACCTTTTTGGCGTTGATGAGCCTCTGGGATGTCTCCCTTGCAGCTCTAGACGCAGCCAAAACGCCCATGTTCCTCTGGAAGGGGAGATAGTCCGTAATGATGGAAGGAAGGACAAGCTGAAGGACAGTCAGGAGTTTGGCGCCACGACTCTGCTTCACCATAGATCCGTACATCTTCATGGTATCTTCGATACTAGGGTCTGAGAGAGAATTGAATTCGTGGCCCATTCCTGCAGAGCCGATGATGTCTAGAGATGCTCGACTTGCCCAGTCAACGATATCAATCTCAGTACTAGGGCCTTCACTTAGTTCTTTCTCAATACCGTAGACAAGTTCTTGTGCCTTGCTCCAGAACACAGGATATAGCTCCTTGATGTGACGGAAGCTGAAGGCTGGCATGAGATTCTTTCGTTGCAACTACTGGTGTTAGATCGCTTTTTCTTTTGAGGATGAGTGACATACCTTGTGAACGTCTCCTTCTGAAAGCAGCAGTCCATAGCCCAGGATCTTGCCAACCATTGCACGAAGCAGATGAGGCTTCACATAGTCATAACTGTTCTGCCCCAAGACTTCCTTCAAGCCCTCCGGGCTAGTGACAACGAGTCTCTCTTGATTGAACAGGTGTCTAGATTGTTAGTTTCGGTCGTTTTGAGAGGATATGTTGACTTACTGATATCTGATCAATCCATTGTTTTCGATTGTCCTTGACCAATGTCGAAATGGCAGACCAGCAGACTCGCTAACAGACTCTGCCCAATTTCCATTGATAAAACTTGCAGTCTGTATTCGTTAGTCAGTAATCAACCCAATAAACATACTGAACCTCACTCACCTTTGGCTGCGGTAGATGCCTCAGCGGACTGAAAAATCGTGGATACACAAACACCGTATAGAAAGCCCAAATGCTTAAGAAACCGAGTAAGGACTTTGTAATGTAAAGCAGCGCATTTCGAATTGTATAGTTCTGATCGCAGAGCACCTGACGATAGATCGCAAAAACCAGTGCACTAGCAGCCCAAGGCCGGTAGTAAGAGAGAAAAATACCAATTTTAGCCATGGTGAGATGAGTATGGATGATGATGGAAATCTTGGTGAGTCTTGGTATTTTATGTGTCGATTACCCACTCCAGCTGCTTGCAGGGGTAAGCAGCCCGGGGCCTTGTTTCGGGCACTGCCACTGCATGATGGGCTGTTAGGCTATTTTAGGGGCTTTGAGTGTCTTGGTCATTCGAGACAAGTATGTGATTGGAAAAATTAAGACTTTTTTTCAAGCACGGAGATTTATTGTATAACATCAGTTTAAATCTATCTAATTATGTAGACTCCCTCTTCTTGAACTGTAATTTTACACCAACAGGCGGCATAACGGCCTCTGTCACCCATTGACTCTCTGGGCGTACTCCATTATGCTTAGGAAGCAGCTCAATATCAAAGTGGTTGAGAAGGTGATGTAAAATCATCTTCATCTCAAAATCAACTAAGAATCTCCCCGGACAAGCATGCTTTCCATGGCCAAAGGGTAAATAGGTCGGTGAGGTGGACACAAACGACAAAGTAGGGTTCATATCCTTGGAACCATTACCTTCTGCTGGACTACCTGTTCTCATCTGTGAAAATCTAAAGGGGTAGAACTTCTCTGGATGCTCATAAATCTCTGCGTCGTTGTGCACGGGATACGACAGTATAGACATGGTCGAGCCGTTGGGAAGAGTATGGCCGTCTGGAGTCTTTAAACCATCTGATGCAACCACTTTGCGAATCATGGCTCGATTACCAAAACCATGGGTTCGCATTGACTCTCTCAAGATGCTGTCTGTGTGAATCATCTTGGATACTGACGCTTTATCAAAAATACCCCCGTTTTGCTCAAGAACGTCAGCCATCTCTCGTCGTATAACAGCTGTTGTGTCAAACTCGGCATCTGATGCTGCGATATTGATCAAAACATTGCTCATGGCAACTGCAGTTTGATGGAATGATGCCAGATTCGCAAGACAAAGTCTGTCAGAGATTTGAGACGGGGAGACTTGGTTACCGTGCTTGCTGATGGCATATCTCATCATCATCTGCAGGTTGTCGGTAGGCTCTTCACTCTTTTCATGCAGCTCAGGATTCAAAAGCTTCTCTGTGCGATCTTTATATAGAGGCTCGATGTGTTTTTGAATCCTCCATCTTCTGTACCGCGTTGGTAAAGTGACGAGAAATCCTACCAGCGGCTTGAAGAGTGATGGCGTGTATATCAAAAGACCAGAGTTCAAGATGAACAAGTCTGCAAACGCGAGAGAGTCTTTCAGATAGCTCTTGTCACGGCCTTGAAAGTTAGCCGAGTCGTATCGAGGGGAAAAGAGACATACAGAGAGGCAGTCCAACGGTGAAGCGACTGGATACTTGGGCCACGATCCATTTCATAGATTCATAAACATCAACCTCATCATTTGCGCCAGGGCGTATATACTCAGGGATGGCATATTCTAGCTCATCATCTACCGCAGCAGCTAATGTCTCGAGAAAGCGACCCATTTCCTTTTTGATAACGATACTCTGCCAAGGATCCTGGATATAACTGGCATGTCCAGAATTCCAATCTCCCTTGTCAATTTCTCGGAACCCTTCAATAGGGCTGAGAACGGCATCGGGCTGTGAAGCTGCCCACTGAGTATGGTGGTGTGCTAGATGGACCTCATCCTTGAAGCCCATGCTAGGCAGAACACAGGTTTTCCCATGTTTCGTGAACTAGATATGTTAGCCAAGTCCACCAGAGATCATAAGTACATACTGTTTGATAAGCCTCGAGAAACAACTGCCGACAGTCTGTAAGGTACGACCATTGTAACCTGAAAGGAAGCTTTGAAGAACGCTGCAGCCTTGGAAGGGTAGAGGGAAGTTGAGGGGAACGCTGGTGTCCAACAAGATAGACAACCGTCAAAAACACGGCCACCAGTAGGTAAACCGCCATCGTGTATGGAATGTGAGAATGCCTTCACGATTGAGCAGAGTCCAGAAGGGAAAAGGATCCAGTTCTCCAAAGATACGTACTCTGCTAGACTCAGCCACCCTCCATCCTCCACAAAAGACAAAGGGTAAAAGGTAGCTTTACATCAGCCCTAGCCGAAACGCTATCCTGGTTTATTTTAGTCCAGGGCCCGCTAGAGGTCGAAACGGCCGCACGCCACAGCCGCCGAAAATCACGCCGGCTTACATGGTGCGTGCATTGGGGCGTCTAATTAAGTATGTCTCGGATGGGATAAATCAAGTTACAGGGGAGTCTCTGCCCGCAGTTTTCAATATGCGCAATGACAATTGCACTGATAATGCGGTGAGAAGAACGTCTATAGATACCCAATACTGAGAGACTCTGATTGCTCTGCAGCAAGGAACAGAATACGAGTCCGCAAGCACACACAATGGTTCAAGAAAAGCAGGGTGTAAAGATCATCGTGGTATGTGACCCTGCACCAGTGGGAAGGTTCTTTGATGGCTAAAGATTCAGGCTGGTCTACCGCGCACGTCGACGACAAGTCTCAAGAAGGGCCTTGAGATACTTGGAGTTACCCCATGTTTCCATCTTGGAGATCCTCCTGCGCCTATCTCGAGAGTCAAAGAGAGTGCCCGCGTGCTGGCCATAAGGGATCGGAATGAGAGACTTAAGGCGTTGAAGAGGCTGTACGATGGCTTTGAAGCCGTCTTTGAGCCTCCTGCTAGCGCCCTTGTTGACGACATGCTTACTGTTTACCCCGATGCAAAGGTGAGAAACCTCCCACATACCGTTGGCTCTTGCTCACATTTTGCAGGTCATCCTTTCAGTGCGCAAAAATCCCCAGGTCTGGTTGGCCTCGTACTACGGACTGGGCATTGATATGCGGTCCCCATGGTATCGCATCCTGGGGTACTGGATCCCAGGCGTGATTCACTCAAGCGACCTTATCATCGCCTGGTCAAAATACTACGCTGAGAAGTTTGGCCTCGACGAAGTCCCCTCGGAGGAGCTCTACCACAAGCACAACCAATGGGTTCGCGACATAGTCCCCGCTGGAAGATTGCTGGAATACCAACCCAGCATGGGATGGGAACCCCTGGCGCGCTTTCTCGACAGGCCTGAACCAAAGGATGAGCCATTTCCACGTGTCAACGAAGCAGCTTTTCTGCGGAATGTCAAACGGGTCGCTATGGGGCTAGGATCGTTGGTCTGGCTGTGTTTGTTTGTTGGTCTGTATTTTACTGGGGTCTTTGTGTGGTCTAAACTGGGAGCATGAAATTTGATTGCTTATTACCTACTCCGTACTCCGTTTCGGTAGGAGAAAAAGAAATAATTGCGCCACATGCGTGCCTAAGATTCTGACTGCTTTGTTATTTGCCGGTTGAACATACCTCATCCCACATTCCGATTTGCTTATGGGGTCTATGTAATATATATGGTAGTATTTTGATATCAACACACTCCCCCCACAAAAGGTATCCATCCACAAGGCAAGGCTAATCGAGATAACGAGGGATGCTTGCATGGCCGATCCTTCGCGTATCTTTTCAGTGGGCCACTGAATTACTACCCCCATTTGACCTTTTTACTCCGTTCCTGATGGGCATGAAACCTGCATTGGCCCAAAATTCAGCGGCAGGAGTGGCGTGTTTTCGGGTCATCGGCGAAGCCATGGAATCGCTCAAAACGTGCACAGCCCGTCAGCGTCTCATCGCAGGGCATTAGTTGAACTTTAGGTCTGACTTTGCTTACATGGCCACGGCACAGACGTAGCCAACAGCGACATACGAGTAGAGTTTGACTTTTCCGGCCCGTCTCGCGGCTGGCGGTTCAGGGTCCGATACAGAGACAGACCAAACCTTCTTCTCCGGTGAAAGGGATGCATTGTAAATATCCCTACATGCTCATTGTTATTTCTGGGCTGCCTATTCATGCGCTTACTTGTCTGCTGTACCTGTACACTCGCCACCAGGACCCTCGACATGAACGCCCAAGCTGCATTCTGCCTTGCAGCTACTTCCCAAGCTCTGACTGTGTTCGCCCTCGGTTTCATAACCCCGTCAAACCCCCTTCGGCCTGCAATTGCCGTCGCCGTTACTTGGCTCACCTGGCTCTTCAACGAGTCTATCCACGATGCTCTGCAGAGCCGTCTCCATGTGGCATTGCTCTCCACCGGAATGTGGATTCAGTGTCTCAAGACATTTGACGACCTCTGTCTGAGTAAGCTGTCCTTTGACCAAGAGGTCGGAACATCGCCAAAGACGGCTGTCGGTCGGCTTCAGTTCGGACTTGGCAATCTCTGGAATATGCGTGGTGTACGCACAAGCAAACAGATATCACAAATTCCCCCTTGGTCATACGCCAACCCTCTCGTGCCGTCCCGCGGCCAAGAAATAACAAGACATGTCAGAAATGCAATCGTTTCTTATCTCGTCCTGGACGTGTTTGCCAATCAACCGCCCCCAGACCTCGAGAACATGATGTCGCCTCGCAACGAGCAACTATTTGCGAGACTCGGTGAGGTCAGCACCGAAGAGGCCATATTTCGCTTTTTCGCCTCCTTCGGCTTCTGGCTCAACACTTTCTGCGTCATCCAGCTTATCAACAGCCTTTTCTCACTGCTGTACTTGGCCCTGAACATCCACCCTGTCGAAATGCTACCCCCAATTTGGGGTCGTCTCTCCGATGCTTACAGCATTAGACGCTTCTGGGGTAATTTCTGGCACCAGACGCTACGACGTCACCTCACATCCGTGTCAGAGTTACTTGTGCACAAGGTGCTTCACATGCCAAAGGGGTTCCTCGCTCGTTACTGCAAGCTTATCGTTTGCTTCTTCATTTCTGGTGCTTTGCATTTTCCTGCCGACAGGGCGCTCGGAATATCTACACGGGAGTCCAATGTTATCACATATTTCCTCACTACTGCATTGGTGATCATGTGCGAAGACGGTATTCAGCATATCTCCCGGGGACTGGAGGGAAATTGGCGTCGGTGCTTTGGATACGCTTGGGTTGTTTTCTACATGTACCTGATGACTCCTTCGTGGGGATATCCTGCTGCAAGAGTTGTAAGGCCTCAAGACCAATTGATCCCATTGTCTCTTATCAAACAGTTTAGAGTTTAGGCAGCAAATCCTAATTCCTTCTACGTATTTTTCGAAATGAGCCACAATGTAGTAATCAAAACATCCTTGGTATCATTCATCCTAAATGCGCTGTAATCTAACACGTAAATCTCTATCAACCCTTGCAACGCCCCTGGCCTCATTACCAACCTCCGGGCCTCGGTCCGAAGGCTTTCCATTTCGATCAACAAAGTGCAATGGCTCTACTTGGAAATGTGTGAAAAACAGAACCACCGCCGAAAGAATCTCCTGCTTGGCGTAGTTGCGCCCAGGGCACATTGCAGCACCGCCACCGTACGGAAAGTAGTTGCCTGCTGAAATTCCACTCTGCCCCTTTTTGATAAATCGCTCAGGCCAGAACTCCTCTGGTGGGTAGGACGCTGAGGACCAGACTTCAGGGGCGTTGTGGGCGAGGTATGAGGGTGCAAGGACTAGATTGCCCTCCTTCAGCATGTAGCCGTCAAGCTCGATAGAATTTCGCAGTTTGCGAACAACAAAGACTGATGATCTGAGACGAAGACACTCCAAATAAACAGAGTTTAGAAGTGGTAATTTCTTCAACTCGACGATGTCGAGTTGTTTGGTGTCCTTGTTGAAAACTGTGGCAACCTCTTCTTGGATTCGTTTGAAAATGTCAGGTCGACGAAGAATCTCAATGATAACCCAAGATGTCATGGGGATAGCATTAGAGTTTATACTCCAGATGAGACCCATCTGGAAAGATGCTCTTCCGTCTAAACCGATGCCGTACTTCTCCATTGCAATCTCTCTCTCACGAACAAGCTTGGATCCAAAGTTGGGCTCCCAGTCGGGATTCTTGTCGTGGCAGTCATGCCAGTCAAGGTTCTGCCACCCTTGTTCTAGATAACTTTTTACCGTCTCTAAGCATTTGTCTCTGGCGTTCCAGCCCTTGCGGCATAGGAACTTTGGGACGCCATAGAGGAGAGACATGAAATCTTCGTCGTAGTCCCAGAAGACATCAGCAAAGTTGGGATCAACATCGAACACCCGTTGGCCAGCAAGGGCAATTGTCGATGCTCGAAACATGTGATGCTTCATAAACTCATCAATTCCAATCTCAATTGGCCCTTGAGTAGCAACGGTGCTGAGCTCGTCGATCATGGTGTTGATGAACAGCTCGGTAAGAGCCGAGACAGCTGTGGAGCCGATAAGGTGGTGCTCGTAGATCTCATGGAACTTTCTCCATATACGATCTTCATCTCGGGTCTCAGTCAATGGCAAGCGAGATGAGCCAGAGATATCCTTAGCTACCAAGGCAGCATCGTGCGCAGGGAGACGCTTGACCTTTTGAGCAACACGGAGAGCAAACTCCTCGAATGTGAGTTCCTTCGAGCATCGAAAGACTTGTTGGACATTTTTGGTTCCGTGGATGAGATAGGCGTGGACGTTGCCTAGGCGCATGCGAATGGGCTCGCCATTGTCGAACTTTTGTCTAGATATTATTAGTTGAGTCTTGAAAAGAGTACGATGGACTTACACGATGGACTTGAAGAACCCGTGAGGATTTCTGATCAAACTGATTGCTGAACCAACCCCTGGCAGCACGTATGGAAGTGTCGAGGGTTCTTTTCCCTTGTAGCGGCGGTCGTAAAACCGCTGTACCGAATATCGAATGGTGGTGATGCAGTGCGTCGACAAAAGCAAAAACAAAGCCACCAGGGCAAATGTGCTCGCCGAAGCGTCCAGGAAAGTAGCGTTCATCATGTCGAAGTTGAACATGTCTTTCAAGACCCTCGATGGTATTCTCAGAGAGGGCATTCTAGCAAAACAAAGCGATTGTTAAAAAGAATAATTCACGCTACAAGTGGATATCTGCTGTCACGGTCCGCCGGGATAACATCAACATCATGCAAAGAATGGCCCATGGTCCATAAATAGCGTGTTCGAACAAGCAAAACTGCCCCCATACAGCTAAAGGCTAGTCTGTTCTGTCTGCGCGAAAGACTCACCCTTGATCCTGATTCTTGACCAGGGTCTTGTCTTGTCGAAAGCTGTCAGCTTCGGAGCGACTAGATAGTGACTCCAACGGGTCATCGGTCGCCGATATCCACACGCCACCCAGTACCTGAGGCAGATCAGCCCGGTTGAAACAGTCCGTGTCATCTGCTGGGGACGATTGTACCGTTGCTTTGCTCAGCCTGTTGGTCCTCCATCAGCAATCCTTCGATATCGACTTAGAATGGTTAATAGGATAAAGCCAAATCAGGACATAATGCACGACGTTCAAGCAGGTTGCAGTGATTACAGATCTACCGATCATCCCCCCTGGAGATTATCTCCAACCTCCATCATGTCTCTTCTCGTGATGCAACGCCGATGTATGTAACCCTGTATGGGTGTGTGAGTTGATACTGACACCCACTGCCTATAAAGGGATAGCGGCAAATAAACTCTGGCCCCCACAGCATTGCTGATGGCCAGGATGTATCTCTTGCCAAAACTGGGCTATGCCGGCATATCGAAGGCTCATTACTGGGAGGCAGTAATTATGGGTAAGCTTGGGCAGTGGATCGTCAAAACTTCGAAGGATTCACTACTTGTAGTAAAATTCTTCGATGGACCTGACACGTAGCATTGATCAAGGGTCAACGTGGAGCCTCTTCGCCTACCCAGCGATCAAGACCCTGTGGAGATGTGTTGGATCAAGTCAGTGCGCCCGGGTCGTGCATCGAATTGATGGAAGGGATTCGTTCTGAAGGGGATAACAATGCCATTGAACTAGTTACTAATGTAACCCACACTCTATTCTCCGTAGTCTAATCCAACTCTCTAAGCCCTGTAGCCCTAAAGTCTGACACTGAGCATCCGCTTGGGTACTAACTAATTTGTCAGACCGGTTAAGCCGTCCCCTCACGACGCACGCACCGGAGCCTGATCTTCTCAGGGTGCTTCACCTTGAGCAGGAAGTTGAAGCTAGACTGTTTCGCCTCTTCCATCAGGGCCCTTGACGCCGCTGCCTTGAGCTCACCATCAGCATCCGGCTCCACAGTGTACTCCTTCAGAAGACAGGCCAGCACCGCCACGAATTCCACCTGTGAAAACTTCTTGCCTGGGCACACACGCGGACCCGCGGCCCAGGGGAGGAAAGCGCCTGTGGGCATAGCGGCTAGTTTCTCGCCCGTCTCGTCACTGGAGATCCAGCGGCTGGGTAGCCATTCCAGAGAGTTGTCGCCCCACGAGGCGGAGGACGTGTGAAGGCCTGCTAGGTTAACGCCGATGAAGGTGTTTTTGGGTATCGTGTAAGTGGTGCCATTGATGTTGAGGGCTTGGTCTACGACGGTTGTTTTGGGAACTGCTCTTGCTGCGCCAAACAATCGCAGTGTTTCGTGCTGGTCTTGTTAGTGTTGGTCAATCAGACGGCTTCCAGACTTACCATGATAGCCAGCACTCGCTTCAATTGAGGATAATATGTCTCATAGTCCAAGTCCTTGAGATCAACTCCAGCTGTGACTTGGTCGACTTCCTCTGCGGCCCATTTCTGCCACTTGGGGTTCGCTGCGAGAAGGATTGTTGCATAGGCGAGAGTATTGGAAGTAGTCTCATGGCCAGCAAGATTGAAGCTGAACAAATTGCCGTAAATCTCAGAGTCTGACAGATGGCGGGTGCCTTTGCCTTGATTGTTCTGGTTCTCTGATGCTCGCACCAAAATACTCATGAGATTGTCCTGCTCTTCAGCACCAGCATCCATGGCCTCGCGTTCTTCAGCGACCATCTCAGCCATGTACTGGCGGAAGTTGAGGACGGCATCTTGAACCTGCTTGAACCTGGATGGAAGCATCCATGTGGGTAGATTGAGCGTCGCTGTGAAGACAGCAGTGAACAGGTTGCCGAGGATGAGGCTGAGGGAATCGCGATAGGTGAGACTGTGGTTATCCAATGTGCTCTCAAGACCACTGCCGAAGGTGTAGCTTCGGCCAAAACCAGCAGCTGTGAGGACATGAAGGGCCAGCACCATGGTGTCGCTCTGAGGATTGACCACTCCTTCTGGGTTGGACGCCCACATCTTGAGCATATCTGTAGCCTGTCTCTTGGATTCATCCCATACGAGAGCGCTGTTTCTCTCGTTGAATGGAGGTGTTGTGATTCTTCTGTGACGCACCCAATCGTCTCCTTCAGTAGTCACGACATTGCGGCCAAAGATCTCAAGCGGCTTGTACAGAGCAACAGCCTTGACAAAGTCTCTGCGTCTTCGACATAGGTCATCTGAGGCCTTTGCGTTTCCAGTGAAGACGCGGATCTGCTTGGGGCTGGCAATAATGAAGGTGTCGCCAATGCGTTCTTGGAGATCACAGATCTGCTCGTAGTTCCAGTCGCGGCTGTTGTATTCTACGAAGTTTCCAAGTCCAAAGGGAAGGATTCTCCTTAGTAAAGGCTCCAGCCAGCTGCTGAGCACCAAGTAGGGGACATTTGACTGAGAGAGGTTAGCAATTGTGAATGAGTCAGGACAATTACAGCAATAACGAACCGGGTCGATTGGCGTGATCAACACGGGAAGGCCAATGGCTTTTGCTTTGCGGTAATTGTAGAAGAGTTGTAGAGTACTGATTCCAATGTACGATAGCACAAGACCGCCAATGGCCTGAAGGGGTGAGATCATGATGCCTGAGCTGTGAGTCGTGATAATGACGAGAAAGGGTTGGTGAAGGTAGGAGGTGTTAAGTAGCCGTGTTACAGTGGACAGCACTAATTTTAGAGCACGTCGACCACTACACAGCGCTACTTCTGCGGCCTGTTTCAGCACCAACAGAATATCAATCACAATGCCTTATCATACGTGTTGTTTACTTCCGGCTACTAAAGATGCAAGCTCATCAAATTGTGATACAAAGATGTTTATTTCGTTCTTGAGCGATTGAGTCATGAATTTTCAAACTATAAAAAGTCTAGATCTACTACATCAATAGGTACGGATCCATCTCATCTTAAGCTACCAACACTTCATAACCTTGCCCATCACTCTAAATGCATCAAGCCCGATGAGCTCCGTCTCCTTTGTCTGCTGCAAAATAACAGGGAACCAGCGTACAGGACCAGACCAAGCAAGAAAAGATATGACCCAAAAGTAACCAGCGAGTATTGCCAGTATCCTGGTGACCTTGTACTTCCAGAGGGGAAGAAATAGGTCGCCAAACACATCCTCCAGCATCAATCCGATCAACTGGGTGCTGAAGAAAGTTATCGCTCCGCTCTTGGCAGCAGGAACTGCACTTCCCATATCGCTTGGGACGTGAACTAGGCCAGATAATGCAAAGGCGATGAGGATCTTCAAATATCGCGAGAGCAGTGAATAAGACTTGAGGCGGAAGATGTTGGTGGTGATCCATGTCGCAGTGCCCCGGAGATTATTTTGTAGGCCTTGGTGCCAGAAGGTCCTAAGCTGTTGGTTAGCGGTCATCTCACTAAAATGGCGATGGGAATACTTACGACCAGAAACGCCGCAGATAATAAGACTCTGTCAATTCACCAAAAATCGGGCGCCAATCTTTCACGGCTTTGGGGTTCATGATAACTGAACCAGCAGAGGCTAGAGAGTAGCCGCCCTGGATAAAGCAGAAAATTGACACAACCGTAGTGACTGTCGCGATGTACCGAACTTGCAGCTCTGCCAAAGTCACATCACCGAGACGGCGGAAGATGGGCACATATTGGGGTTGCATGTACTGCTGATCCAGACTCAATTGCGTTGTAATGCACAGCTTGTGGACAAAGTAGCTGAGCAGAACTCTGAGTAGGTTTATGCAGACAAATGGTGTCGCCGCAGGCACGTAGGTTGGGTCTCGAGAGTCGAAATGGTGAATATTTCTGATCTCCCAAGGCGTACCCAGGCCTCTCATTGAAGACGCAACCTCTTGTCCAAAGACATACCGCGAGCGAAACTGTGCCAACCTCGACTGAGGTTTTTGACCTTTCTTCTCACGATCTTCTGCATAGGCAATTTTGCGCACTATCATACGCTCAAAGTAAGTTAACGAGATCTGAGGAAATGCCGAGATGATTGCTCTAGACACCCATCCTGGCGGCTCAATAAAGTCCTCAAAATGAGCAAGGGCAACGAAGGTAGAGATGAGGAATATGATGAAGCCAATTGGTCGCAGGATTGACGTGCGCGATGTGAAGCCTGCGATGTAAATGAAGAAGAATTGCTGGGCGGTCGATATGACCAGCGGGTGAAGATAGAGTCGACAGGCCATTGTTACTAAAGATGTCAAGATTCACTGCGTTCACAGTACTTACTCAAGGTTAGCAGTAACAAGCTGTCAGTTTGAACAGAGGCTGGTATGATAAGACAGACTTGGTCTGAGTTGTTATTGGGGCTGATGAAACATTCATTCCCACTGGAACTCCATCAACTTCGGATTGATGAACACCAGGAACCCTGGCCGACCAAGAAACGGAGCCTCTAGAGCTCATCCGCAGCAATGGCCATCATCACCCCTTCAGACCCAACTGCAACAACGCAGTGACGCGCTTCAGGACATCAAAGGCTAGTTTCTGAGATAAGCCGCAAGTGCCTTGGCTGCATCACTGGTTTCTTTTCGGGTCTTTTCTCGCAAGCCACCCGCGTAAATATCTCAACGGCTCTGGCTTTGGAAGATTCTTATGTGGATACAAATCCTTTAATGCGACTATAGATCCCTGTCCTTGACCCTTAGCTTGATAGCCGATCCATCCTTGCACGTATTACGGATACACCCACACCATAAACTATACACATACCACGCTACTATCTCATCCATCTTCTTGTTGGTTACCACCTAACTCATGCAGTTTGCGGAGCCGAGCTCCCGCTACCAAGGAGGCTTAGCTATCGATGAAAAAGAATCCCTACCTACCTTAGTTTGGGATGGGAATGTCTAGGACTTACTTTTCCTCACTCCGTAGGGCGCATGAAATCTCCTGTCTTGGATTCCCTGCCGTGCATCTTGTAGCCTCCACCTACGTACTCCATACAACAGCTTGATATGACACCGCTTACTCTTTGACACTTGATTAGTTAGACGAAATTAGATTTCTGAGCTCGAGCTATCCACTGCGGCTGATTTCGAAACGCCAGCAGACCACAGCTTTCCCCATTGTTTTCTGCTCATCAGCTTTCAAGTTATCAGCCATCACAGCGTCCCCTCCATATCACGGAGAATACTTGACCGAAAATATCGATTCAGTCTGAGCCTAGGGTAGACTGTACGACTTGGACAATATTCACAATGGCTCTCAGCAACCTCACTATTGGAGTGGTCTGCTGTGTGCTTGTAGCCATCGTCGCTTTGGCTACAAGGAAGCAGCCAGACCCAAGGGAACCACCCTACGTCAAAGAACAAGTCCCGTATTTCAGTCATATTTACGGACTCTTGAAGCATGGCCTACGATATTTTGACCTCGTCAGGTACGTCTCGTGTCAGAGATCAAGAACCATTACTGACCATGCCAGCGCCCAACAACCGCATCCAATCTTCACAATTGACATGTCGGGACAGAAGAATTACATCGTGACATCCCCAGAGCTTGTTCAGGCTGTTCAGCGAAACACCACATCTCTTTCTTTCAGTCCGGCCATGATCCCGGCGTTTCGTCGAATGATGGGATTCGATGAAGAAGGCATTGAGCTCATCTTTCGTGATGCTCATACTGAGAATGGCATGTACGGTGAGATTCACAAAGTCCAGAAGGCTTCATTGCTTCCTGGGACAGAATCGCTGGATGAGCTATGCACACTCATTCGTGGGAAACTGTTGAACATTGTCAACGACCTTCCTTCGAGCCAAACGATTGATCTCTACGCATGGGTTCAGGATCTTTTCATGAGAACAAACAACTCTGCTTGCTTCGGCGAAAAGGATCCCTTCACTCTTAATCCATCACTCAACTCAACCTTCTGGTAAGTTACGGCATATGCGGTGAGAACTTCAGCTAACATGGCCAGGCTATGGGAAGCCAACATCAAAGTTCTCCTTCTTGGAGTCCCTTGGTTCTTGAGTCCCAAGAAGCACTCAACTGCACAGAGAACTCGAAAGGAGCTCGTTGACGCATTTTTGACATATCTCAACGATGACGGTCTGGATACTGCATGTTCATTTATCAAGGAACTCTCGGGTCTTGGTATTCGACGAGGTCTCAGTAATGAGAACAATGCCCGCGCTCTTCTAGGCAGTATCTTAGCCATTGTTGGGAACACAATCCCCACAACGTTTTGGCTATTGATTTCAATCTTCTCCAGACCCGATCTTTTGAAAGAGATTCGATCGGAGCTCGAAGCCAGCTTGGAAAATCCCTTGTCTCGTAAAGGAGTTTCTTTGGACTACACCACTATTCGTGAGAGGTGTCCCGTTTTCATGTCAACCTACGATGAAGTGCTCCGTATGACAAGTGGTATCGCAACAGTCCGATACACGAACGAAGACACTCTGATTCAAGATCGTTGGCTATTGAAAAAAGGAGCTCAAGTCCAGATGCCAACGGCGTTCATCCACGCCGACCCAACCACCTGGGGCGCAGACGCAGACGTCTTTGACCACACACGGTTCCTCAAGACAAAGATTCTCACCAAGGAACAGAAGACTCGACGCGCTGCAGCTTTCAGGCCCTTTGGCGGTGGTAACACTCTGTGCCCTGGTCGTCATTTCGCATCTTATGAAGTTCTTACCTTTGTGGGCAGTATCCTGCTAGGCTTTGATGTGACGCCTACGGCCGAAACGTTCGAGGTTCCGCCGATGGATAGGTCAAAGCTTCCTTTGACTTCGCTGAAGCCGGCTGGTGACATTAAGGTTAATCTGGTGAGGAGGCCTGGGTGGGAAAAGACAGAGTTTGAGTAGGTGCAATGATAGTAGTTAAGAAGACCAAATACAACATTGTATATATCACGTACGAGGCACAAAGTTCGCATGATGCCCGGCTATCTGACGCATCCAAATGATTTTGAGGTTACCGAGCTTGATCCTTAGTCTTTCTCCGCGTCTTGTAGTTCTTTGTCTAGCAACTAAGCTTTTGACTTGAGCAATGGTGAGATACTCTGTATATTATGCTTCGCATAGGTCGCCCCTTCACTTGACATCCGCTGACTTACTATGTCTTGATCGACCAGGGCAGTTCTCGGTCCACTATATCACTGATTTGCCCACGCTACTTTATAAATGACCTTCAAGGTACTAGCATCCTTGCTTTACGGTATAGACTATAACTCACTCACTCAAGTACGACCCTCAATCCACGAAGGTCTCTAACATCACCTCTATGTATCTACACTCACTTGTTCTCCCATGGGGAAGAAACCAGAGCCCACTCATTCAAGAGAATCAAGAGAATCACATTTTCCTAAAAAGATTTACATCATACTTCATGGTTAAAGTGACTATACAGTCCAATTACAATGTGGGTAGGAGTGAATTCATGATACCTCATCAGTATCTGACTCTCGTTTCAGTCTTTCTTCTTCAACCTGTCTTGTCCTAAACATTATTCTCGTAAAAAGACAATCAAATTCAAGGACTGATCAAACGAAATGATCGATACCGTACACAGCCAACGTTGTAAGTGGGAATGGATTGTGGTCCTTTTGCAGCTCTTTCTTTGTCGCCAGGTTCTATAATCGTAGATGGAAAGACGGGTAATTGGTCCTTTGAGATTCAAGATGTCACTTCGGATGCAATACCGTGTGGACGAGGTGTTAACATAATTATCCTGATTCGGGGCCCCAAAGCTATCGCAGACAGTCTTGCCGACCGAGCCCATATCTTAAACCAAGTAGATACACGTGAAGACACGACCATCAGATAGTTGTGAGCCAGTTGACCGATCAGAGAACTAAAAATTCACTCAATGGGCCATACAGCCGGATCGGGAACTTCACATTCAACAGCTGCAAACGTGTACTCTATCAAACACAGAAATATAAAGGATAAACTAAAGTTTAAGAAATATCCCTGTATCTACACTCTCCTACATCCACGAGTACACCAATCACGAACTTGTTTAAGATCTTTTCTCTTCTTTCTTTAGCTACTGTGCTACTTTAGGCAGTCCTCCAGTCGTCGGTATCTTCAAGAAACTAACCGTTATTAACTCTCACTACGTACGGGGCGTTGATGGTGTTATCAAGGACCAAGGGAGTGAACTCTAGGGGGTTTCTCTGGTTCCACCAGCCATATTTACGAACACACAAAGCCCAAATAGGTGAAATATGGTATTCTAAACTGACACATCAGGACGACTAAACAATCTATGAGGTTTTCGATAGCGATGTTGCGGATTTTCGAGCCACATAGGTCAGAAAAAACAGTATTCGTGCTAACCATATAAAGACAAGGAATGCAAGCCTAAGATTACAAAAACAAGCAATGCCGTTACTGTTCAAGAAGTTATTGTGTTACTCTGGCTTGTGGCAAGAGTGTCAAGAGTTCGAAGGGTATTTTCAAATGTAACACCAAATCATGTTTCGCCTTTGTTGCCGCCACTATCTCGACTCCTAGTTCAGGTATGCCCGTGATAAACTGAAGGGAATTATTGCAAATGAATTATACCATCTGCCAACATAGCATCGGCTGTTTGTAACTCCATCTGCTCTACTAAACACTCTCCACTCTCCATTTAGCTGTAATAATTGGATTTCAGGCCCTATTTTTTATTATCAACGCTTTATAAGAAATCTTAACACGAGTCTCATCATCTTCATTCAAAAGCATGCCACCACTTCAAATCGTATATAGGCTGTTCATTGTCTGCAATACAAATGTAGCCTGAGCTATACGCCATGTATCCTGAAAAAAATGTTGAATGAGAAGTCTTGCATTGATAGTTACGAAGCTTCGTACAGGATGTCTTGGTTTTGATCATAAGTTGGTCTTCTGTTGAAGTGAAAGGGGCACAGTTCATAGTAGTTATCCCTTGCAGTAAGAACTGGAGCAGAAATTAATTGCATGACATAAACATTTTCAATCAAAACTCGTAATTATGCAAGATCGAGAAACACACTGAGACTCTGGGGATCGTGAAGAGCCAATGGCACGATGTTCAGTGCTCTTGGTCACTTTCCTGTCTGTTCAGAGAATGAACCAATCGGATGGCTGCCTTAATGTCCATTTTCGACAAGACTATTTTATAACCGGGCGATCGGCCGGGCGCCACATTCCTCTACCGAGATGTCAAAGACAATTTTCACGTAAAATAACCATTCATAGAGTACTGTTACATAATGTATACTATGGAAATCACAAATTTGGGGTGGTCCAGGGTGGTCTAGGGCGGTCTGGAATGGCCGACGCAGATCACAGCGCATTTGCGGCGTCTGCCCTGAAACCTAATATCTAAAAATGGGAGATGGTGTCTTTTGCGGAGATGCACAGATGGGCAGTTCTTTTCAGCTGAGGCGTTCCGGTGAGTGATGAAGTCACTGCGTCATTGGACTTCTAGGCGAAATGTCTGTTCGGCTATATGAGTGATACGAGGTGGCGCTCTTCCTGGTGGTACTGTAATCACAGAACACATGGACTGGCTTTATTGGAATGCCGGTTCAATAGACGCATCCGTCGTTTGCTCTGGAGTTTTAGCCTGATTAATATTTGATTAAGCTTACTCGCGAGGTTATTAACTGGCTCTCTCCCCGCGTAAGCTCACGATCGACATTCTCCATCTCCAACTCTCAACTCTCACTGCGAAGTCAACAAACTCACATTCACAAGAACAAGCTCTCGACTACACCAGCTACACACAGCACATCCAACATGTTGTTCCAGAATATTCTCTTCGCTGCCACCATCGGCCTCGCTGCCGCCGCCCAATCCAGCGGCCAGAGCTGCGGTCGCAAGACAGCTCCCTGTTCCATCGACAGCAAATGCAAGCCCACCACGGCCAACTGCAAAGACCTGAACAAATGCGAAGGCCTCTGTTACTTCAAGAACGAATACCCTTCTTGTGGAGGGCTCCGCGCCAAGCCTGCGCCCCCTTGCAAGAAGAACACGCACTGCGTCGACGATCCTCGAACTCCCGAGGATTGCGGCATGGCATGTGATAAGCCGGGTATCTGTGCTCCCAAGAAGCCCAGCAGATGTGGAGGATTTGAGGGCAAGAGATGTCCCAAGGGTCTCTACTGTTATGATGACCCTTCGGATGACTGTGATCCTAAGAACAATGGTTTTGACTGTTCTGGAATTTGTCTCTAGAGGGTGCGCTTTCTAAATAGGGTATTTGAATTTGAGTTTAGGGCGCTACAGCAGGAGAATGTTCTTATATCAATGAATACAACCAATGATCTTTGGCTTTCCAGAATCAGTGCATGATTTGTGTCACATTCAACGCTCAGCTATTTGATCCATGTCACAACATCATCCAATATTCTCATAAAAACATTACAGCTGTACGGACACTTCACATGTTTAACTGGGGGAGGACAAGCTGAAACAATGTCAGCTCACCTGTAAAACGGATGATCACCGTGCATGAAATCCACTCCGTAATATGTTTCAAACCATTAGTCAAACATTTCATTTAAACAAATTGTCTATGCTTGAGCGCCCAACTCCAACCAGATGTTTATTCTGCAGTCCTTCAGCTATTCCCTCAGCCAAATATTTCCCCTGGCAATCCCTTGTTTCGTTTCCTTGGCGAGATGAGGTTGAGTCCTCTTGCAATTGGCCAATGATGTGACGTAGCGCAGATCCCTCATCAACCCTGTACATCACTTGTTTCAACGACACGGCTCGAAATTAATACCCTGTCCGCAGCGTTTATTTGATACCAACACAGGAAATTCCAATGCACCGCAGCGATAATCTTACAGGCAGTGGGCCTCACAATATTGTGATCAATCAACAGTCTGTGCAAATTTACAGCAACTGCCAGAGGGCAACTGCGAAACCAACAGCCACCAAAGTACCAGGAGCGGCAATAAAGTCGGCAGCGTTGGAGTCATCTGCAGCTGCGGTCTCGGATGCAGAAGCTGTCGCGGTGTCGGCGGTTCCAGTAAGTGTGACAACAGAGTCACCAGTGGTCTCGTCAGCCGTTGCCTTAGCTGCATCTCTAGAAGCATCGGACTTTTCGGACGCGTCAGACTTAGTGGTTTCCCTAGGCTTGCTAATCGATGTCATGGTGGAGTTTGAGCTGGTCTCGATAGCTGTAGTCTCAGATGGTAATGCAGGTGTCTGATCAGTTGGGGTCTTATCGGCCTTAGGCTCTGTCTTCTCGGTCGCCGCAGTGGTATTTTGAGCAGCGTCTTCGGTAGTTTTCTTAGGCTCAGACACAGTCCCAGCTTCGGTGGTTGGCTTGACCTCGTCGCTTGTGCTGGTGACCGGAGCGCTCACCGCAGTGGTCGCATCAGTCTTGGGAGGTGCTTCAGGAGTACCCAGGTCGATTGGCTTTCCAAGTTCTGATATGCATTAGCATCATCCATTCTATATCGAAAAACCTTAGATCTTACTCGAACAAAGTTCACCAGCCCAGCTCGTTGCTGCACCTTTCTCGCTGGCACATGTCTTGTCGACACATTGCATAAACTCATCCTGGAGCGTAGGCATCGTGCAGAAGCAGAGGTAGTTAGTTGCCTCCTTACACTGGGCCGGTGGAGTGTTGGCGATAAAGCCCTGAAAACAATCAATCTGTCACCGCTGTTAGAACTGAGGGCAAATAGTCAATGAGTTACATACAGCACACGTGGAGGTTTCTGCAGCGGTGGCCACAGAGGCCATCAAAAAGGCCAGTTGGTAAGGAGTGGATTTTCTCATCGTTGCCGATAATAAAGAGCGTACAGTTGAGAGTGATTGTGTGGAGATGAGTTTGGCCGATTGAATGTTGCAAGAGATAAGTTGAGGTTAAATAGGTCGAAGTAGATGTCGAATGATGTTTGATGTCCCTGCCTTAAGCGCGTTTCATGATCGTCTATGCAGGACCCTACCCGATCCTACGTTTCATCCCTCGCCCCAGTCATATTGTGTGAAACATCCCCTCTTCACAACGACACAAGATCAGTTGACAGCGATGAGAAAATAATTGGTGAATGTTGAAAACCCATGACCTCCTGCAATTTATTCATGGAACTCCAGGAAATACCAGGATGTTGCAGTCAATCTATCGCTACTTAGGCACGGGAAGGCACGGGACGGCGCGACAGGAGTACGCGTGACACTCGCATTTCCGCTTCGGAGCTCAGAAGATGAATATGATTAGATTATGAATAAGAATGTTCTCTTAGCTCGTCACATGTATTATGCATAGCGAACTATGAAACTTCAGATAGAAGTTGGAACCTTTACCAAGCCAATAGTATTGATAGATCTTGTCCACATGACGTGGATATATCTCTTACTTCTTTTCCACACTGCCCTCACATTCGAAATAGTTTACAGATCGCCAGACTGCTCATTACCAATGCTCAGGTCCAATGTCCACAGTGTTGACATCCACGCCATCCTTGAACCAACGCTCCTCCTCGTTGATCTTGACGTTGTTTCCACTCATTTGCCTCTTCTTCATCAGTCCATTCTCGTCAAAAGTCCAATCCTCGAGTCCATAGCATCGCCACCACTGACCATCATCGTCATGAAATTCATACCAAAATTGGACAGCAATCTGAAGGACGTGTTAGAATAAAACCTAACATGGAAAGCTGGATATGCGAGCGAGACACGGCGCGAACTACAGCCGGGTAAACTTACCTTGTCGTTATCAAAAGCAAACAGCTCTTTTCGCAGTATATACTTGTGCTCGCGGTTCCATTTATCAGTCAAGAACTGCTCAATCTCGGCACGGCCCTTGACAAAGGTGTCGCGATTGCGCCAGATGGAATCAGGAGTATAAGCCATCTTGACTTTTGATGGATTTCTTAAGCGTTCTATCGTTAGTGAAGCTTTGCTAGCTACAAGAGCAGATCTTACTGGGAGTTCCATCCGTCTTGGGCTGCCTTAACCTTGACATGCGCACTCTCCCTGCTGAAGGGAGGGAAAGGTGGTCTCTGCTCGGCCATTGTGAGATTTTGGTAGTAACGATGATAAGAGGATGCTTCTGTTGCAACGTGATCCGGACACTGGTTGATTGAAGAAGCTGTGTGTGGATAATATACCGCAGAATATATCCCAGACGTGTCACTGATGGTGTCAGACTGACCAGCGCAAAGCGGAGCCTGTGGCGGTGAAACTTGCGGCGAATGCGGCTTTGGTTGGGCCGCAGCTTAATAAATCCTTCAGGATTGCTTAGTGAACTGTTTACATATCATTTACTCAGTGACTCAGTATAGGAGTCTTGTGCAGACTAGGCAACTCCGATGCCGCGATATCCAAATTCGCAAATAAAAAGAGCAGATGTCTTTCAAGCATTGATATATGTGCAAATGGCTTTGGCCGCTACACGATGCCAAGTATAGTTGATGTGCTGTTTGGCTGCATCGTACTACGAGAGTGTCGAATTCGATATCCTTGGCGTCAGAGGCTTAAATAGCAATACTCTGGACTTGAAAGCACATATTTACGAATATACCTAAATCAATTCCCGCGAGGATTCTGATACAGGTTATGGAAAACTAGTATGCAATAAAAAATTGAAAGACGTTGAAGATGATGTTTGGCAAGATTTCAAATACTCTAGCCGAGTCGGAGTAGACTTTGGATACATTGTGAATATTAATCAGGGCGAGTAGCTTTCTCAACGGTGGAACCTTTGCTTATTCATACCATAGTATAACTATATTATTTCATTGCTGCCATTCTGTTTTGTACTAGACATGAGAATATGAAAAAGGTCCAGTTTTCTCAAAACTCTAATCGTAGTCCACTGGGGTAAGCCTATTTGGTTAGGCCAGATGCCCTCGGAATACGACCCTGAAGCCATTGTGGAACCGTCGATTTGGACCACAGGTCACCTTTATCATCTTCAACCCAGCCCTGCCATCACTAAACTAACGTTCTATTCTGTTTACTACGACAGTTCTCCCAGCATGCTCGGCTCTAATTTCATCTCGTCACTGCTAGCTGTAGCAGCTCTTTCGATACCCTATGTCCACGCGTCCTCGCCTGATCTTGTCGTGAGTTGCGGTGTGAATATGTCTTGATCTGAATGCTACTGACCTGCTCCTCAGATCCCGCTTCTTGGTTCGAATCCTTGTACTTGGGGGGTAAGTCAATCTTTCCATAGGTGAGTAAGCAGTGCTTACTGACTTGGTTAACTTAGCCATCGTTCTGGTGTGCAAGCGAAGAGAACATGAAGAGATGTGGCGTGACGCAGGAGGAGTGTGAGAAGTATGCCAATGATATTTTGTAGCGGAGGAATATGTGGAAGTTGACAAACATTCAGCTTCAACCTGAATTGTATCATGACTATACTTTATCCTAATCCTAAGGATGGCGACTGACTACGATCGAAACCCTTCTGACGAGATAATGTCTAAGATGCGGAGCAATGCTAGGGAATCAATGCTTTTCTAGACTGGTTACACTGGGCTATAAAAGCCTTCTCACCATTCTATATTGATAGGCAATATAGCATTCTGAAATACTATATAAACTCCAACAAATAAGAAGAAGATCGCCAAGTATTTTGAACTCTGGTACTAAGTGGTAATTAATTGTAAATACATATAAGCGGTCGGTATCTGGCGGAGTTGAAGCCACATCGACTCTTGTACCTATCTCAAGAGGGCCAACCTATGATGTACTTAGACTAGAATCGTAACAGGCACCTCGTTTATTCCAGTGACTGCACACACTAGTCGCTCAAGTCAAATGAGGTCGACGTATTAGTGCCACTATCGTGAACTAACTCGATGGTGGCAATCAGCCACTCGCTCAGGGGCACAAGATAGCTAAACAAATAATTCCAGGGCAAAAGATAATCCAGGGACGCAGCTAAGGTATTAATTGAGCCCAAGTATACCCAATATTGGATAACGGAATCATCGCGCATCTACAAATATCACCTGGCAAGAACAAGCGCAAACCTTGCAACTCCATTCCCAGCCACGCAGGGCTGAACTAGCACTAAATGAATCACCTACTTACGCAATTGTTTCCAATTGATATCACCCCCAAATTCGATCCCCAAGCTATCGGCTCTCTAGTCGTAGCCTGGTATGCGGTGGCGTATAGTGGTGTTCGTCAGCGCTAACAGTACATCTCGCTGATTTGCCAGCGTCGGAACATACGGCTCGAATTAGCTTTCGGTACGTGGTTGTCCTCGCGATGGCTCTGCAGCGGGGATTATAAACATCTTACCACATCTCCATTCTGTTCTTTCTTGACAATTGCACAATCAATTGTTTTACAATGACGTCTTTGAAATATCTCCTCCTCTTTTCCTTGCTCCAGATTGTGTCGGCCGCCACGACAAAGGAGTCTACACCTAAAATTACCTGGGGAAAATGTCCCTCTACCATTCCACCGGGTGTTGATTGCGGAACTATTTATGTCCCGCTCGCGTACCAAAGCGGTAGTTCAACTTCCGCCAAAGGAGACGACACCGTCAAGCTGGTGTTCACTCGATTGAACCACACTGGCAAAGGCGAGAAGCAAGGTGCTATCTTCTTCAACACCGGTGGACCTGGTGCATCTAACGCATTAACTGTTGCTGGAAGTCCATTTGTCTCTGCAATTCGATTCTCATCTCAGCTCACAGACACATATGATATCATTGGCCTTGACCCCCGCGGAGTAGGCGTCAGCACTCCCGTCCAATGCGATCCCAAGGTCTTCAACCAGCGTGTCAAGACATTCGTCACCACTGATGAAGAGTACGACACCCTGTTCAACTACAGTCGTAAACTCGGTGAGAGTTGCGCCAAGCTCACCGGTCCTTTGATCAACCACCTGGACTCTGTCCACGTTGCAAAAGACCATGAAATCGTCCGCAAAGCTCTCGGGGAATCAAAGTTCAACTACCTTGGTCTTTCATATGGCACCCTACTTGGAGCCACTTATGCCTCGCTGTTCCCCAAATCAGTAGGCCGCATGGCTCTCGATGCGAACGTGGATCACTCCCAATCCGAGATAGCAAGTCTTCTGGCAGAAGCAACAGCTTACGAAACGACTCTTGACAAATTCTTCCAATGGTGTGACAACACTAAATCCTGCGCTCTTCACGGCAAGAATTCCAGCCGCGTATGGGACCAAACGCTTGCCCGCGCAGATTCCAAAGCCATTCCAGCACCCAGCTGTAACAAGACCTGTCGATCGGATGTCACTGGAGAAGAAATCCGCTACAACGCTCAAACATTCTTGACATTTGTCGACCTCGACTTTGGGCCGAATTGGTTCGATCTCGCAGATGCGATTCTCCAAGCCAGCAAGGGCAATGCAACTGCTTTGTCCACGTCAACACCCTCTGGAAAGATTGTTGAGGACCCTAGCGGATCTCCCTATAACTACCTGGCCATCGGCTGTTCAGAGTGGCTGCATAACTCGAAAACATCAGTAGACCTGCGTCAAAAACTCATCAACGCTTTAGCGTTCGCACCAAGAACACGTGGTGCCACACAGACGTATTACTACGAAAGTACGTGCATCGGCTGGCCTGCATCGTTGACGAATCCCCAAGGACCTCTGGCCAGTGGTATTAAAGATGCACCTACGATTCTCCTTGCAGGTTCGGTGTATGATCCTGAGACCAGTCTTACTTGGGCTGAGGGAGTCAGAGAGCAGTTGCCACGGCGGGTGAGCATTACCAGGAATGGACCTGGACACACGAGTCACTATCTTCAGGGTGATACTAGTAAGGTTATAGATAATTATTTGGCTACTGGGAAGTTGCCCAGGGACGGTACCATCTACAAGACCTAGAGCCTTGATAGTTTTGAGCCTTTGGTCACGGTAACCTGCCATAAATACCACTAGTTGAAACCCACCATGAGCCCCAAAAGCATGCTTGGTAGATATTACGACTGATCACATGGATCACATATGAAATTTACAATTACGAGACTCCCTAAATCTCGATCTTATCTTCAGAAGTACTACCTAGATAAGCCAAGTGTCTGCATATTCGTCACATTCTCTTCTTTCACTCTCACCAGATCTTACACCTAAGTGTAGCCATGTTCTCTGATTTCGGTTTGCTTAGATACTACAATGGATTTAACCTGGATTCAGAAGCCCGCCATCCTTATCAAGAGCATTGCCTACTTCAGCCCTATGAATTCTAAGTTCATCATCATGCAGCCTTACAGGTGGGTTTTACCCGAATCTGTGCGCTAGAGAATAAACACGAAACACTAAGTCTTGGACGTGAAAGATGGATGAGCTTGTAGAATTTATAATCATATCCGATTTTCTCTGCAATTACTTTAAACCATCCTAGGTTAACATGTATTTCTCTTAATACTCTTATCACGCGTAGTATAGTCTTTAAACTTAGCCAGATTATCCACTGACTTGAAAACATTTCTACTCGATTCTCCCGAAAGCCCAATCGTCACTGACCAAGCCGAGGCTTGATGTGACACAAAACTCGGCCTCTACCCCAAACTGTCACCGGCCTCCGAAGCCATTTCAAAGCACGTCTCACAGTGTTTGTAATGGCAGCAATATATCGAATCGGTGCAACCCGAGACCCACTCCCGGCCTCGGCATCCCACCAACTCCGCAAAAGCGGGTGTAGAATTTCCACCAGGTCCGTTCGCTTACGTGAGCAGCCTGGAATTCTGCTGATGTGATCAGGGTTGGACATGAGCAAATGGCTTTTCGTATAAGTCGAGAGGGCTGCCAACCATCTACGTCCAATTCGTTATACTATACCCCTAGCAATCTCATCTTACACACCAACTCAGCCCAATATGACCAAGTTCAAGGTTATAGTGACCTCAGACACTGTCTGCCCGTGGTGCTATGTCGGCCGCAGACAGCTCCAGGCCGCCCAGCGCCTGTGGGAGCAAAAGTACCCCAACTCCGACGACAGCTTCGCCGTGAGCTACCAACCATTTCAACTAAAGCCTGAGTGGCCCACGGGTCCTGGGAAAAGCATCTCCAAGGAAAAGTTCTACAACGACAGGTTCGGCAGTGAGCGCGTGGCTGCTATGCAAAAACACCTTAGCGGCATTGGGGAGAGTCTGGGTATCAAGTTCAAGTACGGCGGACAGACTGGAAACACAAGGGATTCGCATCGCCTCGTACAGCTCGCTAAGAAGTACGGCGAGGAAGCCGAGAGCAAGGCGCTCGATGGACTTTTCGCGGCATACTTTGAGAAGAACGAGGACATCACCAGCTACGACACCTTGAGGAACGTGGCGGTTGAGGCGGGAATCCCTGAGGATGCGTTCCAGAAGGCTATTGTCGACAGCGATGAGGGTGGCCCACAGGTGGACAAGCTGGTCAGCGAGGCGCAGTACAGTGGTGTTAGTGGAGTGCCCGATTTTGTTCTTCAGGATCGATTCCGTCTTAACGGCGCCAACGACCCGTCCACTTTCGTCAGTGTCTGGGAGAAGATCAAGGCGGCAGAGGGGCAGTAATCAGATCAATCGCTTAGGGTGATCGGACTGGAACAAGACTTCTGTGCGCTTCTCGAGGACGTCGTTCCAGAGGTGTTGGCCTTGGAATCCGGGGACATAGAATAACAAACCAATTTCTTGACTTGTCCACCAACTTGCTCTGTCCATATTCCCAGAGCCCAAGATCAGATACTCGTCATCTACAAGGGTCATCTTGAAGTGACTGACAACAGGTTCGTCGTCTTCATCACGTCTGGCGTCGAGCTGTCTGTAGTAAAAGATCTCCAATTTGCCAGGTGCAGGGGCCTGGCTCTCTGGATCTGAGCTTCTTGGCTGGTTGACGAGGTCATTGTATCGCTGGATAAACTTGCGCAAACACCAAGATGTGGTCGTACCCGCTGTGACCAGCTGCTCAATAAGCATCATGCCTTTGCTTGTTCGGATTTGAACGTCGACACCACGCGCGAGCGCATCTAAGAGACTCTCGACAACCGGCCACGAGGTAACGTTGGGAGTAAGAATGGTGATCTTTCGCTGCGCGTTGGTGAACAGGGTGAGAAGCGCTGCATTGAGAGGCGTTATGGGCGGATCTGTTTGCGCGAGGAAGGGGAAGAGGGAGAATTTGGGGTTGCGATGATGCGGCGAAGGGAGGAAGATGGTTGGAACAGGACCATTGGCAGGGAACTCGATTTGTTGTGTCGCCGACGCCTCCCCACTGGCCTGAAGTCGAGATTGTGCATCATCCTTGTAGTCGGGCGTCCCCCGAGGCTCATCACCTTGGCCCCAAACACGATCATAAAAGGCCAGAAGACGATCCACGATTGCGCCCTCGACTTCCACACATCCTTCGAACCATCGCTCCCAGCTAACGTTACAGCTTGGTACCCAAGCCCTCTTCCCATCGACAATCACAAACTTGGGATGCATGACACTCAGGGGCGTGAAAAAGATACTCTTCACAGTGAGATCAATGCGAGCATTTTGCAGAAATTGTTGATCGGGAAGTCCCAGCTTCGACCATTTAGACGGGTCGTAGACATAGCCATCTCGAGAAGCCGGATGAAACAATTTCTGAAATAAGCCAAACGACGAGAACCCAATCGTCATTTGTAGACGTGTCTGGACATTGGCCTCGATACGCGCCGTAGCAAGCTGGTCAAGGGTATCGCGAATGGCGTCAAGGGAGGGCGAAGCAGCCCAGTAGCAAGTGATGAGCTGGACAGAATGTTTGGCGCTCAGTATTGCAGGGAGAAGAGCTCGCGTGTATATCGAATGGCCTGTTCCTACGTATAGGGACTTGGGCGAGCTGGTGGTGATGAGAGAATCGATGTTGTTGACATAGTAGCTTGGGAAATCATCCTCTTGCTCATCACGTCGCGACTGGAGGAGCTCTTTCCATGGTCGGACAAAAGATTCTGGGAATTCTGAAGATGAACCCATTTAAATCAGACTTGGAGGTACAACTTGTATGTTTGGACTAAATGGTAGAAATTATGGTCATGGGAAGTGATCAGACAAGTTCAGATGAGAGTTGTTGGCGGCGCAGCGGATGACGCGGTATAACTAGGCGATGCCAAGTTAATCCACTTTGTACAAGGTCTATTTGCAACCAAGGAGTAATGTCTAAATAACCGTACTCTGAAGGAAATTCGATAATAAGCTGACGAGCAATCAGAAAGTTACAAGGTAATACATGCTTTAAATGTTTTACCCGATGGATACAGTCGCGGCATGGCGTTGCTGTGCACGATGCAGGCGATGGGCCCAAAGACAAAGCTGAGCAAATGACACGCAGCAAAGCCACTCAAAAACAACAAACAATAATGCAAAAACCTATTCAATTTAGACAGCTGATATCATATCTCAATTAAGAAATAGCCTACTCGCTTTAATTAATGTTCAATTAACAATTATCTCCTGCCTTTTGCGGCGTTAGTAATCCTCGCGACTCGCTCACCGCCCACAAGCTCCCCGGCAGAATCCCCCACTACGACACCTCCTATCTTGAATGTTCCCTTAAGATTAATTGACTTTCCAACAAACCCCAATACCGCCTCCCCTCAACGCTCGCGACAATGTTATCCGGCGTCCTCGTCTTCAACCAGAAGGGCGAGAACCTCATCTTCCGCGCCTTCCGGAACGACTGTCGCCCTCGCCTCGCCGACGTCTTTCGCATCCAGGTCATCTCCAACGCCCAGGTCCGGTCGCCCATTCTTACCCTCGGAAGCACCACCTTTAGCCATGTCAAGCACGAGAATATCTACCTGGTCGCTATTACGAAAAGCAATGCCAATGCTGCTCTTGTTTTTGAGTTCCTCTACCGGCTGATTCAGCTTGGAAAGGGTTACTTTGGAAAGTTTGACGAGGAGGCCGTCAAGAACAACTTCGTCTTGGTGTACGAGCTGCTAGATGGTATATATTGTCTCAATCGCTGCATAACGCTGCTAATACCTCTCTAGAGATTATCGACTTTGGTTATCCTCAAAACACAGAAACCGACACCCTCAAGATGTACATCACCACCGAAGGCGTCAAGTCCGAGTCCCGCCGCGAAGACACATCCAAAATCACGATGCAGGCCACCGGAGCCCTCTCCTGGCGCAAGGCAGACGTCAAGTACCGTAAGAACGAGGCTTTCGTCGACGTGATCGAGGACGTCAACTTGCTCATGTCCGCTACTGGCGCTGTTCTGCGCGCGGATGTGACGGGCCAGATCATCATGCGCGCTTACCTCTCGGGCACCCCTGAGTGCAAATTCGGCCTCAATGATCGTCTACTTCTCGATAACGATGGTCTCTTGAGTCTCCCGAGCGGAAACAAGATGGGCACAAAGGCTACAAAGGCGGCAGCTGGAAGTGTTACCCTGGAGGACTGTCAATTCCACCAATGTGTCAAGCTCGGCAAATTCGACGCCGATCGTATCATTAGCTTCGTGCCTCCCGATGGAGAATTCGAGCTGATGCGATACCGCGCGACAGAGAACGTCAACCTCCCCTTCAAAGTCCACGCCATCGTCAACGAAGTCGGTCGATCCAAGGTGGAATACAGCATCGGCGTCAAGGCCAACTTCGGCTCCAAACTCTTCGCGACAAACGTCGTGGTCAAGATCCCCACGCCTCTTAACACTGCAAAGATTACCGAGCGCTGCACGCAGGGCAAGGCCAAGTACGAGCCCAGCGAGAACTGCATCGTGTGGAAGATTGGGCGTTTTACAGGTCAGAGCGAGTACGTCCTCAGCGCTGAGGCTATCTTGACGAGCATGACCAACCAGCGGGCTTGGAGCCGACCGCCTCTGAGCATGAACTTTAGCTTGCTCATGTTTACGAGTTCGGGATTGCTGGTGCGCTATCTCAAGGTGTTTGAGAAGAGTAATTATTCGAGCGTTAAGTGGGTGCGGTATATGACGAGAGCAGGATCATATGAAATAAGGTGAGTATCCCGTCCCAAGTCTACAAACACAGCTAACGAAACAGATTTTAAATGCATATAAGTGGTAGAATGTACGGCGTTATGGTATATCCCGGCAAAAGTCGAGCGGGCGGTTTCTTTAGCATTACAACACATTACTCAATTCATCTGTCCCTCCGTGATCACTCATCCTCCACCACCAATACTCTGACGCCTTGGAACTTCCCTTTGTCCACGCCGGCTTGTTGACTCTTAATAGCGGCGTCCATCATGCACGCAAAGATATACGAGGGGTGTTCCTCCTCCCATCCCAACGCCGCAAGGTTCCTCGCCTCAACATATCGTCTCGAGACTGCATTCACGATGTCTCCCTGTCTCTCTTGGTCGTCTGTGTTTTTCGTCCGCAGACCTTTCCACAGGGCGTCACGCGTTCGGATCTCGCTCATCTTGACGTTTTGTCTTCCGCACTGTTTACACCTCCCTGTGCAGTCATCCACAAGATACAGTACCTCGAGGCCTTTTTGGATAGTGCACGCAAAGAAGGCGATCTCTTCGAGACCTAGTTCGCCATATAACCCAGTCGCCCATGTCTCACTGACATCAATCGCTACCTTCTTAGCGTTCTGTAGTGCCGATGCTATCTCTGGCGACCACTGGTTTTCCAGAATGTCTTTGATAGGTGGTGGGCAGAGAAGGGTCTGGGTGGGTAGTTCCATGTGGTCAGATGGTGTTTCGCGAAAGCGCAGCATGAGGACGTCAGACGCTGGGATGAAGATCTTTTGAGCTCGCCCGGGAAGATATATCTCGTTCATGTCTTGTCTAGCTTTCGTTTCTTTTGCAGTCCGCTCCGCAAGGCGGCTGATGAGACGTGAGGTTGCTGTTGCGTGGTACATGCTTGGGTCGAACATAGTCTTAGACTCTATGTTTTCCAGTCGATCGAGAAATACTGTCTTTTTGTACAAATTCGACTTTGCTTCCCCTGCTTTATCCTTCTTCTGCATCGCAAACGCCCTTTCGGAACGCGCGTCCCCCTTCCACGAGGGAAAGCAGACATCGAAGATATGCATGGCTGGCCCGGGGTGGATGTAAGCCTGCCAAATCTTGATCTGGAGCTCCAGCGGGAGATGTCCAAAGTGATGAAAGGCCATTGCAGATATGAAGTTATTCGGCGGTGCTACTTGAGAATGATTACCTGGGAAGTTCTCGGCGCCGCCCTCATTATATGAGTATTTGATCTTGGCTTTCTGACCACCCGTACAAGAAGTCCAACGTCAGCGGGTGTTGGCCAGACATCAGCGCTAGCAGATGAGGACCTTCGGTATGCTTCTGAATGGACAGATAGTTTTATGAGGCTAATCTAAGATCTTTCACGAAACAAATCAGCATGCAGAGGGCTGAGTGAATGTAGATAAATACGCGTACAGAGTCGGTCTGCAGCATTGGTCTTCAGTTGGTGCTGACGATGATATCCTTAATGATGTACTGTGTCAGCAATATCTATTCCAAATTCCCATTCTATATTAGGTAGTATGTTAGGAACTACGTCAAGAAAATTAACTATCTTGTGGTCATTCCATTGAGACTTTGATCCTTATTGGTCGTGTGGTAGAACGAACACTTTTTATTACAGTACTGCGTAAGCAAACAGACATTGTTATGCCCAAGACGAGCACACTTCAATGGTATAGACTCTCTCCAAACCTGACTTGCCGTATCCTTTGCCCTAAAAAGACCTTCTAAAGGGTATGATGGTGTCCCTTCATGGTGAAACCGAGCTGCATCTAAATGCGACACTTCAGTGTGCTGCGACAGCTCAGCCCATTTGATCTGGCGTTGATTTTGAACTTTCCACACAAGCTTCTCTATCTAGGAATAGCCGTTGGGTCATGGTGGTTCGTGACATCAATCACCTCCCTCTACAGCCGTTCCAGCTTTATGCGTCCATGTCGGCGAGTGCAATGCTCTTGTCTCAGACGGCGCCACTATTATGGGGGGATATCCTTGACTTGCAGATGTCTGTGTATAATACTCGAAAGAAGAATGTCGTTTTGAAATGAAGTCGATGTTTAATTGTGGCACATTCCCGGATGGATGAAGTGTATCATTGAGATAAGCAGTGGGTTGTCTTTCCGCAACATGTGCTGAGTTGGGCACCAGATCAAACATACAGAGTTTTTGCAGAATAGTAGACGGTTATAGCAATGCTTTACTGGCCACAGAAGTCCTCAGTTGTTGGGCCTAATCCCAAGTGTACAGCGCATGCAGATGGTCAAGATTGGCCAAAGCTGTGCTTGTGTATTTCCTCACAGTTCGCTAGTCAAATAGCATGGATTCACCTACAGGCCTGATTTCACTCGAAATCTAATTGGCAATAATAGGCTTGCCTAACGAGTATTTGTTGCCACAAGCTGGTTCTCCTGTAGTGTCACTTCTGTATGGTAGGCGTGCCAGATATCTAATCGTTTCCTACTTCGTTGGTCTAGTCTTTTAGTCAACCTATTTGACCTCATATACTATTATCTTAGACAATCATATAGTACTTGTTACTATAGGCCTTGCAAAATTCCTACACATCCCTGGTTTGTTATCACGGATCGGATAAGGCGAGGTAGGGTAGCTCCGATTACCTCACGGTTAGACTTGAACTCTTGCACGGAAATGCAAAAGGCACGTTCCTCCGAAATACTTGTTTCAACTGAAACATGCGGTTGTCGATCTCAGCAATGATGCCGGAACCGCTCGCGGCACCTTTGTTTAACAGAATGGTTGTGATGTCGTTTGTGCACGGGCGGCATCTGTGGGCTTAGCGGATGATGGAGTGCCAGGTTTGTAGGTATGATGTGCTGTGAGGCTCACTAGATGTATCGCTTGCTGGAGTGAAGATCACTGACTGAGACATGTATGATGTATTCCACAGTCTATTTGCTGCGGCCATGTTGGGCTGTGCTGATGCTTGATGACGAGACGGATGAGTGGTGCGTGTAAGTCGATTCGTTGGCAACGTGCGTAGGCGATTAACCATTAGTAGTTAAGGACACTTCCAATACACTGCATCTGTATCAATGAGGGCACATGATCTTTTCTTCAATACACAGCCTGAGTAACGTAGTTGCTGAAGAGTTTGGTGTTGTGAGGCTGTCTGACAGAACTCGAGAACAGCTCAACCAGCTCGGTTCATACTGCGTGATGAACAATCACATGCGTCTATCTCGCATTGACCAAGTTAGATAGTCTACCAACGCACAAGCAACAGTAAAGTTTAATCTGAACTCTCTAAGCGACCTTGACCTATATCAACATCCCACGCTATCGTTCTCGTATCGTATCCCGGCATCGCCGTTCACCTTGGGCCTACCTTTCACGCCTCATACCCCATATCTCGCGCCTCGCGCCTTACGCCTCATAGCACATACCATAGTAGCACATAGCACACACCACACATGCTATTAGCCCTCTCTCTAACGAATAACGCGAAACTAGCAGCTTTCGTGAAACACTAGAGTCGCATTCCTCGCGAGGGGAAAACGGGAGAAGCCATGTGCCCAGAGTCGAACAAGTTTAGTGAGATCTGAGTAAGCGTGCACTAGCCTATGGTAGTTCCCAGTTGCTGATATGATTATTACTGGTGCCCGGTTTTTATTCTCTCATTATACCCGCGAAGCTAAAGCAACGTTAAAATGGGGTTTATGCTACTTTCTCCTCGGGTGCGCGTGCTCTCTCTCTCTAATACCGTTACATCGTCCCAAGTGACAAGGCCCGTTCAGCGCGGCCAAGTCTCGGGAGCAATGCTCCATTCATGGTTAACAACCGAGAGTCTAGAGATTGGGGTGTACGAGGGACGGGGGACCACGCATACCACGAGGATTCCACGAGGTTCTCGCTTTGTTACCCCTGTGGCTTTTTGGGGGGGAGAATAAACAACGTGCTGAACCCGGAACTGTGTTACAGGTTAGGTCTTGGGCATCAAACCATCTATTTTGAGTACTTACAGCGTCGGGCTTCTTTCTCAGTTGATCGCTTACGGTTACTCTCTCCCGGAGGAGGCTTTTATAGTGTCTTCTTCAGCTCGTGTTGTTGTTGCCCAGTTGCGACTTGTGTGTGTCTGTGTGTCGGTGAGAGAGAGAGAGAACTAATAACCCACGTATTAACTTCTTGATCGCTTACAAGATTGAACAAATGAAAAATTCGTCACACTGTCGCAATGTCATACCAAAGATACCTTAGTCTATACTTGGCAGCCGATTGCTGGTCGAGGCTCTCAATGACATACGACTTCAGCCCTATGGATATTGACTTCGCTCTTATAAGCGAAACCCGGGTTGGTGCAGTCCCGGTCTCGTAATACAGATGAGAAAACATAAAGAGGTCGTCTCATCTCTATAATGAGTTCGCATTAAGGTCTAAGAGTCGAGTTGGTCTATAAACTTAGAGTTCCCATACATTGCCAGTCGTTATACTTGACCTCATTCCTCTTATACAACGACATCAACATCGATTGCAGCTCTCATTCCACTCCGATATCTGATGTTAGCAACTCAGTCGCATCTATCAGCAAACAACATATACATATCTACGCAACAGGTTTCCCCTCTTGGGCTGGAACCAATGACCATCTTCCTATAACCTCATTGTGATATCATCCGACAGCTTGCTCTAAGCAGGACTACAGCCTCATTCCGCTCGAGCGAATCACACATGTCAGCCCGTATATAAGCATCACTACAACTCTATAACCATCCACCCATCCCGATCCCGCAGTCCAGATCTCTCCCTTTGCTCGATCGTATCAGCTGAAGCACGCTCCCGAGACAACGCACCTGCGCTGTACCACCAGCAATGTGCATCGCCAACTACCTCCACTACCATCACATACCCCCCTGCCCGCGTCCGATACGCTACTCCTACCATTACATCTTCTGTGCTTCAGCCAGCTATGACCCCATCACCAGCCACCCCCTCGCACCCTGCGGCAGCATCTCCACCAGTTCTCCCGGCGGGCACATCGACGACCCGTGCACCATGAGCCAATGTCTGGTTGATCAGGGCTGTCGGGCCGGGGCGTGTCGACTGGCCGACCTCAACGGACGGTGGGTGTGCTGCGTGTGTGGGAGAGCAGGGAACTCGGGTTATCAGTGCTTCAACGTTCGATCTCCACAAACCATGACCTTTTGCATGCATCAGATATGCGAGAATTGCTCCGAGGACGATACTTGAAAAGTGAGTAGCACGTTCTGAGGCCGAAGAATATCGGGGTCTTGGTCAGATTTGAGTTGTAGCTGATGTCTCAGCTCGAGTATAGTCCGACGCTGTGGAAGTATGCAGGTATAAGTTCAAGCAGCCACAAAGTGCAGGTCTAGTGAGGGTCGTTCCTCATGGCGTTCGATTCCGGTATGTCTATTATTATCTCTTTGTCAATTCCGTTTTGCTGACTATATCCAGATTCAATTTGCCATGTTGCCATTTGTGGGTAATTCGCGGGTCATTCGATACCTCGACTTCCCTTGTGCGCAAGATACAATCATCACCAGACCAAGCACACTCGAGTAGCACCTCAAACTACGAGTATGAATAACCGACTGAGCGGTTTCACAGTACGGCACTTCCCGACGTCAATCTCTTGATGAACTTGAGGGGATTCCTCTCCCTCTCACGATATCGTTACAAAAGACGACCGTGATGGTGGAATCATCTTCGTCAGCTATACTACAAGACCAAGCCAGTGTGTCCAATAATTCCCCGGCTCCTAACTCCGTCCACCTCTCGGCTCGATATTTGAAGGCTTCCTTTCGAGATTTGACAGCCATGTCCGCCCCCGGAACCTATCGCGGTTGGAGTTGCGAGGGTGGCATTTGTGGTGAAGAGTGAGAAGCGCCGATGTGATAGAATATCGAGGATTCTGCGATGTTGGGAGATACATAAATCGCCTACATCTTTGAATTCGCCTGTAATGAGATACCATGATAACAAGATATGCCAACAACCATACGTCGACACTTGTTATATCCTGTTCAGAGCAACCATCTTGACTCAAAATCCTCCTCAACTCCAGCAAAACACCATGTGTCGACAGATCAGTTTCCGCCTCGCATGCGAGCATGTCTCAACACACATAAGATACTGTCCAGTCGGTCTCGCAGAACGCAGGCCATGCGCCAACACCACCAAGCAGTCCATCCCATACCCTCCCCCGTCCGGCTATACACTACCCAAGTGTCCACTTGTAGATTGCCCATTCGAAGCCAAGAACCAGGCATGGGATTGCTGCTGGTGCGGAAAGACGTGGAATGTCGGTGGGCGGTGCAGCTGTGTCATGATTGGAGAGGGAGGCACGTATCGGTGCGAGCATATATGCTGCAAGTCGTGTATGCCGTCTAGAGAGTATTACTCTTAGGATGGTTCAAGATGTGAAGAATGGAGGATGATACCCATGGGCAATTCATTTGGATTCGTTTCTTAGGATAATTTTCGTGTCGTTCGTTGCTTGCAGACAGTCTCGACAGCATCTATAATCACTCTTTCCTACTAGTCCAGAACTCAAGTGCCAACTCGTGTCGATATCCTCACGAACACCTCGTCAATGATATCTCAACCCCGATATCAACTTACAGGCATCATCCTAGTTCTATCTGTCCATATCCGAATCAATTCGGGGACTTGTCTTGTGACCATTGGCTTGGTCCCAGGTCCTCCCGAGGCTGACATGTCCTGTCGTACCAGATCCTGTCCGCATGCATTAGGGGACCAGGGGGTCTAAATCGAGATTATGATCACGGCGACGGATGGGATGCTTCGATCGCGCTGTTAGACACACCAGATGCAGTACCTTGATCGTTCGCTAGTCTTGAGGGTGTTCTGGGGACTGATGAAGCCCATATTTCGTCATCTGGTACACTTACATTTACACTTACTTTTCCACTTGTACTTGTACTTGCACTTGCACTTCCACTCAGACATTACTTGACCATGACCTAGCTCAACTCCAGATCAAAGTGATACCCAGATTCCCGGGTCAATACTATATCACTAATCATAAATCTCACCATCCAAGACTTCCCTCCACATCCTCCATCTTGTACTACCAACATACGACGCGCCTCATTCTCACCCACCACGTGTGGCGTCCTATAAATCCCCCCAACAACGTCACACAAGAAGCATCGAATCCACCCCCTGAGACATTGGACCGTGAAAGAATCCTGCCGCATCGGAGACTTGATCATAGATGCAACACTCGATGATGCAGCGTCAGAAGGACACGATCGTTCTGTGGTTGCGCAGGCGCCTCGTCTACAGCCGTGGGATTTGTGTGGACGAACACTTGCAAAGGTGCATTTGCTTGGGTCTCTGGATGTGAGAATTGCTTCGCTGAGGAAGAGAACTAAGCCTGCTGTCTCTGAAGAGGTCGGTTTGGTCTACTTGGTAGTCGGTTCGTGTATAAATAGGCCAAGATGAAGCTGTCCATGGTCTCAACAAATCCTCAAATTACCCACTGTTCGCTGCTCAGAGAGAAATATCTGCTACAATGTGTCACGGACATCCTCGACACCACCCATGCGCCCACACATCCATCAACTGGCACTACTGCCCCTCGGCACTCATCGACCTCGAGACGGGTTATGAGACGCCTTGCAGCAACATGTCCTTCGCAGCAGCCCAGCCCACGACGTCCGACTGCCCGCTCCAGAACTGCCACTTCAAGAGCAAAGGCGGCAGCTGGACGTGCTGCGCTTGTCAGCAAGGGCCCAACACCCAAGGCTGGTGCACCATGCCCTTGAGCAGACTATCCATGAACCCCGAGTCTTTCTCAGTCGAGGCTATAGAGACGACATGTGATCACGGGTGCTGCAGCAAATGTGTACAATATGGTAAGTACCTACACTTCCTCACGTTGACCCTGGCCGAGAAGAGTGACTAACACGCCCAGGTTCGAGCCGAGATGCTTCTCCTGAGATGACCTTTTCTGAGATTCGTAAAGGCTCAGCGTCGCGCAAGTTCGGGTACAGCAGCGCCACCAAATCTCATCGTCGGGGATCTGCTTTCTCGTCGCCTGTGTCAGACGAGTCTACGCCGTCCCCATCGACATCAAAATCGAGTTCCGGGAGTTCGGGATATAAGGTTGGGTTGGAGTATACATCGAGCAAGACGAAGTCGAGCAAGAAGCGACACAAGAGCAAGCGGTAGGATTGAAGTTAGTGAAGTGTCCGAGCCTAGTTTTAGAGTATTCTGACTTTTGTGTAATCTAATCATGTCGATGAATACAATTGTTTCTGCCTTTGTTTGCGTATACCTCGCTATGGCCATATAAAACAGCATAGCTGAGTTTTCCCAGACTCAATAGCTGGTATTTATGAAGATAATAGACTTCATCTTGCGTATTTTATGCAGCATGCATTTAGTTTCCTCTTCATCTTGCCTCAACAACAACTAATACGTTATCACCACCTAAAACATCTGCATCATGTGCTTCATCCTCCAAATCGTCTCCGCTCACACCAGGTGAATATAAACTTTTATAGCCCAGCCACTGGCAATGCCAAATCAGTCCACTCTGCGGCCCGAGGTGTCCAAGCGAGCAGCTATCGTCCCCGAAGGCCCAATGGCCACGTGCGAGCGGCGTCTATCAAATGATGAATGACACACTAAATATGGACATTAAACCGTTTACTCTCATTCCAAGATGAAGCTACGAGGGGAACGATGATCTCTCTTGGCCTGGGCTGAAGTATCAGCTAGGGACAAAAGGCACCAACTTAGGCCCTAGCAATATATGATGGGCATATAAGGATAAGTCAGAGTTGCTCAGTTGTCCTTCCTAATTTAGTCCAAATATTAAGGACGGAATATATATGCTGGGCTTCCTTCACCTGAAGCCCATCATCTCAATCATGACTATCACCTCTGATCCAAGACATTAGGTTGATCTTTTCAGGTATACACCGGAGCTATTAAGATGCAGCAGAGTTAGTACTCAACGCCACAATTCATCCTCCAGGGGCTCTATTTTAGACGAAAAGGTTTCCTCGTTAAGTGCCGTCTAGTCAACGGCAGCTCCGGCGGCGCTTCAGACCGGCCGAGATGAACCTGGACTTGTTAGATACAAAGTTTATCAATGTGTCAACCCTCGGCTTGGATCTTTAGTTGAGGTGATGGTGATGACCTTTCGGACGGCATGTGTGATGTTGGGTTTGACTGGATTGCCAAGGACTTCAATACGAGACGCGGTGAGATGTAAGATATGATGAACGAAGTATGCATGCACAATTCAGTTGCTGCAGTTGGACTGCCATGGGATTGTTTGGGTCTACGTCTGGTGACGGATACATCTTGATGCATGCGTCCAAGTTTCATCCCCCTCTCCAAAATGTCACGGTCGTAATCCAAACCACGTGTGATGAGATATGATCGACATAGCCAGCCATGTGCCATGTGCGCTGCGCTGGGGTGAGTCTGGCCTCAAGGCTCCGGCCTTTCTCTTTGCCACCATGCCCATGTGGGAATGACAAACCGGGGCTTTTGACTTTCTGAAAACATCAAACCATCCATGGCAGCCCAATCCGTCATCACGATTATCATTATGCTTTTCCTCCAATTGTCTCCCGCTTTTCCCGTGGTTCCCACGCGGAGTGGCGGGGCGGGGAGGGGAGGAGAGTTTTGTCCTTTTTTTCCGCATGGAGAAGACTCGATCGAGAGCATTCCAGCTTTTGCAAGGAGAAAAGCTCACCAGATTGCTGCCGCTTGGACTTTTGGTGTTTAACGCTCAGTGACCCCTGAAGGGATGAACCTGGAGGCCACGAGTTCGGACTTCAGGGCCCGGGCAGCATTACAGGTGGAGGTATCATGGAACCTGAAGCCTGGGGATCGTACTGTAGCCTGTACGACCCCTTGTATTAAGGTCAGGGTTATCATCATTGGATGGAACCACTGACCCATCATGGTCTGATCCTTGGATGTTTGAAACAACCATCACGGGTTCTGTTGGATTGCAGCGCAAACCACAAAAGTTGATGAGATATGCATAATAGTCAACAATTTATCATGGACATCGTACCATATTCATTAACTCAATCTTTAAGGATAAACAACCTAAATTCACTACGTAGCTTAGTCAATCTAATCCAATCAAGTCCAGACCCTGATTCTCTTTTAATACTGCAACACCTAAAACATGCCCCTAGCGCAATTCCATCATGTACCACACCCCCTGTAAAACAACCTAAACGGACGGAGCCCCTCTCTCTTTGCTCCCCAGGCTGGCGGCTGGGCTGCTGAGACTTGTGCCTGTCTGTGCCTGTCCTGTCGGTGCCTCTTTTTTTGCTTTAATCTCCAACAAATCTCCTGTCGTCTCCTTTCCTCCCCCCCCCCCCCTTACAGCCCTGTTTTTGTTTTCTAATCTACTTCTCTCTTTCCTGATCCTGGATTGTCATTGTCATTGTTATAATTTTGTCGCATTCGTTTCTTTTTCCGCTTCTTCCGTGTCGCGTATCAAACATTGAAGAGATCGTCGTGAGCAAAAAGCAAAGAAACAGAGACCAGGGACACTAAAATAATCGACAACAAAACGGTTTAAATTGCTATTACATACATACATACCTAGTCTCCCGGCCATCTCTCGCTATTGACCAAACTATCTTCCTTACCTCAACTATTACTATTACCACTTGCTAGCTGCTGGGCTTCTCTCTCAATCTCTTCTTCTTTTCCACTTCCTCGTCGCCCCCGTCGCATCTATATCTCGCGCGTGGTTTCATAAGTCATCCGTACCCGCTCGGCGCTCGCTACTATCACGTCGCATTTCCAAAACTCCTCATCGTCATGCCTGCTTCCTTGGAGTCTTCGCGGCCCATCATGGCCCCTTCGGTACGTCAAGCCCGCTCGGATCTTCTCTTGTCATAATGCTCCCCTATCCTATGGACCTATCCTCTCTCTCAACTCAAGTCTCCATGATCGATCCATCTTTTTGTCTGTTCCGTCCGAACCCAACCCAACCCACCCCTGGTCAGACTCAGACTTGTCCCGTCTAGTTCCGCCTCTAGTCCGTTGTCTGCCCACTTTGCGAGCGATCAGAGATGGATGACCGGATGTGAGAGAGAGAGGGAATCAGTCACTGAGAGTCAGAGCCATAGCAAGTGCTCTGTTATTCTCTAAAAATGTGACGGAGACCCTATTTTTTTGCCTCTCCAGCCGCTTGGTTCAGCCCATACTACCTTACCTTGACACCTCGCTCGTCATCCTTTGTTCTCGGCGCCCATCACTACCACTTTGATACATTCCCCTGTTGCTTCACATCTCTTCATCCTAACCTCGTCCCAACATCTCTTCCTTGCGCTTTTTCTCTCTTCACCTACTTCAACCTCGTACATCTCCCAGCATGGCTAAGCCGTGGACCTCATCGCACGCTCACACCCAGCCCAACCGCGAAAAGCAACAACCCTCTAAAGAAAAAGACGAACCTTCAACTGACTCCCCCAAGAACCGCAACTCGGTCCGCTTCAGCACCTACAGCATGGCTCCCTCGCTGACTCCCACCGTCGGAACCACCGACTCTGCCCACGCCGAGATCCGCGACATCGCTACCGGCCTCGATCGTATGGAGAACAAGGCTCTTTCTTCTCAGCGCGTCGTCCTCACCGATGAGAAGACAGACACCATGAGCAAGCTCGCCCTCGGTGCTAAGCTTGAGCGCGCTCTCGACCGGAGAATGAGCGGCCAGGATGCTGTCATGCGACCTCGTGGCCAGAGCCTCAACGAGAAGCTCAGCGAAAAGGAGTAAATGGGGGCCCTGGAAGAAAAACAAGAAACGCCTACCAAAAACACCAAACCACAAAGCAATGTCTTGTGATTAAGATACCCCGCAAACGAGAGCTCTTGTCTTTTTTTTCTATAAACCGATATTAAAATACTGTGTTTTTCTGTCTATTCTTCATTGCATCCTAAGCAGCGTATCTTGTGTCGCTGTATTTCGCAAAGGAATGAGGCAAAACACTGCGCCAACCACAAGTTTAGGGGGAAATTGGATGGGAATACCGAGCCTCAAACTCAGCCTCATTCCCCTAATTCTGCGCAACAGACTCCACAAGCCTACTCCCATGGGTCTTTTTCACGAATACGAATGCATGCGAAAGGAATCTGAACACGCACCCTCAGACGACCAGCTCTAGTTTGAATACCAGTTTCTTCTCCTTCTGCTCTTTTTTCTTTATTTGGTCTTGTTTACTCTAATGGTATGTTGCGATGGAATAGTGGCAAAGACACTCAGGAATGGATACGCGACGCATGGAGGAATGGGTCCCGGTTGATTAAGGTCAACGGGCAAATGGAGGCTGTTTCGCATTTCTTTGATCGTTCACAGGCGTACCGACTATGGGGCATAAGAATTGGGAAATGTACGGTTAAACCTTTCATGGATGCATTTGGAGGATGCCATGTTCTGCAGACGAGTATAGTAAATGCCGACAAGAGTCGCCGATTCATCATTATTTTGTTTTGTTTTTTTCTTCAAAGTGATGCGCCGCTTAAGCAGCTAGGGAAGGGCCAGTAACATGTCCATTGACTTTGTACATCGAGTGCGTTGATATTGAACAAAACTCCTAGCGATAACCACTACCAAACAAAAATAATGCCGTCAACATAAAACATATCATGCCAGCGTTGGTGACACTCCTGACTGAGACCTCATCGCCTCCAAATGCTTAGTTCATGCAGCCAACTCTTATGTCTCGGGAAGGGTCAAGTGCTGCCGTTTCAGCCTTCGATCACCTCAACTCAGGCAAGCTCAATCTTATGGTTGCAAATCATGCCTCCTCCTGCTTCTCAATCCTTTCCTCAACATCCCTGAGAAGCTGTACCAACTCTCCCTCTTCGCCCTCGACCTCCAATCCTCTTCTAACCCAATCCCTGGACTCCTCCAGTCTTCCCATCTCTGCCAAACACCTTCCTCTCCTCCACCAAGCCTTCGCATTTCCCACCCATCGCGCCTCCACACTTGCATGAGCATCCACGGCACCCTCAGCCCAGTTCTGCATCGCCATGTGCGCCTGCGCCCTGTTCGCAAGCAATCCGCTGATTTCCTCTCGCACCAGCGCAGCAGGCTCCCACATGGGTCGCTGCATGGCCATCTGCACGCCGAGGGTGTAGAACTTGATGGCCTCGGGGAACTTGCCCTTGCGGTACTCGTTGTTGCCAGAGTCGCGCAGCTTGGTCACATTGGCGGTGCGCTTAGGGTTGACGGGGACGGGAGGAGGAGGTGCGCCTGTGGGGGATTCGACGTTGAGGAGAGAGCGGTGGAGGGTATTGAGGGCTTCGAGTTCGGCGTTCAGTGAGCGCGAAGGTCTTTGAGAGCTGATGGCCTTGGACTGAGGGTCCATCTGGAGGGGAAGGAGGTCGAAATGTGTGAGATCCGACATTGTGGCGTGTGTTTGTATTTCGGTATTGGTTTATTATGCGAGTTTCTTCTCTAAAATCTTCTTTGAGGGGTATCTTTTTGTCGTAGATCTCTTAATCGTAAAAGAGTGACTGGTTGGGAGTGTTGACAGAGTGTTGGATTACCCGACACCTATATGGTTGCTGTTTAGGACACCTCACAAAAAGACTTATCTTATCAGCACATGACACCCTTCAGACACCACAGTACCCTATAACAAAGGAAATTCAGTTATTTAGACAGCAATACAAAGATGAAGAAAGATTTAATTCTGATAATTTACCTCAAGTTTCTCGTTGATTTTGTAGTATTTATCTTATTTTATTTGGGAGGCGTGAGACATATCTGTACACATTACACAGTTTACTTGACAGTGCCAGAGGCCTTGGTAGTTAAGACAGAGTGAACAAAGGGACTGGGCAATCAGTGACATACACGCATGGGTTACACTTTGGCATTGGCTTAGGACCTCTCAATATCAGGAAACATGATACTAGCATCAGCAACACATAATGAAAACACGACATATTCACTTATAAACGTATTTGATCAAACAAGAGCCTTTCCTTTTCTACTCCTATTGTGCAAAATGCGAGACCCTGTCCCGTTCCGGGAAGCGTAACAAGATCACCTCCCATTGCCATCACTCATAAAACCCGTCCGCCGAACTCTGGCGTCCTAGGATGGTTACGACGAAGACATCTAATTCCAAACCCATAAACGCCCGTCAATGAAATATCCCACCCTGTTCATCAAAGCCTCATCACGAACCCAGTCAGAAAAGTCTCGGCACATAAGTCTCGGTCATCCTCATGCAGATCTTCGGTCTCTGTGCTTAACATTTTCTTTCTCGGGTAATAGTGCAAAGGGGCTCCAACGATCGGGGGAGACTTTTTTCATTTAGAACATTCTTTTGGGGGGAATCGACATCTACTCCTCGAGCCACCCTTGCCATCACTCAGCAAATCAAGTAAATCCCTTTGTTGAACCGCCGCGCCAATCTAATGAAACGCACGAGAAATGATAGACGTTGCCAAGTTATACCTAGACCGGCAAGATCCTAGGTCGAGGGATATGGCCAGCTTAGTAGCCGTAGGCAGCAAGGGCCTTGGAGGTCTCCTCCTTGACAGCAGCGTTCTTCTTAGCATCGGCCAGTTGTCGGGCAGCAATCTTCTTGCGCTCGTAGTAGGCGGCACCCTTGGCCTTTCTTCGCTCCTCCAATCTGCATAGGAATTAGTTGTGTCCGGATCACAAAACATCAGCGTAACATACCGAGCAACGACGTCCTGGTACTTCCAGCCAACCTCGTGAGACAGACGACCGACAGTGCAGAACTTGCGGCCGGGCTGGAGTCGGAGAACGCGGAGAGCCTGGGGAACGACGACCTTCTTGGTCTTGTCGTAGGGAGGGGGGACACCCTCGAAGACCTTAAGGCGCTCGAGAGCGGCGGCACCACGGGCAGTCTTGTGAGGCATCATACCACGGACGGCCTTGTAGAAGATTCTGGAGGGAGCGCGGAAGTGGAAGGGACCTATATCGAGTCAATGACTGGTGTCAAGTGTTGAGAAACGGGTTCGACTCACCACCGCGGGTGGGGTTGTAACGGGTGATCTTTCGGAGATGGGCGTGGTACTTGACTGTATGAATGGTCAGCTTGATTGTTCTTGTGGTGATATCGCTGTGGTGTTTGTTCCAGACGATGTTCGGCCACAGATCGAAGTCGTGTGGTATCGTGGGGTAAACGTACGCTTCGCACGGAAGAACTCTCCAGAGATGTTGAGGGCCTCACAGCGGACGATAACGATCTTTTGACCGCTAAGGAGCTGCTTGGCGACAATAGAGGCGAGTCGGCCAAGGAGATGGCCCTTGCCATCGATGACGACCTGTAAACGCACACAACGGTCAGCGAAATGCATCTTCAAGACCAATATTCCCATGCGAAAGAAAACGACGACCAGAGTGCACAGCAATTGTAGACGCAGACTGCTGAGATCCCCAAAGCATTCCCAATCCCAAAGCCAGCACCTCCCAGCCGCGCACACAAGTCGTCTTGCCTCATGGCACAATATGAATGGTGTTTTAGTCGATGGTACTCACAACTTGCTCGAAGCTCGACATCGTAACCGTCTTTTCTGGGGGAATTAAAGAAAAGGAAAGAAGGGCAGCTCAGTCGACGGCTAAGACAAACAAATCCTCAAACCGGTCGGCGAAGATCTGTGGTTTGCTGTGCTGCTGGGGTTAGTCGTCCCTCGAATGTTGGGTGCAAGTGGTCGCGATAGTGATTGACGGGCGAAAAATCCAAGGGCCGCTTGAGGGCTCGTTGTGCCTTGTGAGTAAACCGCGCTAGCCTTATGTGGCAAAGGGCCTCTTCCAGCGCAAGCGACTGCTGAAGGTGCTTAGGTCTGTTAGCCCTAGAGGGTTGACCCGAGGAATTGCCGACATGCACCAAACAATGTCCATTTCGGGGTCTTTTCGCACGTGATGTCGAGCCTGAATCTGGGATCTGGGCTGCATTATGACAGTCAGTCCAAGACATGATAAGGGACTGTTGCCGAGGTTGACATCATAAGTGGTTGTTTACTGGATGTTCAATATTGAGACTGTATGGTTTTCAAATTAAAACAGTGTGACTTTGCTCAATGCTGTCTATCGTTGTCATTATCGTCAAGGCAAATAATCCTTGAATCTATTGTACAGCTTTTCTATATCAAGAACAATCAATGATGGTGGTCGATATAAGTCGTTCCCAGTAACGCCTGCACTCAAACCAGACAATCTTTTCGACTTCCGATAGTAACATTCAACACCGTCGCTTAATTGCGGGCTAGAGCTTCCTTCGCAACGTCCAGATCCTTCAACGTATTCTGAACCTGCCTTACCAATTCTTTCCTTCGCGCTCTGACCTCTGGCATTCCTTCGGCTTCAACTCCGTCCAATTTTAGCATGATGTGCATCATGATGCTTTCAGATAGTTTGCGATGATCCTCCTCTCGCTTCTTGGGGTCTGAGGGCGGCGACGCAATGTAGTCAGAGGCCAAAGGCAACCACTTGATCTGGAGCTCAACGGCAAGATCGTCCAAAACCTTCATGGGACCACTGGTGGCGCCTGAAGATGTGGGTGGTGCTGGAGGTGATCTAGGGTGGTCAAAAGTAGAAGCGCTGTCGCGAGGGCTACCGGATAGAGAATCACCGTCGCTAGTGATACCCTTCTTCTTATCACGCTTCTTCTTGCGGCGACGGGTCTTCCTGTCGTCTCTAGGAGCATCGACAACAACCATCTCCTCCTCTGAACCGCTGCTGACATCATCAATCTCGGGCATGACTGCCATCAGCTCGCTGTTGTTTTTCACACCATAATCTCGAATTGGTGCCATAGGGTCCTTGAGCTGCTTTCCCTTGTAGAGAAGCTTGATGCGAGATGTTCCGCGCTCGGGGAGTTCCATCATAAGGCCAACCCGATCCTTCACATCTATCACTCGCAGCTTTCCATCTCCGATCGCATAGGCGGGGAAGTGAGCCGGATATGTGATGCCTCGATTCTTAATCAAGAGGATATCATCTTCCGGTGCTGGTGGGGGTGCAGTCGAGTGGGATCTAGGATAGTATCGTTCTTCGGTGACGCCATCGAGATCTTGAGAGGTAATGTAGCTAAAATCGTCGTCGGTGACAGCGGGGACGCCGCTCGGCATGGAGCTGTAGGGCGAGATCTGTTCGCGGCCGATAGACCAGCCGTATCTCGACATTGTTAAAGGAACGGCGAGCAGAACGGCGAGACTGCTATAGACGAGGGTTGGAGGGACACCGAGAGTGTCTGATATATATCCGCTCGAATCTTGAAAGGCAGACGAGAGGTTAGCCAGCGCCCCGTTGAGGTAGGACGTGACGTTTTGTAAGGCACCGGGAGATGCCACGATTTCTTGGGAGGAATCCACCTTGTTCGACGGTTTTTCTAAGGTGGTCCAAAAAAGGACACCCTAGAGGCAAATGGGAATACGGGTGTAGTAATTGACCAAGGTCCGGACAGGAAGAGTGTCAGGACAGGGCGGTCGGTGACAAAGCTGAGCGACTGGTGGTTCTCTTGTGATCGACCCGTGGGCTGATGTGGAGCGACGAGAACAGGTGGGCTGCGCTGTAATGCGTGCGACGACAACCAGAAGCTTGCAAATGGCGGCAGAAGACGACGATCACGACCCTTAGGCCAGGGTCTTTGAGTGGCTAAAGGTATCTAACCTGTCTTGTCTGGTAGTCTTGCGCAACCCGGCGAGTTGGCAGTACCGTAGTGACACAAGGCGAAACTGGGCAAACGGGTGTATTGGGCTGGGCTCGCTGAGCGTAACACTGTGAGGGGCTTAGGCTTCGGTGCAGCGCAGATTATCGACGTCTTTTTTCCCAGGCCAAGCCGTAGCGCACTGCAGTGCAGGACCGCAGGTAGCGTAGTCGCCGTGTTGATGATGACGGGGGCGATGCAGGCAGGAAACCGGGCAGCTTAGGGGACGCTTGAAAACTGCAAGTCGTGGGAGCCGCGATTGGTCGAGATGTGGGCAGGAGGGGGATAGACTGTATGTACAGTACAAGAGGTCGCCCCAGCAGAAACAATTCGAATGCAAGAAATATGCGTTGTAGATTGCTCTCTTGTTTGGGAATAGCAAAAGCACGTATCACGTTGACTTGTGTTGCGATGGTGAAAGGTTTAGAAACCCCTAGCACTCAGCAAGAGGGAGAGAGGCCAGATTTGGATTTCTAAATTTGATACCTTAACTTAGCCTATGGACGTGGTTTAATCTCAGCCAAGAGCCGCACGGGGGATCCGACAACGCCTCTCCCCTAGGTTCATGGCCTGACAATTTGCAATCGAAACCTGGGGGAATGTGTCAGACTGTTCTAGCGGGAAAATGGCAATCAGGGGGTCCAAACGCCGCTAGATTTGAGCTGGAGTTTTCCTTTGTGATGGACAGATATAGAGCATAACTGTTATGGATAACATTAAATAATAAACAGTCAGTATAGATAGTAAGTATTTCTCAATTCGCAGCTGTCCTAATTCTGGGAAATCTCCAATCCTGTCATAGGACGCAGGGCTGATGTCAGACAAAGTCTTCCATCAATTATCATGAAGTTGTCAGTCATTTCGTTGTGGACAGTGATCAAATCTGAACCACTTTAGACTTGTCTTAGATCATCGTCCGGTTTCAATGCCATGCCTAACCCAATAAGAAGTTAAAACAACAATCAGAAACGCATGGCTAAAACTGAGCTCCATTCGTCGAATGACTATTGCGTCGTTGAACTATTTTGGCCCCTCTTGAAGTGGAGGCTGATATTGACTTATGGTTATTAGTGACCCCGATGAACCACAGTCAGATCTCTGTTTGAGGCTGCTGTACTGAACTATATATACGTACATCTATGAAATTTCCCCGTTGGTCATTCTAAACTCTTTATATATGCCGTTTCTCCGTTTGATGACTCTATCGTTGGAAGGTTGATATTGCAACCAGTTGGTCGCTTACCCTACTGCAACTGGAGGTGAAGACATTCGCACGCCAAGATGGCGGATCTTGACAAACATCTTGATGGGACTATATGATGAAGAAAACAACAGGAGGGTTTCAGCCCCATAAACAAGAGTTGTTGTTCTAACTATCTGGTTAAGCCATCTGTCACTAATAATCATCCACTCACTAACAATCATCCGCTCGCTAATAGTCGTCTGCTCACTAATACAAGGATTCGTCGGCAATTACCCATGGACAAACCAGTACAAGCGGGCATTTGAGCTTACGGGATTCTTCAAAACACCAATTGGAACTATCATCATTCTCTCCAACTATGTAAGTAAGTATTTACAAATAAACTCAAATCAGGCGTGAATTCCACTCGCTGCTACACAGAACACATGAATACATCATCGACACTTGATTCCAAAGGGCTTGATTACTAATGCAGAGCTAGCAATTCATTGCATCATTGTATTTTTGAGTCCCCGAATTCGCCGTTTCCACTCAATCCATGACAAAGCAATCGCCAGCCAGGTCTGAACTGAGTTTCCATACATGATTGATCGCGCAATTCTGTCCCTCTCTATCTGCCCCTCGGAATAAATACCTCCCCCACTCCTGCACAAGCTTCCCCATGAGTTTCTTTCGATCATTCTTCACTCGCGCAACAAGTCCCGGCACAATGTCTCAAGCATCAACAAAGGTTCAGCAACTCATTGACAACAACTCTGTTGGTACGTAAACTGATTTCTTTCCGTCGCAAATAATGCGCCGTGGCTAACTTGTTTGCAGTTGTCTTCTCCAAGTCTTACTGCCCGTACTGCAAGCAGACCAAGAATGCTTTGGATGAACTGAACGCTGAGTACGAGCTCCTCGAGCTCGACGAAGTTCGTAAGTCGAACAAGTTCCAATTACGTCATATATCAGTTTCTAATACCTTATAGCCGATGGCTCTGCTCTCCAAGACGCTCTCGAGCAGATCTCTGGCCAGCGAACCGTCCCCAACGTCTACATCAAGCAGCAGCACATTGGCGGCAACTCTGACCTTCAGAGCCTGAAGTCTGCCAAGAAGCTTACCGCTTTGCTGAAGGAGGCCGGTGCCCTGAAGGTGTAAGAACTACCAAGCGTTACGACTGTCGGACACGACGGGCTAAGGAAATATGATGTCTTCAGTTCCAGGCTCTAGGGACGTCTTTGTAAACCGCATACGACGTAGACACATTGGGTTGTAGATCAGGATTAGATGGTGTTACAGCTTGGGCGAAATGACCCATATGAGTTGAATTCATGACCTTTCACAATGACTTGCCCTGTTGTGCTTTGTGCCTAGTGATACATGCTAAATATCCGTAATGTACATATTTTCGCTGTTAGCTTAACCCTCTCACAAAACCTGCGTGGCAACGGTGCCAACAGGTCTCTCAACAAATTCCATGACGCCATTGATAATGTTCTTCCTGGCCTCCTCTGACGCAACTTTGCTGCCAGAGAGGTAGTTGAGCCACAGCAACCTGGAAATGCGTTCATCTTCAACACTTCCTAAGACGGTCTTCTGGGGCTCCTTGCGTGTACCGTCGTTGTAGCTGACGGTCAGCTTGCCAGTAGCGTCTCTGATAAGTAGCAGTTCGTTCTTTTTGGCCACCAGACCGCGCTGGAACAGGACCTTGAAATGCTTCATGGCGTTTCCAAATTCCTCATCATTATATGCGGGATTGCGCCCTGAGCGAGCCTGGATCGCCCTCACGAAGCCGTCGCGCATGTGGGGGAAGTCAGTATCCCGGACTGGGATGATACGGAACGCTGAGCGGCAGCCAGCATCCTTCAGAATCGAGTTCCATGTCTCTTCTCCCTCTGTAGCATCCTGCAGCACCCTTCGCAACTCGTCCTTTTCAGAAGGAATCAGTGTCGTGGCCATAGGGTTGATCTTCTTGACCAGGTAGCGCTGAAGCTTCTCGACATCTTGGGTAGCAACATAAAAGCCCGCGACATAAACCTCGAATCCAAGGAAGGTCACTGTCCTTGTTCCCAGCCCGACCAGCGTAAATTCCGTACCGTGCTTGTCTGTAACCGCAGCAGCAATTGGACCAGCGACGTCACCGGCTGCGCCAACACCGTCGACTTCTAGTGTTCGGGGAAATAATTGAACGGTTTTGTTGCCTGTAGGAACGACCTCATGCCCATCCTCGTCATGAATAACCACTTTTCGCTTCTCACCCGCCTCAGTCTTGAAGATCTCCGTCGGCACTTGTGTATCGCATTTGATAGCTCTCTTTTCTTTTTCTCCCTGTACCTCAATGGCCTGCTTGAGCTTCCATGCCGTGTAGACGAAAGAAACGATACCGGCAATGGCACCGGCAGTCAGGAAAGCAGTTCGGTTCTGCTCGTAGTCTCGGCGCTTCGAGTTAAGCTGGTTGACATCAAGATCATCGGCCAGGCGACTGTTTCGCTGTGAGAACAGAGTCCGACGAGTGGTTCGGGCCACAGCGCATCGGGTGTGGGCTGATGCGCGAAGCACAGGGCGAAGAGTTGAAGGGCGGAGCATAGTGGCAACCGCGATAGAATGTAAGCTATCAAACCACAGGCTAGCAAAACAGACAAACGAATTCTGCTGGGACAATATCTCCAAGTAGATGAGCTCGTGGTGATGGTCTGAAGTGCTAGTATGGAACTGTGATCGAAGAATTGCGGAACAAACGGGTAAACCTTGTCCGGGTAAGAGCCCCACATAGACTACCCCGTCAATGACAACTACGTCAGCGATGCCATCGTGAGGGGTCCTACCCTGTACCTGACTCTGAGAGGAAACAGATTATGATGCTTTGGGTATAGACGTCATGACGGAGATGAGTAGAGACGAGATGATTGCTGGGTAGATATCTAGTGAGTTTATCTTAAACTCACTAGCAATATCAAATTAGATTAATCTCCTGGCATAAGTTATAGAGCTAGGATTGTGGGCGCAAAGACTGGCGGCGTGATGATTTCATATTCATATCTCTCCAGCATAACCTCTGTTCTAGGCATGGGCGAAATCTTCAGAAAACACGATTTAATATTCCAAATAATTATCCACATGGCTAAGGAAGACATGCTCTGTTTCCAATTACCATAGATAAATCAATGACAAATATAGAGTACCCCCGTCTAATTACTTAGTACCTACCCAACATCCAAATTGCACCTGATCTATTAATGACTCAAGCCACCTGCATGGCGGGTATTGATTCGTCCCTGCAACATTTCAACCTCAAATGAAATCATTTTCTCATCCTCTATGCAACCCAAGTGTATCCCATGCTTGTCATCTTCCCCGCAGTAACAACACCTTAGGATCGAGGTGTAAATAAACCAAGCACGCGGTTGACTGAAACATGCATCATCTGTCGCGTTGAAACTAGGTCAACACCAAAATTATAAGTCACACACGAGCATCACAGTCGAAACAAGAAGAACAAGACCCGCAAACTTCAGACCCCTGACCTAACCAGTCTGGACAAAAAAAGACGCCCGTGTCAACCCCACTACGGTCATCCCGCCCGACTACGACGTAGGAGGAGATCTAGGCTGGGGGATCATCTGGCCTGGGCTCACTGGATCGATCGCATTTAATATTTGGGGTCAGGCCGAGCGCTTGTAGAAAGTTTGTTTGTAGGTTAAGAAGAGGTGGTTCATAAGGAGTAAAGATATCTTCTGTTCTTTCTGCAGTATATATCTTTATCCTCTATTCAGAGGTCTCGCCTGAACGCCAGTGCTTTTAATAAACATCTACTTCAAACTCATGTAGATGGGAGTCTTGACTCTTGAGTACTAGGTAGTTGGGGAAAACAGTGAATTAACTATGCTTTGCTCGTAGCGCATGAGGGCGGCAATTTGCAGGGGACGCGGCTGAAACTTGGGAAATAAACACAAACGCCCCTCGTGGGTACTTCTGACTCTCCATTATTTGACTGTGTCATAAGTGTTGTTTTCCCTGCTTTTTAAGTACCGTAACCGCAGCCCAACTGAACCCGACTGACCCTGGCACTAGACACTAAAGCCCAGCACCAGAAAACCTCCGCCCCATTTTGGCTTTCACCTTGCCAAACCAAACCCAAACCAACACTCCCTCCACTGCCGCCGCACCGTTCAACAACTATCATCATTAACCTCATCACCGCCACGAAAGAACCTCTTCTGCCCGAACATTGACTTTTTCGCATCGCGTTGCGACTGCGTTTATGATCCTTGCTTACCAGACGACTGTACTCGGCGCCGTCATTCTGCGACCTATAACTCGTTAACAGCCGCCCACTGTTGTTGCTTAAGAATCACCCTTGTGATCCCTGATCTCCCGCCCTAATCCTGCCCAAACATCCTCGAGAAACGTCGCCTTACCGAACCTTGCCAAGCCGTGTCTGCGTCTATATCTGAAGCGCTTTTTTCTACCCACCTATAACATGGCCGCTGCTGCCACCGCCGCTGCTCGGCCGGGCCCTGCACCCGCCGACGAGCAGGAAGATTCTCGATCCTCATCCTCTTCAACTTCCCCCGCGCCCGCCGATAACGAAGAATCCGACTTCTTTCTCGGAGCCAACGACTCGCAGTCCAGCATCGGCGTCCCAAACTTTCAAGATATGCAGGTCGAGGACGCATGCCAACCGCCAGTACATCGGTTGCCAAATGAGATCCTCATCGGTGTGTTTGCCAAACTGGGCTCTACCTCTGATCTGTTCCACTGCATGCTTGTTTGTAAGCGCTGGGCTAGAAACACAGTGGATCAACTATGGCATCGACCTGCGTGCACAAATTGGAGGAATCATGGTATCATATGCCAAACGCTGCAACTAGAGCATCCATCGTTCAGATACCGCGATTTTATCAAGAGGCTCAATCTCGCTTCCCTTGCGGATAAAATCAACGATGGGAGTGTGATGTCCCTTGCCGTCTGCACTCGCGTCGAACGCCTGACCCTTACGAACTGCCGTGGCCTCACTGACTCTGGGCTGATTGCCCTTGTCGAGAACAGTAATTCACTACTGGCACTTGATATTTCCCATGACAAGAACATCACTGAAGAGTCTATAAATGCTATCGCCAAGCACTGCAACCGACTGCAAGGTCTCAACATCACCGGCTGTGAGAACATCTCCAACGAGAGTATGATCACATTGGCGAACAGCTGTCGCTACATCAAGAGGGTAAGTTCTACAACAATATCATGCCTTGCAATGACTAACTCAACATAGTTGAAACTGAATGAATGCAGCCAGCTACAAGATGATGCTATTCACTCTTTCGCCGCAAACTGCCCTAATATCCTCGAAATCGACCTTCACCAGTGCAATCGCATTGGTAATGGCCCAGTAACATCTCTCATGGTCAAAGGCAACTGTCTCCGGGAACTGCGGCTGGCAAGCTGCGACCTTATCGATGACGATGCCTTCTTATCACTTCCTTCTGGACGAACCTTCGAGCATCTCCGTATCCTCGACCTCACCTCCTGCGTACGTTTGACGGACGCTGCTGTGCAGAAGATCATCGACGTGGCACCTCGCCTTCGTAATCTTGTTCTTGCAAAGTGTCGGAACATCACTGATGCAGCCGTCCATGCTATCTCCAAGCTCGGCAAGAACCTGCATTACGTGCATTTGGGCCATTGTGGGAATATTACTGACGAGGGTGTCAAGAAGCTGGTCCAGAACTGCAACCGCATTCGCTATATTGATCTTGGATGTTGCACCAACCTGACTGACGAGAGCGTTAAGCGCCTTGCTTTGCTGCCTAAGCTGAAGCGTATTGGTCTTGTGAAATGCAGCTCTATCACCGACGAGTCAGTTCTTCATCTTGCCGAGGCAGCGTACCGTCCCAGGGTGAGACGAGATGCCAGTGGAATGCTCGTTGGTAACGAGTATTACGCCTCGAGCCTCGAGCGTGTTCATCTGAGTTACTGCGTCAACCTGACTCTTAAGGTTAGTCCGCTTTCGAAAGTCTCGGCGATTATTACTGACATTTCGCAGAGTATCGTGAAACTGCTTAACTCCTGCCCACGACTCACCCATCTAAGTTTGACTGGAGTCGCCGCCTTCCAGCGTGATGACTTCCAGCCATACTGCCGCCAGGCGCCCCCAGGTATGTCTCGCTGTGACTGGCTCGTACTGTTGCTAATATGACTGCAGAATTCACCCAACACCAACGAGATGTTTTTTGCGTCTTTTCTGGCACCATGGTGTCTAAGTTCCGCGATTTCCTCAACACTTCACCACAGTTTGATGGATTATGGGATAACAGCTGGAATCGAGCAACAGCCTACAATTCTGGACCAAGGCCTCGTGTTCCTGTAGCCAACCAACCATCAGCCCCCGCTGGGGAGGGAGCCGACGATGAAATGATCGACGACGACAACGACTATGAGGGATTGGACGGCAGCGAAATGGTCGTGGATGCTCAGGCCCAGAACCCAATCAACGGAAACGGAACCAATGGACTGATGAACCATGGATTTCAACAAGCCATTCCTGTACCACCTCCACCACCCGGCTTCGCTTTAGGTCAGCCCCCCGCAATCTTCTTGCCATTCGCCCGTTTTCCACCTGTGCCACTAGTGCGTCACGAAGCAGGATTGCTGGGTCGAATGTTCTCTCAAAACAGCATTAACACCATATTAGAAGGCGGAAACCAACAGAATACGACGAGTCAAGCGAGTGCAGCACCTCTTGGGCATGGGGGCCCAGTGAATGGAGAATCCTCGACTGGCGCAAGCACGGCAACGATTCACCGACCCCAAGAGAACGGTGATCAATCTGACGCAATGAATTGAATGACTGGAACTTTACTTTAGCTCGATTGAACGAAACCACCAGACTTGTTTTGTGGTTCTATTACCTTTCGATGGTATGTTAGTTGGTGATGATAACCGGATGCCACTGACAACCCGAAGAACTAGAATATGCGCACTCGCGCTACGTACGGAATGGTTAGACAACACATGAGCGTACTTAGGAGTTTTGTTCTTTGACACGTCGCGGTTTGCGGCGACGACTTTTGACGGCCAGACCAAGTATACCACAGGCAAAGATGGACAACGGGAGGCAGGGCAATGATTATGCATGAGCTTTGGTTTTACAGGCTTTGATAGGAGTATAAGAAACCCCTGGCGATACGAATTACAGGGGCAGTAATTTATGACACTAGAATCATTGGCGGCTATAGGGCTCTTGGTGCATGCTTGTGATAATATGGTAGCTGACTTGATTTGTTGGCTGCATAATTAAAATATCACTCTTGCTCTGTTACCAACAGTGCTGGGAGGTCACTTGTTAATGAATATAAAGAGGCATTACAAAAAGGTATATTAATTCTAAGCTCCTGAAGTGAGTGATATTGTGATAAGTACACAACTGCTATCTTGCATGCCGGTCTGAATACTGTATTTCCAATTTATTTTGTCGATTCTAGACCTTCTCGTGGCTTGTTCGCGCACTTGCATCGGAGGTGGGATGCGTGCTGTCAGCCATGTGTCGTGTCATCTCAACATAATCATACGCAAACTCGCCAAGCTGGCCATCATCGGTGCCTAGCTCTTCCTCCTCGGGCGAGGTACGCAGAGATAGACCAGGGATGAGGTTGAGTAAGAATAAGAGAAGGCAAGTTAGAACGAAGGACCACGCGAAGACCGCCAGAGTACCAGCGATCTGGTAGCCCAGCTGTACCCAGTTGCTGTCGACCCAGCCGATAGGGTCGTACTCTCCGCCGTCGAGAGCTGCGATGGATTTGCTTTAAGGAGTTAGCAGATATTCGATGTGAGAGAAATGGGTAGGGAGACGTACGTTCCAAAAATACCGGTAAGGATGTTACCGACCATACCTCCGACACCGTGGATAGCAAAGATATCAAGACTGTCATCGACGTTGAGAAGGAACTTGAGCTTCGTAGCAAAGTTACAAATCACACCGCCGCAGACTCCGAGAATGACAGCAGCCCAAGGCTTCACGAAGCCAGCAGCAGGAGTAATAACGACGAGACCGGAGATGGCACCAGAGCAGAAACCGATGGTGCTCCACTTCTTCTCAAGGCGGTAGTCGAGCAGGATCCAGGCGATGGCACCGCATGAGGCAGCCAAGTTGGTCACGTAACATGCCATCACTGCACGAATGTTCATGGCGAGGGCAGAGCCACCGTTGAAACCAAACCAACCGACCCAGAGGAATACCGTGCCGAGAACGACGTGGGTAACATTATGAGGACGGTAGGGAAGACCGTTGTTGTGGTTATAGCCAGTACGCTTGCCGAGCATGAGGGAGTAGGCCAGGGCGCATGTTCCTGAGGCGACGTGGACAGGACCTCCACCGGCAAAGTCATAGCTGGGAAGGTTGAAGAGCCAGCCATTGGCGTTCCAGGTCCAGTAGGCGATGGGGTCGTAGACGATAGTGGACCAGAGGAACATAAAGACAATGGCAGGGAGGATGCGACCTCTGTCGGCTACAGCACCGATGGCAAGCGCAGGACTGTTGGCGTCAGTATGATATCTTTGAGAGCTTGACAGGGAACTCACGTAATGGCGGCGAACATGCCCTGGTAAAGACAAAAGAGAATGTCAGGGAGAGCAGCAGAACCGTTGGGCTCAGCAAGTGTCTTCATGAGCCCAAACTGGGTGAGATCGCCCAGGAAGGCATTTCCAGTTCGTGAAAAGGTCAGAGAATAACCCCAGAAGAACCATTGGAAGCTGATGACAGCAACTGAAATCATGGATAGCAGAATGAGTGTCAATGCAGACTTGCGACGAGCGAGACCACTGTAGAAGAAGCCCACGCCGGGGATCATAAGTAGAACGAGTACAGAACTGGTAACAAGGAAGACCAAGTGGCCCGTCTATACTTTGTTAATGGACGTCCTGGAGTAACTTTAGAGAACTTACCTCGTAGAATATGTTGAGATCAGATACACCGGACGAGTAGCCATCGTCTGCCGCGTCGGCGGTGCCGTTGTAAGGAGTCGCCATTGTGACAGGACTGTTCGCTTGTGCGACGCAAGCTCTTGATCCAAAGCTTTTCACAAGTCGAACTTACAGCTGGGAAGAATGGAACAATAAAGGGATGAGGAACCTGGGGCCAGAGCTATTTAACTCGTAGACAACTTGCGACGACAGCCGAGACAGACTGGACATGAGAGCAGGGGGAGGGTATGGCATGAAGTGTGGGGGATACGATAAGACGCCCATAGCTTTAGCAGCAATAGGAAGGATGCTCCGTCGAGTTAAGCCAAAAGAGACACATGCTTGAGTTGGTGGGTGAATCCATCTTGAGAGGATGTTGATGTGAGACCGCTTCAACACAGTTGCCAAGAATAGCTAGTTGATGATCCTCCACGGTCCCAAGACTTTGGAATGATAGGCGTTGAATGGCTGAGTCTTCTCGTGACAATGAGTCAATACTCACTTAGTTTGGCTCGTCCCAGAGAAGAAGTTCGAGTCGAGTAAGCAGTCCCCTGTTAGACTGTTCCTGAGTCTGGCACACCCAACGGTCCTTATCACCGGCATTCCGATTCGGCTGTAATTGGATGGACGCCACACCCAAATTAAACAGCCTATAGCTCCGTACTGATAAGCTCAGATATGCCTATAGGACTCGTAAATGATGGTCTCTACTTGGCAGTTGGTCCGTCCCGAACATCTTCTCTTGGCCATGTATGTACTTGACTCCGTTGATGATTTGGCGGGGTATCTTTGGAGGAAAGAGAGAATGGATTGCAGCCCTAACACCCTCGTCTGGCTATTTGAGGAATCATAGGATTGTACGGCCGCAATCACCATTTTTGGTGCTGGGTCTAATGTGCTGATTCGCTACTATCTCACAGACTTTAAGCTCATCCTTTCGAAGTGTCGACTGACGTGACACAGCCTGAATAACCATAAGACAGACCAAAATTAGATGACGAAAAAGCCCCGAAGTGAAACTGAAGCCTCGACACCCTCTCTGATGAGGTGCACTGACCTTGCGCTTCCCCAGACGCATGGCACTGCGTATCCGACATGCGCTCGCCCAAGCTTCTTATCTGACTTCACCTCGAATTCTAGTGGCAGACGTCGGTGCATGCCAGGACATAGTATATCTGATTGGATAGCCCTTATCTCTTGGCAGCTTCGGTGGAGCGCTTAGCGTTGAGACCCTGGACAAGGGATCAGGGACTAGGATCCATGTCCTTGCTTGTCATGCCGCTCGGCCGATACTTGATACAGTTGAACGTTGAGAGATGAGGATTTTTGGACGAAAGCTCCTCTTGTCTAGACTGATACTGATTATTGCTGGAATTATTCAAAGAAGCTGACTGTATTGTGCTAGTCTCTTTCTCGGGTTACCGGCAACATGGTATCACATTGAATGGTGGTCTTGCGATATGGAATCCAACACTCCGAAAGAAAGATAGAGCAACCGTTTTGGGAAGTATTCATCGAAGCAACCAAAGATTGGCATGATTTGCATCGTTTCCCCAGATTTACGAACTGTCAAACGTGCTTTGCGCCCGCAAGCTCTGAACCGAACCTCTGTTGCGCGCGTCAGCATGCGAGCTGCCCGTTCCTCGGGACGGTAGGGTAATCGGACCTCATGTATATAAGCTTGCCCTGCGTCTCATCGTAGTTCAACGGTTCCCGAAGCTTAAGCTTACTTTGGAGTTCATGGTCCCTGAAACTTGAACTGATTGCTTATTCTGGGCTTGGGCCTCAAGTTTGGGATTGCCAGTTGAGCGACGAACCCATGACCCAATCGACCACTTTACGCTTCCCTATCGACCCAACGCGTAGTTGCCCGATCGAATCTCGAAGAAAACAGTCATACGAATAGGGTCATCCATATTGGGATTGTCGTGAATGTCCTCGACACTCTTGCATGTCTTATCGGGAACCATGGACGCCATGTTGCGCTAGCATTCCTTGATTGGTCCAGCTCAGTTCAGCTCAGAGCTGTGGTACCCAAACACATCACAAGAGCGACAACTCAGCCCAGATGGCGAAACGACAGAGGCTGCTGGATTAGACGAATCATGTCAACCACCAACACTTGGCATAGATAAGGAAGACAGAGAAGTGGGAGTATCGATTGTGATTTAGTTCACCCGTGGTGTGTTTGGCGTCAAGATAAGAAATTGATGCATACCAACAGGTAGGACAGATAGCGAGTATGCGCAAATGTGCATTTTGAACAGAACCGTAACCCAGAATTGAGTCCGGAGCAGCTGAACGGATTGCAAATGGAGTGTAGAATCCCGGTTCGGTGCATGCGTAGTCACAAGATCGGATGCGGGGTGCTCAAATTCCAGTTGGGTATTTCTTTTGACTGATAATACTTTTGTTGGTCAGCTTGTACTTCAGCTTGAGTGGTATTGAACACAAGCCTCATACCATGCTTCAACTTAGATTCGAAGGAAGACTGTCGTTGAGCTGCACATGGGAGAAATATGCTAGTCGAGTGTGGTAGCTGTCGTGCTGTTCTGGGGAATTGCGCCAATGCTGCTAGAGTGTTGGGTGCTGCACAGAGTTTAGAGTTTCTGTCAATCATGGTCTGATCCGACAGTCAGTCATATCATGACTTCAGCTCGCTTCTCCATTCAGCTTCCAGTTCTTCAAGGCACTTAGCAACCTTCCATGGCGCTTCCTCTTCCAGAAACGTCCTGTTCTCATCGGATATCTTGTCAAGGACGTATTTGCTAACCGTCTCGGCATCTCTCTCCTTGGGCCGTCCGATACCAACAGCAATTCGTACAAATGGTGACTGAGGAAAGTTCTTGTCCGAAACACATCCCTTGACGCTCTTTATGCCGTTGTGACCTTTGTGACTTCGGTCCCAGGCTGTAAGACGTACGACTCCCAAGTCCTTCTCGAGTTCATCATGTACAATGACTAAACTGAGTGATGCTGGATCGTGTTGTTGAGTCATTTCCTTCCAGACTTTATTGACAAAGCGTCCGGAGATGTTCATGAGAGTAGGTGATTGAACTAGAGTGTATTTTGGTCCTTGAGATGCAAGGCATTTTGTGTTTCCAAGTGTTACCTCCCGGAATGAAGGGTTCCTTAAGGCCTTAGCAAGGCCATTGAGAGCAAAATGGCCTGCAGAATGAAGACTTGCATATTTTGGCAAGGGATTCCCCAGGCTGACAACCAGGAATCGAGGAGTAAACATTCTGTACAACGCAGGACCTGATATCAGAGCGTGGATCAAACTCTTTTACTTGGGCCAGATCTTTACACGTGATCACGTGCCTTAAATTCAGCAACTTACACAGCCCCATCGCTGACGTCGATCATCCGATTGGGCTGCCAGGCACTGAGCTAGTGTGGCTGAGCTCCAGTTTTGTCGTCACTGTGTATCCCAACTTCCATGTTTATTGCCAACTCCTATGATATAACAGCAACACCACAACGATACACCCTCGAGCGCAATTACGGCTTTCCGTCGAACTATCCCATAACCGAAGCGAAAAAAGTCATTCAATAATCACAAATCTTTCACTATGTCGTGGGCGGGTAGGAGAACCATCACCCCGCAATCTGGAACAGAGGGGTCTAACATGAGGCAGGGTTCAAGAAGAATGTCGGGCGCGCGACGACGCAGGTCATGATGAAGACCGGTATGCGATTTGGTCGGCATTTTTATGAATGAAGCTGATTGCAATGTAGGGCACGTGGAAAAGACAAACGACCGTGATTACGAGGTTGAAGAGAGGTCAGCAATACCGTAACCAGGAGGAGACAATGTCTAACCGAAACAGACGATTTAAAACCATGGAAGCCGCTGCACTGCGGCTACAAAAGGAATCAAAGGGATACCTTGACTCCCTCAGAGGTAGGTCTATGATATACGACACATGACACTCGACGCTAAAACCCGACTTAGCCATGACCGCATCACAAATGCGAATCGCCGAAACGATAGATGCGTTCTACGGCGACTCCGGCGCAAAGGACGGCGTTAGCAGAAGCTACAAGCAAGCTGTCGAAGACCTAGACGCCGAAACTATCAAAGCCCTCGATGGCCCTTACCGAACAACTGTCCTCGACCCCATCACACGCTTCTGCGCCTACTTCCCCGACGTCAACGAGGCGATCAAGAAGAGAGCCCACAAATTGCTCGACTACGATGCCCTCCGCGCAAAGGTGAAGCGTCTCGCCGAGAAGCCCGACAAGGATGCTACCAAGCTGCCCCGTACGGAAAAGGAGATGGAGATGGCAAAGGTTGCTTACGAGCAGTTGAACGAGCAGCTCAGCTCAGAGCTACCCCAGCTTATCGACCTCCGAGTGCCGTACCTTGACCCCACTTTCGAAGCTCTTGTCAAGATCCAGCTGCGTTTCTGCGCCGAAGCCTATTCGCGTATGGCGCAAGTACAACAGTATCTGGATGCTGACACAAGAGATCAGTATGCTGAGGGACAACTTGATGCCAGGGTGGAGCAGGTATTGCAAGAGATTCGGGAGTTAAGCATCAGCGGCACGGTATAGAGTTTCGACTGGGGTTTTATGTCTAATCAGGACTGGAGAACGGCGTACGGATCAGTTGCTTTCTGTAGATATCTACTAGTACCATGAGTATTCATGAACCAGTAGATTTAAGTCCATCAAGGCTTTTGGGACACATCTTTTATGTGTAGACCGCTTGCTATGGCTCTCTATTACTGCTATTTCCCCTGCCCATAAGCGAAACGCTTTTTGCTGCTAACTCAACGGAGTTGTGCTTGAATCCTTCATCATCTCAGCATGTGCATCTCCCATTCGAATATAAGATACCCGTACTTGAATACTCGTAACAGGAACCGATTATGCGGTATCAACTTCAGACTCCGACCCTGGAGACTCGGCCTTCTTAGACCTTGGCACTTCGAGCATTGGCGCCTCAGTCTTTTGTGTTTTAGACTGCTTTTCTTCTGTGTCTGTTTTCTCAGAATCTGCCTCCTCCGAGTCACGTTTGCCTGGGCGCATAATGGACCACACCTATTGTCCTATATTTCGCCCATTCCCTAACCCAAACAGATCACTCAAACTCAATCTCCTGCCCATGGCTTGCATGGCCGGACCGGCTTCGGGACCCTGCGTCTCAACGGGACCACCAGCGCGAGCAATTTTCCATGCCTCTTGAATAATAGCAGCATTCACCTCTCTCGTCTCATCCTTGTCGTTGTGAATCCACACTCCCAATACCTTGTCACCCTTTTCCCAGTCACCCTCGACTTTCATAATGACGAGTTCGCCTGAGACTTCGGCGTGGGTTACCCTCGAGAGGTCCACGATCACATTGTCCAGTCCTCTTCTGTTGAGGACAAAGACACAAGCTCGCGATACCTGGCCAGGATCTTCGGGGAGTGGACTCTGCGCGCAGACAAACATGGTACCTTCAACGCCAGACTTTTCCCAACTCTCGGAAGTGCTGTTGAACGTGTAGATGACGGCATTGGCAGCTATGCTGAGGATGGTGTGGATGGAGGGGAGGTAGCGCTGCAGCACGGAGAGGTTGAGCTCAGTGTTTGTGCGTGGAGGTGGTGGCGCGTAGTCGGTATGTATGGCGGCGGCATCGGATTCGTAATCTGAGACAGCGGGTATGCGGTTTGAGGGTTGACGGCTGTGACGAGGCTTTCGTGGTGTTTGTCGACTCATGATGCTTGTGGTGGTTTGAGTTGGGCACGATTTAACGTGAGTGAGTCGCAATAACTAGTTGGGGTAATGTTGTTTCGAAGGGTATTGTCAGCCTATGCAATATGTATGTAGAGCTATAAGAGAAGACCGGGTGTCGCGTGATCGACAGTTCGTTGTGGTATGGAAGTTGAAGTTTACTATTGACAGGCACGGCTGCGCATGCTTGGGCGCTGCCCGCTAATGCTAATGGATGCTTATCGATAAGTCGCAAGATGACGCTGCGGGGCGCTGAGCTGGACCCTTCCAACACCACCATCCAACACTACGGTACAACTTCGACGTCATACGTAGGAGCTGAGGTTTATATCCCTTTTGTAACCCCTTTTTCTGTTTAACAGCATTCTTTTGGCACGGTCACGGGCCAAAAATCATCCCTTACCTCGCGCCTACGCTTGAGCCAGGTTGTTCGAAGTCATGATCTAGAGAACGACAAATCGACCTCCCCGCGATATCCTAAGACGGTGCCGTAAATATAACTCGTCTCTTTCGTCCACTGCGACAATACCGACGGTCATGGCTGAAGAAAATGACCAGTCCCCTGGTTCTGAACTGGAGGATCCCACGTCCACGACACCTCAGTCTCTCGCCAAAGCTGTTCATGCCCGACGAGCAGAATTTGTACGTCCGCATAGCCTAAAGGTCAAGATCGGGACGTGGAACGTGGCTGCTTGCACGGGCACTGATAAAGATCTTGCGACCTGGTTCACATGCGGCGAAGGTTTAGACCAACAATTGACAAGCCTCAATCTCGCCCAAAATAGTGCTGTGGAAAGGGATAACAACGGCGATGGGACCTCGAAGCCGTTGCACCTGACTGCTGGGGGCGACATTGGTCTTTACGTGCTGGGTTTGCAGGAAATTGTTGATCTCAACACGACTAAGGAGTATATGAACCGTGCAGTTTATACAGATACGACTGTTATGGATAAATGGAAGCTCGCCCTAGAGGCTGCATTGCCTCCAGGGTACGAACTTATCACAGCGGAGCAGATGACTGGCTTGCTGCTTCTAGTATATGCTTCTCCGGAAATTGCGCCTACGATCAGCAACGTCAGTACGAAGCAGGTTGGAACTGGTCTACTAGGCTATTTTGGAAACAAGGGTGCAGTTACGACACGACTACTGCTTGGTGAAACAACTCGCATGGTCTTTATAAATAGCCACTTGGCTAGTGGTGCTGGCTCTTCTTATTTAGACCGCCGGTGCTGGGATGTTAGTCAAATTCTCTCGCGAACTCAGTTTGACCCAGTCATTCACTCGGGTATTGAGGAAGAGGAAGGAGAAAAGATTGGCGATGAGGATCTTGCTTTCTGGTTTGGAGACCTGAATTTCCGCTTGGAAGGGTTACCTGGGGACGATATAAGACGGCTGCTCACGCTGCATGCCCGAGGCGAATATGGCGCGGGCGAAGAGTCACAGCCCCCTGGCGAGCAAGGTATAATCGTCATGAAGGGTTCGGATAGTGACGATGATTCGTTATCAACAAAGCGGTCACTGCATTCGAGGGAGGAAAGCTTTGATACTGCAAGCGATCTACCAGATCCTGATGACTTTCCCGAAGACCCCAGCCAAGATCCTACGTCTTTGCAGGCCACGATCGATTCTTTGCTTCCCCATGATCAATTGCGAAGAGTTATCAAGCAGCGGAAAGCGTTACATGATGGCTGGCAAGAGGGTTCAATTACATTTCTCCCAACATACAAATACGATATTGGCACTGTTGGCCTCTTCGACTCGAGTGAGAAGCAAAGAGCTCCAAGTTGGTGCGACCGCATTTTATTCAGGACTCGGAAAGATAAGCAGGATTACGAAACAAAGATTAGAGAGGAGGCGGAAGCCAAGAAAAAGGATGAAGAGATGAAGTCTAGGGGAATTGAGGAGGACGAGGATGTTCTTTTCAGCTACGATCCTGACGCAGATGGAGAAGACCCCGTGGCATCGACTGACACGCTGGGATATGACGAATATGAAGATAACGATGAGCCGGAAGCTGAGGAAATCATCACAAAAGATGGGTTCCATGATCGTATAAACCTGGAGATTTATGCTTCACATCAGCGTATCACGTCGTCAGACCACAAACCCATCACATCAATCTTTACGCTTGACTATGACGCTGTTGTGCCGGACCTTAAGGCCAAAATTCATGCGGAGGTGGCGCGAGAATTAGACAGAGCCGAGAACGAGGGCAGACCAGGCATTACGGTTGTCGTGGAAGGCAGTGAAGGGAATGAGGATAAGATTGTTGATTTTGGCGAAGTTTATCCCCTTGAGAAGCAGACCCGTCACTTGACGGTTGCTAACACTGGGAGTGTCGCGGCGACCTTTTCGTTCGTGACGAAGCCGACAACAGAAGATGGAGACGATACTGTTCCTGAATGGCTGAAGACGATATTTATATCTGCAGACGAAGAGTCCGATGCCTCTTTGGGTGCTACAGTCACACTTGATCCTGGAGACACAGCTTCCGTTTTGCTGGAACTTCAGGTATCTGCCATCCCCCACATTCGCGCCTTGAACGAAGCTCGCTCCAGGGTCGAAGATGTCCTGGTTCTTCGCATAGAAGACGGCCGGGATCACTTCATCCCCGTGCGTGGAACTTGGCAGCCATCTTGTCTGGGACGCTCTATTGCAGAGCTGATAAGAATACCGGACGGCGGTATTAGGAAGTTTGTTGAAAAGAAGGACATCAAGGGGGCAATTGCTTATGACTCAGACGTGCAATGCTCGGCGCCAAAAGAGCTGTTTAAGCTTACAGAGGTGGTGCAGACTCTTGTGGAGCGCAGTCTTGCTGAAGCTACGATGCTTGAGGAAGAGGTGTTGCCGCGGGATCCGGGGTGGCCGTTGGAGTCTTCGACTTGGAGGGTAGGGGAGTCTGATATGCAGGATGCAAAAGTCAAACTTGTGTCTGCTCTCGACAACGATGCATCTCTTCTTGATGCGCTTCCGCTGGAATGGCCCGCTTCCTTCAAATTGGAGGTTGTGTCTTCCATCCTGCTACTTTTCCTCGAGTCACTTACTGATGGACTCGTCCCTACTCATCTATGGGCCAAGATAGCTATCTCACTACCCAATGTAGCCTCTTCGTCTGTGGGTGCTTGGTCTGATACAAAGACGCAAATTCTCGACATTCTCTCCTCAGCACCCAACCACAATATCGCATTTGTCTTCCTCACAGCTACGCTATCTCGAGCAGCTTCGGACCTCACCCCTGTGACAAATGAGCCCAAAGGCGGACTCTCTCGACGCTTGAGTTTCCGTCGTGGGAACGCACAAGATGACGACTCCAAGAAGCGACAGATGAGAGAACGTAGGTACGCCGAGATAGTAGGGCCACTGGTCTGTCGTGTAGACGACAAGGACAAGGGAGCAAAGGATCGAGCGCGGACGGTCGTGGAAATGTTCATAAGGCGTGACGAGAGCTAGAAGCCACCGAATCGCAAGATAAGGGTTATGCGGGCGAGTGTTTGAGAACATGGCGATGGGAATTAATCTGGGGGTTGTTTTGTTAGTAGAGTTATACCAGCTTCGTTTCGATATAATCGTAAGGGGTTTGAAGGCTAGGGTACAAACAAAGGAATAGAGAACATGAATCGAACATTATCAAAGGTTGAAATATACGAACAAGTGTGATAGTGCAATGTCAAACGAAGTATAGATGGCCTGTTTCAAGTCTTTGAGCGCTGCGTTGTTCCTGCTTTGTGCAAAGGCGTTGGAAATTTGCAATTCAAGTAAAATACCAAGTATCTATCATGTCTCTATGCTCTGTTTTATTTTATACCATTCATCTTGGTCTCATCTCTCCTTTTTGCTGGGACAATTATCCTGTGGTCGGCTGTCTGTCACTGGCGATGGCATCGCTTTCCGCAACTCAGCCATCTCTCCCCTGCTAAACAGGAACTCGTTGATATAAACCCTTTCTCGAACCCAAGGGGCCCTTCCCTACAGGTACTTGGTTATAGCTAACCCACAGTGAATCACTGCAGCTTTAATTCTTCCACCTGCCGGGCCCGTAAACCATAACCGCTGAGCCTCGCTACCTACTTGTTTGTATTTCTTCCGCAAGGCTTCTTTTTTTGCCCACGCCATTTTCAACTTTCTTTTCTTTTCTCTTGCAACTACACCACTCTTTTGAGAATAGCCTTTTGATCAACTATTTTGACCGTATCACTTCTTTTGGCCCAAACGCGGCGCTTGATAGTGCTCCCCGTAGAGAACTCGACTTGTTCATCTGCTTCCAACCACACAGGTAAGGTGACTCTGCTGAACCTTGTTCATGGAGGTCAAATTAACCTTTTGGCAGCAACAGGTGTTCGTAGCATGTCGTTCTGGATACCAAGATTCCATGACACGGCCAAGATGTCGCTAGCCTTTCGACATATTACCCTCCGCCGCGGCGAGAAGCATCACGAAGACCTCATCGCTCTTCGAACGCGTGCTCTGAAGTATGCTTCCCCTGATGCTATCCGAATCTTTTCCATTTGTGTCGACCTCCCTCCCCAAGAAGCCCGGGAGATCGAGGCTCTACAAGACGCATCCAAAGAGAGTAAATACAGCTTTGGTACACATGAACCCACCTCCTTCGAGAATGAAGAAGGTCACGATGACAACGATATATCGTATTCCAGCTTTGATAAGGGAGAACTAGCTGGCAACGCCATTCCTTGGCTCCGTCTTCGGGAAGTCAACTACCAGCGTCCCAACCCCCCAATCCACGAAGATGTGAACACCAACGTTTCGCATACAACCACCGACCATGAAGGGGATGTTGCTATGAAAGAAGAAGACTCAGACGATAGAGGTTCCAGTACATCTACCTCGGACGCTGGAGACGACCTGGACTACCAGAAGTGGATTGATGAGAATACCCAGAACGGTGCCGTGATGCCCCTGAACCTTGACGATCGCGAGGATTACCAGTCCGAAGCTTCAACAACGGACGCGAGCAATTGCATTGACTACCAAAACTGGATGTACGACAACTCGGATGGAAACCATGGCATTCCCATCGATCCTTGTCTCGAAGACACCCCCATGCCCAACGCTCTTGATCCCTCCCTCAACGAATCTTCTACGAACGACATTGATGTATCTGATGTCGTCCAGAAGTGGCTCTGCGATGCTCCTGGAACTACTATAAGCACTGAAGAGCTATCCATGGCTGCTTTGACTCAGGATACCGACACTGTTCTGGTCAAGGGCGTTCAGCATTCGCCCACATCGGGTAACGAAACCAACGAGCCTAATCCATCGCATACTTTTGACATATTTGAAGACGAAGTAGACTCTCTAGGCAGCCTAACTAACGGAGATACTACCTCCTCATCTATTCAACTTTGCTCCACGACAACTCAGAGCCACTCCAATGATGGCCGGGACACAGGCGATGCCGGGAAAGATGACACCAGTTCAGAAATCTCACTCGATAGCGATAGCGACAGCGATACCGAAACTACGAACACTTTGCTACAACCTCGTAAAGACTACTGGCCGGCGAAGCTCAAGCGTAAACTCGATGAGGCCGAAGCCAAGTACGAAGACTACGTCTGTCAGCGTGAGACGTTCGAGCGTAACATTGCAAGCCAGGTCGAACACATAGGCAAGATCGATGACAACGAGCTCTGCAACTTCGTCCGTAACAACGTTGTATATCCTCCTAGGGTCAACGTACGAGAGCTTCTTGATCTGAAGGATTGCATCGAAGATGTGGCTGATTTTAACCACGATGGCAAGAAAAACCTCCATGAGATCAATCGCGAAGCGCACAAGCGTAAAGCGCTGCGCTACGAGCCGCCAGGATCCACGAAACGCTTTCGAAGCAGATGTCTTGGAAGCTCTCTGCGATATGTAATTGGAATCGATCAGGACTGGGGAGATGAGGACAACTAGGGTATGCCTCCCCCCAAGAAGCAGCGAAAGAGAATCTAGACATACTACACTGGGCAAGACGCTAGGCGAGAGCGCTACATTAAAAGCACTCCACGATAGAGGAAGAACCTTTTGCCAGAGGCGAATCTGGACATGATACGACCGCCATTGTTGGTTGGCAAGCGCTAGATATTGGGACCACGGAGTTCTAGGAGATTGGCCATCGTTTTGTAGCTGGCGGTTTTGTAGTTTGGCACATTGGGTGTGCAATAGCTCGTGAAAGTTCTTGGCGCCTCTAGCTCGTGAGGCAGTGAGGTCACCTTGTCTACGTTACATGAATAGAAGTAATTCTTTTGCTAAGACGAAGAAGTTGTGTTACATGCTGCGAGGGTGATTGTTATACACAGAGCTGGACAATGTGATGCAGAAGGGTGGAGGCGAAGGACTGAGATGCATAATCGGAACATAACTTCGGACAGCCTGTACGGGGGTTAGATGTTGACTTGAACGCCCATTCTCTTCTGTTCTGACGTCGCATCCATCCGTGCTATCTCTAATGATGCTATTGGTAGACTGCCGTGCCAGTTGTTGCACCTCCCTCGTCCTCGCACCCACCCTCGCCAGTGTCTGAATGACGGTATTAATTAAGTATATATGTCAGAAGAGATTCGTTTCGGTCGTTATAGCTCCATTCACGAAGCCTTCAGTCCTCGTTCGTGTTCTCGTTAAATATTCGGTTCGCTGGCTTGCCGAACGGATTACTATCAAGCCACAGCGATAGCCGCCGTGAGTGTCTTCTTGGGTAATGGCTCTTGCTGGTATGTTGGATGGGGATACCAATCCTTCTCGAACATTTGTGCTACCCAGTAAAGCGGGTGGTCCCAGTCGAACTTGTCCTGTTTACCTATGTAGCGAACGGAACCTGCATCTTGCGACAGGGTGATTTTGTCAACTATGTCAATACCGTCAGCTATACCCGAAGATACCTCGGAGCTATGCCCACTGTACCTTTTCCGTTTTCTGCTTTGTATTGTTTCCAGATTGAGAGATGTTTCTTGACCTCGGGCGCTTTGCGAGTTTGTCGAACGAGGTTCAATTGCTCAGTTGCTAGATTCTCGAAATGGTCACCTCTTTTGTTGTCTATGGAGCTATGCTTCGGCCAAATGTTACAGTTGTAGTAGTGCCAATGCGTGAGAATATTGTTGCAGCTTTCGTGAAGGCTCTCAACAAAGGCAGGTATTGAATATCGTAGCTGTTTTGTTAGCCGAAACTATATTGTTGGAGGCGAAATGACAGTAATACCTTTGATCCATGGTTGGCTCTCGCGTGACGATAGCGATCTGCAGTCATGCGGCTCGCTTCTCGTAAAAGTACAAAGACGATGAGATAAATAGTAAACCACCAACGGCTCTTGTCTTGGCTGAAGAGCCAATCGATATCCTTGAGTAGCTTTTCTTTGTACCTCTCGAGGACACCGTTGTAGTTGAGCGTGTCGAACTGGGCGACAATCATGCGAGGGACAGATACTTTGCCGTAGAGTGGGTAAGTCTCGTCTACGGTCTCGGGTGCCATGCCCAAAGTTTCCTTGCCATTGATGTGGAGAGATCCAACTGTATGCTCTATATTGAGTACAATATTAGTTCTGCCTTAAGCGATGACGTAGATCGAAAAGGGGGTGACTTACGAATGGCGCACCATAAAATAAAAAGGTTTCCCAATATTCCTACTTCTTTTTCTTCGTCTTGTGAGAGCTTTTTACCCGTGGATTGTTCTTTCTGCAAGACTATTAGTCCGAACACCATGTCGGAGATCTAAGCGCACATACATGAAGAGTCATGTATCGAGACATAACTGTGAGGTAGGTTTTCATGATCAACCCGCTTTCCGGCTCCGACTCGCAGTCTAGCTGGATAGTGTGAAGAAAGGAAGAAAGAGCGCTGTCTATGATGTATTGACGGAGTTTATCAGCCGTGTCATGGATACTCAGCAAACAGTATGGCTCCAGCTCTTTCTTCTGGGTCGTCTCCTTTCCCGAGACGTATGTAGTCCAATATCGAGCCGTGACGTCACCCTCTCGAGGTACAAACCGGACGACTTCGATAAAGAACGGCTTGTCGCAAAGGTCTTGGGATATTTCGATCGTAAGCGGCGACATAACAAGTCGATCGGGGATATCTCGCATTTCGATGCTCTTCCAGCGGCGGGTGAGGTTCAAGCCACCGCTTCGATAGAGGACAATGTCGGTAATTCGAAGTCGAAGACAAGGAACGCGATGGATTGTTTTCGGTGAGGTCTTCGAAAATCGCTTGCAGGTTTTGCATTTTCCTGTCGGGTTGTTGAGATCGGGATGGCACTGTTCTGTTAGTGCTGGGGACACACGAAGTCGCGAACAAAGGAGTATCGTACTTTGATTTTTTGAAATCGACAACGAACACAGGCTCCAATCTCTCGAGTTCTTCGTATAAGCTCTCGCTCTTCGGATGTGAAGCGACGTCTTCCAGGAATATTAGTTGTGGGAGAGACAGTGCTATTAGTCGTCATGTCCGACGCGAGCGCGGTTTCCTCATCTTCAGATGAATCTGATTCACCCAATCCGGAAAGATACTCAACCTCTCCTTCCTCCGCGTCCTCATCATCGTCGTCAGTATCGATTTCTGCAACTGAGAGGTCTTCGTCTTCAGAGGTCGAACAAACATCTACGCGAGAACGAAATGCAATTAGAGAAGACGCTGCATTGGGGTCGCTCTCAGATCCTTCAGAGTCTGAGTGCCCTATTCCAATTTTTTGGATAAGAGCAGCAAGATCTGCATCGTCAGTCTCTTCAGAAGACTCAGCAATTTCTCCATCTGCGATATCCTGGTCCTCGTCTGCTTGAGTAGCAGGTCCGTTACTTACTTCGCTACTCTTCCCAGAACCACCATCATTATTACCACAGTCGACGTTCTTTGCGAGACCAAGACGGCGAGACTCTAGGGACAATGTTTTTGCAGAAGAAACCTTGAATACGCTACTGCTAGTAGCATTGCCTTCGCAAACAGATACTTCGGAATTGTCATCGTTGGTGTCGATCTCAGAGATCTCTTCAGCAGAACCACCACCAGCTGAGGCTTCCTGGACGTCAGGGTCTCCATCTTGAAAGCCTTCAGTAACGCTTGCGTCTTTCGAAAAGAAACCACAAGTACGTTTTCCAGGACCGAAAGACGAGAGATTGGTTGTCTCTGAGTGGAAGAGGCCAGTGGTATTCGGAATGGTACTGGACGGCAGGCTTGGAGCTCTTGGGTAGCGTGGACCAAGTTCCTCGCCGGATGAAGCACAGGAGAATTCGTGAGCCTGGACACACCCTTGGCTCGGTGAGTCACTCTCCTCTTCCGGAGAGAGCAAAGCCCCGTTTGTTTTTCTTAGATCCCTCCCTCGACGGGAAAGAATCGAGTCTAGCTCTGGCTCTTGTTCTGACTCGGTGGCTTCAGGCTTCTCCGAGGATGGATCCTCTCCTCCATCAGGTGGAGAGGGAAACAAACTACCATTGGGTGACTTCGAGAGCGGTAAGTTTGACGAAGTACAGGTACGAGTACGGGTACTTCTATTAGAAGTGAAGACTTGTGGTGTTAGGCTAAGCAGCCTCCGGTCACAAGCTTGTGTGGAAGAATCAACTGCACACTCGCTAGGGCTGAAGTTGGAGGGTAAGAACAAAGTCTTAGAGCCGAGCCCCTGTTGCCCAGGAAGAGAGACAATATGCGTGGAGGCGTCATCACCATCAAAGCGTGGGTTTCCTCCTATTGATGCTGAGAGGCGAGCTTGGATTGGAGATAAAGTCTGAGCGGTATTCCTCAAGCCCTGGAAGCTTCCTGCTTGCGCACTCCCACCATTGGAATATGTACCCCTTGTACCCTCAGAAGTGACATTGTCTGTACTGGGGTGTGGTGGTAGGTTCCGGCCATGGTCTGGTGAAATATTTGAACGAGACGAGCCGCTCTGATAGACATGCTTATCCCGGCACACTGATTTCAGTGACACATGAATGTAAGCACCTGCATAGCCGTTAGAACTGTGTCAGTGCCACTGTTGGTCTCCCGTACCAGACTCACCAGTGGAGAGTAGCTGTTGGTTCGAGCGATGACGTTTTAGCTCGCGAGTGTCGGCTGCACCGTCCGTATTTTCCCGCTTTTGACTCGTCTGTGAGACCGGCAAGGACCTGTCAGAATGAAGTACGAATAAAGAGAGAAGAGAATACCAGAAACCTGGTCCCTCCAGTTACACGAGAATCTGCAGCTGGACATAGCGCCCACCTACAGGGCCTACGGATGTTCGCAGGGGTGCCGTTACGGCTGTTCCTGGCGGACAAACTACCCGACAGGTTGTATTGCAGGTGGTCTCTGAAATTGAGAGTCACATCTTTTGGGCGGCGGTCTGTTCACTTACGCGGATCTCAGCCGGAGGAGTAGCAGTGGTGTCCATCTCCATCTCCATATCGGCAGCTAGAACTGAGGCCCCCGGGGGGTAGTGTCCCATACGGTCAGCCTGGCAGCTGTCAAGTGCATGCATGTACTGTAGTGCAAATTATGTGGCAAGGGTTGTATACGTTGTAACGCGGCAATTGAATATTGCTGGCTTGTGAAGTCACACGACAGAAGGGAAAATACGTGATGCTGGCCTGAGCTGACCGGTGAGAAGTGACAACGCAAGAGCAAGATTTGCAGCCTCCCTCAGGCCAAGAGGCGTACTTCTGCCCTGGATCCATCCACTCACTGCCCTCGAGACCTGGTCTGAAGGGGGATGCAGGGGCATCGACTTCTACCAGTCGCTGGCCGTATTGTGAGACCTGCATGGGAGTATCCTTGTTCAGAGGTGCAGCCGAGCATTTCGAATGGCAGTTCCAGTGTCTGGAAACCAAAAATCTGGAAGAAATTGCCATCACCAACTCAAGAATGTGAGGTTTTACAAAAGTCAAGCTCAACATACTTAGACCACTCTGGATGTGGGTTTTGGTTCAAGCGTCCAAGATTTGCAACGAGGATTGACCATCCCTAGTAAGGATTGTAGTAGCCACCCCTGTCAAAGCTACTCGGCCAATCAAAAACGATAGCCAGCGGCTCTTGGGGACCCATAAAGGCCATCTTCTGGACTCACCGGTTGATCTTAGTGGTCGAAGCGTACTTAATGTGGGTTTCCCTGGCACGCACTAGGAAACATAGGCTATTCCCTATCTCACCGTAGCCTGTAGCTTCCTCAACCTCATGCCACGATTATCAACCAGTGTTAAACGATATTACGATGCTACTCGTCCCTCGAACAACTCTTCATGATTGCTTGTACTGGGTCGGCTCAGCTGATATTGATACTCGGCTATGATTGGTAGGCTGCCCAACTACGTACCAACGACGACTTTAAACCAGGATGAACAAATACTGAAGTCATAATAATTTACGTAGCATCATCCATCATTCTATCAAATCAGCCACCCGCTGGTGGGGGTTCCATTCTTGTAGTACTACAAGGCTCAAGTCTTGACCAATGAGACATAATATGGAGAGCATACTTTTGACAGCCCATCTACTACTGTAAATAGCGAGCAGTGTGACAACCGGAGAAATTCAAACAAGACGAAAGCGGGTAACCAAAGGGCGTCTCAGATATCCCCTCATAATCAGACGTCCGAGACACGGTTATTAAAGCTCCTTGTAATGAGTTAGGCTTATTGATCCAAGACTTCTAAGTCATTATCAGACCCGAGGAACCGTGCCGAGACTGAAATACGAGCGTAGTGTACTTCCTGACGCTGGTCTCGGATTAACTGCAATACGAAGTGCATTGAGGACAATATTGATAACTTGTCAACTCCCGGAACGCGGCCATGTCTCTGTTTTGGACTCGACAGGATTAGTAGCATACTTCGGCAGTTGCACTGATACGGACGCCACGCCCGAGACATCAGCAGATCGTAGAAAGATACTATGACTCGTCATTTATGGGCAATGTGATAAGCACATCAAATGTGTAGTGCATGTAAGGTAGGTAATTGGAGCAGAATGCCTCTCTTTTCTCGGGTTAACATATGTGGAGATGGAAGAGTATTTCCTTCATCCAAGTCGGGAGAACATTTGATAGTGACGCAGCTTGTGCAAAATGCTGGTCTCGTGAGCCTTTCGACGATAAATGTGCACAAAGATAGCCTGTCACTTTCATATTGAGACATGCCATTCCGATAGAGTCATACCCTAGTAAGCACGCTCTGATATGGCGGGAGAAGCTTCCGTCAACGATGGTCTCCACGACAAACAAACATCTGACGGTTTCATTAAAAACGACGGAAGAAAGATTTAGACAGGAATGCAGATGCCAAATTGAGGAGAACCCTGGCAGTTATAGCTCCGATATTGGAAATCAGCTCACATGACAATAGCACGTGACTACGATTACTCGGGAAAACAATGGATTGCAGGATTGTTGGTTGTATTTTCCAATGAGCGGCTAACAGCTAACATAGTATATAACCCTGCATGTAGTAGTTGACCTATAGTAGGCTCGTCCTGGAGAAAGCGACAGCATACAAAGACTCATAGCCTTTGGAAAACCAAAGCAGATCGTTATTCGGAAATGACTGTAGGTCTCAGAAGAAAGACAAAATCAAAGAGCGCAGACAATTGCGAAATTCGCTACTCCTCATCCGAAGACTCAGAGTCCTCGACCAAAAACGCAGCAGAGCTTGTAGTGTATGCCGGGACGTGATACTCTGCCATGGGGACAATGGGATAGTGTCTAGCCTTGTTCTTGCGCTTCTCTCCGTAGGCCGCCTCCCAGGGAGGGAGCATACCCTTGGGAATAGCCCAGCCGTACTTCTGGTTGCGCAGCCAGAGTCTGACCATGTGGCGCGACGAGGCATCGTCGTCCATGTAGGCGTCTCGGCGGTGGACAAGGGCGAGGTTGTTGAAGAAGAGCAGATCTCCTGTCTCAAGCTTCAGCTGCAGCTCAACTCGTGAGGCAGCCTCCGATACGGCTTGGAGAGCATGGATCTGAGCATCTGAAAGCAGAGGAATGTCAGAGTTCTTCATGCTCGGATGCGGCCCGAGGCGGTGCGGGTCGAGACTGGCAAGGAGTTTGCCATCGTGGAAGGTTAAGACAGGCGCGAGGTAGTAAGATGCCTTGCGGCCGGAACTATCCGAGACACTAGTTAGTGTTGTCTTAAATAATAGCGACAGGGTGTGTATATCTTACAGCTGAACTGGCCAGTTGGGAGTCAGCAAAGTCTTAACAACTTCAGGCTCACGGTTGAGCAGGTCGTTGAAGACTGTCCAGGTGGAGCTGAGGTAGGTATATCCTCCCTTATTGGCGCTGTTTCGAACTTGAAGGGATAGGATGTCGCATCCCATATCAGTGTGGAAAGGCTATTAGGGGGTAAGCAGAGAGTTGTGTCTTGTTTCTCGGAGTTGCTGGGACTTACCAGAGATGCGTTGGTATGTATGCCGTGGCGCGATTCGACGGGAGCAGTCCATTTCTTGGAATCGGTGATATGGGCTAGTTAGGTATGTTAGAGAGAAATGATAATTTTGAAATAATAAAGAAAGGGAAGAGAGTTTAGAGTTGCGGAAACGTACATAGCATGGCACCCTTACGGTCCTGAAGACCACGCTTATCCGCAATGTAGCCAGCTACACCGAGGAAGATAGTAACACTATCCTCATCAGAGTACTTGGAGCCATCGATGCCGCGGATGACAACAAAGCCTCGTCCGAGATGAATAGTCTCAGCACTGGCACGCAGACGCCGAGACAAGTTTGGGAGGGGGAAGTTGTCTGGGGAGACTTCGTCGCCGTCGAGTCCATGGTCTAGTTCCCGTTAGCAAAGACAAGGCCCAAACCCGAGTCAGTTTTGTGGAAGAAGGTTAATTAGAACTGACTTTTGAAACTAGCGAGGGCGCTGTCGATTTCGGCGGCTTCCTCCTCGCTCAGACGAAGAGTGTAGGCCTGGTCCCCCTGATAGTCGGCTCCGGACCAGACCAGAGGACCAGTCAGGGCGGCGTTGGACGAGTCCTTAACGGGCATGCCTCCGAGAATATCAGAGTTTAGCCCAATAACGCCATTGCCGTCAGAGCGCTGCAACTCGGTTGCGTAGTCCTGAGTGGTGTCTGTGAAAGATGACATTCTGGAAACAAAATGAAGATTCTAGTTAAAGTAATGATATCAAAGATAGAAACTCAATGTAGAAGTTGTCGAATCTGTAGTTTTCTGGTTGTTTATGGCTTCATTCTTGATACATAGGCCAGGCTATTTAAGCAGTCAACTCTACTCCTAGTCATAGCCGCCCAAGAGTATCACATCCCACGCTCCGCACTTCACAGATACTATCTCTTGTTCTCCCTGACTGAATGACTTCCAAAAATGAATCTCTGCAGTTGTTTGCTGTTTCCCGGATGTCTCCCCGGCATACACTTGGCCAGTTCAACTGGCCAAGTTGTCACACTGCATCGAGTTGTGGATGTCTGTCTCGACTCGAGTGGACAAAGTGCACTGTTGGAACTCATGCTGTTGGTCAAAGACACGATGTCCCTGCTATCTTACATAGTCTGTGTTGGTTGGATAACTCGTGGGGCTGCCACGACGAAGCGATTACCTCAAGGAGACATGGCGGCTGAAAGGGGGTGGTGGTATCTGGGATGCTACCTGTGGGAAATGTAGCCACTATGAGTTGACAGAACTGTTTGTTTAAATCTTCAAATGGGAAATGGTATTTATTAGAATGCCCTCGACGTGTAAGGGCGATACTGGTGATGTATACTCCAATCCTTCGAGTCACTGTCAAACTCACTCAGCGATTAAACGTGGAACTGTCATCTCTTCGCACCCCTAGACTAGTTCTCACTAAATCCACCGGGCAGACATCACAAGAAACAAGGCTGATCGATATCAAACTAAGGATTTTAGTCCTGGCATCGGCTGCACGACATTACTCTCCGGTCCATGTTAGCGAGCGCTAAGACATGTCGCGGGTACCTGGATCAACCCGGCTCAAGAAGACTGGCTTTAGTAACCGTTAGTACGCTCCGAGATGAACATCCACTCTCCGGTCATTTCTACGCCTGATGGTGACGAAATTTGTGGTTGATGAGGAGAGACGTCAGGAAATGGACTGAGATCTCGACGGCCAGGGGTTACTGCGACACTTGGGGTAAATAATGTGCTGAAAAGCCCAGAGACGCTTCTCATACGAGTTTGAGGTAGTTTTAAGCGTCTATAAGCTGTCCGGTAGTTTTAAAAGGTCTTTACTTATGCGCTGAGCCTGGTGATTCGGGTTGTCTCTCGTATTGCAATTCTTTCACTCTCTATCATGGTCGCAAGCCACAATCGGTTATAGTTTGCAGCAAATACACCAATATGTAATGAATACACTTTCAGTAGCCTATCTATGCATGCCTGTATGAGCTACTTCATACCCGACCCAATGACTGTGCAGTGAATGTTTCGAGGAGACGCCCTGATATCTTCAGTCGTTAGAGATTCAACAGTCCCCCCAAGATCAATGATCCCCGCGAAGCGCCACTTCACTCAGACCTCTCTCAGATATCACGAGCCCCATCTACTTCAATGTATCCTAGGTACTTCTTGCAACAATACACTGTGTACTGTTTACGCTCTGACGCCTTGCACAATGACAAGCCCGGTATCTCTTCCGCACTCAGGGGTGTCCCTACCAAGACTAGGAAGAAAGATCCGCTAGTTCGTCTGTAAATATGGCGTGCATGATCACCCTACTAGGCTATTAGCTTCATTACAGGATACTAGCGAGCTGAGAGGGCGAGGGCTAACGGCATGGGACAACTAGCTCAACGCACGATCGTAACTCAACGCAGATGTCGTCAAGTTACATCGTGCTCACACAACTGTAACCCCAGTTTGAACTGACGGGGGGATCGTAATGCTTCATTGGCTTTGTGATAAAACTCTTCCGCGGGTATCCATTTCTGAGCGCGAGATACCTGTTGACCGGAGTTATGAGCTTCCGATCTTAGCTTGAAGAGGTCGCTCGACCTCGCAGACACACATCATTAGCTTTCTTTCCTCTTTCCACCTGACGCTTAAATCACATTAGTCGATCTTAATGTCTTGTGTGACCTGAGATCTAGAGCTCAACCGCCAGGGTCGCCTTAGCCCAGCCACGGTTGACATTTTCCAGGTTTCCATTACTGTTGTGCCCACGTGCGATCGGCTCGCTATCAGTGTCAAAAGAGGGTACTAAACAATTAGTTCGTCCTAATTTTAAGTCAACTCTACTCAGAGGCGTGGTATTATCATCGAGTTCGCAGACGGTTAGGGTGATGGCGCAAAGTTTAGTTTAAGTGTTTTTATTCGAGTAACTCCGCAGCCGCTCACAAACAAGTGCCACCTATGTGGCTTAAACTATGTGTAATCTCACAATCTCACAAACAACTACTCGAGTTGGCAGTACGATCATTTGCAGCTCGTTTATACCATGGTGCCTTTACTTTGGCAGCAGTGTCTCTACTGATAGTTCGGCAACATTGTGCAAGTCTTGGCGTAATCACTGACTACGGTGAAAACTTCGGATAAGGCAGAATGGGTCTTAATTTCCTGTGGCATCAAGTCTTTGGACTTGCTGGGGTCTACAGCCCAGTTTCTGATCAGCGTCGATGCGGTCATCCTGGTATGAACACTTGCGTCAGGGAGGCTACCCGGATGCCGGGCCCAGGATATACCCTGAGGCTGGCTGAGGGCGTATATAGATAATTGACAAGTTACTTGGGAGATACTTTGACAGGTCCCTGTTCGCATGAGAGTCTAAGGTATCCAGAAGAACATTGTAATGGAGGGGTATACCCGCTCGATGAAGACACAACACCATGACGAAGAGAAGCAAAAGGTCCTCCGCTGTCACTACGCACCTCCGAAGTGAAACATTTTCCGCTCCTATGCAACCTTGGTGTGCAAGCTGTGAGATGCGTTGGCGTGGGGGATAGGAATCATCTTTGAGGCCATCCACCGTAACCAAACAACTATTCATACAAGCCCCACGCCTTTTACTGAGTCATGGTCATCGGCTATCAACTATGACACCAACTCAGAATGAGGGCGTGGAGTGCTTCAGCCAGCCATGTTTAGTCAAGGTAAGGTCTGACAAGATCTTCACATCACGATATGATATCGGATATTCTGATCGCTATACACGGTACACTCGATCGGGCGCTTACAATGTACTCTACATCCACAACACAGTCTCTTCAGGGAACTTTGGACAATTCTGTGGATCTCACTCTGTGTTTGCTATCCCAGGACTACCATGGCGTATCCGCTGTCCTCATCCAAGAAACTAACCCATTATGCAACCAACAACTGAGGTCGACGCACCAAACCCATTAGCCTATTAACATGTTCCAGTTTTCAAATCCATTTTCCTCCGCTACTCCGGTGTCACTTGATGGACTAGGCCAACAAACCCATTAGACCAAAAATAGCCCCTATTCCGACAGCTGCCTTGACATGGGCGGCTTCCGCAGTTTGAATAGACGTTGGACCGGCTGTCTCCGACTCCCAGTCTGATCCAGATACGGTTGCTGTCTCCGTGAGTGTCTCTGACGCAGTGACAGTTGAGTCTTCAGTGCCAGGAATTATAGTCCCCGAGGCAGACTCAGCTGGTACCCAGGAGCCTCCTTCAGACGACACATACTCTTGCACAGTTGTGTATGTTTGCACGACTGTAGAAGAAGCCGTTTCGACACTGACAGATTCTGCTGTGACTGAACAGCCACCACAGCACTTTCCAACCTCCGAACATTCCACTCCCGAACTGACAGCCTCGACTGTAGTTGTCTCCGTCGTCGTGCCTCCAACCGCTATCTCTCCTGTCGACGTAGAATACGCTTCCACCACAACTGTCTCGATAGTAGTTGTTATCGTACGAAGCAGCGTTACTGTTTGAGGTGTCTTGGACTGCCATGTCTCAACGATGGTTGTGGTCATCGTCACAGTGATCTCCGTTGTACATGGCTCTGATACGGAGACTTCTTCGGTTGGTGTCGATGCTGCTGGGAGACTTGTTGAAAGCGATTCTGCCGATTCGAACGACCATATTCCATGATGTCTTGTTACACTTGGATATACTACTGTATCGCTCCATGTTGAGATATGAATTGATGTTGCCACCTCTGTCTCAGCTGAAGTCCATGGAGGTGTCCCAAGTTCACTCGAAGCCAACCCGGTCGAGACGGAAGTCTCAGGTTGAGGCCACGTCCAAGGGGATATGTTTGTCGATGTAGTAGAGCACGAAGAAGATGTTGATGATTTCGACAGAAAGGGTGAGGGCGTGGGCGGAGTCCGTGTGTCCGACGAAGGGATAGGCGTATTGTAAATCGTGATGCAGGAGGTCAACACTGGATACGGAGCGACTGGAGCGGCCTTGGATTCACCACTCTGCCTGTCTTGAATTAGTACGGCTATAGCAATACAGAAGCAAGGCATCTTACCAAGGCACAGTTGCGAGTGTTTGACATTGCGGTGCGCAGATTATCGTCTCTGAGGCCGCTCCGAATGTAGTGCTCAGAGATACATGAACAACATCAGTAGTTCTGTCTATTTCCGTAACAGTAGCAGGCTCCACGGTAACAGAAGCAGGCTCTTCGTCGTTAGTGATAGAACAGAAGAGACAATCCACCGTCACGACTGTTGTTGGTACAGGGTTGAAAGAGGACGGCAGCAATGGAAGCGAAGGAAGTACCTCCACAGATAGAACAGCATTCTTTGAGGGAAGAAAGTGATCCTGACCAACAGCAATAGAGACCAATGCGGTCAGGATAACAAAAAGGAGGCTGAAAATGCCCATGATGCAGTAGAAGCCACTGTAAAGAGTGAATTGGATTCCGTTATTCAGAGTATACCCTCCGTCTTTTCGTATTAAAATACACGACAAACTCCTATCCAACCGTCGTAGCGTCCCTTAAGTAGAGATATGACTCCTTACACAACGTCACCGGATACTGTCTCGGGGATGACTGAAGATATTCGAGTTCTTATTAAACGTTGAGCATGTGCATGTTTGCCCGTTTTCTCTCGCCCGGGTGCAGCGACTTTTCAAAGAAACATATCACCGCAGGCTCTGTCAAAACTAGTGCTATATATCTAAGCCAACCAATTATGTCTCCTGTAACTTCTGTGGAACTGTTAAGGTGGTGGATAGTTCCACGGATAGGGGTAACGACATCTAGTGTGACTGTGGTATAACTGTGTCGAATGATCTGCGCCGCTTAACCTGTTCCTCTGCCGGCATTTGCTACATGTATTCTTGACCGACGGCAGTATTGGGTATGTTTCTTGGTAGCTTGTGGGTGTTGGAGTGATTTGATACTTGTAGGTGGTGCAACGTTAATGTCGGTACAAGTTGCCCAAAGTTAATTCTTAATGCACACCGCTCTTCGCCTGGTTTATGTATGCGTGAGAGAAATTTGGCAATCAATTTGACTATCATAGCCCTAGATAGAGGTTTGGCGGATAACACAAGCTTCGGTTAGTAGGGGGAAATGGTATACGACAATGTCGAGAAACCACTCGCCACTCACTCTTAAACGAATGACAATAGCCAATAGCAAGAAGCTCTAGAACACAGTCTATTGCTAATACTTGTCTCAATATGACAGTTGACTATCTTTATGCATGATACAGGTCATATTTAAGATCTGTTGGTCCGATCTCGTCAGTGCATATTGGCTGGGTTTTGCTAGGGGGACACCTACTAGACAGATACATGTCTTATTCATTGAAACGATTCACCCAATACCAGGATTCATTCTAAGCTTCTTCACTTTATCTTTTAAGACATGCTGCTATACCTTTATGCCCGGAAGTTATAAGAGCAGATACTCGCACCCGTCGGGATGGCCTCCGAGATCTGAGATTCCCGCCTGAAACAGGTACTAGACCCCATGTCTTACCCATCACTACCTTTTGCTACGGAGTTCAAGACATTTGAAAATGATATGTCAAGGTTTTGACTTCAATGCCATGGCTATTGAGGTTTAGCGACAACACCATATTAGAAAGCTTTCTAACCAACACATCAATTGCAACTGTAATGGCAATACAGAACTGTAGTTCAGGCAATTTTTATGCCCCCAAATATCTATATATGAGAACACTGCTCTTTTGCAAGGGCCAGCCTGTTCTATCACTCCTACGCAACTTGCCTTACCCCTGGCCAAAGACTGCCACCTGACTCCTCCATGCAGAACATAGCTAGAGGTCCCGATTTAACGCGAGATGCTGCAATAGCTTTGAGAGGTCAAACATAATATGAATCATTTAGGTCAAAGACGTAAACTCACGGGTTAGGTCTTTGTATCCTAGCGGTCTGTTGGATGGTGTGCAATTCTCGTTGGAGAAACTGACCAATTTGTCATGGCTTTAATAATTCCGATGTCTTCAACATAGGTTCTCTGGCACATAAATGTCATGGCGTACCCCGCAGTACTTCCTAGCGATGGAATTTTCCTCTTCTTAGACACACAGTCGGGAATTGTTGTCGAGTGACATGGAGCGGATCGGCCACTGTTCAAGATTGCTGTGTACCACTTGCGCCGATTAATACCATGACTGCCTCGTTTACTACTCTGTTATACTTTATTAAATGACTATAAAATAATAGATTTCGTGCCATCGCTCATAGTTATGTTGCCTTTCTCGCCAAGTAACCCTCTTAATTATCCTCGGTCTGCCGGAGAGTGATACTCACAGTCGTCATTATTTACTCTGTCTCTATCGTCCCATCTTCAAGCTAATCAGAGTTTTGCTCGTTATCGAAGTTTCCATACTCTTTATGTGCATTTTCAGCTCTTCTTGTCATCGTGCCTCCCTGCATAACGGCTGTTGAGTTGTGGACGGCTACATCATGCAGAAATCAGCCTCCCGTGGGCTAATGTTTCCAAACCCACTATACAATACATGACTAGGGGACTTCTGCATGTGTCCAGAAACTAGTTCCTCGCAGTGATCATTGACTTCGGAGCCGAGATCTCTTGAATAGTCTCGCCCAGACTGCGGATCCTCAGCCTTTTATCAGTTCCAAAGCTGCTAAGACCACTGGGAAGTTCGAATGAATAGATAATAAGGAAGCTGCTCTATACCCTAACGGTGGCTAGGTTTATCTTGCATGCATGATCGTGCATCTGAACAGCTCACCTCTAACCAAGAGGTGGCTGGTCAGATTATCGCAACACCTAAACCACAACACGAATAAGCGCAGCGTCTATTTTGACTTGCCAACCTCCAGGTTTTCTGGTGATCTCAAGCTTTTGACAAGACTTTGTACCGGCTAACATTTCCAGTATCTATCGACGTATACAACGGAGGTTAGAGGTTATAAGAAGGCCCGGAGCTGAGCGGCAGTTGTGGGGCCGTTGATGTCGATCCTGTGCCGCTCAACGGTAAGTGGCCAATCCTTGGAGGAAATGTCTAAAAATGGCAATTATACATAAGATACAGAGTGACTCGAGAGATTTTCTGGTTCGGAGTAGGCTCGTAGCGCTGTACGTCTTCTCTAGCAGCTAGTTGAGTTTATGCCCTGATGCGAACAGCCATAATCCGTTGCCATACGGCGTACTGGTCGGGCCATTCTGAAGGATTCGGCTCTGGGATTATGGACTTAACTGGCAGTCTCCATCTTTTGTTGCTAGACCCAATAGCTTGTTTCTATGGAACCCCTTTAATCCTTCGGGGCGAGAAAAATGTTGCTCTTGGCGAGGCCCGATGATGCCTGTGCGCGGAAAATAGACAATCATATCATGGAGAATCGAGACCAATACGGAGAATATCAATTCTAGTGAGTCTCAGGCTAGGGAGATCCAGCCCCGCTGATCGGCGACAATGTTATGATCTTTGAGTTCGCCGTCGTAGAGTTTGCTGGAACAAAATCCAAATTGAAAGGTGTTGGTTGGAAGTAAATTACGAGCTACGCCAACGCAGCAACTCATGTAGCAATGATGATGAGATCAACGTGGTATCAGTTCCATAATTGAGCATCCAAATAATATGTGATATTTTTGAACAACTACAGTCAACAGCTGATAATCCACGATAAACCGCCGAAAAGAGATGCTGGCAGAAACCACAACAATGTCTAGGGTAGGTAGCCGGGGAGCGCGACAGCTGACTAAGAACACCCATGTTCCTCATCATCACCTGACCTTCATGTCGCCATGTTGCTTCTATGCGACGTTGCATCCAGTGGATCTTTGACACATGACAGCTTGTCGCTGTCCCCAGGGCCCTAGCATTGCAGGTTCTTCGCTGTTAATGGTATGACCAGTTGAGAGTCTTTTTTTTATCATTGGCGAGAATTGAGGACGAGATGTCGTGTTGTGACGGCCATTATGACATGGCGCACTGCTCAACAACCTAGGTAAACGAAGATCATCGAAACGCCAAGCTTCAACACAATTCGCTGGCCAGGTTTGACCAATCATATGTTTCAAAGATCTCAGCCTGTTTTCAGCCTCGTCCTGCCAACCAAAACAAGCTGGCCCTTTCGGACCGACCGTGGGCACACGAGGCTTGTTCAGGTCTAGTCTGGGGATCCTTATGCCTTAGCCCGAACTGTGTTTCTCCAGGTTCAGTAAAGCCTGAAGCATGATATGGGGGTGGTAGATGCGCTGTTAAAATGAGCAATTAACCCTCAAATTTACTCCCGCTTGACGGTTGACCTGAACGTGATCGTCAGCAGAAAGAAACAGGGGATCTGATCTACAAGTTTGGCAGTGGAAACCGCCATGATTCATGCATGGCATATAATCCACTGTAAAGCACACGACGAGCGTTCCAAGTTCCTTCTCGAAAACCGCTAGTCGCGGCCTGTCCGGCAGCTACTGCACGATGAGACCACGAAGTAGAAGTATACAGTATTAAGAGGACTGTGAAATAGAGCGTGCATATTGGGTTGTATCTCACACTGTGTTTGCTGTGATGCAACGCCCGGAATGTCGCCCGGGCTGTGGGAGCACACGTTCCGGACAGCGTCGGCATCGTTCGGTATTTGAAGCCGTCTCGTCAACTCTTGAGGAATAACTCAAGATACGGACTATTAAGGCAAAGCTTAGCGATGCTTGGAATAGACTGGATGTAAGTCTTCAATTTGGCATTGCGAGAACGCAGTGACCGAGTACTCGTCCTTGAGCTACCATGCTCCTTACCACATATCGTATTGCACAGAGCTCGGATGATCTGACTGTTGCTACGGTGAGCGGCTTCTCAACGACAAGCTCTAACTCAAGCGACGTGGTACCGGGAGGTTGGTAGAGTACACTCAAACTCTTTTGGCGAATTTGTTTGTGTCTAGACGAGTAACGTTATCGCGTACTGATCGAGCGCGAACCATGTTATTATTCACCACAAAGGATTCGACTCTGACAAAATAAAGTTGTTGAACGAGGGGTAGCTTGGGTGCGTTGACGCCTCTTGATCATTACCCAACCTCATCATACGATGAGAGCAATCAATGACGGAGGCATGTGGTAAAAGACGACAAGACAATAACATACGTTCTTTGAGGCTAATATCCAAACAAGAGTAAGAGAGTAGAAACAATGCTGTAAAGAAGCCACATACGGAGTAAACGAGAATGAACGTACAAACCTAGTTACCCCAGACACCAATGCCAGGCTGAACGTTACACAGCTGCTGCAAGCGCCCATGTGCTCTCGTTTCAAGCGAGATGACAGCTGCACTGCGACTCTCATGCACCAGATATGGGTGACACGTATTGACAGAAACGGACCCTTGACCGGTTGCAAAGGCGCTACATTGTAATGGGTGAGTACAGAGTAGGCAGTTGGTATACTGGTGATTGCACATTATCACGGATGACGAGGCTCTCTGCGTGCATGAGAAAATTGTACTGTCGTACAGGATTGTATGGATTCCCTTTCTGTGCAGTGCCTAAGGTCAATGTCAAAATTAAGCGTGTTCGTAGTACGGAGACTGGTGAAAGCATTGATTCAGGCACGCAGGTTTTGAACACTCTGACAGACTCTGGAGTGGAACTGAAAGAGCCAGGCTAGGCAGGTAATTAATTGATGTTTACTTCTCTCAACATTTCCAGAACGACGTTTACGTGGTTGTCTCCCGTCGTAAATCGTATAAGGTGTGTCGAATGGACAACGCTCGTATTCTTAGCACTCAGCCACCCTCATTACCGTTTCATCACCAGTAGCGCTGGGTCAGCAAATAAAGCAATCGAGTGAGACTTTGAGATATCAACTGTCCGCGTTATCTTAAGCCTATATAGGTATGTTAGGGCTGAGCATATTGGGTTGTTGTCAATTGCTCGGAAGGTTTTGTGAGTGAGACATGCTCATATACGCGTATATCAAACCCCACAATACCAGATCTACGCCGTAGAAGATCTAGATCCTTCACGTATTAGTTTCTTTCCGCGTATAGAGCATTCTTTTTTAGACGCATTTGCAAAGGGCAATGCGAATTTGATTAATCGTTTTACACGTAAAGATAGGTATATAGTCTAATGGATTGCGACAAAATTGAGTCTTTTGTAAACAAGTTCATTCATCTCAGCGACGTTTGGCCATCTGTATTATCATTTCCTTTGTCGAAACACCACGATTGAACCTACCTACCGTCATCACGAGCCTCAAATAATAAATCCCACCAACAACAATACACCATGGCGGGCTCAGATGCACCAGAGGCCTATGTCTTCTACAGCTACAACCCGAGTATGGCAGCAGCTGTCGTATTCATCGTTATATTCGGTATCTCGTCATTACTACACACGTACCAGCTTGTGCGCGCCCGGACATGGTACTTCATCCCATTCTTAATCGGATGTCTTTGTATGTTGCCAGAAACTCTCATAAAAAGCTTTTTACTAATTGATTTCCACTAGTCGAATGTGTAGGATACATTGGCCGTGCTCTATCAGCAAACGAAGCGCCCGATTTCACCAAGAACCCATACATCATCCAGTCTATCCTGCTGTTACTTGGCCCTGCTCTCCTCGCTGCCTCCATCTATATGGTCCTTGGCCGTATCATCAGACTTCTTGATGCAGGAGATCTGTCCGTCATTAGTCCAAAGTGGTTGACTAAGGTCTTTGTCACTGGTGATGTCTTGTCTTTCTTTGCGCAAAGTGCCGGTACGTACCCCCAAGAATGTTCCAAGGTTCAAGTTACTGACAGTCAAAGGCGGAGGTATGCTTGCTACAGCAAAGGATAGAGATGCCGTCAAGCGGGGCGAGAACATCATCGTCGGCGGCCTAGGCATTCAAATCGTTTTCTTCGGTTTCTTCATGATTGTCACACTCATATTCCATCTACGCATCAACCGCAACCCTACGCAGAAGTCTCTAGAGATCACAACTCCCTGGAAGAAGCTACTTTTCGTCCTATACGCAGCCAGCTTGTCCATCCTCGTCCGATCAGTTTTCCGCGTTGCCGAGTATGTCATGGGCAAGGACAGCGAGCTTCAATCCAAGGAGTTCTGGATTTACGTCTTTGACGCCACTCTTATGAGTATTGTGGTTGTCTCTCTCAACTGGTTCCATCCTAGCCGTGTGATCAACAACGCGTGGGACAGGAAGAGGATTGTCAGCCAGGATGGGTATGCGTTGGAGAGTCAACCTTCCGGGAGAGATCATCAGCGATACTCGCTCTCGCCCGTGCGCCCCAAGCACAATGGTTGAGAACACGGAAAAAGGAACTGGCTATGGAAAAGGCATTGAAGCTCATATGATAGGTTGTCGAGGCTTGATGGAGAACATACTGAAGCGAGCGGGACTGATATGATAATGTCGTACTTACAACGTAGTATATAGCAAGAAGCGGCATAATAGATTTCTCTTTTGTTGAACCGCGAGAAGCGCAGTTGATGTGAAGCGAGATATCGTGGCACGTTTGAAGGCTTGACGTCGCAAGTTGGGTCCTGTTTGAGGATGGATGGCCAGGAGGAGCCGACATGGATATCCTATGTTGCATCGTAAAGTGGAACATCACTTGACAATGACATTCTGCATTCAAAAATCCACATCGCCATCGAATGTTTCATGTCAATGAAAGGACTACTGCAAAGCTCGAACGAGATAACCTGGTAGCAAAATGAGGCTCAAAGTGGTCCGGATATAGAGATGCCACGGGAGATTAAATTCTCCCGTCTTTTGGCTCATCACGATTTCCTTCCATGGAAGTAAATAGTGGATGCTATGTTCTTGGCCGATCGGCGGGGCGGTACTCAGAGACATGAAGAGGGCTGCAGGGGGATATGAGACATTGGAATTCCGAGTCTGCGGAATTTGTCTGCATGCCCAGGTCAAAACTTGGCCGTCGGGCAATGTCTTGTTTCGGTATATCGTGAAAACCGGGACTGGCGGCTCTACATGCCCAAAACAGCCACATTTAACGATGACGAGGCGATCCGAGGTTTTGTAGATCGTAGGGCATCGTTGTTACTATGTACGGAGAGGCAGTCATCCATAATCAATCAGCTGCAGTTTGAGGACCCGAAGGTGCCGTAACGGAGCCGAAGGCAAACAGAAACACGGCTCCGTAGTCGAGTGATCTGATTGATCTGGATGACGACGAGGGCAATTGACTTCTGAAGAGACTGCGATACAACGAATGAAAAAGTTCCATCTTCTTGCCTCGGAGCAAGCCGAACAACAATGAAGGATGATGTCTGCGTGTGAATGTCATTCGATAACGTGTATCGGACCGACGTACCTGCAGAGACATTTGCCATGCGTGAATTCTTGGTGCACCAATATGTACTCGATCGTCGATGCAACCGCTTCCTGTTAGGCCTCACCTACAGTTGGAAAAGCAACAGCCTGAGACAGTTAGAAAGCAAGCTGGCAGGTGGGTTGGAACATGACCCGCACACCAAGTAGGGCTGACAGAAAAGCCTGGTCTAAATTTGGCTTTAGAGCGACGCATAGATTTTGTCAGTATTCATACCGTAAGTCCAACCAGCTGGATGGATGTTCTGCTGCATTCAGAGTGCTAATTAGAGTCCACTGAGAGTCTGAGACTACGGCGTACGAAGATGTATTCACAGCATTGAATTGCACTGTAGAGCTGAGGGCCTAAAGTGGCCCAAGCACTGTATGTTGGTTGGTGTAGGTAGAGGACGACGTGGTAGAGTCGTGTGTAGAATACAGTGCAGGAATATACTTTTCTTTCAGTGAAACAAGTTGAGTAAGTGTTGTGTTGTTGAGCGCCACCTCTTGAGTCTCCTCTTTCTCCTCACCATGGCAGTTCTCTATTTGGTGAGTGGGCGAACAAGCTCGACAAGTTTCGAAAGCATGACTGGACGTGGCTAACTGTTGTTGTCTTGTGGTCACCTCAGTGTGAGAAAGCGCGGTCTGGTTTATACGGGGCTGTAGTATACAGTGTTGCTCAGGTTTTATTCTATTTTTTATTGTATTTTTACGAAATCACTGGCCCGCCCCCATTGGCTGTGGGCAGCTCATCCCCTGGGGATTCCCAAGCCCCCTGTTCCCGCGAGGTAGCCCGGTCTCTGTTGGCACTGTCCAGGGGCTGCTAATTTCTCCTTCGCCCTTTGCCTCTTTTGGATGCCTCGCCCGCTCGCTTCTGCGGTTGGCTGGTGGTTCCTTGGCTAGTGGTACGAGTGAAAACTGGTGCTCAAAGTCACTTTCCTGCGAAAGCCACGCGTGACTATACTTTACTCTTTGCCTCAGTCTCGTCTCGTCCCACCCCGGGTCATCGTCACAGCCTCCCGTCTCGTTCTGTCTGGTTGGCCTGGCTTGGGCGTCCCCCCCGGTCCCAGTCTTTCCCTCGAAATCTCCTTGTCCTGCAAACCCGCTTCTCACCTCATCTTTCCCTCTTCGCCTGCCTTTCCATTCCCATCCCTAACCTAATCCTCTCATCCACACTTTTCTTCTGTCAACGACAACTTCATTCTTGAACAAGACACCACTGCTACTTGGGTTTGAGAACACAGCAAATTACCGACCTTCCGAATATCGACATTTCTGCGTGCCTGTCGACTCCTGGTCACCCTAAATCACCCCCCGCATTATGGTCCAAGGCGAAAGGGCCGAATAACGCCTGCACCTCTCCTGCGATCAAGTCAGCCCTCCCAATCTTCTAATCTCCCCGCCCACCCACCGAACCGACTACCAAGTCGCCCCGAATATACCTTCGAAACGACACGTCTTGTCTGTCCCCGCAAAGTTTCCCCAGACTTTTGGCTCGTCAGCCTGCTTCGACCCCGGGCGATTCTTTTCTTTCAAAACTAAAACACCACCGAGTATCCAACATCTGCGATACTTTGACTGTGCTTCTCTAGCATTGCCTTTATTGTTGGAAGTTTAGTCTCACCGCTCACCCCGACAATCCGCTGGCCGTTGAAAACCTTCAACATGACGACGGCAGTCAAACGGGCCTGCGATGGCTGTCATCGTCGCAAGGTCAAGTGCGACGGCATGCAGCAATGTCGAAACTGCGAGAACGCCAACCTCAACTGCACATACAATGCCATTCCTCAGAAAAAGGGACCCAAGGGTTCCCGTGCCAAGGTCATCAGCGAGTTACGAGAAAACCAACGCGCGACCAGTTTAGCAGCCTTGGTGCACAACAGAGTAGTTCTCCATGCCGGACCTTCTCCAGGTAGCGATCCCAGTCTCAACCCGACTCCCAACATGCTGTCGCCCGAGTTGCTCAAGAGCTGCGTCACCTTCTTCTTCGATCATGTGTATTCCATGCTACCTATCCTGGACCGAGATCAGATCGAAGCTTCCATCGCTGTTATGGACGGAAATCGCGACTCCTATTGCTTGTTCACTTCCCTGTGTGCTTTCGTACTACTTCAGCCTGGCATGACCATGCCACCAAGTGATCCATACAACCTCGAAGGTGTTCCCGGCGCCACCATCGCAGCCAGCAATATGCTACTCGAAGAATGTCTTCGCGTTCGCAAGGGAAGCGAATTTCATGAGATGATTAACCTGAACGTTATGGCCACGAGTTTCTTCATTTACGCTTGCGCCCACGCCTTGCAACAGCATGACAAGGCCTGGTTCTACCTACGAGAGGCCACAACGATGGTTTACATGGCAGGCATGACCCAAGAGTCACACTTCAGCCAACTTGGAAACGCCGAATCCGTTAGAAGACGCCGCCTATACTGGCTGCTGTTTGTTACTGAGCGAGCTTACTCAATTCAGCGTCATTTCCCTTCGACACTCCCGGCAACGATTGCCCCCAGTTCAATTGGCGACGACAGCACCGATGGATTGTACCCCGACCTTCACGTGTTCTTCCACCTCTGTGACCTTTATCGATCCGTGGATGAATCATTCTTGAATACCTGGCGGTTTGGCTGCTCGTATCTTGATGCATCATCTATCGCAGCCTTGCAGAAGCAGATCAGTGCCAGAGGCAACAGCTTTGCGTCAGACGCAAACTACATGGCCAATCACCAGTGGCTTAAGAACGCTATGTGGCAGTTCAACAATGCCAACACTGATGAGCCCTACCAGTACAACAATGCTGCCCTGGCTAGAGATCTGACTCAAAAGATGGTTTCTCATTTCCCTGGTTCTCAACAAACAGATCTCATCAACTCTGGATTGGTATGTGCTTGATGCCAAATGATAACTCAGCTTCCCTAACAGTTTTGCAGATTCCCAAGCTCATTGAGGTTTCATTCAACCTGATAAACTTGTTGGTTAATAAGCCCCAACCACGCCAAATGTTCGAGCCGGGCCCTCGACAATGGCTCAAGCAACTTCTGGATATCATGGATGCCATTCGAAACAACGGTTTCCAATACGTGCCACTATTGTTGAACAAGGTCAACGAAATTCTTCCTCGTATGATCCGTCCAGTGCTAGAGAACGCTCCAGAAACTACGCAATTCAGAATGCCCGACATGTTCGACGGCTTCGGCAATGCCGGAATGGCGCAGGTACCCGTGGCCATGGAAGACTACAACCAAAGTATGCCCGTCGACAACTACAGTCAGGCTATGCCTATGAATGAGTATGAAAACAAGTATCAGGATATGGGGGGAAATAGTCCCGACTCGCTCCCGAATTCAATTCACTCTCACCACTCGAATGGCACACCCCCTGGATCGCAACCGGGAAATGAGATGGTTGCCCCCTTCGTCAGTTCCCCTGGTTCCGTCATGTCCCCATCTGGTATGGAGTATACCCAGAACATGCCCGCCTTCAGTATGCCTGACATGATGAATCCTCTTGGAGGACCCGCTCCGTCTAATTCCATCAACAATATTCAACATCAGCAAAATATCGAAGGTCAATCACAAATGCAGGGCATGCAAAACACCAACGTCAACAATCCGTCGGTCAGCCAAGTCATGAACCCATTGTACGATATACGGCAACCACAACGACAGAACAGCTTCCACCTACAAAATCAGAGTCCGCTATCTGGAATGGGTTCAATGCCGCCGGATCTGAGCTTTCAACCGATGAGATGACAACACCAAAACTAAAAATAAACAGTCGGCCGTCCACTGCCGCTGCTTCACCTTCTATTTTATTTTCATGTTTTACTTCTATTATTATGAATTGTTTATTTACCTGCGATTGGAGTCATTGCGTTGTCACCTTCACCTTTGGTTACCGTCAACGGCTTAGTTTTTGGAGGTATTCTGTTTTTGATTGCGTGAGGCCCCAGACGAATTCGACTGGGTGGCGCTCTGGAGTTTTTCTTTTTGACTGACTCGGCTGCGATGGGAGAGGGATCAGGACCAAGTTATGCTATGCTATCAAGAAGTCATTAGGAGTATTATGGTATTGGGAATGGCCCTACCAACTAAGCGGAATTGAATGACCAGGGACATCCCTCAAATGTTATAGAAAAGAAATAAACTTTACTCAATTAACCTTATCTTACAACTAAACGTATTTAAGTAACTAATAATTCCGGGTATTCTGTATGTCTGTTTTCGGTCTGTAGGTATCATATCCAACGCCAAAGTCAACTCAATCATTAATTCGTAACCGACATCCAACATGTTCTCTTCTCATTGGGTATCAACGCCTTGCAGTCACTGACTGAACGGCGAGTACCTCAATTCTTTCAGCGTAAAGTTTCATTAAATGGCAAACAGGGTCTCCCCAGATAACTCCCCTCAACTTCTCATCGATGCAAGTGACAGCCACAACGCCCTCGTTGAGGCGTTCTTGCACCGTTTTACGATCCTTGGGTTTGGCATGAAGATTTCCAGAACGCAGAACGACGATCCGGCCGGCGTTGCTGAGTGTGCAGGCTGGGACTCTCCACTCGGGCTTCTTGCTCCGCGATGAGGACCGTGAGCGGGACTTGGACTCTTTGCGATGAGTCGGAGGTGGCGACGAGTAGAGATCCAGAAGGCTCTTGACGTATGCTTTATCGGCACGGACAACTGGATCACCCTCGTTGACAAAACTAAGGAAAATGCTCTTGCGCAGATTCACAGAGTCGGGTTTTGTGAGAGGCAGGAGGCTGACGGGTGGTGCGCCGAACGTCACGCAGTGTATTCTCTTGAAGCGGTTTGTCAGGATGTTGAGCTCGCTCCCGGCTTCAGCTGTCTGGGCCACCATGTGTGAGTATAGCAGCGCGGCAATGGCACCGCCTGCTGAGTGTCCTGTAATTAAAAGGCTGTACTTTGACCGAGCAGGGTCTTCATGCAAAAGCTGTCTCAGTCTTGCAGCTACAGGCCGAATCATCTTCTTAGCAACAGACAGGAAGCCTGCGTGGCACAAGTTGCCCGAGTCGTCGATAAAGTTGAGCGGACTGACGGGAGCAGAGTTCAGATTGACAGCCCAGTCCATGAAGCTCGCTGTGCCGCGGATGGCAAAGACAATGGTGTTGCAAGCATCCATGGACACGGACTTGATGCAAGTCTGTCTAGGACCTGCGAGCCAGTCGGATGAGACATGGGCATCGCGCTCGGAGCCCCGAGGCTTTTCGTACACGCGCTGGGAATATTGTGCTGCAAGGCAGAGGAGCGGCCATGTAGGCATGTGTCTGGTGAAGTTAGCGATGTTAGATGAAGATGAGGGGATACATACAGAGATAGGGGTGGGAGATTCGCTGGGAGCTTCGAGTTTGCATATTGTTCAACCTTTGAAAAGTAATTGCCTGATACAACAGACGCTGCGACGTTGCAGGTTTGCTTATCCTTGTGTTTTTGTTTCTTGATGCCCTTCTCATCGACGTGTTGTTCTTGGACAGGCGGAGTGCAATTGAACAACGAGTTCTCACTGCCACTGAGCTTCTCATGATCAATGAGCGTCATGATATCATTGAAGCGATCATACATTGTATTAGTCGACTGTGCGAGTTGGGAGCATCCGTGCCAAGCTGCCAATCCATCGTCGTACAGTTGCGGTGGCAGTGCTTCTTTAGCAAGGTTCACCATCGATCCTGTCCAGCGTGTCAAAGATGTAGGGAAGTTTGGCTGTGAGTGCATCGATGACAGGTTCTGGTAAGACGGCGGGCTGCCGAGGGGGCTGCCGAGGGGGCTGCCGAGATGGTAGTGATTGTTCACCACGACGGGCGGCTGGTAGGCGTTCCAATTTGGAGGCGGCGCAGCGAGACAGCCAACTGGACGAATCTGGGGTTGTGATTGAGTATCATGCTGGTTGTTGTACGGACTGGTAGGTGGCAGGAGATGCTGCTGTGAGGGTTTGGGCCTAGGAGCTGTGGTCGCCGGACGAGCCGCAGGATAGGTATTGTCTGTATAATAGGCCTGTTGCGCCAGGGGACGGACTTGACGGTAAACATTTGGCGGGTCTGTTATAGAAGGCTTATTAGAGGTCTTGGTGCTTGTTTTGATATTCGTCTTTGAATTTGTCTTTGACGACGTCGACTTCTTGGACTTTTTGGTCTTTCTAGACCTGGCGCTTGGCCACCACCAACTCATGATGCCGAGGTGGGAGGAGATATGAGTAAGTGAGGGATGGTTTACATGTCCGGCGGGTGCGCTCCACAGAAGATTGAGGTTAACGGTCGAATTAATGGATATGACTCGTTAAAAAGGCAGCTCGAGGTGATAAAAACAATAACAAAGAAAAGTGCTGCGAGAAAGAAGTGAGATGGCGAGAATCACGAATAGGCACACACATGACCTTTCTCCCCAGGGCCCGGGGCGGGATAAGATATTCTTAGCAACAGCTCTGATTGAATGTTTTGCTAGCGGGGCATTCTCAGCCCGGTCGATCCTTCCCCTGTCGAACTATCGCTGGACATTATAAAAAGCATGAGTGTCTGTATCTCAATGGGAGGGTGGTCGAGTTATTCTGTCTGGGGACAGGAAAGCCCTTAGCGAAGTTCACTAGAGAGCCGAGTGCATGTGCGCTGGAGCATACCCCTGCAACACAGCCTTCTCGCGTCGTCATTCGTCAACAACCAGCGCCGAAAGGCCAATCAGCGCTGGACACAGGAGAATGACTCTGAAGAGACAGGGCATTGGACGGTAATGCAGGTGAATGCAGCTTCTATTTGATGCTTTAAGCAAGGGCATGGACACGGGCGGCAATAGGATGAGTCGATAGCTCTATCGCTGCTACGTGGTTGAACGAACGTGTTTGAGGCGATTTTAAGCATTGATCGAGTTGCGTTTTGGGGTTTGAGACATTGACTTCTCCATGACGTGACTCAGAATGTGGATTCACATTAGAGGCGGTGCAGGCATTGTTCTTCTTCACCGTGTTTAGTGACTCACTGATAGATACCTCGGTACACAATTATGAGATTTTGACATTGAAGATGAACCATCGATAATACTATGGTCGTATAGCGGAAATGCAAGATTGATTTACAGATTGTTATGCTAGTTAGGTGCTGAGCTCTGCCCGTCGTCCACAATCAACTTGTCGCTCAATCAAGCTCAAAACATGGTGTGGTGCTTAGTTTCTAATCCAAAGCTCTGAAGTCCGGATATACTGGTATAATTATATGCTCTACTAGCCCTCTAAGTGGCTTATAGTATTGTCACGTCATGATACAACACTCCCACTTACAGCTCTACGATCATCCAATGCAATGCTTAATCCTGACCAGCAAATAACCCAAGAGGAGCATTCTATTGTACAAACTAGACAGGGGGCCAACGCTCGCTCTGTACGGTATTTCTGGCCAGCCATCGGTTCCGATTGTCTGTCACAGTTCAATTATCTCTTTGCTGGGTCGATTTTAACATGTAACTCAAACACCCTCCGACCCAATCCTTCCACCATAGCTACAGTCACTGACAACTGGGTACTCATCACCGGATCATCCGTAATGTCTCCCATAAAGTCCCTTGACCAGTCCTCTGCACACGAGTTGGGAAACAGAGCCTTGCCACGTGTTCCCTGAGGGATCGTGGACTTCTCAAAAGTCTCAAGGCAAAGTCGCTGTCGCTGACTCTCCATCCGTTGTTGTATCTCAGCCGGACTAAGAGCTTCATCCCCGAGATAAAGTTGGGAAGGCTGCAGGTCTTCGGGCGATGTCCGAGCATAGTTGATAAAGTCGTACATATCGAAGGCCCGACACCAGAGACTCCATGGGGAGTCTTCTTCGTCGCTGTGGGGAAGTTCACGATGCATGCCCCATATTATAGCTACATAGCCACGTGTGACTAAATGACTATAAGTCGAGCCGAACTCGGAGTATAAGGATCCTGCTGTGTCAGTCGCGTCGATTGTAAAGTCGACAAAATGGATGCCCCCGAAATATCGCTCGACACCTTGATGCTGGCACATCTTGAACGCCCATGGAGAGGGGATCTGTGTTGCACGGGAGGCATATATATCGAATGGTGGATGACTCCCACCACTGCCCAGAGTATAATGTAGTTTGTTGGAGGTAGCAAGGAAGTATACTGGCCCAGTCTTTGGCCCCTCTCCGAGTGAGAGGTTCAGACTCATTGCGTTGAGGGGACTCGGCTGTTGTAGGATACCGATGTCCTTCTTGATGGCTTCATCGAGAGACAAAGTAATCACAATGTCACCAGGGGCTGATGTGGTGCTTCCTAGGTGACGATTGATGCTTGAGAGGTCATGGTCAAGAGAAAGTTGAAGAGTTCTATAGCTTTGTCTTGGATTCACAGGAATTATCCACTGAGGGTACACTCGTCGATACAGATCGACCACACCCATATGCTCGAGCAATATTGCCGGTCGAACAAGATAATCGTCATCGTATGCAAGATCCAGTATACCTAACCAAAGCTTTCGGGAATGGTCAACAGTGCACGGGCAAATCCACAAGCTTGTATTTATGGCAGTATCTGTCAACTCCATGGGTGCCATATTTCCCATGAAGTCAGCCTCGTATCGCCTGTCAACTCTGTTGAAAACTCGACGCCCGATGATACGGACAGGCTTTTTGAACAGTCCAGGTGAAGGTGCCAAACAGCCAGGAGATTGCCTTTGAGGTGTATCAGAGGGTCCAGTACGCCATAACAGGAGAGATTGATCTTTAGATTGTCGGATTATTGCTTGCTGTAGGCGCGAAAAGGCCTTGTCCCCTTCTCCATAGAGCATCGGCATGTTCAAGTTGAATAGTCCCAGTAGGCAGTAAGCAGCATCTTCTTTGCGCGTTGTGACACGGGATGAGGCCCAACTCATCTTTATGGAGACGGCGAATGAATCGAGAGTCTCGGGAAGTGTGTCCAGTCTATAGCATTCCTGGCAGATGCCATCGCGTATCGGGGAGCGCACATAATGCTTGGTGCAGTCACATCGAGGCTCATCAAACAGTTGAGGCCAAACACCCGTTCTCTGACAGATACGGTCAAGTAGCTCGCTATCTCTTGAACCAAATCTGACCCAGTTATAATTGAAGAAGTCAACATGGCGCGGCGCTATCAACTCCTGCAACGTCCATCCTCTTGTGAACCAGCGACACTTGAAGAAGGAAGTATCTGTAGCCTCCAGAGAGATCGCTTCACCCCGACGCGTGGGTATAGATTTGTACGACAGTGCAGAAGAAAAGTCATTCAGAAACACATAGCACAACATAGCCTGTTGATACCACTTGAACATGGAGTTGATAGCCTCGGACAACTCTGCGCTGCTGCTCTTGTCAATACAGCAGGTATCGATCCAGACATAGCCGAGTGCATCGCGTCGAGCTTGCGTACAGCAACCCTGAATCTTGGAGAAAGACTTGCGAGTCTTCAGTTGAACGAGAGATTGCTGTGTGATGTCCTGGAATGTGATCTCGTCGTCTCCCCAAGTGTGCGACAAGATGGCATATTGAGGGATATCGATCTCGGCGCTGTTGAAGCTCTCGAGACGAAAAGTACGGATGTTGAGCAATCGCATCTTGAGCAATTTATATCTTTATCTGGTTTTAAGCATGGATTATGCTGGAGAATGGTTGAAGCGTTGCAGGGTTTCATGTACTACGTTGAGTTTGTAAATTGCTGACTACAGTGCATTTCGTCGATGATTCGCTTAAGTCTGGTGCGACGAGACTTGTAGATGGACCATTTGGAGGCTGTAGAATTTAAGACTATCATCCTATACCAGACAATTACACATACGAAAAATTGCCCAAAGTCAACTGCCGAACAAAAAACATTTGTTGATGATCCTGGGGTAACATAGATGACAAGGTTGTTCCACGAGATATCAGCCAAGATCCTTGAATGCGATCGCATTCGAGGGCCCCACCAGCAAGATGGCTAGGATGGTCAGCAACACCAAGGCCAAGGACTAACACGGGAGCATACCTTTGGGTATAAATAATGAATGTCTCTCTCTTTAACTTAACTTGTAAGTCGGATCTTCAACCAATTTTATCAACCTCAAAGTATGTCGCAAATAGTCATCATGGCACAGGCGCCCGAGCCACTCACGCAACCCGACGATATTCACGTTAACCTCACAACCGCCAATCCATCTCAACTTCACAAACATGGATCTTCTGAACAAGAAATCCCGGCAGCCCATCCAAGCGATCACAATGATCCATGTATCAACTCCAGTGAACCAGAAACACCAGAATCTACATCCAAGATGAGCCTACTCCAAATTGCAACAGTCATGTCTTCACTTTGCGCCTGCGTCTTCCTTGCCGCCCTTGAGGTAACGATCGTATCAACCGCCCTACCCACCATTGCCGCTCACTTCACCTCCGACTCAGGCTACACCTGGATTGGTACATCTTTCGTTCTCGCCCATACGGCTTCAACTCCATCCTGGGGTAAGGTTTCTGACATATGGGGTAGAAAGCCCATATTGCTTGTCGCCAATGTCATCTTCTTCGGAGGGAGCCTGGTGTGCGCTCTCGTTAATGACCTAGCTACTTTTATTGCTGGACGAGCTATTCAGGGCTTGGGAGCTGCGGGTATGCAGACCATGGTGAATATTTGCATAAGCGATATGTTCTCGCAGAGGGATCGAGGGCTGTATTATGGCTTGACGTCTATCATGTGGGCGGTCGCCTCGGGAGTTGGTCCTGTACTTGGAGGCGCCTTTACAGATCGACTAAGGTTAGTAAACTTAATGGTGAAGAAATCATCGTACGTTAACAGCTTTCAGTTGGAGGTGGTGCTTTTGGATCAATTGTGAGTAGGTGCTGGGGGCGGGTTCAACCTTAACTAACATTCTTAGTACCCATCACCGCCGCAGTCTTCGTTCTACTCGTCCTTACCCTCAAACTCCCCTCTCCCAATACCCCTGTATGGGCGGGTCTTAAAGCCATCGACTGGCCTGGGAGTCTTCTCATTATAGGAGGCACTCTGATGCTTCTACTTGGCCTTTACCTGGGAGGCGTCTACGAGCCCTGGAATTCGGCAACTGTCGTTTGTCTTGTTGTATTCGGGTTTATTACTGCAGTTCTGTTCATATGGAACGAATGGAAGTTGGCAGAATACCCCGTGATACCAGTACACCTTTTCAGGGCGTGGTCATCATCTGCAGCATACGCGGTCACCTTCTTCCACGCCTTCGTGTTCTTGGGGGTTGCGTATTACTTACCCCTCTATTTCCAAGCAGTTCTGCTAGCCAGCCCGCTTCGCTCAGGTGTTTATCTTCTTCCCTTCATTCTTTCTATCTCCATTTCTGCTGCAGTTACAGGCGCTTACATACAGCTGAGTGGTAAGTATCTGACAGCCGTACATATCGGGCTGGGTATCATGACCTTGGGGATGGGTCTCATGATTAATCTGGACATCGATCTGAACTGGCCGAAGTTGGTCTCCTTTCAAATCTTGACTGGAATCGGTGTCGGTATGAACTTCGAGGGGCCTTTGCTGGCAGTGCAGACTGTTGTGCCGCACAAAGATGTGGCGGCTGCTACCACAGCGATGAGCTTCATTAGAACAATGGCCACCGCCGTTTCTGTTGTCATTGGTGGGGTCCTATTTCAAAATGAAATGAAGAGCGAAAACCAAGCACTTGTCGATAGCCTTGGCCCTGAGCTTGCCAAGCTGTTCGATGGAGCATCTGCCTCTGCAAGTGTTGAACTGGTCAAGACGCTTCCCGCAGAGCCACAGCTTATTGTGAGAACCGCATTCTTCCATTCTCTGAAAAAGATGTGGATGATGGTTAGTGAGCTGACGAACGGTGATTTTTGGTGTTATTCTGACTTGAGACAGTATACTGCATTTTCGGGTGTTGGCTTGTTGCTTGGCTTCTTTATCAGAGCACAACACCTTAGCAAAGAACACAAAGATGCACAATTGGGCATAGTTAATACGTCATATGTGTCGATGCTTGAAGATCGCGTTGCTATGTCGACGGGAACTCATGAGGGCCTCGAGTTGGAGCACATCTCTCCCAGAGCCAGGATTGCGTCAGATTGATAAGCTCAGCAGGGCGGGTTGTATATAGTTTAGTAGACATTTTAACATTTGGAGGGGTTTATCTATGTATAGAGACTTGATGCTGGAAGACCGTATGCTTTATCACGAGTAGTAACGGTTGAATATATCTGATTATTACACCATCGGAGTTCAGTACAGTACGAAGAAGCAATTCGCACAGATATCCAACCAGCCTCTCTTATCTAAATCCACCGCCAGTACATGCTTCCACAGCCACATATTCTATCGTTTTAGAGAAACAATCCGGTTTGAGATATTTCTTCACCTAGATGAAGCAAGTATTAGATATTTATAGCGGCTCGCATCCGCCCTTGGCTTACCCTCGATACGTCAATAGCTGCGTGGATGAGTGAGACGCATCATCCGGGTTCCTCAATTGCGATGAATGCTTCATCGATGGCTGAAGCCACCCCAAATATATCGATTGATCAAGAACAAGACCACGATCCAAGGATCCCTTTGCTGCGCAATGAAACGGAGCCGTCTGCAGTATCTGATGCACCGTCGCGCCTAGGGATTCCTATTAACAACGCCGCGGCAAGTAAAGTGCTGGCCAAGATCGACCGTGCCATCATTCCCCTGCTGTTCATAACATACATGTTCAATTTCATGGATAAAGTCATTCTTTCTAGTGCAGCAGTATTTGGACTGCGAGAAGATACAGTATTGCCCTCGTTTCAAGATTATCGTATTGTTACTGACCGTACTCAGCATCTCAAAGGCCAACAGTATAGTTGGGTCGGAAGCGTCTTTTATCTGGGATACCTCCTCTGGACTTACCCGACCACCATTCTCGTCGCACGTCTTCCCACTGGAAGATATCTTACTGCCAATACGCTATTCTGGGGCTCGGTTGTCTCACTCACGGCGGCATGCCATAACTTCAGCGGTCTTTTGGTTGTGCGGTTTCTCCTTGGCATCGCGGAAGCAACGATAACTCCAGGTTTCATGTTCCTCACCTCTACATGGTACACGCGTGATGAGATGCCTATCCGGGTGGGAGTATGGTTCTCGGGAAACTCTATTGGCGGCTTGGTGGCCAGCTTACTTGCATTCGGAGTTGGACATATCGACAGCGCGATAAAACCCTGGAGATGGATGTATATCATCCTCGGTACATCGACTTTTCTTTGGGCTATACCGCTATTCCTCCTCCTCCCAGATAATATCTCTAAAGCCACCTTCCTTTCGCTCGAAGAGAGGAAGGTCGCTGCGCAACGTGTGGCCTCTTCTGGTACTGGAACAACTGAAGGCGCGCATTGGCAATGGGCCCAAGTTCGCGAGTGTCTAGTTGATCCCAAGTCTTGGTTCATCGTTGGAATCGAGCTTTTTACCCAGATCCCCAACGGAGGTTCTCAAAACTTTGCAAACATCGTTGTCGAGTCTCTCGGATTTACCAATTTGCAGTCCACACTCATCAACATACCATACTCACTTCTCTCGGCCGCTATAATCACAGGAAGTGGCTACTTGGCCGGGCGATATCGAACCTTGAACTGCCTCCTAATCATGGTGGTTATCCTGCCCTGTGTCATCGGCAGCGCCATCATTTACAAGCGGACTCACGTGCCTCATAACCTGCATCTCTTTGCGTACTTTCTTCTCTCGAGTGGTTCCGCAGCAATGCCTCTTACCATGTCTCTGGTCCAATCAAACTTCCGAGGGGTCACCAAGAAGATGACAATCACGGCCATGTTATTCATCACATACTGCATGGGTAACATGGCTGGGCCGCATTTCTTTCTCAAATCTGAGGCCCCGCTCTACCAGACTGCTTTCAAAACCATAATGATCTGTTACAGCTTGGCCATAGTTTGTGCTTTGAGTCTGAGGATTTACCTTACGTGGACGAACGCGAATCGAATAAGGAGGGAAGGGGTCGTGGGAAGTGCTGGTTTGGGGGGGTTCGTCAGAGATGTTTCGATTACTGCATCAGAGGATGTAACAGATTGGCAAGTTGTGGGCTTTAGATACAGGCTTTAATCTTGAGTTGTGCTATCTGTTACAGGCGATGCACCAATACTATCAAATGGCGGCACCAGGACGTAGATACAGTGCATCTTCCTACAGTGGGTGTGCAAAAGTTCCAGCAATTTCCTCTCTTCTATAGTTTATGTAAGATTATACAAATTACAATAAACTCTTTTCCTCTATGCAGTCTTATATACTGTAAAAATGTTGGTCCATATATTCAACTTTGATGCCGAGATGAACTAATTTACATCAAAGAGTAGGCATGCTAATTTTCAAATCCATCTACAGATTCAGTGTTACCGGAAATTCGGCAGAGTCTTATTTTTTTGAGAATTATGTGAAAGAGTGTCTGATTCCTATTTCTTCATCCTTCACAATTCAGTCAGAACGTCAAGTGACTCAAATTGCCCAAATGGTGAGTCACGTGCATCTGATTTTCGGGTCGAAAGATTTGCCGAATCCGCCAAATCGCCCCCAGATCATCTCAGAGCACCTAGGCATCCACTTTGAACTTTCGACACGACAGGCAAAAGTCCAGTTCTTTATCTGGATCAATTTTAACAATCTTTCCAGACACATCAACATTGATCGCGAACCCTTCGAAAATGTCGTGGAGAAGCCAAGGAATCACGGGTTCCAACAACATCCCCCTGGGAAAACGCCGTTTCGGCGATGAGGAGGAATTCGATGGCGCTGATGTTGCCGACGCCGGCATTGATCGCGACTTGAAACGTGGACGCGATCCCGAGCCTCGCGGCGAGGCGGACGGACCTCGACGACGAAAGAAGCGAAACAGATGGGGTGATGCATCCGAGAACAAGGCCGCTGGTCTCATGGGCTTGCCCACTGCCATCTTGTCCAACATGACAAGCGAGCAGCTCGAGGCCTATACGCTGCACTTGCGAATCGAGGAAATCTCCCAGAAGCTTCGCATCGACGACGTCGTCCCAGCTGACGGCGATCGGTAAGTAAAACTCTTTGTGGTTCTTTGTCTCGATTGCTCATACAGTATAGATCCCCCTCTCCTGCGCCGCAATACGACAACCATGGTCGACGTATCAACACGCGAGAATATCGATACCGCAAGCGCCTCGAAGACGAACGCCACAAGCTCATCGAGAAGGCTATGAAGACCATTCCTAACTACCACCCGCCACAGGATTACCGTAGACCTACTAAGACTCAGGAGAAGGTCTACGTTCCTGTCAACGATTATCCAGAGATTAACTTCAGTATGATTGCTAACCCTTTAACCCTACTTACCAATACTCTCTCCCTGTTTTTTGTTTTCCTTTTGAGGTCTGACCAGACTCAAAATCATGCCCTTGGCGTTTTGAGATCTGGTCCTTCATTCGAACTGGACTGACCCTTACCCGTTCATCTAATCTTTGTGAATCAGACACTAACACTAGCTCTCTCGTAATAAAGTTGGATTACTTATCGGCCCTCGAGGTAACACTCTGAAGAAGATGGAGGGAGATTCGGGTGCCAAGATTGCCATTCGTGGCAAGGGCTCCGTCAAGGAGGGCAAGGGCCGGTCTGATGCCGCTCACGCCAGCAACCAGGAAGAAGACCTGCACTGTCTTATCATGGCTGATACCGAAGAGAAGGTCAACAAGGCCAAGAAGCTTATTCATAACGTTATCGAGACTGTAAGTCAGCCCTCCAAACCCTATCAAACTTGTACTAACACATCACAGGCTGCATCTATTCCTGAAGGTCAGAACGAACTCAAGCGTAACCAGCTTCGAGAGCTCGCCGCGCTCAACGGTACCCTGCGAGACGACGAGAACCAGGCTTGCCAGAACTGTGGCAAGATAGGTCATCGCAAGTACGATTGCCCTGAGAAACAGAACTTCACTGCCAGCATCATCTGCCGTGTCTGTGGAAACGCAGGCCATATGGCTCGCGATTGTCCCGATCGCCAGCGTGGTGCCAGCTGGCGCAACAACGATGCGGCTGGTCGTCCTGCTGCTGCTGGTCGTATCGATAGCGGAGATGCTGTTGACCGTGAATACGAGGTAAGAACCCCCATATTCGTCTTATATACAAAATACTCACAGATTTTAGCAACTTATGCAAGAGCTTGGTGGAGGTTCCTCCGGACCCCCTGCCCGTATCGAGGCTGGCCCTGGCGCTCCGAGCAACGGAGATGCGAAGCCCTGGCAACGAGGCCCAACTGGTGGACCTGCACCTTGGCGCAGCCGTAACCAAGATTCTAACGAAGGAGGGTCGGCGGCTCCCTGGGCCCGAGAACGCGGTGGTCGCAACCAGGAACAACCGGCCGGTAACGGGGGTGATAGCTACTATGGTCAGGCGTATGGTGCCGGTGCTTCAGGCGCAGGCGCCGCCGCTCCATGGCAACAACAGGCTCCTGGAACCCAGGCTGGTTATGCCGGTTATCCTGCATATGGTGCCTACGGTGCTGCTCCTGGAATGGGCGCTCCTCCTGGTCTTGGTGCTCCCGGCGGTGCACCGCCACCTCCTCCAGGTGCTCCTCCAGGTCTGGGTGACATTAACGCTTTCATCCAGCAGTACGCTGGAGCAGCTCCCCCTCCACCACCTTCCGGTGACGCTCCACCGCCTCCTCCACCTCCCGGTGCTTAGATGAGACAGAACTAACGAGGATATCTGGTTTTGAAAGTCTCTGATACAGTATGAAACTTCGACGACAGTTTGAGAAATTTACCATCGACCCGGACAGCAGCAAAGGAGGATAAGCGGTCGTTTCTAACGTGGCAGCGAACTAACCACTGCAACTAACGGTTGTCTTTCATGGCTCTCTAACACTGAGTTTTGAACTTGTTTAATCTGCGTATTGCAGCCAGTTATAATATGATCGAAGCAAGAGACTAATCGCGTAGGCACTTTGTACTTGATAATTAAGTCGTTTCGTTAATGTTAACTCGTCTCCATTCGTGACTCTGTTGAAGAAAAGAAGTGGTACTCCGTAAACCTCGTCCAATTGTGAATTACCCTGTTTATGCACGCATTTTAATGCACCTCATGCATGCTTGGACCCCGCATAGCAGTGCTCTGGCGTCATTGTACGTACCGGAATGGGGGAGCTTGGGCCATGTGACAAGGGGAGCGACGCAATACAATCAGATCTCCAGCAGCATTCCTCATCCGCGTCGAGTCCTACAAACTCCATCTCGACCTAAATCTCATACCTTAATTTGGTATATCCAAGAAAGGCGACTACGACGCAGCGTGGAAGTCGCGTTTGGGTAGTTTTTTGCAGCACCTTCTTCTTTTGCTTGCATCTGCTCTATTGACAAGGGTCATCTGATCAGCATCCTACTTCCATCTTCCACTCTCCCTGGCAGTCTTGTCTTTTTTATCCTCTTCTTGGCTCACTCCTGCGGGCTTCATACCTTTGCACTGACCACTACGCGTTGACTTGGAACCTAACAATGACCTTACAACTATAAATCATTATCTATCGTACCTAGTTCTTCTTTTGCTTCGCGACGCAGTGACGTCGGCGCGTCGTGTTTGATTCTGATTACCTCATTCTCACTATCAAAGCATCATCTCATCATGAGGACTAAGAATCCTCTCGCTTTCCGACCAGGGCCTGTGTCATTCTGGACTACTATCATATATCTCGCCCTTGCTGTTCCTCTTATCTGGGTCCACGAGACTGTTCCTCCGGCTCCGGCTGATCGATCACTGTACCAGGGTCTCAACTTGACTGAGGCATGGTTGGATTTGCAGACAATTAGTCGCGCCTATCATCCCTACAACAGTCACGAAAATGACCTAGTACGCGAGTTCATCATTAATCGCACCAAGCAGATTCTGGATCGAAATGACCTGTCTTATACTACCGAGAAGGCCGGTGGTGTAGACTGGCACTCAAGGTCAGTGCCCGATCGCACTATCTTAGACACCTGCTAACATGGGTCAGAGCCTCATCTTTTGAGCACCAAGACTCGCCTGTCACTTCTAACGATAATTCTAAGCCTCGTGGAGCGACTCTCTTTGACGACAGAATCTCCAACGTCTCATGGACTTACAACACTGCCCGGCGCTTGGGCTCCAATATTTCCAAAGGGACGTGGTTGGGTCAGTACTTCGAAGGAAACAACTACTATGTTTACATCCATGGCAAAAACGACCCTGAAGGCGACTGGTGGCGCGACGAATCCAAGTACAAGAAGTTCCGCGGCGAGGGTGGTGTTCTTGTTAACTGTCATTTTGACTCGTATGTTATCGTCATTGATATCGCGCTTCGTCGACTAACGTGGTTATAGTGTTTCCACCGGTTACGGTGCTACTGATGATGGAATGTCCTGCGTTTCGATGCTTCAGCTTCTAAGCTACTTTACACTTAAAGGCCGCCAGCCAACGAATGGCATCGTTCTTCTCTTCAACAATGCCGAGGAGGATGGGCTCCTAGGCGCCAGAGCCTTTGGTTACAGCCCCTTGTTGCATTTCACTCACACATTCGTCAACCTCGAAGGCGCTGGAGCCGGCGGGCGCGCCCTTCTTTTCCGTACGACTGACTTGCAGGCTGCCAAGGCGTACTCCAAGAGCCCCCATCCTTTGGGATCTGTTGTTGCTGCGAATGCTTTTGAACGAGGCGTCATTAAGAGCGCAACCGATTATGAGGTTTTCGCAGACGCCTACGGACAACGTGGACTTGACATCGCCTTTTACGCGCCTCGTGCTCGCTATCATACCAACCAGGACGATACTCGGCATACATCTGTTAACAGCATCTGGCATATGCTCTCGGCCGCTCTTGCATCAACCGAGCAGTTATCGAAAACAACCGGTACCATCTTCAACGGTGATCGATCAGATGGCAATTCCGATCTTGTGCAAAATGGCAAACAAGCTGAGGGTGTATGGTTCGATATCTTTGGCACTGCATGGGCCGTGTTCGCGCTTAGGGGACTCTTTGCATGGTCGCTAACGCTTCTTGTTGCCACACCACTCGTTCTCGTCGCCTTCACGTACATCCTCGTGCGCAATGATAAGTATTATTTCTTTAGCAGGGACATCAAGATGCATCACGACATTAACGATGATCCGGTTGTGCTGGGTGGTTGGAAGGGCTTTTTCCGCTTTCCCTTTGCACTCCTCTTTGCGGGAGCATTGACTATCGCATCTACGCTTTTGATTGCCAAGTTCAACCCGCTGATTATCTACAGCAGCGGCTATGCTGTGTAAGTGATCTTGATTAACTACCGAGCACAAGCTAACATCGTCAGGTGGTCTATGATACTATCGATCTTCTACTTCTCTTTCTGGCTCATCATGCGCGGATCTGCATTCGTTCGCCCAAGCGCACTCCATCGCGGTTTTGTTCTCATCTGGCTCTTTGCTCTTGGTTGGGGCGTCCAAGTTGTGTGCGCGGTGGCAGAAGATCGTATGCACATTGGTGCTCTTTATGCGACGGTGTTCTTCCAATCAGCCATATTCGTTGCTTTACTCATCTCTCTACTGGAGCAGTTTGCTCTGCTTGGAAAACACGACTTCGCTATGCAGCTTCATGATGCGCATCAGGCGCGTGACGTATCGAGCCGCGATAACGAACATGAATCGAGACCTCAAACAGCCAGCGAGCCTGCTCAGGGCGAAGAAGAGGATGCTGAAGGCGAAACTGAAGATGCAACCGAAACCACACCACTTAGAGCTGGTGACTCGGGTTACGGGTCTAACGCTCAGACTTCATTCGCCAACACATACCGCCGTTCAGTTGCTGAGAGCTCGCCCTCTCCGCCTAGTATGCGACGATACCAGCCTTTCGAGCACGAGCAAAGTTGGTCTGGACGCCTTCCTACATGGACTTGGATCCTCCAGTTCTTGTTCTTGGCACCAATGCCCGTAATTCTATTTGGAAACATTGGCCTGGTTGTGATGTCCGCTACGCAGATGACAGGTACCGACGGGGGTAGCCTCCTTGTTCCTGTGCTGTCTTTGGGCATCCTCAGCATATTCTTGTTGCTGCCGCTCACTCCTTTCATTCACCGTGTCACCCATCACGTGCCGTTGTTCCTGTTTTTTGTTTTTGTTGGGACATTTATCTACAATCTTGTAGCATTCCCATTTTCCGACGGTCATCGCTTCAAGTTTTACTTCCAGCAGATTGTCGACCTTGACAATGGCACTGACACTGTTTCTATTGTGGGACTCGAGGAGTATGCCCGTTCTGTTATTAGTTCGTTGCCCAGTACTTTGGGCCAGGACATCAAGTGCCAGCCAGCTGTGGGACGTGATCTGACGGATTGTCAATACGACGCTTCATCTCTGAGTCCCAACTTGTATAAGGGCAAGTCTCCTAAAGAGTTGGTCTCAATTGAGACAGTAGCTGGTAGCGATGGATCGAAAGCACGACTTCGAATTGACGCCGTCGACTCGCGACTTTGCTACGTTCGCACGTCACGACCTATTTACGGATTCGCTGTTGATGGCGCAGCTGCGCGAGATCCTCGATTTGGAAAGTTCCCCTCAGAGGGCTTCAGCAGTGTACAGCTATGGCGCCGTGATCGGGATCGGCCGTGGACACTGAACTTGTATCTCAATGACCGCAGTTCTCTTTCTGCAACAACCGATTTGGAGCAGGACGATGACAAGTCTATGTCTGACAATGAATTGAGGGTGCGATCGACAGAACAATCAGCCGATCGCCTAGAAGTCACGGTCAGTTGTGCTTGGAGCGATGCCAACACACCGGGCACCATCCCAGCTCTTGATGAGCTTCTCAAGTATATGCCGACCTGGGCAGCAGTTACTAAGAAGAATGTCGGACTTGTGGAAGTTCGTAAAACTCACAAGGTTTGATAGAATAAGGAATCAAGCTAGAGTACACGAGTCTGGTATGAGCATGGCAGGAACCTGAAAGACGTGGCTGGATTCATCTCTAGAGTGGTTCATGAGTATATGGTCTTGAGGCATGGTACTAGCCATGGGTTGGGAGTCTGGTCTGATTTGATTGCATTGGTTTGGCTTGGCCTGTTGTTTAATAATTGAGTAACCTGAGTGCCGCGAAGAATATGATTGTCGAATATGCTTAGTACTTGTTCATTTGTGATGTGTCTGAGGCCAACTAGTTATGTCAACTGCGCGACGACGTTCATTCATGTGACACGAGGTTCGCTTTTTCTTACAAATGATGAATGTTTTTGTAGTCAAGGAAAAGATTCGACTTGACTCGATTAAGTGAGCGTTTAGTCACAGCTGTCACGGAGTTGTTGTAGAAGTTTTTAATTATGTTTGACTACCGGGTAGCCCGGAACCGAAAACTGCGCAATCAAACCCACCAACTCTTTTGTCTCTTATCATCATAGCTTCACTCCTAAGTTCCTGTGACGATTTAACAACCCACAATGGCCCCTCAAATATGGTTACAATCAGAGCGTTCTCAAGGCTCCAAGCAGAAAGCCCTCATATACTACATCTGCGGCAACCCAGGCCTTATCGAGTACTATACCGACTTTCTCAGCAACCTACGTGGTCTCCTGGATCAGATTGAGGCTGATACTCCCTACGATATTTACGGCACGAACTTGCTAGGTTTCAGTGACGATGACCACGAGCCTTTCCATTCGGACAACAAACCATGGGATCTTGACGGCCAAATCGAGGGAATGTACAATGGTGTTGCTGCTAAGGGAGAAGACTATGACTTCGTAATTCTAATGGGCCATTCTGTTGGCAGCTTTATCGCTGTTGAGATCTTTCATAGACATATGAAAAACCCGGAGAGAGCACCGCATCTAAAGTTGAGGCATGGTTTCCTACTCTTCCCCACGCTGACACACCTTGCTCGATCATCCAACGGCGTACAATTCACATGGTTGCATCGTCTCATTCCTTTCCTCGACACCGGAACAGCTCTATTTGCGCGTCTTGCTCTAGGTCTTCTGAGTGTCACAAGTGTGACATGGATTGTACAAAAGCTTCTAGGTTTCACACCCGCGAGCGCAAACATCACTGCCCGATGGCTGAAGAGCAGGGACGGCGTGCTACAGGCGGTGCATCTGGGCTTAACAGAGCTTGAGATGATCTGCGAGGAGAAATGGAGCGATGACCTATGGGCTACAGAGGGGGAAGAGAATGGAGTGCCAAGGTTCTTCTTGTTCTATGCTAAGAAGGATCATTGGATCGATGATGAAGAGAGAAAGGGGATTATGGAGAAGAGAGGAGAGAGGGCAAGGATCGTGGTTGATGAGGGGGATATTCCGCATGCGTTCTGCACGAGAGAAGGTAAGTTTTCTGTTCTTTGAGGTACTGGGTATTGCTAACAAGTTTAGATGCGAGTCTGGAGGTTGCGAGGAAGGTTTGTGAGTGGGTTGAGGAGATTGAGGGACGCAACAAAGAGTGAGATGGAGGCACCGGAATAGCTATATTTGATTCAAGGTTCACAAAGTGACAGAGAATGACAGACGTGGGCTGTAAGTATTGGATCATGCATATGAATACGAAGCTGACGATGAATCCAAGACACATTGCCACCATTTATGCATAATAGAATCTCTTCTATTGGATCTGATGTTAAACTACCGTTCAAGCCACAGACACTGCTTGTGTTTGTCTGGCTTGTCTATTTCCAGACCTTGGAGTTGGCGTGACATCGCTTCCCGCTCCCCCGCACCAAAAGAACCCATAGACGCGTAAGGTTTTTGACCTCTCTTGGCGGCCAGCTAACAAAGAAGCCTCCGGGGCGTTGCCAGAAGCGGCACCTAATGCGGGCAGACGTCGACCAGTGACCAAAGGTTGACTAGTCATGTTTGGTGTTCAAGCCACTTCTAGAAAACAACGATTATGAGGTTTGCACCGAAGTGAGTGATTGATGATCGACGATCGGACGTTGTATTGTGTTTGTTTATTCACGATATTGACAATTTGATCAAGTAGGTAAAAGTAAGTGTCACTGGTATATTCGCTATATGCTGGTGGTCAAAGACCATTAAGTATTAACCCGTGAATTCCATACCCAATTCCCATATACATATCCCATTCCTCCTTATCACTTTCAACTCGTAACAATGCCTCTTCACCTCGTCTTCACCAGGTGAGAACCTAGTTTCATGCTGAGGGAATAGAGGGGTTTCATAACTGAATGCTCTTGAGGTGTTTACAGAGCAATGGCAGCAAGGGCGACCATGGCGATGGCACCGAGACCCTTGACACTAGCGGCGCTGTTCTCGCCGACGTTTGTGGGAGCGGGAGTGCTACCGGCACCCTCGGTCTCGGTCTCAGTCGCGCTGACGGCGGGAGTGGTGGGGGTGTTGACGACAGGAGGGACAACAGCGGTGGTGGTCTGAACAACAGGAGGGACAGTGGTGGTCTCGGCGACAGTGGTCTCAACAGCGACAGTGGTCTCAACAGCGCTGGTGGTGGTGACGACCTTCACAGAGGTAGCGACCTTGGTGGAGGTAGGCTCAGAGTCAGACTCCTTGGGAGGGTTCTTGCAGAGCTTCTCAGTAGCAGGGAGAACCTCGTCTGGAAAGAGTGAGTTAGTACTTGATATGGCAACTCAATTGGTGAAGGATATGCGGGTAACTTACTGATGGCAACGTCGGAGCCACACTCGTCAATGACACAAGAGGTAGCGGCGCTTCGGATGTCGCTGAAGTTCTTGCAGACACAGGCGAGGTCGGTCTTGTCACAGCTGCTCTCGCTGGCGATAGCCTTGTCGAGACAAGGAATGGCGCACGAGGGGACGTCGCCGAGGGACTGAGCCTGAACGGCGGCAACGAGGGCAGCGAAAGCGAAAGAGTACTTCATTTTGAAGGAGGTTTTTGTGGTTTGGTTGGTGGCTTTGAAGTGTTGACTTGTTGATTAGGGCGAGAAAGACACAGCGAGTGTGATAGACAAGGCAAGGCTGAAGCTGATAAATGGTCCAATGGAAGCGAGTGGATGAGGAGGAAGGGAAAGAAGAAAAGCGAAGAGACGGATGAGCAAGAGGCTTTATGTAGGTACTCCGTAATGCAGCAGCAACAACAAAACGGCTGGTTTTCCCAGGTTTGGAGGGTATATTAAACGGTTGGTGAAGCGGGACAGGGTTCAGCTCCTTGGCTAAGCCTAAGGTCACTGACTGTGCCGTTGCCCGTCGACCCGTTCCAGGGAAGAGACCAGCCTCTTCTTTGCTGCAGCTGCAGGTGCAGCTCAACTTCTTGTTCTTGATCCTGCCTCTGCCTGATGCCTCAACTTGTGGATGAGTGGATATCAGAAACTCTGGGGGTGGGAGGCCGGGCTACGCTGCGACGACCCGGGTTCCTGACCAATTGGAGACAAGAACAGCAACAGGGAACCTAGGAGGGGGGGTGGTTGACAAAAGGGCCATCCTGCTGTTTTTCTTCAATTCTCTCTACTGTTTTTGCGGGCTTCTCTTCCTCTGCTGGGGCGTGTAGAACGAAAGCTATGCCGTTGGAGAACTGAATGGAGCCAGCGGGGTCTGCTTCCGGATTCGTTACACACGGCCGAAATAGATCGACGAGGGGAGGTCCAAAGTCCGGGGGCGAGATGCGGAGAGAGAGGAGAGAGAGAGTCTGAGCTCAGGTCAGGTCAGTGCAATGCATGTGAAGTTGATCTGATCAGAGCAGAGGCAATCGAAAGTCGGAGATTGAGGTCGAAAAGACTCTGGAGTATTCAATATTGTGATTAATTATTCTGGTTTGGCTTAGCTACAGGAGACAGATCCACCCCCGGATAATCAACATTGCATACCCTTCCCATGCCTTGCTCTGCTCTATTTTACATGATATTTCTATCTCATCAATAGCCGTTGTTTAGATCTCTCAAGATCAAGAGCAAAAAGTGGCCCTTAACAACTGTTCAAAAGCAAGAATTGGAGGTGAGCTGACGCCATTAACCACAAAGACAAAGAGAATCCTTTCGGGACTTGACTTGACTTGGGCCTGGGCTTGTTCTGGGTCACATGCTGATGGCAAGGATTTGACACGATAGGGTCTTCCGAGGGCCGATTTGACGGGGGAACAGGGGGTGACTGATTATGTGGACTAGGCCCGACTAAAGCGGCAAAGTCCACGTCGACGTTGGCTAGTTGATGGGAATGGGGAAGAAGAAAAAAAGGGAAAAAACAGGTTATTCAAGGTGTTGATGGGTTGATGTGTTGATGGGCGGTTGTGAAGGACAACACCATCACAAACCTGGGGATGGATGCTAATGATGCAGGAACGGGATATGCTAATTAGATGTGGTTTTGCTTGAGACTACATATCTCAACTTAGATATTGGCTCAATTGACTCAAAGAGAGCGTTTGTAGCAATCAGAGTTGGATGATAGTATCATGAAGTCTACAGGGTAACTGACTCTTTACCGCCAACTTCTCACTTCCACTCGCCTCGATCCTTTCATTCCTTCAATTCTGATCTAAACTCAGTTTCAATGGTTAATAAAGACACTAACGTCACTCACTCAGTTCATTCTTCTAGCGTTACACCCCCTTCAGCGCTCCCCCGCATCCTCCCCATCACATTTTTCACGCCACCGCCCACTAAAACACTCACCCCCTTGTCTCGCCCTCCCACATCGGGAATATAAAAGGAAAAGCCATGAAGAAAGAAAAAAAAGGACCCTGTCTACTTGCAGGGGTCTCTACCAACTCGCCTTCCTAGCAAGGACAAAATCCGTTCGACTTAATCGCTCTTTTCGTACGCCACGCCGAGGCACTCACATGATTTGAGAAAGAAAGGAAAAGAGAGCGAGAGAGAAAGAGTCAGTGAAAGGCAAAGGCCAGGCGGGTACAGTCCGAGCAGGGAGAAGAGATTGTTACTGTTACTAGGGGTAGGGGGATCTGAGCGAGGACGGGAGAATCGAATGGTCTGATGGGGTATTATCCGCTGCTGCCGACTTGGCAAAGCATGGTTGATGATTATCCATAGACCACTGCAGTAGCATTTATTCACTTCTGATCTGTTCAACAGCTGTATGGAGTAATAAGTAGAACAATATCTGTAGCAAATATCGTGTTGTGGTGTCGTGCCCAGAGCTGAAGCTGAACGAGGCACGTCGTACAATACAGATCGCATCTTCATCAATGCAAGTGCACTTCTTATGCATCACTCAACTAAGCTATATGCCCACATCTGCTATGCAACATGCGAAGATCGTGACGAGCCACCACCCCCTCTAGACCTCCAGACTTCCCCGAGATGAGGTTATTTCGAGGTACACATGCACTGCGCCGTCGTAGTTCCAGGGGCAGAGCACCTCTCACTCTCTGTGATATCGGGCCCCCCGGCCATTAAAATAGCTCTATGCAGCCATCTCAGCTCTGGTTCGCATTGCTTTTCTTGGTGCTGCCACACTGGGAGCCTTGCTGGATGCCGCACCATTCAAGGCGTTGAGACACGGGGGAATACTACGTGAGGCAACGAAACTGAAGGCAAGGCAAGATTAAGATCTTCAGTAAGAGACTATACCGAGGCTGAAGACCTAATGGATTAAGCATATGATGAGATTTTCATCAATTGTCCTCATACAAAGTTCGCAGTTTCGAGCACATCCTCAGGAACTATGCTCGAAATCCTACAGCAAACCACGGGGAGCTCCCATCTTCCTTGATTCGCCAACCTCTCTTCCCTGGCTGCAATTACCACCAATCACCACGATCTGTCACTCACCTTTCTCAAGACCCCTGCTATCTTGGCACCCAGAAAGGCTCAGAAGCCTTGGACAACGTCATTCTTCCTTCAGCCTTTCCAAGAACTCAAGACTTCTTCACGGCAAAGTTGCCGGTCAAGAATTCTGACGTCGAGAAGTTGAGCTTGATTGTATGCCCCTGCTGTGAAGTTTGGATGAAACGTCGAGTGACGCAATATTGGATTCGAGAACTCTTGGTTGGTGATGTTGGTTAAGCTTGGAAGGGGAGACTTGGCTGCGACATTTTAGGACTTTGGTGAATAGATCGAGTGAGACGTCTGAGTATACGATCACTGAGCGTGGATGCCTTCGCCTTACCACAAGTCTAGCCAAGGTTCTTCAACACTCCTCCCAGGAAAGTTTCCTTGTGTCGTACATGTATCGTGTATCAATGCACCAAAGCAACTATACCAAGTCTATTGCCAACATGCATATACACAAACTTCTAGGCAAGGGACCACTTACACGAAATGCTCTCACTAAACTCATTCCGTTCAAATAATCACTCAGGTTCTGAAAGCATTTCCACGTTTCTCCCGATGCTTAAAAGCACTAGACGCGGTTGTGCAATTGGTGTAGGAACAAGTCGCTTGCACATCTACGGCCTCATTATTTAAGTGACTTGTTGTTCGGCTGGAGTTTCTAGAGCTATATGTGTCAAACCAGGTAGGTAGGAATAGAAAGTAGATGGTATAATATATCAACTAAGGAGAGATTGCGACGTACGGTAGAATGTGGGACTAGGTAAACACTTTAGAACGATCAGGAGTAGCTTAGGGTAACTTGTCATAACAGCAGCAACAGCACATTAAACTCAGAAGATGTGCTTTCAATATTAGAAATATACCGTTTAGAAGTGCACCGATTTGTTCCCTTTCACCAGCTGTCCGACTCGCTTTGATACGACGCGTGACACCAGACGGCAGAGTAGAGGTGGCTTGCTGCCCATGCCCAGGGAAAAAAGTAAACTAGATGACTTATCGGACATCATCTCTATTGATAAGTTCTCATTCAGCGACAGCCTTGTACTTGCTATACTCTGAGTACGTCTTGTCATTTCCACCGACGTGCAATCTTCCGTCCCTTGCCGGATTGTCGATCGCCGTCCAAGACCCACACTCGGCCGGCACGGAGCCGGGATAATCGGTATCTAAGCCCGTCTGCTCGGAGCTCCATTTCGAGTTGTTTTGTCAGTCAACAAGAAGACGTAACCGTTATTGCGCTTGCACAGGACAAGACTTACCACGGCCATCCATCAAAAAGCCCAGAGTGGAAACTCCGCCATCTCAACAGATCCGTCCGCTAGTTCACAGCTTGGTAATGGCAAATAGCTCGGATTACAAATTTTCTCTCCTTCTGATATCAAGTCATTCAGCTGCATATCTAAAGTTTTGACTAAGAAGTGAAGCTCTTTCGCTTGGACCTTCTCATCTTCCCCCGACTTTTCGGCCAAACCCACTCTATTTTGACGTGATGGGACCAACCGTGGGGCTCAGCTCGTCCGGAGCCTCCAAGAATGGCGAAGTAACCGTGGGGAACGACTCCGCACCATGACGGAATCACCTCATGGAGGGGTTCTTGGGGAAATAGTGGTAACTCACTTGGTGAATGATACCATCATCTTTCTTACGAGAGGTTTTATAAAGAGAAGCGTCTCCCACTTGGTCGGTGTTCAGAATCTCAAGCATATTCATCCAAATACACAATCAACATGAGCGGAAAGACATTCAACGTGGGCGTCGTGGGATATGGGTAAGTTCTCCAGCCACAGTATTTCACGACATCGTCAGCTGACTCTACAATAGCATGTCTGCCAAGATCTTTCACATCCCCTTCCTTACTCAAACTCCCCAGCTCAAGCTGCACGCCATTGTCCAGCGATCTCCCAAGGAGGGCAACTCAGCCCCAGCGGACTACCCGGATATCAAGCACTACACTGACTACAAGGAGCTCTTTGCCGACTCTGAAGTCGATCTGGTCATCATCAGCACTCCTCCCAACAACCACTTTGAGCTCACAAAGGCCGCCCTCGAGGCCGGAAAGCATGTCTTGACCGAGAAGCCCTTCGTGCCCACCTCTGCGGAGGCTGATAAGCTCATCGATATTGCTAAGAAGAATGGCAAGCTTCTTATCGTCTACCAGAACCGACGATGGGATGCCGACTTTGTTACCCTCAAGAAGCTCATCTCTGAGGGTACCCTGGGTCGTATTGTTCAGTTCGACAACCATTTTGATCGTTACCGTATGGTTCCATCCAAGAATTGGAAGCTCGATCTCCCCCTTTCTCAGGGCGGCAGCGCCCTTTTCGACCTGGGAACCCATCTGATCGATCAAGCTTACATCCTGTTCGGCAAGCCTCAAGCCGTCCACGGCCGTCTTCTTTCTCAGCGCAGCGGCAAGTTCGACTTTGAGAACCCCGACGGAGTCTCAGCAGAGTTGACCTACCCCGATGGTCTCCTCGTCAACATCCGCATCAGCGTCCTGAGCGCCGAGCTCGAGCAGCCTCGCTTCTGGGTCCGCGGCACCAAGGGAAGCTTCCGCAAGCTCGGCCTCGATACCCAAGAGGATGCGCTTAAGGACGGCAAGAAGGCTACCGAGGAGGGCTTTGGAAAGGAGGATCCTGCACGCTACAAGTTGGTTGTTGTCGACGACAAGGAGCAGGCCAAAGAGCAACAGCTCTCATCGATTGAGACACCCACTTACAAGGCTTTCTATGCCCAGCTTGCCAAGGCAATTGAGAGCGGAAAGGAGGAGGACGTACCCGTCAAGGCTTCCGAGGCTCGTGATGTTTTGCAAATCATCGAGGGTGTTTTCGAGAGTGCCAAGACAGGCAAGGATGTTACTTTTGCGTAGAGTGGTTTAGTTAAACTTAATGAATTTAATGAAGGAAAAGTCGTTACTTGACAAAATTGCTGGTTGTCTTGCACTTGTGATAGCTACCACTTGGCGGGAATGCATTCTGACCGTAAGCTACTTATTGCTGCTATTGCGACAAAGGACGATGAATCATCGATACGGAAGATGCGATCATATCAACTATTGAACCCTGGGATAGTGCGTCTTCTGGCTTTTCGTGAGGGCGATGGCTCAACGACCTCTTGCCTTGAACTCCCCATCTTTCACGTTCAGCTTCTCTTCATCAGGCCTGCACCAGTTTCAACAGTACCGTATACCCCCCACCAGATAAATGATTTTACAGGCATAAGATTTGTCGTAATATAAAGGGTTGATTATAAGAGTCATTCAGATTACCAAAGTACTAATCAAGGTAGGTATCCTAAAGAGCAAACCGTGCAACCTTTCCGATGTAGTCGAAGCATACAAGTAAGCAAATGAGACGAGCCTCAGACTCGTGGTCTATTCAATCAATATAAATTCCTCCGCAATGCATTTCGTCAAGAACATGCTTAAAAGTGACAACTCCAATACGTTATGTATATCTCCTATATGCAAAATTTTGTCTTCTTATTTTATTTTATTGTGGTTTAAATGGTGAGCATAAATCCTGCAGCGGCTGCGAGGACGACGAGGGCGCTGCTGGCCATCTTTGATGCGGAACTCTCGATCTCGATTTCTTCACCGATGAAAGTAGGTTTGTATTCTGCAGGGTCGCTCTCATCGAGAGTGCCGTTCCAGCAGTAATTTGTGAAACACTCCTGGCACTTATCAGGGATAGTGGTGTTTGTGCGGTCGAAGCTGCGAGAGAGCATGGCACAGCCAACACAAACAGGCCAGTTCTCGTCGCGGGTGCCGTTAAGCATAGTGGCGACCGCGTAGCCGTTCTCGATGATGGCAGAAAGCTCGGATGTGTTGATGCTCATCTGGAAGGTGGAAATGTTGGAGGAGTAGACGTAAGGGTAGTTGGGGATATAGACGATGAGAGGTGAGGGATCAGTCATGTTGGTAGCGTTGCAGCCGAAGAAGGTAGGGCGGCTGTTGAGACCCAAGTTGCGGAATGTGTTCTTGCCGGGGATCGAGGGGAAGGATGATCCCTTGGAGATGTCGGTAAGAGAGCGCTCGTATGTCGCGATGGGGGATGCACCGTCGGGCCAGCCGGTCTCAGTGTCGGCAGATGAATCGAAGGAGAAGACAACGTCGACCTCACGATCCTTGCGGATGAGAGGGTAGTAAGGAATGTTCTGAAGATCCTCACCACCGTCAACAAGGGTGAGTCGGTCGGACTCAGCGCTCAGATTCTCCTCCGGGTTCCAGCCCTTAAAGGGGTTGGGAGTCCAATCGGCGATATCGTTGTCCGCGCTGCCAATAGCACCAAGAACAGCAGACACCGCTTCGACAGCAATATCAGGAACATCGTCAGGGACGTAGTTGTTGTTAGGTTCGTTGAGGTAAAGAACGATCTGGTTGAAAAGACTGCTGGAAGTTCCCATAACGAAACCAGCATTATCGAAACCAGCGATACAAGACTTGTCCTTGGGAAGTTTGCCCTCATCGAACTCCGAACCTACGTACTTGAGGGGAACGAAACCCTGGAGGACGGGGTCGTATGAGCCTAGCTCCCAAGGAGTGAACTCGAAGTTAGTTGCGTTGAGACTGATAATGGTCTCGTTAGGGGCACGGCCGTCAGCAACAATGATGGGCATGGGAGCCTTGCCCTCGGAGAAATCAGTATCGTCGGCCAGGGAGGACCAGGTGTAGGAAGGACCACCATCAGTAGCGTTGATGAGCTGGTACGAGAGCATGCGACCCCAGTAGTCGGTAAGAGATCGCTCATAGCCGGCATCCTTCTTGTCGCTGACGGCATCGAAAACGGTGTTGTAGTATTGCAGCAGGGAGTAGCTCTCTGGGCCCTCAAGGATCGAATTCTCCAACTGCCAGATGCCAGGATAGTTGACGCTCTCCTGGACGGAGGTGAAGTTGTTCATCATCAAGCTGCCCACGAGCCATCCACCGCCGGAAAGACCTGAAAGATATGTCGCACTTTGTAGAAGACCACCGAGGTTTCCATCCTTGTCGCTACCGTCAGAGCGAATGTCCCAAGCTGCTAACGCACCGGCACCACACAGCATGGCACGGTAACCACCACCAGAGATGGCAATTCCAATATTCGGCACAGCTGTAGCGTCGGTCTCGGCGTTCTTGAGATACTCCTCGCTGTCAAAACCGGGGATCGCTAGGCGCTTCAGGAGTGTTCGCATGGGGGCAATGGTCTCGTTGCGACGCTTGGGAATCCAATCGCGCTCCATGCTGGAGATGGAGGTTCCATTTCGAATCGTCGGGCGCGTGCTCGGGCAATTGACTTTGGAGGGGACGTAGCCATTGGGGGCTTCAGGAGCGCCTCGTTTTGAGACTGATCCGGAGAAATCTGAGTTGGAGATGGCGACCAAGGCTTCGTCGACTGCTATTGGATTACGTTAGCTTCGATCCAGGACCCAGCGATCTGGCAAGGCATGCGATCGCGCCACAGCAGGCGTCATGCGTCGCGAATGCAGTCGCAGAGCGGCAGATGCGATCGCGTAGTGTCGACTTACTCGAAGGTCTAGCAGCGACAGGATTAATAGCGGCGCTGGCGGCCAGCAGAAGGGCGAGGCCTGAAGAAATGGCCATATTGATTGTGGCCACGGGCGGCCAAAGGAGTGGTGAGAAATGGGAAGCAAAAGCGAGCTTCAGAATCGCCGAAATGAATGAAGGCGAAGGATCCGAATCGCAACTATTGGTATCGATAAAATGGTTCGTGTGTTATGAAACCGAACCCGGTGGATATGCGAAATAAGGGGTGGTTCAATGGTTGAAATGGCCAAAGACTCGAATACGAGCAATAGAAGAAACAAGATGTACGAAATAAAGTGAGCGGCTCTAAGAAGAAGAAACAATAAGGGAATAAAAAGTCAAAAGAGACGCAATAGTCGGAAAGTTGTTTGTAGGAAGAAGGATTCAATGTGGGGTGGTAGTTTGATTGGGAGTATCGTAAAGGTTTCTTGAGTCTTGATCCGTGCTTTAAAGGCAAGGGTAAGCGGTATATAAGACGGGAGGGAGCTACCTTGTCTGCTTGTCTTGAGCTTGAGGTTGAGTCTGCCTCTTATTATTTCTCTCCATTCCTATTTTCATCAGCTAATACGCTGCCAAGGGCTACCATTTTCTGACAGGCGTTTGCTTCTCTCTGCCTCTCTGTCTCACTGCCAAGACCTGCCCAGCCCTGCGCCTTGCCTCTGAGGTGTACCGGTCTGATGCAATCCTACAGGTTGCATAATTGCACAAGCGCTGGAAACAGGTGAGATGGTGACCAGCAGTGCATTCGTGTAGTGGATTTGGGCAGTGAAACGATGTATCTAAACCTTCAACTTGTCAATTTGGTTTCATCGTCAATATCCTCCGTCCGCACATGTCATTCCCATTGTGGCCTGTTTGAGAGTCGCCAAGAGGCCCCCCTGTAGGTCGTATCTACCAGCCACTAACAAGCCTTGAAACCGTTCCAGGAACACCCGCCCAAGCCTTTTCGATGCTGGGATGATCCAACCGCGACGCGCCGCATGGAATGACTTCACTCCATTTTCGCTGGTAAGAGTTGACATCTCCTATTCTGGATATTCAGCAACAATTGCACGAGATCGTCAAGGCTGAGTATTAAGATCCGCGGAACCAAAAGACCCCAGCGACATTACAATGGACATCAAACACTAGCAGATCCCAGTTGCATCAAAAATATCCCGATCCACAGTCACCTTTTTTCCGCAGCTGAAAACGGTCTCCATGTTTTCATGAACCCCTGGCGAAATACGCCAGTAAGATTAAAGGGACCTCGATACACTTTCCAATCTCGGAGCCAAGACGGCTTAGCGGCTCTTGTGACGTTTTTCTTTTTCATGCACTCGAAAGAAACAATGGTGCTGGTCACAAGAGCGCGTATAGATAGATCATCCACAAACGTGGCTCAAAGCTGTTGCAGCATGTAAGACAGCATAGGTCGCTTTTCTCTCTGCCCTACAGGCTACAGACTACGGCTGAGCCACCTGTCAGCTCTCGGAAAGGATTGCGGATCTATCGTCAAGATAATCTTGCCGGGTCACGATGGCGGTGCGGTACGTGCACTGCCCAACTGTCATCTGTCAGCGCGCAGCGTGTATCCATCTTGGATCACCGCTTGCCTCTCTTTAGGATAATCTCTCGTGTTTAGTGGTCCAATGCCGCTTACTACATGAATTAGCTTGGCCCCATTTCCATGGGCAAGTCCATGGCATTGCCGTTACTCGGCCGATCGGGACTTCAGTAATCATTCAGCCAGTCCGCTTATGTTCAGCCCTAGGCAGCATGTAATCATACAGAATTTCTTAAAAAATTCTCAGGTTAGATGCTGACCCTATACTTGTGCTTACACCCGTCTCATAGCCAATCAGTCATATGGGTATCAAATTACATGAGTCTACATGTACATACACAGCCATAACATATCTCGTTACATGTCTTTAGTCGGCGTACTCGTCCCCAGCAGGTTCTCGTCCAAAGGGATGATTGAACTTGAGTAAGCCGGTCAAACCGCCCACCCAAGGATCATCATCTTCGGTTCGGATCATGCATGGCACACCGCCATGCCACTCTTCTCCAGGGCCAGCGCGTCCAACAAACTCACCCTCCACCCGGATCTCAGTTCCTGGTGATACTCCAGCACATCGCTTGCCATCAATGCTGAGATCAAGCTCACGTCCGCGGTTCTTCCGGCTCATCCGTAATGTGACCTTGGTATCAAGTGGCAGTACAAGGGATCGGAAACTGAGACTGCAAGGACTGATGGGCGTGATAAGGAGCGACTTGACAAGCGGGTGAACAATTGGACCACCTGCACTTAAACTGTATGCGGTTGAGCCTGTTGGAGTGCTGATCAAGATACCATCAGCTGTGGTCTCGGTAAGAAAATGGCCGTTTTGATAGATATCAATCCTCGCCAGGTGAGGATGAGACCCTCGATGCACTGATATCTCGTTGATAGCCCTCAGTGACGGCGATGGCTCTTGAGGGACTGCCAAGGCCTTCGCCCCAGTCTTCGCCTCGCTCGACAGTGTATCCGACAGCCAATGATTGATGTTATTTCCAGATGGATCATACACATCAGCCTTGATGCGATGGCGGAGCAGCACCTTGGAAGCTCGTTGAGCCCCCATGCTTTTCCCCTTATGTCTGTCCCATGCTGCGTATGATACTGGACTGGCTTTGTCCCAATCTCCTCGAGGATAGTTGGCCTCGCGTGTAGCAACGTCACTGCCACTCATAAACGTCTCCCTCCAAGCCTTTTTGTATTCTCTAAAATCCCACTCGCCGAGGAATCCTAATGTTCCCATATTGAACGAAAGGATCGGAGGAACAGAACCATGGAGCTTGTAAAGACTGGCCGCTCGCAGGACAGTGCCATCTCCGCCGAATGTTGCAATGACGTCAATCTTGTCTGCCATGTTGGAACGAGAGTCGGAAGTATAGATCGGAAAGTCAAGGCCTTGTTTCAACGACTCGGCGATCCGTGGTTCGAACACGAGGTTGACTTCAGGGTATTCATTGCGAAGGTACGTTGAGAACTTGACGACAGCATCGACTACTGTATCCGAGTACAGTTTGTGGATAATAAGAAGATTTTGGGGGGGCTTGGGCCAATTTAGCGATAGAAGCGATGATCCAGGTTTGGTGCTTTGTAGATATCGAGGATGTATTCTATCTGGGAGCTCTGCGATGCTGCGAATCTCGGAGGTTTGGCGAGCAGATGTCGTCGATAGAAGACGTTGGGTTCGTGGAGTTGGGGCGCATGCAGATGATCTAATAACAACCCGAGGTGTTGGCCGGCGACATAGGACAGGCTCAACGAGCGCCAGGCCTTTTATAAGAGACCTTCTATACATAATACAAGGAGCTCAACATGGCATGCGAGGAGAAAGGATGCCTGTGAGGCTGATTAAATTTGACTACAGATGACGCCGAAGACGGGAGCTACCATACCCTTACTCCACTAACTCGACTGCAGCTTTGGCAGAATTATGAGGCGCTAGAGGTGGGCTGTTGTTCACCGCCTACCTCAAGCAATGCCAGAAGATCTGTAAGAGAAGAGAATAATAATGGGTTCTACTTTAGCTCTGAGGGTTTTGAAGGGGTGGGATCATGGTGACAGTCTATCCTCTTGAATGTTGAAACAGACGATCAGCTGAGATATGGATGTGATCTGTCAAAGGTTTCTTAGTCAATCCCACGATAGGGAATAGCTGCTGGAGATGCAGATCCAACACCTGGAGCTGGAGCTCTGCAGCAAATGGATCTCATTTTCGTAGCTTCTGATTGGCCAACATCTATCGGTATTCCTAACTGCCCCCCGCCGTCATAAGACTCCGATGCATCCGCCTGATGTCACTAGAAGCTAACCACGAGCAGGCAGGTTCAAGGCAAGCTCAGCTCATGCCTGGGCCTTGAATCACATGCACACACGCCATGTCTCGCAGCCTTGTAATATCGTAATATCCCTCCTCCATATTCACCTTGCGCTTTGCTAGATTGCGCATCTTATTAGTTTTTCCTCCGGCTGGTATCTGGTGGCAGAATCTCGACCTGCCTGGACTCTAGACTGTGCCACGCGACCCCTCGTCTGTCTACTTCAGCTCCCGCCAGCGAGATCTTGGCAAGGCAAACACGAGATATAACAGTCCCGAAAGGATCTTTCCGTTTGTCCATTTATTTTCTCAACGTAATCCCTCGCACAACCACGTTAAACGAGATAGACGACACAACTAAGCAATAACCGCCGCCATGGCTGTCACCAAAAGGGCTGGTGCGCCAGAGACGGTCATACCATCTCCTCAACTCCTCGCTGGGCTGGCAGAGAAAGCTAGGGCGGAAAAGCAGGCGCCCAAACCAAAGCGAGAGCATCCCTCGGGGAAGGAAGGATATGGAGCTTTCATGCAAATTATACGCGGCATCTTGTTCGCCCTGTATTTCAACACATGCTGCATTGGGTATGGATGCCAAGTGCCTCTACTTAGATATCTCAGCGACTGACGCAATTGCAGCATTTTTCTTACTCAACTTTTCGGCACTCCTTTATATGCTGTTCACCGCGACTGGTTCTACGCCTACATGGCGATGACGAAGCGCTCTTTTGGTCTGACAATAACCCTCATGACACAAATCTGGGGCCCAACAACGATACGAATCAGCGGCGATGATTCGGTCGCCGGCCAGATCAAGCTGCAGCCTGACGGAGTAGTGCGGTTCGAGTTCCCGGAGCGTCTGGTGCTAATCGCCAACCACCAAGTATGGGCATGCGCTCTTCGACAAACTTGTATATGCTAATCTCGGTCCCAGATTTATACTGACTGGCTCTATCTCTGGTGGATCGCTTATGCCAATTCCCCAAGTATGCATGGGCATATCTACATCATTCTCAAGGAGTCTCTCAAGCGCATTCCGTTCGTGGGTTGGGGAATGCAGTTTTACGGATTCATCTTCATGTCGAGAAAAATGGCCTCTGATCGGCCACGAATGGCTTACCGTCTTGAGAAGCTGAAGCAACGCAAGGTTGATCCCAACGGAAAGTCTTATATGGATCCGATGTGGCTGCTTTTGTTCCCCGAAGGCACCAATCTTTCCAATAATGGGCGTAGAAAGTCGGCAGCCTGGGCTGCCAAGAATGACCTCAGGGATCCCGAACACGTTATGATCCCGCGGAGTACTGGCATGTTCTTTTGCTTGAACGAGCTCAAGGGGAGCATTGACTATGTTTATGACTGCACGGTCGCATATGAGGGAATTCCGTAAGTTGTGACTGGAGCCCTGTTACACAGCATTGGAACTGTCGACTAACAGGTGGACATAGGCGAGGCGGGTTTGGTGAGGAATATTTTGGTCTGGTCAGTACTTACTTTCAAGGACGCCCTCCGAAGTCAGTCAACTTCTACTGGCGTCGGTATCGACTGAGTGACATGCCGCTGGAAGACGAAGAGGCCTTCAATCTTTGGTTGCGCAAAGAATGGGACAAGAAAGATGCGTTGATGGAGGAATACCTGACGACCGGGCGATTTCCGCCTATGGCTGGTAGCAAGCTCGACCATATCGAGACTGAGGTCAAAACCCGACAACCTTGGGAGATTCTCCAAGTGTTTGCCGTCATGGGCACTGTTGGGCTTGTTTGGTACAACATTCAGAAGTCGTTCGTCGCCGCAAAATCGTTGTTTTAATGATGTGGGCCGAGGTATGGTCGGAAAATGAGCAGGTAACGCTTGGGATTGCACAGGAGTCTGGTGTGGTTGGCACTCCTGCAGGTTCAATCAAATGGCTAAAGTTTGCAGAAATCCTTCAAGGTGAATACACAGGGTGTATTGGAGGATTCTCTGAAGGTGTGGGCATTCGCCTTGGCTGGATTTGATCCTTCCGGTTTTGTCCATGGTGTAGAGAAGATACCGAGGCGCAAATTGGTTGGGAACGACGAAGAAGAAACGACATGATGAGATAGATGACGGTGTGAAGATTCGGTCAGTATCCGAGAGGTAGAATAGGCTGTCTTGATGGCTTAGTTAGAGGATGTGTATGAGAAGTATTGGCAAAGTGTTGAATGATACATGTGGTGTTTACTGTAAAGGATCGTTAGCGGGATAATGATGCATCGGTGCGTGCCGACAGTCCGTCTAGCAACCCGCAAGAATTGCCATAAAAAGAAAACGTTGCTTGACAATGCCGTTTTCCGCCAGTCCTCATAGTGGCAGCCAGGTGGGTAGCAAAATAACCGGCACACTGAAGCTCTTTTGCCATATAAAGCTAGGCATAAAGACAAAATAAACTCGTCAGATTTATAAATAATCTTAACTAAACCTTTCTGTCAACTCGGCCTGGTGTGCGGGTTTTATTGCGACCCACCTGGCAGCTCAGCCAGGTCGAAACAACCATAAATTAGCGCCGCGTGAATCAGCCCAACGAGAGGCTAGGGATCTGAGATTTAATTCGGGCTACATTTACATTCTAATCTAAGTACTAGACACTAGACGCAACAGGCGAATCTCTTAGGGAGCCTCGGCATCCAAGGGCGCTCTATGAGACGTTATTGGCTCGGGATATGAGAGTTGATGCGGGGGTGGGGGGAAACGCGGGGGAAATGAGTAGCGCACGTAGCGTTGAAATCGAATGTGTCTGGAGAATTAAACGTGGTGTGTGGTTGATTTAGATTTGAGGGGCGGGATGAGATTGGTTTGATAGACAAAGCTAATAAGCCACCGCTCTTGGACAAATCGAAGGCGACGTGGCTTGCGGTGGACGGAGATGGGGAGTTGGGGATGCTTGCTTTGCTTGTTGGTGTAAGTGAGAGGTTCATATGGTCCAAGCTGTTCTGCTGTGTCTCCAATGCTTTTATTGTACAGAGTATGTGCTATACAGCCAGAAATGGAATATTGGCTCGACACAACATATCTAGTATCTACTGCTTTTGTACTCTGTACATGCAAACAATGCCAATCCTCGCTTCCAGTCCCTGCCTGTGCAACACTAACCACGGGACAGGGCGCTTGGGTCGCAATCAATCCCACAATAGAAAAGTTACAACTTATCCTGGTATATTTTATTCTACTCGAGGTTAGGGCTCGACTCTGCCGCCGGAGTAGCCAAGACATGCCATGCCATGCTAGTTATGCCATGCAAGCCTCTTTCCCCCCCCCCATTATCTTTCCGCCCTCGTGGTTGAGTCGAAAAGCGTTTGCCCTCCTGATACGATACTGTACGGGCCAGCCTAACTTTGGCTGTCCAGACTCCTCAATGACAAGCCCTCCATCGCGTCTCGCCCCAAAACAGGCAATCCTCCGGGCGTAGCAGCGCTGTAGAGTACCCTCACGATAATTACCCCGCAAAGTTTCTTCCTAGCCATGTCCAAATCCACAGCCCACACCCCCGGATTTCTCTCCTTGGTGGAGCATAGTGACAACATAGCCCGGTCGATCTTGCGGGGGAAACGAAAGGACGGGGACAATAATGGCACGTTGATACTGACACTGATACTGATACTGGTACTGACGCAGCAACGGTCTAGGGGTGTGCGACGGTTTGCAACGCTGGGCATTGCTTCTTGGCATTGACCGCCACCCGAGGCAAGTTTGCTTTGAAGTGTTGCATTGGTTCGATTGAGAGAGATCTTGGGGAACCTGCCAGGCATGCCCAGCAGCAGCAAGGGGGGGCCCAGCAGAGAGGAGAAGGTGTTGGGTGTATATAAAGAGAGGCGATGATCTTGGTCCAACTCGATAGAATAAACTGGAGACAAAGACATCAGAAACTCGGGACTCGACAAGCACAAACACAAACTGCAACCTGGTTCCTCTTTTACAACCCGTTCGTGTCCAATCCAATAGGGGTTTGTGTCCTGCACCTTCTCCTCTCGGAAGCAGTGTGTGTAACTGGATTCAAATTCCTTGCATTTCCCTTTTCTCCCCTCACGTATCCTCTTCTTCTTTCTTGTCCCACGCAACTTCTTCACTCACCTCTTCCTATATATCTCTACTCTCTTCAAGACTTTCCTCACTGTCTGTCTTGACGAGAAAGACCGCCCACCATGGAGAGAACATCAGACATGGACAATGTTGAGAAGCAGGCCGAGTTCAGGCACATCGACCAGGCGCCCAGCAAAGTCAGTTCCGAGGTCGATGTCGACGGCGGCTTCACCAAGGATGAGCAGCGCAGTATCATTAAGCGCATCGATCGTCGTCTTGTTGTGACGGTCGGTGCTATGTACTGTGTCTCGCTCATGGATCGAACCAACATGAGCGCTGCCAACATTGCGGGAATGAGCGTAGAACTTCAGCTCGTTGGATTCCGATACGTGAGTCTCCTCTCCATGTTGCGTGAAAGAATGTGAACTTGGCTGACAATTGCGCTCAGAACATCGCCAACTTGGTCTTCTTCATTCCATACATCATCTTCCAACCCCCGTCGACAGTTCTCATTCGCAAGATAGGACCCCGATATCATCTGGCCATCATCACCATGCTCTGGGGAGCTGTCATGATTGGTATGGGATTTGTCAAGAAGTTCCCCCAGCTTGCGGCGCTCAGAGCGGTTCTTGGTTTCTTCGAGGCTGGTTTCTTCCCTAGCTGTGTTTACCTCCTCAGCACCTGGTATACACGATGTGAGTCTCTCGGTATAGCTAAATAACCACCAGTCACTAATCCACATGGAAACAGACGAGGTCGGAAAGAGGTACTCAGTCTTCTATCTCCTCGGTTGCGTCGCCTCAGCTTTCTCCGGTATCCTCGCCTACGGTGTACGTCCAATCCCGCCTTTCGATACTCGCTCATACTGACATGTCACAGCTTATGCAACTTAATGGTCGTGAAGGGCTCACCGGCTGGCGATGGATCTTCATCATCGAAGGTACCCTAACTGTTTTCCTCGGTATCGCAGGCTACTGGCTCCTTGTCGACTTCCCCGACTCGAAGCGCAAGACTTGGTCGTTCCTCGGCGCCCGCGAACGTCAATGGGTCTGCGATCGCATCTCTCGGGACCGCGGCGATAACGAGATTCCTCCCTTCCAAATCGGCAAGTTCCTTCGCGGTGGCGCTGACTGGAAGGTGTGGGCGTACGCCATGATCTTCTTCGATACCACCACCATCAGCTACGCTCTTGCTTACACCCTGCCTATCCTTCTTGTCGGTAACATGGGCTTCAGCGTTGGAGCAGCACAGTGTCTTGTTGCGCCTCCTTACGCCTTTGCCGGTATTGTTATGTTCGCGACAGGTTATGTGGGCGACAAGTACCACATCCGAGGTCCTATCATCCTCTTCAACATGCTTCTCTGCCTCATCGGACTTCCCATCATGGGCTGGGCTGAGAGCACTGGTGCGCGTTACTTTGGTGTCTTCCTCGTCACCGCTGGCGCAAACAGCAACATCCCCACTGCCATGTCCTTCCAGGCCAACAACATCCGCGGTCAGTGGAAGCGAGCCTTCTGCAGCGCTACCCTCGTCGGCTTTGGTGGTTTTGGCGGTATTGCGGGCAGCTTGGTGTTCCGTGAAAAGGATAAGCTCACCGGTTACAAGCCCGGCATGTGGGCTTGCATTGCGTGCTGCCTCGTGACAGTCATCCTCGTCTGTCTCCTCGACTTGGACTTCAAGAAGAAGAACGCCCAGGCTGACAGAGGTGAGAAGGTGTTGGAGAATATCGAGGTGAGTAAGCCCCCTCTTGCTGACATAACATCATCACTGACAATTCTTTCTTTAGGACGGTGCTACACCCGATTTCCGCTACACTTACTAAGTTACTACGGTTGGAGGAGTGCAGTCAACGGTTAGGGTTGGATGCTTTGTTCTGCTGAGGTGTATCAGTCGTCATTATAGTCCAATAACGTGCATTGTTTGCATCGTTTCCATCATCTTGTCTTTCTGATACCTTGCACTCACTCATCTTGGTGACATGTTCCTCACAAGAGACAAAGCTCTTCTTGTTACGTCAAACTCTGTTCGTCCTCCCGAGTCATATTCTGGATAGTGTTACTCTTTGACAACGCCGTGTCTCTTGTTCATCCAACCATGACCATCACACATTGTACACTCCCACCCGAACACTTGACCTCCCACCGCCGTCGTCGACAAAGAACATGTTTCCCCTTGACCATTCTTCCACAATGCACAAAAAGCTCAGCTGTGCCCGCTGTGACGTTCCTGCCATACTGAAGTTGTTCGTTTTCTCATCGCCATAATGAGCCATTCTGAATACGCTGTCCCGGTGTACCTGGGCATCCTGATCGCTCTGCTGATACTGTGGCTACTGCTTCCTATTACTTTTGTTACGCTGCTCGTGGTCAAGAGTCGTCTTGAGAGGAGAGAGGTGGAGTGGTTGGAGGAGGGCTTGTTGTTGCCCAGGGAGGAAATACGGATGGATTACTACACGTTCTTTCGCGGCTGGGGACGTGGTGGCTGAGATATTTCCGTCAAAGCCTTGCGAAGATATTTTCGACCTTGAAACGGCGGTCACTTGTAGTCGCTACAAAAGGTTTGTCAACACGATTGGAACAAAGAACTACCACAACAGACTATCAACTAGTCTCATATTGTAAGTCGTCTATATACAAATTGCAACTTATCATATTAACATCATGAACAGAACCATCATAGCACCGAACACAGCAGTGAACAACGAAGCCTGAACACCACTGGCCGCATTACCGTCACCTCCAGAGCTTCCACCGCTTCCCTTGCTCTTAGCCTCATCCTGCTGAGAATCCTCACTGCTGGTCGCATTGGTCTCGACAACGCGCTCCTCCAGCTTGGCGTCGAGAGGGTTGTGCGCATCAAAGTATCCAATGAGAACCTCGTCCTGAGAATCCAACGTAGCGAGGTTCTTCGTCTCAGTGCTGAAGAAGTTGTCGCCTCCGCCGGCAATAAAGTCAAGCGTGACAACGCGGTACTTGCGCTTGTCCTCGAAAGCCTTGCCGTCGAGAGTCGCGTTGACGACCTTGGAGCCGTTCTTGTTGTCCGGGTTGTACTCGATCTTGAGACCCTTGGAGACCTGGAACCACGAGGTGATTTCCTTGTCGTTCTTCTGGTTGATGCCTGTCACGGCTCCCTCGAAGATCTCCTTGATCTCGGCGCCGGTGAAGGTGAGCTCCACGATGGCGTTGCCGAAGGGGAACGAGGTCAGGACTTCGCCGCGGGTGATGTTACCCTCGTCGATAGTGGCGCGGACACCGCCGGCGTTGATGAAAGCGAAATCAGCCTTGTCGTCGTCGCTACGGCTCTGGTTGAGGCGGTACTCCAGCATGGCGTCGGCCATGACCTGTCCGAGAAGACAATCTCCGTCTTGACATTTGGATTGATCGAGCTCGACCTTTGTGTTTCCGACGACCTCGGCAGCAAACTCCTCGAATGGACCTCTCCACGACTCGATCTTCTTCTGGAGATCCTTGTCCATCTCGGTCTTGTTGGTCATGTGGATAGGAGCGCCGTGGTATTCGAGAGCCTTGCCGTCCTTGTCAAAGGTCAGGTCGATGGAGCCGAGGTACTCACCCCATCTGTAGGCAGTGACAATAAAAACTTCATCTCCGTTGACGTTCTTGACGATTGTGGGATATGTATCCTCGGCGTTTTCCATATCGCCAAGAAGAGTGTGACTGTGACCGCCAATAATGAGAGACAGACCCTCTGTCTTGGCAGCGAGCTCCTTGTCAACGTCGAAACCAATATGAGTGAGTGCGACAATTCGGTTAATGTCGGTGTTGTTTCGAATCTCCCAGACAGACTTCTGCACCTCAGCGATAGGATCGAGGAAAGTGGTCTTGTTTCCCACACTCGAGATTCCAGGCGTGGTGTCAGTGGTGACACCAATAACCGCCAAGTCGTGCTCCTTGAAGATCTGGTAGTTCTTGATGGTCTTGTTGAGGCCCTCGTAGCCGCTCTTGACGTTGCACGAGACAACAGGGAAAGTCAAGTTCTGGAGGAACTCGCCGAGCTCCTCGTCGCCGCCGTCCCACTCGTGGTTTCCGAGGGTCATGGCGTCGAACTTGAGCGCGTTGAGGTTCTCGGCGATCTTGCTCGGCCCGTAGAAGGAGTAGAACAGCGTGCCCTGGAACTCGTCGCCCGCGTTGAGCCACAGGTTGTCCGGGTGGTCTTTGCGGAGGCCATCAACTGTGTGCTTAATGCGCGCATAGCCGCCGAAGCAGCCCTTCTTGGGGTCGACGCAGTCGGTGCCTGACTTTGAGAATTCGTCGAGATGCGCGTGGACGTCGTTGACGTGGAAGAAGGCTGTGTTGTGAGCTGGTGGTCTCGACGCATTTGAAGGCATTTGCGCCAGAACTTACACATGTTGTAGTGTCCATCATCGTCAACAAAGCGCTTGGTTAATCGCTGGCTGTAGAGCGCATCCTCGGCAAGGACTGAGCCCGTGAGGGCGAGTGCAGTCAGGGTAATTGACGACTTCATGATGACGGGCGAGGTGCCTTAAAATCAAATCAAATCAAGAACTAAGTGAAAGCATTTTCGCAAAACTTAAAAAGACAGGATCGTCGCCTCTCTTTAACTCTACGGTTTAACCCTTGCACATTTTGTGTTTGGCCAGTCAGTGATCACCATTGAGGTCTTGCAAAGGTTCCATTCGCAAAGGATCGCCAAGACACACGTGGGCAGCGCGACTGGCTTATCGCAAGGAGCCGCCCGAGGAATTGACAAGATGAGCCGTTATCGTGATATCGTATTACCTGCCATTATCTACAAACGTGTGTGTTCTTGCGTTTCAGCTTTGCTAGTGTGCTATCAAGCAGCAATTGACAGATAACCAGGGCATCAGCCAAGCCTTGGGCATGCCCAACTCCCGGTCCTCTGGCGATAGCAATTGGACGACGCCGTGACCCTTGGGACGGGCCTGTTTGACAGAAGGGGAAGGTTTTCTTTATAGCGCCGGTCAAAGGATATTTGGTGCGGCAGCTCCTCCGTCGCCGGAGCAATTATCTGCCTCCATATCATCCATACAAACCAATGAATTGACTGTCATTTGTTTATGTATCAGCACATCTGCATCTGCATTTGCATGAGCATGCCTCCTTCGTCCGTTGGTTGCATTGGCTGAGTACCTGACTCATGTAGCTTTCTCTCCTCGATTGTGTGTTACCGTGGATCACATCGCATCACATCACACACAGATCTTTCTGGGGCGATTTCTAGTTTAGTTTAGTCTTTAAGCTTAATCCCCATGACTAATTAATTAACGCCTCGCGGCGGATTTTACGGGGTTCGCTCCGAACTTTTCGGGGCCTCGCTTTTTTGTTGTCAATCCCAACAGAATGGGCCCCGGTTCCAAGGATCCCACATCGTCTACTCCCTAACTCTAACTCGTAGTGATTACCGAGACTATCTTTTCTTTGCTTTGTTTTGTTTTGCTTTTGTATCCATGTATGCGTAATGTCCGGGGTTATTTGGCTTGGCCACTGTCGAGATAGTAATTCGAGATGCCTGTTTGGGTCTAGTTCTTACCCTGCACAACATCGCAGCCAATCTATTGATCTTGATGTCAAGCCAAAGCACTAGGGGCTGTAGAAGTGCTGATACAGCGATTACGGACTATCTACTAGTAGGTTGTATTGATTTTTCTCTGCCAAGACAATTTACGGAGAGAGAGGCCCGATATAGGAACTAGTGATTACTACCTATCTATCCCACTGGGATTCGTAGTTAGTTGATGTCTTTTACGGATACACAGGCTAAATAGCTCCGGCCGGTCTGTTGGTCGGGCCCATCAGTACGGAAAGAGTGGAGTCTTGGCGTACATACCTAGGTAGTTCGAGGAGAGTACAATTAACACCCTGAATTATTGTAACTGGGTGACTTCCCCCACAAGGACGTATCTCACTAACAATTTATGCCATATGTCATCATCGCCGCCCGCTACTAGATACGAAGAAAAGCAATTATACAAGCGCCACTTAAAGATACCCCCTTCTAACTATAGGTTACAGTAGAGAGTAATTATCTTATGTACTGATCGTCTTGATGCCCTTTTTTATTCGTTATTATCGTCTCCGCAAGTCCGCAGGTTACAATAATTCAGGGACTGAATTGTACCTAGTTAGCTATCTGTTTGCGTCATTCCGGCAGGCAAATCAAGACAAGACAGATTGCGCTGAGATATGACATGAATTTGCTATCCGATATATTTCGGTTCCTGAAAAGTGAACGCCCTCCTGGCCCTAGAACTCGAGAACTGTCAGTGCGTTTTAGTTAGCTTGTCAGCTTGTCTAGTATGTGATTAGCAAAGTTTATCGTCCGTTCTCAATCTCACTTACCCTGTATCCAGTTTTGCATGATTCAGGTCTTGATTCTAGAACGAGCAAATTGTTTATATTTGACTCAATAATATCTTTGAAGCAATTTCTATTTCCTGTTGGCTTTTTATATACATGATTCCGGTGAAAGAGACGCATAAACATATCTAAGATTATCGTTGGAGTAATCTCCACCAATGCTCCTAGCACATGAAGAGTTGATTTGTATGCATTGTCTCACCACAATGTGAAGCATCATTGTGAATACTCATTGGCTGGTTAACTAAGTGATGGTGTTGAAAATATGGATGCTTGTAGAAGGCCGGAGCCAGGTCCCCGTTAGATCGATGTAGTATTATTCCTGGACGCATCAAGATCTTCCTCATGCTGATCCGCGGATCAGTAGCTCAAAGTAGGTCAACTCGTGGAAATACACAGAATCACATCTAGAACAGATCCATGGTCGCATAGCCTCGGTTCAAGCTACATGACTTGACTAAGTGGGCAATTCAAGCTACGCATTAATCATAAGTACATGCCCATGGCTACCAACTTGGACATAGATGCTTGGCACCAACCGTACACCAAAGGCATCATCTAGAACAAGCTCATCACGTTTGCCAAGAGACAAGCTTGTACTCAAGAGGTTGAAATCACACAAGAGATTAATAATAACTGGATGCCAAGAACCTCGCGCAAGCCACTGCTGTCAAAAGGGAACCTCGGAGCTGTAGTTGAAATCGATGAACGGCCGAGCGGCGATGAATGCATCATCCCTAGCTTCAGATTGCCACCACGGAACGGCGCGCAAGCTGGGAGATACAAATAAGGTACCGTAACGCGTACAGTCTGCCAATGCCAGTGCTCGTGCCTCCGATCACAGGGCTGGCTTGGGGCCGGGGGCTCGTCGCCGGCTCGGCAGGGCAGCGCGCGGTTCGGGAGCACGAAACCGTTGCGTGGGCCCTTTTTCGGCGACGTCTCTTAGCCAGCAGCCTTAGCTAGCTGCTGGTCAAGTGCGCAGTAGCTCAACGCAAGGTGACAGACCAAGAAACGGCCCTGTGACCCTAATCTTGATGGAGCTAGAGCTGGCTAGGGGACCTCAGGGTTCTTTTGAAAGAAGCTGACGAGCTTGGGGGATGAGTGCAAGTGCAAGCTACAACATGGCACATACCGGTACATGCAGTGCAGAGATGCTGTGGGCAAAAAAAGAAAAGGGGTCTGTGCTAACTGTGAGCTGGGATGATACCGATTCGCTCGGCCGTTGCCAAGAATGATTGTCAAGCGGCGATGGAGTTGGGTGGATGGATATATGCAACAGCTCAACGACTCGCCCCGAGACAAAGTTGTTCATATGCACGATCTTGACGTTCGCTTGAGGACCTCGCTATCGAGCTCCCGTCGTTGGCGGATGTGTTAGTTTGTCTGTGTGATGCGTGATGGGCGGTGGCTGAAAATGCATCCCCATTGCTGATCTTGTCCGTGATAATTCCGGGGTCTAGACACGACGACACGTATGGTCATACGTAGTATCCCATCACAGCCTCAATGATCTTCCTGAACTCTCAGACACCACGCGACAGAACACCCTCAGTCAAATGATAACGCCACAAGAGGCAGCCTGGCAGCAACAACTCCGGGCAGGGAGGCGATAGAAGCACATTCAGAAGGGTTGCTAGTTGCTAGGAGGGCAGCTAATGTACATACTGTACTGCACTGATAGTGATATTATTGTATTTGGAAGATCTGGTAAGTCCGCTCACGGTCCGAGAGTTGATCTAGTCTAGGTACATACGATAATACTGTACTTAGGGTGCCCGGGGGTAGAAGGAACTTAGTTCCATAACCCTGGATATGAGAACGGGATGGATCAGGACAAGTGTCGGATTTTAGAATGGCGATTGTAAGCGTATCTGCCATCAACTGAGGCGATTCCTACGTTATTTGCTGAGAATAACGTTATTGCACGCATGTGTAATTGGCCTTTGGCATTGCATACCAGCGACCGAGTCTAATTCAGGGCCAAGCGTCCGAGCAACAAAGCAAAAAAGCACACCCCGAATGATGTGCAGCCGAGGACCTTTAGCATTGACAAGTGACATTCAGTGATTGAGATACTCCATAAAACATTAGTAATTTGATCTGCAGACATTTTGAATTGCTTTTTGGAGCATGGTTCAGTTTGGTTCGAAGCAGGTTCTTGGCGAAATACTACCATAAGCCACACATGGACCAATTGTCGGCAGAAGGGCCAATTTCAGATGGAAAATCTTGGCATTAGCCATTAGGCATCGAGCGATACGATACAACTTCCGCCCACAGTAACATCACATCACCAACGAGGTGCGAGTTGCGAGCCCCTCCCGCCAACATCAAACGTTTGGTTGCAGATGGTTACAGAATGGTGATGGCGAAGAGATGCTGTAGGTTAGCAGACAGACAGAGACCCATGAAAAAGAATGAGGTCATTGCGGCTCAGGCCCGAGAAACAACGGTATCTTGAACTCGGTACGTCATTCGTCATCCACAGAAATAACACTAAATCAATCAGACTTTCAGACTTTCAGGGTCGCCCTCTTTGCCAAGACTCGGCGGCAACGGCACTACGCCCCTCCCCCCCCCTCCCCTACCCCAACTCCCGAACCCACGGAGTCGGGCACGGTAAAAAGCAAAAGCCAGAAGATCAAGAGCCGAAGTTGAAGGCTTGGGAAGGGCTTGGAACGAAAGAGGGAAAGACAATCACAAGAACGCCTCTGCCCAGCCCTTTCTACCTAGTTCCTCCCTGGTCGAGGAGAAAGAGGAACGCTGTGGCGGAGGTACTCTATACGTGTGTGTATGTACATGTATGTACGGAGTAGGTAGGCATGCATATATGTATACCTTAGTACCTACTCAAGGGTCTAGGTTCACATACCATGGCGTCTTGTTGGTGTGATGGCAAAGGGCCAGGGAAGGGTAAAAAAAGAGACGGACCCAACTCTAATAGCCAGTGTCTCTCCAAAGACAGGACTAGGTTGATGCAGACAGGGATGCAACACGAGCGGTCCAAGCAAGCAAGCAAGCGCAAGCAAGTGATGAATGAGATGGACCTCACTCAGCCCAGCCTCCACCACCACCACCATCAGTTAAATGGCGCGTGCCCCGTTGGGGAATGGCTGAGACAGACAGGGGGAAAGAAAAAAAGAACATCAGGAAGAAGAAACTAAAAAAGACAAGTCAAGGACAAGAGGGACAAGACATAAAAGTCGAATCAGCGTTGACTGTGCTCTCCCAGAGACAGAGAGAGAGAGCTGAAACTTGACTTTGAGGCTGACCTTGCTCGAGATCCTTGATCAACATCTTTAGTCTACGGGATACCCCATAAATCCTCATTTATTTCCAAGCCGTTATCCATTCCCGTTCGTTGGCTCGTTCGCAACGAAAAATAACAGGTTTATCTCCGCATACGCATACCTATACCTATCTACCTACGGATACTCTTTCGTCTATCTGTCTACCGTACAGTACACAGCCTCGTGCCAAGAGAGCTTGTTCAAGGGCCAAGAAGCCCCCAAGTATCTGTAAGCAAGTACAAGACACTACGTACAGATCCGTAGTTGCAATCTGTATTTCTGCCTCTGCCTCTGCCTTTCTCTCCTCGATAGGTACCGCTCCGCCCTTTTCTGTGTAAGACGCCCAGTACCAGAGTCCAAGACTTCACACGGGCAAAAAAAAAAAAAGAAGGGTTAAGGCACGCACGAACAAGGGGATAAGGCGTGAAAGAAGCAGGGGGGGTGGAATGTCTTTTTAACCTGCCAGAAACACCAACATCAAAAACTACAAAACTTACATACATATACTCTCTACTTCGGTTTCTTATTTCCATCTTTCAACATCTTTCACCCCCAAGTCTTGTTCGAGTTCTGGTAAGGACATGGCAAAAAGACATTTATATACCCCGTCGTTGGCTTCCTCATCTCTTCACACTGCAGCCAACAGTAGAATCACGACAACCTCCGTCAAATGGAAATCATCACGCCCCAGGACTACCAGAACAACGCCCGGAAGCGACAGCGCCGCAGCCTCCGCCCCTGTGATGCCTGCCGGAAGCGCAAGACTCGCTGCGTGACCAAGGATGGCGACGGCGACTGCGTTCACTGCCAGCTGAGAGCCACGGCCTGCACCTTTCAGCACGATCCGCCGGAGCGTCAGGTCGCCAGTGCCAGCGGGAGCAGCATCCACGGAAACAGCGGCGTCCAGGATGAGGTTGGCGTCGAGGAGCACCAACTACAGCACCCGAGCCATCAACTCCAGCAACAGCATCAGAACCAGAGCCAGACTTCAGTACGCAGCATGAGCCAGCAGAGCCGTAAGGAGTCGAGGGACGACGTCCAGTCGGTCCACTCTGTCCCGTCGGTGCAAGCGTTTCTGTCTCCGGCCGAAACACGCGCCTCTGCTGATAGCAGTATCCCTATCGCGCCGCCATCAGTCATGGTCCCGGAGCTGGGACCCTTGGACCGGACTATGGGCTGCTCCCCTACGAGATTTGCCGAACTCTACGGTCTTGGAAGTGATATGGAGCCTATACTAATGCGACATCGTCCCTACGATCCTCTCACTCACGAGTTTAGCCTCGACACTCATGCCATTCGCCGTGTCCTCGAGAGAGACGACGGCCAGGAGTTTCCCTTGACCTTCCACATGGCCCGTGACGAAAAAGCAGTTGAAGGCGACCCGACTTTTTCTCAGGTCGACGCCATCGAGAGCTGTGTACGGCCCCACGGCCCAAGTCTCGTCGAGCTCTTCTGGAGACATGTTCAGCCATGCTATCCTGTCCTCTCCAAGGACCCCTTCACCCTTGCCTATAGCCAGTCTTACCGCCGGGTACCTGCCGCCCTCCTCGGAGCCGTCTATTTGTCCGCGATTCGCTGGTGGACCTACGACCCTGAGCTCTCCATCAGGAACCCCCCGGACGCTGTCCTCCTACGCAGGATGTTACGGAGTGCCATCCCGGCATCCTACCACCGCCCGAAGCTCAGTTCCATCCAGGCGGCCCTTCTCCTCCTCCAGTGCCAGCCGGAGGACCCCCTCAACCCGGACCACACATTCCAATGGGGCCTCACCTGCCAGGCGCTTGCCATCGGCCAATGTCTTGGGCTTCACCTGGATGCCAGCAACTGGACTATTCCCCAATGGGAGCGCAACGTTCGCAAGCGTCTGAGCTGGGCACTATTCATGCAGGATCGCTGGACTGCATTGGCTTACGGCCGTCCTGTGCATATTCACGACGATGACTGGACAGTTGGTGATCTTACTCCGGCCGACTTTTCTGATTTTGACAGCGAGGTCCCTGCTGCTGCTGCATCTGCCTCGGGCTCAGTTTCTAGTTCCGTCTCTGTATCTGGCTCTGACGACGATCGGAGGTCCATTGCTTACACCGGGATGACTCAGTTTATACAGATGGTCCGGTTGACGCAGATCCTCTCGGTTGTCTACTCCAACTTCTACACAGCTCGGACCTGTCGTGAGCAGGACACCGTTATCCTGTTCGAAAAGGCGCGGCCGCTTTTTGAAATGCTGACGAGCTGGTACCACAACATCCCGCCGACGCTGCAGATGAACATCATCTATCAGCGCAAACTGTGTTTCCACGGATATTTGCACTTCTCCTACTATGGCGTAATGATGACCCTCCTCCGCCGCTTGATTCGATCTACAGCTCTCCCGCCACGCTGTTCTGACGATCGCGTGCTCTCCAGCATTCGCCAGATTGCTCTCCAAACAGCCCAGAGCGCCATCAGCTTTGTGATAAGTCTAAGACCCGATCATTTAGAGGCCTTTTGGTACTTTACATCTCCCTACCTCTTCTCGCTCCTTGGCTCCTTTACCACACTACTTCTCGTCACCTCATTATCATCACAGGAGCGACATTACTGGCAGGAGACCCTCAATTCGTACCTTTGGAATCTCCGAATGATGAGTAAGAGCCACCAACCGATGCAATACGCTGTGAATCGACTTGAGGGGGCGATATTGCGTGGTCTAGAGCATTCGCTCGCTGTGAATCTCAACGAGCCCCTTAACGACAAGGTCAGCCCTATGATGGGCAATTATGCAGATGTATATGAATACACTGATTTCGGCGACTGGGATCTGGCGGCTGGTGCGTCAGGTCCGTATGACCTTCTCAGCGGCCTTGTTTTACAGCAAAACCCCATGATGCCGCAGGAAGACCTAAGGTGAAGGGGCCGCGGGAATGAGTCTTTGCGGCCATACGGTCATAATAGCAAAGTTACTCGGCATCTTCGAGTTCATGGTCTGGCTCAGCTGCACCGTCCTTGATAGACATTGAATGCCGCATATTAATATCAACCAAATCAACCATGCCATCTTCCACAAACCATCCCAATCTGCGGAAGCCATCGCGCGTATCATCCGTCCAGTTGGGGGGCGTGGGCAGTCGAAAACTGAGTGCTCGTCCTCCGCAGAAGACTTCGACGAGCTGGCCTCTCAAAAAGAGAAAGACGCCATCGGCGAGACTGACGTTGTCATGTCGCACTAGCTCGGGCCCGTCGACGGGCCGTGGGATGTGCATGCGATACTGGTCTGCCCAGAAATCGTCAAGGGGTGGGAAGTCGGTGAAAAGAGCGACTGAGAAGAGGCCGTTCCCTTGAGGAGTGAACTGAAGGCGGTGGCCTTTTCCTGAGCTGTCGGTCTGGAGCATCACCCCGAAAGTGTGGGCGTCGCAGGCTGCGATCTTGAAGTCCACCATGAGGTGTCGCTTCCACTCTGCAGATCCCAGCTCGGGGAAGTGAGTCGCCGTCGTGCCGAGAGAACAGAGATACAAGCTTGGAGCTGCGTTGCTTGGCGAAACAGGCCTGGAACTCCGCCATATGTAACTCCTGAATTCTTGAGAGGCGTCGATACGGAGACAGGCGTTTGTGTCAGCCCACATAACCCTAATAATACCAAGATCACCCCCCCAAAGCCACTTCTGTTCTTCGTCTTCATAGTCTCCAATCCATCCGAAGCAGATCCTCTTTTCAGGGTCACCTGCTTTCGGGCATGATTTTGCTGCATACCAACGTCGGCCGTCCAGACGTCCATGAGATCCATCTCGTGGTACGCGGAATGGGCCGTATGGCGTGTCTGCCATGCGATATACAGTTCCTGCATTTGGAGCGTGGAAACGGGAGTAGACGAGATACCACTTCCCATTGGGCAGTGTGAATAACTCTGGGCACTCAGGGCAGAAGACGTCGTTGGGTGCGTACAATGGCTCGGGGGCTACTGTCCAAAGTTCGAGATCGGGCGAAGTCAACAGGGCGATGCATCCACGACTCCAGTAGGGGCCATTGGCAAGACGAGTGCCTACAAGCATCCAATATCGTCCTTCGGCGTGGTTGTAAAACACAAAAGGATCGCGGAAGTCAATGTCCTCAAACTTATCAAGTCCTCGTCCTTGGATTATGATTGGAGTTGCAGCTCTGTCGAATTTAGAGCCATGAGGATCAGATGCCTTGGTATGCAGTATTGTTTGTCGACCGTTTTGCGACAGATTATATCCAGTGTAAAAGATATTCATATTTCGGTCCAGATCAAGCACTGCGCATCCGGTCCAGGCGCCGTCAGCATCGGCATCGGTGTCTGATTTTCCAGGCGATATCGCAGGCCGAGGATCACGCTCCCACTCGAGCAGGTTGGTTGATCGGAGACGCGACCATGATGATCTCAGGCGCTCGGGGTAATGCTTTGTCGCAAGAGGAGTGCTGAGGTGAAATACATGATATGTGTCGTCAACAAGCAGTGGGATGACATCGGCTGATGCTTGATAGACTGAGGTTCTGGAGTAGGGACATGACTCGGGAGATGGGGTTGGGAGTTGGAGGGTGGATCGCATATTCGTGGTGTAATAGCTTAATATGTTGTGGATATTTGAGGTGTAATAGTAATAATAATTGTGTTGAAATGGTTATCCAGGTTGGTGCTGCTTGTTGAGGTCTGTCGGTAGCAGAGTATTGAGATATGTAGTTGATATATCCATCTCGAGAAAAAGGAAGTTGTTGTGGTTTTGGGCAATCCACTTGTTTTATAAGCTCGGATAATAAATATCCAGCCGATCGGATGGAGATGGTCAAGGCTTTTGTTTTTTTGACTCTTTCAACCTGACTCTTTTTGGTCTTTTGATTTGATTTGATTTTGGTTGACGAAAGCCAAGACAATACGCGCAAGGGGGGGAGGGATACACAGGAAGAAAAGAAGGAATTTGAGATTTAAAAAAAGAACGACTCCTCGCAAGGTATTCCGTTCGTGTTCCTTTTATCGGAGTTGTCCGTTCCCCCCGTAACAAGGCTAGTAAAGCCCAGCAGGGCCACCGAAATGAGAAAAGCCCCGGCATGCGATGGCGCGGCGCTTCCTCATAGAGTTAAGCTCACTAACCCGGTCGAAACTCTATTTCGATGATCCTAACTTGCGCTGGTTTAGTTAGGCCAGGTTCTGATCTTGTTCTCTCCTCTCGTCAACGCCCAACTGCAACTCTACAGCTTCTAGGGCGGGCACACACAGATATGGCAGACCTGGGCAGGCTGGGATGGCTTTCTTGGAAATAATAGGGGGTTAGGGGTTGGATCTGTTGGTTCAACAGCAGAGAGAAAAGAGGCAACTCGTGATTTATCTTGATTCTAGGGTTCTATTCTTTCTTCCTTGTCCATGCTGGTGCTGGAGTCTATACCACGTCAATCCTGTATCCGTAACACTGGAGCTATCCATCCTCCCATCCTACCATCTATCATCCAAGCTTCAGAACTCTCCGATATCCACTCCCGCAAGATCCAAAAACAAACCCATTCAAAAAAAGAAAACTAAACCCAAAAGCCGCTGCCGTTGAAGAAGCAAGGGTCCCTTTGTTTCGCTAGAGCCTCCGCCCCTCCCTCCATTTCAAGCTTCAGCCCTGTAATCGTGCCACCATTCCGCTTCATTTACCGCGGAGAGGACAGACAGACAGACAATCAAACAGACAAATGGCCACCGGCATCGGCACCAGCATCAAATATCCCTTCGTCTGGCTCTGCTGCGGCTTCGCTGCCCTGGGAGCTTGTTTGTACGGCTACGAGGGCGTCTACTTCACCGGAGTTTCGACCCTCGGTATGTGCTGTGCCCACTCACTAGGAGCAACCTTGTAGAGAAAAAGCTCGCCCATGAACTGACTTTTGGCCAAGATGTGTTCACTCGCGACTTTGGAACGCCAGATGGTGACGGCGGATATGAAATTTCACCAGAGAACTTGGCTGTCATGACGAGCATGATCAACGTGGGTGAATTGGTAGGTTCGCTATTAGCAGCTCCCCTCAACGATCTGTTCGGCCGCAAGGGCGCTTTGGTCACCGGCGCTGTCGTCGTGGTCGTCGGAGTTGTATTGCAGCTCTCTACAACCTCGAGTCGCGCCCTTATCACAGCCGGCAGAGCAGTTTCGGGCTTCGGCGTGGGTACCTTTTCGGTAACGTCGCCTTTATACATGGGAGTATGTCTCTGTCTATTTGTAAAATCCTGGCTATACGCGAACCTGGTGTTGATCATTGTACAATCTGCAGGAGATAGCGCCAGAGGACCTGAGAAGTCCGCTCCTCATGTGCTGGCAGCTCGTCCTATCAGTCTCGCAGATCATCGCCGCCGGTATCAACCGGAGCATTATCCACAACAACACAAGCTTTGCATACCGGTTCCCCATTGGCTTCCAGTTAATATTTCCGCTCATAATATTCGTTGGAATCGCGTGGCTACCGGAATCACCACGCTGTTTGCTGCGTCGTGGGCGACATGATAAGGCGACGCAATCTTTATATACGCTGCACCATGATGACAAGCAGTACGACGTAAAGGTCGTGATACAAAACATTCAAGATGACCTCGATAATGAGAGTGCGAATGAGAAGGAGAGCGCTTGGATCCAGCTTGTTACCGACCCTGTTGAGCGACGCAAGGTGATCTACAGCGCCGGTGCACTAATTGCCCAGCAGATCAACGGTATCCAGTGGTTCTACTACTTTGGCACCATCTTCTCCAAAGCAATTGGGCTGAAAGACCCATTTCTCATGACTCTCATTGTCTTTATCATCCAAGTTTTTGTCGTTCTCGCGGCTGTGTTGCTGGCCAACAAGATCCCACGCAGACCGCTCTTGATGGTCACCACCGGGATTATGACGGTTTCTATCTTTGTGGTCGGATGTTTGGGTATACCCGGCGGAAACACAAGCGAGGCAGTGGGAAAGGTGATTATTAGCTTTGTGATTATCGAGATTGTGGCCTTTAATTTTGCCTGGGGTCCCCTTGGCTGGACTATCGTGAGTATCTTACCTCAACCCATAACATAATCTTCTGACCCATGTAATAGGCTTCTGAGATGGCTGTTGGGAGAAATCGCAACAAAATCTACGCTGTCGCCGTAGCATCCTTCTGGGTCACAGTTTGGGCTACAGTTTTTACCCTGCCCTACCTGTACTACTCTGCAAACCTGGGCCCCAAGACAGGTTTTGTATATACAGGATTATGCTTCGTCACGCTGACCTATGTATACTTCTGCGTCGGAGAAGTGACCGGGCGTAGCATTGAGGAGATCAACGGCTTCTTTCGAGATGGTATTCCTGCACGGTATTGGAAGGAACAGCCGTTTGCTGAAGCGCAGAGGGGTCATGATATAAGCCTTGTTCAAGTGCAGGGCCATGAGAAAGTTTCGAGCCGTTGATATGAGTTATGAATTATGTTTCTTATGAGATCTATACCCGTTAGTCTAGTTTATTGGCCCCCCAACATGACTGTACATCCAGGCAAGACCTACTCGCTCTATCTATAATCGACTCCTCGATCTGCCTTCTCTGAAGCCTCGGCTGATATGCAATTTCTGTGTGCCCAGAGTCTTTACCCCATCATGTATGACTCTCATAGGTGCTTCGATATATCCTGACTGTGGCTGTCCCAGTAGCCAAGCCAAGTCTCCCCCCATCCTCTCTCCCAAAGGTTTCCGCTCCGGCTCCATAGTAAAATTGTGTAGCTGGTGTACATGATCTATGCGCCCAAACAGAGGCTCCAAAGGTGTAGACTCATATGTCAACGGGCTGTTCTGATTTGTTCGACCATAGGCCATACTGCCCCTAATAAAGCGATCTGTGAAACCTACGCTTCCCATCCATGATTCTTGTCTTCCAGTGTTAGAATATGGAGATGGAGATGGAGTTGTTTCTTGCACCGAATTGATGAGATTTGCTGCAGTGGATGGGTTGGAAGGTCTATTTGTGCATGGGGGAGCGTAGGAAACTTGGTGCGTTAGCAGAGCTGGGTTGATAGTCTGCATTGTAGTCTGAGGTTCGTATTGGGGGATCTGGGTGGCGTTGAACGTAAGAGACTCTATGTTGAATAAGGTATGTTGACTTGAATATTCCTCATTGAACTTATTGTCTATCCGAGTGCAATGTTATATCTTATATTTGGACTAATTGACGAACATGCCCATCATAGTCACTGGCCTTGTTCTCGTGAACGCCATAATTTCCTTAATTAGATACTAGTCACTGAAACATGAAACAACACCATAACAGAAGAAGAATCTATGGGGCCTTTGAGCTATGTTCTAGGGTGAAGATGTTTCTTTGTTCTTTGTTCTGTCGTCAGGGGTGGTCTTGTATCTAGTACCTTGAAGATACTTAAAATAGCCACCGTGAATACCGTTTCGAACAAAGGAAATCTTATTCGCAAGCATGTAATTAATGATTCACCAGTTAGCCGCAGGGTGAACGATCTGAAGCTTAGACTGCTCCTCCAAGCCGTTGGTGTACACTCAAACTAGTTATCAAAACTCTAATTCTACTGACACTATAGCTATATTGGTGTCCTGAATACCATGAGACATTAAAAGAAGTGTATCTGCATCACCTAAATACTGCATAATTCTTACCCATAAGTAATATAACACTCAGAATGATGGCATGGAACGGACAGCTTTAGACGGGGGAGCCTACCAAGGTAGTGCAAGGCTTCATAGAAAGGTTTATTTTGTTACCACAAATTTAACCTCTAGATTGACCTATAATGAGAGAATATTTCAGTACATAAAGATGTTTGACGCAATAACGGAAAGTCAATTTAACCAAAATGTGAGGGGAAAGCACGGATCGAGACACAGGTAGATACCTACTTAGGCATACCACCAGATCCCACCCTCTCCTGGTTATATCGACCGTTTACGATGAGAAACATCAAGGCCGATGTCTAAATCCATGAAGATGCTTCTTATAATATTACTATATGCCTTGTTGGGCATTACTGCCGCTCAGCAGACCTCTACCCAAACATGCAGAACGAGCTTTGGCTGCGGTGGCAGAACCTCCCTTTCAACAACTGATGTCGTTCGATCGACTGTCACCAACTTGGTGAGAGTATGCCCTACCAGCACGGTAACTATCTTTGGGGAAACATCTACGACGACTGTAACGCAAACTGCGACTTCAAGCACGGTCGCGGCTCTTCAAGTCACTGATACTTCTACAATTTCGAGAACCAGTATGTAATGAAGAGGTTGTTCCATTCTATTGCCATTCTAACGATTGCTTAGATACTGTCACAGATATAGAAGAGGCCATGACTACTGCTGTAGTAACGACCACTATGACCCTCACACTCACACTCCGACCAGTCTCGTCCATCCCCGTAACATCTGGCTTCGTCCCTATAGCATCCCAGTCAGACTATGTTGCACGGAAGCGCAGTGCGTCATACAGCTTGGATAGTCAAGGGGACTACAACATTCCCCGGGCGAAACGATGCATTCCCCTCAGACCTGACGTCGTATCTTGCGATCAGACAATCTTCACTACTACCACCAGAACTGTCGCCAACCGGGGTGCTTGTCCAACTCCCCTTCCCGTCACTACTGTAACTAGACAGCCTCGCGTTGCTACTATCGATACGACGGTGGCTTCGACAGTTTGGAGCACATCGACTGAGACTGCTACTGTCAATGCTACTGTGTTTGATACTGTCACCGAGTTGACTACGTCGACATTTACATGGACCAGCAGGGTCATTAGCAATGGTACTGTAATCCAAACATCCATCCTTTAAGCAACCTTGCTGACTTAGTCTAGCCTTCACAACTACAACTGCTGCCACCACAACTGTCCTCGCTGCCTGCGCGCCAAACAATATTATCAAGACCGCCAACGGAGGTCATGGGATTTTCCAACTCAACTACGGCGGATCAAGGAACCAGATCCAAGTCGGTATCCCTGCGTCTAATCCCTACCAATGCTGCGTGGCCTGTCATGAGACGAGGAACTGTATCTGGTCTAATTTCCAGATAGGCTGCGAACTTGTCATTGCTCAGTCGTGTAATCCCCAGGGTAACTTTGGTTCTTCATTCAATACCTCGGCGAGTGTGAACGTAAGAAGAGGTAGCACGATTAGCAACGGGCCTTGTGGACGGATTGCCAATGCGGGAGATGTCCCTGTAGATTAAGATATAGTTTGCAGTAGTTGCGTTCCGCCTATTTAAACATTGTCTTCCTTGTGCTCGATCACTGATGCCTGTGCTCCAGTCTTCGCCATATCGTCATGCTGACTTGGGGCCCGATCGTGGACATATCCAAACATGATATCCATCTCGTCGAGGGTCTTTCCCTTGGTCTCAGGGAGGAAGAAGAAGGCCCACACGGTGGCGGTGATCATCCAGCATGCGAAGAAGAACCAGGTTCCGTACCCGAAAGACTTGAAGATATAAGGCAGGGCCTTGGTGATGGCAAATTGAGTGAGCCTGTAAAGAGTCAGTTTCACCGTTGCATAAAATGATGTTGTGTAGACTTACCATTGAACGCAAGCCGCATATGTGCCTGTCAATGTACGGAGGGCACCAGGGAAAATCTCTGCCGAGACGATCCAGGGAATACCGTTCAGACCGAAAGACCAGCTATAATAAGTTAGCATCTTGCCGTCTATGCCGATGATAAGGAAAAACTTACAAAACAGAGTAGATCATGATCATAGCTGTCGCAGCCTTACCACCAGCAGCTGTCGACGGAGAAAGATCCTTGCCCTCGGCAATAATGGTAGCAGGATGTCCAATCTTGACATAGGCACCGACGATCCAGAGACAAACTGAACACATGGCGGATGAGATGATGGTAGGGTTTCGTCGTCCCCACATGTCGATGAGTGCACCGTAAAAGATGATAGATGCGACCGCTGCAAAACAGTTAGTGAGAGCATGATAGATAGGAAGCGTGTGAGCATACCCTTGACAAGGCCGTAAACGCCAGTGTACAGCGCAACATCCTTGATACCAAGAGAGCCGAACAGAGTAGGGGAGTAGTAGTTAATAGCTAGATATCCGTCAGTTTCTGTCCCAGTATAGAGTAACGCTGAAACTTACCAGCAGCACCAGACATATTCTGCAGAGCGAAAGAGCAGAACACAAGGATAACACGGTTTCGCATTCCCTTGCGAGTGAGTTCAGAGACAGCACCTCGGAAAAGAGCCCAAGGGCCTGTTCCAAACCGACTAGCAACTCGAGCCTCATCAGCAAGACGATTTCTGATCATATCAAGGTCCTCCTGGAGATCTAACAGATAATTAGCCCAACTCCGTAGAGTAAGTCAGTTAGGCTTGGCTTACACTTGTGATCGCGAGGGATCTGGCGAAGACTTTCAAGAGCCTGTGTCGCCTCCTCCTCACGATTCTTGCGCATCAACCACAAAGGACTCTCGTGGAGGAAGAAACCGCCAACCAACAGAATAGCAGCGGGGATGATCTGAACTGCCATGGGGACACGCCATGCCGCCGTAGAGGAGGGGTCCATGTTCTGGTTGATGCCATAGTTGATCCAGAATCCGATCAAAGAGCCGGTTTGGTAGGTTACTTCGAAAAGACCGGTCAGGATACCGCGGATGGAAACGATGGAGAGCTCGGCGATGTAGCTGGGGACTGTGGCGGTGATGGCACCACATGCGATTCCTGTGAGGGCACGACCGGCGTCTGAGCGTGTTAGACAGATCTTGACATTGCGTTAGAGGTTGACTTACAGATATAAGACAATTGATGGGTAGCGGCCGTCATCAATATGGCGCCGATGAGAAAGACAACGACATTGACTTGAAGAGCCCACTTGCGACCAATTTTCTCCGTGACTATTCAGAACCTGTATTAGCAATAATTACTGTTGAAATGACGAGTGACCCATACTTAGGAAGCAAATGATAGCGCCGAAAAAGGCACCAGCTTGGAAGGTGGCGGTGATGTTACTCGAGATATCAGCCGACTCGTTTGGTTGGATGTTAAAGTCGCGCTTGAAGCTATCGCGGGCAATTGTGGTGCCTACAAAGGCAGAATCGTAGCCAAACCTTTACTCATCAGTAATTGAACCAAACACCAGGTTTCGAGATAGATACTCACAGAAGCGATCCTGTAGCAATGATAGCAGCTTCGGTGTATAGTCGCCAGTTGTACACCTCCTTAGGCGTAGGACGATCTTCGACAGCGCGAAAGCCACCCATGATGAATGATTCTTTAGGATTGCCAAAAGACAACGACAAGTGGAGGTGTAAATGCAAGATTGATATCAAGCGATATGCAAGAGAAGAAATCCTTGACTTGTTACAATTTCCTTAAACCCCCCGCAGAGGCCAACGGATATATATTCCATTCCCATGGTTCTCTCCAACTGTAAAACCTGGGGGGAGAATCCGGGGATGGTGTGGGGAAACGACGAGGATCCAAGCATGTTTTTTCTGTGGATCGCATGTTTGCAGGGGTTTCCATCATGAGTCTTGACAAGGGAAATTAGTTTCTTGGAGATGGACCCGACACGCGAGCCGAGGCGATGGAGTGAGGCGATTGGATGAGTTGGTGATGCGGGGATGGGCATCGGCGAACGGGTTGAGTAGGCCGATGGTATACACTCAGAGTCATCATATGACCTATGATCTTTTATTTTCTGTAATTAATGAGCAGATATTCATCGTGTTAATAACCGATAGCTGAATGCTTAGTCGCGTCAAGTTTCACTTCATGAGGGTAGATGGTACACGGGTATATGGTGGTTTCTCTTCAACAAGCAGATTGGTGTATACAGCGCATTAATGCCGTTCATTTGGCGAGGCAGCACAGATCCATAAATATTCACAATTGAAGATAATCCAAAGAACAGGCTGTAATAAGAGTTCACAGTATTTTATTGTGTTGCATATTCCATGCTGTGTCTAAATTGTTTCACATAACACGTCCATCTAAATATCCACTCCCCTCTTACCGAGACCCTTCTCAACAGCCGAAAGAGGCTCAACCACCTTAAAGATCCAATCCTTCTTACTCTCATCGCTATACTGAGGGTATGGCTTCCTGCAGTGGCAGCTATCGAGAGGGTATCCTCGAAGCTTGGCCACAATCCACTTGGTACCGTTGATACCGCCCTTGGCAAATCCCCATTCCATCTTGGCCAACTCAAGCTGCGCGGCCTCGGCCTCCTTGGTCTTGCCCGCCTTGTATAGATCAAAGATACGCAGGCAGACTTTAGGATATAAATTCGCGACACCAGTGACGGTACCTGTTGCGCCCACGGCCATAGCGGGAACAAGCCAGTCGCTTTGGCCAGCAAGAGCGGAAAAGTCCTCGGGCTTGAATTGAGCTGTCACACGGGCGACCTTTGCGATACCACCACATGTGAGCTTAACACCAACAATGTTGGGATGCTGAGCCAGGCGCTCTAGCATCTCCGAGTTGACATCGAGACCAGCCACGACACCGGGGAAATTGTAGATCACAACAGGAACAGGGCTCGCATCAGCAAGTTCTTCGAAGAAAGCAACAATAGCATCTTGTGTCATGGCAAAGTGGAAATAGCTCGGTGTCAGGACAAGGACAAAGTCGGCACCTGCCTCCTTGGCCAGTCTTGTCTCATTTATGGCGTCTCGGGTGGTTTGTGAAGAGGTGCCCAATGTGATTGTGATGTCGGGACGGCCAAGTGAGGTTGCGATTTCGCGTGTAGTTCGGACCAGTTGTGACTTCTCGGCCGGTGAAAGAGTTACTGCTTCGCCGTTTGTTCCAGCGATAACGACTACCGTCTGTCAGTTGGGTCTTTACAGGAAATTTGAGGTATACATACTGCCGTCAAGACCAGATGTTACTAGAAACTCAATGTGTTTCTTCTGAGTGTCCCAATCAATTTCTTGGTTGGCATCGTTACCAAACCAAGTCAAAGATGGAACGTGAATTCCAGGAGGGAAAGCCTTGCCCTTTGTCGCGATTGAGCCCATAATGAATAGATTGGTGTTGAAAATTGGGATATTGAGTGTTCAGATGATGAGAATTTGGTATGGAAAAAGACAAGATTGGAGTAGGAGAGAACCAATTGTCAAGATAAATGATCAGAAGATGAAAGGATTTTGCGACACATCCGACGCCCGACTTGTGGAGTACACTTTGCCTCTCAAGCCGTCCATCGGATCCAACAGCACTATGCCACGTCCCAAGGCAGCGATTCGTAGAACATCATGGCATCTCAGTTGTCATGAATGCCGAGAGTTGTCCCCAGCTTTCATCCACTTTAGCTTCGTGCGGGGGAGTTGGAGACCACATCCACATCCGATCGGCTCGACAAGTGTGGGTGGGGTCACGAACCAACCTTCAACTCGAGGAGTCGAGAGGTTCTCGGCTCATCATCTTCATGATGCGTCGCGTGACATTTGTGGTTCATTCGAGTCAGGCACCGAACTAGTTCGTGTGTCGGGAGGCCAAGTAAGCTATTATCTCGGTTCAGTCGAGAGTGGCTGACAAGTATTCCGGTATTGTAAATGCTATCAATGCCGATCGGGTCATCGCAATTGTAAGATCGCAAGCCGTGGGAACCCGAAACTGTCTCCAATAACTCAAACAATGGCAAAGCATGAGTTGAAAACGGCATGCATCACAGACCGAATATCCATCCTTGTCTTGGCAGCATCCTGTCGGGCTTGAACCTCTTCCAGCACCTGCGCTGTAATGCGTGCATTGCCAGCAACCTTTTCCATCCTGAGGATTTGAGTCCTTATCCACGCTTTTTCGTTGGCATCTTGTTCTTCCACACCCAGCATCAATAATGGCCACAGCATGTTGACTGGCAAAGTATCATCAGGATCCAAATCTGCCACAATCTGACGAGCCAGTCTACGGATCTGGTCCAAAGCCTCAGACGCTTCCTTTGTCAATGGAAGACTTTTGTAGGCAACGCGGTGTAGGTGAACCTTGCTGGCGTAGTAGTTTGATAGGTATGTCCGAAATGCTCGTGTGATGACAAAAGCTAGGTGCTTCGAGACATGGGGTTCTGTCAACTTGCCTGCCACGGCAAAGTCCATGAGCGGTGGACGCTGCTCATAAAGTGTTCGCAAATCGGCCGCTATCACAGCACCGATGTTCATGACTTCGATCTCGTCTTCAACCGTACCCCGCGATCGATGCCACCGGTCGATCTTGGATATCCTACCCATGAAGCTTTGGACCTTTTGGTAGAATACAACACCAGGTTGGTATAATACTTGGAATAGCACATCTTCAATGTCATCTGCAGGGTCACTCTTGTGAACCTCATCAGGCTCGCCATCGAAGCTCGCCGGTGATGCTTCAACCAGGAGAAGTTCATCGCCTTTGTTTAAGAACAAACCGTCACCTCCCGCTGATACGGTTCGTCCATCAAGAAGCCGGATCCATAGAAGCAACTGCTTTTCCACCGACGTCAAACCATGCTTGTTGCTTGCTTCAAAGAGCGTATAGGCACGCTTCAAATTCGAATGGGCGGCATCTAGGCGAGTCTCCAAGATGTCGATATAACTGAGGAAAAACAGAGCGGCGAGGAGGTACTCCCGAGCAGGGCTGTGTTCTGACATTAGCATGCCATCATAGCTCGCAACTTCTGTGACTCCACGCTGGTAGTGGTCCTCATCGTTCATAGTCCAGTTGCCGTCTTTTCTAGAAAGGAGGAAATTCGAAAAGGCCATAATCGCGTGTCGAACCATTGGCGAGACTTTGGCCATTTTGATGACCGCTTGTCGCATTGAAACCCATTTCTTCTGCGTTTCTACCTCGGAGATGATGGGGGGATTGACGGAGCTTGCAAAGAAGTCCATCAACCTTTCGCTCTCATCTCCAATCGCTCTGTCCTGACTGTCATTACTCTGTACTAGTGAAGGCGCCGGAAGCGGTGTTGCAAAAGCTGTCCTGTCCGGGAATGTAATCTGTGATTGAACCGCCTTCGCAGTATCAGTAACCACTTAACTGTAACGACCCCTGGTCTAAAGCTTACCAGCATATTTGACTCCAACCCCTGATTCTGATGCGCTCCAGGTGAAGGTTGTTGCCAGAAGTCACCATAGTCCCACATAAAACTTGCATAATCAAAGACTTCATCCACTGCATGGCCTGACTGAAATACAGATGTTCCTGGAGAGGTATCTGTTGTTGGTGATAAACTCTGCTCTAGCGATTGATCACGGATCTCGGTGTTTGCTGCTTGTCTTTTCTGAACACCTGATCGTGCCTGGGGTCGCCATTTGCACTCCATGTTCAACCTCTCACAATGAGAACATCTAGGTCTTTGCTCGTCGCATTTGACTTTTCTTCTCCTTTGAATGTAATTAGAATTGACTCGGGAGGTGGAATTTTAAACATACTTGCATGTTAAACATCCTTCGCGCGAACGGATGCTCCTTCGTGCCGATGCTGTGGATCGTGTATTGGATGTGCTGTGGCTCTGCGGAGTCGCACCGCTAGGGAGACGAGGAACAAGAGGCCGTCCACTGTTCATATCCATTGTAGCTGTATGTAATTGGATATTCGGTAGTATTTATAATCGTTGACGGGAGAAGCTCACTGTTATAGCGGAATGAGGAAGTTAAAGCCGTCACCTGACGCGGAAGAGGTCCATCTCATTTGCGGGGCGCGCATGGAAGCTGAACAAGGAAAGGCATAGCAAATCGTGGCTGAATTATGAATATTTACTTACACCATGAGCATAAGCAGATCAGTTTCTGTTACAACACTATTTAATAGTAGGATAATTATAGAAATTGTGTTTTTAATGTAGATTCAACATAATGCCAGAGGCGCGCCAAGCAATATCTATACATAATATTTGTTAGTGTCAGTCTGGCTCTGTCAGACGCCTTGGCACGCGGTCTAGCTATCGGAACAAACTTCACTTGGTTCCCAGTGTATTCTACCACAAAATGTTTATTATTACCTATATCGTATATTCTTCCAGAAATACGTCAGTAATGTGTTATAGAGTCTAGTGTGTGGAATCTTCCACTCTTTGGTGATTAATGCTCCCCAGCTTAGGTATCTCAGCTCGACTTACACCAAACACACCAAAAGTCAATGTACAACCACCTGCGTCTATTTCCCTACGTTGTACAAATGCAACCGCGATGCACACATAACCTTTTCATGTGACTTTCTTCATCCTCAAAGCTTGTTATCCGCCTAGGTGACGTCAAACCTCACACTGAAGACATAAACATCACTCGGCTGTCCTTTCCTTAGACTTTGCATCCCTCAACCTCCAAACCATTGCACCTATTCATCTATACTACATCGAACTAAGCTTCAACGTCCTGTTAACATCACTCAAGAACCTATCTCCGTCTCCAAAATAATCACCATGCCTACCAAAGAAGTGCTCACCCAGTGGGAAGCCTCCTCGCCTACTGCTAAGGGCGAAGGCCCCCTCCAAGGCACTACAAATCGTTAGTTTCTCTATTGCTTCCTCTCTTACTCTCACTGATCGCGCTTTTAAAGCTGCCCAGTCTTTAGTTTCTGCACACGAATGCTTCGCTGAAACACCCAACGCTGAAGGGTGTTCGCATGAGTATCATGACGGCCGTCTTGCAGCTCATCAGGTATGATGGCTCCTGGACAGTGCGATACTCAAAGGTTTCTAATGGGTACTTGTAGGACCGCGTCTGTAATAATGGCGCCCGTACGCCCAACTCCCTTCACGCCGATATCCTCAAACAGATAGAAGCCAAACAGGATCGTGATACCACAGCCCATGGTGCACAGGAAGAGTCCAAGCAAGTGGCCAATCACTCCAAGGCAGTAGATCAAAATTACAAGTAGGCCGGAGCCAAACACAACTAAACATGATCAAACAGGGCTCCCTGGTGGTTTCAATGTTAGATGAAGGTTGGAGCTCGGTGGCGGCGTAAGTCTTGGGTTCTTGGCGGTTATGTTTGACCGCTGGTCGTTGGAGGACTTTTACAAGTGGCTGTATCCCATAGTTTCACCTACATTGTCGACCTTGTTCAATAGCCTGTCTGCTTGACCCTGCTACTTTCAGTATTGTCCATTTGCTGTGAATGATAACGAACAATGCGACATTCCAATACTAAGAGGCCGTTCATTTGAAGCATGATGTAGTATCTAAGGTAGATATGACAAACAAATTGAATATATCATCTAGATATCTAGATACTGTAAGATTTGTCGCACTTACTCCCCTTCTCTGAGAATAACGGTGGACATCAGCTGGTGCTCTCGGCTACCTTGTGGAAAGACGAAAGGGGTATTATGCAGGTGTTGGACTTTTGACTTCTATCGTGCCATTTTATACGTATAACCAAAATCTATCATGATAATCAAAAGGGAATTTACCAAATTATTTCCTCCTCTAGTGACCTTGAGAGAGGTTCACAACAGCCCACTTGCCGTTCCATGCCCACTTTCGCGCACCAGAGCCACCGCCGCCGCCCTCAAGTTGCTTCAACTCCTCGTCTTTGCCCTCTGGGAGACCAACTACAACATCAGCCTTGCAAGTTCGCAGAGAAAGAACATTGACGCCCGAAGAGGGGCCCATGGGACCTAGAGCCTCGTTGAACGGTGTGGTAGCGGGCCAAGCGGCCTATAGTCATGTCAGTGCTGTGCTTCCGAAATTGGTGAGAGTAACTTACATCAGCGGTGAGCTTTCGGTAGTTCAAATCACCCTTGAAGATAACAAGCTCGGCAGGCTTGAGCTCCTCGTGCAACTCGGGGTTCTCCGCAGGCAATCTCCAGAAACTACCGCCATAGGTCCAGTATCGGTTAGGCCGAAGGGCAAGTTGTCCTTCAGAATGGAACGTAGCCCACTCCTGGAACAGAAACTGAAGGTCCTTCTCCCCCTCTTCTGATAGAGGCTCAGGCTTCCTCCCTTGAAGATCTTCATCTTCAGATGGTGTGTCGTAAAGAGCGCGAGGGTTGGCGACTGCATTCAACAGACCAGCAAAGTCGCTGGGCACAACGTCGGAGACGAACCAAGGGATGGACTTGGGTCGCAAAACAACATGTGTCGCAAGGCCAGCCGAAAGGAGATAGCCAGCCAGAATCATGTCAACGTATAGCTCGAAGCCAGCGTTGTCAAGGACAATATCAACACGACGCTCCTTCTTGCCCTCAGACTGAGCCTTCTTGAGGATTTCATACGCCTTAGGAAGATGGTTGACCAGGATGTTCTTTTCGGCCGCCTTACGAGCCTCAGAACCCTGCAGCTTCTGGATATCCTCATATGTCAAGTTGGTAAGCAGCGATAGATCGGTAGCGTTGCCCCAGAGACAAATCTCAAACATTTCTTGGAAGAGGATCTTCTCGGCTTCAGGGTCGTGAGCTGCGTCTTTGTTCTCGCGGAGTTGCTGGACCAGTTGTCGGTATTTGCTCGCGAGCTCAAGAACCGCGGGTCGTGATGATCGGAAGGTATCCATCTTCTGTCGGGCAAAGATGTCGTAGGATCTCCAGTGTTCACTGAGGCGGAAGATGGAGCTGATTCGTCTACGATTTGTGAGTATAATTCACAGTGGATAATCATTGCATACACTTACCTGTACAGGTAGCACTCAGAAAAGAGCCATGGTACATCATACCAGTGAGCATCGGGGCCTAGAGCTTCGACCTCCTTGTTATAGGTCTGAATCTCCTCGGTGAATCCATCGTCGGGAATGGGGCTACAAAAGTCAGCCGGCAAGTTCTTTAATTGACGACGGTGGTGCATCATACGTGAGCTTGCGATCGTGCTCGACTTCGTATTTCAAACCAGCCAGCTGTTCGATGATTTTCTTGCCCTCGGCCAGTTTTTCGGGGTCAGAAGTCTTGGTAACGGCGCGGTAAACATCGTCAATTCCCTGTGTCTATGTCGGGTCAGTCGTCGATCCAGTATGCGACATATCTTTCCATCTTACCAGGATTACAGGCCATCGCTTTCTAACCGATTCGCTCGCGAACGAGTTGGGATCGCTTGTTCGGTATTGTGCTGTTCGTGGAGTCAGTCGTGTTCGACCGCAGAGTCGGGGAGGACGTACGGGTCTTGGTATCGTGTTCCATTTTGATGTTATCTGGAATTGTAAAGGAGTAACAACTTTTTTTACTGATCGGCCAAAACGATCTTCAGAAGCTGTTCTCCCAACTGTTTACCATCATCATGGAGGGGTACGTGGGGCAGTCTTTTTTGGTGGGGTTCGGAATATCTGACGTCAGGTGTTGAATTGAAAGCCGAGCTTCTCGGAAAACAATGATAGGGTAGCTCAGATCGAACTTAGACTACCAAATACCCGTCCTGGAACTAAACAATTTTCAACAAGGAATATGAAGAATTGGGGTTCTTGTGTAATTATTCGCTTTGTGCAATTGAGCATTTGAAAAACTCTTGACAATGCACTTTTGAAATCATTCTCACCGTATCCTCGCCAAGGTCCTACCTATATGGGTCCAATATCTCATCTGACCAATACCTCATCTTGACCTCATTCATCGAGGTAATACTTACTCAACGCCACGATCTGGTGTCGTTGAATTTGGACTACCTCTCTTACATGGTTGATGCTTGTTAAGACATGTTTAGCTCGCTTGTCATGGGATAATTAAAGCATTCCATATCATGAAGTACGAGCCAGGTTAATGGTTTGCCCCTCGAATTAATCATCGAGTCAAGATTCGACGAGGAGAACACATGCCATGTAGCTAAGATCTACTTCATACCTACCCAGGAAGTATTGAATGGTTTCTTAAAAGAAACAACCAGAAAGGTAGCATTCGGCGTCAGATCCGGTATATGCCACTCTCGGAAGGACAAAATGAAACAAGGTGCACTCTTTCATCTGGAGAAGCTGGGGAAAAGCAAGCTACAAGCAGCCGCGCCAATTGATTACACGTGCATGATATCCCTGGCCTCGTGTTTCTCGTTGATCAATCCCAATCCCGGTCTACTCGGACATGGTTCTGGGCGAGGTTTCACTTACATGCATTTAGCCTTCGGCATTTATATTAACCGGTAGTTAAAGCATCGCCAGACCCTTGCTGATGTACATAGTCGCTAAGATCAACAACTAATAACTGCTAATATAACATGCGCTTGTTATTCATATTGCTTTTTATATAGCAGTTCTCTCGTACATAACCAGAAACGAATTCTAAAGCCATCTGTTGTAAGCCTGATCTTACAATGCTTTTCTCTCAGTCCCTTGGAGTCGTGGCTCTTACTACGTTGGCCGCTGCTCATCCCTCAAAAACTATTTCCACTCGAGAAGTCGGCCAACGTCCAGCTCTTGGATGGAACGGTTGGGTAAGTAGCTCTCCAGGTTCCAGTTCTAGTTGTCGATTGCTGACTGTCACCAGAACCAAGGACAATGCAATGCTGCTAGTGAGAAGGTTGCTCTTGCAACAGCCAAGAGATTCATAGATCTTGGTCTTAAGGACGCCGGATATCTGTATGTCAACATCGACGATTGTTGGTCTACAAAGCAGCGTGATTCGAAGGGCAACTTGGTCCCCGACCCCAGTAAATGGCCGAGGGGTATCAAGCCCGTCGTCGATGAGATCCACGCAATGGGCCTCAAGTTTGGCCTGTACGGTGACGGTGGTGCCAAGACTTGTGCAGGTTTTCCTGGCAGCGAAGGCCATGAGAAGCAGGATGCAGACCTTCTTGCCAGCTGGGGTGTTGACTACTGGAAGTACGACAACTGTTACACACCCTGCAACACAGGCAATGGTGCCGACATTCAGACCTGCCCGGACGCTCAAGCCCCTAACTCTAGGCCTCGATATGAGAAGATGAGAGACCTTCTCCGAGCCACAGGAAAGGACATTCTCTACTCTCTCTGCAACTGGGGCTACGATGAGGTGTGGACTTGGGGTGCTCAGGTTGGCCACATGTGGCGAATGAGTGTCGACAACTGGGGTAAATGGGAGGACGTTGTTCGCATTGCCAACCAGGCTGCGCCCATCCTGAAGTACACCCAGTCAGGTCGCTACAACGATCTCGATATGATGGTGAGTCTCAATTCTTCCTGGGGTCACAGAATGTAAGAGAGCTAACCAATATATAGATTCTTGCCAATGGTGCTTTGACTCCTGCCGAAGAGGGAACCCATTTCGGAATCTGGGCTATCACAAAGTCTCCTATCATCCTGGGAACAGACATGACCAAGCTTAACGCCGCAGAGATTAAGCTCATCACAAACAAGGTACTTCCAACCATCATCATATTTCTCCTTGCGCACATACTAATACTTCGGTCAAGGGTCTCCTGGCAGTCAACCAAGACTCCCTCTCCAAGCCTGCTGTGCCCTTCACTCCCGCCGGAACTCCTGCTAAGGGAAACAACGAAATCTACCCTTACTGGTCAGGCCCTCTGTCAACAGGCACGGTTGTCGCCATTGTTGCCAGTAAGGATAGCACGACTGCCAAGCTTAGCCTCGCTCAGGTTCCTGGGCTCAAGGATATGGATTACTCATGGACAGAGCTCCTGACTGGCGCCAAGGGCAAGGGCAGGACAGTTGAGGCAAAGTTGGAGAAGCATGATATCGCGGTATTCCGCATTGATCATAACTAGGCCACCCATGACATAGGTTTGGATGATCTGACTGCATTTTATGAGTGAGGACTCTCTTTCTTCAGTACATATGAACTTAGCCAGTACATAGCAAATTTGAAATATGAGTGCGTGCAAGTTGTTCGGTATACCTTCATTATCTACTCCTCCAATAACTCTATTGTCGAGCCAGAGTGCTCTGTGATGATTGGAGGAAAAAGCACGTGAAATCAAGCTACCCTCTTTACCTGTAGGAGATACCTGGATGGGAGGATTAAAGCCTGCGTCTCGCTATGGACTCTATCACAAACGGCTCAATCAGTGCTAGACTTGATACTATATGATACACATCGTGCACAAAACTATACGAACCTAGAACCAAACAGAAGCGTAAGCTGTCGAGTAGAGCTCCAAACACCAGCCGTTAAAAAGTCAATTGTTCAACCCTTGACCCATGCCTTTAGCTCGTCTTGGGTGCATCGGCCTCCCCTTCCTTTGCCTCCGTCTCACTTGTCGCCTTCTTCTCCTTATCCTGCTCTGATTCGGGTCTCTTTGTCAGAATCTCATCAATAACACCCAAGTCAAGAGCCTCCTCTGGCGTCAAGTATTTGTCTCGCTCCATCAGATCGTTGATCTCCTCCAATGAATACTTGTCGTGACCTTTAGCTTTGTTCAAATGATACTGCATGATCTTGTTGGATTGTTCTCGCGTCTTTTGAATCTGGTTCGCATAAATCATAATGTCGGATGCCTGACCCCGGGTACCACCGAGTGGCTGATGGATCATGATGGAACTGTGAGGCAGAGAGAATCGTTTGCCGGCCTCACCCCCTGCGAGAAGTATGGCGGCCATCGAAGCAGCGCCTCCGATACATACGGTTGATACTGGTGACTTGATGTATGTCATGGTATCATAGATTGCCATTCCTAAACTCCTTGTAAGTGTCGATCGTAATAAGTAGGGAAGCGCGCCTACCTGAGGTAACAGAACCACCAGGAGAGTTGATATACATCGTTATCGGCTTTTCGGGGGTATCGGATTCCAGCCAGAGAAGCTGTGCGACGATGGAAGCGGACATGTAATCGTTGACCTCGCCGTTGAGACAGATGATGCGTTCCTGGTAGCGTCAGCAATGAAGTCATGATGGGAAGGGGTTGTACCAACCTGCAATAGCTTGGAAAAGATATCCCCTATAACTCATCAGCTTATTGAATCTAGTCTGTCATTTTCTCTAGACGGACATGTTTTCCTGCCGGCAGCCTGAACTTGTTAGCTAAAGGCGATCGCACGCGGAACTATGTCACTTACCGACGACTCCTCGATGTAGGGCATGGGAATATTGGCCATTGGCGGCATTGGTGGTTGTCCGGAGGGGCTGGAGAAACCAAAGGCTCTCACATGCTGCTGCGACACGCCGCGCAATACGCGCAACGTCCTTGGGCGTAGAAACATGATGCCAAAGGTACGTAGATGATGATGTTGACGGACCGGGGCCGGGCGGAAGTGGTGGGGGAAGCTTTACGTAGCTCGCGGCAGCTTATCGATAACAATTGAACCCTAGTGAAATAGTTCTATCTACCACTCTGCGACATTACACTACAAGCAACACTACAAATGACAGACCGGCCATAACACTTCGAGCCACGATGCGCATATATTCAAAGGCCTGTGCCGGTCGCCTTTGGAACTCCCGACTGGTGCTAGACGGCCAAAAACGATGGACCTCATACAACAAAGCTGCGCTGGATCGGGCAGCCCTCCTCGAACAAATCGAATCGGAACTTGGTCGCATGAAGGCTGGCAAACGTGTGAAGATCAATCCCGAATCGCGAACTATCAAAACAGATGCTGGAGAATTGCCAATATCTCCGATGATGGACCCAGGATGGATTGATAAAAGACGACGGCCTAAAAAGGCAGAGCCGACACGAATATCGGGCAACTTTCGAATTAACCTTTCAAGTAACCCATACGGTACTTATCATACATGATTCCAAGAGGATGTTTTGGTGGCTCACATTATTGGTAGCGGAAGCATTGATGTCGCCAATGCGATGGTGCAAAAATACACATGCGATTCTTCCCCGGTATTTCCTGCAAGACTTCGAATTGGTCGAGCATCCAGACCCTAAGCAGACGAGCGCCTGGTTCGCGCCAGGTCCATTAAGTTTTGAGCGGGTCACGCCACGGCATATCGAAGGCGGCTTTGGGTCTGGGAACTCGGTTAAGCACGACCAGAAGGCGGGTCCCAAAAAGCAGCTTTGGGAGGTACCCAAGGAACCTACGCCCGCAGCTCAGAAGATGGATGCACAAGTCGAATCAGCAGAAGAAGAAGCTGAGGCAATATTACAATCCGGGTTGGAAGCTACGGCCGAAGTTGCAGCTCCTGATGAAGCATTGGGAGAAGACGAACTTGACACCTATGAAAACGGCAGAGATCCAAGATTTCGAGCGCCTTTTGTTTCTTATGCGCTGGCGCGCAAGAGCGTGATCGATATGATTGGTAGACGGAAGAACTACCAAGGCAGGATGTCAGCTCGTAGCGGTATGGCATCCCTTCGAACTATTAACCAAAAGGTCTTCCGACCTGATATGGGTGATGTGCTACTCAAGATGCTACGACATCTAGCCGTTGATACCCTCATTACGCGCAGTGCTAGAGAAGGAAAGAAACCAGACATGTTTATTACCCCAGTTAAGAGCTGGGAAGAGGCCAAGAAGCACGTTGGTCGTGGTTCCATACTATATATCCCGAATGAGGATATGGAGGATGCGAATAGTTACGCGACTCTCGACGTGGCGGACGCCAATTATGCAAGTAAGGTCGCAGTCCACGACTTACGATATCTTCTTGGAGAGGAAGAGCTCAATCGATTGAGAAGCGAGTCTAAGGCTTTCAGTGATTACGATATCTTGATATTGACGCACCATAGGAGTTTAAGCATGCGTAAACTGCATATGCTCCTTTGGAAGTTACAAGGATACTTGGCGTTGCCTGAGGTTGAGCCCATTGAGGGGAGGGAATATTAAATAGCAAAACCTGTAAGATAGCAAGATAAAACTTACGAGAATAACAGTTAATCATGATCTGCATGATTATAAAAAGATGTATTACATACCTACTGTTGCCCAAACTCTCCGACCAGCGGCCTGTCACTTACGGCCCCACAATTGCCGTTGGGCTGTCACCGCCGATAAGTGCCGACGAACGCCGTTCCGTCTTTCATCTTGTCTTCAGTAGCACGGTTGTACTATTTCGTTTGTTGTTAGTTCACCCCTTACTATTAAACTGTTCATTGTTCAGTCCTTCTGCCTTTTCTTGTGTTTGTCGAGGAACACTGTTTCCAAGCGTTTGAGCGAATTATTGTTCGTCATATCGAGTGTTTGCACAATAGAAATTGGGATATATAAGGGCCGTGTGTACCAAGCTTCTGCTTCAACCTTACCAACTCAACTCAACCAAATCAAGAGAACCAAGCAGGACTACTTATTACAACTCGTCAATCATCTCACTAGACATCAACTATGGACGCCAACCCTGAGACCATTCAGCCTGCGGACTGGCAAGCCGGCCAAGCAGTCCCCGTCTTCCTCATGCACGATGGCGGTGGTACTACATTCTCCTACCATTGCCTGGAATCTCTTCGTCGTCCCGTCTACGGTATCTATAACCCCAGCTTCCACAGTGGCGAACCTTTCGAAGGTGAGCTTAGTGACATGGCCCGCCTCTACTGCGACTTCATCAAGAAGGCTATCGACGAACCCGACTTCCCTAAGCGACTCAATGCAGAGGGAAAGGTCCGACTCCTTCTCGGAGGATGGAGCATGGGTGGTCATTTGAGTCTCGAAATTGCAAAGCAACTCGACACCGACAACGCCAACATCGAAGTCATCGGCATTCTCATGGTCGACACAATCTACCCACAAAGGTTCTCAAGCGCAAATCGCAAAAGACCAGGCGAGGGTTCGAAGGAGAGGAACAAGAACCAGATTCTCGCCGACATTGCCATGGCTGATGCGCGACGCAAAATCCAAGCATGGGATGCCCCAGTCTGGGACGGAGCCATACCTCGACCCCGATGCCATCTCCTCCGAGCCAGGAAGCCGGTGCCTATGGAAGGCGATGGACCTGATCTGGTGGACATGAGCCGCAGCGAGCGACACCTTGGATGGGATGCATATGACAAGAGTCTGTTCGCTGAGGTAGAGGACATTGATGGGCACCACTACGAGGTTTTTTCATTTGAGTATCTCTCGGACATTTCCAAGACCATCAAGGAGTCACTGGACAAGCTAGAGTATTTTGCGCTTCAAGGTTGATTCTTCGGTATAGGACCTCATTTCACAACTGATGGGCTATGATCGCGACAGAGATAAAGAACATGGTATGTTATAGGATTGACCTAGAAAACCATCCTACCAACTGGTATAACATGGAACATTATTTGAGTAGTACAAATAGAACTTAGAAAGGCACGGGGATGTATAGAGTACAGTCGCTTGATATGAATGATGCTTGTTGATATAGCAGGGATCAGTGAAGATGCCGGTGTCGCTTGTAAGATATCGTCAATAATGATATCGGCAATTGACTGATTACTATAGAATTACTATCGTATTAAATCACAATGCAGAAATGCAGCAAAGGGCAATCGTGGTATCCTCGTATGAAATACTCTCAAGTATTGATTGAACATATGCAGACCAACGTTTTGATATAATATCCGGAGCTTAAATCACACGAATTTTGGTGGATATTGGTTAAAGTGGACAAAATGCTTGAGCCTCTTCCGGAGTTGGAGCACTCTCCCCGGCGGGACATCCTTACTGCGGGGCTTATCGAGGCCCCTATATCCAATTACAGCGCTCGAATTGTCATGCGGGGGAGGACTCGCCTGGGAGACTCCCCCAAGTCACAGGGAAGATCACAGGGAACGGGAAATTTTGGTCATAAAGGCAGCCGACATCGCAGCTGAGCAGAGAAATCCACAAACTCACCACCGCTTTACCATAATCCGGGTTCGCTGGGTGATACGTGGTATTTGATTGCACACACGCTGTGACTTTTGAACTTGTCGTTGAAGCTTCAATTGACTCTTGTTTCTTTCTCAAGTCGTCATCATGCTTTCCCGATCACTGCTGCGATCGAGAGCTGTGGGAGCTTTCCCCCTCTCTGCGCGAAGCCATGGGTAAGTTGTTTTGCCATTGCAATTGCCATTGATTCACGACATGCTATTCATTTTCGAGATCTCTTTAGATACTAACTTACATCTGTTTGTAGTCGCTTCTTCTCTGCCTCCGCCCTTCGCGCCGATGACAAGATCAACAGAATTTCCGCCAACATCACCCAGCCCAAGGCCCAGGGCGCATCCCAGGCTATGCTCTACGCTACCGGTCTCTCCGAGGATGACATGAACAAAGCTCAGGTCGGTATCTCGTCTGTTTGGTACGAGGGCAACCCTTGTAACATGCATCTCATGGATCTGTCTGCCGTCGTCAAGGAGTCTGTTGCCAAGGCTGGCCTCATTCCCTACCGATTCAACACCATTGGAGTGTCCGATGGTATTTCCATGGGTACCACAGGTATGCGATACTCTCTTCAAAGTCGAGAGATCATTGCCGATAGTATTGAGACTGTCATGAACGGCCAATGGTATGATGCAAACATCAGCTTGCCCGGTTGCGACAAGAACATGCCTGGTGTTGCTATCGCCATGGGCCGTGTCAACCGCCCTAGTATCATGGTTTATGGTGGTACCATTCGTCCCGGTTGCACTAAGAAGGGCGAGTCTATCGATATTGTCTCTGCTTTCCAAGCCTACGGTCAATACATTACTGGAGAGATCAGCGAGGAAGAGCGATTCGACATTATCCGAAATGCTTGCCCTGGCGGTGGTGCTTGCGGTGGCATGTACACTGCCAACACCATGGCTACCGCCCTTGAGACTCTTGGCCTTACTCTGCCTGGTAGCAGCAGCAGCCCTGCTGAGGACCCAAGCAAGATCGCCGAGTGTGAAAAGGTTGGACCTGCTATTCGCAACATCCTCAAGGAGGATATCCGACCCCGTGACATCATGACTCGCAAGGCCTTCGAGGACGCCATGATCGTCACCACCATCCTCGGTGGTAGCACCAACGCTGTCCTGCATCTTATCGCCATTGCCGACTCCGTCGGTATCAAGCTCGACATCGAGGACTTCCAGAAGGTCTCTGACCGCACTCCCTTCCTTGCCGACCTGAAGCCCTCCGGAAAGTGGGTCATGGCCGATATGCACAAGATTGGTGGCACTCCAGCTCTTCTCAAGTTCCTCATCAAGGAGGGCATTATCGACGGCTCTGGTATCACCGTTACCGGTAAGACCATGAAGCAGAACGTTGAGGACTTGCCCGGCTTCCCTGAGGATCAGACTATCATTCGACCCCTGACCAACCCTATCAAGCCCACCGGTCACATCCAGATCCTCCGTGGCTCTCTGGCCCCTGGTGGCTGTGTCGGTAAGATCACTGGTAAGGAGGGTCTTCGATTTGAGGGCAAGGCTCGTGTCTACGACTCCGAGCCCGACTTCATTGCCAGCCTCGAGGCTGGTGAGATCAAGAAGGGTGAGAAGACTGTTGTCATCATCCGCTACGATGGTCCCAAGGGTGGTCCTGGTATGCCCGAGATGCTGAAGCCTTCTTCTGCCATTATGGGTGCTGGTCTTGGACAGGACGTTGCCCTTCTCACAGACGGTCGCTTCTCCGGTGGCTCCCACGGTTTCATCATTGGTCACATCGTCCCTGAGGCCATGGAGGGTGGCCCCATCGCCCTTGTTGAGGACGGTGACACCATTGTCATTGATGCTGAGACCCGTGCCATTGACCTTATGGTTCCCGAGGAGGAGGTTGCCCAACGTCGCAAGGCATGGAAGGCTCCCGCTCCTCGATACACCAAGGGTACTCTCAGCAAGTACGCCCAGCTGGTGACAAACGCAAGTCAGGGCTGTGTCACCGACAGCGGTCTCAAGAACTAAGGCTCACGAATGCCAAAGAAAACTGTCAAAATGTAACCATGTAATTCTTGTTTTTATGAGGTCGGAAAAGGCGAATTTAGATTTTTCTGGGTCAGAATTTATATCCAAATAGTTTTCGTTTTCAACATCTTCTCAACGCATCTCCTTCGTGATAAATATGATTCAAAGTGCTGTGGGCTTGTGATTCTACCTAACTACATAGCTATAACGTGGAATGCCCATCTCCAAAGAAATGGATCCAAAACCAAAAGCAAATCCACAAATGATTGTGGGCATCGAACTAACAGAACAGCATAACCTTCCAGAGAGCTCCTCGCAATGCAAATTCCAAACTTGGCCTCGTCTCAAAAAATAGCAGTTTCTGGAATGGGCCAAACCACCACTGCTGTTCATCATCAAAAGTCACCTTCGTTGCTAGGCTTATTTCTTCCCCTTCAAAGCATCAACAAATGCGGCTTTGTCCTTCATCGTAAGTCCGACCCGCTTGACGCGGCTGAGTCTAGCGAGAGCCTCACCTACACGGTCAAGCACACGTTGTTCCTCTGCCGAAACGCCAGAGCCGGTATTATTTCTTTGGCGTAGTTCCGTAGGGCCAGGTGAGATACCATTTGTCTTTGCAGCAGATGTGTTGATCTGTCCCTCAGCAATGCGCACTCGGATGCATGTCGTTGGTCGAGAAAGAAGGTCCCACAAGAATCGGAACCACTTCCCAGGTACGGGCGTCGTAACGTCAGAGGGCGTGTATCGGATGCTGATGGGAAAGATGTGGACGTCGACTGGAGTTTGAAGAATACTCGGGCTGAAAGGAAGAATTGCCTTTCCGTTGGTGGTACCACACTCGGGGAAAACAGCGATGACCTGTCCGGGGTTGTTGGCCAGAATATCCTTGATCTCGACGAGTTTGGCGTTCTTGAGAGGACCAGTTCGTACGGGTGAGAGGGCTGCTAGGACAGCACCAAGCAAGCTAACCTGCTGCACCCGACGAGTGTCGGGATAGGAAATAGTAAAGATCGGGTCGAAGATGGCCGCGAGGTAGATGGCATCGATGGGACTCGAGAAGTTGGCAGCAATGACGGAGCCTGGGTGGGGGAATCGTTCGCGGGGCTGGTCGGCGAGGGTGCCACGCTTGACACCATCAAGCTGGAGATCAATCCACCATATTCCTGGTATGGCCATCAACCCCCATAGTGCAACTTTTCTAAAGATGACAGGCAGCGGGAGGAAGTGGAAGAAGAGGAAATAGCCAAGAAAGTAGGCGATGAAGAACGGCAGGCGGAAGAGGAATAAAGCGGCGTGGGTGAACGTTGCGACGATGGATACGGGTGTTGAGACGGGAAGAAATGGCGCAATGCCCGTCGCTAGAATGAATTAGCATGTGAGATATCACAATGTTCGGGGCAGATTTTACCTCGATCACGGAATTGGCTGAACTTTTCCATTTTGCTGGTTTGCTCGCGTGGTGTAAGACAAAGAGGACAAGTGGAGGGGTTGAGAGCTATGGAGACATGAAAGCTGTTGCTTTATGAATACTCGCAACGGAAGAAAGATGCGATCCGGGTGAATTGGACGAGAACAAATGAGACGGCGTTGCGAGGTCAGATTCTGCGACAGCGCATCTGCTTAAACGTCATGTCATGGGTGAGGATGACATGTGAATATGAATGAATATGTGGCGCCCACGTTGGAACTTTGAGCTTGGGGAGCTGTGTGGGCTGAGTCAGCGGAAACGGCGACGTTTTCGGCTTAGACTGTGCTACGGATACGGATACAGGCTGATGAATGGCATTGTAAGTCTTTTGCACCTGCCCACCCTCTATCGTGACCCTGATGGGATCATATTAATGACTTTCTGATATATAAATTCAAACGGTGGACAGAATACTCAGTCGGTATGATCACCATCTTAAAACTTCACTCGAAGGTGGAGAACCTATTCTGGCTCATCATGGCAGAACAATAGCAACTAACACTGCCGAGTTTGACCCTCGACAAATACTTGATGGGGAAGACCAATTAAGCACCCGCGCTACGAGGACATATCATGCTCATAGGATTGCTGTTCAATTTATAGCTTAGCTGAAAGGGCTTGCTAGGTATGGTCCATACCAACTTTTCCGATCATGATGGGAAATACAGAAGCTTGTGGTAGAGAGACACTGGATAATTCTTTGGTGTCGTCGAGTACCTGGCCCTTGCTCAGTTATGACCCTGCAAAAACAACCAACACCAGATGAGGGTTTGGCCAGGATGCTCTGCAATTAGTGATGAAATGGAAATGCGAACCATAGTGAATCAGTTCGAGAGTTTGAATGCAGCTTCATCACATGCACCTTTGTCTTGGATCGAAACGTAGCATTTCTATCCGATTTGATAACCATGATGTGAACCGTTCCAATCACTTTCCTTGGTGGGGTTTCTCCAAAAGCGGCCTCGTGTCATCGCCCCAGCAACGCGTTTACATAAACAAATTAACGCTTCGCATCGCCAATCTCCAATCAGGCTATCCCGCATCAGGATCCTCACAATCACCCATAATAATAGCTCCATCCATGAGCTGAACAACGAGAGTGTGCTATTTTGCAGCTAATAACTCGCTTCCTTTATTGTTGCTATCTTCATAGACCTTCGCGGTTCATTGAGGTGCTGCGCTACCCCTTATTGTCCATACCTTAGTTTTAGTTCCCGTGTTTCTCATCTGCGGGCGCACTGTTTTCACTATGGAGGAGAACCAGGTATGTTGTCTGCTTGATCCTAGGCTCGTCACAACTACTGACAACGTCCGTCGATAGTCATTTAGGAGCTCCAAGATGAGTCGACTACCTGCGCCTACGTCGATGTCAATGTCAACACACGGAGGTCTCACAGAATGGAACGATTCGCAGCACAACGCCCGCATTCAATCGACGGTAAACTCATTGTCGGCTCTCAAGAACCTCAAGCGCGAGATCCCTCAGCCAGGTAAATCAGTCGAGACGTGTACGACGGCTCTTTCTGACTTTGACAAAGCATCGCAATCCGATCCCAAGCGCAAACCTCTATCCGATCGCGCCCTTGAATATCCTTCAAAACAATCACTTGCTACTGGTACCACAACATCGACGTTTAGATCCAATATGAGGCCTCAAAGCCTGGCCGGCATGTCTTCGGGGGTAAGTTAAAATTTATCCCATTATCGCAATGACCCGACGACCAGGTTTTCCATCGTCTATCAGCGCATGTGCCACCTGCCGTGGAAATCCGATTCTGACGTATTGGATACTCAATACGTTGCTTGGCCATCACGACGCATTGGCACAGACTTCAGCCGGTATCATCGGCTGTTGCGTATCTGTCATATCGAGGCAACAGTTGCTAACATCCCGTTTTAGCTCAAGCAACCATCAGTAGCCCAGCCACGTTACGGCGCAACCTCAGCAGCCGGCTTCAACAAGGGCATGCAGACTACTCGACAAGCCCCATCGACAACAGCTTCGCGAATCAATGGGCGCGCTGTCAACGGCCATGCGCGATCAAAGAGTCAAGCACCTCGACCACGTACGGTACATGGCGTCCGCGCAGAAGAACAGCTCGAATCTCCGACCGGCAATGGTACGACAATATTCCAGCAAGAGAATCCCCAACTTTATATCCCAATTCATTGCGACAAAATAAGAGCCACACGTTCATCTACAATACTGCCAACGATCAGAGATAGTTCTCTGAGCTCGAAATTTGTTCGGTTAACACTTGAAGATGACAAAGCTCCTGGGAATCAAGCGATATCCCGCCCCTCAACAAGACAATCCTCACAATCATCGATCGCCTCACAAGTCTCTAATATCCCTTGCATGCGTCGCGAAAGAGATGATCAGAGCGATAGGACCGCTGTAACCTTTCGACAGGCATCCTCTGAGCGGGCCTAGGCGGTCCCTCTGAAGCGATTGAATGACGAGAAGGTTAAGCGGAAACTTGACGAGTTCGAAGAATCCCTATCTTTGTCGCCAGTCAAAACATTTCACTCCCCTACCAAGCTTTCTTCACCTAGCAAGTCCTTTTTGAGTAAAGATTCTAATCTGACATCATATGTAGCATGGGACGTTGACGGCCGAGTCGTCGATATGGAGTCTCAGTTCAAAGAACTTAAGGAGATGGTCAACACTACTCTCAGCGAACGAAAAGGACATGACGATGCTCTGGAGCTTGCTAAAAAGCGAGGTAAGTATTTGTTTTATCATGTTGTCTAGATACTAACAACGCCTACAGTAAAAGAATTAGAAGGCGACAGGGAGAAGCTTGACATGAGAAACGATGCACTAAAGTCTGATCTCGACTCGGCAAGAGAGGAGGGACGCCAAATTCGGCACGAAATGGAGAAGAATAAGTGGGAATATCAACGACAAGTGGACGACTTGGAACGAAAGCATCGAGAAAAGATGGACGACATGTCAAGGCAGCATCGAACAGCAGTCGACGATCTTCGAAGGGAACTGGACCGATTAAAGGAACAAGAGACAAAAGATCACGAGCAACGAATCGAGAGTCTCACCAGGATGTACCATCAAGAATTGGCAGAGGAGCGACAGAAGAAGGACCGCGAAATCCACGAACTACGAACTAGAATGGGCAGTGAGCACCAGGATATGGGAATGGCGATGCAAAAGAAGGATCGAGAACTCCAAGAGATCAACTCCCAAGCGGAAGGTCTTCGAGGAGACCTCGAGCGAGAACGCGCATTGAAGAACAGCCTCCAGACCAATATCGCTGAGCTATCAGCGGCCAACACAACACTCGAGGCCAAGATCAATTCGCTGAAATCCCATGTCGAGTTTCTCGAATCTGACAGCAAGGCTCAATCTGACTCCTTCTCCAGTATGGAGGCACGTCTACAAGAAGCCCTTCGAGTGGCCGAAGAAGCTCAAGATAAGCTCATTAAGGAGGAGACAGAGCGCCGAGTACTTTTCAACAAGTACCAAGAGCTCAAGGGCAATATTCGAGTCATGTGTCGAGTACGACCCGCGCTTGGTAACGGTGAGGGTGAAGAGGCAAAGATGTCGTTCCCTGATGACAAGACCTCTGCTGAAATCGTTCTGGCTGGCCCTGAGGAGAAGAGCAGCTTGGGACAGATCACAAGGAAGAACTACCCCTTTGAGTTTGATCGTGTTTTTGTGCCGGGTACGCAGAACCAGGAAATTTTTGGTGAGATCTCTCAACTGGTTCAAAGCGCTCTCGATGGATATAACGTGTGTATCTTCTGTTACGGCCAAACCGGATCCGGAAAGACACATACCATGTCATCAGATGACGGTATGATCCCGCGTGCCACGCATATGATCTACGACACCATCACCAAGCTCAAGGAGAAGTCTTGGGAGTACACGATGGAGGGCTCTTTTGTTGAAGTGTACAATGAGGAGCTCAACGATCTATTGACACCCAACGACCGATCTTCTGCGAGAAAGTTGGAGATTCGACACGACGACATCCGCAAGCAGACGAGCATCACAAACTGCAAGTCGGTACGCCTTGATAGCCCGACAAGTGTAGAAATGATGCTCGAAGAAGCGCAGAACAACCGATCAGTCGCTGCTACCAAGGCCAACGAGCGGTCGTCACGATCTCACAGTATCTTTATTCTCAAGTTAATCGGAGAAAACGCAGCTACTGGAGAGCGATGCGAGGGCACACTCAACCTGGTCGACTTGGCAGGTTCTGAGCGTCTCAAGCATTCGCAGGCTGAGGGCGACCGAATGAAGGAGACACAAAACATCAACAAGAGCTTAAGCTGTCTGGGCGACGTCATTGAGGCTCTTGGTCGAGGGTCAGGCCATATTCCCTACCGTAACTCCAAGTTGACACACTTGCTGCAGTATAGCTTAGGCGGTAACAGCAAGACCCTGATGTTTGTCATGGTGTCACCACTTGAGACACATCTGAAGGAAACGTTGACAAGTCTTCGATTTGCAACAAAGGTAAGTTTGCTTCTGATATCAAGATAAAACAAAGCTAACAGACTTAGGTGCACAACACTCATATCGGTACAGCCAAGGCCACCAAGAAGGTCCGTGAGTCGTCATAGGCGGGCCCATGTCTATAAACTGTATAAATGGTCGACTATAAAGAAAGACGACAAAAGCTGAATATGTCAATATGGGAGTCGTGGTATTATGTTTGCGTTTGAGTTGGGTTATCAGGATAGCGTCTGGGACAAGGCAGCCAGAAGCTATGTATCTGGTTGCGGGAGTTGGGGTGCATATATGATTGAGTGCTGTCGCCTATGGCCAGCTTATGACTTGTTTGTGTCAGGCGAGCAGGTTGACTTATTGTGATTCATTGATTGATTTCTGGACATGGAATGAGTGGGAAGGAGATTCAAGCATTCTGTGTCTAAGGGTGAAGATTGTATATATCTATACAGAAATACCTACGACATGCACATTTGATGTTTGCTTACATGAGTAGGTCTATAAAAATGTATTGTCCATTGAGATTGTCTGTCGACGATTAGTTCAATCTCTTGGTGTTGTTTCAGTTGGCAGTTGGTGCCATTAACCGCTGACGCCACAGCCAATCAAAGGCTGTGAATTCCTCACTGTCAGCCAGCCTCCTTCAAGTTGGCCGTTTCTATTTATCTTTCATCGTGCATTTCGGATCCTTTGACCATTCGCTATATCTTCACTACCGAATAATTACTCAGCAGCTGTCGCAGTAGCCTCTTATTCATCCTTTTGCCTGAGACTCTCCAAGCATTGAGGCGTTCTTTATTGCGCGAACCATTCCAAAGGAGGCCTTTAACTGCGCGCGCGAGAGGCTGAGAACTACCCCAGGTGTACGGAGTATGAGATAAAGAGTTATTGTTCATTCTAGAGCATTTTCCCGCGCGTTTCTGTCTTTAACGTTCTGGCCACACTTATTAACTGGTTGTTTCTGCATCTCATCCTGCGCCGAGCACTCAAAACCTTTCGCTCATGGGCTCAGGCCATTATCAAAACTTTGAACAACGTACTTGTCATGTCGAACAACCCGGTTGGGCTCAACGCGTCCATATGGTCTGAGAACGGCCGCTCACGTCTTAATAATATTAGATATTATGCCCCTGCGCGTCCTTCTTCGCAACCATCTATTCCATCACAACCACAGCCATCACCACAGCCATCACCACAACCGCGTCAACCATCACCACGGCAATATCAACCACCTCCACAGCCTGTATTGGCGCCTGCAACAAGCTCAATAGCATCAATACATCTGAAGCCAGCACAAGCCTTCAATCGCTTTGAACAAGCCTGTCAACGTTTACGCTGGAAGTTTATCGATTTGCAGTCCTCATATCACCGTGCGCTAAATGCATTAGACTTTGGTTTCCCGGTGGCTGAAGCCGAGAAGAATTTCAAGGTTGACTTCTACGAGTTCTACGTCTGGATCGAGCAGGCTCTTGTTCTTCTCTTGCTCGTTTTCGGCATCACAATTCCTCGTGGGCCGGGCCACGGTGGACGTGCTCACGCGTATCACTACCAGGTCATCGTGGCGCTCGAGGCCCCAACGTGTCCTGTGTACGAGGCGCTAGGGACGGGAGAAGCGAACCAGGCGCTCCGGAAGGCCAAAGAACTTCGAAACAAATGGAAAGATATGAGTGAGGGAAAAGATACGCCGCCGCTTAAGATGTATGACTTGACTTGGCTCGTGGGACAGATTCTCGGAGGATTGGAGGTGGGGTATGCGATAGCGGCGAGGGCGGTCGCGGAGGAGCCTCCGAGAGGGCAAGTGGAAGAAATGGATGAGCAGATGGCCATGGGAGCAGATGGGCAGTGGGATTGGATGGTAGAGCCTATGGATTGGGAGGGTGTATAGGGGTAAGGGATGGGTGTTTTGGATGGCGTACAGAGTTGGGAGGAATTGTCTTGTTAATAAATTAGACCTGGCCCTCGTAAGGTCCGCACATGACATGAATATACATATATATACGTTATTACTGCTTGGCTATGAGCTTCAGTCAATGCACATGCCAATAGATAATCAATAGTGGCAGACGTGAGTGGATTGGGCTTACTCCAGGTAGCATCCACCATGGTGTCTACGAGTCGAATAGATGATCATTCGCGTCACGAGACCGATGTAAAGCCACCCTAGATGTATTTTCTATCAATTATCTACCCCTTCCAAATAATCCAGTATCCCTGATACAAAGAACAAACCATTCAAGTTAAAAAAGAAAGACATCGAGTCGTTCATAAAGAAAGTAAAAAGGAAACCCAATACGGACATGCCTGTCTCTTCCACGCTTACCATCTCAAAGCCCATCGCTTGCGAACGTAGGCTGGCTCACGGTACGAAGGAGGCTCATAAGCAGGCGGTTCATACTCAGGTTCCTTGACGGCAGTAGAAGTGGACGAAGGGGCAGCGTCGGTAATCTTGCTGGTGGTAAGGAGAGTTGTGAAAGAAGAGAAGCCCGCCGCGGCATCCGCAGTTGAGGCGAAGGAGGCGGTTGGCCATCCATCGTTGGTTGAACTGGGGTTACCGAAGTCGTATCCGTTGGGAGCAGTTGACTCTGCGTTGGGGGAAGTGAAAGGACTGCCGGTTGTTTGAATAGGCTGGGTTGGCTGGGAGAGAGTGGTGGTAGTATCAGAACTGGCTGGGGCTGCATTGGACTCTACTGGAGTAGATTCCCCTGCACCAGAAGGGACAGTGGTCTGGGATGTTTCAACACCAGCAGCGGTGCCACTGGTAGTCTCAAGATATTCAGAAGTCGAGATTCCAGGTCGACCCTCGGAAGTCTCAGCACTAGGAGCCGTAGTCTGTTTGATCACATCCGAAGTGGCAGAGGTGTAGCCAATTCCCGATGAGGATACGGAAGTGAAAGACCCAGCCAAAGCAGAAGATCCAGCTCCTTGCTGGGCCGTGCTATGGATGATGGTGGTATTACCATAGATGTGAGTGTGATTGGTCGATGTGCAAGTGGTGCTGGTAGATTGACCAGCTTCAGTTGTGCCTGTAGGTACTCCTGCGCTTGTGGACTCGGGGCTGGCACCGCTAGCTGTTGAATCAGTTTGGCCAGCCGAGGCTCCAGACGATAAAGGCTTGATGGTACTGGCGGTAGCAACATCCGTCTCGGAAAAAATAGTGCCGTATGTGTTGGAAGACTCTACAGCAGAGATGCCAGTTGTATCCTCCGGAATAGATGAAGACTCTGACTCTATTAGAGACTCAGTGCGAGTTAGAGTAAGTTGAGACGTCAACTGAGTGAGGCCTGTTGACTCAGAAGGAACGCCTTCAGTTGTAGCGGGACTCTGCCCTGTCTGGGTGCTGGCGCCTCCAGCCTGGGATGAGATATTGATAGACCCAGTGCTCTCGCCAGATGGGAGAGGCTGCTCGGTGGAGACACTGTAGACAGTAGAGGTGCTCCCAGTGACGGTGATTTGACTGGTGAGAATTGATCGGACAGTGGTTGTCGAGCCTCCCTCGATGACGGTAGAAGACTCACTATCCCCAGAAGCAGTAGAGCTACCCTGCTGGGAATAGGTTCCCGTGCTTGAACCCTCAGTAGGGATCGACTCTGTACTGGCAGGCGAAGACTCAGAAGGTTGCTCAGTTGAAGCCTGAGGGACGATGGTAGATCCACCTGTCTCAAGTGACTGAGTAGTACCAGGTGCAAGAGCAGAAGAGTCAACGCTGGGAACAATAGTGGGCATAGTCTCAAGGTTCGTGACAGATGTAGAGGTGCCTACGTCAAGGGTAAGAGTGCTAGTAGAGTATTCATAGAGTGAACTCAAAGTAGACTCCAACTCAGATGAAGTTCCTTCCGCAAGAGCACTTGATCCAGCTGAGACGTCACCAGTAGACTCAGAAACCATAATCGTGGTCTCAGTGCCAAAGGGGGCAGAAGTGTAAGAGGCAGTGAGGGAACTGGTGTTTACAAATTGGCTAGTCGAGGGGATAGAGACGGTGGGCAGGGAAATGACGTTGGTGATGGGAGCTGAAGTTTCAGATCCAGACACGATAGCCGAAGAACCAGTCGGAAGCTTGATACCAGAAGAAGTGTCGATGTACTCAGTCGAAGTGCACTGCGAAAAAACAGAGTAACAAGACGAAGCACACTCTGTGACTGTCTCTGTTACAGTCACAGTGTAGCTCTGAGCACAAGCAGCCGATGCCCTGTACTCATCAGTATTGACTTTAACACAGAGAAAGGAAGAAACACTTACCAGAGTCCCACGAGGACGAAGCGAGCGAGGAGAGACATATTGGTCTGGGTGATTTACTATCAGAAGCGACTGTAATAAAAAGAAGAGTGGTAAAATATTGGGAAAAGAAGATGAAAACGAGTGACAAGATCGGACGCCCAGATTCCACTGGTCTCACTCTGAAGAAGAATCTTAATCGTCCAAGTCTCGCTCTCATCTCTCCTCTTTATACCTCGTCTCTAACCCTTCTCCATCTGAGGCCTCGCACGAGTCCCCTCTGCTCTCTTTTTCGACCCCTGATGGTGCATGCTGCCGTGATACCGGGCAGACCGCGAGATTGTTTGAAGCTATAATTAAGGGAGGCTAGAAATCTGTGTCCATCCGAGTTGTAAGTTTCGTCTTACCGTGGAGTTCGCATCGTATCGCGGATAGCATGTGTGCTTTAGACTCGGGTTTCGGCAACGCCATGGTATCAAAACAAAGTGATTGTTCGCTGGAAGGAAACGTGGCGACGGGTATTCTCGTCACATTCCCTGCCTCAATCCGTTCCCGATCCCGTATTCCAAGTTTAGAGCAGGTCTGGATAGATTATTAGAATAAATCGTAAGCCATAGGAAGTGTGTCGGTTCAACGTCTCACTGTTACATCCAGCCTCAGTCCATACGATATCCAGAGGAGCCATCTATACCTTGTGCAAAAGTTCTTCAGTTTCGATATCGTAATTCCAGCTCTCCGGAATCGTAAAGCCGAGGCTTGCATTACGTCGTGTTCAGTTGTGCCACGCAGACACAGACACAAGCCTCATTGATAAAGCGTGGTATCACAAAGTCATCAGCGAAGCGTTGTTTGTTTGATGTATACTAGGCTTAGGCAATGGGTAGTTAAATATGTGGCGTAGACAAACATGCATGCCAAGCACTAACGGACGGGAGAGTGCATATCGCCGCATGGCAGCGAGATAGGATTAAACGGATCAAACAAGGGCTTGACGGGACGGACGGAACACTTGAATCAATGCGGATATAGTAGACTTGGCGGTCAGGATGAAGGAGATTGTGAATGCGCAAGGCAGTCTGCTGCACGAGTCAAACGCAGGCCGCAGTCTTGGGTGGCTACCCGAGACAGGTGTCAGATACTTAGCACGTTGCTATGGTGTTTGAGAGTTCCACTGCATCGCCTTGAAAAAAAGCTTGAAATTGGGTGTTTTTACTAATTGTGCTATCTCGATGAGAAATGGGAGCTTTGTGGTGATGTGAACTTCTCAGCTGGCACATAAACATGTGCCCGTCATCGCAAAGACGCCAAGTATGTATTGTCGGTTTAAATGGAAGCTCGGAGAACCTTGAATGCATCCTCCCGGGTACCAGTGAAACGAGCCTCGGCCGTCTTCCAGTTGATGACATTCCAGATGTTATCGACATATGCTGCCTTGCCGTTGAGGTACTGTTACCGACATTAGCACTTATTCTCAGTCTAGGTGAAACCGTACCACTCACCTGCAGATAGTACGCATGCTCCCACATATCAACACCCAAAACAGGCACCTCTCCTCCCACAACAGGGTCCTGGTCCTTGGTCGTGACGATGCGCAGGCCCTGAGCATCCTTGACCAGCCATCCCCAGCCACTGCCCTGCAGACCGAGAAGGGTCTTCTTGAAGGCGTCTTGGAAAGCCTCGATGCTGCCCCACGTCTTAGAGATCTCGGCACTGAGTGTCGGTGCGCTATCGGGCTTGGAATCAGGTGAGCTTGAGGGGGTGAGGTTCTCCCAGAAGAGAGAGTGGTTGATGTGGCCACCGCCGTTGAACTTGATGGCGGGCTGGAGAGCGATTTGACCGGCGATGTCGTTGCTTGAAGTAGCGGCGGAGTAGGTCTTGAGGGCGGCGTTGAGGTTTGTCACGTATGCCTGGTGATGCTTGCTGTGGTGCAGTTCCATAATCTGAGCAGAGATGCTGGGCTCGAGAGCCTTTATTTGTGGTCAGCATGACTGTGACTCTTATCATAATGAGACATCTTGAGCTTGAAGTGGGGGATAGCTCACGTTGTAGGCGTACGGCAACGCCGGAAGAGAATAAGCTCCAACAGACATGGCTGAGAAATGTTGAGTATTGTCAGGCAGAATGGTGTACGCTTGATTGTGATCAGATGCAAGATCAGGCTTAGAGTTGATAGTGGAAGCGGACGAAGATGAAGCAAGGAAGAGGAGGGCAAGAAGCGAACTCTTGAGAGGAGACATGGCGGGAGAGCGGATTGCGTCAGAGCAACGAATTATTAATAATATCCTCTGTTCTTTCACTGAGATTCCCGGGGTTAGCGACTGCTGGTACGTATTCTTCGAGGAGATTCAGTTCATCAAGGTTGCGATTGCGCTGCGTTGTTGTTTCGAGAGCATTTCCCCTCAAACTTGCTCACCTGAGAGTTGCCCGATCAGGGAACAGCGCTAGGTGTGGGGATGTTGTGATTGGTGCGTTGTGGGTGAGCATGTTTGACGCCACCATCTATGGACTTGAGTGAGAGACTATGAGAGAGATGAGAATTTTAGATAGATGGTCTGCTCTAGTGAATAGTATAATACTTGATGCAAGCTGGTTCTTTAATTAAGTTTTATCTTCTAATTCATACATCATTTCAACAACACGAGCACTTACACAGCGTCTTACAAACTTCAACCTATATCAACACATCCTATAACCAACACCGTCAACATCATCATCATCACCATAATGTGCGGTCCGGAAAATACAAACCGTCCTCGAGGAGGTGCTCTCGCCGCTCTGAACCCTCCCATCGACTCCCTCTCTTCCAACATCTGTGGTGATCTCGCCTTCCACACTCCCGGCAGCCCATCAAGTTCCAACGCAACACACGCAAGACTTACTCCAAGCAGTCAGTGCAGTATAAGAGGCTTGTCTGATCTATATGTTGTCATTCAGTGAGTCTCTTACTACTCCCCGAGTTCATCAGATATTAACATGAAGAAGCTCCAGCGGTGACTTGACGAGAAACGCAAGCGAGTGTGGCTTATTCCGCCAGTTCTCTCTTCAAACACCCCCAACATCCGACGACTTTGTTGAACTACCACTTCAAGGGCCGTTATCCCTTGAAGTTGGCGGTGATGGAATTATTGGACGCCGTGTCTCTGTCTATTCCCGCCTTGGTTCTGGTCAAGATATAATCGTCGCAGAAGGCATCGTCGGCTTCAATTTCATGAGCCAGGCACCACCAGAGGAGACATCTTGTCCATCATCGCCCTCGCCGTCAATGTAATGCAGAACCTCTGTGGTTAGATTAGTGGTTGGCCATCAGGGTTCTGAGAAGACACATGGTGCAAATATGCGGTATTGATGTTTTACACATGGGATTTGTAAACTTGGAGCAGTGGTTTATCAGGGTTCTCTTATTTCGGCTTTATAGTTGTTCAGTTCGCGAAAGGATCCGACTGGACAGCTGGTCTCAGCATCACGAGTTTGGCGTTATTCACGGGGCATCTGTCACCTCTTTTATAAGCATATATTCAGTCGCATACCATTACTTTTACCCTCCATCATTGTTCCGTGTTGGTTCTTCTCTTATTCATGAAGCGCTGATCTTTAGTCGCAAACGGTAACCACTATGCTCTATAAATAGAAACACTCGAGGCTAGGTATTCAAACCACGAACTGCTACACAACCAACTCACAGCAAACGACTCCAACACCAAATGACACTCATCACAATATAAACCTCAATCATCACCAAATATCATCTTTGCATCAATCTACCCTTATTTACTCCGAATCACAGAAGGCTGCCTCATTACCTCGCTTCAGTCCGCGCCTCATACACAGCCACGCACAGCCACAGCCAGCTCACCCACTTTCCATCTGCATCATCCTCATGGGTCCAGCCAAGGCCAGCCTTGTTCGTGAACCACTAGACCACAGCCATGGAACCAAGATGTTGGAAATGACCCAGCTCTTGCCTGGTCCCTTAAACGGGCCTGCCTTCCCTGTTTTCCCTCCCTGAATCAGGTCTTACGCGCCTGTTATTTAAATACACTCAACTTATTCCAGAGAATATCGACGTCTTTTGTTTCCTCTCAATTACCCTTTGTTCTCTCTCCACCGCCCTTTCTCTAAACAATGCCCTTTGTCGCAAATACTCCCGAGTCTTACCTCAACCGCTCCGACTCCAAAGTAGCCGACGGAACATGTCGCGGCATCACCTCCAACGGCCGGCCGTGTCGTCGCGCTGTTGCGCAGCAAACACCAAAGACCGATAAGCGCGGAAGACCTGTTACTCCGGATCCTCGCGATGAGAGCCTTTACTGCTGGCAGCACCGAGAGCAGGCGAGCGCGTCGGCGCATTCGAGCCCTGGACCTAGAGCTACTTCGACGCCGATTCTAGAGGGACGGACGAGTCTGGATACTCTCGCCGATCGACTCGGTTTGGTGGATTTGCAGGAGAAGAAGAAGAACAAGCAAGAGAAGGTTGGCACGGGGCGCAAGACGAGTACATCATACTCCAAGCCGAAACCAAAGCAATCTCTCTCATGCTGTTGCTTCTCAGTTCCTCTCGACGACGCTCAAGATTCTCACCCTTCACGTCCCCAACCACGACCCGTGCAGCGGTTGTCTGCCTCTGTACCACCCAAACAGTCCTCAAAACTCGCCTCGTCGCAAAACGCATCCATCGGCAAAGCCTCCCGCCGGTCGCGTAAATCCACAGGCTCCCAAACAGCGCAGATCAAAGATTTCATCCCCGACACGGTCGATGCGCAGACCGCCTCAGCACTCATGTCCGAACTAGCTCGGCCGTTCGGTAACTCGGAGGAGCCCGGCTTCATATACATGTTCTGGCTCACGCCCACATCTCCATCTACAGCTGCGCCGGTTGACGCAGCGCGCTCGCTCCTCTCTCCCCCATCGCCAAATCGCCCGCCGCGATCTCGAAGTGCAAGTAACGCTGTATCCAGCTTTGCGGCAGCCGATCCCTCTACCTCCAAAAACACCATGCTTCTCAAGATTGGCCGTGCAGCCAACGTTCAGCGACGTTTGAACCAATGGCAGCGTCAGTGCGGTCATGATGTTGAGATTCTGCGATACTACCCCTACCTCTCTGGGTCGCTGGAGTCGTCTGGTGTGGTTCCCCACATGACGCAGCATGTGCACCGTGTAGAGCGCTTAGTGCACATCGAGCTTGCGGGGATGGGCCTCAAGGCAGACGCTGGCAAGTGTGAAGCGTGCGGGAGAGAGCACCGTGAGTGGTTTGAGGTGGAGGCTACGAGAGAAGGTGTTAAATCCGTGGATGGTGTTATAAGACGATGGATAGAATGGGACGAAACAAACAGATAAGGTTGAAAAATTATGTTACATGCATATCTATAAATACATATATATATAGCCGGCGTTGGGTTCACATGAATACACGAAGTTACGGTCCACAATTACAAGCCATAAGAAATGTCACGTTCAACCAGACCCAAGTCTACGGTCTTGGTATCCATGCTTCGAATAATCCACCCACCCATCCATTCTAACAAACAAAAGTACCCATGCCATCTGTTCATGAATCGTGAGAACATCCTTTCGATCTCGTCCCAGTGATTGCAACTCCAAATTTGTTCCAGCTCTATACAAACTTCACCTCATCAAATAGACCAGCTCTGACTTGAATAAGAGCGGCCAGCTCAAGGAGGAAGGACTGCAGAATGATGACGTTGGTGACGACGTGTGAGACCGAGACAGTGGTGTTGCGCTCCCTCTCCTCTCTCCGTTGAGGGGTTTCGAGTCTAAGGGTTTCCATAGTATAAGTCCTTGGTCGAGAAGGCTCGATCTTAGGTTCCTCTGCTTCATGCTCCTTGGCATCGGACTCCGTGACTTGAGGTTCATCTGGTGTAGGTTCGTCGGCCTCGGACTCCTGAGTCTGGGGTTCGTTGGCTTCCAGTTCGTCTATGGATTCAGCTCGCTCAGGAGCCGTAGTGTTCTGGGAGTTCTCGGCTTCGTCCTCAGTCGGTTTGACTGATTCAGCAAGTGCAGATGTAGGCGCAACAGGCTCGGTTTCAGAGGTAACGCTTTCGGTTACATCACCTTCAGAGTTCGCCCCCTCATCCGCCTTCACGTCATCAGCCTCGGCCTCATCCTCGTCTACCTCATCGGTCTTCACCTCAGCGGCCTTCACCTCATCCACCTTCACCTCATCAGCCTTGGCCTCGTCAGCCTTGGCCTCGTCAGGTGTCTGGTCAACATTTTCAGCCACAGCGCCCTCAGAATCATCCTCTTTCTCAGTCTCAGCTTCGCCGGGTACCTCCTCGGCCTGATCATCTTTCACATCAGCTGTCTCGGTCGGTTCGGACACTGGTTCCTTGTCAAACTTGATGGGAATAGGCGCAAGCTTGACTTGCGGTAATCCAACCTTCTTGGAAAGGATAGTTTGGTCCATAGCTGCAAACTCAGCCATCTGTCGAGCAAGCACATCTTCCCTCGCCTTCTGCGTAGGATCGATGGTATCGGGGATTCTTCCGGGGGAATGGCTGCGTCCAGGAGTACCTCGTCCCCTACTATGAGACACCTCCTTAGAAGAGCTCAGACCCGACTTGCCAGGTGTTGCATTGCCGCTTCCGGAGGTACGGCCCAGCTCCTTGCGTCCTCGTGGGCTGCCAGAGCGGCTTGGAGTTCCCAACTCGGACAGTAGACGATGCGCTAGGCCTTCCAGTGTCGATGGTCGGGAAGGTGATGCGTTACGTGACACCTCATCAAAGCTTGGATACTCAGGGAGGTCCTCACTTATAGGGGTCGGTCTGGGTGTAGGACCGGCATGGTGCAACATTGCATCCGCAGTCCCGAACGCGTCGCGTCGTTGTTGCACTAACTCATCAAAGCGAGGAATGGTCCTCTTGTAAGAAGCCACCTGCTCTTCCAGCTTTCGGAGAACATTGAAAACGCGAGGCAACGATTCGGTCGACCATTGCGGCCGTTGACGGCATTGCTCCATGGCTCGAAGTTGCTTCTGCTCTGGGGTGGGAGATGGTAAATCTTCAAGTAACTCGTCGACTTCAATGTCTTCTTCCTCGTCACCTGTAGGCACACGTTTCTGCTTGTCAACTTCATCATATACATAAGAGGTTGGGTTTCGCGTTAACCATCCCTCGATTTTCATAAAACCACAGACTGCAAGGTCAACAAGTGTCTCTGTCACTGAGAGATTTGTCTCTACCTGGTTGACAAAAAAGGTCTCCAGTAGGTCTAACAGCGAGTTGAGGAGAGGGTCGTCAGGCCGAAGAGTATGATCCTCTACCTCCTTGGGTGCTCCAGGAAGGCTGTCAGGTAGCCTTTGGTTACTCGTAGATGCCCTCGGCGCGACAAGCTTGAGGGAGCAGGGATGAGCCTCAAGCCTGGTCATAGTATCTCGAAGGACAAGCTGATATACTTCATCGAAGTCATCTTCGCCACCTATCGTACCTGCCAAGGACATGATAAATTCAACCTCTTGTTCTTGAGCACCAACAGTGCGAGTGGCCCTGTTCACCGGAGCATTGTCAGTCCTTAAAAGGGTAGCGATGGCGTATCGATGATGTCGTTTAAGAATAGCCGACACCAGCTGTAAGGTAACATGGATGGTTTGTTGATTCCGTGAACTCAAGCATGCGAGGATGAGATCGACAAGGTTGAATAGTAAGGGCGTGGCAGTGGGCACCGCCCTCTCCGCCAGCATCGTGGCCAGATCAAGCGACTTCCGCTTACGAGCTTTGCTGACAGACGAACTTACTCCAGTTTGGTCGGAAGCAACATTATCAGGTAGCGCTAAAAGGTAGTGAAGGATAAGATTGATCATGTCAGGGTGGTCAAGTGATTCTAGGATACGACGAAGATAAGTCAAGACAGCCACCGACGAGCCTCCGTCAATATCAGAAGACTCAAGCAGCGAGGGGTATCTGGGTTGTCAGCGACATCATGATGGTTCGATAGGCAATACTCACAATAATTGTTGTAGAAAAATAACTTGGAAGTGCTCCAATAGAGTCGATTTGACCTCTACAGAGCGGCAGTGGTTCAAGACATCTTGCCAGAATAATAAGTGAGATAGGAAGACCTCGAGATGAGACTGAAATTCGGGGGAGCATGAGCTAATGACTTCGTAATTGGATGTAGGATGTTCGTAGTCGGAGAATGCAAGAATAGGGGGTAGGTTGTGAGGAAGATGATCAACAACAAGTTTGCGACTCAGCTGGCTGTACAAGGCTCCAAGACCTGTCGCCATGAGAGTCGATAAATCGCTTTCGACAATCCACTGCTCCAAGGGTCCTGAACTTGATGCCGCTTCGATGATGTACAGCAATCCTGTCCGTGCAAAGTCACCCACTTTACCCTCATGGTGGATGTAGTCCATAAGAATGTAAAATAGAGGAAAGTCGGCCTTCTGCGTCCGTCCTATAAATGCCTGTCGGGAGTTTTCGTTCTTTTCCCGGTTTTGAAGCGCCACGCCGCGATGTGTCTTGAACCATGCTGGCAGAATACTCGGGTCCAGCCGAATCTTGGTGGTAATGTTGAAGGCGAGCTCGACAACACGCGACTCGGTGTCCAGGCCCAGGCGCACGCTGTTAATACCGGTGATTCGAACAAGGAGGTTCGTCAGACTGGCGGAAAATGTCTGGTTCTCGACAAAAGCCTCCTCCTCGCTCTCGATAAGAGTCGCAAAGAAAAGGACGGCCTCTTTGATGATCCACTCATTGTACGAAGTCGTAGCGATCTTGCCGATGGGGACGTAGATCTGCTTGATCGAGCAGTATTGAATACACGGATGCGGTAACGGTCGTCGGCTCTCATCGCTGAGGATATTGGTGAGCTCCTGGAGGCGGATTTCGAGTGTCTCGGCAGCGTCGCTATCTCGCGATATGTTGGATGTGGCTCTCCAAGCAGACTGCAGTAGTTAGTGCTTGTCGCAGACACATAGTTTCTGCTGTTTCCTCACAAGTAAGAGGCTGTATTGTTTTTCGAATCGGTGCAGTCGTTTCGCTGGATCCTGCCCTAGGTCCTTGCGGGTGCCCCCAGAGGAGAGAGGGCTCAATAATCGCGACCACTATGCAAGGGACAGTTAGTTGTTGGTCATGGCTGCGTTAGTAGAGGATGATGAGACACTCACGAAATCCATTTCGATATAGGAGTCATTTCCCAGCGACTATAATTAGGATAATAAGGTCACCTTGACCACATATCGACACTAGGTTAGGTACTTGTAAGTTGTAGTGTTGAGAGCTGTCGTCTTCGTCTCCTGTGTCGATCGACAACTGAGCGGATATGTGGCGCTCAAATGTGGCTGAAAGATTCTGTGGCTCTGGATTTAGGGTAGGTAGCCACGACCCCTATTCTATAATCACGAAGCGAGGTCATCGTGTTAGTATGTACAGTTGTTTTGTTATTAGTTCGTAGTTCTCCTTTGAGGAAATATCTTGCTTACTAGGTGGAGTTTTGTACCACAGACACATGTTCATATGTTTCTTTTGTTGGCACGGAAAATGGAAGCGTTCCTTAATCGAGAGTGTACGCCTGATTCGCATGAGATCAATCGACGAGTGTGTTGTGAGCTCATCGTTTTTTATTGACAATTTTTACAACCCGAGATATATGCTCATGAACCTGACAGATCGTTCTGCCCTTTAGTAGCATGTATTCTTGTCCCCAAATGAGTAGTCCATCGCATGACCATCAGTCAATCAAGCAACCAACCACCAATACATGAAAGCCCAGAAGTTTTGCAACACAACCCTATAGTGTAACCTGCCAAACGACATTCAACACAAGAGAGAGTCTAGAGGATAGTCTAGTCCATGATAAAGCCGCCCGAACCGTCGTTGTCGTTGTCGTCGTGGCGTTGCTGCGCAAACCGCGCCCGAGTGCGCCCGAGCCGCTCGCGCAACATTTCCGAACGGTTGATAGAGACATCATCCAGCAGTTCGTCCAGTTTTCTCTCAAGTATGCGGTTTTGTTTCTCAACTCGTTCAACTCGCCTCGCGAGGCCCCGATTTTCAGTGCGCAACTGCGTAGCCTTTCGATTTGCTGCGCGCATGATATGAAGATATTGTGCATCGAGGACAGTGGTCATTTCGGCAATCTTGTCGTCAATACGCTTGTTGACACTCCGCTCAATGCCTAGGACCTGACGTTGGAACTTGGTGCCACGGAAGTAGAGACGATCCTGTAGACACATGGTGAGCTTTCGGGGTGGCAGCAAACAAGAAAAGGGGGGAGACACAAACAGGAAGATGACGATGCTTGCGTTTAGGCCTCTGCTCTTCAATAGAAGGATCTTCCACCTTTGAAGCTTCGGTATTGTTGGCAGCATTGGCGGTTGAGCTTTGAGCTGAAGTAGCTTCATCAGCTTCAGCGGAGGTCTTGGCGTCCATCCCATCTCTCATGGCTTTCAACTTTCTCAACTCATCCCATGACTTGCGCTTGAGACGCCTCGCACGAGAGTTGGGCCTGTTACGAGACATGATGGTAATGAAGTTGAATGTGACTTGACGAGTTACAGGTCATGAATCGGCCAACAGAGGGTAGTTGAATACTCGCAAGTTCCGGAAAGGTCAAAGCTGAAAGCCAAAGACGAACATGTAAATCAAACAGAAGGCAGAGGAATCTCATAGCCTGATGCATCAGGCGACGTGTTTAACAATACCTAAGGTGCTGGTTAGGTACCTAGGTAGGTATGAACTCCCTACACTGCAACGGCACTGCCGCCGGCTGGCATCACCAGTCGGCCTCATTCACCCCTTTTCTTGCAAACACCCCCGCCCCCTCTTCACATGCATAACAACAGTGGCTACCTGAGTGATTCACAGTGAATAAGAGAATTCTAGAATATTCACGACGTCACGAGTGATTCACTGTGCCTTATGATGCCTGAATTCTGCACCGCGCCGCAGTGAATCATCATGCCTCGTTTGCACTCGATCTATCGTCCGAACGCCTATAAATACCCCCTCTCCCCCCCCGTTCTCTCTCATCCTCTTCCTTCCTTCATCATCATCCTCACTCCTCGAGAGGCAGTCAACAAGTCTTCTTTTCTACCCTTACCTTTCGCCACCATGCCCGCTATCAACAAACGCGTATATCTGGCACTGAATGCTGCTGAACCTCAACACAGTCAGGTATGTCCGCGTTCTTCTTCATCCACCCTCGGCTGCATTTCTCTCGTTGCACCCTCTTCCCTGAATGCGAGCCGGAAGCACCAAAAGCTCCTCAGCATATGCACACCAGGTCTTTGCGTCTGTTCACAGATGCCTCGGCCTTGGATGCTGAGTCCCAGACTGTCACTAGGTGCTCTTCTGAGCACCTCCAAGCTTAGCTTGGACATTTAGTTTGGGTCGCTTCTAGATCGTTGAAGTCATACATTGCAAGATACCCAGTTCGGCCCGGGTTAGTAATTCGGTGTTCCCTGTAACATGCGTTTAACCTGTCGAACATTCGCCTGGTACTATCTTCCAAGCCTAGCTTGGACCGTTTTGACTTTGATGATCGTGGCTTCGTACCAGTATATATCAGGAGTACAGCCCACACTGCCTAAGGTGCATCTTAGCTTTCGTGGGGAGTGTCCAAATTGTCAAACCATTGGTTTTGCTCTGGGACTGGAAGCCAGGGCTCAGTGGTCGCGGCACGAGAGGGTTCACATTGCATACCGAGGTGCAGACATACTCAGCTTAGGAACCCTTGGCTGACGGATATGATTGACAGGAAATCGACATGGTCCACAGTAGCACTGCTGAAGAGATTTCCCCGATCGACAGTCGCCTCGCGGTTCACGAGGAGGCCATCGCCGAGATCGAGGCGATCGCTACCAACACAGGCAACACGGTTGAGCAGCACGAGCACCTGATCAATGTCATCGAGAACAAAGTCGATCGATTTGGACTCGAGCTGAAGCGCACCAACTTAGACGTCGATGCGCTTGGGGAATCAGTAGATAACATGCCTGTCTACGACGAGAACAATCGTAAGCGAACTTTCCTTGCCCTGTCTCGAGTAAGTCATTCCCCTCAGCACTTTGTCCATATAGACACTAACACCTCACCCCCTCAGACCGCGGAGCTTGCCGACAAGTAGGACAAGATGGCCTCCACGATCGAGAACCTCACCGCGAAGGTTGATGCGCTCACCACGAAGGTTGATGTACTCGACGCGAAGGTTGATACACTCGACACGAAGGTTGATGCACTCGCCGCGAAGGATGCCAGCCGGGAGCAGCAGCTCGCAGCTTGGACCACTGCCTTCGATGAGCGCCTCGCCCGGCTCGAGTTCCAGCACAAGTTCGCTGAGACGAGCCAGATGCTGGGCAGGATGGACTTCTAAGTGTCCGCGATGCACATGGGCTTGGGTGAATGGTATCTTGATGAGTGTTGGAGATGAAGGATTGTTTGATATCCATGATGATCACTACATATGCATCAATGTCCGCTTGGCATACTATCGTATATAGACATCTCGAACAATCAAATGTTGTAACAATCATGATGAAACTTGACAAAGCACCTGTACGCGCGTAGAGTGAGATGTGACGTTCTGTATGCTGCTTAGCACATGTGAACGCGATGAGTTGAGCCAGTGTCTGGGATGTCCTATGGCAGGCAAAGCGCCGAAGCTGGCTTGGATAAAGAGTGGGAGTGGGGGACCAAGAGTGTATGCGATTGAAGATCATTTTGTTGGCGAGCAAATAATAGATGCCAACAGAGGATGAGGCAAGGCCTTGAGACAGAGGATCTGTAGGAGGGCCGCCGCGATGGATGGTTGCAAACAGTCAAAGGCGTAAGCCCATATGAATGATAGAAGGACCGGATCTGCGACTGAATTCCACACTGTCACCGCCAGCACTTACCTGATATCATGGCCAAGAGGAAAGCAAAACCAGTCGAGACTGTAAAGGCACAGTGGATGAACCATCGTCACGATCACGAACACAAACACTTCACTAGTTGATAGGCAAGCAATATAACAAAGGCACTACTTTTATTCACTGCAAGCGCTATCCAACAGCTAGCCTGTCGAAATCAATACCAAATAATCGCTGTTTTCCCACTACAGCCATAGATCGCCCAGTTCAACCAACCCAGCCAAAACTTGATCGCTCACCTGGGGCTTGTCGGATCACCGTTGCTGCCGCTGCTGCTACCGCCACCGCTTGCCCTGGCGCGACTTGCCCAGATGTGCCTGACCCGATGAGGATCCATGGCAGGCGATGCGTAGTCCTCACCGCTGGATTGTGTGAAGCCGCTAACATTGCTAAGCATGCTAGAGCTACGTCCTCGGGAGCGAGTCATGCGAGGTTCGAACGGAGGTGCGGTTGGGGGAGGCTGCCAAGGGGACATGGATGGAAGCGTTGGAGCCGACGCCGAAGGAAGGATGTTCTCAGAGGTGGACCAGAGACCAGTTGGGTAATGAGGAGGAGCTGTGGGATCAGGGTTCCAAGTGCTTGAAGCCGCAGGCTGGAAAGCCGGACCAAGAGGATGACCAGCGTCAAGAGGTGGCATCATGTCGTAGGACATGCCATTGGAAGAAGAGTTCAAGTACTCGTGGAAGCCCTGCAATTGCATTTGCAAGTGGTGAATCTCCTCACTCTTGTTGGCATTGTTAGCACGAACATGGGCAAGTCGCTCGTTGTAGTTGCCTTCAATACCAGCGACATGACCCTGCCAAACTGAACGCTCTTGGTTTCGTCGCTCTGCCTCGTCCAGGCCACGGTTGTTAGCATCGGTGATATTGGCAAGCTCATTCTCAACCTTGGCAATACGTGTGGCCACCTTGTTACGGCGAGTGTTGAGGTTCGACTTCTCGACTTCCTTGGCCTTGATTTCCTTCTCCAGTCCCGCTTTGTGATCCTTGTACGCCTTCTGTGCCGTCTCGAAAACCTTTTTCTCGCTGCTATACTGCTTCTCGACCTTCTTCTTGCGTTCGCCCAGTTCGGGTGCAGTATCAAAGTTCTTGAGTTGCTCAGTAAGTTGCTGGGTCTCGCGCTCGGCCTGGGCTTTCTGGGTCTCTTGCTGACGGATTTTCTGTCTGTACTTTTCATCGTGGTTTCCAGCAGAAGCGAGTTGATTGTCTGTCAACTCATTGTCCTTTCGCAGAGCATTGGCGCGGTTCTTGTACTCCTTCCTCAGAGTCTTGAGGCGAGACTTCTCCTCACTGAGCTTGGCTTCGACGGCAGCAATCGACGTCCTGAGAGTTGCGGCAGGAGAATCCGGGTGAAGAGAGCGCTGTCCATTAGTGACAGGAGGCGGAACACCGTCCGCCTCGCGTTGAGTGGCCTGGATAGTTCTTATGCTGGTTGAAAACAAGACCGCGTCAGTCTGGCTATCGACGAATTCACAGACATATTTGGATGCAGGTCTGAGTCCATAGATATCGCCAGTCCATCGCACACCTTCATGAGACTCATCGGAAGGCTCCTCGATAGGAAACATGCGTGTAGGTTGCCAGACTGCGTTGTTGACTCTGACGTAGAAAGGCTTTGTGGTATCGATATTTGAGGGTCTCGAATCTTCTCCTGAGGATTCAACCGAGCGCGGCTCATCGTCGTCGATTTCGGGGAAATAGCTGGTGTTAAAACATACTTCATCGCTACCAATGTAGGAAATCCAAATTTGGTTGGGTTGATTATTGAACGGAGCATTACCCAGATTGTGGATGTCGGTGGCATTAGTCCCAGCAGACTCTGAAGCTGCATGGGATAGCTCATACTCCTTCACCACGACAATCTTGGTGCTTGCCAATGCCGCCCATAGTGGTTGCTGTAGACGAACTTGAGTGCTTTGCTTTCTTCTCTTTTTGCTTGTAGGTACTGTGGATGCTGTTGACAAGCCTGCTTCAGTGTCAGGCGTCGCGAACCCTCCTTCATTGGCCGTATCGCCAGCCACGCTTGGTGGCTTTCCGGCCTCGGGATCGCTGGCGCCGACTGAAGCATTGGCCTTTTCACGTCTCAGATACCACTCCCTGATATATCTTACAATCCCCTGAGTCAAAATGTGAATGGCGAGGACACTCCTAACCCAACCATATGCAGACATTTTGTCGTATGCGCTGGAAGCTGATTCGAGTTGATTGCTGAAAACATGAGGCATTCGCCAGTGTTCTGGTATATGCCGAGCCACACGACCCCAGTGAGTTTTAGTTCCTTTGAGCAAGTGGTGGCCTAACACCCAAAGGAAGCATGTGGTGAGGCCTCTCGAAGTTCCGTCTCTTGTGCTCGTTCCTCCTCCAAGAGTAATAGCAATGACCGGTTTGGCAAAATCCAGAATAGCATCCTGAATCGGACCCCACAGAAAGAGCCATATCAAGAGGAAGAAGAAATCCACACACAGGACAGTCACAAGGGAAGGCATGGTCGAATTACCGTCAAAAATTTCGGCGAGGTTGATGCTCATACCCGAGCTTGTGGCAACGGGAGGAACAAAGGTAAGGAACGTGAAGATGGTGTAAATAACGGTAAGTGAGAGCGATGGAACATGCATAAGGATGATGAGGATGGCGAGCGTGTCCTGCATGGGGAGAGACTTGAGAACAGTGGTTGCGAGGTCGAATACACCCGAGTCACGATGGACATCGGCATTCTTCATGGCATTGACATCGATCTGGCGATGGCTAGCGTCGACACCACTGAGGCCGTTGGCATTGGACGAATCGGACGACATTTCGGAAACGGCGTCAAGAGAGGAGCGGCGGTCGTCGTTGCGGGTTTCGTTTGAGGCATCATATACACACTGCTTGTAAGGGCTGTTGGCGTGACCGTTAACAGGCGTCGACTGTCCAGGGGCGCCGGCAGCGCCTTGGTCAGGTCGACGGACAGAGTTGTCAAGCTGCCCTGAGCCCTTCTTGTCGGATAAACGCTTGGCAGGGCCTACAAGCCCATTCTCATGGCGATTATCGCGATGACTGGCGGCGCCTTGCTGTCGCTTACCCGAACCTGGAGCGCGAGGCATGCGCAACGACTTGTCTGCTGCCACAGTCTGACGAACCCAGGAACCACTTCGGGAACAGGGCCGGCAGCCGGGACAAGCCTTTCAAAGTCAAGGGCTTGATGTTGGGAGTTGGCGACTCGAGCGTTATGGCGTCTCGGCCGTTTTAACACAAAACGACGGGTAAAGGATCGTATCTCGTCGTAATATGAAGTAAAGTTGGGAGGCGGGCCGTTGCGACAAGAGAGTTCGAGGTCGAGGTCGACATGTGCATTCGAATCGGAAAACGGTCGACGAAAGGCTATGATGAGACTGATAAGGGCGACGAGAGAAGAGGGGAACTACCGTCAACTGCAAGAAGCAAAACCAGCCAAAGATCGGCCGACGGGCCGCAGAAAGCAAGTTACGTTGACAAGTAGTTTTGATCGGTTACAAGATGATTAACAGTGTGGTGGTTAAGGAAAAAAAAGGACCGGCAGGTCAGGTAGGGTTGATGTGTTGGTTGGTGGAGGTGGGAGATTTTTTGGCTGTCAAAGCCAGGCTCGTGCTGCTTGTGGTAGGTAGGTATTGAAAAGGAAACAGGAAGGAATGGAGTGTCCGAACGCAAAAAGGATAATGGATGGAGATGGATGGGAACGGGAATAGCGGGGGAGGGCTTCGCACTGTGCCAAGCTAGGTAGGTCCCGTCAGCTTTCGCGGCTGTTTCTGACGCTGAGGTGCCCTGTTGAGTTGAATTGGACGCTTGAATCCACTATAGTCTGAGTGGCTCGCATGATTCTAGGGCTCCAGCTGCCAATGGATGCTTTGCGAGCTGCAGGAGATAGATCCTAAATTGGGGCAGTTGGGGGCAGCTTATTCCAGTACGCGCTAAAAGCGCGTCAAATTAGAACTTGGAGATGGAAGCTCCCGTCTGCTGTTAGATGAAGCCGTTGGTAACGACCTCGATGCGATCTCACAAAGTCAATCGTCTCAAACGCCTGGATTCTCTCAAGTGGATCGTACACAAGATAAGATTCCGCTTTGGTCGATTCTGGCGCCTTGAATGCCAACGGATCAGGTACGGTACCCAGGAACAAGGTTGCTTTGGCTAAGATGAGGCGCTATACTCCGTACTGCGGTCCAGGGCTGCGCTGTCTGTCCGTGGATGATCGACCAGTGGGCCAGCTCCAACAGTCATTTGGAATTTAACACAACTTCATGGGCACAGTACACCATCAATAGTGTCTCAATGATACAGAGATAAATATTTGAAAATAAGATAAAAAATAAAACTCCTCTAGAGAACGTGGTCTCTTTGACCTTCTACTGTTTCTCTCAAGTAAAAGCAACTGGACAATTGGCAGTCACATGCTCCACCATGAAACACACCGTGCCTCTCACTGTGTGAACCCTGTTTTTTTAGTATACAGATGAGACGAGGCGAGAGGACGCAAAATAATTGGCAGCTGTAGAAACCAAAAGTCTTTGTCCACATTCGTCACAGGACCTTTGGATTAGTATTCTTCTACGGATTGTCTACGGGACAGTGACATTCTTGACACTTTGGCGTTTCTCTACAGGGTCTTATTTCGCTTAATCAAGAGCCCTAATGAGTTATTCACGATGTGATGATATGACCTGACACTGAAGACAGTACCAAATGGCCATCCGCCGGACACGCTGGTATAGTTCAATCTCGATTATAGCAGTAATAAGGGCAATGTAACGCAGCACCTCGCGTGCGCACGCCATCGCTTACACGCTCTGATACTGTAGACGATAGCCAGGGTTCACCCCGGCCCAGCCGGTCCTAGGGCTTCTCCGCAATGCAAGAAGACATTAACAATTCCAGCCTCATCGCGAGTATCATCATCAGCATTGATCAAGTCCCATTCTTCGGTAGACTCCGATGAGCACATGCTGGACGAATCACTAGCTAGGGAATGCGCCAAAAGGTTAAGTTTTGGGCTTGTTGCCCCTCAATCTCACCTCGGCCGGATCAAGCTGAGCCCTTTGCAGCAACGGCCGGTACCTTGGAAGAGACTTCACCGTGTGCCCTGTTAAACTGACGTCGTTGGCGCCACGGGCTGCCCATTGTGGGAAAGGCTCTGGCTCCAGGGGAAATATTTGAGAACGACATGGGTCGACAGCACCAGCTAGGGTCGTCGACACACATGAACAAGGGCACATACGCGGACACGAAGCCATGGAAGCTGAAAATTTCTGATCCTGAGTCGTGATGAAACAAACGACTAATCCAGACACGATAAATCTATCCGTATGTCTACCTAGATTTCATGCCGAAGCATGGAGTGTATTTCACGCCTGGCCTCTCTGACTTCCAACAGCAATGCCACGGAATTCATGACGCAAATCAGTAACAAGGTCCAGTAACTCTATCTTGCTTCTGCAACCTACGCAACGCCTAACAGTGAATATTTCCCGACTCACCGAAAGTGATCAACTCCCCGGAACGGTACTTGAGTCATTAGACTCTCCCTAGGACTTCACTTTCGGCAGTTTTTTCTTGGCCCATTTTTGCTCTAAATTCGATGTCCCGCTTTTCGTTTGTCTAGGCTTTCATACCTCTAGTTCACAATCATCCATCCAAAAGTGGCCGATGGAGTGCAAGAATTCTTTACCATTCTCCACAAGGTTACATTTTCAAGACTCAAGACTGTTCAAAAACATACAAGTCTATGATAATCACTCCACCCACTCGAGATCATGTTGCCGACTCTTGTGGGGTGGTATAACTTGCACACTCTATTGGTATATATAGATCAAGTAGAAGTCTACAATGTTATAAGATGGGATGCTATGAGTTCGAATATCTTGAAGTAGTTGAGTGTAACCTGGGATAAGTCTGGGTAGTCGTTTGTAGTAGTACCAGATGCATGATATGATAAAGCTATTGGAGATTATCTCAATCAGACATATCTTATAATTGCGGTACCTAATTACCATCTGCTATGTATTCACTTGTGTGTGGGTTTTCAAAAGTCCAACCCATCCACGGCTGTAATTACGCATAAACACCACGAATAACCCCTCCTTCTTCTGTCGTCAGTTGACGACTAAAAATGCCGATCGTCCCGCAATGGTTTGTTTACGAGCAGATCATCGCGCAGTGATCTGCTGCCACGACTCAAACGGCTCGTGCTCACACATGCTTATGCTGGATCTGTCCTTTCCACGGTGTTGAGGTTGAGTGAGGCTGTAGTACAATTTGAGCCTTTGATTTTATGCAAGACTCTGGCAAGGTGAGTTGAGGGAATAACGACCATGAAACCAACTTCTTGACAAGTTAACCTTAACACTCTTCCTTGATCTTGCAAAAACCACATGGGAAAGAGACTGGTGATGGTGATCATTACCCCGCCGCCCGCAAAATCAGCAAATCGCAGCACCACCTCCAAAGTCTTGGCTTGATCCCTATCGATGGGGGCGATCTGAATGGGTGCCGCCCCCTCCAACCCTCATCGGCACTTCTCGCACTTATGCTCGTCTCGCCCTATCATGTTGTGCCTGCAACCCTGCATATCAGTGATGCTTTCCGTGCAGTGTGTGCGCCTTGTTTCGTGTGCGAGACCACAGGGTGGTGTCAAATGACGGTGAGCGGATAAAGAGCCGGTTTTGACGGATAAGGAGCTTTGTTAATCTGCTTATGATCTAACCATAGCATTGCTCAGTTACCGCAACATTCTTCATGAGCTCTCATATTGGAGGTTTTCATCGCCAGATGTTCAATGGATCAGTCCAACCACCAAGTGATAAGCTTTGGGGCATTGGACCCTGCTCCAGGCGGGGGAGCGTTGGAGCTTTGAAGCTCTTCATGCGGGATGCCCCGTGCTTGCTGCATGGCGGGCGCCACTTGAGCCAGCCCTGTTCGGTCGAGACGGAATGGAGGGAACTCTGTTGCAGTTGCAGGACATGATGTGCTGTGATAACTTCCGATATCACGCTTCCCGGTTGCGCTTCCGATGCGTTGTTTTCTCTCCGGGGGATTAACATGGAAACAACCATATATGGCTCGGAGACAGCTAACTGACCTTCTGGTTTAGATGTCATGATTGGATGTGTTGCCTAAAGAGGTAATCCGATGTCTCTGAATGTCTTGTGTCCATCAGGTACAAGCGAGGAACAAAGCTCAGCCGTTTGGTGTGGCCTGTGATAGTTTGCTTGCTTTGGCTTACTCGGCATCACGGGTTCTGATTCGATCGTCTTGTTGCTTTACCACTTTCATTCGTTGAAGCGTGGCAATCTACCCGCCAATCGATACAGACCAATTTCTAACATTGGATGTCAGTGTACTCTGGAAACTCCGGTTGCTACGGCTAGCAAGCTCTGAGGCCGGCAAGGCTTGATGTCCATACCGGTGCATGCCGCGATCATGCCACTACGTTCCGCTGAGTGGTAGCTAGCGGTACTTCTTCGACTTGTGCAGGTAATTGTCAATTGTTTGGTACACCCTTTCTGCTATATCTGGTGTCTTGTTGCCCCCAGTATATGAGAGAATGAACATTGTGAAGAAGGGGCATCTGGTTCTCGATTCAATAATCGCTCTGAACTTGTCACAAGATCATCAACTAAGGCCTAGCTTGGCTAAATCTCCTCGAGATGTCTTGTGATATTGACACAAGTAGTACACTAACCAAGATGCTAAACAATATCAACATGCGAATACCACAGCCAGAGTAGGCCCCTATACAAGGTATGCCAATCTACAAGACAATGCTCTTGAACACAACATCTAGCTCTCCTAGGCCTCCTTCTCAGCATCTTCTTGCTGCTCCATCTGCTCCTCCTTCTCCTCCCTCTCCCCCTTCTCCTCAGCTTCACTCAAGATTTTCCCTGCAATCTCTTCTTGCTTTTTAGCTTGTGTATTCTCCTTTTCGATCTTTCTAAGCGTTTTCTCCCGCTGCGTCCAGAGTTTCTTTTCCAGCCTCCACACCGTACGCACCATCTGCTCCGCTGTTAACCTGCAGCGGTTCGTCGAGCTCGGTGCATATTTGGCGTGTAGATCACTTATCTCTGTTATGTCCTCAGGGTCGATCTGCTTGGGCTTTTCGTTACCCGGTACCATGGGGTTTTCTGTCGTGGTAGAGCCGTCGCGTCTCACCTCACTCACACTCTTGCTTTCAATAGTGTCGGGCACTGAATCCTTCTTTCTGAATCTCACGTTGAAGGAGCCAAGGAATCGCTTTGTGCCGACGGTGTGTAGCTCGATGTCCATCAAGATTGTGTCTTCGTACGTGGCTGTTGCGACGTAAGCGTCAACTTGGGTGTGACGGGGACCGTTGATAGTTTGCTGTGAGATGGAGAGTTAGACCGTACTGTTTTGGAAAGACCTAGGAAAGAGTACTTGCGTTTACCACGCCGTAGCTGTTTGTGTGATTAATGAGGAACATCTGCTTGGAGTAGTTGATAACCTCGATTTGTATATCGGTGGCCAACCCCTCCGCCTTCATGTTTGCCACCCAATCATTTTTCCATCTGTCCATCGCCGTTTTGCTGAGTTCGTAAAGGCCACGCGGGTGTAGGAAGCCTTTCTATAAGGGGTCAGCATCATCAGCTACGTTCAAGTCGGGGGTCTTCACGCACCGACTTATCATCAATATGCGTTGTCCGATCTACCGGCATACGATACACATTCCATTTTTTATATGGTACTTTGATCAACGCAGGTAAAGTCCAGTCTCGAGGCTGCAATCTGCCCTCATGTCCCACAACCCTGCTGAGGATATTTGCCATTATTTCGGTTTGATTTTTGTCCGGGCCCTCATAGATCATTATTCCCAGATCATGATACAAATACGGCAAGCACATTATCCATTCACGAACCGTACTGACCCCTTTACCTCCATGCTTGACTGTTCTCCATGCTCGTGGCTGCAGTGTAGGTCGGAAGTATTGGAGGGTTGGCCATCTTGTATATGCTTCAGAGTTGTTTGGGACCATGAATACCGAAACGGGTATTGGACGTTCTGATGGCCGAGGCCGATATTTATTCCTGATAGGAATCTTATGGTTCCTCATTGGCGGCCCTGTTGGCCATAGTCTTTCGGCTCCTGGTTTGGTCTCCTCCTTCTTGGCTATTTTGAGGAAGCGTACGAGGGTCGGCCTTCCGGACAATGCTCTGGAGGTTTGTAAAGCATCAACACTTCTGAGAAACATGATGCTGAGATTTCCAGCCGAAGCCTGAGTGGGCGTGAAGTACCGACGTGGGATATTGTGAGGGTCATGAATGAGAGCCTGCGATATCTCATGCAATGGCGCGATTGAAGTGTGGAATGCAATAATTTTGTGGCTGGAGCTGCCGCGAGGCTGAAGTGGGGATAGGCGCCACAATCTGGGGAAGTAGCCGCGGCAGCATCATGCATCATCGCTCGAAGACCTTCATGAGGTTCCTAGCTATACATGAACACGTCCATCAGCAATGAGTTTTAACCCACAGCTCAGGCGGCAAGTCATCGCCGTTTATAAAGGTTCGGCGAGCTCATCCCGCGTCTACCGATGTATTTATTCTGACCATGTGGTTATAGAGCTGCTGTATCTTGGTAGAGAATATCCCCTCGGCTTCGACTACTTTCGACCCCGGCTACACAAGGCCTTCATTTCTAAGGCTGCCGAGCGCGACGAAGACAAGATCCGCAAAGGAATTGGACAGGCTGAGTATGTGAAGAAAGGTATGTTGAGCTATATACTCCATTGACCATCGGTTAACCTGTCTTGTAGAGATTGAAGCTTTGTAAGTTCAGCCTTCTCGTTGATTGCACACGCCAGGTGAAGTCACTTGTGGTTCATTTGTGAATACGGTTCATTTTCCATGTTGCATCTAAAAGAAGCACCCCATCGTCTATTGCCAAAAAATGTCGACATATCAACTCCATTTGTTCCATACTATGGCATCGAACTTCACAGAAGCCATTGTCACCTCGTTCGTCCATCACTAAATAGATCCAATTATCCTGAAATCTTAACTCTTGTCCAACAACCTGCTTTTTTACTAATCATCTGGGTATAGGTACTATTTGAAAAGGTATCGCACACTGAGAAAACGATATGACGCCGACGCGTAAAGGGGGAAGGGGTATGTGAAGAGTGCTAGCAAGGGTTGTTGCGGGGTCGACACACTGAGATGCTGAGGCCCGTATTGTATGATTGTAGCTCTTGTGGGGAGCATTCCGGTTATAGCATATATCATGAGACATTGATGCACTGATGCTCGGCATAGTTTATGCAGGAAGATCATCTTTGCTTTTGCGCTCGAATGCCTTCGTGTCGTCCTCATGACTTGCTCTTGGGTTGTCTCTTTCTTGCCGACCATACTCCCAGCTCTAAGCATTCTCCCCAGCTTGTTCCGTTTTCACTCATCAGGTCAGCCATCATCTTAGCTACCCAGGTATCCCATTCGTCCTGGCTCTTGCCGCTTGCTTCGCGAACAATAGGCTCCAATGCCGACACTTGCTGCGCGACTGTCAAGAGTGCTGTCTTACGCAGTGCAGATTGTCCAGTTGTCAAGGTCTTCTTCTCGACCTTTTGGTGTGGCGTTGACTTGGCCTTCATCTCCACGTACGACTTGCCATCTTTGGTGACAACACCGCCGACACCTTCGCGCTCCCACCGAACCTCGCTCAGTGGAATGGCTAGACGTTTGGTCTTGATTTCTGTGAGAACTTCGGCTTCTTGATGGAGAAAGGCGCCGATGAGAGAGCACGGAACTGGTGACAACTGACGAGCCTCGAGAGTTCGCGACAGCCAGTTGTTGTACTCAACCAAGAACGAGTTCAACGGCGCCGAAAGCGGTGTTTTCGATGTCATGAGATAGGCACCTAGATCAAGTGCGGCTTCGTGCTCCTCTGCTTCTTCCGAACCAGGCAATGCGCTTGGGACATGAGGCCGCAGCATTCGGAATGTTGGATCGCTATCCCAGATCTCCATTACGCCACCAGGCGTGAGCACACGAAGATATTCTTCTATAAAAAGCTGGTAAACATGACTGGGCACCATGAGACACGTATCCTTGACCATGATCATATCGAACTCCTCGTCGGCAAAAGGCCAGGGTAGCTGACGGAGATCATGTTGGACAAAGCGCCATTTCATGTCTTTGTCTGGTTTGCAAAGCTCAGCTGGAGATCCAGGACTGCCAGGGGCTAGGGGCGCAATGTCGATTCCTGTAAACTGGATACCACCGTAGCCTCGTTCTCTGTAGTATCGATGGCACATCATGCTCCAAAAGCCTGTGCCGCATCCGACCTCCAGCACACGTAGAGGAGGGTTGTTCCTGATAAAAGGTGTGTAGACAGGCGCGCCATATACCTGGATCATCATGAGCGTCCGTAAGCTTTGCCGATGGAGCTCGGCGAGATCGGTAGGAAGAGGGTACGACGACGTTGGGTCGTTAAAGTAGGTGCGGCCATTTTGAACGATGAAAGGTTTTGTCGCAGGGTCGGATGAGTGGGAATGGTCTGTCGAGGTCATGGTGTGTGTCGAGATGGTGCCGCTCGCAGAAGACACGGAATCGGTTCGGGGGAAGTCGAGATTTACCTGCTTCGTCGTCCCCGACAAGAATTTATTACCTCCTTCCTGTTGGGAATACATGGTGACATTTTTCGGATCGACAGAACCGTAGATAGGAGTGATGGTGTCTGATTGACGACGAGGATCGCGTTGTCGAGATTTGTCGAAGAGGAAAGGTCGATTGAAGATAATGGGTGAAAGTAAGGGTGTCGGGCCTCCGCTAGGGAGACCTGTGTTGAGAGGTTTGTTCAAAATTGACGTCGTTGCAGCAGCTGATGATTGTAGGCGCGAGTCAGAGGATGGCTGCACTTTTGAGTGCGAGTAATGTGAAGCGTCTTCCTCCAAGGCGGGGCCGTTTTTGGTATTGGGGCTGCTGCTGGAATGCGGAAGCACGAACGATGATTCGTGCGACAAACGACTACCCTGACTCCCACTCGACGTCCTTATTTGTCTGAAGGGACGTCTCGTGCGATTGGAGCTGGGTTTGATGTCGTGTGAAGCGGGATTGGATCGTGGAGGACTTTCAGGGCGCTGCCACTCCTTTTCAGCCTTTGTTTGACGAGCAAAGGTGGGTAAGGGGTTGGCAGAGACGTAGATAAATCCGCTCCATTCCGACATTGTCTTTCTGGGGCTATACTCTTTGGCGCAAGCTTTGCCGGTAGGTTAATGATTGGATTGGATAGGGTTTGGGATGGGGTGCTTCAGCGACAGGGGTTGGCTAATAGTGTAAATATCTGGCTGCGTTCCACCACCGCTAGCAGGCAAACAGGGCCAAGCTGAAGTGATACCACAGCTTTAGTGGTAAATGGCACCGTGCCTACTCCGTACAGTGGTGAACCCTCTTCTAGAACCCTTCTTTTGGGCCCGCGGAACTTGTCTCGCCAGTCCGAATGCTGGTCGGTGACCTTGCCGGACCATGCAGGGGCAGTGAAGATGGTAACAGAAGGCCCTTGCAAGGATTTGGTCTTTGGCCCTTTTGCAAATGGTAGACGGAACAGCCGTGTCGCCTAAATCGAGAGCAAGGATTCATCAACGCTGCGTTCAATGCGACTAATTCGCGCAAGTGCGATCTTCGACAAACTCGGACGTGGCGCGCGGGTGCGGATGCGGATGGCAGCCGCTGTTTGCGACCGACCGTGATATCAAAGCTGGTAGTGTGTGGACGGTGGACGGTGGACCCCTTCATGAGACTGTTCAGGTTCCTAGTTGTGCCAGATGGGCCAACGCCATTACTCGCTGTGTCGACGGCTTTCTTTTTCTCGGTCCGATGTCCACGCCGTTTGTAGTGGCTCAATCGTGGATTCAATGGTGAAACCAGCTTGACCAGAGCGTTGGTGTTGACGTTTTCTGACTGGTAGTAGACGTGTTTGCAGTGGGATAAAACAAATGTTTGCTCTTATCGAAGATGAGGGATAACGCCGCAGGTACGCATACAGCCCCTTGAACAAAGTCAACCTCAAACAGCAAACCGAATGTTTGTGTCGAGGTTGAGCGTGAGACTCAAGTGGATGATAGACGAGGATGGGGTGGTTGAATAACACGACAACCCGCACATACGGTGCTGCGCAGTAGGGTAGTTTCAGGTCAAGTAAGAAAACAAGCGGGCGGCGGTGGCAGTCACTTTCTATATAACAAAACTTTGGGAATCTGGCTTCACTTCACGGTTACTCGGCCCATCCTGGCCATCCCAGGAAATGCCTTTTCCCCAGTTCACAAGTCTGGGGTGTGGAGCGCCGCACGTCGGTTGGCCATCCCCCGCATATTAGACTAGAGCTTTTGCCTGATGTTCTCATTGATGCGTATCGTGTTAGCAGCCTCCTCCCTAGCTCTGGCGGTCCGAGGTTGGCTAAGTAGGGAACAGCCTGGTAGCTCTCTGACTTGTGATTGCTGCAGACTGTTCCCCAGTCTTTGGCACTCACACCACACCCTGGTCGGAAGGATCCAACTGCTAATTTCAACTGCAGCTGCATGTGTTTGACTGCGTAAACAGAATTCACATCGCAATGATTGACAGATATGTTAATAAATCCTTGTGGCGAGGGTTGATTGCATGACTGATAGGCAACCTGGCCAGGCCAGACACCGGGATTGCTCGCGTCATCCCGCGGCCGGTAAATTCTGGCGTGACAAACCTGACATGCGAACGTTGTCTGAAGATTAATACAGTATAGCAAGGTGCTGTCCAACGGTGCTACTCTCGGTCGAATGGCGTCCCCCCAAGTTGAACCCTTTGCATTTCATTTCACTTCTTAGTGATATGATAGGTAAAACAGCATGCAGTCTCATGATGTTGATGATTGTGGTGTCCTATGTTGGCTGCTGGCCCCATTGAGTACGGAAACTGGGAGGTTAGGCGATCTGTCTCAGTAGGCTTGGCCATTGCATTCTTGATCATCAATGAGACGCGAATTAAGAGGCCTATTTCGATGCCATCACATTCTGCGAGACAGATCTGCGAAAGTGCGTCAAGTGGTGATCGAAAGGGTGTTCACATGTAGCGAGACTCGACTGGTGTTTGCAGATGCGATGCTGGACGCAGGACGATACACAACATCCAGAGTAGTTTAAGCACGATACCCATCTATGCTGCTTTCTGTCGAGTTGGTTACCATGCCTGAAGTGTCCTTATCCCATTGGCGCTCATGTGTCGAAATGATTAAAGTTTTGAAAAGTAGAAGGTTATTTCCGTGGCATGCTGCCACCAAGCTTTGTATGTCTTTCGCACAAACTTGATGTTGCAAACTGGTTTCGTGATACACACTGCATTTCGAGTCAAGAACATCATGTTCTCTGCTCGGGGCGCAAATGTAGTTCACGACCATATCGGACTAGACATGATGCTTGCAGCTATCATGGCTGATCTGAAGCGGCCTGGACCTTGCAAGGCTGAGGGGTTCATGACGGCTTGGGATCCAAGAGGCTGCACGTGACCCATATCCTCGCACGAGCCATCAAAATGCGGAGCAGCTGCACGTGATTCAACGTCGCTTGCTCCTTGGGCTTCGTTGGTCGCAGCATCACCAGCATCACAGTCATATCTCGGATGCTTCATTTGCCATCTACCGCTCTGCTTCTGTACAAGTACCAGTTGATTTTTTTCAGTCAATATTTGCATTGTTGCGCTCGCTCCTTACATGTGCGTGGCCCCGCACGAGCTAAGCAGACACCGCAACGTGTCGCGAAAGCTCGGATCCCCCTCTCATGATGCCCTTCTTTCAAGTTTTGACTGACAGCCGTTTTATAGTTTTTCTTGCCTCAAATAAGCTCTACAACTCTGGTACCGACCCGAAACTTTCTCATTTCGATCCTATCGACAGTGATAAAACAAAGCTTTGAATCAGCTTCTGCTATCAATATACGGCCCTCCCGAAATTCTCGCGACGACACCTTTTGATGAGCTCTTGACCTACCAACGAATCGACATTTCCCAGTCAAGCCACCATATCGCGATAAGAGTCTTCCATGCGAACAATTTGCATAGGCTAATGCGTAAACGCGAGCTACCTTTGCTCTTCCGCTTCTTGAACCTAGGGTGAAGTTTCGAGCTATTCATCGTCGATCCATAACCACCAGCTATACCAATCCAACCAACCCAATCGCCCAACGGCCGATGAGCTGCTTCAGAGACTTGCTATATTTATCTTCCTCGACCACTATTGCCAATCAGCGATACCTGCAACCGTGCTGTTCGCTGGCGCAGCTCCCTAAACCACCACCCTTCAAACGTTTACCAGCGTAATCACAACACGAATACCTGCCGGAATGTATGCTCAACACTCCGGGCAAGGTCAACATGCTCGCCTAAATGGTGCTGGGCGAGGCATCCCGAGCATGTTATACAACTATCAACATACCCAACATCAACACCCATCCCAGACACAACACCACCAAGGGCTTCAGCACGACCATGGGATGCCCAATGCCAATGGCCTGGGCCATCACTCAACCTTTACCCCGGGTGTTCTTTCGAACTCGAGTCCTTTTAATCCTGGTGCGCTTCAGAATGGACATTCTGCTGGAAACCGGGGACAGGCACCCCCAAATGAGATGTGGCAGGAGCAATTGAGGATGCACAAGGAGGCCGAACGAGCACATGCTGCTATGACCGATCAACAACAACCGCACTACTATGCTAGGCTCAAAGCGTCGGAAAACAGAGGTATAGGCGGCCCGCCACCATCAAGCCTGCGTGCTCCTGACGACGAGGACGACGGTGTCGATAGAAGGCGACCCTTGGCTATAGAGAAGGAGGAAATGAGGCAAGACTGGCACAATATGGACATGAGTGGACAGGGTTTGCGAAACTTGGCACCGGAACTATTCAAGTACAAGTTTCTGAATGAGCTCTTCATCGCGTCGAACAAGCTCACTCGGCTACCAAATGCGATTGGAGAACTTCGGGCCCTGCGCCACCTTGACGCTTCTTACAACCAGATTGCTGAGATTCCCCCTGAGATCGGAATGTGTACCTACCTCAAGCACCTACTTCTTTTCAGCAACAACATTCAACAATTACCGTTTGAGTTAGGATCCCTTCATCTCCTGGAAGTGCTCGGCATTGAGGGTAATCCATTGGAACAAGATGTAAAGCACGAGATCATGGAGAAGGGAACAAAAAGCCTTATCAATGCTCTGAAAGAGGGCGCCCCAAGTAAGTCGGCGAACAGCTGATGCGCCGTCCTGGATTATGCTAATCAACCTAGTTCCTTTGGCTCCCGCACCTCGAAAGCCGATTATGATCCAAGAAGATGTAGCGTCGGGTCTGGAGAGGATCAAAGTTTTCTCGTGGAACATTCTTTGCGACAAGTATGCGACGCCTCAGACCTATGGATACACTCCGACAGCTGCCCTTAACTGGGAGTATCGTAAGGACTGTATTCTAGAGGAACTTCGAATTAGGGATGCGGATTTTCTTGCCCTCCAGGAGGTGTCTACGGATGCATTCAAGGAGGATCTCAGTCCCGATCTGGCACAGATGGACTACAAAGGTGTCCATTGGCCCAAGTCACGAGCCAAGACCATGTCCGAGAGGGATGCTCAGTCTGTTGATGGCTGCGCCGTCTTTTACAAACAGAGCAAGTTCATTCTCCTTGACAAGCAGCTCATCGAATTCGCCACCATTGCCATTAACCGCCCTGACATGAAGAACCAGCACGATGTTTTCAACCGTGTGATGCCCAAAGACAACATTGCTGTTATTTGCTTTTTCGAGTCTCGCCTTACCGGAGCTCGAATCATTCTGGTCAACGCACATCTAACATGGGACTCTGCCCTAGCAGATGTCAAGGTTATTCAGACCGGTATTTTGATGGAGCATGTCACTAAGCTTGCAGAGAAGTACGCGAGATGGCCAGCAGTGAAGGACAAGAAGATGATCGTGTTGCCGATCGGCGAAGACGAAGTTCCTGTGCCTCAGGCTGAGCCAGGTCCCAGCCAGGAGTACCGAACAAACACAGAGATTCCTCTTCTCGTCTGCGGTGATTTTAACTCAACAGTAGACTCTTCAGTATATGAATTGATGTCTATGGGACGTGTGCCTCCGGACCATCTCGAGTTGAGCAGCTTCCAGTACGGTAGCTTCACACGAGACGGTATCGAGCACCCCTTTAGCCTTCGAGACGCATACGCCCACATCAAAAACACGGCGGACGAAATGCCATTCACAAACTACACGCCCGGGTTCGCTGATGTCATCGACTATATCTGGTACTCTACAAACACTCTGGAGGTGGAAGCCATTTTGGGACCCCCTGACCCTGAATACCTCAAACGAGTTCCCGCTTTCCCTAACTGGCATTTCCCTGCCGATCATATCCAGATCATGTCTGAGTTCGTGATTAAGGGACGGAAGGAGAAGAAGCATCTCCCCGAACGCGAACCTGACTTTGGTCCCGGATCGCGCGGTTGAGATTCGCAACGATAACTAAGGGGAAATACGTTGACACGTACATCTGGATGTAGTGATTTTGGTTTTGCGTCACGGAGTTTTGAGGATCTTGCACGGTTCTTGGGGGACGGGGGACGGGGCGGATGTGTCTGGTATGTATACAGGAAGCGGAGATAGGGAGGCAGCGGGTTCGGATGATCTGTAGGAATTGATTCACAATGTTCTTTTGCAACTTCAAAGCTGGTTACCCTGCTATACGTATACGGTGTTGAGTTGGTAGAGCATCTTGTGAGCCGCCTCTTATGTGTGAATCAGCATGCGCCGTCGTATCAGTTCAGGCGATGTATTGGTATAGTGTAATTGCCTATGTTGTCTAAGCTAAGGGGCAGTGCCTTGGTGGTTTCGTTTCTCCTGGTAGAGCTGAAGCTTATGGCGTGTAGCCAATTGTTTTTCGCGAAAAACAAGATATCAATATCGTCCAGTCACTACTACTGGCTTAATGGTGATACCGAGGGTGGAAACAAAGTAACTTCACGACCAAGTTGAGTGAATATTCTTGGTTGGAGTCTAAAAGTAATGAGAAAGAGAGAGATGGCAGATATTCCTGGTCACTTTGAGTTCGGGATGAACCCAACATGAGCGTAAATTAATAGACATTTATTAAATGTCATCAAATGCATATTCTCCGAGTTACGGTTCTGAATATAGTTTAAAAGCCCTCAAGAGAGATATATAAGAACTGGGCATCCCTCCATTCAAAGCAATCTTAAATCTTACATCCTCTCTCATCTTCAAAACAATCGTTCCCCTTTCAACCCTTTCAACCCTTTCCACAGCTCTCTGTGTTATCAGTCAACATGAGCAACTTCACTTCCCCATCTGTGACTACCATCGCCGGTACTGTCAAGAACCTCCGTGAAAGGAGTCACAGATCGAGATACATCAACCTGCTAATCCTCGCAATGAAGTCTGAACTAGCAGAGGAAGGTACCCTTACTTTGCTGTCTCAAACTCTGGAGGACTTCGTTGGTCTGGAAAACATGGATCTCGCCATGACTGTTTTCAACCTCCACAGGTTCTGCTTCAACGAACGTCAACTTCCAGGCAACAGCCACAGTGCAACAAGCTATAGAATGTTCAGACAGTCGAATGCTTGGAACATCGCTAGATATTACGTGGAAACAATCCTTGATTGGAAGCGTCTATACGAGTTCCTTGAGTTGGCAGATGGTATCCGCCAGCTTGCTACGGCTTTTGCATCGATGCCTGACGCCGAGATAAGCTGGAAAAGATTGTTTTACTCCTGGCATCTTACTACATCAGAGGAAGCAAAATATGAAACATCGAACACCAGGAGTAACAGCTACTTGCGACTTGTCCGGTATCGATTGTGGCAAGCCAGATGCAGAAACGCTCCTGGGAGTGCGCCTACGGACATCAATGGCAACGCAATCGACACAGATTTCTTCAATCGCACCCTTAGAGAGTTTTGGCATCGAGAGCTTTCGTGGAGAGGACTAGATCTAGAGTTACAATACTCCCGAGGACGAGTCCCACAAGATGATGATGCTCGCATAATTATGGAGTGGTGGGCTCGTGAACTTAGCACTGTGAAAGTGACAACGTTCTGCCAACTGGTTCGATTACAACGCCTGATGCTCAGCGCTGAAACTGTTGGACTCGAGGATCACCATGTTATAAGAAGGCTCCGGAACTCACTCAACTGGGAGGAGTTCAATGTGCTTGGAATTCAGGGGCACGTTGCTTGTTTACCTGTTGAAGATGACGAGTACAAGATGGAGTTCCTCTTGCAGTTGGCTGGAACGGCTATGCAACTTTTCAACTTCTGGTATCACTTTGACGGTCATGGCAATCTTGCGTGGTCCGACGGTTGGCATGAAAGGTACCCTGTCTCTGGATCGATTGACCACGTCTCTCTCGACATCGACTACTCAATCGATGAGGCAGATGAAGAGTACGAGGAGGAAGAGGAGGTTGAAGAAGACGACTACCATTTCTACAGCCGGTAGTATCGAGTCCTAGCTTGAATTGCGTCGAAGAAGCTCACCCGCAGCATCGGCCTCTGACACATCAGGCCTTCTGTCCACAGTTGATCTTTTTGCAGTTCTACTTTTCCCAGGCTTGACAACGTTATAGTTAATTTATGTTTGACCGTAACAAGACCTGACTTCTGTTATATTGAGTTTATTGTGTTTTGTATTTAAGTTTTGGAGATCTTTGGTGGGCTTGGGTATGGCTCCGGCTACGTTTCGTCAAGACACACACATGACAAAGATGATCCATGCGAATAGATGAGTATCAAGTATATAAATAAAAATGTCTGTCTTCAACCGATAAGATGCATTGAATGTGAGACAACGTGATTTGTATTCTCAAAGTCATTGCAGAGAGGTATCTGTAATTTCCAGCACTCCAGTTCTATTTATACAAACCCAAAACAAAGAGGAGAATGGTCTATAATACAACTCCAACGCCGTCACACCAACCCAGTCCCTAGTGAAGGAGAATGTCATATCCATCCTTTGTAATCCTGACCTCTTCCTGTCCAAGTCCATACTTGCGTCGTATCAGCTCAAATATGATCAAACCCGCACTTGTGCTGGGCACTTGGCGGATTGCATTCCACCAGAACCCACGGTACAGCCATTTCGATAGAGACAACCCTTCGCTTGCTGCCTCTCCTCTACATACCGCCAATGATTCTTGGTAAGCATGGTAGTAGGCACGCATCATCCTCCACCGCCGATGTGGCTTTTCTGGGTTGGCTACTCTGGAGGCACGAAGCTTGGCGGCTTTGGCGTCGAGGTCTTCTAGATGGTCCCAGTGCTTGACTTGGAAGTGTGTCAAAGGATGCAGAAGGATTTGTTGGTTGAAAGAGGCGCTGATACCAGCGAAAAGGAGAAACATGGGCTCGAGGGCGTAGTGGGGTCTAATCAGTCTGATACCTTCGTCCTGACGGTGTTCGTGTGTCGGACGCTTCATGGCTAGCACGTCGACAATGTCCTCGGCCAGACCGCCGTAGTACCATGTAACGAAGCGGTAGTAGCCCTGGGCCTTGACATACTCGAACGTGCTGAAGAATACGGCGCTTCCCAAACTGTCTTTTGCCAGAGAAAGGCTCCAGCCTGCAAATATTCCTTTGAGTCCGATTTCGCGAAGCTTTTCTGAACCAAATGCCCACATACTTCTGGGTTTACCGCTACCGTCGTTCGGCATCAAATCCCGATGGTCATAACGTGCTTGAAGGGCATCCAAGGGTGCTGCCAATACGCTTTGAAGGCCTCCGGCAAGTAGACCAGCTGTGAAGGTGTGTGTTGGGTGAGGTGGTGGATATACTCTTGTCCGCGCTTGGCCGCTTTCTTCATGGAGTCGTCCTAGGATTTGGAGATAACTGGTGTACAAAACTGCACCGACGCCGACATTCGCAATAAGCGGCGGTAAAATCTGATTCGGCACAATTCCCCATCCTTGATGCTTGATAGCTGACGTTAACACTCCAGGTGTCGTACTTCTCAACAGTAGCCAACTTTGGCGCATAAATGTGGTAAATGCAGAAGCAGAAGCGTCGTTTGCAGCAGCCTTCATCATAAGCTTCGTCTGCGTCTGGTGAATAGTTCTCGCGTAGGCGAGATAGTCCACACGGGTTCTGAAGAAAGCCTTTGCAGGCGCGCGGAAGTAAAAGGCGATAAGCTGGGTGCTCAAGGCGCGAACACCAGCTGCTGAGGCAGCCGTTGCGGCATTGCTGCGAGGATCGCGGTCTGGCAGCGCCGCGTCAGGAGGTATCACCGGGAGGATACCGGTTCCATAGTCCGGGACGTCATTTCGACGGATGCTCATGGCGTTGAGGGATTCATGTCGTGAGAGCTGAGAGGGAGCCTGTGAGAGGGTAGGTAAGGTTGAAGTTGGGCTTGGTGTTGATGGATGGATTACTCAGCTGCATGGGCCAATCGGGTGCTGCAGATGACGGTCATCTTCCCTGTTGATCCCGAGATCTGAGGCATCCTCATGAACGGTCCAGGTGACCTGAAGCTGCAGGGCTGCCTATTCAACATGAGTCAAGATATTCTCATATAGAACATAATGATTACCCATGCAATGTGGTGCGACCAACGTTTTATCATGGTTATGAGGTTATGCTTTCTGCAAAGAGTGTCCTTTCAACAACAACCAGGGAAACTCGTCCTTCACTTCACTCATACTCAAAAACGACGTCACAACATTCATCAGTAAGCCACACAAGATACTCAAATATCGTAACTTTTCATTCCCCTATCCAAGATACGCCTTTAAAAATGCAAATGTGCCCTGCCGTAAGGTATTCCAATCCCTATTCTCATGCTATTCGTTACCCTGTAGTGTTCCATTTACTCAGGCTGCTCGCGACCATCCAACCACTTGCTCATGTAAGGTCCGTCTAGCCAGAAACCGAGCTTCTTGTAGTAGCTCCTCACTCCTACACCTGAGATAACACTGATCTTGTCACTACCGTGCTCCTCGATCGCAATCCTCTCCGCCTCTTCCATCAGCAGCGTACCGAAACCTTGGTGCTGGAACTTGCGGGGGTCGCGGGCGTGAACAGGCACGGCTGTACCGTAGACGTGGAGCTCACGGACCATACTAGTAGGTTGGCCAATAAGTTCCTCTCGGTACGTGTACTTCTCGGTACACTTTCGCAATCTAAGCAGAGCCACAAGAATATCCTGCTTGGGATCCTCGTAAGCCAGGAAGGTCTCCCAACCGCCGTTGGCGACGTAGTCTCTTCGAACCAGCTCAATCTGATTAGGTCGGATCTTGTTCTTGATCTCGTTTACGCCAACCTCTCGCGTTCGTACGTCTCGACACGTCGTTCCAAAGTCCTTCATCCGAGCCAACGCTAGCTCACGCAGGTTGCCATTTTCGACTCCAGATGTAACCAATGGCATGGGAATATCACGCTGCACACGGTAGATTCGTGTCCAGGGAGGAATCAAAGCCATAATTCTGGCAACAAGGTCGATCAAACCATTTGGGGTGTAGTTCTGGTATCGTCCTGTGCGCCACAGCTCGTACAGGCCCGTTCCTCGAATGACCAGGGTAGGATAAATCTTGAGGCCGTCAGTTCGGAAGGCAGGATTCTCAAAGTACTCTCGGAACTGGTCGATATCGCGCTCCATACCGACATTAGGCAAGTCAGGCATCATGTGGCTGACAACCTTGTAGCCAGCATCCTTCGCAAGACAAAAGGTCTCTGCGACTGCGGCAACTGTGTGCCCTCGGTTTGAGTCTCGCGCGACATCCTCGTACAGCGACTGTACTCCAACCTCAAGTCTTGTACATCCGTATCGCAACATGTCGGAAAGATGGGGCTGCAGGCAATAATCGGGTCGTGTCTCAATTGTAATACCGACACACTTCACGTTGCTCATCTCACCGGCCTCCACAGCCTCGTCGACATTCGTTGTTTGGTATCCGCTAAGAGCATTGTGAAGCTGTGCAATAAACTCGTTGCGGTATGACTCAGATAGAGACATGAAGGTACCGCCCATGATGATGTATTCGACCTTGTCAACAGAATGACCAAGAGATTTCAGCTGATCAACTCGTCCTCGGGCTTGCTCGAATGGATCGTATCTTGCACGAATGGCTCGCATCGAAGTAGGTTCGTATCCGGTATAAGATTGTGTGCTGTACTCAAAATCGGAATCAGGGCCACCAGGGCAATACACGCAGATGTTGCCAGTATAAGCGATGTGAGGACATCGATGGGGCTTGCACATGACGGCGACGACCGCAATACCGGAAGATGTTCGAATGGGCTTAGCGATGAGTTTTGGTAGGATGTATTTCTTGTAGTGCTCGGGAATGGAAGCGATGATGGCCGTCAAAGGTGGGATATTCATGAGCTTGTGCTTCTTGGCGAGCTTGTTCCGTAGAGTGTTGAGGTTGATATCGCGAGTTGAACGGCCAGCCTTTGTGGCTTCGTGATCTTCGATGAGGGCATTCGCAACGTCGGCGCAGCATCGTAGGAAGCGCTCGCTTTCGGGAGCCATGTCGGGCTTCTTCTTGGTCGGCGCAGCCGTTACGGTCATGGTGGCGGTAGCCATGACGGACGGTTTTGGAGGGAGTCCTTTGAATAGATCGAGGATGTTCAAGTTGGAAGACCCCAGTAGAACAAGTATTTGTTGAAGTGGTTGTGCGATTGTGCGACTACTGGAGGGGTGTACCAGTCAAGGTTATGGTTATTGATCTCTTGCCCCTCCAAAAAGCTTCATAAAATCTTGGTGGGGCTTTAGTTTTCCCCACCCAATGCGGAGACGAGCAATTGTCAATGAGTAGGTAGTCACGTGTACCCCCAGTATGAGAACTACAGTTCCTTGCAAAGTTCCGGCGATAAGACCGGGATACCAAGCTCCTCTAATATTAACTATTATTGATGATGATCTTACAAATGGGCAGGTATTAGGAAGATAACCCTTATTTGAACTATATTGAATTAGTAGAATTCATTATAATTTATAGTCATGATAAGGTGTGAAAGAAGTCTTGGTATTTTTGTGCGGCTATTGTAATCTATACTTGATTCGCTTGAAAGAGCATCGAATCTACCGTCAGGCTAACCAAGCTTCATCTCACTTTTTGGCGAAGCTGAGGTGATCAAGGCAGGCTATTTTAGGCCTGAAGGTATCAAATATCATAGTTCGCCTCTGACTTACAATAAAACAACGGATGAACACATCTGCGGACCACCCCTGCTGGAGGTATCTCTTGGAATCTCTGCTCTATCTAAGTTCCTCAGTGTAGCGATTGAGCGAGGTCTTGCCAAAACTATAACAATAATTAAATAACCTTATTTGATATTTCGGCGAGATGGATCGAGGTTACACAAATAAAAAAATACGAGCCCTTACCAAAACTATATTGAACTTTGACTTGTTGGATATCAGGTCTTGTAAAATACTACAAATCTTTTATCTTGGTAATATGATAATTAAACAACCTTACTCTGTATCTCGGCGAGATAGATTAAGGTTGCATAGAGAAACACAGTTATGTTAGTAGCATTGTAGGGGAGTTCGATATGCCGAACTGACTCATTTTTGGAACATTGACACAGAGCCGTGAGATTGGAAAAGAATACAATTTAATGCCAGTGAGGAGTGTTACTTGACAGCAAAAGCTTGTCTGAGGTAAAGGGATAATCTACGACACAATGACACGATATTGCTGGGGAACAGCGAATGCCAATTTTGTTGTGTTTCACACTGAGCAAGTGCATTTGGATTTGTCTTAAGGCAGCACACCACAATTCTTTCAGATAGTTCCGAATCCAGCATGAATTTTGTAGCTCGTTTGTTGATCCTCTCGCCCGTAATGCCTCTGCTCGTAAACCCATATGCATATCCCTACTCAGATAGTGGATCTCGTGAAGTCAAAACCACTCGACCACGCACGTGGGATACCTTTTGCATTAAGCGCCAAATTTTTAAAGCATCACGAGCTAGTGTAATTAACTTGTCATCATATTTCATCTCAGCCCAGTGATACCATGTCAGAGTATGATGGGAGGATCGGACCCCACCACGCCAGGGCGAAGATCCGTTGCAAGCATGGATAACTGTTGTTGAAAATAGCAGATTGAACAGACATGAATTGACAATTGAGGTTGGGCCAAGACATTCGGTGGACAAATTGGGAAATACGAGTAGTAACCTCAATTGTAAAATGCATATACTTGATGCAGATTTATAAAGTACCACCGTGCCATCACTAGTAGATAGACCAGTAGGCAGGGCGGATCCTTGCAAGATAGAACCTTATGAAGGTTTCCGCGAAGATTGACTCTTAAGCACAATAAACTGACACTTCTTTGTCTCCGTGTAAATCGTTGATTGTAACGGAAGGCTGAGCAACCAAGAGAAATGATCCTAGAGACTTGCCATGGCCCCCGGCAAGGTTTACCGCGCGAAGGATCTCTATCAGTATCTAAAGTTAGACTTAAACAAAACATACAAGCGGCATTGCGAAGTTAAGCATATGTATATACATATACCGGACCCCTGCGCTAGTCCCTTGTCAAGGCTCAAAACACACCCCGGACGGTGCGTGCCTCCATCCGCAAGTCTGACTGGAGAATCCGCCAAGAGATTGGCACTAGATTGGCGAGAAGGATTATTCAGGACCAGGACGATGCTCAAAGCCAACACCGAACACTACATAAAAAGTGAAAGAAGATTTACGAAGGATTCAGTGTCATTAGATTTGAAGAGTTTCAATACAATGATTGCATGGGACTTGATTTAGGGCTTACTCTACGGAGTAGCTTTGTTCTGATCTGATGATTCTGTGAAGCGGCTAACTGTGATGAAACTTGATATATAATGTCTTGAGAGTCCACAGCATGGACAGTGTCAGCAGAATCAGAATATCAAGCAATCAAGCAACTGCATTAACATTCACAATGGGTCGTTGGGCACAACCCCTTCTCCTGACCGCTTCGGTCTTGCTCTCTCTTCCCTCAACCAGCACTGCTCATCCCGCCAACCACCACGCCATTCATGCAAAGGCTGCCGAGATTCCTCCAGTCTTTCATCCCATCGCAAACAAGCGTCAAGATGATCCGCAGCCTGAGATCACTCCCCTGCCGGTGGTAAAGGAGGCCGAAGCCGCCGAGCCCACAGCTACAGTTCCCTTCGAGGCGCCTATCGCTGCCGAGGATCCTAATGATTGGCGATCTGTCAACTGCGAGTCTGATGGTGTCAAGGACCATACTCAGTATGGCCCTGACCGATGGAGGAATGTTGATGCTGGTGATGCCTGGAATGCTGTTGTTGAAGGCTGGAAGCTGAATTTGACTTCTGGTCGCCAGGAGAAGAACTTTGCCAACAATGTGAGTGCAAGCCATATACTCAACATTCGTTTTTAATATGATCATATCTGACTAGTATTGTAGGTTTCAAACTTCTTCCACGGTCCCCAGGATATGTTCTGTGAGACCTTCAGTGACGCAGGCAGTGGCTGTCAGGACCTGAACCTCCAGTGCCACTCTGTCAGTGTCCCTGCTGGATACTTCATCCTCCACTCGTTTGAGAACATCTTTGCTATGCACTCCAACATTTGGAATGCTGTTGGTGATGCCGTGCGTGATAACGATATTGGCTCCATTGCTTCCGAGTTTGGCAAGGTTCCTCCCAAGGAGGGTGGACTTGCTACCTCTATTCTTATTGATATTGCCATGATGGCTTGGGGTATAGTCATGGGGCCCGCCTGGAACAAGCGTAAGGTTTCTATGATTAAGGTATAGACCATTACTGACGCAGTTCTTAGTTATCGGCCCAAAATTCACCGACAGCACCAATGCTGGTACACTCAAGGACACGACCAACGATCTCGTCAAGAACTCTTTGACTCTTACCAAGGACATCCTCAACAGCCGAGCGTAAGTTTCATCACCCTTAATCACAGCTCCTCACTAAGCGCCCTCGTTCTAGTAAAGACCAACTTGGTGTCCAAAACGGCCTCACAGAGCAGATGCAAGGCCTGACCCAAGGCTGGAAAGACGGCGTCCTTGAGACCCAGAAGTGGCTCTTTGGTGGTTCCGAAGGCGGCTACAACCAGCTGGGCGCCATGATCTCCGACGCCTCCATGTTCGGCGACAGCTGGCTCCTCGACCGCGGCGACCACGCCAAGCAAGTCAAGAGATCCATCAACGCTTTCCTCATCCCGATGGCCTGGCAGTACTCACCCGACGTTGTCAAGCCTTTCATCGCAGAGTCAGATGTTGCCTGTGACCAGGATCCTGGTTGGAACCATGAAGCTTCTTTCACCCAATCGTACCAACGTTGGGTTATGGAGGATGCCTTGAAGGATGGCCGCGTCTGTATCGATGGAAAGTCTTACTGGCTTCTGGGCGGCCGTTCTTCTGATGTCAACTGCAACAACAAGAACGGGGATGCTGAGTGCGGTGACTTCGCACTCCCACCTGGATGGGAATCCTTGAGGGACAAGAAGTACACTGATATTTCGCTCGACAATGTCGTTAGAGGGTAAGTCTATCTCACTTTTCCTCCAAGAACTTTATCTGACTTCTATCATAGATCCCTCAACTCCAAGGCTGCTAACGGTGGCAAAAACGGCTTCAAGCTTGATTTAGGCGACGAGCCCAGCCGGGAGGTTCTCGACAACCTTGCTGGTAGCGGTATAGAGGCTGCTGGCGTTTTCAACATCCCTATCTGTTCTATGGACGAGATCATCGAGAACTATTACCAATGGTACAGCGGCTGGCACGATGATATGAACAACTTCCCCTGCAACCCTTGATTTTGGTGATCAAGCTGCCTTTGTTTTTCATTCCTTGTTTCCTTCTTATTCTACTTCTCCTGTACCACTTTGGCCTTTTATCAACTCAAGCTTCAAGACCTTTGCTCTTTTTCTTTTATAGACTACAAAATCAATATTGAATAATATGATTGACGTATGAATCTCTCCCAATTGTCTCTCACCTTAGCGATTGGTTTCTTAAATTCAATCAGTATAATTGAATTTTGTAAATTGAAAGTTTATGCAGAGTGTCCTCGAACCTACTTGCTACAAGTCATGATAATCCTGGTAGAAATAAAACAATGCATGTATTGGGAGTATCACCTGATTGTGGGGGCCAAATCAAGCGAGGTATTTCTTGAGCTGACTTCACTCCTTTGAATCATTGATTAGCTATATCAATTCCAATGAACTCCTACTAACGTTACAACCTCAAGCCCAGGCTATTTCCATGATATCTATCCAAAGTACGAATGCGGGGTCAAACAAGCATGTCCTTACTAAACCTCAAAAGACAACCATTTCCAAGTGGGGATACTGAGGAAGACATCCGAACAGACCCAACACTATGCCGGACATGTTGGAATCTCTACGGAGGCTCAGCTTCTACTGCCATTTTCTTGGGTGGTATTTCCATGCACGAGAACTCTGGCTCAATCAATGCAACAAGGGCGGCTCAAGCTGATGACGTGGAAAAAGCTCCCGCTTGGGGAGGGCAAGGTCGCATCGACTATGCCTCTTGGCAGATCAGTATCTACCTGCCTGATATACCCGGATCCGCATTGGGAGGCTGCCCTTCTTGTCTGCTATTGCAGCAAATTTTGATCAAGCTGACCAAGGGCACCTTGAACTGCAATGATCCCGAGCTGTGGCTCGAAATCGTGTTTTGTAAAGGAAATGTACTAAGGATAAAGCTTATCCGTGGAAGTGCCCCCGATGACGACGCCTTCGACATGTTTTCTTCTGGCGGTGGAAATACCGATGGGGTCCTCCTTGAGAATTATGAGATCTATACTCTTCCCGGTAAGACAATGGATCCTCTGACTGTACTTCTTCCAAGACACAGGCTGATTGATTAGGATCTCCCTGTCCATGGCCCACGATTGGTTCCTCGATGAACATTGAACGGCCTGACTGGAGTCTTCCCACTGAGATCGGAGGACTTGTTGGTCATATTGAGCCAGATCCTACTACCAAATCATCTTTTGATAGAGTCAAGAGCTGGATCAAGACTTGCAAGAACGAACACACAGTTTGTTCCGAAGCAGAGATTTCAGTCAAGTCACAGCTTCCGAAGCGTGTCATCGATATCGGACCTGGAACTAACGATGGTATTCATATCTTCGTGCACGATGACTCTACTACACTGATCACAGAGCCTTATATCGCGCTGTCTCACTGCTGGGGTAAAACCCAGCACTTGATCTCGACCAAAGCAACTCTTGACCAGTGGAAGCAAAATATCCCATTCAACCGCTTCGCTAAAACCTTCCAAGATGCCATAATAATCTCAAGAGAATTGGGTATCCGTTATGTATGGATTGACTCTCTTTGCATTGTTCAAGATGACAAGCAAGATTGGGAAATTAAAGCCGCCAAGATGGCATCCATCTACAATGGTGCTGAATTGGTTCTATCAGCGACTGGCTCAGCCGATGGCGCTGGTGGATGCCTTTTCGAACGAGAGCCGTTCGTGACAGTGGCTGGAACATTCCCTGACGGCAAACCCTTCGAAGTTTATGGGCGCAAGATGGCCAAGCACTCTGTATTTGGATGGGACACTGATCCTAACATGTCCAAGGGTTCTTCGAATCCAATTACTGGAACAATAATATCCGATGTCCTGGACCATCCTTTGATGACGCGTGCCTGGTGCTTCCAGGAGAGACTATTGGCAACCCGAATCCTCCACTACACCAAGAACGAGATGGTTTTTGACTGTCTCTCGTCTATGGAATGTGAATGTGGTGCCCTCGAAAAACACGAAGATGATCCGTTGGTACCTGCTCGCCGAATCATGAAGACAGGGCATAAGTTCATCAAGGGGACAAAGAGCTACAGAGGCTCATCTACCAACCCTTCCGTCCCTCTCCAAGGCGAAGCTAAAGAGTTTATGGAGCACCACGAACTTTGGCGTGATTTGATCGTTCAATACTCCCAGAAACAAATAACTCAACGTTCAGACGGGTTACCTGCCATTGCAGGGTTGGCCACGGAGTGGTTGGGTAAGGATACCGGAAGATACCTTGCTGGTTTATGGGAGAGGGACTTGTTAAACGGTTTGCGTTGGATGCCAGATGAAAAAGATTCTGGCGAAGAGCCTCAATACATTGCGCCGAGCTGGAGTTGGCTCAGTGTTCATCGCGGTGTAACCTGGGGGCTTGAAAGCTTTGAGTATGATAAGTTCTTTGTGAAAGTAGACTTCGATCGGACTGCGTGCCCTCCCAGTGGACAGAACAAGTTCGGAGCGGTCGAGTGTGGATACATCTTTCTCACAGGCCACGCCATGCCGATGACAATTTCTATAGATGGAAACCGAGTGTGGTTGGAGAAGCCAGGAAATGCCACGAGGAAGCCATTCGAAAGGCCAGACAGTTTATTTCGCATAAAAAAGCTCAAGACTAACGAGGTTTTGTGCCTGAGACTATCGACCAGGATGACTACACGGAACGGCTGGGACGATGATGCTGCGCTTGTTTTGGTTAAGGCGGATGGGGAGGCGTTGGATAGGCAGCCTGAAGAGGTTCGAAAGTTTGGAAATGTCTATCAGCGTTTGGGATATATCACAAATTATATGACTGATGGTTGGAGTCATAAGAAAGATTCGAAGGAGATGGGGATGTATATCATTTAGGGTTGACTCACAGCCCTGGCCGTATTATCAAATAACCCTAACTTATCTTTCATTCCAAGACTCGATAATGGTTGTCAGTTTCAACAACGTGGCTCTGATGTGCCGCTAGATTCGATGATACAGGGTCCTAGAAGTTACACCGACTATTCCTTGATGGTGCTAAGCACAATTGGATGAAAAGAAGCAAGTTTTAAGTTCACCTTGATGCTTGGTGAATGAATCAGATCATCTATCGACGCTAGTCCATCAGTCCACCTTTCTACTATGCCAACTATCTTTCTCGCCGGTGATAGCGAGACAAAGAAAATGTACTCCCATGCTTAGCAGGTAATTGCTTGCTAAGAACTGGTGGTTTGTTTCCCAATCGCCTGTTTCTGCCTGGTGCTGGGTAAGTATCGTGGTCGAAGGATGCTAACGTGTGGAAACACGAGATGTGGGTTTTAGCCGATGATTGTGACCTGATGTCATTCCTTAGACTCTCACGAAAGTGCTAGTGGGCGGAGTTACCGCTGGTCTGGGTCCAGATCTGACATGACCGGTAAAGCTCGGAATTAGACGACTCTATCGGGACCTGGATCGCCCGGTGCAACATGGAAATCTCATGTTGTAGATCAGACGATGGTGGATACTGCGAGTATATATAAATAGAGTGAACGTCTGTCTGATAACTACCGATCCCCCCATACCTCATACCTAATCATTAACCATATTTAATTCTATCCACTGCATAAAAATGCCAAAGTACGTTCTCACAGGCGCAGACGGTAACCTTGGCCGAATCGCTGCCAGCTTCGCCACAGAGATTGCCAAACCAGGCGATGAGCTTGTCTTCACCACCTACAAAGAAGAGGCCATCCCTGCCGACCTTCGCAAGGCGTGGACTGACAAAGGCGCCAAGGTTGAGGTCGCCACTTACGACGACATCGACAGCCTCAAAGCAGTCTTCCAGGGCGCCGAGGCTGTCTCTTTGATTTCTACGTGGCTTTTTGGAGAGGGTCGGCGTCGCCAGGCACAAGCCGTTGTCGACGCTGCTAAAGCATGCGGAGTCAAACGGGTCTGCTATACTTCGTTTGTCGGTGCGGGCATCGAGGCCGAGAACGAGGAGGACATTCCCTTTCTGCCACGAGACCACCACTTCATCGAGAAGATCATCTATGCATCTGGCTTAGACTACAACATCCAGCGTAACTACCTCTACGCAGATAACATCCCAACTCTCTTCGCCCAATCCTGGAAATTCTGCGGCGATCGTTGGCTTGTCAACACCCATGGCCAAGCGGGCGCCTACGTCGCACGTGAGGACTGCGGCAACGTCCTCGCTGCTCTTCTCCTCGGCCGAGGCGAGCCCAACAAAGTCTACGAGATTAGCGGTCCAGAGGCTGTGACCAACGAGGAGGTTTTCAAGTGGATGTGCGAACAGAGTGGCTACAAGGGAGAGATTATCGATCTTCCAGACGAGGAGCTGAAGAATTGGTGGTTGGACCACGGGCTGCCGACGGATTTCTTTGGCGATTTTTCAAAGCTGCCCATGAAGTTGTGTATTGGTGACCTTTTGTGCTGTGGAGAGATGGTTGCGAGGGGGTTTATGGCTAAGACGACTGATAGTGTTGAGAAGCTGACAGGGCAGAAACCAAAGCCATATAAGGAGGCTTTGTTACAGTACAAGGGGTTGTTTCCAAAGGCATAAGGAATGTATTCTGTAATGTATAATGAGCTCTACTAAGAAACATTTATTCAGTTCTGTATTCTCCATACAAATCTCTAAAGTTGTTGTGAACAAATCTCCTATCAATGGACTTGAAGTACAGTTTCGTGCCAAAGTTTCGACAACAAGCTAACTGGAGATGTATAAGGAAGTAGATAGATAAATAATATTATAGCTAGAAGATTTTATATAATTCTAAGATCAGATTATATAATACTATACAGAACAAAACGATTTTATATAATTTATATAATCTTATTTGAAATCTAGAATAGAAGAAATTGTCGGAACCTTTGTACACTCACTGTATTCCTTGACAGAGGTATGAGGCCATACATAGTATTAAAAGATAAAATGCAGGGCTGTTTAACTTCTGAAGGCATCTCGAATTGGTACTTCGTATTTGGTTGTTTGCCCTATAAATCTGGAGGTGAAAAGAAAAGAGGCTACCTGAAAATGTTGTTGAGCTAATGCAAATAGCTTCTCAATAGTCCCATACGCTTCACTATAAATTGATCGAGGTGGAAATAAACTCAGGGGCATTTAGCAACGCGCTAAGCCCTGGCAAAACCATCATTTAAGCTCATTGAATTCCGCATTTGTTTACTCTTGTGCTACTCGTCTCTATCCCACACTCGTTTAAATCAATCGCGATGCTTTCTTCTAATATTCTGGTTGGCGCTTTGGCGTTCATCGTTGCGGGTGTCAACGCAGGCCCATGCCGCCCAACAACTTCAGCGGGTACCACACTGGACATCACCTCTGCCGCTACCGCTACCACCGTCGTTATCGAGAGCACTGCCACCTCTGAGGTCGCCTCAACCACTATCGAGAGCTCTACCGTTGAAACTTCACTCACTTCACTCTTGATCGAGACCGACACTGTCACAACCGTTGCTACTTCAGCTATCGAGTCCACTACCACCTTGGCCGCGACCACCACAACCAGCGTTCCAGATCTCGGGACTTCCTGCAGTACCGACGATGATTGTACAATCGACGTTTCGTGCTTGGACGGGCTCCTCAATATTTGCCTTTGCATCGATGCCGTGTGCGCCATCATTGTCGAGTAGTGGTCTCGTCCCGTTGACTGCGCGACGGACGGAGATTGGCCCTCGGAGGGTACTTGCAGGTCGGGTTCTAGTGAATGTGCTTGCATCGATCTTATCTGCCAGGACATCAATCAATCCCGCTACACGACTTCTCTAGTATTCCCTGGGAGTGCTCGGCCATGACACACAATAGCTAGATGGAGAAAGAGGAAGAAAGGTTGAAGGAGAAGCCTTAGGGGGGTTGTTATTATTCTTCATGAAGCTGATCACAGTTTCCAATTTCTATGTATTATGACATATATTACTAATGTACACATTCAATTCTGACCTGTTGAATTCATTCTTGACGAGGGAATCCCAAGCAGCACCCAGATTCATTCCACATGGAGATTAGACTACCACTTCTCTAGAAGATCCTCCGCACCGGCACCTCGATCTCGACTTCGAGCAGCTCGCAGAAACCGTTAACACAACCGCATCGTGTGGTATCGCAAAACGTGACACTTTCGCAGTCCGTATCCTGCGAGCATGGGAAGAGATCGGCGGGAACAAAAGGAGTGGCAGTTGAAGCAATCTCCGTTGTGGTGTCTGCCGTGAGAGTGATAAAAGTGGTGATGTCGGTAGTGAAGTCGGTAACTGCCGAGCTTTCCACAGTGGTAGTTGCATCGTCCTCGGTTGCGAAAGAGGTCTCGATTGTTGTCTCGGCAGTTGTGACGGCGATTGTAGAGTCGATTGTGGTGAAGGGAACAGATGTTTCATCAATTGTGACGGAAGATGTCTCAGCTAGAGTCTGTACTGAGGTCTCGGAAGCAATGAGAGTGGTATCAGATACAGGCAGCAGTGTTGAGCTGGACTTGGGGCGACATGCTCCGGCGTTGACGGCGCGGAGGGAGATGAGGGCAACAAAGCCAGTGATGAAGTTTAACGAGACCATATTAACGAGTGTGATGGTTGTGGAATTGACTGAAGTGTTGCTGAGCAGTAGAAGAGCAAATAAGCAGCAGATATACTAGATATGGGTTGGGCAGATTCTCATCCCTGATCATTTTATGAAATTTGTTATCCTTCAACAAGTTTGTTGGTTGTCTAGTCTTGCTCTTGGCATGGAGCTAATTAGGAACTATTGACTCAAGCGCCAGACTTGCTTCTGTTTGTTGTTGATCATCATAAAGACAACACACAAAAAAGCAGACAACCCCGGTACGCTAAATTAAAGCTCAATGCTAACGACGTATCAACGCTTCTGCCCTGGCATTAGTAGTTGAGGCTGACAACAAATCCTGAGCTGCAATCAATCCCCCAGATCAAAAACCATGTCGTGGAGTTTTATTTCCAGGTCTAGGGCATGTTTTATGCCAGGGGTAACTTAGTACTAGAGTGGTCAGTCCTTAAACCCAAATGGGATGAACAGTAGACAGTGAAGAGAATTTTACTCTCAAATGAAATACATAGCTGCTTAGATCAAGAGCCAAGGTAACAAATTGTCATTAGTAGTTACCTACATTATCTATTAAACATTAAGTATCACGTTGTCACTATTCAAGAGACATCCTGTACAGGGGTTTACTCCTGATATGCCGCTCATACTCGGACATATCCCGATTCCAAATCGGCGCTCCCACAACTCGTAAGATATCAGCTGCCGTACGCTTCTTTCTATCCTCCAAATCCCGATCAATACCAGCGGCGATTAAGAGACTCGCGATTTGGTAAAGCTTGTACTCTTCTGCATCATCCATGTCTTCCCAATTCGTCTTCGCTCTTCCTAAGGCGATCTGATTGGCGACGTGATGCAACGCAGTCCAGCCTCGGAGATCTGTTTGGTTGATGGAAGCTCCAGAGGTTAGTAGGAATTGCACTGTCTCTACTGGATCGGAAGTTGAATCCCCTGAGCCATGTGTTGAAATGCACAGCATCAAAGGGGTTTGTTTATCGGGAAGTAAGCCCAAAGCTTGTAGCGGTAGGCCGTGATGGTGTAGAAATTCCAACACAGCGCGTTTCCAGTATCGAAGACCATGGCCATTGTCGCCCGGGTTGGCACCATTAGGGGATCCTCCTCCCTGAAGCAAAACACTGGCGTATTGAACAAATGTCGCCTCATCGGATTTGAACGCTATCGGGTCCTTGATCAGGCACACCAAAGCTTGGGTGATTTCTGACACCTTGGAATCTTTCTTAGCCCATATGGTTTCCTCAGAGCTGCAAAGAAACTTGACCACGTCCAGACGTCTTCGTGACACGGCAGTTGAGATAGGGCCGTCAAACTTTCTCGAGGCTTCGAATTTTGTGACTCCCGCCTCCATCAGTAATTTGACCAGGTCTACCTCACAGTGACTGATGGCAGCTGCCAAGATAAAACCGGAGTCCGGCCGCAGGCTTGAACGTGGAAACCGATCTAGCAAGAGAGATGCGACCTGTTTGTGTCCTTCGAGAACTGCAAGCTCAAGAGGAGTCATTGCCAAGACCTCCTCTGCGCTTAACACCATTGTTATAGCTCCTTGGACCTTAAGTATAGGATCATCTCTTGGGCGCGAGGTTTTGTGCCCGTAGAGCCAAGGCCGGATGTTGGCTTCTTTCATGTATCGAATCGCATGGGTATTATCGAGTAGCTTGTGAACGATTGCCGTTATTCCGAGCAAGCAAGCAAGTTGCAGATCATGAAGTCGCGTGATTGTGGACACCTCCTTCGGCTTTTCGAAGAAGATAACGCCGCTAATTTCTTCAAGTCCGTTGATCATATTGTAATGCTCCACGGAGGAAGGGTGAAGAGGTATGGGTGTAGGTCGTATCACAGCCCTGAGTTTCGACAGATAAAGAAACCACAGTTTACGGTAGCCATGATTCTGTGACAAAAATGGCAACGCTCTATTTGCCAACGTACCGTCAGCAAGTTGTTGAGGACATTGCCGAAGGTGTCTGAACCAAAATCGGGTTGCGTAGGGAAGTGACAGAACACAGTCGCCTTCAAGCTTCCCTTCGGACCATGCAGGAAGTTCCTCATTCATGATATCCAAACAGCGAGATGCAAGACGTTCGTGGTCGTTATCAGGGACTATTCGGAAGATTTCAAGGTCGACGTCCTTATCTGCAGTGGTTCGAAGAAGATAATCTCCTACTGATGGATGAAATAATTGAATAGTCTGGACTGTTTCATGACCAGTACTAGTCTTTCTTGTCTCATTTTTGGTTGCGAGAAGGCTCCCACAGTGCTTTATGCATGCTTTGAGGTTGTCAAGCTCAGTTTGGGAGTTTGAATCTTGAACGGCTGTCAAGACGTCCAGTTCTTCAAGGGTGAGTGGGTGATACGCTAATGATACCCAGCTCAAAAGGAGCCGAGTTCTTTGCTGTTGCTCACGCGGGATGTCCAATAAGATCTTCTCGTAGATGGAGGTGACATCCTCAGAAACGTTGTCCAGATAAGCTGTGATGAGATCGTGTGGTATTTCCTTGGCGTTATGAATCGATAGGCTCGCCCAGAGAAATGAACCCCTCGCTTTCTTTGAGAGGGCATCCTGCACTTGATCCTTAATCTCCCTGGACCACTGGTACTCTTGCGCGATCTTGTGAATGGTGGTTTCTATATAGCGCTGGACATCCTGCACATTGGATTCGTGAAATTTCGAACCAAGGCACAAGGTCGAAAAAGGATCAGAACCACCCGCGCAGCTTTGTGCCGAACGCCTGGTTATCAGTACTCTCACATTCCGGCGGTCCGTGTTGGTTGGCGATAGGAGTTCCGAAAGCCTGTCTATGAGAGCATCGACAGATGACTCATCACACTCGTCAAGCCCATCGAGAACGCAAGTGACAGTCCCAGCACTGGGATCTCTGATCATAGTGTTGAAAATCTGCCAAAGCTTTTCCACCGAGCCAGTTGCCAAAGCCATTCGCTCGTCATGTAAGGACGCAACTTTGTCCAGTCCATAACACATTAGCTGCGGCCTCAATCTGCAAAGCTGCCAGATGAGTCCACGGAGAACAGCCGTAGCGGAATTGGCATTGATATTTCCCCGGTTGCAAAAGAAATACAAGATAGTATCGGTGGAGATACACTCAGCCAGTCGTTCGAGCTGCTCGGTAAGGTAGATTGCTAGCATAGTTTTGCCTTTTCCTGGACCGCCTTGGATGATGAGACCTCTGGATGCGCCGGAGTTTGAGAGCCATGAGCGGTAAATGGGAGTGTTGGTGATCCATGTACAGGTTCCTTCAACAATGTGGCCTCTTATTGATTGAAGAGATGCACGGTCTCCTCTTGGGTCTGTGACGAATAAAATATCCAGAAATTCTGATTCGCGACCTTGAGACGTGTGTGAATATTCTAACGATTGCTGAGCAGATTTTGCCGCCCATGCCAATGGTTTGAATCTATGGAACGGTCAGACCATTCCAAAAGATTGACGGATGGAAATACTCACTTTGACTTTCTAAAAGCAACTAGACATATTTGTTCTCTATGTAGCTCTTCAAAAAGATTCTTAATTTCTTGCTTGTTGAGCTCGGCGTAAACTCCCACCAAGCCTTGTTGAGTCACTGTATGATGGCCGCCATTGTCGATCCATTCAAGGTGAGATAGAATTTTGCCAATGACCTTATGGCAGTAAAGCAAAATCTGTTTGGTCAAGTCAAGCTGTTCCTGGTCATTACTGTAGTCGAGTGAAGGCTGCAGCTCAATTTTCTTGACGAGCTTGCAAAGACTTTCGAGCTGTGTCACTCGTTTCGTGACAGAGTTTGTATTATAATCGAGTTGTTGGAAGAACCGTATAGCTTCGTCTGTTATGCCCACTAGTCGCGAAGCGGCATTCGTGAGGCCGACAGGGTCACTCATGACGTAAAAAATAGAGTTTGAATAATTATGAAATTTCTAGAATTATTCTGGACCGTGTGACATTATATCGCGATTAAAAGCTGACGCGTGCCTAGACTCTTCATGCATCGTCACGAAGGCTTGTGCTGGGTCAGTAAGCCTAGACAGCTATTTTTAACAGTGACCAGGGCCCAACGGAACGACTCAATTCGCTGCCAGGGGTGTTGAGCACAGGTGCTGACTGGTCGAACGACAGGGCGGTATACTATGAAAATAGGACTTTCGTGTTCGCTGCGCCACAAGACGACGATATTTTGCCAACGATGACATCAATGCATCAATAGAAAATATTGTATGCATGGTCTTTATCGAGGTAGGTATCACATGAACACTTGCAGGCTGGCGTAAAAACCATCCTTTGGCATTTGTGGTTGGTCTTATCAACTCTATGAATAGAAATCAAACAATACGAGGCTAACGGCGTACTCTGTTTAAAAATCTCGGGTGTGGAATATCTTAACCAAGGCTTCAAGCCCTGACTGCATAAGTTGGGAGCAGGTGATTAGTTGCCTGAATGTCCGACTTTCAGGACTCGACAAGGATCACCTGATATCAAGCTCACTAGCTTAGTGACTGGGTAGGATCAGGTGTGTATAAGATTTCAAACTATAGAAACTGTGTTTTAAATCATATAGTAGTGAAATATGATAGAACTACAAGAAACACTACGTATAATCTAAAACCAATTTCAATTCTGAGCGACCATACTAGGCCTCATAATAAGATTTTGACTTGATTAATTTGAACGACATCTACTTATGTATTTTTTCTTCATCGCCATTTTCAAGTCTATTGATATGAAACCGATATCATCTAGAGTATGGCCCTGTTGTAATAGTGTTAGCATCTCTATGGGAAATAATACCGATATCGCAGCATAATCAAGACAGTACATACGCAGGTAGCAAACATTCCAACAATCTTAGATCCTTTGGGTTGGACAGTCACCCAACCTTTTTTTAGTCCATAAGGATATTCTGGAGTTTGAACATGTCGACCGAAGGTAGTGTTCATCTAGAATAGTAAGCAACCCGAATTTTGACGAGTGAAGTTTTGTTTGGTCCAGGTACCTTCATGCCCACGAGAGACGCTCCTCGTTCCTGAACCTCAAAACTCTCTAGTCGTTCTCCGGCAACTCCATCTATCATAAATGACACATTGGAATCATTTGAGTCCGAGAAGTTTCGTCGCGCTGGGAACTCTTGGTCAAATGGACCAATGTTTCCAAGATGCCGGTTATGGGAGGCATCGGCAAAGCGGAATTCTATGCCTGCGATATAGCAGATATCGAAGATCCAAATAACAATCTCAGTGAGAGTTGACGAATACATATCATCATCTTCACCAAAAAAGACACTTGTAATTGGGAGTTTGAATCTGCTTGGCGGCTTATCGCCCTTGTTCCAATCGTAAAGAAGTCCTGTTGGTGGAACTTGAGGATACCAGAGGCAGTTATTGAGCCAGCTGAGCTCATCCAATGAGCCCTTTCGGCCCAGTTTGACGAGTTTTATGGCCTGTGAAATATTAGAAGTTATATCTTAGTTCGTGGCGGTATGATTGACGAGGAGAAGAGAGTGCAGCCAGATAGGAACTTACATCAAACTCAGCTTTGATTGCGGAAAGGCTTGAAGCTCCAGCTAAGCGCCATCGTGGAGCACCAGTTGCTTCGCCTGCCCAGTTAGATACTGTCCCATCCTCATGGATGAGGGCTATTGCTTTAACACCAGATGTATGCAAGGCAAGCTCCCAGCCTTAAACATATTGTGCGATGGGAAGATGAATTTCAACCTTGTTACCCTCGTGTATGTACCCAATAGCATGGCGCTCATGGTTGTGATCAATCAGGACCAAGCCAGAAACGAATACCCCCTCTGATAGATTCACAAATGATACAGACATATGTTGTACCTTTAGTGTTTGCGAGAAGCTCAGGGTGCGAGCTCGTAAACTTCGATTGCCATTTGGAAATGAACCATTCGATTGGGCGCTGGCGCATGCCGCTGTATGCCAGCAATCTGGAGTATCATCTGGATCCGCAGAAGTCTCGAACCAAGTCTGGAGGGGACTCCCTTGGCAAGTTGCGTCCTCCATCTGAGACAGTAAGCCGTGTAGTGTTTTCGCAAGGCCCCAAATTCGCTTGCGATTAGCCATACTAGGGTCATTCAAGGCCCAGATTCGGAGTGATAAGTAGAAGGCTCTCCACGATTCAGGCGGATGGTCTATGACCTCGGGTACGTACTCGAACTCGTGGCCTGGTTGGAATCGTGAGGCCCAGAATCTTTCGGATAATGTGAGGGAGGCGAAGACTGGAGACGCCAACCTTACTGCATGAATTTCCGAGGTTGTTAGTAACTCAGTGATTAACTGCAAAATGTCTGGAAACAAGCGAAAAAGGGGGTCTTTGGTAAGGGCGTCATCACTGAAGTTGATACGGCTCAGGAATACGTCGTTTTGCAGACGAGCAGCATGTTGGATTGCATTGGCTAGGGCGGGGATGTGAAACGGATCTGATCGAAAGAGATTGGGTATGGTTCGTGGATCAGGGAAGCGAGTATCTCGTGTCGGCACCTCGAAGTCTTTTTCCAGTATGCTTGCTCCTTCATAGTCATGTCCCCAGTTCAGGAAGGCCTCTTGACCAGTCGGCATGGACACACATGCCGCAAATAAGTGACCCAAGTTTGGGGTGGAATACTTTGTGAAAATATTCCAGCAAGATGCATGAAAGCCATATCCCCAAGCCGAGACATCCTCGTCTAGGGAACGTGTGAAGATGGTTGGTTTGCTAGGTGTCAAAGCCACATAGATAGTAGTGCCTGGTCCGGCATCGTCATCGTAGCGCTTCTTTGGATCATCTGGAGCAGTTCCGGCAAATTCATTGACGCTGTTGCTCAATTTACCAACACCAGAAACAGCGACTTGGTTCACTAGATCGCTCTCAACCCAGACTGGTCAAATTAGAATCTACCTAGGTATTGAAGTCAGTAGTGATGAGGACTTACTTGCTCGAAACTCCTGAAGCCATGTTTCGCCAGACTGTCCAGTAATATGGACTCCGCAAAGAGTGCAGTATATCATGGCCTGTTAAAAATTTCCATGTGCTACCTTGTGTGTTGTATGAAGATGAAATGAGGTAAGTGATTGATCCATGGTTATGGCCAGGGAGCCCCGCCGTCAGCCTAAACTTGGACAGTCATAAAGTTATAGTAACTTAGTACCTAATATAATAAATAATACTTTTCGGTTTATATAGAGAACTTTGTTATTGATATTTCTGTAGATTTTATCAAGACAGTTAGATCTCTTTTTTAAAAGTGCTACCAGACTTCACATAAATAAATACCACATTGTGATAAAGAGTAGTTGATCTGTTTTCTTTGTCGACACTAAAGCCGTCGCGGAATATCATAATTAGACTCATGTTTTAGATTGGCGAACAAAGATGCTCATTTACAAAATTTTATGTAACAGCAGCACGCGCCAAGCTCGCACAACAATTTCACACTGATCAGTAACACGTTCCCGATTATCGGCGATTCAATTGACAATTGGTCCTTTCCGGCCAGTCCAACCAGCATTCTCGCGTGACGTAAAACGTTAAATCTGCTGATGTTTAGTGGGTTCTAGACTCAGCATCGGATTCGTAACTCCAAGCAAAATAAAAAATGCGGATTGGAATTGATGATTTTCGAGCAAAGACACGTGGGAAACGGCCCCGCAGTGGATTCAGGAACTCAAAGTCCAGGTCATAAGGTCATTTCGCTTAGTGATTTTCCGCAGCTGTACTTCGGCATGCGACTGTAACGCTCTCACTGCTCAACTACCGGATTTGGAGTATGTTACTTCTTTGTGAGGATCATTGTAGCTTCATGCACATACAGTTGACATCCTATCTTGAACACTGGTGCGGTTAAAGTTCACATTTACTTTGCCAGTGTACAACAAAAACATGCGTTGCGGGAGCCGAAGCCGTGTGAAAGGAATCGAAACAGGAGACATACAGTATTCTTTGGGGGTTTTGGGGGCTGTGTCACCTTCTTCTTTAGAGCCCGGAGGTCAGATACACTTACTCTGGACATTAAAAGAAGTCGGTCGGCGGCTCAGCGATGGCACTGAAACCCATCACCACCGCATCAAGCTCTGCACATGAACGATTACGGTGCAATCAGCTCACTCTGATATTGAACTGACAGCGGTTATAATGCGGGTATTACCGAATTGTCGAGGCACAGTCACAATCAGTAACTAAAATTGAGCAGAAAAACACGAGACCGGCTTGACAAGGGTGGGTGGGAAAGGCTTATAGACCCCACGGGGTCAGCTGGCTTTGCCGCATCTCCGCGGATAAAGGTATAGCAGCGCGCGGCTCAGAGTACAACACAATTCCCCCATTTCCGGTATTTCGAATCCGCTTTAGACTTTCAATGATGCGATATGATCTGATAAAAGAAACGTCCAGCGCCGGTTGCTTGTCCGTGGCGCCACAAGAATATCAAAATGGGCCGACATACTGCTTTATTATAAGTTGAGTCATAGTCGTTATCATGGGCGACCTCCTACTCATCCAGTTGTATTACACCATAAGATACCCAATTTTCTTTACTAAACTATACAATGTTGTCTTCAAGCAACATGATGCGAACTAGTATCCTCCGAACAGGGAGGTTGACTACACGAGACACAGCACGTATCGCACGCTTAACAGCAGCTCAAATCCAAACAAGCCGTCGAAACTTCTCCTCTACTCAAAGAACAGTTTGCGCAAGCTGCGCAACTTCTGGAGGCCAACCATGTACTCGTCATAACCCGAACAGCCGTGCTAGTGCCGGCAATATCATCACAAGCTTCAACACCACCAACAGCCTAGGCAAAACTGCCAAATACGCCACAGAAGCGAGCCCAATTATCCCCAAGGAGCAATGGGCACAGGTATTGGAACAAAAAGGTGGATGTGAGTAGTTTCCCACCCGTAGAGTCGTGAGCGAAGGCTGACTTTTGCAGCTGTCCAGTATAAAAAGATCCCCGTTCCTACACCAGGCTCGGACGAGGTCTTGATCAACATCAAGTACAGCGGTGTTTGCCACACAGATCTTCACGCCATCAACGGCGACTGGCCTCTTGATACCAAGATGCCCTTAGTTGGTGGCCACGAGGGCGCTGGCGTAGTAGTTGCACGGGGAGAGCTTGTCAAAGATGTTGAAATCGGTGACCATGTAGGTCTCAAGTGGCTGCACGGCTCCTGCATGAGCTGCGAGCAGTGTCGACAGTCTAACGAGTCACTCTGTTCCGATGCTTCTCTTTCTGGCTATACGGTTGACGGTTCATTTCAACAATACGCTCTCGGCAAGGCAGCGCATGTCGCCCGTATCCCCAAGGACTGTGATCTCGCTGGCGTGGCACCGATTCTATGTGCCGGCCTTACTGTCTACAAAGCCCTGAAGTCCTCTGGCGTCCGTCCTGGACAGAGTGTGGTCATTGCCGGTGCAGGCGGCGGCCTTGGAGTTTTTGCTGTTCAATATGCCAAAGCGATGGGGTTGCGGGTAACAGCTCTTGACGGCGGTGATGAAAAGAGAAAGGTCTGCACAGAGCTTGGTGCTGATACTTTTGTCGACTTCAAGACGTCTACCGATATCGTCGCTGATATCAAAAAGGCAACACACGGGCTGGGTCCTGACGGAGTTTTACTTCTGGCTGCAAGCGAGAAGCCCTTCCAACAGGCTAGTCAGTATGTCAAGAGTAAGGGCACAATTGTGTGTGTCGGACTACCAGCCAATGCTTTCATCAAAGCGCCTGTTTTTGATACTGTCGTTCGGTAAGCATAACCCACTGTCCCTATTCAACTTGACATGTGCTAACTATAGGATACAGTGAGATCAATATCAAAGGCAGCTATGTTGGTAACCGACAAGACACTGCTGAAGCCATTGAGTTTTATAGGCAAGGCCTCATCAAGGCACCGTTCAAGTAAGCACTCTATAATCTCACATGAAATACCACTAACATCGAATGCAGAATCGTTGGGCTTTCAGAACTCCAAAAGGTCTACGACATGATGATTGCAGGAAATATAGCTGGTCGCTACGTGGTAGACACAAGCCGATGATGATGTGTTTGACGACTTTGAATTTCCAGGAGTTTTACTGTAAGGACTATGGAACTATGCTTTATGATTATAATTTTGTAAGGATGCTTTATTCTTAGTCTAACAAATATTACTTACCAGCTTCTGCACAATGCTCATTGTATTCCGTGTCCAGCCAGTCTCGTTGCAGAACAGTCATACAGCAAGCGGAGAAATACGCAGCATCTAAACCATGACTTTTATCAATTAGATAGTCTGACTTGTTCAAGGTTCGTTGTGACCATTATGACTTCCCTTTCATCCAAGTTTGAATTCCATGATTGGAGCGCATGGATAAAATAATGTCGATCATGTCGTATTGGCCATACTTATATCCTCTTCCCCTCATGCACCCCGCGATTCTTTCTCTGCATAGTAACGTAACACTAAGCGGACTAATGAATGGTCGTTTCAGTCAAGAAAAAGCCAAAGTAAAGTTGTCAAGATCTCATGATGCGTGGTATGCTTGTTCCCAGCCAATCCTTGTCGTTGTATTGAGAAAGGCGTACTGATTGGGAAATGATCCGATGTAGAATCAAGTATAAGAAGACTTGCAACAAAATGAAGGAGTCTGTGGTTCCCTCTCCCTCTACAGTTGTCTTTGCCCCAAGACAGGAGAAGTAGAAAGATGCGTACTCTCTTATCATTCCTGTCCCTTTTTGGCCTTTGGTCACATCTCGCTTTTGGGTTTACGAATCCCATTAGACAAGGCAGTGATCCACACATGGTATATCATGATGGAATGTAAGTAGAATACAACCTAGTATGTTGGTAACGCTTACTAAGTAGGCACATTCAGATACTATCTGACCTCAACAACATGGACTGATGTACGCATTACCACAGCCTCTACCATAGAAGGTCTCAAGACAGCTGAATCGCACATCATCTGGTCCAATACGACTGATCCAGATCCCAAGAGACAGTGCAACTTCTGGGCTCCGGAAATGCATAAAATTGATGACCGCTGGTACGTGTACTTCTCAGCGAGTGTATGTGCTCCTGATCAGTGGGATGTTATGTTGCCCACTCTGAGGGTATATGTTCTCCAAGGCGGCAAGGAAAACCCATTGTCGTCCGATTATAAAATCCTGGATGCAATTATCCCGCCAAACTATAATGCTGGCATGCTTGATGCGGTATGTTACTCTATGACTTTCCTTTTTACGTCTGTGTGGCTAATTGGACCTCGTAGACAATCTTTGGCATTGAGGGTACTGATTACTTTCTGGTATGTCTTTCCATACTCTAATCTTGAACTGCATGCTAAACAGGTTAGTTCTCTGCCGTTGAAGGACCTGAGAGCCCCGAGGGTGCATCCCTTTGGATCGCCGAGCTCTTATCACCAACAACATGCGGCAATGCCACAATGTTGGCAGCCCCGGAGCTTGAATGGGAAAAGTCAGAGTCTCCTGTTCTTGAGGGACCATACGGAATAGTCTCGCCTGCTGGAACTACATACGTAGTCTACTCCGCCGACTCCTGCAACACACCAGCATACAAGCTTGGCGCCATGAAATTCAGCAAAGGCGGCGATCCTCTCAGTCCAAAGTCATGGAGCAAATTGCCTGAGCCTATCTTTGAGACCATGAATGGTCATTACGGGCCTGCTCATAACTCCTTCTTCAAGAGCCCTGACGGGACACAGGATTGGAACGTGTTCCATGCTAATCTCAACGCGAATGACCGCTGCGGTCCATCAAGGAAGACGTTTATTCAGCCTTTGAGTTGGAAAGATGATAAAATCGATTTGGGCGAGCCGTTGCCAGTGGATACAGAGATCGATCCACCTTCTGGTGAGTGAACTGGAAGTAATGCCTGAACCTTGCTTTACTTGGTGGAATTATCATAGTGAAGTATAAATATAGTAGTTAGACAAAAGTTCTGATAACATTGTCTCTTCTAAACTTTATATAAGATGATATAAATTATAACAAACTTTCTTATTGTGTAAAATTCTGTATAATTCTATCCTAAGATTATTCACACAAAAACATGCAACTAATAGTCTTGGTGTCGTAGCACAAAAACACAATTATGGCGTAGCCTAAGAAAGCGGGTGGTCGGCGGCGCCGGGTATTGAGAGCCATCTCTACAGTATTTCCGCTGCGCGGCCAATACAGTAGTAGCTTAGCAAAGAAAAACAAGCTTATCCAAGGTAAGCTTAAAACCCAAATTGCAAAAGGGCGCCACACCACCTAAAAAACCGGTCAATAGGCGGGCACACACAGAGATTGCCCGAGTACTAATGACGACGGCTAGTGCATTGCGTGATTACAAGAGTCCATTGCGATCTGCAGTCGCTGCGAGCCTTGAATGGGACTCGGGGGGTTTTAGCGCCACTGCGTCATCTTGAAGGATGATAATTGCGACTGAAGTGGCCTGCCTTTTGAGGAATGGGCTATCTTGAAGCCTTTGGACATACCAGCAGGTATAACTTAGAAGTTTAAAGCTTGAAGGAATGAGGATTATTTGTCTCTAATAGCTATACAAGGCAGGATAGCCAGTCCATTGTCGGCCAACTCAAAGACCAAACTTCAGAACAAGCCACGACCCATGCAAGGTCAAGGTTGGCGACGGTGTTTCCGGAGTGAGGGCATCCCCCCACAGTCACGATCCAATCAGTAGTGAACCGTTTGATCCTATTGACGTCTGTATCAGTTGATCGCCAAGGATGGGCCTTTTATTTACTTTTTACTTGACGCCAGGCGCCTCCTCATGTGGAGCATCGGGGAGTTCAAGCAGCTGCAGATCGACCCTGCCACTCGAGGCCGGGACTAATTGATCTTGGCAGTTGGTGCAGAGATTAATGTGCCTTTACCTGCTCTTTCCCAGGTTGACGTGGTCTAGCACTTTACTGGGCTCTTTCGCTAAATGGACTGCACTCCCATCTTCTGTTCTCTTCATCATCTCTGCCGACGCTGTCCTACCGCTTCTATTCTCCTCGAATCTGCAGTATTCAGTATCAAAGCCCATCATCAATAGCGCGCGCATCAGCCATGGCATCGAAATCATCCACCCTCGAGGACGCAGAGCTTCAGCGCTCCCACACGCCAAGCAGTTCGTCTTGGCTTGCGTCTGCCTTTGGAGGCTCCAAGGTGACAATTGGCCCACGCATCGAACCCCTCGCCGAGCACTTGGCGACCAATCTCTCCGAAGCCGACAGCAACACAGCCGCGGACCTCGTAGACAAGCAGGTCGCTTCCGAAGCGGGCAATGCTATTCAATACAGGACCTGTTCTTGGCAAAAGACCGCGGGGTTACTCTTCAGCGAGTACATTGTGCTCTCTATTATGAGTTTCCCATGGTCGTACAGTCTTCTTGGCCTTGTACCTGGGCTGATCCTGACTGCTGTCATTGCTGGTCTAGTCCTATACACAAGTCTTGTGCTTTGGGAATTCTGTTTACGACACCCCGAGGTCAGAGATGTGTGCGACATTGGCCAGATGATTTGGTGGAACGGGCGATGGGCCTGGTGGTGGACGGCTGTCATGTTCGTCCTCAACAACACCTTCATCCAAGCTCTCCATGTCCTTGTGGGCGCAATCTACCTCAACACCATGACCGAAGCCGATAAGATTGCAGGCTGCAGAACCGTTGCATTCGCTGTTGTAGTAACCGCCATCAGTTGGATCGGGTCCCTGCCGCGCACCTTTAGCATGCTATCAAAGCTTGGCTTTGCTTCGACATTTTTTACTTTCATCTCCGTCATCTTGGCAACGGCATTTGCAGGCGCCCAGGGTAAGCCCGCTGGGTACCCTGAGCAGGGCGAACCAATTATCTCCATCTGGACGCCAAGCAGCACTACACTTGTTACGGGTATGTCAGCGTTCATGAACATGAGCTACACGTTCATCGGTCAAACAACGATTCCTAGTTTCATCGCCGAGATGAGAGATCCTAGGTAAGACTTCAAGTCAATTGATCTACATGAATACTTCTAACCATTATACAGAGACTTCCCTAAAGCACTATGGGCTTGCACTTGTGCTGAAATCATCACATTCAGCGTCGTCGGCTCGGTTATTTACGCTTACACGGGAAACCAGTACATGGTCGCACCAGCATTTGGTGTCCTAACTGATACCTACAAGAAGGTCTCGTACTCCTTCATGGTACCTACTATTATTTTTGTCGGGTGTCTCTATGCCAGTGTGACAGGTCGATTTGTCTTCTTCCGAATGTTCAGGGATTCCGAACATCTCACCTCACACACTATCAAAGGTTGGTTCTGGTGGGGAGTCGTCTTGCTTATCAGCTGGGCCGCATCATTCTTGATCGCCGAGATCATTCCCTTCTTCTCTTCATGTAAGTGACACTTCAAACCTTAATCGAATTATACTCATAACTGTCGTAGTGTTATCTGTCATGTCATCGCTGTTCAACTGTTGGTTTGGATTCATCTTTTGGGCCTTGGCCTATTTCCGCATGCGCAACGCGGATATCAAGGTTGGGAGAAAGCGACAACCCATTCTCGACTATTTGTCCGTGGCATTGAATGTTGTCATTATGTTGACCGGCGCTCTATACCTCACCTTGGGTACATACGTCAGTGTACAGGGTATCATTGATCAATTCAATGCTGGAACTGTGAACAGTGTGTTTTCATGCAAGAGCAATGGCCTATAAAGGCCTGCACATCGTCAGGTATGGAGTTTACTAGTATGGTTAAGTGATAACAATATCATGATACGAGATGACTTTTTATCACTGGGCACTGGGCACTGGCGCTTTATAGTTTTACAATTTACTTCTGCTTTGATGGCGTAAACCAAAGTAAGATGGCCATATTCTGGATCAGTTCGAGTGAGGAACGTTTTGATGCGTACTGGTGATATCTAGCCATTCAGTTTAGCATCTTCGGAAGGACCACTTCGTTCATTGATGTTTATCATTCACCACAGATCGAATGCATGCACGTCGCACTGCTTAAAATCAAATCTCTGACAGATCCATATTGGTGAAGAGTAAGCTGTTTTGTCTTTATGTGGAATCGTTCAAGTTCCATAAAATCTCTATTCGTACGATCTAACTTCACTTCTTGACATAAATCCTCTTTGCCCCACATTCACGAAAGATCCTGTCGTAGTCGTTCTGTTTCCTACCTAATCAAACAGTAGTGAACCAGAGATATCAATGGAATCTCAAGACCTTTGTTGTCAAGGTAATCGTACTGTTTATATCCTGGATAGCACTGGATTAAGCCGTACCCTGCTCTATCTAACGGGTCTTCGAAGAGAGTGTGTCTCACCATATATGAGGCTACCCAAACCGGAACCTATTTGGGCGCAGATGTTTTGGTATCAAGTACGATGTCATGGCTCTGATTCTCTGATGAGGGGCAATAGTGATTAGGAGCGAATCAGCCTGTTGTACTGCCAATTTGAAAAGCCCAAAGACTACTTTGACAATCAATGCGATTATAAATAGATTCATTTATATCTGAAACTACCTTTCAATTCTGATCTTCAGCTTCGCAGGCCGTTATTCAGGAACATAATCAATATTCAGAGAGACAGATACATTTATATTAACGCTTGTTCGCTGACTACGTTTCATCCTTTGTCTAATCAATCTGGCCATGGTCCACCTGTACGAGCCATGACGAGACATTGTACACTGACGTGAGTAATTTCTCAGCTGGCATCAGGACTTGTGTGTTCAGGAAGTTGGTTTATGTGTAGCCGCCTGTACGACTGACACGTTCAAGATCCGGGAACTTGGTCATGGCCGACGTTACGGATGATTATAGGAATTTCATCACTGTCCCAGCGGTCGGCCACGAGTAACAAATGATGAGGATATATATATCTGGCAGTCGGCAACCTATCCGAGATCAGTAGTATGTATTGCATGTACATTGACAAACATATTTGAAAGAACCAATTACTGTTAGGTTTGCCTTTCATGATTCGATGCAATCTGCCTGAGATATGCAGGTCAGGCACATTTCTTAGAGGGCTCTTATCAATCAGGCATAGCAGTCTGTGGTCAGCATCCACCAACACACTTGGTGGTGGTGGTGGTTGGGCTAGAGATCACGGCAGTAATTTGAACATACTTACGAATGCCTGATCATCTTGATAGCATTTCCGGGATAATCAAGCACGACTTGGGTTCAGAACCGTCAAATCGTGCCCAAATAGTACCAAAAATTGTAGGTGTCTAGACGTTGTGATTCGCGTAAAGCTGGTCGTCAGTTGATCACGGCTATTATAGCCCCAAGTCGTCTAGTCTCAGTCTCTCAGATTCAAAGCCAGGGTAAACTACTGTAGCTCTCACAACGTCGACGCACCAAAGGAAGTGAAATCACTTGCTCGTCATAGAAAATGAGAATCCCCGTACACATTTAATCGAGTCATCAAGTTGGAGAAAGGACGCCAAGCCCTGCTCACTCACGCCCTAGCACGCTACACTTGTCGATAGCGCCCTGCCACATATTGTCATAGGCTATTATTAACGGACTCGGATGCGTGTTCCGGGCATATTATAAAAATCCTTTACCCCCGCCACTCGTTCCGCGGAACCTTCTTGCACTCCTCAACTTAATTACTACACATGCCTACAATCAACCATTGAAGGGCGTCTCTTTTTTTGTGATCTCAAGAGGTTTTCTCACACATGACCTATAGCGAACACAATGCAGAGGACAGCTGCCTAAAAAACCAGCACGGGCTTTGCCCTGCGCAGGACGAAGCTATCAAAAACTGCCCCGCGGCCGCTGACCGTGCGGATCCCGAAAAGCCTCCGGCCCCGGCTCCGGACAAGACGGGCCTTGAATATGGAGCCATAGGACACTCCGACAATGCAGGCTCGACGCCGACCGATCGTGAAGCCGATCTTGAGTTTCCCGAAGGTGGAATCCGAGCATGGCTTGTAGTGTTTGGCTCCTTCTGTGGAATGTTTTCGGTGTACGGTCTCATTAACACCGCCGCTGTGTTTGAATCGTACTTTTCTGAGAACCAGCTACGCGACTACTCGTCGTCTCAGATCGGCTGGATCTTTAGTCTCTATCTGTTTATGGTATTTATCGTCGGTATACAGGTTGGACCTGTTTTTGACAAATACGGTCCCCGACTTATCGTGGCTTCGGGAGGTATACTCATCGCCACCAGTCTCTTTCTACTCAGCGTTTCTGAAGGTGAGTAACTCAATTACCCGTGCGCAAACAAATTTGCCTAACCGTGGAATAGAATTCTACCAGATCATCCTCTCATACTCGGTCGTGGGCGGTCTCGGGGGTGCCCTCCTTAATTCACCATCTTATGCAACCATTGCCCACTGGTTTGACGTCAGACGCGGTCTCGCGACAGGCGTTGCGATGACAGCTGGCTCAATTGGTGGGATTATCTTTCCCATTGTTTTGCAAAAGCTCCTCCCTAGTATCGGATTCGGATGGACCACCCGCATCCTCGGATTTATTATCCTAGGCCTGACCGTGCCGGCCACTCTCCTTATGCAATCACGTCTACCACGACAGAATAAGGTATCATCTGTCTGGCCCGAATTTGGCATCTTCAAAGACCTGAAGTTTGCGTTCTCGGCTCTAGGGATCTTTTTTATGGAATGGGGTCTCTTCGTGCCGTTGACGTACATCGTGTCTTACGCCGGGAGACATTCTGGCGACGCCAACAGCTCTTACACTCTCATCTCGATACTCAATGCCGGTTCTTTGTTTGGTCGTTTCCTCCCTGGTCTTTTAGCCGACAAGATTGGGAGATTTAACGTCATCCTTCTTACGCTTGGGTTATGCATCATATCTGCCTTTGCCCTGTGGCTTCCAGCCGGTGATTCTGAGGCCATGATCATCGCGTTCGCCGTTGTGTTTGGCTTTGCCTCGGGTTCAAACCTTGGATTGACTCCAGTATGTATCGGGCAGTTGTGCGACCCTCGAGACTACGGACGATTCATTTCCGCAGCTTTTATGGTAGCCAGCTTTGGAACACTCAGTAGCTTGCCCATCGCTGGTGCTCTCCTCGAAGCTGGGCACAATGGTGATTCTGGCTGGACAGCTCTCATCGTGTTCGATGGGTTATCTTATGTCCTGGCGCTGGCTTGTTTCCTTGCTGCAAGGGTCATGGCAGTTGGTTGGAAAGTCAAGCGCGTCTACTAAACCGCTGGGATATGGCGACAATTGAACACACGTCGTCAAATATTCCTTTGAGAAGCGCACAATGTACTGAAATGTCATGCGATCTCAACTAGTTGAGTTGAACACAACTCACAAGATGCGGTGATCAATTATACCCTAAGACCAGGGTACTGATTGAGGTTGTGTGTGAGATGTTGTTTCAGGGGTCAAATATTTCCATTCGCTGTTCAAGCATCTGCTCGAACATTTTGCTTACACTAACAATTAGGGGTTCATACCAGACGAAGAAAGAGAGAAAGGTAGGGCAGGACATGACAAAAATCATTCGTTATTAAGATATACAAACCCTCTCGTTTAAAAAATAGTAGATAGATAAAATATACACTCATTTCCCCATCAATTTAACGCACTCTGACACGTTTCCCCGGATAAGGCTGTCAATGTCCGCGATTTTAATCGAGTTTTTGGTCGGAAGTTGAAACTCTGCATCTTCCCCCAAACAATGGACATGCAAGTCCGTTGAAAAGAGGGTCTTATGCCCATGCAATGCCCAATGACGCACGTTCCCGTCGTTTTCGCCCTCACCGAGAACCCGCGATTAACCGTGTATCAAGATGCTCACCTAAAACCCAGGCGCTCCACGGGTACTCCTGAGTGGTTCTCAGGCGGCTTTGCACCGGATCATCTAATCGCCGGCCTCCAACGGCCGGCACACTGCCCCCGAGACCACCCGTAGCGCAAGGTCAAGACCAACTGACCTGGTGCTGGGAAAGTCTGAAGTTTGTGTGGTCGACCCGTTCTGGTTAGGCCGTTGCATCCCGGCCACGGGATAATCTTGATACGAATTAACGACCTCCCGAAAGCTCCTGTATCGACGTTTTTCCCTTCCCAGCTCCCCTCAACGAATCCATTGCTTCTATCCCAAACGTTGCACCAGAAGCGACGTCTCTCTCTCCTTTGCTCCTCACCCTCTCAATACCGACATCATGCAGTCTTTCACCAGAGCCGCTCGCGCCTCGGCGCTGCAAAACGTTGGCCGCCGCGCCTACTCTTCTTCGCAATACGCCAAGACCATCAACAACCTGCGCATCAACGGCGACACCAAGGTCATCTACCAGGGATTCACTGGAAAGCAGGGAACGTGAGTTTGCGCAACTTTCGATTCAAAAAAGGAATTCTCTCCAGACTAACCCATGACGTAGTTTCCACGCTGAGCAAGCTATCGAATACGGTACGGTCTTCACCACAACGATGCCACGACAGATATCATGATACATGTGACAGGGGTACATTTGGAGCTCAGGCTGATATTTGATACGAATAGGCACCAAGGTTGTTGGTGGAACAAACCCCAAGAAGGCCGGCCAGACTCACCTTGGCCTCCCCGTCTTCAAGAACGTCCAAGAAGCCGTCAAGGCGACTGGTGCCACCGCTACCGGTCTTTTCGTCCCGTATGTCTGAGCAACACATTCAACTCAACGAAACACCCTAACAATTTCCCAGTCCTCCTCTGGCCGCCGCCGGTATCGAGGAGGCCCTCGAGGCCGAGATCCCCCTTGTTGTCTGTATCACTGAGGGTATTCCCCAGCACGGTAGGTTTTATATGCCGATCCATTTTGAAGGTTTCTAACATGGACCCACTTAGACATGGTTCGCATCACCGACATGCTCAAGACACAGAGCAAGACCCGTCTCGTCGGACCCAACTGCCCCGGTATTATCGCTCCCGAACAGTGCAAGATCGGTATCATGCCTGGCTTCATCCACAAGCGCGGTCGCATCGGTATCGTCTCTCGTTCCGGTACCCTGACCTACGAGGCCGTCAACCAGACTACCCAGGCCGGCCTTGGTCAGTCTCTCGTTGTCGGTATTGGTGGTGACCCCTTCTCCGGCACCAACTTCATCGACTGCCTCAAGGTCTTCACTGAGGACCCCGACACCGACGGTATCATCATGATCGGTGAGATTGGTGGTTCCGCTGAGGAGGACGCCGCCGAGTTCCTCAAGCACGCCAACACCGTCAACGGCGGTAAGCCCGTTGTCAGCTTCATCGCTGGTATCTCTGCTCCTCCCGGTCGACGAATGGGTCACGCCGGTGCTATTGTTTCCGGTGGTAAGGGTGGTGCCGACACCAAGATCAAGGCCCTCGAGGATGCCGGTGTTATTGTCGAGCGCTCCCCCGCTGGTCTGGGCAAGGCTCTCTACGACGAGTTCGTCCGCCGCGACCTGCTATAATCTTATAACTAAGTTACGTCTTCTAATTGGTTCCATCCTTTGGGGAGGCGAGATCTGTGTGTGAGTTGGGGATTTCAGTGAGTTAGTAGAGCCCGGTTTATATCGACCGAGGACTCGCTCATGGAGGACTGCTTGCATCATACTGCATGATTTCTTCGTACGTACCTGATAGAGTAAGGATGGTCTGGCTGGCGCTCAGGCTAGATTGTGGAAAGGGCCTTTTTGGTGTTCTTTTTCCGCAGGCGAGTGCGTGCCACAACCCTCAGCACGCAATACGCCAAACAATGCCACATTACACCATGGAGTATCTAATGTCGAAAAGTGTTTGAAGCTATCCTTGATCATGAGGCAGTCTGGGCATGTGGCCTAAGTGTATGTGATTGATGCTGCAGTTGTCTCGAAAAAATAGGAGTACACGTGTCGAAAGCTGATTGTGATAAGTTCAAATTAATCGCTACCGGATATTTCTACCTTTGCCGATGCCGTGTATCCCAGCCAAGCTTAAGGCAGTGCTTACATTCCGTGGCACTGCCTTTGCTGACTGAAAAACAAATCGAAATGCAGTTTAACTCCCTTAACCATGCTTAAATTTGTGTCTCACACGCTATTCCTCCTCTTAGACCTTCTTGCGACCATTGACTAATGCTCTCCAAGAAGTCTAGCAGTGACATCGCCCATGTATGCTTCTTCCAATTCATAATCTCGACCGTTATTACGATCTATACCAAAGAACAGGAATGCCTCAACGACCTCTGCGAGAGGGAAACCCATGCTCACAAAGCGGTCGATTAGATCCTTGTTATATCCGGCATATCTAGTTATATGTTAATCTTATCCGGTTAATTCTGATTTTATCACATACCGAACAGTATCGTTTTCAGCAGGAGTGGCCTCGCCCTCTTTCTGCCACTTGCTGAGATCAACATCTTGTCGTGGTGCACTAGCATATTTGACTGCCCACTCATGCGCCATCAGAGCAAACCGTTCAGGGTCTTCGAGCATCATCTTAGCGACCTCGGCGTCTTGAGGGTCCTTGGGGTTGGGAAACTCGAGTAGCATTCGAAGTGATAGTAGAGCTGTCTTGATGGTCTGTACGGGAGACCAGTTGGAGCTGAGTGTGTCGAGACAAATGGCGCCCTAAAGAAAATGCGATGTTAGTTGTTGCTTGGCTTCCGCATGTCGTCCCCCATGAACAAGTACATTTCCATCTCTTGCTCGGCCAACCCTTTGTTTTCTCCATGCCGACCGTTTCCCATGCTCGTTTTATTCTTGGCTCGTATTGGATGAACCTACCGTCTGACTGCTGACATTGGGATGCCAAATCTTGGTGTCGAATCGTATCAAGGGCGCTTTGAAAGGGTACTGATCGGGAATCTGGATATCGACCTGGTAGGTACCACCAGAGTAAGGCGTATCGGGAGGAGCGGGGAACGTGCCCTTCAAATGTGTCATGTTTCCCTCGTTTACGGGAGATGCATTTACGCCTGAGCTGTCATGGTCGGCCGTGATGTCCGCCAGCTCCTTCAATATGCGCCGATCTCTAGACATGGTTCCAGACGTTCGATGCAAGGAAGCGGTATTGTAAAGATCGGTGGGTAGTAAGACTCTCACTGATATAAGGATAGTAGAATCGATGCGTAGAGAAAGCGGGAGTTCTTTGAGGAGCAACCTTCCAGCTGCATGTGTCGTGTGCGAAAGGACCGGTTGTCGATCGATAGAAGGAGGGGTCCTCGACTTTTTGTCAGGCTGTGGCGTCGTTACGGGAGCTGGAGATGGATAAAGCCGACGTCACTCCACTGTGTGACCGCTAAGAGTTAGCGTCCTGCGGGGGGTCATTTACTGGGTTGGGTGCAGCTGTTCAAAAATAGAAGGCCATGGAGCACCCTTTTGACCAGGGGAAAGTATTGCATAAATGGAATGGTCGAATGAGCTTCTAAGCTGCTTGCAGCGGTTGGGTCGAGAATGTTTTAGAAAGCAATTGAGGCCTGTATATCCCTACTCATATCCCCAGGTACTCATGAATCTAACTTACCGATTTATCCAATCTTTTTCCCAGATAGCAGGTCAAGAAGGACCCAGGCAACATCCTTTAAGCAATACCCTTGTCCACTCAAAAGAGGCGCCTTAATTCCGCCTTACTTCCCTCACTCTGACTTGAAAGCGAATGCGATTACTCCGTCTCACCTTATGCTACCCAGTTCGCTAGGTAATAATTTCACTGCATACAGAACTAGAGGTACAGAAATTTTCTTAAAGCTGGCATCTTCGCTTTCTTCGCAAAGTACCTTCCGATGATTCTCTTAGGTTACATCATCCCTTCTACTCAGTCTGCTTGAAGCCCATGCCAAAGCTTGTTATTAAGTCTTGGAAGACTTTTGAACTCTACTCGTCTTCTTGTTGCTTCCCCTCTCTAGATTAGCTCAACCAATACTTGAGCTGCGATGTTATCCTCTCGATCATTGTTGACAACCTCATTATATCAGAGGCTCCATAGCTGGTATTACAGCATGTGAGTGGTCACATCAACAAAGTACTTCTAAACCTTGAAGACACAGCTTTCGACTCTTTATTTCAGCTATTCTCGTATGCTTGATATAACCATTTTGTAAATACAGACAAGCAATGACGATCGAACTGCCTGGAAGTTGTTGTTGTTGAGTATGCACGTGACTTCTCTAGCTCACGCACGTGACTTGGGTAGGCTGGAGCTGTCGTGTTTCCCTGGCGCCTGGCGGTCTCGCTTTCATCATCACTAAGCTCTGGAGCGTTGACCTCAACCTCTCCTCCACATCAAATCACCTCCAACAACACACGTCTCTCAAACAGGACTGCCGCGGAATTGAATTTTATAGCATTTGATAATTTATAGCTCTAGGAGCTCAGTCTGCCAAGATGGTTAGTCCCCACTACTGCTATTGCTGCTACAGCTACTGACGTTGCTTAGGGTCAAGGTCAATCTGGCATGGGGGAAGGAGGACGCGATGAGAAGGACAAGAAGGCAAGGCATTCGTATCGACTTTTCGACCATTAATTCTAACAGCCCGACAGAAGGATAAGCCCAAGTACGAGCCTCCGCCTCGACCTACAACACGAGTCGGTCGCAAGAAGAGAAAGGCCGGTGGCACCAGCGCCGCTCAGAAGCTCCCAGCCGTCTACCCTACTAGCCGATGCAAGCTCCGACTTTTGCGAATGCAGCGAATCCACGATCATCTCTTGCTCGAGGAGGAGTACGTCGAGAACCAGGAACGTCTACGCAAGGCTAAGGTAGCTAAAGAGGGTCAAACCGCCGGCCCCGATGCCGATATCGACAGACTAGCAGACGAGCGTGGCCGTGTCGACGATATGCGAGGAAGCCCCATGGGCGTTGGAACCTTGGAGGAGCTCATTGATGATGACCACGCCATCGTGAGCAGCACAACCGGCCCCGAGTACTACGTCAGCATCATGAGCTTTGTCGACAAAGACCTTCTGGAGCCCGGTGCTAGTGTGCTTTTGCATCACAAGAGTGTTAGTATTGTTGGTGTCCTGACCGATGATGCCGATCCTCTTGTCAGTGTAATGAAGCTAGATAAGGCGCCTACCGAGTCGTACGCGGATATCGGTGGTTTGGAACAACAGATCCAGGAAGTCAGAGAATCGGTGGAGTTGCCATTGCTTCACCCTGAGCTGTACGAGGAGATGGGTATCAAGCCCCCGAAGGGTGTTATCCTTTACGGTGCCCCCGGTACCGGAAAGACGCTGCTGGCAAAGGCCGTTGCCAACCAGACCTCTGCCACTTTCCTGCGCATCGTGGGTAGTGAGCTTATCCAGAAGTACCTTGGTGACGGCCCCAGACTTGTGCGACAACTCTTCCAGGTATGTTGCATTCTTTGATAGCTTTGACTCTTGCTAACATGGTCAGGTTGCTGGCGAAAATGCACCATCGATTGTTTTTATCGACGAGATCGATGCCATTGGTACGAAGCGATACGACTCGACATCAGGTGGTGAACGAGAAGTCCAGCGAACTATGTTGGAACTGCTCAACCAGCTGGACGGTTTTGATGACCGCGGTGACGTCAAGGTCATTATGGCCACCAACAAGATCGATACCCTGGATCCTGCTCTGATTCGACCTGGTCGTATCGATCGAAAGATTCTCTTTGAGAACCCTGACCAGAACACCAAGCGCAAGATTTTCACACTCCACACCTCTAAGATGAGCCTTAACGACGACGTCGATCTCGAGGAGTTCATTTCGCAAAAAGATGACCTTTCGGGTGCCGACATCAAGGCTATATGCTCCGAGGCCGGTTTGCTGGCCCTTCGAGAGCGACGTATGCGGGTGCAGATGGCGGACTTCCGGTCCGCACGTGAAAGAGTGCTCCGTACAAAGCAGGAGGGTGAGCCGGAGGGTCTGTATTTGTAATGTACTCGTGCGTTTGAGGCAGAGATAGATGAGGGTCTCGGTCACTTAATGAGGAATAGAGGTTCAACAGCCACTTTCTGGTGCGAATGTTTATGATAGGGATTAATTCTTGGGACGGCAATTGCCCTAGGATTTGTTAAGTGTAGAGGCGAAGTTTCACATGACTCCATGTGTGATCGAGTGAATGCTCGCTCATATTCGTGTTATGAGCCTCTGTAATACCTCCCAATTTGTAGTGGTCCCGTAACTCCTACTCTTGTCTCCGTATAAACCCAGTACCATCATTCCCTATCCCAATGTCCTCCATAACCCATGCACGGATCCTAATGTGCAGACATGTCTTTGGGGTCCCAGTTTTCATTCCCAATGCCGAGTTGCCAGACAGTACAGGCGTAGAACTAATTGCCGTTCTCTTTCTTCACAACCTCCCCGTTCTGCACACCGACCGGTGAGTGCATGTACAACCATCTCGCAATAACGAAGCTACCGACGGCCCAGCCCCAGACGAGGACAGCAATGGACGAAGTAAGGACCAGTGCGGGCACGAGAATCAGAAGGGCGACGCCGATCCAGAAGAGGGCAAACACAGCAGCTACGCCAAGGACGAAGACGATGGTGGAGAGAGAGAAGGTGAGAAAGATCAGAAGAGGGAGGAGGCAGAGGAGAAGTTGTGATACGATGAAAGACTGTTCCGTTGTTAGCTTGATGGCATTCAGAGAGGCTTGAGTAAGATGGGAGGGTTCGTACAAAGAGAACAGGTCGTGAAGAGGCGAAGGAAATAGCATTGTCGTAAGCTTGCTGTCGCGAACTGGGCGGCACAACACGATCAACTGAGTTACGCGCGTAGGCAATGAAGCCAGAAGCTTTCTCGTGAGCGGTGTCACCGTAAGAATTGGTTGTTGCACTTGGAGCCATTTTTGCCGCTTGAAGAAAAAGAGATGCAGCAATTAAAGGTATGTATTGGATTTGTGAGAAGAGTGATGTGCTTCAGGGAGATGAAGTGAAGGTCAACATGACGTGGGGGATGTGCTGTACCGTGTACGTACCCCATCCGTGCATTCCATTCTTGGAGACGCTTGGCCAATCGGGGAATACCTACTGCTTCCCTTGCTAATTCAATTCCCCTTACTTGCTTTGTATTATTCCATAGCATGTTCTATAAATTGTGTAGACGGGCTTTTATACACTATAGCAAGAAGTTGTACGCCAAGAGACCTTGGGATGTTGGCATCGGACAAACTTGGAAATAGGTGTTAGATGGGGGTCCAGCTCTAGCGATATTGGCGACCTGTACTTGTTTTGCTATTCTACCACTCGCAGTTTATCAACTCATAATCTTTAGACACTTATTTAACCAGACAAGTGAAGCTCAAACCAAATCGTATGTGGGTTGGGCCGGTCAATCCCATGCTTTTAATGGTAGCAAATACTGTCGCTACTGTGAGTTTGGACTATCTAGAAGCGACAGGCCACTCACGAACATGCCATACCCTGGTCGCCCATTAAGGTACTGGAGCTTGGTTGACTTAGGCTCACTGAATAAGTTCCGTTGATTTTGAGGTTCGGGTGCTCGATCCATTACTACGAGTACTTGACACTATGTTGTGTAGTGTCAAGTATGGTCAAGGCCTTCTCAAGAGTTCGAGAGGTTGAGCTCCAGAGGGAGTGGATGAACCAGTTTCATATTACAATAAAATAAGGTCCATGGAGTGGGTAAGATCGGGTTTGTAGCGCAGCTGGGCATCGATGCTACCTAACTCTCTAACTCTCAACGTACCTTGAGCAGTAAGAAAAAGTTGTTAACGCTTCCAAAATAAGATCTGGGCCAAGAAACCACCTCCAGTTCTTTCCTGTAGTTCTTCCCATAAACAAAAGCAAAGTTTTATCCCCCAAGTCCATGTAATACATAGCAACTTTCTTTACCGATTCTAACCCACTCCAGATCAACGCATACCGAGTCCTCATATTTGCTTCCTCTTCTGACTGGCTCACTTCTCCATTCGTCCAGCCCTTTACTGTTTCTCGGCTGCCACGAGTGCTTCGTAATGCCGACGAAACTGCATCATTCTCTCAATGATCTCTTCGTTCTTCTGGCTGTCCATGAACTTTCGAAGGGCCCGGAGGGCCATCCTTCCCCACTGCCGGCGCTGGGTAAGGTCTTCTGCCTTTTGACCTTTCCAGATGGCTCTTTCGAATGAGGCCATGGCGGGGACGTAGCTTGGGAAGCTGGCGGGGTCTTCTTCCAAGGTACGGATTCCAACGAGGCGGTTCATGGCGGGTAGAATTGCCTGGTAGGTTAGGGCATCTTTCGGGACTCCCTGTACTGAACTTTCCGTGTTGAGGAGAGCCAGGACATTTCTTGACCCTGCTGCCTCCCAGTATTTCAGATGATTTCGGTCTGCGAGGAAGACACTGATTCCCTACTTCAGCGACTCGTGGATGGTCAGACTTGTTGGCGGTACGCTTGGCGTAACGAGTTTTAGTTGCATGGCATGCCACACAAGATGGGTATGTAGAGGTCGATTGCGTAGTATGGTGAGAACGTCTTGGAGACAAATAAATGAGTTTCTCGGGTCCCCCATCGCCTCTTTCTGGAGCCTCTCTAGGGCATTGGGGCTAATCCTGGATGTTGAATACTCGGGCGGCATGCCGATGAAGCAGGGCAGCCCATCGGGCCCCTCGCGCAGTTTGACTTTGTTGAGGAGTCCAAGATACCCTATCCAAGCCAGACGACAGTTTCTTTTGTATGTGAAATAGGGGTCTTGGGCCTGGGCTTGTTTGGGTGCAGTTGTGGGCATGTTTGTCTGTGGGATGGGCGGTGCAAATGTTGCAGGTGGTGCAGGTGTGAGAATTGGTGTGGGTGGTGCTAGTCTTTCAGGTGGTGTTTTGAACGGTTGATCATCTCGTGAGCTCTGCGGGCTCTCGGTTGTTGCCGTTTTCATACCAGACTCGCCCTCTAAAGGCGAAGATTCTTTCTTGACAAGCATGAAGAAGAAAGGGCCCCTCTGTTGACTGCACGCGCATGCAGTCAAAACTGGACGAAAGTGCCGATAACAAATCAAATACCATTTATTGAAGTCTGAAGGTGTATTCTTTGTTGTGATTCTGGATGAAGCCAGATATCTTGAGGTGTGTGAAAGAGTGACGGGAGTGGAGAGGTGAAAGGCGAGTATGGTTGAAGGAGGCGCAGAATAATCCAAGGCAGCACAACACTGACATTTCACAACGCTTCAGACTTTAGGCAGCCAAGATTTCACCTTTGACGAACATATATCTTTACAGTACAAAAGACGTGGCATTTCAACATGACATTCTTTAAATTTATATTGTAGTTCTATATCCGCCGAATGGTTTCACAAAACAACCTTCCCCTGCACAAATAAATAGATGGGATAGACTTACTAATTCAGCTGTATTATACTAATAACTAACCTATTTCTTAATAGCATTCTCGATCTTACTCTCATTTTCCTTCTCAGGAGAGATATACGGGGAGATTCGGAGCTGTTATGCGTATACGGGTAAACAGGACAGAACAGACAGTTGACCCAACACTCTCAGAACCATTAGTTGCAACCATCTACCTGGTTAGTTTCAGCGTGTTAAGCAAGGAATTAAGTTGAAGACAACGATGAAGTTGACTGTATTCTCGAAACTCGCAGTGTTGAGAAGAACCTAGGCGAGCTGAAAAGACCGCATCTCAACAAGCCATAACATCCGGTATGGTGTAGTGGCTAACATTTCGCGCTCTCATAACCTGGGAGATCAGTACCGCGGAGCCCAGGGTTCGATTCCCTGTACCGGAGTTTCCTTTTGCCGTTTCTAGGATCATTATTGGTATGGTATCTTGACACTTGTCAAGTCGTCGTCCATTGTACTTGACCTCGTGTATTCTTTTTGCAGTCGTTGTTGTTGGTCCGTTAGGCTGTATGTACTAGTACTACTTACTGCCTTAAGCACGACGAGGATATGTTTTATATTTTTCAGCCTATAATTATATCGCAGCTGGCAGAAAGAAAGAGAGAAAGAAAGAGTTGGGAAGTTAAATTAAGGTCGGCGAATAGGGAATGTGAGGGGGTTCGGCTTCGGCAAATAACAATGACAATCCTGGTAAGTCACGACGACGGGACCTGCCATTCCAAGATGGATGTTCAGGGGTGACCTTAGGCATTAACCCCCTAACTTAGGATTCCACGACCGCCAACTTCAACCATCGTCATTAACCTCACTCAACACCAACCAACACATGCATGCCTCCATCGTTTGCTACGATCAGGCCACGTTTATCTATCGCCCCTCAGCCCTCTCATTTTTCCGCCCTCTTAGTTTCTCCTCGCCTCGTCTTGAAACATCAATCAGCAATCACTATCCGGTATGGTGTAGTGGCTAACATTTCGCGCTCTCATCAAATGAGAGAGAATCATCTTGATCCGCGGAGCCCAGGGTTCGATTCCCTGTACCGGAGTCTTCTTCTTTTGCTGGTCACTACCATCTGGTGTTATTCTTTTTGTGGATTGTTGATGCCGACATCGCAGTGTTGACGCGTTGTTGCCATCGACGTGGTCAACTTCAATAGCCTCAACATGCATCATCATTCAAGGTTCTTGGCAATTGGCAAGAATTCTCGTCAGAACGAGGCAAGTGCCGAGATCAGAGTGCGCCTCGTATGAGATAACACATAAAGAAATCGCTCGCACGCGGTGAAGAGACGCTCAGTGATACACCAGTCATGGCCAGCTTCATCCTCAAAACTGCGGTGCTTCTATCCATCCTTCATGCACCAAAGACAAGTCACATCTACCAACCATATTCCAGCTGGCTCCGAACCTGGAGTTGAGGGTGCACTGCTGGAGTTCCTCTTCCAGTGACAGTCATCGAACATCCCCTTTCAGACACCAGGCCCGTCAATCCTACATACCACTTCACACAAGGCAGTCCTGCAATCATCGATGTCATTGCTCGGACATCAAAATCGCACTCTGTGCAAGTTCATGGATGCTATCAGCCGGCATCGCAGTCTGCACTTTCCGAACGATGAAAGTCGCCGCAATGAGATGCGAAAGCACAATGCTATATGGCATGCAATAATCGCCATTGCTTAAGGAGTACGACTTCTTTGCAACTGCTTGCCACCGCGACGACTAGCAAACCTAGGGGGCATTTGCAGGCCATGCATTCAACAATCACATCATCCGGTATGGTGTAGTGGCTAACATTTCGCGCTCTCATAACTTGAGAGATTATCTTGATCCGCGGAGCCCAGGGTTCGATTCCCTGTACCGGAGTCCTTCTTCTTTTGCCATCTTGATCTATGTGTCGAGATGGTTCCATTCTTGACCTACTTTTTGAGTGGCTGCAGTTTGCTTGCAGCCAACTCAGTCGATATGCAGAGCAGCTAACCAGTCACGGACAGATCCATAGATGAGCAAGTGTTCCTTCAGTAAGCACAGACAGGGAAGGTATTAGGAATATACACCACAAGCACATATATATTCGCATGTGTGCGTGTGTGCCTATCAGTCTGTCTTCTCCTTGATCGCCACCATCCACACTTTCTTTTCTCGGATACAAAAAGGATGACCGGCTGGCCGGATATTATGGCACATGTTACCATCACCAGCAGCTTCAGAAGAGAACAAAAATAGAAGGACTCCGGTACAGGGAATCGAACCCTGGGCTCCGCGGAACTAATCTCTCTGGTTATGAGAGCGCGAAATGTTAGCCACTACACCATACCGGATGGTGATTTGTTGAAGCTAACGAGCGCAACTTCGGGTCAACAGCACCGCGGGACAATGCAGTCCTCCATGCTAGATTTCCTACATGCACACACACCCTGGTGATCGGCAGAAGTTCGAGGTTAAATCACAATTGCGAGACAATATCAGAGTGAACGTGGGCAGAAGTGAGCCGATGCCGTCCCTTAAGTGAGTTGCACCACCGATGGTAGGCGATGTCCAGGTTTGGTTCGAGGGACGCACCAGGCTCCCTTTAGCAGTGATACAAGACTCGCTTCCTGGCTGAATCTTCCCATGCTATATGCCCAACTAGTTTCCAGACACTCAAAAGATTCTCTCTGGCTGAACTCACCCATAGTATTAACTATTAATTACTAGCATGCACGTGTGTCTTTGCCATGCTGATACATGGTAAGGAGCCCAGGTTGAGGAAAGATCCCAACACAACCTAACCCAACACAAGATGACATATACAAGGTGCCTTTGTTCTATTCTTTGCGTCGTCTATTTCCTCAAGCATCTTTGTCCATCAGTCCTCCAGGTGAGAGGGCCGCTTCAGGGGCGACTGACTACCTTTGATGATCATGGCAGTCACACTTATCTCTGTGTTCCAGGTAGACTCCGGCACGTGTGGTCATTAAACAGAACTCTTAGCAACCCGACTGGCGAGCTTTAGCCGCTTCTATAAGGTCTTCGCACTCAATCAAGCACGAGCCCTTGCAGTTGGCTAGGGTATTTGACAAGCAAAGAGTTGTGAAGGAACAACCCAGAGCACGGAAGGATCTATCCCAACTGGACATGCCTCCTGACGCTTCTGAATACAAATCCTTCGTGTCTGAACTCATTTGACCATCCGGAAGGTGAGGAGAGATGGGACATTCGTGAATGAATGTCGATGACAGTGTCCTTCCGTAAAGGCCCAGGAGCTTAGACAGCGCAGGCAAGACAACTAGCTAGACATATTTGAGAAGAGAAAAGTCAGCATATATGGGCTGATTAAACAAATACATCATAATGCCTTGATTGCCAAAGTAAGTGTCATGGGGTATTAAGGTAGACATTCACTCAATACATTTTGGGGTATGGCAGGACCAACAAAGCCACATGGTGAAATTGTGTCTGGTGAGGGATCAGAATTAGCAGTGTACTGAGAGTCGCACATGGAAGGCCAAAGCGGCGGTTGTCTACACCGCTTTGTAGTTCTTATACATACAGATATATCGATGTCTTATTTCCTTGATTACGGATTCGTCTCATGGGCCGCTTACAGCTCAACCTAGATACCTACTACCACTCACTCTTCATCACCCTACCTACCACTTGTATCTTCATGTTCTTTGCCCACTCATACATATAAATAAAACACAACGTCCTACGCAAAAAGATGAGGCAGGTAGGTAGCCAGTTGGCCAGCCATACGCCCTGATATCAAGTAATTCGTCCCGTCCTATACCTCACTCACTCCCCCCAAAAACCAGCAAAAAGATAAAGCTAGCGACGAATAAAGCAAAAGAATAATAACTCCGGTACAGGGAATCGAACCCTGGGCTCCGCGGTACTGGTCTTTCAGATGATAATGAGAGCGCGAAATGTTAGCCACTACACCATACCGGATATGATGACTTGTTGAAGGTGCCGACGATATCGCGAAAATTGTACGGAGTACGGTGCTGGCATTAAGCTGATAGTGTGGACAGACTTGGGCAAACTCCAGACATCACTGATCGATCTTTGATTGATTCCAAAGGACACACTTTGTTACCCTCCGTCTATAGTAATAGTACATGTCGCGTCGACGATGCTCTGCCCTGCTATCTTTTATCGGCATGTTTTCACTTCCAACTCCCTCTTGTTGACGGTCTTTCGCCATGACTGAACATAAAAAAGAAACTGAATCGGCAAATACAACTAACTCCCATCGTCTTCCGTGAGTCTTTACGACTCTGAATCTTGCGATTGACATTACACGCGTTGCTTCCGTCCGCGGTTCACTCCCTCTATTCCATCATACCATCAGCAATTGCGAGCCTTTGCTTTGCCGTCTTGGCTCTCTTAGTTCCCTTACGGCCCTTCTTGCCTTTGCCATCGCTGTCTGCAGGTGTGGCTACCGTGGCCGGTGTAGCTGTTCCAGAAACTCCCTTGGAACCATCGTCAAAGTTACCCTCGCCTGTAGTGTTGTTAGTCCAGGGAATCACCCGAAGAGAGCTGTCTTGCTTACCTTCGTGGTACATTTCATCCAGGCTGGCCGCATTCTCGGCCTTCCGTCGCTTACCACCCTTCTTCTTTTGCTGCTTGTCCAACTCACCCGACTCCAGAAGCTCCTTCTCACGACGCTCAATCATTTCTGCTTGCTCATCGTCCGCCAGCCACATGGCGATATCTCGGTTGCGGTTCTCAGGAGCACGGCGGCCAGAGAAGTCAACGCTTGCGCCACCACCCTGGATGACGACGCGCTGGACTTCCTCCTTCTGCATAGCACGCTTTCTGATACGCTCCTCAATTGTGCCACGGGTGATGAGACGATACACTGTGACCTGTTTGGTTTGACCCAGACGATGGGCTCGATCCATAGCCTGGGAATCAATGGTAGGGTTCCAATCAGAATCGTAGAAGATGACAGTATCGGCAGACGTGAGGTTGATACCAAGACCACCAGCACGAGTAGATAGAAGGAAGATGAAAATTTCAGGACGAGTCTGGAAATCATGCACCGTGTCTCTTCGATCCTCCAGCTTAGTAGAACCATCCAGTCGGCAGTACTTGTAGTTGCGGTATGTCAAGTACTCTTCCATCATGTCGATCATGCGAGTCATTTGGAAGTACAACAGTACGCGATGGCCCTCGTTCTTGAGCTTGAAGAGCAGACTATCAAGCTTGGCCAATTTTCCACTATCGGTGACGAAGCGCTGCATGGAAGGAACAGAAATGTTGGTGAAACCCTTCTTCTCATGATCGGGCTTAGGCAGCATCTCTTGAGTGGGCCACAGCTCCATGGGCAGCTTCTTCTCCACAAGAGCCTTCTCCTGGAAGACAGTAGGGCCATAAAGGATCTTGCGGATTGGTGCATTGAACAAAGCTTCACTCCGTTCAGGCTCGGTGCCCCAGGCGCGGCATGAAACCTGGATCGGAGGTGCTGATGCCCGAGGTCTACCAGCAGGCTCCAGGCGACCGAGACCAGACTCGCTGTAGTCACCTTGAGCAACATTCATCAGCTGCAACAAGACACCTTCATTGGTGATTTCCGCCAAAGGTTTTCGGTTGTTTCGCGCCCGGATCTGGAAGAGAGCATGTGATGGAGTGTAGTCCTTATCCTCGATACCACTATACGCCACGTTCATGTACCCAAGTCTGTCGGGTTTCTGAAGCTCCTTAGCAGCTCGGACGATCAAGCTTTGGTGCGTGGCCTCGTAAGCCTCGCAGGGAGAGGTATCAGTGAATCGGAGCCATGAGAATGCCTTTGTACCATCACTGTTGTCTCGGATATTGTCGGGACTCCAAACATTCATCATGTGGTTCAGTACCCGATTCTTCCAGCCTGCAACCTGACTGTCTGGGCCGGGCCTATGGATTCGACCACCCTTACTCCAGATGAGACGAGGAAGCTCGTATTCGATTAGGTTACGGCTCGAGTAGCCTACGGCAATCTCACTACCCTCGCGGACAAATGAGGCGGTCTCGGCAAAATATGCACAAGCGAATGGCGAATTGACTTCAGCCCGCTCAAACAGATCGGGATGGTTACAAACCTTTCGGAACTGCATCACCAAGTTCATCAGTGTACCAGAGTCTTGCTCGTCTCCCATGGTTGCCTTCTCAACAAGGTCCATAATATTGATCTGGTTTCGCAGATTACTGTAGTAGGCGCGTTGTCTGTAAGTGAGGTCACAGAAGATGTCCAACTCAATTTTGTCACCAAGCTCCTTCTGCACATGCTTCTTCACACGCCGAAGCATGAAAGGTTTGAGAATCATATGCAAACGCTTGAGCTGGTCCTCATTGAGTTTGGTGTTACTCTGCGCGTGCGACTCAATATCCTTCGAGAACCATTCGCTGAACTCGTCGTGCGAATCGAATAGTGATGGCATGATGAAATGAAGCAGTGCCCACAGTTCCTGCATGTTGTTTTGGATGGGAGTTCCGGTAAGAAGTAATCTGTTTCGGCAATGGAAGTTGAGCAAGGCCTTCCATCGCGAACTTTGGGAGCTCTTGATGGCCTGGGCTTCGTCCAAAATCATGTACTGCCATCTCATCTTTTGGAAGTATGCCACATCAGAGACAACCAGCTGGTACGAAGTAACACAAACGTGGAAAGGGGCGTCCTTGCGATATGTGGTATGCTTACGGTCCCAGAATTTTCGGAGGACCTTTCGGTCGCTAGCACCACCCCAGTATGGCAGAATCTTGAATTCGGGAACAAACTTGGCGATTTCCTGCTGCCAGTTGTGAAGAGTAGAAGCAGGAGCGACAACAAGGAAGGGTCCCCAAATATCGTGCTTCTCTGCCAGGTAAGCCATGACTGAGATAGACTGGACTGTTTTTCCGAGACCCATTTCATCTGCGAGAATACCGTTGATGCCCTGCTCATACAAGTTGACAAGCCAGTTGAGACCCTTGAGCTGGTATTCTTTGAGTTGGGCGTTGATGAGCTTAGGCTGCTCGACCTCAACATCACCCAGACCAGTAGGGTTCTGGAAATTCATCTCGCCCTCCTCGTCCATGTCTAGGCCTTGGTTGTTGAAGTCACGAGCCTTCTTCTGGGCCTCGGCAATGGCATTTTGGGCGTTGGCCATAGCCGCAGCGCGCAGAGCCTCGTCACTGCCCTCCTCAAAGTCAAGGTTCTCAAAGTTTGTAACCTTACCTATGACAGGGCCAGTAGGTTCATCGATGTCGAATTTCTGCTGTTGAATCTGGTGGGCATCCTTGGCAACCTCAGGGTTGTCTGTACTTCGTTCCACCTCGTCGGTCTTGATCTTCTTGCCGATAAAGTGAGAGTAGAGCTCGGTCTGAGAGATAAGGAAGTTAAGCTTTCTCTTTTGACGAGCGGCTTCACGATCGGCCTCTTCTTTTCGAGCATTTTCGATCTCCTGCTTCTCGGCAGCCTTGCGGAGGTCTCGTTCTTCTCGCTCGTTCCGCTTCCAGAAGCCCATCATGTCACGCATGACACGCTTGGCGCGAGCTTGAAGATCCTTTGTGCCTTTGTTTGTTCGCAACTGCCAACGCTTGGCTTCTTTGGATGCCAGGATGGCTGTCTTTTTGAGGTTGGAGGACTTCGTAGCGTAAGAATCCACAGCAAGCTTGAAGGTCTTGTTGACATCTTTACGGGCCATATCTCGCCAGATCTGATCGTAGATCTGGTTGTAGCCCTTAGAAAGAAACCTCTTCTCATTATCAGGGACGTCATCGACCTTTTCTTTGTCTTTGTCCTTGCTTTTCTTGGTCTTCTTCTCGACAACTTCCTCTTCTGTCTTGTCGGCTTCATCCTTATCCTTCTCTGCATCAGTGGCGGGGTCCTTCTTTGACTTCTTGATTTTAATCCGGACGCGGTTCTCTTCCTTGGTCGGCAACTCCTCTCCAGCATCGATAGCTGCTTGAGCTGCTTCAGCAGAATCCTTTTCGGCCTGTTTTTGCTCTTTTGACTTCTTAAGACGAGGTCCGCCGCGTCCCTTGCCCTTTCGCTTGCCAGAAGGTGTGCCTGCTTCTCCGGATTCCACATCGGAAGCCTGGAATGAAGACATGGTACCACCCTCCAAGTTGAGCTCAAGATTACGGGCAGGGCCCTTGATGCCCTTTTGCAAGATGAGTTTCGTTTGCTGTGCTTTCTTACTAGCGCGTTCAGCATCTCGGAGGTGCTTTTGTCTCTCGGTTTCATCTTCAGCTGCCTCTGCACGAGCAAGAGCTGCTTCTTTTTGCTCCATCGTAACAGCCATAGACTTTTCGCGGCGTCGCTTGCGTTGCATGTCCTTCTTGCGTTCCTTTTCGGCATAAACCTCCTGTTCGCGCACTTCGTGGAGTGCTTCGTCATAGAAGACATCGTCGTATCGTCGCTTACCAAGCTCAGCATGCAAGACCAGCTTCTTGCCAACCGCCGTAGCAAAAGCCTTGCGTCGGGAAAGACCATGTTCCAGGTCAAGCTCATTCATAACGCGTCGTCGCTTCTGAGCCCGCTCCTTATATTGTTGCTCGTCGAATTCGTCAGCATCCAAGTTCGTAGCTCTGTTCTCGATTTGTGACTCGGCGTTTTGGATCTTCTTCTCCATCTCTGCTGACCAGGTCTTCGGTTTAGGCAGGCCATTGGCCTGTCGTTTGGCTGGCGGACGAGGGGTTGGCGACTCCTTCTTAATCGATAGTCTGCGCCCATTCTTAGGCGTTGCAGCATCTCGTATATCAGAGGCACGTCCCTTTGTTGACTTTCGACCTCCCCGCTTCTTCACAGCGGGTTCCCTCTCCTTTTCCCTCCCAGGGATAGGTTCAGGCTCAGTCTCAACGTCCTTCTCGACCTCGGTATCATGATCCGGCTCGGGCTCTAGGGAGCGCTTTTTCTGCTTAGGTTCCCGCGAGTCGCGTTTCGGTTCTCGATCATGTCGAGGGTCTCGCTCTTGTTTGATTTCTGGTTCGGGTTCTCGTGAAACAAGTGGAGACTGCTCTTTAGGCTTTGGAGCAGGTTCAGAGCTTGACAAGATGCTGTCGAAGGACATGGGATTGGCTCTTGATGTCTTCGGGAGAATTAGTACAAATGTAGCGTTCGTATAATGGTTATGACTTACGCTGGCCGATGGGGGCGCGACCTTTGATGGCGATGGAGCCGCAAGATCCGACTTGAAGGGCGAAAGGGCAGAAGCGCCATTAGTAGTTGAGTTCATGTTGGCTGTAGTACCATGTCTCGCGCTCGGAGAGGCTAACAAAGGCTGTCGCCCCGGAGGGCTGAGAGATCCTGCTGGGGGATTCTGTTGCGAATGTGACAGTGGACTACGCGGGCGATTATACGATGATGGGCCCCGGGGAGACGTGTTATAGGAGCCGTTGTAATATGAAGGAGTGTTTTGGTCGGGGGTTTGCGAGTAGTTATAGGGATCGCGAGTCTGTTGCGGTAGAAAGGAAAATTAGCTCCACGTCAGCAAGCTTGGTGGTTATGTCTATTTTCGCAGTGGAGTGCAAGTGGTTTGGTTGTACGACGGATTTAAGGAGAGTGATGATGAAATTAAAAAGGTGATGCGACGGTTACAGGCTGGATGGGAAATTAAGCACGATAAGAGAGAAGAAATGAAACAGGCATTGATGACCTGGACGTGATGGGTAAGGATCCTTGATGATCAAAGGATAAATGAAGGTTGATGGAGAAAGAAGAAAATGAAGGGCCAGCTGGTGCAATCAATCAAATCAACGCAGATCGAGTCTGGGCAGGAGTGGACGGGACGAGAGTCAAAGTTCAAAGACAAAAAAGAAGTGGATTTGCCCCCCTTACCTTGGGAGTGCCAGCCGGGGGCGCGTTGGCGTTGGCGTTGGCGTTGGCGTTGTGCCAGGACGCTCCGGGCGTCGCCGCGTCAGAAATTCGACGTTCCTTTGTTGTATCAGTTGTCGGGTCGTAGAAACCTCGCGATGCAGGTTTGGGATCACGCGGATAATAAATGTCGCGATTCGACGACGGGGGGTAATATGCAACAGGAGGATGCAGCGGCGACACGGGCGGTGGAGGGCCGGCAGCTTGGTGTTGGGGAGGTGGTGCTTGAGATTGGTGATGATGCTGATGAAGTCCAGCAGCCGACGATCCAGGTGATGAAGACGAGTTGATGCCTACAGGAGGTGGTAGTGATGGAGCGACGGGGCCTCCGGGTGCGCCTGTGGACGATGACATGTAGGGATTGGGCAAGGCCGGGCGTGGCGGGGATTGAAGGGAATGGCCGGCACTCGAAGTGCTGGTGTTGTGATGACTGTGATTATGACCGTTGGGAGAAGAGAAGGGAGGCGGGCGGTATTCTGACTTTGGTGAGCGCAGGCTAAAGGTGGAGTGCTGATGCGCATTCGATGAGGCTGTCGCCGCTTCTCCAGGTACAGGTGCAGCTCCAGCTCCAGTTCCAGCTCCTACAGGCACGTCACCGTCGCGCCGGTGGTGATGATGGTGATGGCGGTGGTGATGGTGGTGATGAGGGCGAGAGTCTCGATCATCATCACCTCCATCATCTCCTCTTTGTGGTGGCCGCTGCAGCACCGAGGAGTTATAGCCGTTCTGATCCATGATAATTGATGCTCTAACGCCTGGATAGCAGAACAAAACTAAACACCCGAGAGAGCAGGGAATGTGTTATAGTCGATCGGCCGTGGTATTTCAGGCTTGAGAACCCATGTGCTCGACAAGACAACGATGCGGCGATTGGGAGATAGGATCGATGTGCGAGGGTTGGTGTCTCCGAGACAAAGATGCGCAGACGATCAGACAAGAGTTTCGCGATGCGCACGCGAGGCTCTGAGTAGTATCGATATGTTGCGATGCGATGCGATGCGATTCGCAAGTTGCGACCGGTGATGCAGCGGGCTGCGACAGACGAGTAGAATAGAAACGATAATCGATGGGAATGAATCGCAACAATGACAGGTTTAGGTTGAGCCCCAATCCAAGGCAAATCGAAAGAGGATGCCCTGGCTGGGGGGGGGCAAAGTGTTTTGGTGTGGAGGTGTTGGACGTAGCGTGGCGCTGGGATACGGCGATGCAAGCGGCACTCGAGATGGGGATGGGGAAGGGGATGGGGATGCGAGACAGGGTATTAGTGCTCCGTATTGCTGCAAGAAACAAGGGACAAGGTGAAGAATAAGGGCCAATAAATTGGTTGACAAAGTTTATAAATGCAGCGGGGGAGCGGATAATGAGTAAAAGCAATGAGAATGGTGAGAATTGAAGGCGGAAGAGACTGGAAGGAAGGATCGGGGGAATAACAAAGTGGAGTGGAGTTTGTTCTAGAGCTGGAGGTTAACCAGACTGAGGTGGTGGTGATGAGCGGGAGCTGGGAATTGACAGCCCAGGCTGAGTCCCGACAGACAGCTCAGCCAACTACAGCCAGCAACAGCTGAGGTACCGGTTACCAGGCAAGACACGATAAGGCGAGAGTCGTAGTGAGTTGTTATTGCAGACAGCCACTCTGGTTAATACCTGTTGAATTCTTTATTAATCAAGGTCTTGTGTTGTTATGGGCGAGTGATTGACAATGGCATCGCAGGTGGTGTGGGCCATCCAGCCGAGCAAATGCCTGAGACAACAAAAAGAGACAAGAGTGAATGTGATGGTCTAAACGGGAATCAAATGAGAAGCTGCATGTACGGGGATCTAGGGCCTTGGACGTGCTTAAACATGACCACTGAGATTGGAATTCCTCGCACAACAAGCTCGAGTCAACAGTGAAGCGATCCCAGCCACGAATTTGCAATTGTGTATCACACCCAGCAATTTGAGGTACGATTCCCTAAAGAGGAATTGGTGATGGGCTCAGATGTTGCGGGAGAATACTCGGGGCATATAAGCCACTATTGATTTCAGCGCCTCCTGCATTGACTGACGGGTTACTACGTAAAACGCTCATAGTAATCACGGCGGAAATAGAAAGTGCAAATGCAAATCAAGGCAGGCACGCGAAGGAGCACGCACACGCACACGCACGCACACGATCTCGACTCGATTCGATTCGACCTCCACGTCTCGTCTCGTCTCTTTTTTTTGCACGTCAGGGCCAGGTCAGGTCAGGCCAAGTTCGGCTCTGGCTAGCCTGTCTCTGCCCCTGGGGCCAGTCCCCGTTGGCCCCCGTTCCATGTGGGTCTGACTCAACGCTAATCCCCGTATAGTTAACCCCGTTTTGCTTTCTCCCCGTCAGCCCATTCATCCCCAGTCATTGGTAGCGGGGATGGCTTCCGAAGATCGGGTTGGATGTTGATGTCTGTCAATTTATGTAGGGTAGAGACGAGGCAAAAATCTGTCTTCTTTATTCGCATGTGTTGGTCGGTTGGACCGTCGGTAATGACTTTGGTTCCAATGGATTAATCTTCATCAAAGTGAGCAAGTCAAGTAATTATATTCGAGTCTGCCATTAGATACTGGTCATTCGTTGTCTGCATGCACTGTAAGGCTGGACCTCGATTGTGGTGTTGTTCAGCCTCGACATGTGCAACAAAACGTGTGACGCCAAACACAAGTTTCAGTGTGGGTATGGCGAGCGGTAAATACAGGTCTTCAACCTTTCTGTTACCATTACAGAATAATGAAAACATGTGGCGAACCAATATCAGTCTAAAGAGCCCGAGATCTGGCTAAAACATACCAGGCCTGCTAACTAATACGACGGTCGTTGGCAGCCTCACCTCAGCCTTATCTGGGGTTAAGCACGACACCAACACCTCTTCCACACGTACTACATTAACCTCTTCACATACGCGTCAACAGATGATCGCATCACGTCTCTATATATATTCGCAGCAACTGCAATCATTTAATGGTAATCCCATTTATTCGTGCTATCAAGGCCTAAACAGCCAGACCCAAAGAAAAAGAAAATCTATCGGTGAACATTTCCACATCTTCGTGAACGCTTCCGGGCCTCTCTATTGAGGCCATGCCCATGCGTCCTGTAGCGTCGTTGTGGCCATTTCGTATCCCATCGTAAGGGTATCAAATATCCTGATGGTCTAGCCACCCGCCGCTCATATCCCATGAAAATACCCACATGATGCCAATGGCACTCATCAACTTTTTATGGATCAATAATGTCCTCTATAGTCAATTTTCCTTTCATGCATTCGTGCCAAAAAAAATCAAAATTTCGTAAACTCTTTTTTCCCCTTAGACAGCACCGGCGCTGATCATCTTCTTTCGGAGGTAGTTCTTGTACTCGGAGATGGAGCCGTCCCATGCGCGGATAGTCTGGTTCTCACAAACAAGAATCTGCTTGGCAATCTTGTCGAGCAATCTATATGCTGTTAGTCATGTATCATCATAAAAAATCATCGGGGGTGCTTACCGGAAGTCGTGGGAGACGACAATAACACCTCCACTGAAAGCGTTGATAGCGTCCGCCAAACTGTCGATGGTAGGAATATCCAGACCGTTGGTAGGCTCGTCAAGAAGCAACATGTTGGGGCTCTCGATAGCAAGCAGGGCAAAGACGATACGACTCTTCTGACCCTCAGACAGTGTACCCATCAGGGCAGTCTGGGAGTCACCGCTGAGACCGTACTTGCCGAGCTGCTGGCGCCAGTACTGGTAGTCCTGAGACTTCTCGCTGAACTTGTCACGGCAGAAGTCGAGAGCAGACTTTGTCAAGTCGAGCTGCTCGGCACTGTGCTGAGAGTAGAGGCCAAGCTTCAAGTGAGTGTGTCGTTGAACGACACCGTCAGTGGGCGAGAGCTTGCCGGTCATGAGACGGAGCAGGGTAGACTTGCCCACACCGTTAGGTCCGACGAGAGCAGTTCGGGAGTCCATGTCGAAACCAAGGTCCAGGTTGCGGTATAGATCATCCTCGGGCTTGCCAGAGTAGGAGAAAGTAACGTTGTCGAAAGACAGGACGGGAGGAGGGAGCTTGTCGACATCGGCGAAACGGAAAGTGAAGACACGGTCCTGCTCGACGGGCTGAATGAAACCATCGGCCTCCATCTTGTCGAGAATCTTCTGTCGCGACTTAGCCTGTCGCACCAAATTGGCGTATGTACCGGCACTGGCAATGAACTTCTTGATGTGGACAATCTCATCCTGCTGCTTCTGGTAGGCCTTCATCTGATTGGTCTCGTTCTCAGTTCGGGTCTTGGAGTACGAGTCGTAGTTACCACCATAGTAGACAAGCTGCTTGCCGCGCATATCAATCATGGTAGAGCAGACACCGTTGAGGAAATCCATAGAGTGGGAGACGAGGACAAGGGTTCGCTCCCACTTCTTGAGGTACTCCTCGAGCCACACACAAGCCTCCAAATCCAAATGGGCAGTGGGGTCATCGAGAAGCAGCACAGAGGGCTTGACGAAGAGGGCCTTGGCAAGGGCGACTCGCATACGCCAACCACCGGACATATCCTTGGTCTTCTTGTGGATGGTCTTCTTGTTGAAACCCAGACCAGTCAGGATAAGCGAAGCACGGGTTTGGAAGGTTGAAGGATCAAGCTTGTCCATGTGCTGTGAAATGTTAGCTGTGTACTACATATCAAGTATTGAGGATAACTTACCTCGTAAAGGTCAAGGAGAACAAGACTCTCAGGGCCCTCATCTTCAAGAAGCTTCTCAGCCTGAGCGTCAAGACGCGCCAGCTCGTTCTCAGCCTCTCGGACGACCCACTCAAGGGCACCCAAGTCACTGGGAGGGGCACCCTCGTTAAGAAGGTAGAGGTCGAGATGCTCGGGGATAGGGTATTCGCGAGCGGCGATGGCCTTGAGGAAAGTGGACTTTCCGCAACCGTTCTCACCGAGGAGACCGTATCGTTTACCGTAGGTAAGCTCGAGAGTGGAATCGGTGATAAGAACTCGACCGTGGAAGACCAGAGAGCAACTGGTCATCTTGACGTCCTTGCTGGTCTTGGTAGACGCGAGGACACCGGTGGTGACACGGTCAGAGATACCATGCTTGTCCATCTGCTCAGCGAGACGCTTCACCTCGTCGAGTTTGGCGCCTGAAGTCGCGGGGGCATCTTGGTCGACGATGGGGTTGCCGTGAGCATCGAGCTCAGGCTCTGCGTTCTTGCCCTTCTTGCCGCCCTTGAGCTTGCCCTCGGCAGCCTTCTTAGCGAGACGCTTCTCCTTGGAAGAAGAGGGAGCCATGATGACGATTTGTGTGTAGAAAAAAAAAAGATCGCGGGGTTGAAAGAACGGAGACTGTCGGCGGGGTGGATGGACGACCGTCAAAAAGAAATCAAGTCCAAGCCGGGGGGTATATGAGAGGAGAGGGTTGGAAAATGATCGTTCGATGAAGGAGGAAGAAGAGAGGAGGAGAGAGAGGGAAAAAGGAAAAAAGTTAAGTTGACCGACAAAGAAAAAAACCGGCCCAAGCAAATAACAATGAGTGTGGCGGTTCCAGTTCCCGGTTGAATTCTGTACTGTCCTCTCAAGGCTTCTACGCTGAGGCAAGGCGGGGTGAATTTTTATTTGGTGGGGCAGATTTACAGATTTTTTGGCTGATGCAAGAGTCAGGCACCAACTAAGGCACCAAGACACATGTGTTTATTTGTGATTATGCGATTTACCCATGATATTTTGCATAATCTAGATAGAAAGGTAGTATAGCCTAGACAAGCCAGATCGATTTGTACTATCATACATTTTTTCTCAATTATTCATCCTCTTTGTGTAGCAAATTCCACAGTTCTGTTCAATTAAACCCCGATAAGCCAGGGATCTTTTTCTGACCTGACGTCATCAATCCCTTCGTTGTGATTGGCTGTTGAGTTTCGAGATTTTCACGCTGTCCGCCATCCATCTGCTGGCAACCTTGAAGGGCGGCAAGCCCGTACCTAGTGTTGAAGATTTGAACATGTCTCACATGTATCTTTCTTATCAATTCTATCAACTCGGACTTGTCCGCCTAGTCTTTCAAACTCCATGAGTCAACCTTGCCTCTAAACATTAACTCGATACTTATCCGAGGTGTTGTCACCTGAAGATGATACTGCCGCGCGTTGCGCCCGGGAATAGTCGCTGACTCAATCCTTGCACCGAGTTGTTATCCTGTATCATGCATTCATACCCTTTCCAGCCTAAGTCACTACTTATCATGATGAGTCGACAGGCTGACACTCTTCTCGTCTGATAAAGTCACTTGTTCTTGATATTACTGTGGGGTTGATATTATGATACTCATAACCATGCACGAAGTATCTGTAGGTAGATATGCAAATATATTGTAGTTTCACAATTTTTGCTGGGCTTTCCAACTGCATACTTATGCTTCACGCTTTGAATAACGGCTATGCATAGGAGGCTGCTTTCGGTCATTTCATCAAATTACTTGGATCACCAGTATTGTTATTTCATAAACTCATTCCATCATTGATACTAAACTTGCTATCGTACAGGTGTAACCATATTATCAGACAATTTATGAGGAAGTCTCGCTGTTGAGACCGTCAAAAGCGGTCTTGCCGCTAAGCTCGCTCTGCTTAGGACCAGCATCCCGGCCAACGGCAGACTGGTTCTGCTGGAACTGAAGCTCAGCCAGCCGGCTGGGATCATCCTCGCTACCAGGCTCAGAGGCCAAGGCTTTCTTGAGACCATCCTCTGTGTTCGAGTAGTCGATACCCTCCTTCAGGTTCTTGCCATGAGGGCCAGAGGCCTTGACATATTGGTTGTTAGCATAGCTAGGAGCGGTGTCAGCAGACTCGGGAGCGACGCTGGCGCCGGAGCCGGAGCCGGAGCTGGGGGCGGAAGAAGTGTTTGTGGTGCGGCCAGAACTGGTGTTCTCGGATCCGGATGAGGATTGGTTCTCGCTACGAGTGTCTCTGTTGGAGTTGTTCTCGCTGCGGATGCCTTTGTTGGAGGCGAACTCACCGCCCTCCTCGACAGACTCGGCAGCAAGAGACTCGGAAGCAACCTTGCCAGCACCCTCTTCCTTTATGGGAGCGTCTTGGCCGAGATCGACCTGAAATATGAGACTCCATCACAGAATTGGGGAGGGAACGCGAAAGCTTACCTTCTGGCCTTTACCGTGATGTGTGGGTGACATGGTGTATGTTGTGTTGGCTATGTATCAAGAGGATGGGTTTGATATTAGTAATGGTTATTATTGAGTTGTAGAGGATTTTTGAATGCTGATTCCATTTTAGAAGTTCTCGAGCTCTATGATATATCCAATCTCATGACTCCATGACATCATGGTGGTTTTCCTTCACTAACGCTTTAACGTTCAGCGTGACGCCAAATTACATCATGATAGGTACTAACGACGAGGAATTTGCTATGTAATCAAGTAAATGAATAGAACCAAGCGCCTATGGGTTTCAACAAAGGGTTAGAAAGTTCTATGGTGAACGTAACTTCATGGACATCGAGACCAGAGCTATGGATGCCCAAGCGCACCTTGAGGATTGGCGTGTCACGGTGTAAGACAGGTGATACACAGGTATTCTACATTACGTACCGAACAATAGTAACAATGAATGCTTCGGCAGAAGAACTAGGAGCTTTGAAGTTTTGTATGCTCTTCTCAGCCTTGTCGGTACTTCGCTCACATTGACAGAAACACAACATGTAGTGTTCGTTCGCTTCAAAAGGCATCTTATCAGGTGATCATCAACAACACCAAGCGGCAGTCACAGGACCAGGATTCATACATGTCTCGGGAGACATGTACAGAGCCATCGGAGCTTTGGCGCCTCCTTCCCTTGTTCCCCGGTACGTGTAAGGCCGTCTGTTAGTCACTGATCCATGTGTGCAGTGATAGACGTGGAGAAAGCTCTTGGCATGATATTCTCCATCCTTCAGCTTGTTCTAGCCCTCAGAGCTTATATAAATATGAGTATGGCGGGTTTGTCTTTGTATACGTGCATAAGATATACTTGAGTAGAAGATCGGTTATAGCTTCACTGAGTATCATAGGCTGAACCAGTCAATGCAATATTTGGGAACATAACTTGAGACGTGACCCACAGTCGTTCATGTGTACTTACATCGGCTTGTGATGCCTCGCTTTTGGCTGGTGGAATACGATGCTACGCCCCACATGAAACCATCTCGTTGGAGTATCATGGACTTCAAAGTTAACATATTGCCATAAACGTGTTTTAAGTCTGACAGCCACTTCATCTTACGTACGGCTCGAGAAGCTGGTATGAGACTCTCCCAATTTCTCTAGGTTGCAAGGCAACCGAGTCCACGCAGAGTCTGTCTCGGGTTCATGAACATCAAACGGCCAAAATAGCAAGTAGCTTACTTATTGTCAACGAAGAAATACAATAGAAAAACAGACTTATCTCTGTACTGAGCTAACTTAACATAAGCTGAGGTATGATAGTACCTCGTTGTGAGTAGCATACACAATGGCAACGGAACTCAGGCAGTATCAAAGGTTAGGAACAAGCAGTTACTATTTAATACAATGTCGACTACTCGTTTATGTCCTGCCAGCCTTAATTCCAAATTATATCAATGCTTTGTTTGTGTGATGTTGAGACGGTGCAACATGCATGCAGCGATAATTGACTGGTTGCGGGCTCAATCAAGCGAATCATGCCTTGTGGCTCTATCACATTATTGACTACACATTACAATAAAGCCTTTGAACTGAGTATAATGCTGTTTATGGCGCCTTTGGCAGGTGAGATGGCTTGTAAAGTTCGCAAAACTCTGGTATTGATGTAAGTGAAGCTGTTTTCCTCCACATGCCATTAAATTCGAGGAGAATAAGATAATCACGAATCGAATCGTTTCGTATCAAAGCTATTTGCCCTGGAAGGAGTCATGTAGTTCAGCGAATAAAAACCACAATATATTCACTCCTGGATGGACTGTGTGTACTAACGCAGATAGATGTACAGATGTGTTGGGTTCCATAACATTTCTGTTGCTGTCCAATCCCTTCCCTCTTTTCCAAAGACCAAACGCAACCGATAAAATGTTGAAAACCCAAAGGCACAGTCAGTCGCTTCGAACGGATTATTAGGAACAACCGAATCTGTCCTTTGATCGTATTTTTTTCGCTGCATCATGGAGTTCTGAGCAAATTGTGCTCATTCCATGAAGTACATGGCTCGTCAGACTTCTTGGCCCTCCACCCTACACGGCCCGCAGTAAGGCAAGATAATTGCCCGCATAAACAAGCAAAACAGACAACCTTAAGAGTAATATTCAACGGAAAACAAGAATATCTTCACAAGGCTCTCTTGCCAAGCCATCGGCCAAGGCTGAGCTTCGCACATGTGACGCAAGAATGAAGGAGGTTTGGTCCTAATTCGCAGTTTTGCCACCCTAGAGCCGCTGAAGAAGGCGATCTGAGTCGCATGATCGGCCAGTTGTGGAACTGATTGAGAAGCACCAGACATTTCAACGCATCTTAGAGGTCAAGCATGGACAACCCGTAGAGATCAATACGGCAAGTGATAGAAGAGCTTGCACAGTAATTGACCAGGTGAAGTGCTATTAGAGTCATCGGTCTGGTATGCGCCTCAAGGCTGACACACATCTTTTCAAACTCTAAGCCAGGAGTTTATTTAAACGCAGTGTAGTCTCTTTGTGCACCATGAAATCCAAGCTTGTCTGAGAAACACAGTCGCAAAGTCACCATATCAAAACAATCCATTGAAACAAAACCCACTCATAATCAAATACAAGTCACATCCTACACAATGGCACATGGGGAACTCGTCTACCGCGATGGCCACTACCACCGTACTTCGGCAGACCGGCCGGCAACACGGCATACCCAAAATCGACCTCAGCATGGATTATTGCAAAAAACTCACGATGCCTGGGGACGAGTTCTTTATGGCGTCGGTAGCGTCTATTACAAAATTCGAGGAAGATGAAGGACGGATACGATGACGACGCAAATACGAGACAGGAATGGAATCGATGATCTAAAACAAAGGCTGCTACTCTGCCAGCTATGAAGAGGGCTGTTCTCCATTGTTTATGTTCCTATCAACGGGATCAAGCTTCGAGATGTCGTCTTCTGAACCACTCTATATGATGATGATAGTCAGGTCCCAGCGCTGATCAATGGGAAACAACAAAGAAGCCAAAAATATCACAGTCAAGCTCATGCCAGAGATGCAAGCCGGGTCAGGGATAAATACTGCAGGCTCCATAGATTTGCAAAGGCGTCTATGCTCTGCTTTGTGTCGGTTTCAGAGTACGATGATACGGAACCAACCAGCAAACAGCAGTGAGAGGTACAGTGTCTGCGCTAGGAATGACACGCGCCACAGAAAGGGATCTGATGAACGTTTTGAGACAGAAATTACCAAACCGGGCCGAGGTGGAAGACTGATCCTTGGAAGTTGAAGAGAGCCAATGCGACTGGGATATATGCACACACGTAAGCTCTTTGCTGTTAGTGTTCTGGGGATGCGTTATTTGATGCCATCGATACGACTACTCGAAATGAGTTTGCGAGCTATTCAATCGGGCCAAGAAGACAAGACATAGGCACTTAATATCATTATATTGCAATTCCGTATTCACCATGCCAAGTGAGTGAGTTGTCTGAGCGAGATCCACCGCAAGCGGTTCGAGACAATTTCCCAAGAGTCATTCGAGACGTCCAAGACGTCGCATACATCTAGAAGGCGAAATAGTTCCAATTATCGTGACCAAAACCGAGGTGCGACCCCTGATGTTTTGGCTTGGACGGATGCCCAGTGGAGATTGTCCCCTATTTTGTACAGTGCAATTTCGAGTAACACTAACGAGCAATGCGATAGACAAGGCCAAGCTTTTGCTAGAGCGAGATAGAGCTACGGTGTGCATTGACTCCAAGCACTATACCACCGTCAACAAGATGAGATCCCTCGTCAAGCATCCCTGATTGGTTTAGCAAGGCACCGGCAAAATACCTAAACAAGCTTCAATCTCTTAGCTGCGCCTCACAATAGACAGGGGCCTTTGTCTCGTGAATGGCTCCTTTTTTAACCCCGGAAGGATCTGCTGCAGTTGACGACCGACAGGTACACCGTAGCAGACACAGTGCCGCTCGTCCACTACAACACAGCCGCCGCCAACCCTTGCCACGACAATTAGCGGCTTGGATCACTGAAGCTCAGGGGGCCACGGGGGCCCCCATGCTACCCAGGGATAGTCCCGACCACCCATGCATTCCATTTTACTTTTCAAACCGCCCCATCCCTTAACTTCTGTCTCTCTTCCTTCTTCCTTCCTCAAACCTTCGCTAACCTTTAATTTTTCAAACTCGTTTTTTGTCGGTTCTCGTTATTTTGAGTCCGATTTCTTTAACTATTCCCGTCACTCCTTTACAGACGCTCTTACAACGACCGATTGACCTTTGATCCGACCGAACCGTCGCGAACCGAAGGCTCAAAACAACAACTTCACGCGTTGATCAATTTCATCGCCTATTCTCGACACTCATTAATCTCTTTGTTCTTTTTACTTGCCGTTTGATACACAACACAAAAATGAAGTTTTCCGCTACTCTTGTCGCTGCGGCGGCTACCGCTGCCAGCGCCAAGCTTGAGCCCATCACCATGAAGGTACGTGGGCGCAGTCCGACAAAAAGACGAAGGTACTAATCTATACCAGGGTTCTAAGCTCTTCTACACCAACGGAACCCAGTTCTTCATGAAGGGTGTTGCCTACCAGCAGGATACCGCCGCCGCCGGTCAGACCAACGACAAGGCGACTAAGTACATTGATCCTCTTGCCGACGAGGAAGGTTGCAAGCGTGATATTCCTCTCCTCAAGGAGCTCGGTACCAACATCATCCGAACCTACGCCATTAACCCCAAGGCCGACCACAAGGCTTGCATGAAGTTGCTCGACGATGCCGGTATCTACGTTGTCTCCGATCTTTCTGAGCCCAGCGTCTCTATCAACCGAGACGACCCCAAGTGGGATATTGAGCTGTACGAGCGCTACATTGGCGTTGTCGATGAGCTTGCTCAGTACGACAACGTTGTCGGTTTCTTTGCCGGTAACGAGGTCTCCAACAACGTCAGCAACACTCAGGCTTCCGCCTTTGTCAAGGCCGCCGTCCGTGACACCAAGGCCCACATCAAGAGCAAGTACGACCGCTGGTTGGGTGTTGGTTACGCCTCCAACGATGACGTCGATATTCGTGAAGATATTGCCGACTACTTCAACTGTGGCAAGGATGAGGAGCGCATCGACTACTGGGGTTACAACATCTACTCTTGGTGTGGTGAGAGCAACATGAAGGACTCTGGTTACTCTGACCAGGCCAAGTTCTTCAAGGACTACTCTGTCCCTGTCTTCTTCGCTGAGTACGGTTGCAACGAGCCCGGCGGTGCTGCCGAGCGTATCTTCGACGAGACCACTGCTCTCTACGAGGAGAAGGAGATGGTTGATGTTTTCAGCGGTGGTATCGTCTACATGTACTACCAGGAGGCCAACGACTACGGTCTGGTCAAGGTTAGCAAGAGCGGTGCTGCTGTCAAGCAGAAGGACTTTGCCCAGCTCAAGAAGAAGGCGAACGCTGCCCACGCCACTGGTGTTGACGAGAGCGACTACAAGCCTTCTGCCAAGGCTGCCACCTGCCCCAAGCAGTCTGAGTCCTGGAAGGTTAACGCCCAGCTCCCTCCTACTCCCGACTCTAACCTCTGTGACTGCATGAAGAAGAGCCGAAGCTGTGTCCCCGCTGATGACCTCAAGGCCAAGGACTTCAACACCATCTTCGGTTACATCTGCGGTGAGAACGAGAAGATCTGCACTGCCATCAACGGTAACGCTACTACCGGTGTCTACGGTGCTTACAGCATGTGTGACAACGAGGCCAAGCTCGCCTACATTCTCGATGCCTACTACAAGGACCAGAAGAAGGCCGCCGACGCCTGTGACTTCAAGGGCAAGGCCACCACCCAGAAGGCCGAGAATGAGGACTCTTGCCAGTCTGCTCTCGCGTCTGCCAGCAAGCTCAACGACGAGGTTGCCACTGCCACCGCTGCCGTTGGAGCTTCTAACACCGATAGCTCCAGCAGCGAGGAGGACGACGAGAGCTTCGGTCTCCAGGCTGCCTCCATTGCCCGTGTCTTCTCCCTCGGCGACTACGCTGTCGGTGCTTACATGGCCGTTGCTGGTGCCGTCGGTGCCGGCATGGTCCTTCTGTAAGCAGGAGGTTCTTGCACAGACCCTTTGGTATGATTGAAATTTCTTGCGGTGGCTTTTTAGAAACCTGTGTTTCACCTTTGTGTGTTTTTCATTTTTGTGTATCTAGCATCGTAGGTGTTGCGTGGCTTGAGAATAGAACGAGATAGATGCTTAATGCCATCTTTACACATTGCGAGTTCATCATGGTGTAATAATTGAATGCTTGGGATGATAACTGCGTGATGTAATCTATCACCTGAGAACATCTGTAGTTTTGTTCGTGAACGTATGGAACGATGGTCAAATATCAGGGCCTCATCTCGGAACAGTAGGTGTGGGGCGAACCTCCCGATCGGGTATAGCCCAAAATGTCTTAGTATCTGTCGTCCTTCGGGACAAACGGTCTAGTGAGTAAAAACCACCCAGCTTGCAAAAGGCTCGTGGTTCGAACCTCGCTGACTTATTTTCAGTTCAACCCATACAGAGAAAATTAGCATCGCCCCCTGCACTAAGGATGGCTGATGTTGAAAGAGAAGCTACCGTTTTTTTCCCTTGTAGTTTCTTTCTTTTTTTTGCCAACAAATTCTTCTTATAATCATCTTAGTCCCATGTCGATATCCTTAACCAACGTGCTGGTTGGATGTGCCAATGTTAAGTTTTATTCAGCTAGGTACTCAAGCCTCTGTGGCTATCCGTACAGCGTTATGTAAAGAACAATCAGTTGCCGAATAAGAAAATGCGGGCATGCTTGGGTAACAGCTTCAGAAAGATATACCAGACGAACTGACCCGAGATAGTGATGACACTGCCAGTATCAGTGCCCATCACAGTCACTGCCACAGGACATGGAAGACCAACATCTTGCGCTACACCAACCTGTGCGTTACAGTGGCTTTGACATCCCCCAAGCTATCTCTTCAGCTCGCTTGGCCGCGCTAAAAGCATGCTTAAACTCATACGTGCGAAAAAAGGCAACATCACAAGTCAGCCCTTACTGAGCTATGAAGTGATGCATGGCCCGGTCCGGACGGAGACGGAGCTGACTTTGACAAAGGACCTTTCCCGGACTCTATCGTGAGTGAGTCCACAATATGTGGCGCGGCTGAGCCACCCAGCTGAAGAACTACGGTAGACGAACAAGGGAAGCCTCACAGCGGACTTTTAAAAATAGACTATGGGAGAAAGCTATCAGGCAGATTGGCGGAGACCGAGACTAAAACAACAACTAACGTCTATTCTGACTGGCTCGCAAACCGCGAGGTTGAAACGGGATATTAGCGCTTCGAAGAGAGCCAAGAGAAGCTGCATTACCGAAGGATCCGCATTGAAATGCTCTGCTCCTATTTGACAACATGTCATCCTAGGATTAAACGAAAAGTTGTCAGATCAAAAGAAGAAACAATACCTGGGACGAGACGACCGCACAGCCCATTGAACTATTGGTGTAAGCAACGCCCTCGGCGCTAGCTACTGTAGTTCCACCCAGGCGCAGCCTCGAGATGCAACTCCAAGACGCCTGGGTATGTTGGTCGTGATGGATTGGTTATATATGAGGGCTAGCAGGCCTGGTTCCTAAGGGCCCTATCACTCTCTATCTGTAGCTTCATCATGATTCCTTCCATTCTGTTGACTCTTGCTGGGGTTAGCTTTGCTGCCCTTGAGCCTCGGCAGGTTATACACGAGGCGAGAGAACAGCCTTCGTTCATATCGTCGCGCGATCTCGTCCATGCTAAGACGGAGCCTTGCAAATTTTTGAGCCAGACTTACGAGGAGTCAAATTCCGAGCCTGGGGCTTCCGTTATCCTAGCTGTCCCCCCTTCCATCGCCATCGCTTGTCTAAAGTCAGTTCCTCTAGATAAGGAACGAGATCTGGAGTTGCTCGATTACTTGGAGCCTTTGGTTGGGTTCCAGAGTACTCTTGAAATCCTTGCTGATCCACCGAAAGAGTATCTGTTTCCCGGCGTGGATGTCCTAGGTGGCTTCGACACCGTCCGGAGTAGGCTGGAGAGAAACAAGTACAAGACACAATATGAGGTCATGACAGACCTGCGAAGCATCGTAAGAACTCTCACATTCTTTCCATGAAGCCTGCTAACCAGATAGTTCGCTGCTGCGTACGATGGTCACTTTGACTACCCCCCAGCCCTCCTCAACGCCTTCATTTACATCCGCCGAGATCTCGAGTTCGAGTCTGTGTCAGTCGACGGTATTCGTCTACCGTACATCTTCCACGCCATTGATACCCGCCGCGGTAACCAAGGGTTGCTCAGTTATAGACCTTCGGCAGTCAAGAGCATCGACGGCACCCCCATTATCGAGTGGCTCGAGAACGACGCTGCTCTCTCGGTAGCCGGCGCACAAGATCCTGATGCTCAGTACAATAGTCTCTTTGCGTCGCTTCCTCGTGGTGCTGTTGGTCAGGCAGGCAACACACTCTTTTCTCAGTTCGAGATCCCAGATACGTATACCATTGAGTTCCACAATGGCAGTACATGGGAGGTTGCCAACGAGATTCTCGTTCCGCCTACCGTTGACTTGTCTGGTATTGAGTCTGGAGAGGATTTTCATCAGTACATCGAAATCGCTCCTGCCAACACGACCTCCAAAAAGTCTTCTGACCACGAACGTCGGTCTATGAGAGAGACTCAGTCCAAGCCTATTGCCGGATATCCCAGACCTGTCGTCAAGCACTCGGACAATTCAGTCGCCGGATACTTTCTACCTGGCAAGGACTATGAAGACACTGCCGTTTTATCCATACTGAGCTTCCTCCCTGTTGGAATCGATCTTACCAACCTGGGCACTGACTTTGATATGTCCAAGTTCATTCTTGAAGGACAAGCTGTTGTGCTTAAGCTTATCAAACAAGCCAAAGCGGCTGGTCGAGATAAGCTGATCATCGACATGTCTGCTAACGGTGGCGGCTCGGTCATTCTGGCCCACTCCATCTATCGTCTGTTGTTTCCCGATGGAAAATTTACCAGTTGGGATCGCTATCGTGCGAATGCTGTACTCGAGGCAACTGCCGAAGCCGATTATGACAATCTCGTCCAGGCCCTGATCACAAGATCCCAACACTACCCTATCAGCCCTAAGAACATGTCCATCGAGACTGGCAAAGAGTTCTATGGCCCCTACACTGTCAAAGGCCAGAACGTGACTGCAGCCTTTCAGACTGACAAGACCATTCCTTGGGACCCCAGCATTCCGGCTTATTTCAACGGCTTCGACCCTGAGATGGAGCCTCTGGTGGAAGAAGCTCCCTGGAAGCCTGAAAACATCATCATCGTCACCGACGGTATTTGCGCTTCAGCATGTGGTCTCCTGACAGGTCTTCTCACTCGGAACCACGGTATCCGCACGCTTGCTCTGGGAGGTCGTCCTCTGAACCAGGCCATGCAAGCTATGGGTGGTGTAAAAGGCACACTGCTCAACTTCAACTCCGAGATCGTTACAGCAATTGCAGAAGTCCGCAGCAGCGCAGGATCAGACAAGAAAAAGCTCTCGATCCTCAGTGACGCATCTGTATCCTTCCCCAGCATGCAGGACCCCCCTCTTTTGCCTCTTACTACCAGCGGTGTTGGCAGGGTCAATGCCCTAAATGGATACACTGAAGATGATCTCGAGGGGTATCCGGTGCACTTTCGGTACGAAGCAGCTAACTGTCGTCTGTTTTACACACAGCTCATGTTGGCATCTCCGATTGAGGCATGGAGACGTGCGCGAGGCGTGGCGTGGAATGGTGAGTCTTGTGTGCAGGGCTCAACAACGAATCAGAATGGGAAGATTGGTGACAAGACTGTCAAGTATGATTCTAGTGTTCGAAGTCGCGCGATTGGTATCACGGGACCTGGTTCATTGAAGAAGTGATGGGATGAAATGTAATGATTTATGTATTATGAGCATGGCGTTGGCATAGAAGAAGGCGATTGATAGTTTTGGGTCGTGATGGAGTTGGTTATACCATGATAGACGTTTACAATAATGTTTACTGCAAATTCAATTCTCTAAAAAAGTATTCGTTCTTGAAGAATATTTATAAGTCCAAGGCTAAATTGAGCTTAAGTGTTTGTCGCTGATGGTTTAAACGATCCCGATCGCTCATGCGTACCATGACGTCAGCTATCTAAAAGCAGGCACGCGACGACCACAAGCGTTTGTTCTACGTCTTTTCTCCTCCTCCTCCTCTTCTCTTCTTCTTTGTATTCCATCTTGCCTATAATATTTTTAACCTGTCTTTTGACATTCTTTTGGCTGGCGCGATATCCTTATCGTTCGAGTCGTCATGCCTCTCCTTCCGCGAATAAACCCGGCTGTGGCCGCATCTGAATCCAAGAAGGACAAGCTCAAGGCCTTCATGCGAGAATGGTTTCTGGTGAACTGGAAGGATCTTTCTTGCATGGCGTTTGTTGGCGCTATTGCCTTTGGTGTATGTCTCTCCCATCTACTCAGTTTCCGTCGCTAACATGTTCCAGATCTACCACTCTCCAGTCATAATCACGCGAACGTTCCCCATTACTTTCGATGCGACTTCCGGAGATATTGTCTACCCGCAATGGGCGTACCCTGATCGCGGCTGGATTCTCCCTTCGTGGCTCGCGGGTCTTTTTTCCATTGCTATACCGATCATCATCTACATCGTCGCACAGATCAGGATCAAATCCGCTTGGGATGCGAGCAACGCTATTATTGGAACGAACTGGTCTGTTATCTTGGCGTCGCTCTTCCAGGTTACCCTCAAGCAACTCGTCGGTGGTTTCAGACCCTATTTCCTGGATGTTTGTATGCCGGATATTTCGCTCGCCAAATCGCACAACAAGACTGGCCTGAATGGAGTTGGTTTCTACCAGATCATGTATACCACCGAGATCTGCACCCAGCCTGATCCCTCGAGGATTCAGAACGCCATTACTTCTTTCCCGAGCGGACATACGACCGCCGCCTTTGCTGGATTCGGTTTCCTTTTCCTGTGGCTCAATGCCAAGCTGAAGGTCTGGGCTGACCACAAGCCTGCGTTCTGGAAACTGTTCCTCACATTCCTCCCTCTCCTGGCGGCAGTTCTAATCGCCGGCTCGCTTACTATCGATGCCGCACACAACTGGTACGATATCCTGGGTGGCGGTTTCATTGGCACGATCATGGCATTCGCATCCTACCGCTCCACCTACGCAGCTGTCTGGGACTGGCGCTTCAACCACCTTCCGCTTCAAGAGACGGAGGCTTTTCGCTATGGATTTGACGGAGACCTGGATTACGGAGCTCAGACATTGTCGCTGGCTGCTGGCTGGGGAGGCAAGAAGGTTAGGTTGCCTGAAAGCTCGAGCGCGCCTGTCATCAGCACCGAGTCTACGCTTCGCAGTGGCGCTGAGGAGATAGAGAACCTGGATGCGAACACTAGAAGGAAGCGAAGGGGACCTGTGGGCGATGAGGCTGTGTAGTCGTGGAATTGAGGCAGGATAGGATAACTGTATTCGTTGCGTGTGTAGTTCGAGAGTCTTGTGGCTAAACCTATCAGGGTGTCAAGCTTCAAACACTTGATGGTATGCATGTGCAAATATTAATACCTAATTGGCTATTTCAAACAAACTATATGTGCTATCGACCAAATATCCAAACATCACCAAGCTTAACAATAACTCCATTCCTCATAAACTGAACGACAATCTAAAGGCTTAGTATCCCGATGCGGCAAGCCTGGCCTTCTCATCCAGAATCTTCTCGTCTTTATCCTTTCGATCCTCGGTATTCACAACCTCATACTCAGCAAGCTCTTCCTTGGTATCGTGAGTTGCACCTTCTGGCATTGGCTGTTGGCGACTTTCTTGGACCAGACGTTCATCAGTATAACCTCCCTGCTTCTCCGAGCCTTGGATCTTATGCTCATCGGAATAGCTCTCCTTTTCGAATAGAGTTGAGTCGTCGACTGGAGGAGCTTCACCAACTGCCTGCACAGTCATTCGGTTGTAGTCGGTTCGACCCTCAAGAGCTTGGAGCACTTCGAATAGGGGCTTAGCACCCAAGGGCCAAGCGACATCACCGTGCAAGATCTTCTCCGCCGTGATACCCCTCTCATTATAGAATGTGGCGTTGGCATCTCCCCGGGTTACGACAATGGTACCGTCAATCTGGATGCCAATCCATAGACCGCGACTCTTCATGTAACTCCACACAGGTTGAACAGTCTTACTCAGAGCGGTATCGACACTGGCTCCCGTTCCGACCGGTCCGATGGCAACGGAACCCCCTGCACCGAGTGAGAGACGAGGCTTTGTAAAAGCGGTGACTTGTTCAGGAGTGTTGAGAACGCAGACGCAGTCGTATAGATCGAGACCAAAGACAAAACCAGCACCGAGAGTGCTTACTACAAATGAAGAGGGAGGAGACCATGTTCCATCTGGACGGCGTGCGAGGACTATACCGGAGCCACCAGAGAGCGAGCCGTGGCATCCTCCGGCACGCAGCACATTGAAGATGGCGAGACCGGCAGCACGTTGAAGGACGGGAGGGGGGATTTTGACAAGTGATTTGCGAGTGAGACCCGTTGGGTGAAGAGGGCCCTTGGCACTAGGCGATGTGGACGAGCTAAGACCTGGGAAGTGTAAGTCTATATACTCAAAAGCGAGGTGGATGGTATACTTACTGGTAAAAGAGTGAAGAATTCGAGCAGCCTTGCTACACTCCTTGTCCATAGTGGAAGGCCACCATCCCTCAGCTCCAACAAAGTGAGCAGCTTTGTTCAACGGCGAGCCAGCTTTGGAGCTCATCTTATGAAACCGTTGGCCCACTGTCGGCTTGCTGGAAGTAAAAGCATCGCGATCTTGCTGCTCAGTTTGGTAGTACTCGGTGTTTTCGGTCTGGATGGTGTACGGAGGTAGTTGGCCAGCTTGCTTGAGAGGGTCGATGACCTCGACGGATTTGTTGGAGGTGAAATAGAGAGTCATTGTAAGTGTTGAATGGTATATTCAAGTGAATTAGTCGTATAAAAACTGAAGATGCTTATAAGAAAGTTGAGTGTGATGTTCTGACACGATTCCTTCAACAGGCAACATCTTCATCCTTATATGTCCTCCACCCAAGCATTTTCACTTACACGCTTAACTCGCATTCTCTTAGGTTACGCAATCTATCCAACCCAAAACAACAACTATTACCGCCTCCTTGTGAAGTGAACGCGGCCGCCTGGAGGAGGTGGATGTGTAGTGCGTGGACGTGGGGCGCAGCAATCGCCCAACGAAGGGCGAAGAGCGAGCAGTAAGCACGCGGATGATTGACCGAGTGGTACAAACTACAACAAGCAGATAACAACGATTCGATATGTCCACTTGCTGTAAACTGAGATATTGCAATTGTGCAAATGTGTGATGCTCTTTAGGAGCTATGATACTTAAGCCAATTTTCTGGCAGGGGCATTGATCATGCAATCCCGATTCAGACAAAAAGATACAGTGGCGGTGGAGAGGCTCGAACTCTCGACCTTTGGATCACTCTGATCTTAGACCAAATCATAGGCAAACTATGAGACCAACGCTCTAGCCAACTGAGCTACACCACCGTATATGAGATGTGATTGATGGACAGGGTCCGTACAATATTCCCCATATTCAATCAGACAGACTGCCCTGTAACTTTCCCTTGAGCTTTCATCAACATCATCCAAGTAAATTATAAAATCCCCTTGTGTGAGTAAGCTACTTCACTGCTATCAAAAGTAGTTATTTCCAGCGATACAAAAAGAGATTGGCATTTCTTCGTGCTGTCAAATCATGTTGTTTCTCTGATTCGTGAACCAATGCCACCTAGTTGGTATATCTCATACGTTTCCCACCCTCGTAACCTGTGGTTCGAATCAAAAAGTAATGCAAAAAAACATACAACACCGGGGATTCGCTGGTCGTCACCGACCCAACTACTAATCCGGCGCTTCGAAACTTGACTAAGGGAGAGCGGACGGGATCCCGTATTCTCTTCGAGCTTTGGTCGTATGTGCTTTATGAGTGTCATAATTTGGCCTATGTAGACACAACAATCCAAAATCGAAGCCGTACATAAATGAGACCGCAGGTCGAGATCACGGCTATATTGTTAGTTATATGACCCCAACAAAGCTTCCACAGCTGGCTACCTTTCGTGGCATATAGTAGGCAGGTGTTATGTGTGTATTGAACACAAAACGACGAGACAAATAACAGGCAAGAACGGTATACAAGAGTTCACTCGAACTGGTCGCACTCAGAACATATTCGAGAGCTCACTTGAGCTGCTCCTACTGAAACTACCAGTCGATTTCGGGGGCTCAGCTTGTCCAAGCCCTGAATGGGTTTGGATATCATCATCGCTCTGTTGTTCTCCGACTTCCATGTTTCCCCCAGATGCCCACATAAATCCATCGTTCCCCCGTAGAGAAAGATGTGTTGGTGACCGCCCCAAGAGTTACGACTAATGATAGCGGCCATTTGAGGATGATATGGCAGATGGGAAAGTGGGCGGGTTATATACTCCAGTTGTGCACGGCTCTGCCTCAGGCGTTATCTGCTTCATAACAAGGTTTCCTCTGCAAATATTCCATAACATAAGTACTTCCAGTAAGCAGATTGATTTTTTGGTCTAATATCTAGATTCATGGAACTTAATCTCCTCATCTTGTCGTCTCATATGCCTTCACACCTCGACACGACCATCAAAGCCATGGGGCGCCGCAGCTACACCACCACTCTCATGATATATTCGGGGAAGATCCACCACCGCAGGAACACCGTACTCCTCTAACCTCCCTTTCTATCATGCGAAACGGGTAGAACCCTATATAAGTCAAAATAGCAAACGTGCTATGCATAGGTACTCATTGATGAGCTTAACTGAGGCTTTAGTCGCTGCTAACATCAGTAGTCTTTTCCACTATTCTAAGGAGACTGAACAGAGCAACACTCGGAGTGTCTGGTGACAGCCTCACTTTTTGCTGATTTGAAAGAAGTTTGCTGTGCTAGGATGAGTTGTGCTGGAGCGGGTGTAGTGTATGCATAATGGGAGGTATCTGAGTCGTAATGTAATATAATCCGCACATCAAAGCACTCCGAGCACCTTATGTGAATATTGTCAAAATTTACATCGCTCTTATACTAAATTTAGACTAAGTCTTTCAGTCAGCCTCGTTTGGTGTGCTTAACCAATGTCAGGTGAGACAACGTCAACTTTAAACGAGTACTTGGCGAATGAAAAAGAGATAACGACCCGCGGGTATAAAGAACGAGACGTGATACGCGGTTAGTTTCCAGCCTTAAATGACTACCTAGCCCTATAGAAAGGACCGCACGGGCAATACGAATAAACTACGAAATTATGTGTTTCAGATATGCTCTGCCTGGATGTGGCCAACAAATGACAGTCGGTAACTCTAGTATCAATTTAATGTACGGATACGGAGTAAATTACGCGTATTATGTGCTGTTGAAAAGTTGAGTGCCTGCAGAAATGACGGCAGACCCTGGACCCATGATCAAGTTACGTCATCCATGAGAGGCAGAAGCAGAAAGTAGAGGGTCAAATTAGGGGTTCAGGGCAGCTCCAGCTGTCATCAGCCCAACAGCCAAGCCAAACTCTCCGCCGCATCCGCCGTATCTTACAGTGTGTCCGTATTTGTACTATAAGTGCAGATATCTTCAACGTAAAACAGGAATTGCCAACGCTTGGCTTTGCAGCTAAATCGCTCCTTACATTCTTTACCCCAGCATTGTATCCACTCCTTTTCCCTCTTATTTTCCCCTCATTCGCAATTATCATATCGCCTCTTCCCACCAGCGTTGCTTCGCTGACGACACTTCGAAACCAAGGTTATTTTAGTCTGTTGGGGGCATTTGCTGTCTTGTCTCACATTTCCCGACTAAAACAAAACTTGACTCGGATCTATTTTTTTCTCCTTCCGACCTCGATTGTTTCTTCTTTCTCTCTAGCGGACGCCGGATTCCACCTTATCTCCCCCCCCCCCCCAAGACGTGGTCGAATGTACATTCAATATTGATCACGACACATATACAAAACAACCGCGATATGAGCTCTTCGATAGATGCTCTTCCCAACGGGAACGGCCATGCTGACGAGCATGACCATGTCCTCCGTCCTCGACCGCGCAAACCGAAGCATTCACAGGTGGCCGAAGTTCTGCGCATGTCAACGGCGGAGGACAGCGAGGGACATCTCATGCCGGATAATGTCAGCACAGGGACAGCCAGTGGATTGACTAGGTATGAACCAAAACTCGAGGAACCTGCTCCAGCTAATCATGACAGTGGCCGTTCTACGCCCGTCCCTGAAAATGCGCCGCCGTCAGTCAAGGTTCTCTCTACCGCTCGAAAACAAGCTCGCGCAGAGCAACGCCGCCGAATATTTCCTACGATTGAGTTCGCCTCGCGCGTCAGCCACTTCGACCCCGAAAGCGACTACCGAGACTTCCACGGCTTCTTCAACCTTTTCTGGATTGGTCTTGCTATTATGGGCATAACGTCCATGCTACGCAACTTGAAGGATACAGGGTTTCCTCTGAGAGTGCAGATATGGGGTCTTTTTACAGTCAAACTTTGGCATCTTGCCATTGCGGACTTCCTTATGGTTGCGTCAACTGCTGTCAGTCTGCCTTTGAACCGCGCAGCTCGAAGTGCGAAGCCGGGTAGCTTCATGGCTTGGAATAGGGGAGGTATTGCTATTCAGAGCGTATATCAGGTTCTTTGGCTTTCGCTTTGGATTGTTGTGCCCTTCTACTTCGAATGGACATGGACCTCGCAGGTGTTCTTCCTCCTGCACACCATGGTGCTCTTGATGAAGATGCACTCGTATGCTTTCTACAACGGACACTTGTCACATACGGAGAAGCGACTCTATGCTCTCGACAACCCCGATTCACTACTCGACCGACGACCTGCCTACCAATACCCTACCACCGACCTACCAGCTAGTGCCGCTGACGGAGAGCCTGCCAGCACCAGCGGCAAGAAGCGCCGTCGACAACGTAGCCGGAAGAGACGTCAACAATCCAGGCGAAGAGGCGGCGACGACTCCAAGAGCAATGACGAGGCGGATGTTAACAGCAACTACCTGGCCCCGAGCCCTCCCGCCAGCGCCAGCAACAGTGCTGATGAAGTCGACGAGTTGCGAGAGGACCTCGCCCTCGAACTTACGAGTCCCATTGGCAACATCACCTACCCGAATAACCTCACCTGGTCCAACTACATTGACTATCTCTGCTGCCCGACACTCTGCTACGAAATCGAATATCCTCGAACCACCCACATAAACTGGATCAACCTCATCTCCAAGATCATTGCCACATTTGGCTGCATCTTCCTCTTAACCATTATTTCCGAAGACTTCATCCTTCCTGTTCTCACAGATGCCTCCCAGCGCCTCGATGCTGTTCCCGCAGTATCATCCCTGTCCGAGAAGGCCCTCATCCTCGCCGAGACCATTTCTTGGTTACTCTTCCCCTTCATGCTCACATTCTTACTCGTTTTCCTTGTCATTTTCGAATACGTCCTCGGTGCATTCGCCGAAATCACCTACTTTGCCGACAGACATTTCTACTCTGACTGGTGGAACTCAACCGACTGGATGGAGTTCTCGCGGGAGTGGAACATCCCCGTGTATAGTTTTCTTAGACGTCACGTTTACAGCGCCTCTCGAGCTCGGATTGGTAGAGGCGCTGCTACTGCATTGACATTCCTGATTTCCGCTTTTGGCCATGAAATCGTTATGGCTTGTATCACCAAGAAGGTCCGCGGGTACGGCTTCATTTGCCAGATGTCTCAGCTACCCATTGTCATGCTCCAGCGCACAAGATGGGTTCGTGGTAAGAAGACCTTGAACAACGTCTGTTTCTGGGCTTCAATGGTTCTGGGTCTCAGCATGGTAAGATTTCATTCTCACAATGTTTCAAACACCACTAACAATTTCACAGATCTGTGCTCTCTACGTTCTGGTGTAGTCAGGGCTCAAGTAAGGTATATCGTACCGGATTTGCAATTCGATGAGTATGCTGGTCGTACGGAAGTCATTGCCACGTCAACATATCAATCCAATATTAGTCTGGAAGATACATCCTGTGCCTTTACAAGGATATGTACATGTGGACTTTTAGAATTAAAGATAGAAGCATTGTACTGTTGCCACAAAGCAAAAGGAAACATAGATTTATACCCCATAGTTAACATTGAATTTCACCTTTGGTTTGAGCTGGATAACATTATTACTGATGTGAAGATGATTGTGCGACGAGCGTATTTATCCAGGCGCTGAGATCTTGGTAATCCGTAGACAAGGTACGAGTACGGCACATATCATATGTAAGAACACGTATTTATCACATCACAGCATCACTTTAAGAAGATGTTTGTTCTATACCATTTCCATTTCGCGTCTACTTCTCATCTCTCGTAATCATAGAGCTAACTAGAGTTACACCCCGCCCGCAAAGGACCGGGGAATTATGACAGAATGGGCGGTTGCTCAAATCCGACGAGTCCGCATAAAAACCAGAAGACATAAAAAACCTTGTTGCTCATAAAAACCGAAACCCTTCAACTCCGTTGACTTTTTTTGGTATCCCGTTTAGCATGCGTGGTCGTTTAGTCAACCTCCTCCATGGCGCTGTCACCAGTGGCGGCGGCAGGAGCGTCAGTGGCCTCAGCAGCCTCAGCAGGGGCAGAGTCGTCCTCCTCGATGTTGAGGCCGAGCTGGACAAGCTTGTGGATGCGGTCGGCGAAACCAGCAGGCTCGTCAATGGTGAAGCCAGAGACAAGGAGAGAGGTCTCGAAGAGGAGCTGGACGATGGACTTGACAGTGCGGTCGTTCTCACCGTCAGTCTCAACCTTCTTCTTGAGCTCCTGGACGATAGGAGACTTGGGGGAGATCTCGAAGGTCTTCTTGGAAGACATGTAGCTGGACATGGAGGTGTCACGGAGGGCCTGGGCCTTCATGATACGCTCCATGTTGGCAGACCAACCGAACTGGCCAGTTCGGATGGCGCAAGGAGAGGAACCAAGCTTGTGGGAGACGACAACCTTCTCGACCTTGTCGCCGAGAACGTTCTTGAGGGCCTTGGCGAGGCTCTCGTACTCCTTCTCCTCCTCCTCACGGGCCTTCTTCTCATCCTCGGTCTCCTCGAGCTCGAAGTCCTTGGTGATGTCGACGAGCTTCTTGCCCTCGAACTCCTTGAGCTGAGTCATGGCGTACTCATCAATGGGGTCGACGAGGAAAAGAACCTCGAAGCCCTTCTCGCGGAGAGCGTCGAGGAAGGGAGACTTCTGGACAGCCTTGATAGACTCACCAGTGATGTAGTACATGTTGTTCTGGTGCTCGGGCATGCGAGTGACGTAGTCGGAGAGGGAGGTCAGCTCATCACCAGACTTGGTGGAGTTGAATCGGAGGAGCTTGGCCAGGATGGATCGGTTCTGGGAGTCCTCGTGGATACCAAGCTTGAGGTTCTTGGAGAAGGCGCTGTAGAACTTGTCGAACTGCTCCTTGTCCTCAGCAATCTCCTGGAAGAGCTCAAGAGACTTCTTGACGATGTTCTTCTTGATAACCTTCATGATCTTGTTCTGCTGAAGGGTCTCACGAGACAGGTTGAGAGGAAGATCCTCAGAGTCGACAACACCCTTGACGAAGCCGAGCCACTCAGGGATGAGGTCGGTGGCATCGTCGGTGATGAAGACACGGCGGACGTAGAGCTTGATGTTGTTCTTGGTCTTCTTGGTCTCGAAGAGATCGAAGGGAGCGCGCTTGGGAACGAAGAGGATAGCACGGAACTCGAGCTGACCCTCAACGGAGAAGTGCTTGACAGCGAGGTGGTCCTCCCAGTCGTTGGAGAGAGACTTGTAGAAGGAAGCGTACTCCTCTTGGTTGATGTCCTGGGGGTTGCGAGTCCAGATGGGCTTCTGCTTGTTGAGCTCCTCCTCCTCGATCTTAGTCTCCTTGACCTTCTTGGTCTTGGGTTTCTTCTCCTCCTCCTCGTCATCGACCTCCTCGATCTTGGGCTTCTTGTCATCACCCTCCTCGGTGACCTCCTCTCCGGCCTCCTCATCAGGGACCTCCTTCTCGGTCTCCTTCTCGACGTGGAGGTAGATGGGGTAAGAGATGAACTCGGAGTGCTTCTTGATGACCTCCTTGATCTTGCTCTCGTTTAGGTAGTCCATCTGCTCGTCTTTGAGGTGGAGGATGATGGAGGTACCACGGCCGAGCTGCTCGCCCTCGGTGTCCTCAGCGATGGAGAAAGTGCCACCAGCGCTGGACTCCCAGACGTACTGCTCATCATCGTTGTTCTTGGAGATGACGCGGACTTGGTCGGCGACGAGGTAGGCAGAGTAGAAACCAACACCGAACTGACCAATCATGGAAACATCAGCGCCAGCAGTCAGGGCCTCCATGAACTGCTTGGTGCCGGATCGGGCAATCGTACCCAGGTTGTTGACAAGGTCCTGTAGAGGGTTAGTTGCTGAAACATGGCTACTAGTAGACAGTTGAACTTACAGCCTTGGTCATACCAATACCGGTATCCCGGATGGTGAGGGTCTTGTTGACCTTGTCGGGGATGATGTCAATTCGGAGGTCCTTGCCAGAGTCGAGCTGGCTAGGGTCCGAGAGGGCCTTGTATCGGATCTTGTCGAGGGCATCGGAAGCGTTGGAGACAAGCTCTCGGAGGAAGATCTCCTTGTTGGAGTAGACAGTGTTGATGATGAGGGAGAGAAGCTGAGAGATCTCAGCCTGGAACTCGAAAGTCTCAGCCATGGTGTCGGGTATCAAAGGGAATCGTGACTATCAAGAATACTGTTAGTGGTTGAAAAGGAATTTATGTGACTTTATAGTTTTGAGAGGTTCAAGTTTGTCGGTGAGTGGTGAAGGAAGGGTATGGAGGGGTAACGAATGCTCTAGAACTTCAGCTTCCCATAACCATTCTTTCTGCAGTACAAGTGAGAGAGCTATGCAGATACAGGCGGAACACCCGGTGATGAGTTTAGAAGCTCTCTCAACTTGCAAAGCTTGGTGTAGCGAATAATCGTTGGGAGCAAAAACTCAATGCAAGCTCGTGCAAGGCTGATAGAGGGATGGCGGGGGTAGTTGCAGCACACGTACCTTGAAATGTTCGTTACAAAAAGGAAAAGGCTAGACAAGTTGGCTCGTCTAAAGTAAATGGTATGAGTCTCCTGTGAGAAAAAGGAGAAATATGGAAATGCGAGAGAGATGAGAGAGATGTGATGTTTGGAGGGAAGAAAGATTCGAGGCAGAGGTAGGTACAAGAAAAATATGTAGGCTGGCGGCCGGCCCCTCCTTCCTTCCATCTGCTTCTCCCAATGTGAAGGGTTCCATGAGATTCTACGACCTAGCGCTGCCTATCTTACAGCTGCTGGCCACTGGCCCCTCCCGTCCCCCCGCCTTCCGCTAGTGGAGGTTTAGGTGCATTTGCAGTTGCAGTTGCAGTGACTGAGGAGTCTCAGTCTTAGGCAGGCAACCACAGCAACCGCCCACCTCACCTTTGGCACTAGATTTTGACAACTGTACAGCGGGCAGCAGTTGGCCACATAGTTACGTACTGCGTGAAGTTTGCCTCTGTTTGCCTGCTTAGACTGCCCGGGCTGCTAACATTTCAGTCGTACCTGGTACATGCGTGTTTACCCCAAAAGAAAGCACAGAGGGTCCAGGCGGCAAAAAGCACGTTTCCCTAGCTTATTCTCGAATGATTGGCCAGTTCCATTTCGACCAGAGACTTCCACGTTCCCTCCAACCTTGATGTGCATCGCCTCAAAATGTTCATCTGTTGCGAATTCAGGTACCACAAGTATCCGAGCAGCCGAGTCAACGATTCGACCATTGTGATAGCGGGAAAAGAGATTTCACTGATCTACATGATTCATACGTAGCTTAATTATGATGGCAAAAATAATTATATTTTACCTGCACATCTTTACAGCCTGTAGCAGACAGAGCCTTATCACCTTTGTCCTGCCTTTTCGAGGCTCTCGACTCTGGCTTGTAAACAACCCCTCATTCGAGGCTGAACAAGACCCTTGTTCATGTTCCTAGGCTTTCCATGACAAAGTCCCACCGCTTCCTTTCCCCAGCAAAAAAGCACAACCCCTCGGTTGATCGAATCTTCTAGCCATTAAACGTCGGCTGATGCTTGTGTTGCCTACGGTTTGCTCTACTATGGAGCCAATTGAGGCCCGCCAGCAACCTGTAGTTTTCTGTTCTTGAGTTTGTAAAGTGCCTGTGCTTTGCCGGATTGTGATTTCAACAGACCAATGAAATACAACAACGAAAGCAGCAAGGCTGAGCGCAAATGTCTGTACAAGCAGCTAAAGTACCAGACCGAGGCCAAGCGTGATGCGGAGTGATTCCCTGCATGTTCAAGCAAATTCCGAAATCGCAACTCTCTTTTCTTGCTTGAATTTATAGCACATCCTTATTCAATAAGAAGAAGAATAAAACTTTCAGAATTAGCTTGATGATACTTCTCGGGACAACAGTTTTATATGATCAATCAGCTTGTTTCTATTGCATCAGTAACTTGATATATGCTTCGTATTCTGATTTCGGGTTATTTCTACTTGCATGGTTGGATGATTACATGCAACCCGTCAGATTCTACAAATTCCTACTCCATTCCCACAGTCCTTGTCGCTATGGACAGACCATCAGGAAGTATTACTCGCGTATTCTTTGTCATTAGATCTTGAACCTTCGAGAAACAAAAACGACAACTCCATCCTCTCCACCTAACCTTATTTATAGGTGTTATACAGGTACTTTACATGTAAATCTAGCTTTTCAACGGTCATCAAACCTCCAAAGCCCCTCCAACTTGTCTATACCTTCTATCCGCATACACAAGCCCAAACTCCTCGTCCTCCTCTTCGCTGACTCTGACCATTTCCATCACCTCTCCCACCACAATAACATGGTCCCTCACTCTTATGAGGCCCTCCTCAGGGGCATCTCTCAATACTCTACACCGCAGTGCAAACATGACACCATCCTCTTTCAATAAGGGCGCTTCGTCGCCATCCTGGCTATAATCTAACCCCTTGAATATGCTGTCGCCTACATTGCCTTTCGTAAAGTGACTCGCAACATTTGCCCCCTGCTCATCGCCGTTAAGGACGTGCACGTTGAAACCCCCACTCGCTCTTATAGCATCCAGCGTTCTGCTCGGCGTCGCAATGTTGAAGGTGACCAGAGGTGTTGGTGTAAGTGTTAATGATGTGAAAGACGACATTGTCATGGCACGCGGGCCGTCGCCGGGCTGGTTGGATGTGCAGACCACAACGCTATGGGGGAGGAGGCGCATTATGGAGCGTAGTTGCTCAGGAAGAGGCACTCGTTTGGTCGGATGGACGGTCGGATGTTCAACTGGGGCTGTACGCGGATGTTTTGAGGCTGAGGATGTGTGATTTCTTTTATCTAGATGTACATCATTAGCTAGAGTACGGCATGTGAGATCAGAGACACTCACGATGTTGAGACCATTGCCGCGACCATGATCCCGATCCCAGTATGGTAGACCTCCCAAAGTCGCCGCATCCTCTCATTGTACTTCTCAAATCCCCAACATTCCGCAGAGAGCTCAGTCCTCTGGTCCCGCCTCTCGTCATGACAAGTGCTGTCGCAGCGCCATTGCGCAGCGCTCGGGAGCTGTTCATTGCCCAACACAGCGCATTATCGACGAATACAGCTACAAGAACCTTGAATTCAACGTAAGAAGGTTCTTATGAGATACCCTGCGTAGGAAAAAAAATCACCTTTTAATTGACTCAATTCCACGGGTTTGGAAGGCCGAGCCAGACTAGAAATGACGAGCAACAATTCATTTTCTTATCGATAAGCCCCAAAACCCCTGCTCGGTGTACCCGCCTTCGGACCTCGCATCCTAAATTTTACCGATTGACTTCAAGCCTATCCGAAGCTTCAACACCACCAGCTCACGGTCGTCAATCGCTCTCTTCCCTGTCGTCAGGGCTGTCAATTCGTCTTCTCCGGTCTCGCTCAAAGTAGCGTTTACACATCACAATGGCCAAACTCTCCATCTCGCCGGCGACTCTCTCGCCCATCCGAACAACGCTCTCATCAACACCATCATATTCACCAACTCGCCTGTCTCTCGGCCAAGTCCGAAACGCAACCTTCATCCCCCGACCTCGACGACCATACACATTTACGCAGCTTGTTACTCTGTCGGACGGCTCCTCATACACCATGCGAACCACTTCACCGCTACCCATTTACCGTGCCGCAAAGGATACACGGAACACATTGCTGTGGCAGCCATCCGAGAGGTCGCTCAAGAACGTCGAGCTTGATGAGGCTGGTAGATTGGCTGCTTTCCGAGAGCGATTCGGTCGTGCTTACGATTCTGCTACTGCCAAGGAGGGCAAGGAGGGTGAGGAAGCTGCTGAGGAGGAGACCGACGGAGGCTATGCGGATCTTATCACTGGATATGCGCCTTCACAAGATGCGAATACCATGAGGGATTCAGGACCCAAGAAGCAGGCCAAGAAGAGAAAGTAAACGATGATGACACTGGAGTTAATAAGAGGGACGATTACTACAAGCACCATGACTGTTTGTTCACCCAAATCAGTTACGGGTATAAATGTGTCTTGTATGAATTACTACTGCCACGGTCCGAGAATTGGAACTATGCGGTTGATGGGGGTGGTTTGATATGTACAACAGTTTAAAAGCCCCCGAGGCTTGTAAGATAGAAAACACGCGTCTCCAGTTCTCGGAATCGGTCAATAGTCAAACATCCCCTTTTGACGTGAACGTGTTCCCCCCTTCTTCATCGAGAGTTTAACTCTATCGCTAATGGATGGAATTGTGGTATTGCGCTGTGGATAGCTGCGCCCAGTTATACTAATCCGAATCTTCGTCTATCCTTGCTCGAGCACGGTCGACAGCGGTGTCACCTCCCTTTTGCTGTTGCTGTTGCTGCTGGTACACTGGAGGTCTATAAAATACCGATTCATCGTCTTCAGCGTCGAGCTGCATCAGGAATGTCTCCCATTTCTCAATAAGCTGTATCTTGTTAGCACTTGTTCCCGAACTGGGTGTAATCAGTCTACTTACCTCCTTTTGCGCCTCAACTGCGCTCTCAAGGAATGTCTCAACTCCGCTCTTGAAATCCTCAACCTTCTCCTTCTCAAATCGGTCAAGTTCGCTTCTCATTAATCGTCCCATATCTTCAAAGAGAAGTCTTGCCTGGTGCACCTTGCGCTCCGACTCGCCGACTTCAGCTCCCATTTGATTCAATCGATCTTGCTGACTCTTTCCTTGCCTAAGGAGCTTGTCCTGGGTAGTCTTCTTCTTCTGAAGTTCAGATTCGGCAGCGTGCCATGAGTAAAAAGCCTTTTGTCGCTGGCCAAACGCCTGCTTGACCGAGCCAATGAGGCGGATGTATTCTTCAAGGATGATACCAAATGTCAGAACGTCCTGCTGGGCCTGACGTTCGTAGACGTCTCGGATGGTGAGCTGAAGCTCGGAAAGAGCATCAAGAGGACCTGACAGTGATGGCGACAGCTCGACCGTAGAAAGCGCATGGAGGGAAGCGGAAAAATCACCAGCTGCCTCGGCCATCATCTTACGCTGACCGACCATGGTCTCCATAGCCTTGAGGAGTCCCTTGAGCTGGTTCTCAAGAGCGTCCAAGTAGACCTTGCGATCATGGAACCAATCGTCCTGCTCCACAAACTTGTTGCCGCCTCCGACATTGATACCCAAAGACCCAAGTACACCCTTGCTCTCGGTAGGGATGGGGTCCCTCCTTTCCTTGTGCTTGATGTCAACATTAAAGGTTTCGCTTTCCAAGAAAAGCTTCAGGTCGGGATCGTGCTGAAGTGTGGGATGTATCGCGGTCTTGTTGAGCATCTTCTCAAGCGCAGCTCGTCGACTCTCGACGAAGTTGCTATCAAAGCGACCGACAGCCTGCTTATCAGGGGGAGGTGGTACGACGATTCCGGGATTGTTGCCATGGAGAGTATTGTAAAGCCAAAGGAAATCGCGGTATCGGCGTTTGACTTCGAACTCGGGCTGCTTGTATCCCTTCGAGGTGGTCTGTTCTGTTGCGTCAATAACGAATTGGGTCAATTGAAGATTGAATTCCCCATACCTTGGTTCGGACGGAGTACACAATGTGGGAACTTGTCAGATCACCAACTTTATGAGGATCTCCAACCGTGATCTGGAACGACGGCTTGGCAGCTTGCTCAATACTAACGCTGGGCTGGTTGCTGGTCCTCACGGCGCTTGGCTGCGCAGCCTCAACAGGTGGAGGTGCGCGAGGAACCTTCGGCCCATCGTTCTCCTCATCGTCAACATTGTGAGGATCAGCAGGTCGTCGCTGCTGCTGAGGTTGAGGCATGGTGGTACGAATCACCATCTGCTCCTTTTGCGGAGGCACCGGAGGGGCATCATTAGCGGAACCATTATCTTCGGGGACAGCGCCGAGGGGACCGAGAGGATCATCGACAGCTTCGAGACGGGTGGGTTGAGCGACCAGGCGACGGGGCCCTCTTGATGGACGAGGGGCGGATGATGAAGCGGAGGGAGCTGGAGTAGATTGCGAAGCCGAGGCCGAACCGCCTTCAGACTGCAATGCCCGTTGCGCTGCGGCCTGTGATGAGTCGGCCCAAGGCGATTCTTCAACGTCCATGGCTAATAATGCGATCACGAGCTTTGGAGCTACACTGTCACTGTCGTGAGTTGGTGATCGAAGGTTGATAGTGACTTGGGAGGGAGGTTGGAAGCTTGGAGAGCATGCACCCACGCAGGCGGACGTCAGCGGAGACGGCCCCACTCTTTCCCGTAAGGCAGGTACGTATCATTCATACTGTCTGTCAACCATGAACAGCTTGTACCTTAAGTTACACCTCAAACAGCACTCTTATGTATGGCCAATGCTCATAGCCATTTATTATTAAAAGTAGCCTTATTAGCAGTCCAAGATAATGATTTAGAATTGCCATCTAGTTCCCAGTTTCTCCAGTGCAACGCTCAGCCTAGTCGCCCAGGAGTAACATCCTAGCCGTCGCTCATTTTCTGCGACGGCCGTTAGTGATGGACCAGATTAACCCATTACGCCTCTTCTAATCGCATTCCCAAGCTCTACCGTTGACTAGTTACGAGCTGTCGCCGCCAATCCCAAATCTATCCCAAACTGGGCGGCAAAAACTTGCTTTCGGTATTTCTCGGTAGCAACTGGGTCGGTATCCTCCTCACGCTCCTAGCGCTCGGGGTCGTAACAGCCTCCCACGATCACCAGATTCATCCGTGTAAATTTAACCTTCATCACTGGTGTCTTCTTTGTCGGGAACGCACTGATCTGGTCCGGGGTGACCATTACTTCCTTGTTCTTCTTCTTGTGAGTTCCAGTGGGACCACTTCCACTCGTCTGTCCTGTTGTTCCAGCTGCAACGCGAGAAGCTTCACCAACAGTGCTCCCTGTATTCGTGCCGTCTGCCCCCGCTGCTGCTGCATCGCCTGTCTGTTGTTGGCTTGCCTTTTGTGGATCAGCAGGCAGCTCAACATCCCAGAGTCGAACTGTGCCGTCTTGCCCACCGGACGCAAGAACGTTGGATTCAACACTGAAGCTAAGTGACCAGATACCACCTTTACCATGGCCACGTGATCTCTTGATACGTGTTCCCTTAGCAAGGTCCCAAAAGAAAATATTACCTGCACAATCGGCACTTGCTAGGATCTTGCCATTTGGCGCGCATTCCATTGCGCTGATGTACTCGTTGTGGCCCGTAAATACACGGACACAACCGCCAGTTACCACAGACCACATACGAATTGATTTGTCGGTCTCATCGGAGGCCGAGAATACGTAAAGACCGTTCGGATGCCACGCAAGTGTAGAGATGGCCGTGTCATGTCCAACCAACAGGCGTTGAGGAGAAGCGTGGTCTTGCATCCACACTCGAACAGCCTTGTCGTAGCCACCACTGATAAAGTAGTGTCCGTGAGGACCCCATAATGTTCTGAATGCGGGTCCATCGTGAGATTTGTACAAGCACAGACAGCTCCAAGATTCTAGCGACCAGAGGCGAATCTGACCATCTGCTGATGCAGATAGCAACAGCTTCGGCCGCGTGTCCATTGCCGTATTTGACTTTCCTTCATCACCAAAGAGCTTCTGCGGTGGACCGGATACAGCATCAGAGAAGGATACATCGTAGACAGGGCCAGAATGTCCGATGAGCTTTCGGCTGTTGAACTTGGCGTCCTTCTCATGCGCGTTCATCGTGGGGAGGGCTTTACCATCTAGTGACCATACGCGGATATACGACTCAGTAGTGCCGGCGGCTACCAGCTGCCCGTCGTTGGAAAAGTCCATACAAGAGACGCTGTGATTTATTAGCACTGGTAGTTCTCTTTAGTTTCGTTTGTCTGAATCTTACCTTCCGAGTGTGTTGTGAAATGTAAACATGCATGCGCTAATAGACACCCCTACGCCTCCTGTTGCACCATCGATCTTGAACCGGTCACGATTTTCTCGTAGTTTTTGCATCTCCAGCATGATATCTCTCGGTCGAGATGGCGGTAAAGGCAGCTCTGCTCTGCTAGGGACATCTGCACTCTCCTCTCGCTTGATCTTCTGGTCAAACTCTTCCACTAGTGAAGTTTTGCCAGGAGGAGGGGGGTTTCGTCGCTCTTCTTCTTCGAGCTCTGCACGCACATCCTCGCGAAGATCTCCTTCCATGGGCAGGGGCCCAAGCTTCAAGGGAGCTGTCGGATCGAGAACATCTTTGTTGGATAGTCCAATGTTTACACCAGGGATACCCTCGTTTGTGTCCACACTCTCAACCTCCATATTTCTTGACCTCCTGTACACAGCTTCGAAACTGAAGGGCGTGATAGGCCCACGAGCGGTGGAATCAACTTGACAGTAAGTTGCCAAGAGTTGTCGGATCACAGAACCTCCTTGGTCTGATTCTCGCTCCAAAAAGTTAAAAAGGTCACCGCTGGCATGCTGGTTTAAAGGAACCCGGTACTTGTTCTCCCGGTAAAGCTTTGTCATAGGATTCTCGCTAATGTGCTGAGGCAGTGTAATAGTCGCAAGCGTCTTGAGATCATCTGCATGGACTGGTTGGAAATTAGGACCAATATCTTTGAGAAAGGTCTTGGCATCTTCGGTATAGGCGTGGGTAACAAGCTCCAGAAAAGAATAGACAAAAACAGGCCAGAGTAATTTGGAAAGTTCGAACTGGAGTTGTAAGCAAAGTAGCAGTAGAATCGGGATGTTGACTCACCTTGTAGATGTCGAGATTGTTCTCTACCCACTCACGAAGAAGGCCGAAGGCTCTCTGGTACTTCTTGGGACCGAGGTTGGCTAGTTGATAGATCGGCTTGCCATCGGGTCCAAGATGTTTGGACTCTGAGCGGAACACCTCTTCTGTTCGATTAAAGCCTCGCTTGAGCAGATAATCTGTAACCTATACATGATTGTCAGTCAGCTTCCGGGATTGGCTCAGTATATGATCCATGAAATCTCGCCAGACGTGTCTGAGATGAATATGATATCAAAAGTCAGTAGAGGGTGTTCGGGAATGGCTAACAGCTTCCCTAACTTCGGTTTCGTAGTGACTTGGCCTTGGATCAGGCATGTACCACGCTACCCCCATGATGAATACAAACGGCAGATGATAGATGTGATGCGCTAGTCGCGAAGTAGTTCGTAGGCAGCGTGTAGAGATCGTTGTGAGCAGCAAACGCAAGTAGTAATGTCAGATGTTTGCGTGTCTGGCAAACAATCACGAAGCACTTGATGAGTCTGTTGATGAAAACAATAACAAAAAGCAGAAAACTAATGGGGATTTTGAAGCGAGAGAGAAAACATTCAAACCTACGATTTGGTTGAGGTTTTGGTTCGACATTGGCCCTCCGGCAGTGCCTGTCTGCCCTGCTGTGGTGGCAGCCTGTGCAGGAGCTGGAGGAGTGGCTGCTGGCCCTTGATAACCACCTGGTGCAGGGGCACCTGGAGTTTGCGAAGGCGCAGACATGATGGTTAAAGGAAGTCGGTAGTGGACGAGTGAATGGCGAGTACTCGAGCACGCCTGTTCGCGGCACACACTTGAGAAGAATTTATCTTTTAGTTGCAGCCCATAGCCCGACTAATACGGCTTTCGTGGTTCAGGTAGCTCCTGGTAGAGAGGTAGTGAGATGAGAAATCGCTACTGCTATCTCAAGCCTGTGGCCTCGTCTGGTGGATATTCGAGATATTCTGGTCGTCTGTTGATTATATTACCGAGGAACTTTGAAAGAATCAATAAAGAACCGAAACCAAGAAGAAGATTTGATGACTCGGAACGTGTGCAGACTTAAAGTGATGCCAAAGTTTAACGTGAAGGTTCAAGCGCGCTCAAGCTTCAGGAACCGCGACTAATCGTTAGCCGAGGATTAAGCGGCGCAGTACTATTTGGGGGTCAGGGAGACACTAAGCGCTTCAATTATGAATATAGCTTGACCTTGAATATGAGAATATCCAAGGGTTACTTATTCCATCTTCGGGATTATTACCTATTTTCCAGGACGGTTCATTACGATATCTTGTCGTTGAATCTAATGGTGAAGCATGTACGGAGTACGGCCCCTCTTGTCAAGGAGATCTGCCCGATGAGTGGGTACGCAAATACCAGGGCAACCTCCACCGTTACACTTCACTACAGCTGTAAGGCGCTTCTAGACATTCATCGTTCATCTGTTGATCAACCAAAATAATACACAACAAACGACTTTCTTGTTCAAAACTAAACAGCAAACTATACCTGCCCTTTGCCTATATTGGTTACACGCGTTGAATCCACACAAGTCTTTGACTTCTGAGCCTTTTGTTCACTGGAAACAGAGCATAACTCCAACTGCAAACAAGCATTATCACCTTACCCCCAAAAGTATTCACTCCATCGTCATTCACGAACATGTCTTCACCGGACGACGTCAACATGAGCGGTGATGAGACGCCACGCGCCTACGAACCCTTCACCGTAGAGGAGAACATTCGTCAACTCAATGCCATCGACCAACACATGGTCCAGCTCATGAAGCACACTGCCACAGCACTCAACTCACTCACAATACCCTCATCCTCAGAACCCAACCAAAAAAATGATCCAGCTGCCGAGACTACGAAGCCGCCACTAGACCCTCCCGCGCAGAAGGAGACATTCCGCTCTGCGACAGATTCATTTCTCACTACACTGCACACCGTCGACGTCAAGATGAAGCGTCAGATCTTTGCTCTCGAGGAGGCCGGTATTATCGATTTAGCACCGCCCAAGCGTCAAGAGGCTGAAGGACCTATCTTGACTGCGCAACCTATCCTCCCGTCGCAGAGGCCGAACGGAGTGGGAGCCGTGGGCAACATTGGCGCAGGTTGGCTGAACAGTCGGGGGACAAGAGTGGAGAGGGACATGGAGGCAGAGCTTTGGGATAAGGCCAAAGATCTATTGAAGAAGAGTGACGAGTCGAATTCAGCCTAGTATGATAAAAGGCAGTGCTAGGTAGACAGACCATGTTCATGAATACAATATCTGTAGGGTTTATGGCTAATCGCCTACCCTAAACCATTACATCAGTTGTGCGGTCAGATCTCAGAGCTCAGTACCATGACAATTTCAAGAATATTGAACCCCCAAATACTGAATATATGGTTTGATTTGCAGTGTACAAAGTCCGCATATAAGTTGTATTCCTCATGGTTCCAGTAGAGGCATATTTGTTAATGCCCAACACAATACTGAGTCTACAGAATCAAAGGCCAAGGTGTTTTCTCTTCCACTGTTTACCAGAGCTTAGCAGGTGGGTACAAGCCTCGATGTGAAGAATGTGTCCATGTCTACTGATATGTCTTTAAATTCAACAGGGCATGCAGTAGTAAAGTTGACCACAGCTCAGCATGTTCCGCCAAATGATCATCTTACCGGTGGTGGGGTGGAATGTTGAGGGTCACTCACTCAGCAAGGAACTCTTACGGGTAGACGGACACTAACACAAAAGTACATCGCAACATTGGATCGATCGGTAAACAAATCTTGGAAGCAAGCGAGGCCAAGACTGATAGTAATCTACTGGGGTCACTTCGGTATCTATCGTCGGTTCTTTGGAAACCCAGTTGGTCGTGACAATCAAACCAACGCCTGACGCACAGGAAGCTCAAGTAAGGAATGAGCTTCTACTGAATATGCCATCAGCAAGATTTCCATAGTTTCGACTTGTATTCCGTACACTGTAGGTGCAATCAGCACAGACCGTCAGGACTGAAGTCCAAGACCGTTGAAAAAACATGGCATTCTTGGATTCGGGTCCATCGGCCCCAGATAACGAACGTCGCTTCATTAGCGGACAAGAAACCTCCGGCATACCCTGTCGTTCCAGGCTTTAGTGCCCCGGGACCAGCCATTAAGCACAAGACAACCAATCACAACAGCCCTCTGTGTAATCCCACACTTGCCGATAGCTCCGGAATGACGCCCTCAATCGACGGACCCCCTGGAAGGTTGGCGGATGGAGGTTTGTGGCCCGTTTTCAAGCAACACAAGAAAACAACGCCTTTGAGTTTCCCATTTCCGCATTTCTAACCCTCTCTTCTTCCTTTCTTGGTCTCCCTAGAGGAGTTTTGTATCCTGCCGCCTTCGACAGAAGCAACAATTTGCTTGCCCTGCCTCTCAAATACGCTATCTTTTCGCTTATCAAGCTACAATTCCTCAGCGACTTGCTACTTAAACTATCGAAAGCCGCTAGATCATCGTGACGATCCCCACCGACGGTTGTTGCGACAGAAAGGATAGGACCGTAACAGCCACTGCTCGAATTGTTTCCTGGGGTTTCTGAATCACGTTATACATGAAATTGAACGCATTACGACCATGATTGCCGGTTATAAGTCAAAGGCCATTGCGGCGCCTTGGCTATTCAATATTGCGACGCTTGCGCTTCTTGTTCCAACTGCACGAGCCCATGAGCACGATCCAAGTCGCATTCCCAATGGCGAGACAGTCTCTTTGGAGCCTTTGGTGCGCTTTACAGTCCGAATTGTTAGAATCAGCGGCTAATGAGGAGCAGGATACGGTATTATGGATTCATATCTTGATTCAAATGTTAGCCTACGGGGTTATCTTCCCGATCGGCATGGTTCTGGGTGTAAGTAATTCCTTGGCATGCGTCTCAAGCGCATTATTGATATATATCAGATGACAAAGAACCGATGGCATGTTCCTACCCAGGCCGTTGGAACAAGTTTCGCTATTCTCGGGTTCTTCCTGGGCCATGCGCATAAGGGTCGCCAATTCATTCCGAATCACGTTCATGGCAAATTCGCGCATGTCCTCCAGCTCCTCCTCGTAGCGCAGGTTGTTCTTGGACTTTACCTCAAGGGCCACTGGGAGAAGGGTATCAATGGCAAGATTAGAAAGCTGATCCGGCCTTGCCATTCCGTCATTGGCAAGCTGATGCCTGTGCTGGCATGGACGCAGATGATCTTTGGCGGTATCACAGCTCTTGGCTTCTGTCAAGGAGATCATACTGGCCAGTGTGCAGCTCATTTCATTATGGGCGGTGCATTTATCGCGTACGGCATTATTCTTACCATTATTCTTGTTGTTGGCCAGCTCTGGATCCGGCGTAACGGCCGTTCTCAAGAATTCTACGATAGCATTGTCATTGCAGCCTGGGGTTGCGTCAATACCTTCACCGAACATCGCTGGGGCACCGATTGGGTTAAGAATGACTGGCAGCACACGACGATGGGCATCATATGGTGGTGTGCTGGTTTAGCTGGTATTTGGCTGAGCAAGGACCGTGATGGAAACCCCAAGCGTAACTTCATCCCCGGCTTCGTCATTTTCCTGACTGGCTGGGGCATGTCTGCCCACCCTCAAGAGTTGATGGTTAGTGCTGCTACGCACACGATGTTTGGCTACACTCTCATGGCTGTCGGTATTACTCGAATTATCGAAATTGCCTTTGTACTGAGAGACGCACACTCCATCTCAGAAGATGGCCGATCCGCCAACAGTTTTCAGTTTATTCCCGTTTTTGTAAGTCAGACCTTCTTACTCGTAAATGCATAACTAACCTTAGCAGCTACTGTACGCCTCTGGGTTTCTGTTCATGGGCGCCACCGAAGAGCAAATGGAACTAGTTGCCAGTTCCTCCATGGACCACATCTCGTATATACTTATCACCTACTCGCTCGCCTCCCTCATGTTCCTCTTTGCCAACATGCTCATCGGTCTCTGGGACCGCCTTGCCCACCCCATTCTGGACACTAAGGAGCTTGGTACTAACCGTTATGCCAATGGTCTGACAGTGGAGGATGGTCAAATGCGGGATGCCCAAGAATTCGAGTTGGACGGATTGACGAGCGACGACGAAGACGATCCTAGTCAACAAATGCTAAGTCACAACAGCGACAGCACAAGAAACAGGACCAGGAACTAACAAAGCCACGCTGTCCGAGGTGGTGCGAACTGAAATCTGTATGGTGCATATGCTTCAATTTGGTATATCTATTCGTACATTAAGAATATTTGCTTGGCTGGAGTCATTCGGTGGTATGTATATGATGAGAAATTTCAGTAATGAGGCGTTGAACAACATGGGGGAGCGTTTTTCTAGAGGTATATTGTACATAGTTTTAGGCGTATTGTGGAAGACATATAAAGATACAGCATAAGACTGAAGATCTATCAATATTACGTTGCCCATGGTGAACCAACTTCGTCTTGTACTTATACAGTTTCGCAAAAATTCCGACAAAAGCTAATGACACAGAGTTACATGTAATAAGATATATATAAGAGATGGAGCTTTTGCGCGCCCATTGTACCTAGGATGAGCCAGGGGATGAATAAGCTTTGGCGATCCGTTGCCAAGGTTCTTAAGGGATAAGATAGCAACGAACAAGATGCCAGACAGAAAAGTTTCTTAACACTAGATATTAGTATTAGGCTGGATCTTGCCTGATTCATATGAGTTGTAACATGAGGAAGTCAAACCCAAGGTCTTATCTTCTTGGTGGAGGCGTTCTGGAACATGCAAGACTGCCGATCCCCACGGCGGGGCAAACCTTAGCGCAATCCCTCACCGAGCTCACCGAGCTTTTCGACCCCAGAGTAAAAAAAAAGTTTAGACCCTTCCAATCGCAAAAACATCACCCTCACAATTTCACCACAAACCACCCTCACACATAATTCACAATGCCTTCCGTAGGAAACCCCAACGGCCCTTCCAAGAACCGCCTCGCGGCGCGCAAATCCAGTGCCCGCAAGGAGCGACGCAAGCGATCCGAGGCCCCCAAAGATAAGGTCGCAAAGGCCGATACAACAAGAGGCGCGCGCAAGGGTCTTTTGCCCACGAGCGGACCCAGGGCCAAGCTGAGTGCTAAGAAGCAGCGCAAGGTGGAAAAGGCTATGGCGCATGCCTTGAAGAGAAAGATGGAGGCCGAGGGAGAGGCTGAGATGAAGGGTAAGTGAAGATGTAGATAATGGACAAGTGCTAGGATGCTGATTCTTTGTAGATGCGCCCGAGTTGGAGACTGAGGAGAAGACCGAGGAGGCCGAGATGGGTGATATCCAGTGAGGGATTGCGATGAAGAGAGAAAGGCAGACAAAACGAACAAACGGAAGGGCGACGAACAACGCGGGCCTCGATCCAAGAAGCTTGCTGCAACACTGATGTGATGCAAACATTCCACCAAACCACGATCATAGCGACGAATTTGAAACGTCATACCAATGAATCCGAGTGGTATCAAGGGCTGAAGCAGAGTGGAATATGGTTACAAACCACGGGAAGGATTATATACTCCAGTTCCATCTAGTATTTGGCTCCCATGCTCGCAAATGCGCAACCAAGGGAAACACTAGGCTTTCTCGAGAATAATGAACATCACGATTTGTTTTCAACCCTTCTGTCTTCTCCTTCTTGCTAAGTAGAGACCTTGGTATTATAATTGATCTGCAGGTAACCCTACGACGCCAGTTAGTTTGATGCTTTCCATTATTCATCATATCATGTACCAGTGGAAGCTTCTTCAACCCATTCTTGAGTTTTCCTTGCCTTGCTTGGGGAATTCTCATATGATGCTACTGCCTTAATCAGCGTAAGCTCTGACATGGTCGTATACTAGTCCCCTTACTGGAGGTATTGGCTTGGACCCATTTCTGGAGTTTCGTTGTCCTCTTATTCTTGGTGACAACTTTCTTGCGAGGGAATGGCTTGGGAGATGTGCTAGGTGAGCCTGCATTACCTGTCAGGGCAATGTCTACTGATACTTGTTGGCTTGCTTACCAGAAGTAATATTGTCCATCCACCCGTAAATTCTTGCATTGGAGGTCATGGATTCGGAATCGACAGTGACCCAGGAAGACGAATCCGAGAGGGAGACCACTTCGTCCAAACCGACAAACTCGAAGTCATCGATAGGCTGGCCAACCTGCACGATTTCGTCTACCTGGGTACCACCATTGTTGTTCGCTGGATTGCTAGGCTGGCCCGACTCTGTACCATCGTCACCACAAAGACGAACAAAGGCATTGGTGATGCTTGTCCAAAAGCCAGAGTCAAAGAAGTCTCGGAACCAGGTGAGAATAGACATGTTGGGCGTAAGTTCAAGGGATGGTTGTTGGTATTTAGATATGATACTGTGCCTAGGGGGTAAAAGGAGAACCTGCGAAGGAGGATGGCAAAGATATCATGGAGTTGGCGTTTGCTATCTAGTTTCCTTCAGACGAACGTCAAGTGGTTCGTGCTGTTTGTTTAACTAAGGTCTTTATGTTACAGAAAGGTTCTGTTTGACTTGCCATTTTCTATACTTGTACTTAAAATTGTAATTATTGTGAACTTTTAAAATTTACTTAGCTTCGTCTTTGTAATTCGCCTCCAAGTAGCCATCATTGCTAAAAACGACAAAGTTCTATCTCATCGATTCGTAATAAACTTCACTACAAGGGCATCATAGTAACTGTTTCTAATCTTGGCTAAATCGCCGCCTCTAGAATTATAGAACTTGAGTCTCAGCTCAAGTCATGCCTTATCGATGAGGTTATGTCGTTTAGCGATACTATCCCCGACTTGTCCTCCCTTCCTACTATTGCTGATGACTCAACTATACCCGTTGGCCTTATGCTTTCATGTAGATATCGTCAAGTCTGCAGCTGTGATCAACAAATCTCCAGCTCGCTGTGTGTAAAGCGAAATAGGGCCAACTACATCATCGTGTGATAGTTATCTATTATACACTGGCTGATATTATTCATAAGATATGCATCACATCCTTGTGATTTATTGCACCCTGTAACTAGGTAGGTATTCAAGTATACTTGGCTGAGAAAGACACGACGATTGAAAAGTTCACTAAGAATCGTCCGGATGTATGCTGAATACTTAATAATGAGTGCCACCCGGCCTGAGTGAATTAACCCAGACAAACGTCAAAAGAAGCCTGGAAACCATCTAGAATGAACAAACGAATGCAACCTCTACAGACAAACACGGTAGAACAAAACCCTTCCCTATGTGCCATGTAAATAATGGACGGAAAATAGTTGTTTGCTCCTTGAGAGAGCTATTGATCAGAACGGAGGCTGACCAAGAGGCGTGGCAACTTTCGTTTGAACAAGTTGTGATTCACGCCTTCTCTAAAGCCCACCCTCTCCTCATCTTCACTCAGGCTGAAACTTCCTACCAAAACCTTTACCTCTCTTCTCCCAACTTCTCTAAGCTTCCGATTTCTGAATGCTCACTGTTACTTCTTTTCCCTCCACATCCCACCCGAACCCGCATCCCCTATTCTCAAGATGACCAGCACGAAGCGAACTGCCGACGAGATGTCAGGCGCTGACAACTCCGATGGCCGCACTTCTCCCCGGGCTTACCGTCGCCTAGAAGGATTCATCGACGAGGACTATTCCTCGGAAGAAATCACACCGGATCCTCATTTGTCTTCGCCCACAGTTGCCGGTTCGCCTCAGTCATCCCAACAGATCTTTGCAAACACCCCCTAACCTAACTAATAGATGAAAGTAAAACATCCACCGGTATCAACAAGTTCAAGAAACTTCTATTCAACGGCTTGCCAGTGAATCTCATGACAGCAGACTTCAAAAACTACCTCTTCTACACCTCTAACTATCGTCTCGAAGAAGCCAAGCAGAACGGTGCCAGCCTTACTGATATCATCGTCGGAGAGGACTGTCTCCTCACATGGCCTGGTCGTACTTGGGATCCTATTGTCGAATCCCTTCACGAGACTATCCAAAACCGTCTCGTCAATCTTGACGAAGCTCAGAGAGTAGGCACATTGGTGCGCGAGGCGATTATATCAAAGACCAACAGGAAGCTGGATGAGGCGAAGGCTCTGGGACTGGGTCTGGAGGACATCCAAATCGGGTTGAACTTGTTGCCTGTCTGGGGTGCAGCAGCAGACGAAGCGGTCCCATACCTATGTGAAGACGAAGAAGAAGATGTTGAACAAGACGATATGGATGAAGGGGATGATGAAATCGGGGTCATTCAAGACGACGAGATCGACCACCTAGAATTCACCGACGATGCTTTGATTGACCATGGCACAGTTGAAATCACATCTCACGCCTCTATCGTGGAAGACATAGCCTCTCCTGACACCTGCGATTCAGACTCCGACTCTGAACCGGACTACGATATGGACTCCGAAGGATACTTTGACGATGCGATCTCAGTCGATAATCTCTTCGACGTCGAACCGCACTACCCCGATTCTGAAGACGATGAAGCACACATCTTTCATGGCGCTGAAGTCGTAGATCTCTCTTCTCACCCTGCCATTGTCGACCTCCAGATCTACATGATTGAGGATGAAGATGAGGCCAGGGACCTCCCAGAGATGGAGCTCTGTATTGATGGAGAGGCTTTTGAGCAGCTATTTGGTTCTGAAGGTGCGATTGATATAGAGATCGAAGGGAGTCAACTCCTTTGCACCGGCGAGCTTTTTGAGGAGGATGAGGAGATGATCCTGGATAAAGCGCAGGATGATTCGTTTGTGGACCTTACTGAGAGTGCTTCTGAAGATCAGATTTCTCAGGAGAACGCTCGCCCAGATGAAGTGGCCCATGGGGATTCTCTTGTTGATCTTACCAATGATACCGAGGAACAGAACACTGAGCATGAGATTATCGAAGACATCTTCAAGGAAACAGAAGACGGATTTGTTTGGTGATCAAATTAAAAGATTTGCACACGCTTGTTACTTTCATCTTATGTATCTAGACTTTGCCACATCAGACATTTAAAAGCAATTCTGTTGATACCCTCAACCCATTGGTACATGTTGCGCAACACTGATCGGCCCTGAACGTCAAAGCAATATGTTGGCTATCGCCATCCCCAAGTCTTTTCTGCACAACAGAGATCCGTTCCAAATTAATTCCACAGCCTGGATCCCAAAACATGACTGTAGTTCATAGCTCTTCTTCTTCTTCATCCATAGTAACTTGAGGACGGGCTGGCAATGGTTCTCCAGCTCCACCTACAGGAATTCTAGGACGAAACGGTGATCGGACGAACCTCGAGAGACTATAGATAACCGATGCTGAAGCAACAGGAGACTTAGAGACAGACGTCAGAGGAGAAGATGCCTGAGACAAAGATGGGGGAGGAAGTGGCGAGCCAGGGGACGGCACTTCTGAGTGAGCCGATCGAGAAGCCTGTGGGCTCTGCTCTGCAAGAAGCTGGCCCATCTGCTCTTCCAGCTTCGAAACTCTCTCTTCTAGATCATGGTTCTTGTTCTCCAACTCGAGTTGCCGTTTCTCCATTCCCAGTTTGGTTGCAGGAGAGCGTCGCAGTCGAATAGTCTTTGGGGTTCGACCAGATGTGGCCGTGCGATGAGTGCTTCCGGTGCTAAAAGGTTTGGTGCCTCGACCAGAGGAGGGGCTCTCGGGGCTAATGTAAATAGTGGAAGAGTCCATATCGACAGGTGTGAGTAGTTGAGTAGCAGGTGTTCGCATAGGGGTAGACTTTGGAATGCTGAATTCATACATGTTGGGCTCAGTCATCACCATATCCTCGCCAGCTTTGACATGAGAAGCACATCTAGCATGCTTTCTTGCAAAGCCGACGCTGGCAAAGGGCCTGCCCCGGCCCTTGCAGGCATGCCTCACACATGACCATTCCCCTTTCTCATGAGAGAAACCTATACCTTGCATTTCCTCCTGCTCTGGAGGATTCCCTGGAGCACTTGCCCATTCGTCAGCCAAGATATGGGCGTCACTGTTGGCATGCTTTCTGGCATTGCCGATCTGTTGCATAGTGTTGCCGAATTTCTTGCAGCCACCCTTGACGCATGTCCATGCTCGTTCGTCTTTAGAATAGATCATGCCTTCAAGTTGTTCCAGGGACTCGTCGGAAGAGCTTAATTCCATGGCGGCCATGAGGTGAGCATCTGAGTTGAAATGAGACCTAACATTGCCAAGGTGACTCATTATCAGGTTGTATCCCTTACACCCTTCCTTGATACATCTCCACCGGGATTCGCACTCGGTGACCTCCATACCAGACATGTCGCTCTTTTTCCAGATTTCATCGCCGGATTCTTCTGCCTCTGTTGACTCCAAGTCTTCTTCAGTCAGGGCATGGCCAAATGACCTAGCATGCTGTTTCATATCTCCATAGGAGTCAAACCTCATTCCGTAACGGGGACACTTGTCGTTGATACACCTACCATTGCGGCCACCAGCGGAGAACTCAATGCCAGGTAGTATATCCTTATCACTGTTGTAGTTGAGATCTGCGTTGCCCAAATCAACGGGCCATCCCTCACGGTGAGAGCCCTCAGAAAGGTGTTTGTAGAAACCTCGGCCAGTTTTAAAAATCTGGTCAAACATCAGACAGTGAGGGGAAATACATCGCAGCTCTCGGACGGCTTTCTGCTCAGCGTAAAGAGCAGAACCAGGAGGGATACTGGCGACGATACACTTGTTGATGGTCACGGCAAGTCGGTGGATGCCGGTGTCCGCATGACGCATGTACTCGGATATGCGCTTGTAATCTACGCCGTAGTGTCGGCAGCAGGGCTCGTGACAAATGTTTTCATCGAAAGTGATGGAACCGAAAACATCGTCCTCAGTGCTCTGCTGTCCAGAGGGAGACAGCGAGAAATCAGATTCAGTATCCATCGAGTCGTCACTGTCTTTCACAGCTCCATGACCATCTGACTCTTGGAAATGTTGGAAGTAGAGTGCGCTGGTCGCAAATTCCTCTCCGTGCATATCGCACTCGGAGTCCTGGCATAACCACTGGACCCGGTGCAGGCTTGCACGGACGTGCCGTTCGAGCGCTGGAGCAGCCGAAAAACTACTTCCAAATTGTCCGCATGCGTAGGGGCCTTGATGCCAGTTGTACTCGTGCTTCTAGCACTCTTCAGCCGATGTGAAAACAAAGCCGTCGCAGCCTATGTAGGGACAAGAAAGCGTGCCGCTCTCGCCGGGGTTAGGACACTCGGCTACATAGTAGCCATCAGGCGGCTCAAGGACTTCTTCGTCGAGAGACATGGGGGTGGAAATGTCAGAGACTCTGCCTTTGTTTTGTGGGAGCTTCTGAGATCGGGAGATTCCTCAGCAGCCTGCATGAGTGTGAGTATGGGCTTGACAAGGAGTGACTTCGAGTGCACATACCTTGGGCTGTGAAGCAACAGAGTGATCACGGTTGCCGAAAGGAGTTTCAAAAAAGAAGATGTAGTGTGATGAGATGGAGATGGGAAATCTGATTTGGAGAGGGTGACTCGCGATGGCGACTGCCTGGAGTTGAGTGTGCAGATAGAAAGAGGGGCTAAAGCGCAAATAGGCGGAGGTAAGGAGGGCAAGCACGAGTAAACAGGCACCCGGCACCAAGAAACAAGGAATCTGTAGATTCTTTTTGAGTTAGTTTGATAAAATGGATGCAAATATGAAGTTGGCCAGACGAGTCTGTTCAGGTGCAGTATGTCGACTATGATGCAGCGTTGCCCGGCGACTGGTTCTGTAACTGCCACTGACACTGGCAAAGACGGTTGGCAGATAATTGCTCAAGCCACTGGAACAACTTATATTATTGATAGGCACAGACACACAGATCTCCCTTTAATCCGCTATTAGTGGAAGTGTTTAGCAGTAGCCTTACCTTACCCAACTTTACCTGACTTCTCGCTCTGTCAATCAAGCATCTCGTGTGAGAGGGTACACCTCCAATACCTAGGTATGATGTTGTGGTCCAAGGCAACAGGAAATACACATATATGCCTAGCATGGAATGTTCTAAAGAAACCAGAACAACTGATGGCAAGCTGAACATTGAGAAAGATGTTTAGACACCAGAAGGGTCAGGCATTGCTTGCCAGTCATATTGTCAAACTGCTCGGATTTTCTCTAACAAGTTAGCATCCGGTATGGTGTAGTGGCTAACATTTCGCGCTCTCACAACCTGAGAGATTAGTTCCGCGGAGCCCAGGGTTCGATTCCCTGTACCGGAGTTCCCCTTTTGCTCATCACTACTCCTTTTTGCAGCCCAAGCATGTCGTCGCTGTTTGCTCTTTTTGCCCTCATTATGGATTGTTATGCACGTGTGTGCTATGGCTGCATCCAAGAGGCCAGTTGATGATGCAGCAATACGAGGATCAGCTGAGGACAAATGACCTTCATCCGTCACGTACTTCTATAACCCCTTTTCGCAAGTGGTAGCAGAAAACATATTCCTCTCCAGTCTAACTGACCCTGGCACTCCTGTAAGGCGCTCTAAAAAGGCTCTCTAAACGAATTTCGATAACTCAATTTATTCAACATAAGAAAAGACTACAAAAGAAACCACTGATGAACAGGCTTGCTTGCCTAGCAGGAATTACAAAAGAAACACACCCAATCAGCCGCCCCCATGCTTATTCTTCAGATGCCGAGTCCGATGATCGCGCCTGGCAAAGTCCATTCCACAGTATGTACACCTAGGTCTGGCCATGCTGATTCCCATCTTTTCAGCCTCCACTGGGTGATTGGTGCGGTAATGTCTCTCCAGTTCGCGCTTCCCCTGGTGCCCCTTTTGGCAGAAGAGACAAATTTCTGGCTTGTCTATCTTCCGTCTCGCTTTCCTGAAGCTTGAGTCAGGATCAGTTCGATAGAGCGATACATGTCACTTACTTTAGATCACATGGCCGAGTGCCATGTTTCATCTTCGTTCGTCTTCTGGTATTCGTTGAACTAGCTACTTTATCGTCGATGGCTTGCTCTGGAGCGTTGCCTGATACTTGCAAGTGCTTTGGTCCTGTTGGGCTATGGACTGTCGATGTGGAAGAGATGGTATAAGTTGAGGTATACTCAGATGGCTCTGTGGTAGTGTTTGAACCATTTAAGGCAATAGAGGAAGGACTTTCGTTGAGCGTAGATAACATCATGAAGTCCCAGTCCCAGTCCACGGGTGAGGTGCCGATGTTGGTATGTTCTGGAGTAAATAGGTCGTTTAGGTTATAGAAGCTTTGGTTAATTGGACAAATATAATCGTTGGACAAGTCGTAATGAGTTGTATTCGTATCAATCCCCGGAAGTACGTCGGCAGTTTCTGCGTCATTCGCATAATCAAGGAGACTCAGTGGCAAGTTATTCAAGTAATCACTTGTCATGTCAAGATCGAAGTTCGTTGTTTCGCTCATGACGAACGCATCGTCGATCGGTGTCCAACTGTCCATCTTTCGTCAGGTTGGACAGGACGTGCCACTGTGGCCGCGTCCAGAAGAGAAGTGTTTGTTTGATTGAGAGTTGAAGGTTTTGATAGAGCTTGATGTTGCTGTCCGCCTGGATTTCGCAACGGGACACCTTTTAATGACTTGACCGGGTCGATCATGAGAGGTAACTGACATGGTAAGTTATCCACAAAATCACGATAGTTGCAAGAGCTCACTTACCAGAATATATAAGAAGACAATAACTATGATGAATATTTGCACATTCGCGCGTTGCTGGAAATATACCTCAAGGCATCTATCGCATGGCTTGGGGAACATGTATTTCCGCTTATCCCTGCGCACCAGACAAGCGGAACTACATGTTCTCCAAAACATCACCAAGAGGTCTTGTGGTAAGAGTGCCAGCCAGCCTAAGCAATCATCAGTACTATTCCCATACATAGTGTTCTGCGCACTCACATTCGCGCGTTTCGCACAAAAGTCCATCCAAGCTCACCGCGGGTGACACCCGGTATCTGTCACCCGCGGTGAGCTTGGACAGCTATAAAGGCACCCGCACCGTCAGGAAGAGCCCCAATCTTCAGGCAAAGGACCATCTGCGCATCGTGGTCCTTTGCCTGCACATTGGGGCTCTTCCTGGCAGTGCGGATACAGGTCGATTAAGTATTATAAAAGGGCCGGAAGAATGAGGCTATGTTTATGAAGAGGGAAAAAGAAAGCGAGCCTCAACGAGGGTAACATTAGGGTATATATATTATTTTGGTTTGAATCCTCAGCTCAGTCGCGGATGGCCTCTCATTGGCAGGTTCGGAGGCCTTTGCATATGCACGTTAGCGTCATATATTGAGTGGTCGGCCTCCCAAAACAAGGCGATAACACCTTCTTGTACACAGAGACAGTGGCGGAATTACTTTTGATTATATATCGCAGTTCAATGGAGAAGAATTCTGCTGCCCTCGAGGTCGCTACACATCACATTTCAAGTTGAACCAGCTTAGTTAGGTACTCATTATCACTATATGGATCCTCCGATCACTCGCTACTAACTCATCCTTGGATACTTCTCATATTTATTAGTCTAATTACTATTGAGGATTCGTATTTACAACTTCTCCTAGATGCTTTCAAACCTCTTGCAGACTATGTCGCTGTAAGGTGGAGGAGGGTAGCATGCTCGAAGGAGTACGTTCCTTTAAACAACAGAAGTGTAAAGATAGCATGTGTGGGGAACAACCAAGGGGAAGCTATTCCGAGAGAAGTATAAACAGCTGTATGATATGCCTGACCAACTGACTGGATGGTTCCGAAGAACGTCGAAAAGACTAATCGGCGCTATCCTGCACTACTAAAGCACATACTGACTGTCATTTTTAATATGAGCAACGAAACTCGGTTGGGTCGCCTGAAGAATATCGATTCACTGGAATTCTTAAAACATTTTAGGATTTTAGTTTGAGAAGCACTATCCCCCTAGGCTGAGGTTGAGTCTGTTTCGACTCGTGAGCGTTTCGGCAAAGTTGACTGTACAGGCTGTTTGCATTGTCGATATACTGTTTCTGAATAACGAAAATACCGGCGTCGTATAGTTTCTTGCAGACCTGCCCTGTGTATAAGCCTTCGAAACCTTCGGGGTGAGGCCATTGACTGTTGCATATACCGATTTCCAGTCCATATGGGCTTATTCTAAGCAATATATTCTCGGCAGAGAACGAGAAAAGCGCCTGCGCCTCTGGTATCCTTATCACAGCGGTATTCAGAATGCCTAGCAACAGGGCTTGAGACTTCTGTTGGTAGGCAAGTCCTCGAGGAGCGAGGACTGCTCTATACACCTCCCGTCTCGCGGTATCCTGCCTATGGCGAGTGAGAATATCCTTGCACGCCGTCGACCCCAGGGACACATGGCTTTCGAGAAATGTAATGGTGAACTCCCTCCCCAACACGGAGACCTGTATCAGCCCTGGTTCTTGGTCCAGAAAGTTCGATGTTTTTGTTTGGGACAATATCATTGACAGTAGTATATTTGTAACATCCCAGGGTGGTACTGGAAAAACCTTTCGGCTTTAGGGCTTGCATGATCTGCCTGATAAGTTGCGAATCTTACGTGCCTTTGCTTCCATATCCACCCTCATGGGCCAGCTAGCATAGTCATTGTGTTCGGTTTGGTGGGCAGAGATAGCTTCCAAAGCTGCTGTGGTGGCCTAAGGGCTGGGGGATAAAGGGGGGGTTTGAGATGGGGTAAGGGCGTCCAAGAATTCAGCCATGGTAGCTAACTCGAAGATGTCGATTTGGGATAAGCTTAGCATTGCTTAAAGTTCAAGAGGAACGTTTGGCGATGCTGAAGAGATGATAGCGAACACGACAAAAAGGGCATGAGAACGAAGGCATATGTATGAAGGAATTTGTCTCTTGCTGTGAAGATGTTGTGCCGAATGAGTCTCATCTTTGGACGGCAGTGTAAGCACTGCTGATCTTGCAAATATTCAGGGACCTCTGTGGTCAAACGTTTGACCTCGTGTGGTGTGTAAACGCTATCAAATTGTTCACGCAAAGGCGCAAAACATAGTATATGGGTTGCTGATTGTCATGTTTGGGATTGGATCCAACGCCGACGATCATAGTAAACAGTTGCTTGAAATCGCACGCATGAGAAGATCATAGTAGCTCTTCTGTACAGAGTATGGAGTGATGAAGGACGAACCCACGGCGGGAAAGGTCTCGGGCATCAAGCATATTGGCATCTCTGTAGAGCTGAATGACACACAAGTTGCACCGAAAAAGTGCGTATTGCCTTCGTTGGAAAATAAGGTGCCGAATATGGATTCATTGTAGTTGGGAGGACGAATCAGAGGGTCGTGGAATATGTATTGTGACTGGTAAAGGTCTTGATGA